AAGTTATTAAATTATGAAATTTTTTTAAAAAAAAATCAATTTTTTCTCTTTTTCTCTCTCTTTTTTTTTCCTCTTTTTTTTGTTTTTTCCATTTTTCTTTTTGTTGAAAAATCCCAAAAAGGGGGGGGAAAGGCAAAGGAGGGTGGATTTTTGCTGCTGTAAATAGAGTGATTTTATCCAAATCTTGGTTTTTCAACAGTTTGCTCTCTGGTGCTCCGTAGCAGGCTGCCCCAGAGGACAAAAACTATCACGCTGCTGGCCCCAGTGTGGTACTTTGGCGCTTCAGATTGCCTGAAGCGAACGGTTGAGCCCCCTTCAATAGATTACATTGTGGATAATATGATGATCCGAATTGAGGGGGTAGACGCAGTACCGTGCGGAAATGCCTATTAGAACGAACCAGAAAACACACAATGCCGTTCGCTACCAGAGTCAATCGCTGAATGGCTAGGTAGTATTGAGGTACTTCTCTGCCAGGACAATGGGTGACTCTACACGAGCTCTTTGATTATCATGCTGAGGAGCTATCTATGGTCACTGTTTCGACAGTACACCCGACTATTGTCTGCTCAGCATCACCATCAAGCCACCTTGAAAGCCACTCCAGAGCCACGGGCGCAACCGCGACAGACTCGGCCTCATGACCACCAACGGTGTTTCTCTGATATAGAACATCGGCATATGCCTCACAGTATCGCTGTATCTGTGAGTCTGCATATTCAATATTGCAATTTTCATCATTGATCCCATGGTACGCAAAAAGTGGCATTTGAGGCAGACCGTGATACGTCGGAAGCGCATTATTTCCAATCACCCACGCAATCTCCGGAACCGTAAGGATGTCGCTCCCGTTCACAAAGTACTCGAAAATGTCTTGTCCTGAATAGGCCGCGGTAAACTCGGGAGCATTGTAGTGAAGACAGGCGAGAAAACTCGTGGCGTTGAAAGGACCCTCGGTCTTGAGATTGCTGACGAGAATGTCCCGGGCCGCTGGGAAGTCGGCTGTCAGACCGAGGAACAGTGACACGATGATGCCGGCACCGCCGCAATTGTTGAAATTGTATACCACTGATGTGAAATTTGATGGCAGGCCACCTATTGCTGCGCCGGCAAAGTTCAGTTCAGGGGCGTATGATGCTTGGAGCTCAGCAGCAAAGTAGCTCGCCAGAGCACCGCCCGAGTACCCCCACATGGCATATCGTGCATCATCCCAATGAGCCAGTTGGTTCTGGCTCAAGACGGCTCGAGTTGCGTCCAGAATGGCGTGTCCCTCTCGAGGCCCCGTAAAGAATGCAGCATTTGGTCCTTCAAAGTCGGGAACACTGACATACCAACCACGGCTGAGAGCTTCTGCGACATAATCCGCGGGAGAGGGATCCGCCGCCGTAGCGTAGAGAGTCGAGAGCAAATGACTAGGACTAGCGTCCACATCTGGCGAGTTGTACGGGATCTGGTAAGACAGCAGGCGCGAGGTCGAATTGGCTGGAATCAGGGCAGAGTCGGGAATCAGCAGAGTCGTCACTGCCCAGGAAGGCTGATACTGAGCATCGGTTGATCTGTAGAGTATGTTGTAGGCGGCAGAGCAGTTGACTACGGCTGTAATGTTGCTCGGATCTGTCCGAATGCGCAGAACCGTGCCTGGTGCCGAGGTCTCAAAACCAGAAGGTGGAACGTAGAAAGGGTCCTCGCTTGGAGGGAGAGGCGTTGATGAATTGGATGCTTGAGCCACAGCAAGCCATGATAGAAGAGAGACTTGGATCACAGCAGAAATGTTCCTTCTAGTCCACATGATTGCGAAATCAGATATCATCAAGAATAGGATATGTGAAACAAAACAAATTTTGGGAACAGGATCGCAGTCTTATACTGGCATCTGCTTCCGGCCAGGCCCAAAGTAGGAATGATTTCTATTGGGACCGAAGCCAATCAATCTTGGATATTGATTGGCCCAGTACATGAAGTGAGAGGATATAAGCACAATCTGCTCAAACTAGCGCATGAGCAGTAATGAATACTCCCATTGTGTTGACGAACATTACAGAAACGAAGGAATACTAGCGCTATAAAGAATGCGGGCTAGAGTCAATTTAGCCAATTGAATCCTGCTTATACAGATTTGATGTTAGAATACCCGGGTATATCATGCTCATGATTTTATTCTGCACCGTTGGTGTGTCACGTAATCCTCCATTTTCCGCATCACATCAACGGTTCCGGGGTTAAGAGAAAAGGCAAAAACGCGAGTACTATCGTGGGAAATGGTAGCAGCAGCAATGTATCACTGCTTTTTTTCTTTCTTTTTCTTTTCCCTAGAAATAGGAAAAGGGCAACCAACACCATCAGCCGGTCTCACCTAGGCTCTCTCTATAGGTGTAGATGTGGTATGCCATCAGGATAGCGACAAGCAGATTCTAGCAGACATTTTCTCCAAAGAGCTGTTTGCAAAGCTTGGGAGGTAAAAATTACCGCCCTTGACATGGTCGAGGCTGAGAATTGACCGAGATGGAGAAAATGAAGACAGCATACATATGTCATCAATGTATCTTGATAGGCAGGCGACAATGCAACGTACCCCGCGGGCCACCTCCGCCTGCAATAGACTTTGATACCCCAACAAATCAGATCCCGTAACTAGTGAGCCTTGGGCAGACACACATGATCTGATGGCTGCAATGTATTGTTTGTCGTACGGGAGCCTTGTAAGGCTGAAATCGCCTGGCTAGTTCGCGAACCAGCATACCAGAAAGACCTGTCAGGCTGCGCCTCTTTGTGAACAATCTAAAAACAGGAACCGCCCAGCAATCACAACAGTCGAGAGCGTATCCTTGTTGGACCAAGTCTTGATTCATTGCAGCCTTCATTTTCTCTTTTGGTCTATTCATGTCTAAAATGACAGACGAGAGACGTGGCCCGTCGGAAAATGAGAGGCTTGCAAATGAGATACAACGAGAGTGGTCTTTCAAGATAGCGCGATTCCCCGAAAATGCCATGGAAAGACTGGGAATCGTCAATCTCCTGCTAATCGCCTTAGAGGTCTTGCTGATTGTTTCCAACAATGTCTTACCTCTGGGCCTTTGGAAATCGTTTATTCATGACTCCTCCCACTACCGCGACAGATTCAACAAGGCAGTCTTTGACCAAACTGACGGGAGCATTGATTTCACCAAGATCCAATCCTACCATCTCTGGAAAGGCCTTGTTGTCCCCAGTCTCATCGGAGTCTCTGCCTATGTCATCACCGCCATACTCTACTTGCGACCAGAGCTCTACCAGTGGAAGCCAGATCTTCTTCAACACTATGGACACTTGGTGGCCGAGTCGCGCTTGGGACGTTGGATACCCACCAAATGGCTCAACTATATTTTCAATTTGTACGAACGGAGACACGTGGAGTACATGTCCAACACCATCCAGCCCGCTGATCGCAGACACGTCGCCCTCCAGGATCGCGTCGAGTTTACGAGAGTGGTGCGCCAGGTTGCCATCAATCTACTCATTTCCATCTTTGCCATTTCATTGATGTGGATCGTTCTGCTTCAGGCCGGGGTTGATACACAACACATACTTGTACTCCCCAAGTCCTACGTCCCGCCAGTCCAAGGTCTAGTCTGGTATCTGATCAACGACATGTTTTATTTTTACCCGCACTGGATCGCTCATACAAACCCCCACGAACAGAAGAGGCTACAAATTCCTCAATCGCTCTACAACATCCTGCACAAAAAGTTCAAGGAGTCGCACCGTCTACACCACCGATGCAAAGCCAACATTGGCATCGCAGCTTGGTATTGCTCGGTCGCGGAGCAGATGATATTCAACCTGTTCCCCGCCCTTCTCGGTCCCGTGTTGACGCAGGTGCTCGCCAGGGCAGCCGGCGTCGAGAAGATCTGGGGCACGCATCTCGTCACTCTCTACGTGTGGATCGCAGCCGCAGCGTCCAGCTCGGTCATGGCTCACAGTGGATACAGATCCATCTGGAACGACCCGGGCAGCCATGACCTACACCACGAACGGGCGTTTAATCCCAAGACGGCGTGCAATTTTGGCACCTTGGGGGTGTTTGACTGGCTGCATGGCACTGCCGACAAGCTCCCGGCCGAAGAAACGCGCAAGTGGCAAGGTCAACGCGATCGGCAGGCTGCCCTGAACAAGGCGGCCAAGAGATCTGGAATCGAGCTGACAAAGGAGCAGAAATCGATCATTACACAGCCAGTCCATGACCAGGACTGGGTTCGTAAAGATGTCTGATTTAAATGCTACGCTCTTTCACACTGGTATTTATTTCGATAATTACCAAGCGATACGGGCCTTGACTTGGATAGGGAGGGAGGGAGGAAAGGGAGGGAGGAAAAGGAGGGGGTTTGAAAAACAAAAAGGAAAAAAAGGAGAGAGAAGGAAACTTGGGGAATCGAACAAAAAGACTGGGGGAGGGCGGACCCAGCCAGGGAGAGAGTTAGAAATACAAGATTTCTAGGCGCGGAGCGAGTACCACTACACCATTGTGACCTGTGGTTTGTTGGTTGTTGAAAGCGAATGCTTTGATTCGGGTTATAAAGGCAGAATCTTTTGACAGGACACAAATTGTCACTTCATATTTTTTGTCCAAGCCTCAGGAATCCAATGTGTGGCGGCAGCTTTATGGTTTGGAGGCGACAAGGCTTGTTGGACGCTACGAGTAAATCGTACGAGTACGAACGTGGAAAGACGATGGCACTGCATTTGCACTGTAAAGGACCGAATAGAAGATGGCGGACTGTGAACTTTATCGTGTCCTTTGGCGATGGTGCATCAAGCATTGCTCATCAGCCTCTCTTTCCAGCAGCTCTGCCAAATAGTACTTCAAGTTCGATTGAGATCGTTCGACTCAATTCATTGCATACAATTACATGTAATCACAACATACCTTCTAGCTTATGGTACCACCCTAGGTAATGTATCCAAGTAAAGTCCTCAGGGGTATGAGCGCCGTTGCCGGTCGCAGACATTGTGGCATTTAATGTCTGCCTGGATCAACTTTAGTGGCTCCCTTCAGCGTCAAATTTTCCACTTGATGACATGGCCGTACTCTAAAACTCACTGCCATGTCAACGATGTCGCCGCCCTCCCTGCCCGGATGCGAACGACTGATTGAGCGCAGGTCTGACAATAAAATGCCAGGGCCGAGTTGCGCGCTGTCCCATGCATATGGAGAGAGTCTGATCAATGTCGAGTCTGTAAGAGAGTTTGGCACGCTGCAGATCCTATCTTCGCTTTGCCACAATTATAACTGCTCGTACAACTCCAGATGCGACAAAGAACTTCAAGACTTTTTGAAAAACTCGATATCTCGTTAGTGCGATCCCATAAGTAGACAGGCTCTCGGCTTGACGGTCAATGAAATCGACAAGGCCACGAAAGACATGAGGCGTGACGTCTCGGGTCTCGATCAGTTCCGGATCAAAGCCTGCTCCAACAAGCTGGGCTCGATACTCGGCCAATGGTAGAAACGTGCCCCACGGGCACTGAGATGCGACGCCGATTGCCTGTGCGATGAGCCGCTGCGCCGGCGTGGCCTTATCGCTGAGGAGAAGATCAAAGGCCATGATCGAGGCATCGAGTTCCGCAGCCGCGTAGCGAAAGAGGGGGATACGCGACGGCTTGAAGTGGTAGAAGCTATCCAGTCCTAGGACCCAGCGCTCAATATTACACCCGCTTTCTGGGCCAGCAGCGTAGAGTGAATCGCTGAGCTCCATGACGAGGGCTGTGCAGCGTCGGCCAAGGATATCTCAATCGAAGCAACACCAGCTTTGGATTCAAGTTCATTGTCTTTGAGTCTTGTTGCGATGTTGACTTGTGCTTGGACATTTGTCAAACCAACATAGTGGAGATTTCTACCTGCGCTGCCGAGGAGCTGCACAAGGGATTTGGTCTGATCTCCGCACCCAATGCCAAGATCGAGTACTGCCACATCGGTTTTCGCCCGCCGGGTACCGGCAGTTGGCGGCAGCAGCCCAGCTGTGCTCAAGACTTCCTCAAGCAACCTCTGGCATGCTTCATCAAACTGATGGATTAGAGCATTGTCTGTGGTTTTCCTGCGTCACCCAATCAGAAACAGATGGACTAGTTGCGGGAAGCACAGATGCCAGAGGTCCAAGTTGGCCAGCTTTTTCGGACTGAACTAGAAGACATACCAATATCCCATATTCATCCACATGGACGTGGGCGGCAAGCGAATATTGAGCTTCCAGTGATCAACATTATAAATATCAGATCGCCGAAAGCTAAGTGCAACAGAGGCAATGACAAGCAAGGCTGTCCCGAAACCAATCGCAAAGCAGGTCAAGTCGCGAAATGTTGACCCTGGGGCCGCCAGAGCAGAAGAGGACATCACGTTGAAACGTCTTATACCGCCGAGTATATGATTATACACAAGTACTTGGTCGATTGGAAACTTTTTGAAACCAGATCCGTGCTGCCATCTATGATCTCAGTCAACTAGGGACATTGAATCGAGCCAATGAGGTCTTCGTCACATGTCAGCGCACAGTCTTCTGGGGCGTGTTCATTGGGGAGAGTTCGCGACAGTGGATGCACCTTTGCCCCTTTTCGAATTTATTGTTCCATTCTTTTCTCCATTTCGTCGTTATGCTCCGGCTAATTCGTTTTCCACTTTGGGCAAGTATACCGTTGGTGATCGCGCAACACTAGCTGGAATCTAACGAATCGCCAGCAAGTCTGGGCAATTAGCGACTCCGCATCTGGCACCTCGGCCCTGAAAGGTTTTTAACGATGTGGAATTGAAACAGAAAAATTAAGACCAGGCGGGATAGAGAAACAGTCCGCAGCCCGGGCACGGTTGGGGTGTCCATGAATTGCATTAACTCCAACCGCGATCTATAGCATGAACAAACTTTCTCCCATTTAATAGACTTTTATACGCCGGAAAAGAGGTGACCTATATATGTGCTCGCCATGGGGCCCCGTCCCTCCAACTCACAGACGCCAGTCGCAGTCGTCGGCACTGGCTTAGCTGGTCTCGTAACAGCTTATCTTCTTCACAATGACCCACTCCAACGATTCCACGTTACCCTATTTGAAAAGGTGAGATCTTGAAGGATCAATAAGCTCTTGAAATCCCCTATATTCGCAGGCCTGAGCCACCCATATGAACTTCTTCTTGGCTTGGATCTATTTCAAAACTGACATGCTGTCCAGCAAGATCAAATTTCTTTAAGCGCTGCGTCGGTGACGCTCGAGGATAGCCATGGCCGCCGCGACATTGTCGACGTGCCCGTGCGCGCCTTTGCGCCCGGCTATTATCGCAACCTGAAGGCCATGTTTGATTTCTTTCGTGTCCCATACGAAGCGCAAAAGTTTTTGTATGCCTTTTCCAGTACATCGCCACGCAAGGGCGACACGCCGCCCTACTATATCCATTCGTCCAATCTGCACCGCTGGCCGTCCCGTCCAGAGGGGACATCATTCTTCAGCATGTTGGGACAAATTGTGTATCTGGGACTCTGCTTGCTGTGGTTGACGTTATGCTGCGCACTCGTGACCCCGCAGCGCGATGAGAGCCTCGAGGCATATCTCCAACGAACTCGCATTCCCGAGGGGTTCACCAAGCATTATCTCCTCCCCCTTATTTCAAGTGTGGCGACCTGCTCGCATCAAGAACTCTTGCGCTTTCCGGCTCAGGATTTCGTAACGTATAGGAATCAAATACTCGGGAGCCAGCATTTTTGCCTGGCCAATGGCATTCAGGATGTGCAGCAGAAGTTGATTGCAGGAATCGACGTCCGGCTGGCAACCGAGGTGGGCAAAGTTACGCCAACCGACGGGCAAGTGAGACTCCACTGGCGGACTCGAGGCAAGGATGGAACGGAAAAGAGCGGCAGTCGGGACTTTGCAAACGTGGTGATTGCGACTTCGCCCGATGTTGTTGGGTGGCTGGTTCCGCATTTGGGAGACATCATGGCCAAGATGCCCACCACTCAGGTCAAGACGTGCGTTTTGCAGCCCACGGGAGCCCGGGCAAAGCTTTCAGTGGTGAAGAATGTTTCGAATGTGCCCGAAATAAGGACGGAGCGACGTGCGAACCGGGCTGTTACCGGTACTCATCTCATTGCTCTCAAGACGCACACCGAGTCTCCTGCGTGGACAGAGGCGCACCAGCTCTCCCCGAGCGGCGCCTGTGTCGCGGTCAATGCGCCGGACGAGGAAGATCGATCAACTGCTGTCTTGGCCAGGTCTCAATTTGTACGAACTTTGCGGACAGTCGAGAGTCGGGGATTGACGAACCGTTTATTTGGCGAAATGGTGCAGAAAATGGGCGAGCCCGTCGAACCGGGCTGGACCAACGGAACTGATGGTATTTGGCTTGCCGGATCTTGGTGTTGGGATGGAATGGTTCTGTTGGAGGGTTGTGTTGTCTCTGCTGCGAGGATTGCGACCCAGCTCGGCGTTGAGATTCCTTGGTAGGTTCATTGCGTCTCCGTACGACGGCTGGGTACATTGGAGGATCTAAGAAGTGGCGGCTTATAATTATTGAATATTTGAATATGTGACAGACAATGGCAATCTGCCGAAGTTTGACGTCTTGTATAAATGTCCAGTACGTGCCGTTGAAATAGTGTCAAGAGTATCGAAATGTCCCAAGGTAGGTATTGTCCCCTAAGAAAATACTATATTCGACTTGATATCCAAATCCCAATAGTCGTCCCAAGAACGTGGGATGATTGCATGGGTGTGACTAAGCAAGGAGTTGAATTTGCAGCTCTACCATTGGATGGCAGATGGCATCCAGCACGTACTATGATATGACAGGTACGGAGGTCGCTCCGAAAGTTCACGGACAGCTCTCAGTGGGGCCAATGACTTTCGGGAATGACATCCGTACAGTGATTGCCCAACCGTTCGGCAATACCCGCGCGCTTCTTACGATCAACTCCACACTTTGCACGCGGTAGGTTGACGACATGTCAAGTTTATATCAGACTAATAGTTAGCTTTTCTACACTGCGGACTCAATATCGCGTCTTGCGACCTCAATCAGGTTTGTATACCCTATGGCACCGCTGTTATACTCATTCATCGTCACCGATTGAGCATGCGGGGGATATGAGGATATGTGGAAGGCGATCAGGTCACAAGATGGGATGGCTTCGCGTGAGGAATATCCTGCCAGCGAAATTGGTATCGTCCACTCAAAATTATGTACATAGATACCAACTGGGGGTTTGATCAAGTGAGTTGGGGTTGATGGGTAACCGCGGGTTTGAAGGAGTCAAGATGTTGTGCGATAACGAGAAGAATTTCATCAATGCGGTATTATGCCAACATATTACATGTAAGATGTATAAACCTCTTTCGCATACATTTTTAGATATATTTATATACTTGATTCGTCGAAGAGGACTATGCTTTGCACATAACGGTCTCGTTACGCGGAGCTACAAAGCGGTCTTGATCTAACATTCAAGCCACTAGTTATATGGAGTATTGACTAACAGTGTTCCAGTGACATACATTGTTGACTTTTGTATTCATTCAATTTATGCATATTCATATAGCTCATAACGGCTGGAAGTTTATGTCTCGCTCCAACCCAGGACTTGCTTTATGCTCAGCCGCAATATATGTTTGAAATCACCACACCATACATGCCGGAAAGAAAATTGCTTCTCAGATCGAGAAATCGCGATCAAAACTGCAAGATAAATGAAGAAGACGGATGTTGTTGGCAAGAAATTTGAGCAAGCATGTTGGCAGCCCGGAACAATCCCGCATTATGCAGGCGACATGTTGGTGTTAGAGCCCGCATTTCCGACCGCAAGTAGCAGCGCGTAGGACTATTCAGCGGCGCCTAGATTGTTGGAACGCGTATTTTGACGCGATTTTGTACAAGTGAGATGCTTCTACTTCGCGACCGAGCGCGTTGGTAGGCAACTGCTGTAAGAACAACCCCCGTATTTGTTAGTCTCCAGGTTCTGGATCTCCTCTCAAGGCAAACCCCTGATCAGAAATTTTTTCTTTCGCGACTAGATTATGAGCTGTCGACTCTGCATCACTTCGCGCACGGGTAAGCTTGCACGTTAGATAGCCGCAGGACCTAGGGCCGGTCCGGTTCAGGGGGTCGAGTTCGGATCGACATGAATTTTGACATTGTACAACTAGAACAACGTTTTGCTTCAATGAAAAGCTTTTCCAACGCTTGGTAGGGGGGGATTATTCACTTATAAGCAGGGCGTAGCTAGGTACAGTAGTCGGATTCAGTGTGCGTTGTTAATGCCAGGGGTTAAGGTGTCCCTTCATTCCGGAAGGGGCGAAATCTTTTATTTCCGCTGCTACTTTCGTACTCGGCAAACCCACTGATTCCAGAAAAATCTTTCATAATGATGATAGACTCCTCGGATATTCGAGACTGCCAGGCGAGCCAGGTAACAGACATAGCAAGGAGTGCGGAAGTCAAACAGACATTGCTCGCAGGCAATTACTAGGGTCTGCTGCCGATCCACACTCATAATGACAGCGGATCGATTCCCCGTTGCTTCAACACAAGGAACTGTGCAAACAGCAGATACTCCAAATGCCACATAGAGTCGGGTTTCTGATGCCAATTACCTCGAAAGCTTGGCCGAATTGGTAGTGTCCCGCCGACGCCCATGTCTTCTACCAATGAGCTTACAGCTCCGCAGTGAAAACACACAAAGTGTGAAACAAGGCGTTCTGTTTTGCCGCCTGCCCACGCTTTCCATAAGGCAACCAAGTTCGCCATTTCCGTAATTTCTTGCAGGAGTTCCCCTTATACCCATGTCTTTCAATGGAGACCCTCTACACGCCAAGATGACGTCTGAAGCCAGTGAGTTTCTGACGGGAAGGCGATCTTTTGTTTCGTCGCGTGAGGCAATCGCCAAGTCTCTGCCCGATTTTGGCGGTGAGTGAGACGATAGCAGCATGACTGATCCCGCCTTTGGCTGAAAGCCCGCTGATCTAGGTATGCACGAAATACACACGCCGTAATCAGGGAGCAATAACAACATTATACCCCTTGCTATAGATGCTTTCATATCCCGTACAGACTAGCATCCTCCCAAGCCGCTTTGAACTAGAGACTTCCAACCGAAATCAGGCCCATATTTGCTACAAACTCTGAGTCTTGTCGGAGCAAGGGCTCATCTCATTTGTACGTTATTTAGAAATGGCTAGAATGTGACAGAATGGAGCTTTCACTCGAATGTACCCCAGCCAGCGCCCAGGTTCCGGGAGTGAGTTCCGGGTTGACATTTGGGCGGGCTCGCATGGATGTCTGATCACAAATCTTCGCTATCCAGACCGAAGCCTAGAGTCTCACCTCCACCGCCTCGTTCGTCGACAGAGAGCCATTCAAACTGGTTGGACATATCCTCGCCCGGAGCAGGATAATTTTATTCCTCTGTTGATGTTGATATGTAGCCGGAAGCTTGCTTCCCTGGGGCCACGAGAGCCACTCGCCCTTTGAACGCTGTCACATACACATGGATCGTCCGGAAAAAGAAAAGAAAAAGGCGTTCAGCAGGGCCCTCCAAGCATACCGAAGGACCTCCAAACACAAGGTTTCTCAGGAATCGCGACCGGCTTCGTTCTGACCCTGCATCAATTCAAGCGCCACTAAGGGGAGAGCGTTGCAATCAATGATCAAGGGTGCTGCATACATGAGTTCTCAGGTACGTTAAAAAAAAAAAGTTGAACCAGGAGGAAAGCTTCTGCAAATAAAATCAGTAAAAGGCACAACGAAGCGTCTGAGCGTACATGGGCTCGGCGCCTTGTTTGATTTTATTTTATTTTATTTTATTCTTTTTTCTTTCGTCTGCTCCGCTCATTGCCTGGGCATGGGGACCATGCTAGTCCACCGAACTTTTCAAGCCAGTCTTCGATGTGTGTAACAGTATATTCTTGCTAGCCGATTCTAACCTTGATGGAAACCTCGAGGAGGGAATTTCCCACCTCTCCACTCCCAACCAAGCAAAGAAAAGAGGTGTATTGTGGCTGAACCTTCTTGAGTGCTACGGCGATTGCGAACATTTCTTATCACCATCTTTCATTGGACGAATAGCGCTTAGTATCATTGTTTCTGCCACCAATTCTATCAATTTTCACTACATGAAGGCCTGTCGTCCATGCCATTGAACCATCATTTGAACCCTTCGCTACATGAGAGCCACGCTTTCGAAACACAGATCATGTTCGGACTTTACCACCTTGCTTCTTCTTCCCCTTCTTGGGCTTGTCTGAAGAACTTCCATTCTTGTGTTGTTGCTTTTGAGAATCCTTCTTCCGTGGAACTTGAGAGATGGCCCCTCCTGGTGGCATGTTCGTGGTCGGGTTACGTACAGATCGTGGTGATCTTTCGTCGCGTGGTGCAACCACGATCCCCTTCTTGCTGATAAATAAAGTTCAGTGTGAGTTTGATGAAGATTGAACTCGACTTGCTTGAAGTACCTTTCTTTGCCGGAGCTACAGCAGTTCAGAATTTCCATCTTTTCTATCACGTAGTATAACAGAGACAGAAAGAGGAGGGGTTGATGGAGGGATAGATAGATCAATTGATCCACGAGATCTTCGATGAAAAATTGGGAACAAGAGCAAGCAACGAGTAGAGCTTGGGGGAGAAAAATCACTGATGAAAATTTGGAAGTTCCTACATCGGCATTTTATAGTAGAAGTAGCCCATGGAAGCTCTAAACACGCCCGTCGAGGCCGTATACGGTCTTTTCTGGGACGGGGCCTTTACACGCCATCGACCCCCGGCCGACAGACGCCCGGTCGCTATGTATTACCCACCAGCATGGACAATAACTTTCCTTTTGGCACATCTTACCATGAGAACTAGACCAAATTGCCTATATCCACACGTACCTAGTGCTCAAGAGACGTGCAAGAAAAACGAACGACGCGTTTCCAGCATCATTTCGCGTTGTCGCCCCCATAGGCTTTGGTCGGTCCATCCAGTCGTCTCAATCGCAGCTAGGCCCAGCAGGCGGGGTCTGCTGGCTGTGAACGCCAGCCAACCCGGGTGCCTGACAACTTTGTTTGCCGCGTCCCCAATCTGTTGCGATCTTGAAAACTTCTGGATGCTCATTGCCTCCAAACAGTCGGTGAGGATACAGATTCACCACTCTGGAGACTTTTCAAACCTCGTGGCTGAACGTTCTATGCGACGACGCTTCCGGCGGTGACGCTGCTGCGATGAGGATTCAGCACTCTCGGTGCACTTCGGTGGCCTTTTCGTCGTCCTTCTCTTCCTCTTTCCCTCCAAAGTCGTGGTATCTTCCAATTGGCAGAACTCTGAAAGATGGAATCTTTCACTGCTTTCCCCAAAGAATCTTCAGGTAAACTTGCTCGGACCCTGCGCTTGACGACAATGCTAACATAGAAAGCAGTGCCGCTGCCTTTCGAGCAGATCCTCCGACATTGCCGCATCGACTGATAACAGATTCCAACCGCTGTCATTTCAATGCTATTGACTCGTTCTGCTTCGCGGCGAATTAAGATCGCGATCGAGCACACCCGTACCAAGCGACCCCTTCGCCGACAGCCTGATCAATGGGACAGGCGTGCCTGTGAACCATGAGGATCGAGGGCGGGATCTAGCATCCTCATAAGAACCCACCTTGACCACAATCATTTTGATATCCGTGCAACAGGTAATATATATCACAATAGCATGGCATCAGCTTCGACAGACCTCAGACTGTTCACGTGACATTTCCGGGCAAGACCCCGGGATATTGAGGCAGACGGAGCGGCAGAGGCTGCCGTTATACGTCGCTTAGCGCACATGCAACCGCGGCCCGGGGCTCGTACAGGTGGTCGAAATACCGAATCCTGCAGCGCTAGACACCTGCCAATGCCATGCGCTGCCCACCTCCCCATGCTGGGCAAGGGGTACCTACTACCCATGACATAGGGAAGCCGGGCCGACAAGCTGTTGGGCGTTATTCGTTTTCCGGGCAGCACAGGCTATGTATGCAGTGTACTTGAAGCATGACATGGATGGAGTCAAGCAATACCGGTTGTCTGGTTCTGTGAGGTCAAACATACCTCACCAGCCTACTTTGATCATTGATAGCTCTATCGTCCAAAACGAAACAGCATTCAATTCGATTGCACTGATTATGTGCCTGAGTACCCGTAAAGGTATGAAGCCTAGGCATGTTACTCCAGTGCGAGCTGAATCATGACTTGAGTGGACACTGGGGCAACGGAATCGTGGCATACCTTCTTTGTGGTGGGGAGATGGTTAGAGCCTGGTGGACCTTGGGGCACTGATCTGAGTCCTGACGATGTTTTGGGGGTAGAAAGCTTGGAAGATGGCAGTCTCCACAATCCGACGATGTGCTCCTCCATCACAACCCGCCTTTGTTCCCGCGCACACGTCTTCACTTGCTAAGGATAACATGTGAATATGTCCGAATGTCTTGTGCGCATTGGCATGAGTCTTTACTGTCTACTTTACTTTTATCGTGGACATACATACTATCTCCCCCCCACGAAACAACACTCATCGATGGGACTCGATATTACTTTGGGCAGGGATAGGTTGGGCACAGGGGCGTAAATGAAGCTTGCAGAGACGCTGCGATCTGTACAGTACTTCGTACTCCATGCAAAGACAGATGTCGCACCCACGAGACCATTTGTACCCTGCAATGTCTCGAGCCTCGCATGCCTCGCGGTCAAGAACAACATCTGGGAATACCACTCAGCTTCGTCGCTATACTCTGTAAGACTGTCCTATGCGCCGTCGGATATGTACAAATTTTCTTTGTATAGTTGATAGCCGCCGGGCCCGCTCGTGTCATGTAGGAATGCATCAGCTTGTGGCTTATCTCACTGTCCCCGCACCGGGAATGGCAGCAGAAATGAAGGTGGCCACTACAATCGTGATTGTCCCATTTATCGAGCCTTTGGAGCATGGTGACGTTTGCTGGCGACAGGGGTGCCATTTTGCAAATGAACTTGGTGGGTTCATGGAGCACGGCAATAGAAGATAGAGATAATTTACTACCATCTATAATTCCCTTTAGTGACTGAACTTTTTATTACAATAGCTTTCTGATTACGGTCAGTCAATACACACTCTCCTGCTGGTTCTTGCGATGTTATCAAACCAAGCTGCGGTTACTATCACCACAAGGTATGCCAAATATGTTCGTGACATCGAGTACAGCCCAACTCATTTCTTGCCGCCTCCAATGCAGTAAGGCTGCCCTCGCAAAACTCTGGAAATAACTATTGGATGCGACATACACCAAATATAGCACGAGCAGTCTTGCAATTGGTTCCGATAGTATGGACCGTCGTGGCGGGCCGCTGCAACCTCTCTCATTCTCGGTTGCTCCTTGCAGTGAGTAAGAGGGTCTCATCACCCAATTGCACTACATCTGACCACGAGCGTCATGTCGCTCAACCCCTCAGCGATGGAGTCGCTACACCCTCTCTCCGCAAAACAGCGTCAAGATCATCTTGAGCCGTGAACTCGCATAGCAGACCGGTGTGGCCTGGTTTTGCTCATTGTAAACCATGCTATATTCGCCTGATTGTGACAGACCACATGATTAATGGTGCGGCTTCGCGTTGGACATAAAAGAGCAACAATGTGGTCCAAATTTTGCATACTCAGCACATCACATTCCATAATCTTATGAACACGGACATAACACCATGAATCAAGCAGGCCTCGCCGAGCAAGGTGCAATCCCTCTGCCATCCATTCCAGCACAAGAAACAAGCCAACGTGAGCTATTGTCGTCCTCTCCAACCGTCCCCAGTGTTTCGGAAGAGCATACCTCTACCACAATCCCTGCTCCAAGAACTGGTAGGCCTGAGAACTTACGCTTTCTCCCGTCGATCAACTGACTGAAGTATGACAGAGAATCAAGGAAACACAATCAGTCAGACGAGCCAATCAGGCGCTCCATCAACGCAGCAGGGTAAGGCTATCAATTATTCTCTCGAAGTCTTATCACCTAATGTGTTTCATCAGGTGCTAAACCGCCAATTGGCTGGCCGACCATAGCTGCCAAACAATCCAGGCAGTATAATACGGGCAACTTGCGAAAGTTTGACGTATTGAACCGAAGAGTCCTTGTGGACGACCAGACCAAAATATGGGCTCTGGAGAAGATTCTGCATGAAAAAGATAATGAGGACGCACAACATAATTTGGACGGGCTGACAAAACTGCCTTTCAATCCAGCAGATCTCGTTCATACAGGCTGTGTCGCGGCTCATCAACATCTGCATCTTCGTTCAACGCAATCCTCCTCTCGTGCCAGTAGCGAGCAGTCGGAACAATCAGATGAAGAATTCTCGAGGCAGCCATCGGAGCAAGCTTCGAGCCAGACCTCGGGATCTTCTTCTCCATATTCGTGTCCCCAATACACAAAAGATCAAGTCATGGAAGCACTGTCCTACAGATTGACAAAGTACTGTATGAATTGCCATATACCCTTCCAGACCTTGAGGACCCGCTTGACAATTGCTAACTACAAAGACTTGCTCATGATTCTGTCCAGACACGTCGAAAGTCTGCCAAGAGTTAGTAGCTACTCTTACAAGAATTTCGAAAGCTTTGTTGGAAAAGATTCTCTGGAAGGCGATGCTTGGAAGGCCCTGATGGACGAAGAGGAGGACTTCATTACGACAAGAAAAGACATGGTGCACGAGAAATTCGAGTGGCTCATGCATGGACAGCCGAGATTTGGGCTTGATGTAAGCCATCCAATTACCAAATCCTCCAGCTTTCTCCCATCCACCATTACTCAAAAACTAAACTCATTTCAGAAAATCTTCATGGCAATATTCCGACAGAAGGGGAACTCTACGGATTCTGATGACAAGAATAAATACGTCAGTCCCAAGAAACTGGAAATCTTTACCAAGATCATCATTGGGCTGTTCTGCATGGGGATGCTGGTGGGCCCGGTCGGGATACTGTTGCTCGTGCCGCTTACCGACGCGCAGTCTTTTGGCCTCGTCGTTGGTTTCAGCAGCGTCGTCGTGTTTGGACTCAGCGGCCTGGACAGCTTCTACGCGACCCTGGTAGCGTTTAGCACATACACGGCTGTTTTGGTCACGTCGCTTTCAAACCTGTACCAGGCTCGAATTCATTGAAGAGGACTGTCACATTTCTTTCCGGCAAGGATCGAAACGACCAGGGAGTCAACATTTACACTTCTGTATTCTACTTGAAGTATCGGTTGCGCTTACAAAGTCATTCATTAATCAATTCAGGACCTCAACTGGAGGGTACGGAGCACCAGAGAGCAAACTGTTGAAAAACCGCGATTTAAGCCTTATACGCTTACTCCTTTGTGGCTATAATAAGAAAGTTATTAAATTATGATATTAAAAAAAATTTCAATTTTCTCTCTTTTTTCTTTATTTCTTTTCTTATCTTCTTTCTCTTTTTCTTTTTTGTTGAAAAATCCCAAAAGGGGGGGGGAGGCAAAGGGGGGTGGGTTTTTGCTGCTATAAATAGAGTGATTTTATCCAAATCTTGGTTTTTCAACAGTTTGCCCTCTGGGCATCCGTAGGAGGGTTGGTTTGTTTGCAAATGACGGTCGATCGTCATGACCACCGAACCTCATGCCCAGGAATTCGTTGTTGCATAGGACTAGAAAATCTATTAACTCAGGCACACCTATCTGTTCAAATGCACGTCTATGACTCTTGTAGATCCCACAACGTCTTGAACAAGCCCCCATTTTCCAGTAATGCAGTTGGAGATCCCACTTCGGCCACCTTGCCGTCCTTGAGCACAACGATCTTGTCAAAGTCTGCCACTGTCCTCAAGCGGTGCGCAACCACAATCGTTGTCCAGTTCGCAAACTCCTTTCTCAACAGGCCTTGAATGACTTCGTCCGTTTGGTGATCCAGGCTGCAAGTTCATAGTTAGCAAACACGTCGTCTGAGCAGCAGATGCATGTCCCAGTGCAGACTTACCTGCTCGTCGCCTCGTCAAGCAGCAACACGCGGCTTTGCCTCAGCATGGACCTCGCTAAACAAAACAACTGCTTTTGTCCGGCGCTCAGCCAGTCGGCATTAAAGTCGGCGTCAAGGCCCCCTTTGTCCTGTATAACCGAGAGCAGCCCAGTCTTTTCCAAGGCAGCCAGGAGTTCATCATCTTCCACGCCAGATGCCGGATCTAGGTTATAGCGCACCGTTCCCGAGAGCAGCAATGGATCCTGAGGCAGGGTCACGAGTCTCTCGCGTAGTGTGTCAATTTCCAGCGTGGACGTTTCGATACCATCGATGGTCATGGTGCCTCCCATCGGCTCGTACAAGCGGAGCAAGAGGGCGAGTAGTGTCGACTTGCCACTTCCAGTGCGTCCACATATTGCGACCTTTTCACCAGGATTAATATCCAGATCAATCCCATCCAGGACGGTATGTTCGCCAAATTTGGCGCTGAGCTGAGAAATGGATATGGCACCTTGACTGGGCCATTGTGGAGGTGGCTCGTCTGTGCCTTCTTTTTCTCGTGCAGTCTCTTCCGTGTACTCTCTAATACGAGTAATTGCGCCTAGTGATGTTTCCAACTCTGTCCAAAAAATGATGACTTGCGACATTGTCATTCCGAAGCTGCTCAAATTTGTCAATGCAACGCCCAAGAGTCCAGGCTCGACTCTATCCCTGAGACCGACGGAGAGTCCCACCAGCAATACCCCCAAGCCGGCAACGGTCAGCTCGAGCACCATCGTAAGCCATCTCTGAACACAATAAAGGAGATAGAAGGGGCGCTGCGACGTGTCCAGGTGCTGAATGTGCTCATTATACGACTTTTCAGACCATGAAAACGCTCGAATCGTGGTGAGTCCGGCAAAGGATGAGATGAAAAAAGAGTAGACTGGCGACTTGGTCTCGAGGTCCAGCAGACGAAGCTGCCGTAATGTTCTGAGATAGAATTTCTGTATGAAGAACAGTATCACGCCGAGAAATGGTACAACGACAGCAAGGTAGCCCGAGGAAACGCAAGTCAATATGATTTCGCCAACAGCCGCCACAAACACTAGGTTATAGCATCAGTTTGCCATCCTGTTATCGTATGTCAAGCATAACTCACTTTCAGAAGTCTGCATCATGGCGATTGGCAGGGGAAAGTCAACGAGCGTCATGTCCTGACTGAACCTATTGACCAGCTGTCCAACGTCGGTCGAGACAAAGTATGACATGGGCGCACTGCAAAAGGTGGTTCAGTCTGAAGTTGGGTGAGTATTAGCCGAGTTGGACTTACTGCATTGTAACCTCGAGTATCGCCCAGTGCAGCTGTTTAGCAGACCTGGGAATAATGCGAAGCAAGAAGAGTCTAATCAAATGCAAATTAGTGATCAAGAATTCGTTGTCATTGTTCAACTTTTTCAGTAAGTCTCACGCAAATTGAGTCATCATTCCCGCAATGTTCAATACACAGAGCAGAACGTATATACCGATCCACTTCGCTGGATCCTCTCTAGGGTTTCTGGCATTGGCGGCAGTCCAAAAGTTGAGCCATAGTGCTACGGGCCGTTAGCGAATAATCTTCCTCTTCAAGGTAGGAACTTACGTTGAATGATGCGACATGCTGTTTGAAAGACAATCAGAGAACAGAATACGATAAAGGTAGTACTCATGAGCGAGCGCAGATAGTAAGGCAAAGAGCTGTTGACTTTGCCCCTCTGCTTTTCCTCTGCTGTGGCAGAAGCCTCCTTGTTGCTAGGCATCAACTGAAGTTTCTCGTGGGTCTCCAAGTCGGGTACTTCTTTGGTTTCTTCAAGTGACTCGGCTTTTGTTGGAATGTCGTTTTCGTCCTCACTTTCCTCGTCGGAGCTATTTCGAAACTGAAGACTGCGAATATAGTCATCTGATTCTCTGAGCGTTTCAAATGTCCCGTAATTCTCAAGTGTTCCACCTTCGCTCAGTACAATGAGTCTATCGGCATGGGGAAACCATTGCGCTTTATGTCATGGTTAGCGAGCATCATTACATCAAAGCCGAAGGTCTTGCATACCGTTATGTGTAGCCATGATTACCGTGGTACCTCTTGTTCTCAACAAACCATTTCTCCCCAGTAAGGCAGAAAAACACTTGCTCGAGGTATCAGCGTCAAGGCCTTTCATGGTGTCATCGAGAATGACCAGTTTCTTGCCACTGTAAACAGCTCTTGCTAGGGCCTGGATTCTTGTCAGTACTGCATGTCTTGAGCAATGTTCGATGCGACACTGACAATTCTTTGCTTTTGTCCGCCGCTCAGTGAGATCCCTTGAGTTCCGACCAAGGAGAGATCGCCTTCGGGCAAGTGACTCAGATCTTCGTCAAGTTGACATGCAGTCAGGACTTTCTTGTAGAATTCTTCCCTGTAATCAGAAAATCCTACTATGTTTTGTCGAATGGGAAGATTTAGGATCCACGCGTCTTGGTCACAGTAGGCGATATTATCCTGACCCGCAACATCAATGGTGCCGCCGAGAAGATATGTCTCTCCGAGGATGCTCTTCAACAAAGTCGATTTTCCTGAAGCGACCGGTCCCACCACCAAAGTTAGTGATGAAGACAGGATTTCGGTATTGATATTGTGAATCGTGGCATTGTCCTTGTCCTCGGCCCATCCGAATGTGGCGTTTTTCAAACTAATAATAGCTGCATCTGGCTTCTGGGAGTCTGGTGGCGCGCTACCGTCTCTGGTGACTGTACGTTTCCCAGTCCGATATTCTGATCTCTTCTCAAGGAGAAGGAAGGCTTGGATTCGATCCAAACAAGCCAGCGATTGAGCAATTTGACCGAGAGATGTGACCAGCAGTGCCACTTTGCGGAAATGACGGAATTAGAACACAATCAATGTGAGTATACAGTGAAGATTACACACCTGGCATCATAAGAATACTGAGTAGACTCAAAGAGGTGAATGCTTGGGTAATTCCGAGTGTGCTCCCGGAGATTTTCGCGACAATCGCGTAGACGGTAAAGGTCACGGCAGAAATTGAGAATATGGGCAGCATATCTGCACAGATGTCAGCAGTTTCATTGAGCCATAAGCCAGCCGAATATACTAACTCATGGCAATGAGGAAAATCTGTAGCTGGCGGAACTTCTTGGACTCTGCTAACTCGAACTCTCTCAAGCTTTGTATTTGCTTTGCGAGCGCTCTGCTCAAGCCCAGCATTTTAACCCCCTTCATGGTACCGAGAATGTCGGAAGTAATGCCGACACGCTTTTGGATCGCGGCAATCCACGCCTTCTGGCGGACGGGCACCGCTATGAATGAGATTCAGTGCATTATTCAATGGTACCCATTGCCTCGGGGATCAAATAGGCAAGACTTACACTTGGCAATAGCCCCAGCGCCCAATGCGGACAGCAGAGCAACGACCAACGGGGCCACGCAGACGGCGCCGAGTTGTATCCCAAGAATATAAAGCCCAATTCCCACCTGTACCACATTCGGCACGAGGTCGACCAGCCAACGGCCAGTCTGGCAGATTCGATCCACATCCGTGCTCATCAGCGTCAGCGCCATGGACGAGTTGTTGCTCTGAGCTCGCACGTTGAGCATATCTCGATAGATGATTCCCACCAAAGCGCCACGCACTTTTACCATGAGTCGATAAACGAGAAAGTTGAATATTTGATCTGAGATCTGCAGAATGGGTTTAGTCTACCAAAGAATAAAAACGGTTCTGGGGGAGGCAAAACGGACCGCTATGCCGGTATAAACAATACCCCAAGCTCCAATCAACCCATATCCGTAGCTCGGAGGTAGATTTTGATGATTCATAATATAGTTTAGAGTAGTTTGAACTAGAAAGGGCTTGGCCATGGTGAATGCTATGTGAAACGAGCGAGGAATCCAAGAAATCAGCATCTCCATGCCAAAGTTGGAGATGACGGCAAGAGACAAGCAATGTTTCCGCGATTTCTTTGCTGCAAGGAGTCAGTCTAAAAGTTCCGACCATAGAAAGTGTGATTCTCACCCCCATTCCATGTATTCTGAAAGGCTTGTGTTAGATCAGCACCGCTCAAATCCTGGTCGAGGGGAAACAAATCATCGAGAGCTAGATTCTTCCTGTAGCCGGTAAGCAGGAGAGGATTTAGCCAAGACAATAGTGCACGACCAAACATGCCCGATCTCTCGAGCGGTGTTGCGGTCGACTTTTCACTGGCATGTCGGTGCTTTGGTATGGATTCCAGCGCCAGAATGACAAGCTTCAGAAGCAACACGACTGTCATTAACGAGGCCGTTATGGTGTTATCATCAATCAACCACTGAGTCCGTACACGGGCTAGATCGAGCAAAGCCGTAGAGAAGAAATAGAATTGGTTGATCATGGAAGGTCGAATGATCAGATTATGTTCCAGGTCTGAGAGAACCGCTAAACTCAGGGTCGCGACCAGTGCGCAAACCCGTTCGGGCAGTGTAAGGCGAGTATGCGAACCATGACTCCAAATGGCGGCGAGTGCAAGTTGAAATATGACGAGAAGCAGGAAACTGGTCTGATCTGGTGTAAGTCTTGTTTTCTAGATGACTGCGACGGTCGAGTGGCTAACCAATTTCAATGCGCGTGCCAATGACCAACTGATGACTTTTGACCTTTTAAATATGGTAGACGCGCGATATGCGCAGACGATAATGGCGATGACAGACGGAATCAGGCTGAAAATGCAATCTTCAAATAACAGAGTAAAATCAAAATTGTGACAGTCAGGTCCGGGTCCCAGCGCGGGACCAAAATCCTCGTCTTTGCATCTCTTCATGAAGAGCAGAATTGCCGGTCGTTGGCGTTGATACTCTCTTGACCACTGAAGATTATGATCAAGCTAGTCTGAAGTTTGAGTTACCCTGTTGTGTATATACATGTAGACAGAACAAGTAAGAAATCTCGTATGTACCTTGTATCCGAATGGTCCAGTCCCGAAGCCGACTCTCGACCTCTAATCGGCAGGAGCCTGGTCAAGATTGCAGGGATCTTTCAGAAGCTCTTGCTGATATATAATCAAGACCGTCTTTTAGATTCAAGGGGCCATTAAGGCAGCCATTTACGGTATCAGGCATCCCATCATTCATGAATGTGTCCAGGCCTTTCACTACTCCGCTTCAACATTATCCCGTATTACTTACTCGCGGGGCAAGACCGATTACCCCAGACCGTGGTTACACACACAAGTCATTTGCTCCAAAATATCGAGGCAGGCAAGGTCTTTTTTTTTTTTTTTTTTTCCCTTTTTGCCGCCTTGGAAAGTTATTCGCTTCCACCGCACACGTCATATACTAGTACAGTTATGCTTCGTGTCACAATAAAAGCGCACTTGCTTGTAATTTTTCCTCAGCTGATGTCCTTTCTTCATTGTGAAGCCAAGCCTTGACCGCCAGTATCAGAAGTGCATTGCAACTCCGTGGCCTAAGCACCGAACTCCGGTCGGAATTGGAATGCAGCGCTAACACCGCATGTGGTGAGTATACTTCCTGTTAGAAAGGAATAGCGGCACCCTCCTATCGTCCAATCAATAGAACACCAGAGGTGAAAACACAATTCCCCTGAATTCAAATTCCACTTTTGAAATGCTGTGGCGGCTTCATCGTCAAGAAAGGAAAAGATATTCTCGGTCGGTTTCCTGAGTCTTGCATTTGGCTACCATCTCTTTCTCCTTTGTCCATTTGAAGTTTAAGAAGTGAGACAAACCCTTTGTCTCACTGAGCAAAACATGTGTGCAGCTCAAAAGTCCGTTTTCATTGCAAAGGGACAAAGCAAACCAGATAGAACAATCGGTGTCTCTCTACTTAAGTCGCCATAATTTATCATGATGACAATGTCTCCATCTGCATATCTGATAGTATCCCTGGTTGGTTGCTCTAATCGCGCTGATTTTGGAAAGAGAATATTTTTCTTTATTGCAACGGAACTCATTGCGTCACGTAGCAAAAAGTTGTAGACAAGCGAACGCCTATACGTAGCTAGTACAAGACTTATCCCGACGTACACCATCATGGCTTCGTATGAGGAGATGATCACCAGCAGTCCGATCGACGAAGCTCCTTACGTGGAAGAGGATGACATGGTGGAAGACGACGAGGTCCGCCGAGACGGCATGCAAGAGTACGAGCATGACCCCGAGCGCGAGGTCTGGGGGACGCACGAGGATGTGAATGAATACAACCCCGGCGGTTTCCACCCCGTACACATTGGCGACGTGATCCACGGCCGTTTCGAGGTCCTGCACAAGCTCGGCCAGGGAGGCTTTGGCATGGTCTGGCTGTGCCACGACCGGGACACCGAGACCTGGAGAGCGCTCAAGATTCTCTCGGCATCGCAGACGGAAAAGTCTAAGGAGCCGGCTGTTATTGCGCACTTGACCAAGCACCATACGCCAGAGAAGCTCCAAGAAAGCCATATTCTCATGCCGCTTGAAGTCTTTCAGATCGAAGGGCCGAATGGTAGGCATATCTGCCAAGTCCTCAGGGTAATGGGCTACTCGGTCAGGGAGTGGCGGCAGCAGTCGGACGAGGAAGAGGACAAGTCTGGAGTGAAAATGAGAAACATGTGTCACCAGATTGCGCAGGGCACAGCCCTGCTGCACTCTGTCGGTGTAGTGCACGGAGATCTCAGACCCTCCAATATTCTCATGGAACTGGACCAGAAGACCCTGAACAACCTCTCCAAAGACGAGCTGCTGACCCTGGTGGACGAGGAACCCACGACCATTCCAGTTTTCACAAAGAATGGAGAAGACTGTGGAGCTCATGCTCCTCGCTACACGGTCGCGCCCATATACAAGCCGTGGTTTGAGACGCTCCTCCTAGAAAAGGTTGCGATTGGTGACTTTGGCGAGTCCTTTCGCATCACTGATCCCGAAAAGACCACCGGCATCCCGTTAGAGTATGCCGCCCCCGAGATCCTGCTCCCGGGCAAGGCGGGTCTTGGTAGCGATATTTGGTCCCTAGCATGTACACTGTACGAGACACGTACCGGCAAGCCGCTTCTCGGCTCCGAGGAATGGAATGGCGCACGCTTCGGGACGCTCGTGCATGACATTGAGGCTCTCCTCGGACCGCTACCAGAGCCTTTCCGCACTCGGTGGGAGGAGAGTGACTACATTCAACCCGATGTCCTCGAAGTACCAAAGAGTGAGAAAGATCTATTCGCCCTCGACAATCAACCGGGCATCCGGCCGGTGACCTGCACCCCGTCTCAGCTAGGCCTGGCAAAAAGGATCCGCTTGTCGGGCACCCCGTACACTGACGTCTTCTGTGGTCTGCTCGGAAAGCAGCGAGGAGACTACGAGAGGCATTACCTTGACGAAGAGGAGTTGGAGCAGATGGAGGCTGATGGTGTAGACATGGAGGAGTTCTACGAAAAGTGCAGACGGGAGGCGGCAGAACAAGGTTACAAGTACACGGAACAGGAAATATTGGCCCTCGGAGGTCTTCTTGGCCAAATGGTCAAGTATGAGAGCGACGCACGACTCGCTGCCAGTTTGGTGCTTCAACATCAATGGTTCAAAGATGTTGCTACGCCTCCACCAAAGCCGCTGGAGGATACAGCGCCGCAACCTGATACAGGCGCTGAGGAGCCAGTAATCGGACAGAATCCGCGCCCTCTCCAGTATCAGCAAGTTTCTGTTCTTCTGGGCGTTTTCGGCGTGCTTCTATCTCTGTCGTGTTGTGTTGCTTACGGTCTTATAAGATCAGACACCGGCATATTCAACGTAGTTTGGAAAGGGCTGAAAAGTGGGCAAAATGTCGAATGTACCTGTTGGACATCGGATTAATTTGAGGTCCCAATACTAGGTAGTCATCATGTGCTGCCTCATTAATTGAATTTTTTTGTTTTTCAAAAATCCATGAATGATGTTTTCTCAAGTGTGATGTTACATCATGACAAGGCTGCATTGTCTTTTATTGGCCGTTCTTCGGGCTTTATCTTGGTGAATAAAAAAAAAAAAAAAAAAAAAAGTGCCTCTATCCAGAACGTCAATCTCTAGCTGACGACGGCCTTCCTTTGTGCAATTGCTTTGTGACAGTTCATTGACAACGCATGAAAGCAAAGCCCGCGTATAATAAGTTGGTAATCATGCAATTCAAGTGTGCTGAATCAATGACTTCTTCGAATCGTAAAGTAAAAGTATACAGTATATCGCAACATGGGACGCTTCCAAATTTCTTGGATACCGGGGATGAGGCTAGGCCCGGGCGGGTGTCATGATGAAGCATTATTACTACGCTTAAGAAGCAACGTATACAGGCGCACAACTGGAACTGGAGATTTGGATGACCCTAAAGTAAGTCAATCATGATTAGAGACGTCTTGCAAATACTCATGTTGACACTCCCATAGATAGTTTGGCTCAGCAGACCAGAGAGATTTGGACTAGACAACCTTGAGAGCATCTTGAGAGGCGAAGCCCGTAGATACAGGCTGCCTTATGTTTGGGTTATGTTGGTTCTTGTTACCTACTCTTGCTACATCTGTAGGTAGCTTTGACTAACTGCGAATTTAGGATGGGTGTACATAATCAATCTACCACGAAAAAGACTTTTAAAATAGACGCTGGCAGAGTCGTCCGCGAAATGTCCGACGACGACTATCACGTCACAGTTCGCATGGGCATCGACGAAGAGACGTGTAACGTACATGGCCATTTGTATTTAAATCGGAAAAAGACGATGGTCAAGGATCCAGTCACTGGGGACACCGTAGAGAAGAGGTACTCGACACGACTTGCTACAGAGGAAGAACGGACATACGTCGGCGGCCGGCCACGGCACCTATGGATATGGGGCTATTATGATCCCGACTGGCCACGTGAAGGCCCCCGTCTTCCAGATCCTCCTTTTAAGAAGAAGCCTCACTATCGTGGCGGGGAAAGCAGACACAGAAGAAGAACAATTTCGAGGCGGCGAGAGCGAGTATAGAAAGAAATGGCCAGATATATGTTTTACTGAGCCAAGTTTGCCATGCGCATATTGGATGTCGAGATTTATAGATAGAATTGGGCACCGCCAGAATATTTGTAAATTTTGGTATTAATTCCTACAGCCATGCGGTGTTATCATGACTAAATCTAGTAATACTACAATTACTTGCATGCGACAATTCGGATATTTATCTGACATTGTTTCAATCTTGTCCATCATCATCATTTCCGCCGCCATAGTCTTCATTCATATCCGGCATCCAGCCCTTTGGACGCTCGTTGCCACGGACGGTGACACCATAGCCAACACGCTCCACCTTGCGCACCTGCTCAATCATGACATCCTTCTTCTTGCGATAGTTGCGATCGTTTAGCTGCACGAGCTGCAGCATACTAGAGACATCCTGAAGATCGCCGAGAATGTTTCTGGGTGCAGAGGCCTCGTCGCCATCCGTCATGGCCGAATCCTCATCAGTGCTCGACTTTTCGGCCACAGGTCCGGTGGGGATGGCGCCGGTAAGAGCCGTGACAGTAGTGGCGAAGCGCATCATCTCTCCCGTAAGGTCAAAGATTCCGTAAATGTAGTCGGCGGCTGTAAAGGGAATGTTGACATCGCCCAGCGCCTCCTGGGTGGTCTTTGGGGAAATGAGACTCTGGTGCTCAAGGTAGTAGGCAAAGGAGATGGCCTCGACAAACTCCTCTAGGCAGATGAGATTGTAGCGGTACCGCCGGATGCCAGACACATCGTCTACAATGGTCGACAGCATCGACTTGATCTCTGCCAAACGTTCCTCGTTTTCCTTGGTGATGTTGGGAGGAATGGGTTGGCCAAGCTTGCGGACTCTGGAGGGAAATCAATTATTATGAAGTCATTAAAATATTGTAAATTTCTTCTTGTTTACCTCTGTAGGGAAAATATGCTGAAACGCGCACGTCAGCAAGATTGTACATCAACTCTTGAATGCAGATTCTTACATCTTCTTGCTTAGGGCGGTGACATCCCGTGAGACCTTGACAATCTTCTCACGGCGGTCATGGTGCTTGTCGAGCTCATTGCGGAAGCCCTCAAACATGGACGTGTACTCGTTGCGGGGTGCATCACGGACAGGGAGGTCCTTTTTGTTGCCCTTGTAATCTCTCTTGACTCCCGGCATTCTGTTTCCCTGTTGTCCCGCTGCGCTCGACTTTTTGTCACTGGATTCAGACATGATCACTTCATTGTCTTGGCCCAGCAAAACGACGATTCTTGAGGTATGGAGACAAACGTGGGTACCAGTGGTGCATCTACCCGGGCGTGTTTGTAGCGGTTTTTTCTGGGGTTTTGCACCACGCCATGAGACGGCGCCACTAAAACTTTGGCCAGGCCTAAAGCTACAGGGGCCAACAGGGGATGATGAATTGGATGAATTGTAGCCACGATTTCAATGTTTTTGCTTGTGGCGGCAGCACAATCATACTTCATCTAAAGCCAATTGTTTCTTGTTGTCTTCAAATCTACTGTTCAATTGACCATCATCTGTCTTGCAAGAAGGTTGGGCCTCCAGAGACTGATACTGCATGGCAGCAGCTTGAACAACCCCTCCTATAACAGTGAGAGGAGGACGTGATACTGCCAAATACACAGACCAGGGAAAACGAGGCTATACAGCTCTGGTAGCTCCAGGAATCATGACGAATCTTATATCGGCTTTCTTTTCCTCGCCGGTGCTCGTCTTTACGGCGGCATTCCTCTTGCGGGCCGTACTACTCGTCTACGGGCTGTGGCAGGACGCCAATTCGCCCTTGAAGTACACTGATATTGACTATCTGGTCTTTACGGACGCGGCGCGGCTGACCTTTGCGCCGCCGTCCCTGTCCTCTTCGGCCTCGTCGCCCTACGCCCGGGAGACGTACCGGTACACGCCCGTGCTGGCCTGGCTACTGTACCCGACGACGCTCCCGGGCGCCTTGTTCTTCTCGTCGGGCAAGATCCTGTTCGCCGCGGCGGATCTGGCGGCGGGCTGGCTGCTGGTGCGGGTGCTGCGGCGGCACGCCGGCCTGGCAACGGGAGCCGCCCTGCGCTACGCCTCCATCTGGCTGCTCAACCCCATGGTGGCGACCATTTCGACGCGCGGAAGTTCCGAGGGTCTGCTGGGCGTGCTGGTCGCCGCCCTGCTGTGTGCCGTGCTCGAACGCCGTGTCACCTTGGCCGCGCTGCTGCTCGGTCTCGGCGTGCACTTCAAGATTTACCCCTTCATATACGCGCCGGCTATCGTGTGGTGGATGGACGCCGAACGGGTGCCGTCGTCGAGTGCTCCTTCTTCGGCGGCGTCATTCATCAGCCGTTTCATCACGCCCGCCCGTCTCCGCCTCGCCCTCATCAGCTTGGCCACGTTTGCTGCTCTGAACCTCTGGATGTACGCCCTCTACGGGCAAGACTTTCTCCAGCACACATTCCTACACCACGTGACACGTATCGACCATCGACACAACTTTAGTCCGTATAACATCTTGCTCTACCTCGCATCAGCGCAGCCGCACTTGGTGGGCGGGCCGAGTGCCGCGACGACGACCTCGGTGGATTTCCTTGGGCTCAAGATTGAGAGTGTGGCCTTTCTGCCTCAGCTCCTGCTCAGCTGTGTGCTCATCCCCCTCGTTGGTGCCAAGAAAGACCTGCCGACCACGATGCTGGCGCAGACATTTGCCTTTGTGACTTTCAACAAGGTGTGCACAAGTCAGGTATGATATGTAATCCCGAACCCCAATCCCCGCATCCTCTATCTTTTGCTAATTACTATATCTTTTGCCTTAGTATTTTCTCTGGTACATGATTTTTCTACCGCTTTACCTGCCCAACTCCTCACTCATCCAACGACCCGCCTTCGGTATCACGGCTCTTGCGCTATGGATCGTGACACAGGGACTCTGGTTACAGCAGGGCTACAATTTAGAGTTTCTTGGTCAGTCCACATTTGTTCCTGGTCTTTTCAATGCATCTCTGGGCTTCTTTTTGGTCAACTGTTGGATATTAGGTATCATTATTGGAGATCTGGATCGACCGAGGCCGGTTGCAGAATCAAGTAGCACAGATGGCTCCAAATAGAGATATTCTGGACTGTGCTCTGGCCAAGACTTGGTGGAGACAGGTTCTATCATTCCAAGTCTCAGTAACGCGGTTAGGAAACATGTCGAGTAATATAAAACTCATATGAAATCTGATCGATTTGTCTACCAAAGTTGAGATTTGATACGACAGTCCACCCTTATTTTGGTCGCAGTGTCTTCTTGTTTCGTCTGCTTCTTCCGCGATGATACTAACTCGCAGAGACATGCGACGGAACTTGGCAATTTACACAAAATCTACCGACAAGGCGCAGGCACTGCGGTGTCACAGTAGATGTTCCATGACGAATGATGACTCCTTCCTGACTTCAACCGTGTCCCTCCATGAACACCTGACGCGATTATGCTTTCCCATGCAAGATCAACTACAAAAACTTCGGTCGTCAAAAACTCCTTCCATGTGAATTAGGTGGGTGCCCTCTTCAGAGGGTATTCGCGAGTGCGTGCCATCCTCTAAACGCCTCAAATTTTGCAATCAAAAATACCATGAACGCCATGCCGTAGTGTATGTGGTTCCAAACAAAAGAAATTCGTGATCTGCTGCGAGCTTTAGAGCAGCCAATGTGATCGGTATAGTGGCTTCTACGAAGCTTTTGCCCAGCTGGTGAAGATCAAGCTGGAAGTGTGTCGTATAGTCTCGACGGGGTAATCTAGGAGGTCCCTATACTATAGTGATACCCCCTGTCAGTAGGGCGTAGTTTGCCAGCTTAAGAGAAAGAACTCTCGACTTGGGGAAGTCGGGACTGATAACAAGACGGTTCTCCTTGTTGTAGCCGACCTCGCCAAAACTTTCGGCCATTGCCTCGAAACGTGCATCTGGTCTGACGCGGTTGAGCTCTGCTATAATCTGGTCGCTCCAAACACCTGAGCACCAGCCATCCTTGATGACAAAGTAGGGGTTCAAGGGGGGCACGGGTGAATCTGGTAAATATGTTAATATATACATATTAGGATTAAAGCAGAGCGTGCTTGACATACCTAGATCCACGTATCGGATCCGCAGAAGATTCACCTGCTTCAGGCGTTGCAAGCAGCGAATTCCCCCAAGTACGAGCTGCTCAAAGGCATTGATAAAGTGCATGTCCGTGATGCCGGAACCAGACTCATTCCACTGCGCATTCTGGCGACAGCAATTCTTGACCGTGATATCAATCGTCTTCAGTCGAGTTGTGCGGGGGTTGGAGTACTTTGCCAGCATATCGAAAAATGTGTGGCATACCCGACCCGTATACGACAGGTGCTCCAAGGAACTTGCTGCCTTGGCCAGCTTTTCACACCAGTGCAGCTGTTCGCAAACTTTGAGATAGTAGGCAGGGCACGTCATCTCGCGACGGTAATCCGTTTCAAGGCTCAGGTTCAGCTTGGTAATTTTGGACTCCAGCATGTCCAGAGTGCCAGCCATGCTGAGATAGCTCTTTGACTTGGGCTTGGCATAGGTGCCGTGCCATTCCTCAAGATTCGGGAGTGCCTTTGAAATCTGCTCCCAGTCCTTTGGCTGGCGGATAATGTTCCACTGGCTCTTGATGATCAGGGTTCGTATCGTGCTGATCTTTGGTAGCTCTCGAGGTTTCCACTGGGGGCATGGTAACGTGAATTTGACCTTTGGCGCCTTCTTGCGCTCACCTCCTTCAAGGGTCATGACCTGCACGGCAGGAAACGTGTTGCCCACGGTAAAGAATACCTCCTCAAGACTAGCGTTATCTGTGGGCAGTCCATACTGAGCACTAGAAATGCCCTCGGGAGAGACGGTTGGCAAAGCCAGCGATGAGTTCGTTGGAAAGCTGGTGTTGAATTTTGGCTGAAAAACCGGGAACCAAATCTCGATGTGCTTGACCAACTCTCTCAGATGGGTGTTCAAGGTGAAGAACTCTGCAACTTCATTAAAGCCATTGATGGTGGCCTTCACCTTGATGTGACGAAAGAGCCGGGCCTGAACTAGATCTCTCCAAAGTGGCGTAACCAGCGCCAAGTTTGACAGCTCCTTTCTTCTCGAATGCCGCAGAGCCGTACTCCAACTTCTTGCATTTACACTAGGAATGCTTAGTGAGCTGGGCGATGTTGTTGATACTCGGTAGCCAAAGAGGTGATCAAGAATGCATTCGTGGATCTCGGCAGGCAGTGCGTTTAGCGTCTGAAGTGGTTGTTGATCATCCGCGGCCGAGTTCGGGAACGGGCTCATGACCATGGAATCGTCGTGGCAATCCTGGCAGTCGGGCTGGCAATGCAGGCATCGAATATCGGTCTGTCCCTGCTGCGCATTGGGAAATGGTGTACTGCTCGGCCTAGTCGGTGGCACAAAGTCCTGCGGCTTCGCCTGCTCCAGCGGTGGACTGGTAGGACCTGGTGTAACTGGAGTTGACGTCGTTGTCATTATAGCAGCCAATTCTGTAGTCGCGGAGCCCTCGTGGTCCTCGTCCTCATCGTCGCCGTCTACCGAGAGGTCTCTCTGCAGATAAGCATTGGTCCGCGGCATGTGAAGGCTATGCGAGTGCGCCTCTGCGGCGCCAGAGAAGATCCCTTCATGGTCGTCATCAGCTTCGAAGATGTCGGAACTCCGCTTGCCCATGATAACCGTCGCCATCGGCTGCTTCAGTTATGTGCCTCCAGAGTTGATGGCTCGCTTCGCATGACAGGGCAGAACGGCGATCGGGACAGGCAGGTGGGGCACGCGAAGATGACTGCGAGACTTTTTTCTTCTTCTTCTAGGCAAATGACTTCGATGGCGTATATGCTGATCCTAATCGCTGTTTTTTCTCGTCAACGTATGCGCCTTGCAGTGGCTGTCAGTGTCGGATGGGTCGCCGTTTGTCGATCGCCGTCGGGTTGCCGGTGAGACGATGATTAGATTGGTCGCGTGTAATCCAATCTACCTAGGGAATGTCACAAGCAGTTGTTGCGTCGGTGGGCGGATGCGGTGAGAGACAAAGATCCGGTGGTTTGAAGGGACAGATGGAATGAAAATGGATATTGTTGAGAGCTTCAGTTCAAATGTCTTTTCTCAAGATGGGCAAAAAAAAAGGCGCTGTCGGGATTTTTGGGTATCGAGAAAAATGCTGGGTTTGGTAGGAGATCAATGCGTGTACCAGAAAGTCAAAGTAGTCGTAGTCGCAGCAGCACTTGGTCACAAAGTGAATGAATGAGAGGGCGTGAGAGAAAAAGCGAGTGGTAATTTCGTAGGTTGCGAGATCCCAGTTCTTGCCTCACTGAAGAAAGAGAGAGAGAAAAAAAATAAAATGTCGCCTGGACGACCCGATTGTTCGATTGTTGGATTGTTCCCAGCAGTACGAGAGCCGAGGAGCGGGAGGGAAAGACGGTGTTGATTCAGCAAGCACACGAACGAACTCGTCTAGGTTTGGGCTGGCCAAGCCTTGGATCGATGGGTAGATGAGATGGGATGGAATTTGGGATTTGGGGGGGTGGGTGGGTTGGAATACACAGTTCAGCGGCAGAAATTCATTCTTGCTTTAGATTGGGAAGGGGAGGGGTCCTTGATTACATTATTAGGCACTTGACGAGGCTTCATATTTTCTGGCTTGTAATCTTTCTTTCCTTCCTTCTTGTCCGCTGCTGGAAACAAACCAGAGCGCAGGGAAACCAGGGCTGTCTGTCCACCCATCCGTCCCAATCCATCCATCTCGCTGGCTGGTTGGCTGGCTGCCAACGAAGGCTCTCTTCCCTCATGCAGCCCAGGAAATGCCCATGATTATTACCACGCAGTCGGCGGTCGGCTTTTGATGGATGCATGGCGGTGGCATTGAATGGTAACGAAGACCAAAGCGCCGGGTCACAGGTATGGAGCCACAGTGGATGTGATTTAACTTACAATTCTGCACGCTCATATGATCGTGCTGACAAGGCAGATGTAACAAGTCGTGCACTATCAGATCCCTGGGTATTTTCCCTGCGGCATTGTTATCATGATGGAGTACAGGTACTTTGGAGCTACCAGAGCCAAAAACTCTCGGGTCCAGGCAAAAGAGACAGAGAAACACACCGACCGACCCTGGCTGCGACGGGGTGGAGTGACGACTGGACTGTCCTTGGTGTGTGCTCAGGCTCCAAAGGGCAAGCCTCCCCCCTCCCAACTATCTGAGGGTCTCGATCGAATCGATGGGCGAGTCAGAACGCGCTGGTAACATGGTCGACTTACTCAAACGTCACCTAATTAATGCAAAAGTCCAAACAACCATTACGCTGAATTTCTCTTTAGATTTGTGACACCGGCATAGCCGCCTGGCGTACATAATGTATGCTGCAGGGTGAGGGTTCTTTGCCTTTGCCTCTGTACGCACGCACACGTTCCCGCTCTTGCTCTCACTCACATCACCTAGGTTAGTTAGTTCGTTGGATGTGCCCAGGGTTCTCTCTCTCTCTGCATTGCAGCCAAAGAAATGCCATTTGGTTTTGGCAAGGCAGATTGGCAAATTGCCATGTTATTCCTACCGGCCCCCAATGCAATGCGCACATGCTCGGAAGACAGAACTTCAAAATATGCTTACTTCTTCACAAACATACGTACCTACAGAGTCAACCCTTCATCCTGCTTCTCTCTCCGAGATTTTGGGTTTTGCTAGAAGCCTTCTTTCAACTTGACTTGAGCCCAAATTGGACAACCAACTGAACTGTCATGAAAGGGTGGAGGCAGCGCCTCGGCACCACTTGCATTTGAGAAATGGGGCCAAACGTCTTTGCTGGCACCAGCTAAGGCCCAGATCCAGCTTTATCAAAAGTCTTGCCAACGCCTCATGACCAGCGCATTAGTCGCGAGATCCCATAGCTGTGTAGCAGAACCCATCGACTACTGCGGGTTTGCGGCCGTCGCCACCCAATTGTTTATACCTTTACCTACCTACACAGCAATTCTGCGTGCCTGCGTGCCCAATCCGGAAAGCAAAACTCAGTGGTATCCAATTCTTATGCAGTTCCGCAACCCGTTTCGGAGGCGAAAAAGACGGGATGATTTCCGCTAGAGATTGGACATCGTCTGGCATTCGCGCAGTTGTCTATTGTCGATGTTGGTTATGTCGGTAGTTATGCATTATGAGGCTTGGCTTTGTAAACTTTTTGAAGATGAGATTGAGAAGTCAATCGACTCAAGAATCAGTTGAGATAAATCCGGCCTCTAGTACTGTGGCTCTTCTGCAATTTGGGGCTGAGACATTGTATCTCTGTCGGATGTCACCTGAAGGATTATCGCAACCATAATGGCGATGGGGCAACGCCAGCGCAGAAAGAAAGCCAGCGACAGAGCAAGTGCTGTCGCAAGAAGAAATTGAACCACAAAAGGTTGCATACCTGCTTATCATCTTGTCTGGTGTCGTCCACACAAAGTCACGCTTTGCAAACGACGTGACCTTGCGGCGGGAGACGTTCTGTAATTCATATGCTATGCGTGACCATCCCATCATTTACACCCTAATGTTGTCATCATGGCTCCAAGTGCATGCATGCTTCGCTCTTTGAGATGGTATCAAGTTCATACTGGACGCACTCCTAGTCATCAATTCCAAAGATGGAAGGCATGTTCAAAGAGCCATCGGCCCGGCTTCGAATAGATATCAACAATTCACGTTTGCGACCCATTCCGTAGTCATAAAAGTAGCGTCCGGATTTAGACATGGGCAAGCTTTTGTGAGTATGGGATATATTGCGGCTCCTCCACATGAGGCTCTGGGCACTTTGGATGCTTTGGCTTCCGGTGTGGAGATGATGACCAGCCAAGCCATTGTACAAGCGAGCTCCCGTCTTGGTGCAAAAGCACGTGGTTATGTAATAACACAACGATGCCATATTGTAGAACCAGACAGGCAAAAATAGTACTTTTTCAGCCGATTATTTCTTTCTGGATCGAAAAAGAGGTAATGTTGGTCGCACAAATGGTAGATCAAAATGGCGGACATTTGCCAAGCGCGTCCGTATCTGCAAAAACTGCATACCATCACATCGCCTCGGTACGTATGGGCAAATAAGCACATGGATCAAATTTGGACAAGAATCACAATTTGACAATACTTATGAAAATAAGAAAAATTGAAATGTCACACCAAAGCTAAACTAGCGCGCTGAATAATAGTACAAGGCCACAAATCTGAAGTTATTGGATGCTTTCATGGCATGTTTATTATTACCCATGGAAATGATGTATCAAGTACAAAGTGAAAAAAAAAAAAAAAAAAAGGTCGACATGCCAAACACAGCTTATGCGTTCATATTCCGGCTGGCAGCTGTCATTCAACGCCCTTCCCCAGACCATTTGATCAATGCAGAAAAACATGCTCTTGATACTTTTTCGTTCGTCTCATTTGCAGACGAGAACCTGCAGATACCCATGAGGGATCTACTTCCGCAATGACTTGCCTATCCTTTGCGTCCTAGCATTCTGTGCTCGGCTGCTTTGAGTTTCAGCATCTTGCCCAATTAGGGGTTGCACCAATCAAAGCTCATCAAAAGTTTGAAACAAGTCCTTGCTATTTGCGGGAGGCCAAAGGAGGCGTGTTTCTGTTTTGTGGATCGCCGGACCCAGAATACTATCATGTACATACCATAATAGCTAGCATCTCCGTTACCCGTACGACTTCATCCTCTCAACTTCGTCCCATGGATCCTAGTGTGTGTTATATAGCACATGGAGTAAGAATTACAGTCTGCGTAGTAGAGAGTGTGCTTGGTACGTAGTCCCCGCCGCCGTCTCTCAGTCCGCACCCTCATTCTCGGCACGCTCGCCGCAATGCACCGGCACATGCTGGCATATGCGCAGATCGGTTGAGCCTCCTCCTCCTCCTCCTCTTCTTCTTTCTAGCGCATTTACCGTACATAGATCAGGTCGAGGCACTTGAGATCCTGTGATCCTGCCTTGCCTTGCCTGCCTGCCTGCCTGCCTGCTTCTGCACAAACGTTCCAGCCAAGACTTTCCAGACGATCATAACCCTCCGACCATGATGCCATTGGCCTGCGCTTTCGTTGATTTCGCGTTCTCGAGCGTCCCAGTCTGGCACTCAGCTGTAACACTCAATGGCTGACCCACGCCCTGTCGTTGTGTTTCCTCATGGTCGACAACCACGCGTACTCGAGTATGGAAGGGTGCCAGCCCTTGGGGGCTGTCTTTGTATGCGCAGGCTTACCTACTTCTTACTTTGCCAAGCTCCTTACCGTTTCCCCCCAGAGGTGATCAGTGCGATCTACTTGTGGCTGCAGTCAGCCAGACGTTGATGCTTGTTCCGAAGTTCTGGTGCAACAGGTGTGTAAGCACTCGTGCCCCCATGACGAGCGACGTCTGTTTATGGGCCAAAATAGCACACTCCGGACTGGGCCGCGTCAACGCGAGGATCTGAAGCAAACCAGGAGGTAATAAACTGCCGCGAGATCTCTCTATTGGCGATATGTTTGTCATCTGACGAAGCAATCTGGGCCCGTCTTGGTAGTATTACAGTAAGGTAGTTGTAGTCACGACAAGGCGTTGCCTGGGGGTTAATGCCCAAGGAGTAAGTCAGTTGGTAGGTACAGAGTATACAGGTAGGAGTTGATCCGGCACTGATGCTGAGGTCTCCCGGAGTCACTCCAGAGAGCAGCATGTCACCAAGAACTCTTTTCGAAATCCGTAAAATATTACGTCTTGTGATGAGATCGATTACCCATCTGATCTTGACTTCGCCTCCGAGGCGTCCCTTCTAGATGGTCCCATAGGCGGGCCATGATATATTGCCTACTATATTCAGCAGGTAATTTCTTCGGACCTTGACCCTGCTACCTCATCTCAGCCATTGCGGCGTGGCTATTCGCTTCTGATTTACCCAGCGACAGACTGCCGCTACCGCTCGCATAGCATTATCCAAATTGCCCTTCCCCATGCAGGCTCTCACATGAGCCAGTCACACAGGCTCTGTCAGAATTAGACTGCTTGTACCTCACAAAACAGGCACGCATTGGTGGATCACGGCGGCGCTGTTGGTTTGACTTGGCGGCAGGGGCTTGCGTGGTTAGCGCTTGGCGGTTACGACGGCCAGCCAGCGGCCAGGGAACCCAGTGCCTGTAGAGGCCTGTAGGGAGGGGACCTGAGGGACCTAAAGGGACCCTCTCTCAACGCTCCGTAACGCTCAATCGGTGCACTTCAGCCAGTGGAACGGCCGCAAAGTCGCAGTCTAAAGGCCCGCCCGCGAGCCGCTATGCAGGTACCCTGGCCATGCACCGGTTTGGTGCCGACGTTGGCCCCCCCTGTTTTCCTAACCAAGCAATATCTCGTCCTCTTGTGTGCGCATCCATTGTCGAGATGGGATATGGGTGGTTTCCTTAAAAGAGGCCGGCAGGTCGCCCCAATGCAGGGGCTTCTTCAATCTTTTTTTCGTTCGTCAGTTCTTCGTCTTTTCGTCCCTTAGTAACAGGAAATTCTTTTTCTCTGTTTCGTTGCTTTCTCTTCGATTCTTGGCCTCTCAGTGGTGTTTATAAATTGCATAGGAGAAACTGTGGTAGGGAACAATCCACGCATTGTTGTTTGCCAGTTTCACTCGATTGTTACAAGTCGGATTCCTACGCATTCCCTATTGTTCACCCTGATTCCTTCTCTTCGTACATCATTCTACTACTACTACTACTACTACTACTACTACTACTACCACTTGAACCACTACGTCTTTGGATTCGGCCACTCTATTGTTTTAACTACAAATTCTCGCCTGGAGCTGGAAGCAGATATCTTTTCTTGGAATACCCGACCTTTAACAACACCATCACTTGGAATAGAAACAACTTCGAGTCTTTCATTATTATTATTTTACTACAGAACAAGAACAGCCCCTGTACTTGATATATCAGTTCAGCTACTCTGTTAGTTCACCGAGAACGAGGACAGAAGAAAGAAAAAGAACAACTGCCCTGAAAGAAAAAAACACGGCTCATATCCGTTCAAAATGGCCCCCAAGCTCAGCACTCTCTTGACATCGCTGCTCGCAGTAGCAGCACCCGTCACCAATGCTCTGGCCATCAACCCCAGATCTACGATCGAGGATGCCGTGGATTCCATCACCGACACTGTCAGCCGGTTTGGAGGAGTTCGTATGATGAACGCCGATGCTACCAACGCCATCGATGGATCATATATCGTTGTTTACAAGAAGAACTGCACAGAAGATGAAGTCAATGCTCACGCACTCGAGATCAAGAACTTTGTCAAGAAGCGAAACGTTGGCAAGCGAGCCCTCGATGGAAGACAACTATCGACCACTGTACGGACGTGGACCATGACGAGCTTGAAGGCTGTTCACTTTGAGACGGCTGACTTTGCCGCCATGAACCTGGGTTCCAACTCCATGATCGATTATGTTGAGCCTGACATGAAGGTCACTACCCTTGCCCTTCAATCTCAGACCAATGCTCCCACCGGTCTGGTGCGTCTGTCACACGCCACAGCGTCGGGCAATGCCACCTCTCAGGGCTATGTATTTGACGACACTGCTGGCAGCGGCATCACTGCTTACATTGTCGACACTGGTATCCTTACCACCCATGATGAATACCAGGGCCGTGCTACCCTGGAGTTCAACGCCGTCAACAACGTGGTAAGTCGAGCTATATATAAATAAGCGTCCTTGATCTATGACTAACCATATACTCCAGGACACTGATGAGAACGGCCATGGCTCTCACGTTGCAGGAACCATCGGAGGCGCCACCTTTGGTGTTGCAAAGAACGTCAGCCTGATTGGAGTCAAGGTTCTCGACGCTGATGGCAGTGGTACCAACTCTGGTGTCATCGACGGCCTAAACTTTGTCGCCTCAGACGCCCAGGCCAAGGGTCTCGGTGGCAAGGCTGTCATGAACATGTCGCTGGGTGGCTCCAAGTCCAATGCTGTCAACTCGGCCGTCGAGGCCATTGCATCAGCTGGCGTTGTCCCCGTCGTTGCCGCCGGAAACGAGGACCAGGATGCCGGCAACACCAGCCCTGCTTCGGCCCCAGATGCCATTACTGTCGGCGCCATCGACCAGACTACTGACCGCAAGGCCAGCTTTAGCAACTTTGGTACAGTCGTCGACATCTTTGCCCCCGGTGTCGATGTTGAGAGTGTTGGCATCACCAGCGATTCTGCCACTGAGACTCTGAGTGGCACCTCGATGGGTAAGCTTTTTTTTCTGTCAACTCACCATATACCGCAAAACTAACATGTTACAGCCTCGCCTCACATTGCTGGTCTTGCAGCCTACCTCATGTCTCTCGAGGGTCTCACTGATGTTACTGCTGTTTCGGACCGCATTAAGGAGCTCGCCAACCTCACTGGCGCTTCCGTCAAGCGCAACGAGGATGACACCACAAACTTGATTGCCAACAACGGCAACCTATAGTCAATCCTTAATCACCAACGATGAAAAATCTTAGCATATCAAGCGCCGTGTCATCTTTACCCAGCAAAAAACAATCGCCCTATCACACTCGCGTCACCATCGACTGCCCGTCATTATCATCATCACAAGAGCGACTCTGAATATCTTTATCGTTACGAAATGGGATTTATATGTTGCTTTTCCGCCATGCTTTGTTGTTTTCGCATAGAGGTTCATCATCATGCATTTGAGGAAGAGAGGTAGCACGCCTCGAAGGAGGAAAGCGAGGGCCCAGATCTAGACGCGGCTGTCAAAGGTGCGAATGTACGAGAGGCGTTTCATGAAGCGAAGTCCATTGGCAGAGAACCTCCAAGCAAACGAGATCATACCGGAAAACTCTACAAAACTATCTTTGTGAATATTTCATTTTAAACCTCCAAGGTAGACTAATATCCAAAAGTACATACTTGTCAACATGCTTTTTCATGTCTTAAATGGGGGTTTCTCCCATTATACTTTGCTGTTGCTTGAACGTGATCCTATATTAGAGACGAATCTCATGCACAATGGCAAAACCCACAATTTCCCATGATACGCAAATAGGGGCTTGAGAACAATTTTCACGCCAATATGTTCAACAAGACAAGAAGACTTTTCCTCCCACATACCGGACATTGTAAACAGTCTGAACGCAGTGAACAAAGCACATCACACGCGATGGGGGGCATGGTTGCCCAAACATGCGAACACGCAAGCAACTTGATACGAGACGACTCTGAAAACACCAGACTGCCCCCATGTTCCAATACACCTTGGCATCATCTTGGCGTTCCCAAAACTTGGATGGGTCCCTTTCCACTAAAACAACGGCCTGTTCTTCTCCACTGAATGTGCGATGTGAGCATTCATAGACTTTTCCCTCACAAAATCGCTCGCTTTTGAGTAATAGTTCTACAACAACAGTTAACCACCAAACCAGTATGAATTTTATAGTCTTTGCAAGCTGTTAGCCCAAACTTTAAAGAAGGTCGCATACAATGCCACGAAAGACTACAGGCAGAGTTTGGAGTACCTGTAATCGAATACGGAGACATGCTCTGTCATGTGTTCATGTGTTGAATATTACACTGAGTGGCTCTTGTACGGGTTACATCAACAGGGCGTCCTCAGTTTTCAAATGACCCTTATGAACGTTTTGTGACATGAGCCATGTCATCACTAGGTTTGAGTTCACTATCGAAGTCGTCCACAGCTCAAGTGCATAATCATTCTTGACTCGTGTCTATGGATGTTATAATAATAATATTTATTGATTCTTTTTTCTTTACTCTGAGGCAGGACCCATGAGTAGGTATATAGTAATTGCTAAGGAGCCCAGTCGGAAAAGCGACTGCTTCGTTGAATATCACTAAAAGTGTCTAAAATATTCACCATCCAACAGTAATGGACATCTTCAGTATGTCCGCGATCCAAGACCTTCAACTCGTTGAAAGTTTCAACGACTTGAATGCCAAGTGCTCACAACCTCGGAAGGTCGGTACTCCTCGCGTTTCATTATCAGCACTTCTCGGCACAACCACAGTCATTGTGAAAGGACTGAATTGTAATTTGACATCCGTGCTAGCAATCCATGTCTGAATGGAACTCTTGATTTCAGAAAGAGTGGTCTGGTCGCATCAATATCACCAGAATGCAATAATGAAAGGGTCAGCAAGAAACAAAACAATAGTCATCACGTACACTCGAGCTTCTCGAGCCCGGCGTACTCGTTATGTATTAAAAGGTATAAGAGCCGCCGCAAGATATTGCGCAGCCACAAGCTGATCGTAAGATTCATACAATGGCGTCCCCGATCAGCAATCTGTTTGCTGTCCATTAATCGGGAGTAGACGTATCCTGTTGCTGGAGAAAATGTAATCCTTACATGTACACGAAGAAGGGGATCGTGAGTTGTAGTTAAGTGGGCAACTATAACTCATCATGACTGCCGAGAACTGTCTTCGCAGCCTCCGTCGCAGAGTTGGGGCTCAGTCGCGATGTCACGTCGTTGAACATCAAATCAAATCTTGCGCCCATGAACCACGCTATTCCGATCTGAGTGACCATAGTTAGTATATCTCCTCATTTAAACGTTTGGGGCGTATCACGAACCATAATACCAGAGATGACCATCAGTATGGCCAGGACTGAGATCACAAGTACGAAACCCTCCCAGGGGTCCGCGACATCTTGATCTTCACCAGCCTTCTGTACCAATGCGACCTTCTTGGGATCTTGCGAAGGGAACAGCGTCTCGATGAATTGTTCAATCTTGCCACAAGCAGAGCTGATCTCCAAGAAGTTGGGGTCTCTGGGATCATTCTTCTTGGCTATCCTCCTGACGTATCTCCTGAAAACATCACATACTATCCTCAAGTTCTGAGTCGACTCCATCATGAGTTGACAAGCATCACCCTTGGTGATTTTGAGGTGGCTGTCAAAGATGGCAGGATTCCTGAAAACCAGCTCAAGCGTTGCGATAGCCATTGTTTGAGGAATCGCGACAAAGTTGAACACACTTTGTTCGCGAATGGCAGCCATGTAAAACAAGCACTCATCAACGTTCCTTAGAGCGTTGAGGACAAGCTCAGAGCTGCATTGCATGGCCTTTTCCCGATTCTCTGGCTTGAAAATGTCTTCCCACTTGTCGACATACTTGCTCCAGACCTCGGTAGGCCACCAACGACGGTCATCTTCAAAGTCCTCGTGAACGTCTCTGATGATGTTGGTCTTCTGCAAGAACTGACCCATGCTCTCGGTAAGTTCAGGGCGGTCTTTCAGTGCCGGGTTTGCCCACTCTCCCTCCAGGAAGAGCCGTGTAAGACCTTCGCCAACCAAGCCGGCAACGTAGTGGCAGTACTCTTCGTATTCAGCGACGGTCTCCACGCCCACGTTGTTCTCAGCCTTGATGGCATAGTCGGCCATTCCGTTGCCCATTTTTACGGTAACGTCCTCAATGATCTCGTAGTAGTTAGGCTTGAGCTTCTTGAGCTCGGTAATGACCACGTCAAAGTGAACGAGCAGTTCCCTGTCCTTCTCATTCGGGCCATTCTCATTGAATGTCCAGCCATCAATCTTCATGAGCTTGTCGAAACCTCGGAGCAGGGGCTCCTTCTTCTCCAAAGGTATCGTCATGTCATCCTCAATGGTATCAAGCCCTCGCAGTACAAGATAAAATAAGGTGATGGGCACCAGCATGTCGGGGTTCAACTCTTGAATGACGGCCGCAAAGCTGCGACTCGTCATGTCAAGGTAGTAGAAGCATTTGGAAAGGGTCTCGCACTCCTTGGAGGGATCTCGACGGTGTACGGGCTCGTGCCAGACCTTCCTGCAGCCAAGGGGTCAGTACAAGATGGAGAGAGCAATTGAGATGTGAGCGCTGGACCTACCATTGTATCATGGACCGAAGTTGATTCGGGTGGAACATATAATAGAGAACGCTCTTTGCTGAAGGCATTTTGAAAAGGCTCTGCACGGAGTGCAAGGGGACCAGCGAGGAGAAAAAAAATTATTAAAAATTGGGAGTAAAGGGGGTGTCGAATCGTCCAAGGATTAGAAAGGTACCTAGGTAGCAGCTCAAGAGCTGCCGAAGGACGTTTGGGTCTGCACAATCAAATAGAAGTCTGGAAGTCCGCCTGCTGTTCCCGACGAAGAATCGCTCTATCTGTGAAACTGAAGTTGCGGTCGAAGGAGAAGAGAATTGTTGAGAATAATCGTGGATGAAATTCGAGTGCGAGCAGCACAGAAGGCGGAGAAAATACCATTAGGCTGTACGTTCTCCGCATTAATTTCCCCTCGCGAAGGCACACGACTGGTGGAAAGCTCGCGGCTAAGCACAATTGAAGCTAGGCGTTAGCAGCTGCCAGGTAGTAGCTGCTAGTAGCTGGCGCGCGTTGTCGGTAGTAGATAGGCCCGGTATGGTAGCTTCATTGCTTGCATCATTCACCGATAGACGCGTCGTCTTCGACACGGTACACAAAACCGAAAAGCTCTACGTGCATCATGGCTCCCATTGATGCACGATGCGCATTGTTTCGCTGAGAAATCTTCATCAAGTGGATGAGACCCAAGAATTGCGGATTTCAGCATGTAGCTAGGCTTCCATCAATGCTTCTAGCGGCACAGGGTGAGGGGACTGTTCCTGCACTCCCTGGTTGGATTTTTGTAGCTTCCCATAATAAGGGCCCTGCCAAAACTGCTGCATCCAGGGGCACACATACCGCGAATCCGGCAAGGTCAGCAAAGATAGGGATGCACTTGACGGAGCGGTGACGCAGCCCAAAGGGAACACTAAAATGATTGGTCAATTCTTGCTGATGATCTTGTTGATCGCCTCTGGGTTGGCGACACGAACAAACCTGAAGAGCTTAAGAACCTGGGTACATGTCCTTCAACTGACATACATTCATACATGGCACATATGTATGTCACCACACTAGGTACCAAACGAAAGAGGGCCGTCGTGCAGCTTATCAGAGATCCGGTCTTTGTAGCTGCAGGTTATGAACCATCCCAGGCTCCAGTTGCCAGCATTGGTCGCGAACAAGACAAGAGATCATATCGAGTTCGGACAATCTGGGGAGCGAGCGGCTTGGTCCACCCAGATTGAACGAGTCTGGGAAAGTTTTTCAAATTGCACCTCGTGAGCAGAGATCGACGTGGCTGGCGCAACAGATAATTTGCTTCCTGATGCACAAAGCAGTTCACTTACAGCCATATTGTCTCAAGCTCATCAATAGCAGAGCCTATCACAAAGGGATTGTGTAACTAGACACCGACCGCCGCCTATGAAGTCGGTGGCACAATGCTGTATCTGCTTTTCTTGGCCGACATGCTGAGCCTGCAGGCAAGCCTTGTTAACACATCAAAACGAATGATATCTCGACTTTGGAAGAGCCATTGGCGCGCAGGCAATAACAAACAGGCTGGAATGAATACATTAGGTGGCAGTATAGTCCCGCCTACCCTTAGTATCTCAGCGCTAGCCAATACAGAATACCCAGGTGCGAACATGGCGCACCTAGATGTGCTAGACGGCCATTGGAGCCGCACGGTTTGAGACTATGGAAGAGGCGCAATCAGATCCGTTCCTCGCAGTGGTCCTCTCGAGTAACGAACGCATTGATCTTGCATATGTAGCACTCTAGGAACACATTTTCTAGGTAATGTAGGGATCGCATGAGAAAGGCAGGTAAGGTTGTCCCACTCTTCGAATCGGGTCAGGTACCGTACCTGTAGGCAATAAATAGGTGGAAGCTTGACGGGTGGGATACGCATCTGGAGACGTTGCTTCGCCCTCCTGCTCCTATTCCCGATTCTTCCTCCTGATCCAAAGAAGACAGCACTTTATTAAATATCCTCCCGTGTGCACCAAACTTTGATAACACAGTTTACGAAAAGCAAAAAAAGTCGAATATATTCAGCCTCGATTTGCCTTCGTAGCCATCAGTCACATCTCAGCTCCTCTGTCGTGCCAGACGTAAGGTTGTCCCTTCAAAGCACCTGCCCCACTCCACCAGCGGCCGACTGAGCGCATGTCTCAGTTCGTGTCTGTCAGGAACGACTAATCGCTGCGCATTTCTATTTCCTCGTCTCTCCCTTCGTGTTCCTTTTACTCTGTGATACTTTTTTGACTCAAGTATATTAGAAGGCTGGTCACTGCCGCCCCTTCTTCTTCTTCTTCTTCTTCTCCTTCTCCACGCTGTCCCTCTCCGTTTGTCATTCTTTTCGAGGTATCTAGCTCACAAGCGACTATTCCCAGTAAATCCGACACAGCTTACGAAGCGCCACCCTAGACCACCAACTCTTCTCACTCGGACGACACGATGGCTACCAACGGAACAACCAACGGAACGTCGCACAACACCTACTTGATCTGGGGCGGTCGGGGATGGATTGCGCAGCATCTTGAGACCCTACTGAAGGGCCAGGGCAAGACTGTCTACACCACAACTGTCCGCATGGAGGATCGCGAGGCAGTCAAGGCCGAGCTCGAGAAGGTCAAGCCCACCCACGTCCTGAACTGCGCTGGTTGCACTGGGCGTCCCAATGTCGACTGGTGTGAGGACCACAAGGAGGAGACCATGCGATCCAATGTTATCGGCACCTTGAACTTGACAGACCTTTGCTCCCAGGCAGGCATACATGTCACAGTTTTTGCCACTGGCTGCATTTACCAATACGACGATGCCCACCCCATTGGTGGCCCAGGTTACAAGGAGACGGACCCTGCAAACTTCAATGGAAGCTTCTACTCAGAGACCAAGGCCCATGTTGAGGAGGTGAGTAACAGCAGCCAAGGTCGAATTGCTAGAGTTTGAATCAATACTTACAAGTGCACTGCGCCTAGGTCATGAAGTACTACAAGAACTGCCTGATCCTCCGTTTGCGAATGCCCGTATCCGACGACCTACACCCGCGCAACTTTGTGACCAAGATCAGCAAGTACGAGCGGGTTGTTGATATCCCCAACAGCAACACAATCCTTACGGACCTTCTCCCAGCCTCCATCCTGATGGCCGACCACAAGGACACAGGCGTCTACAACTTCACGAACCCCGGTGCCATCAGCCACAACGAAGTCTTGTCGCTGTTCAAGGAAATCGTGAGACCACACTTTGCCTGGAAGAACTTTACGTTGGAGGAGCAGTCCAAGGTCATCAAGGCCGGCCGCAGCAACTGCATGCTCGACACCACAAAGCTTGAGAAGAAGCTCAAGGAGTACAACTACTCGGTGCCTGAGATCCACGACGCGTACAGACAGTGCTTTGAGAGAATGAAGGCTAATGGTGTCAACTGATTGTTCACATGTGCTTTGCCTTTTGCAGTCGAGCCAGAGAACCGGCGGGCTGCTTTCATGTCATTCTCAATCTGGTAATTGAGAAGCAATCTCGACATTTCCAAGAATGAAGTATCTATGTTCGAGGCGTTCAGAGTATGGGGTATTTCAAGTACAGCACACAAATATGGTAAAGCCGCTTGTTTGGCTTATATCGAGACTCCAAAATAAAACAAACAAAATACAATCGGTCCCAGTCTAAAAAGTTCCAACGGGCGATCAACGATAGTGGGGCGAAACATTGCCAGTTCAGGGTCCGCCCGCACTTCGTTGTTCTGCCCCGCGTCCGCTGTCAAACTTTGTGACCATACCCGTATTGTACCTAACGTGCCGTACTTTGGCGGTGTAAATTGGCTTGGTCAATTTCCACGATAATTTGAATGTACCAAATTTTTCATGTAGGTTATGGTGTGAAAGTAAGGGGAAGTAAATACGTGACAAATGAGTCTCATAATCAGCTGTATTGATTGACAACAAAGACGTATGCCACTATGAAGCCAGCACATCCAGAAGTCAGTCAGTCTAGAAGAGGATGGATGGCACATCCTAGCACAGCAGCCACGAAGCCTGACGTAATTTCACAGGCTATGCCGTGTTGCCGATCAGGGAACAAGAGAGCGAGGGAGGGACCCGACGCCTCCCAACTCGTAGCATTTGGGCTGAGTCGTAAAATGATCTGCCTGGTGTTAATAATTATAGACACTGGCTTTCGATTTTTTGGATAGAAAATTGAACGAAAAAAAAAGTGAATAGCAAAATTTAAAGGTCTCTTTTGATCAGAGAAGAGCTTTTCTATTCTTTATTCTCCCCATCCTCTTGCACCAGCGTTTTGCAAGGTCAGAAAGTGATTATAAGTCTGACCCGGAGCAACGAACAAGCACCACGTACCAAAAGAGCCCCACGCTTGTGATTGGACTCCCCCGGTCTGCGTCGAAAAATAATTCTGGGCGCCATCGTCATTCCCAAAACACAACTTCTGCTATTTTCTCTTGGGCAGTCAGTTTTTGTCGCCTTGACGACGTAATATTAATCGAACAACACAAAGCGCACACATCACTGAACAAAATGGTTGCGGATACAGCGTACTACGATGCGCTCGGCGTCCAGCCAACTGCGACCGACATCGAGATCAAAAAGGCTTACCGCAAGCTCGCCATCATTCACCACCCGGACAAGAACCCCAACGACCCAACCGCTCACGACAAGTTTCAAGTCATCGGCGAGGCCTACCAGGTTCTCTCAGACAAGGATCTCAGAGCAGCATACGACAAGTATGGAAAGGATAGCGCCAAGCCTAGCGAGGGTTTCGTCGACCCCGCCGAGTTCTTCTCGAGCATCTTTGGCGGCGAGGCCTTTGTCGACTGGATCGGTGAGATCAGCTTGATGAAGGATCTGACTGCCACCATGGATATCACCATGTCCGCCGAAGAGGAAGAAGCGGCCGCTGCTGCTGAGGCCGCCGCCGCCGGCGAGGAAGAGTTTCCCGGCACTGAGGCAGCCAAGCAGGAGAGTGCAAAGGAGGCTGCCGGTGCCGGTACCTCTGCCTCGGGTGCCACGGCGCCCTCTGCCTCGGTCGAAGAAGAAAAGGTCGACCACAAGGCCGAGACTGCTGCTCCTGCTGCCGCCCCTGCTGCCGCACCAGCCCAACCGGCTGCTCACCCCGAGAAGTCGCCCGCCGCCAGCGGCACGTCGACACCCTCCAAGCATGCCATCCCGATCCGGCCCGCACTCGAGTATCGACCCAGTGACGAGGCAGCCGTGGCAGGACAAACAGAAGAGGAGGCCGAGCTACGCAGGAAGGAGAAGAAGAAGGGTGGCCTTTCCAAGGAGCAGCGCGAGCAGCTTGCTGCTTACGAGAAGGAGCGCGCCAAAATTCGCGAAGAACGTATCAACAACCTGACGCAAAAGCTCCTGGACCGTATCTGTGTCTGGACGGAGACGGACATGGGTCCTGATGTTACACACTCCTTCCAAGAGAAGATTCGCATCGAGGTTGAGAATATGAAGATGGAGAGTTTCGGTCTCGATATCCTGCACGCTATTGGCCAGGTGTATGCGAGCAAAGCAACTGCTTTCCTCAAGAGCCAAAAGTTCCTCGGCATTGGCGGCTTCTTTAGCCGGATGAAGGACAAGGGAACTCTGGTCAAGGACACGTGGAATACGATTTCCAGTGCTCTTGATGCTCAGCAGACCATGGAGGAGATGGCTCGCCTAGAACAAGCAGGCGGTGAAGACTGGACAGACGAGAAGAAGGTCGAATACGAGAGACGCGTGACCGGAAAGATCCTGACGGCCGCCTGGAGAGGATCCAAGTTTGAGATCCAGAGTGTACTGAGAGACGTGTGCGACAATGTATTGAACGACAAGAAAGTACCTCTCAAGAAGAGAGTCGACAGAGCCAATGCCCTGATGTTGATTGCAGAGATCGTTTCCAAGGTATGTAACTACCTTTACCACCATGATGACTGACATTTTGCTAATTCTCTGCAGGCCCAACGATCACCCGAAGAGGAAGGCGATTACATGGCCTTTGAGCAGCTTGTGGCAGATGCCGCCATCAAGAAGGACAAGGAGTCCAAGAAGAAGGGCAAGGATAAGGACCACAAGAAGCACGGATCGCACCCCGAGGCTGCCGAAGCGGCCAACCTGCCCCGGGAGACGTCGCAGTCGTAGTCTTTGAGGACGGAGAAAGACACAAGAGATGATACCAGCCATGTACGGCGCCATTACAAGCCACTCAACTTTTCTAAAGAGATGATAGACTAGGGAAGGATGCGAGGGTTGTCAATCATAGAATTTAGCCAGCCCTTAATAATTGTGAAGTTCTTTCAATGTCACGCTTCAAACCTGGTCGACTGCCAAAGACTACGTGATGAGTATCATATAATAGTACAATGGACTGGCAGCCGGCTAAGAAATTGACCAGGCGAGTAGGAGAATTGGAAATCACCAAGTACCAATTTGTGGTTAGTCTCGTAAGCAAATGCAAGATCAATATAGTCTGTATAGAGCTTCTACTAATAAAGGATGAGAGAATCAGCTCTAGAATTGCATAAATTGGAAATACTCATGCTATGCAGGATTCCAGGCCCGGAATTCGGAATCTGACATGTAGATGGTAATTGAAATACCAGAGACCACGATTACTTCGCTTCGACAGGGCTAGTATATTCTTTGACATCAAGTGCAACTTGGAATGGACAAAGATTGTAAATCAAGACCCCTCTTAAACGCGTAGGCAACGCGATTTCCCATGTAGTGTTACCCAGTAGTGGGGTTTTTCTTTCTCCCAAATAGGCAGTATGGGGACTTAAACAGCGCGTCCCAGTGGCCCGACCTGCCTGTGAATTGACCACTCAAACAGACATAAAAGCACTGACGTTTCGCGCCCGCGTTTTTCTGCGGCCCATTTACGCGGGTCACTCTCACCATCCTGGCTACCTGGAGGTGGTTCTCTCCGTATTATTACTACTTACTTCACATCATTCCGCCCATGGTCCAAGTCTCCAAACAACTCAGCCCTCTTCCTCAGCTATACACACCTTCTTGGACTATTTCGTAGAGACTGAAATATTTATCCTCCATGATACATCGGCATCCCTTGTACAACTATCGGGAAACCACATACATTTACCTGCCTAGGGCCAGACAGTCATGATGTTTCTGAAACGCAAGCGATCAGAGTCGGAGCTCTCGTTCTCGTCTTGCAGTACAGGCAGCGCCTTCAACTCTCCGACACGTACCGGAGCCGCTCTGGTCCATTCGGATAGCGAACTCGCATCGCCACGGCATCGCTCCATGGCTACTCCTTCGCATCTGCACAGCCGTACGATGAAGCGGTTCCGCGACAACCGTCCATCCCAGGACGAGGTTCACCGTAAGTGGCCAGCATGAGCCTGTGGTTGCTTGCATCAGGAATAGAACTAGGATGCTGACTTGAACACCCTCAATGAACAGAACGGACACTCAGCATGCTCTTCTCGGCCGCGCAGAGATCGGAAACCCAGCCACATCAAACCAACGCCGCATCGTTACCACACCACCACCAGCAACACGCTCCCGCCGCTCACCAGGCCTCTTTGCATAATTTCTGGAAACTCCCCCCTCAGAGCTTGTCGGCGGCCGCGTCGGCGGCCATGGCGTCGCCGCCAGTGGATACTTCCATGTACGCGCCAGCGGACTGCGAGGATTGCGGGCGAGGACTCTGCAGTGAAGATGACGGCGACGACGCCATGATGGACGTGGACATGGAGGCCAGCGGCGGGCTCGAAGCGGCCAGCTGTGCCGGGTGCGGAAAGCACGTCTGCTCGCATTGCTCCATCACCAACATGGGGGAGCGGAGGCGGTGTCTTGGCTGCGCCGACACAGGCAGTAGTGGTGCGAGGAAAGGTTGGGCTGGGGGTCTGGGATGGAATCTTCCAGGAAACGCGAGCAGCTTTGGGATATGTTAGAATGAGGCTGCTCTTCCGATGGGGCAGGACACTGGACTATAATGACATGAGCATTCAAGGAAAGGCGCAAAGCTGAGATCTGAAACCAGGTCTCATATGGCTGGTGCATGCTATCTCATTTATTCTTGTTAGAATAAGCGATGGCGACGGCGTTTACAGGGCGTTGGCAAGGTTTTGAAACGGTTTGGCTTGGTTCGGCATTTACATGATATACAAAGCAGATTTGCATGGAATAGACATGATGCTACAGATGTATTGATTCCTACAACGTGTTGAAGTGAAAACAGCACCCAATGGTTGTCATGTTCCGAGAGTTTCTGCTAGTCTTTAGCATAATAGTCAACCTTTCATCTCAAGATCGACGACTCTTTGTGGCTTGACTTGATTCGTCTGCTCATGAACCTTGAAACCTGATTTCGGATCCGTGCCCGGAAGACTGTTCATTGCCTTCGGTCGCTCCCGGCGCTGCTCCCTCAACCTTCGGGGCGAAGGGCCGGCGCGAAATCAAGGCTCCGCAACACCTCATTAGCCTGCCGGTGGTCTCCGTGATAAAGAAGTTTTTATTCGAGACCGCTCCGCTCGCGGACCGTTGGCAAACCTTGACTGAAAAACGCCTCGGAAAAGTATCTTGGAGTTCACCCACATGGGATAAAGAATTAGAGCAGCGCAAGGCCTTGACAAGTTCATTTCTTTCAATCTCGCTGTTGAAATAACGTTGGAACCGAGAAAGGCGGGAGGGATAGAAAAATGGCAACAGACCCCATCGCCCAACACAAGTCCGATGTCCGGGCCCGGATTTGGACCGATTTACGCCAAGTCGCCGTTCCGGACTCGCGCTTCCACTACGACTTTGGCGAGTACATAACCGACTTTTCCGGCTCGGCCGCGGCCACGGCCCGGCTCGAGGCCCTGCCTTGCTACAACACGGAGGCAGGGGCGGCTACCAGTGGTGGCAGTAGTACCATCTTCATCACGCCCGACAACTGCCTCGAGGACCTCCGCCGCCACGCCCTGCTGGCCGGCCGCCCCATCCTCGTGACCACATACGGCATTCGCCGCGGCTTCTGGCTTCTCGACCCGGCCGCCATATTGGCTGCGGGCTGGCGCGAGAAGCTCGGGGGCGGCGACGGCTGGGCGTGGTACGCCGCGACGCTGGACGGCATGGAACGTGTCGGGCGGGCCGTCTCGCTGGCAGACTTGGTGGCCGAGGGGATCAAGGTTCCCATCATGGTTACGGGTACCGGCGCCATCAATACGCGCGGTATTCGATTCGGCAAGGGTCATGGCTTCTTTGATCTAGAGTGGGGGATGCTCTTTTCCATTGGCGCCATTACAACTAAGACGGTGGCTATCAGTGTCGTGCATGACTGCCAGTTGTTGTTGGAGGATCTTATGCCAGATGTTTTTGACACCGTCTGCGACTACGTAATTACTCCCACCAGGGTTGTCGAGGTTCGCGGAGCTCAGAAGCCCACATGTGGAATTTTGTACGACAGGCTACAACCTGGAATGCTGGAAGATATACCGCCATTGGCTGAGCTCAAGGAGATTCTCCAAAAAAAGATGCAAAAGTAGAATCCAAGGAGATGTACGCAAAAGTAAACCTCAGGTAGCAACCAAAGCGAAATATGGGTGTCTCATATTTTCCCTCCAGTTACTCAGATACCTCTGCCCCTTTCTATAAGGATACCCACTTGATTCCCGTTTCAAGCCTATACATGTACATCCTGACCGTCCAGGTCTGCCAGTCAACTCCTATTTGCGGCTATGTTCACTCTTGATTGCTGTCACTCCCGCCCTCTGCTTCAATGCACTTAAATCTTTAGGCTCTCGAGGTACTTCCGGGCAGCCTCCACACCATCGTCAATCTTATCCGCGTTTGTGCCACGGCCCTGTCGGACGGGCTCCTTGCCACCAGCCTGTCCACCGACAACCTGAGCGACAGCAGTCGACCAAGCCTCAGCAGTTACGCCCTGGGAAGCGAGGTCCTAATCCATCATTAGTATTTAACTCATAAGATTCATCATGGTTTTATCGACTTACTGTGCCGACATAAACGGCGTGAGCAACGGCACCTTCTCTGGGACTGCCACCAAGAAGGTAGACAGACTTGGTCTTATCCTTGGTCTGGTAGTGCTTGAGGACATCCGACATGGCCTTGGAGTTGGCAGAAATTGGCAAATGACCAATAAAGTACTTAGCGTCCTTGTTCTCGTCCTTGGCGAAGTGAGCCGCCACTGTGTCGAGAGCAGTCTTGCTCTCGGCCTTCTGGCGCTTCTTCTGCTCGTCGGTAACGCTCTTGATGATCTTAGCGAACTTGGTTCTCAGCTCGTCCTTGGTAACCGCAGAGATAACGAGTCCGTTCAGCTCAAACTGGGTAGACTTGACCTTGTCCTCCTTCTCGGGGCCAAAGGGGAGCGCGTCAATCTCATCAATGCGCTTCGAGAACTCGGCAGCCTCACGTTGCACGGCATGGGCAGCATCTCCAGTGTAGGCAACAACACGACGGATACCCTTGGCGATACCACTCTCCTCAACAATGACCATGTCCTTGATGATACCAGTCTGGTCCACATGCGTACCGCCACAGAACTCCACACTGACCTTGCGCCATTCGGGGTTCTCGGGGGTCTCGAGGAGCATGTCGACGTCAATACCTATCGAAACGACACGAACTGGATTGGGGTACCCCTCTCCAAACACGGCACGCACACCATTGATCTGTCGGGCAGTGTCGAGATCAACCTCCTTGGAGTAGATCTTGCAGTTTTGTCTAATATAAGCATTCGACATGTCTTCAATCTTCTTGAGCTCAGGAACTGTAACCTGGGTCTTGTGGGAGAAATCGAAGCGCAGCTTGTCCTGGTCGACCATTGAACTCTTTTGGTGAACATCATCACCTAGAACTTCCCTGAGGGAGTGGTTGAGGATGTGTGTACCAGTGTGGTTGTTACGGATGGGCTGTCTGCGCAATTCATCGTACTCGGAGATAACTTCATCGCCAGCCTGAAGCTGTCCGTACTCCAAGTAACCGTTGTGAACCACGTAGCCACCCATTTGCTGGACGTCCAGCACCTTGAATTCGGCAGCACCGTCAACGACAATGCGACCAGTGTCAGCGACCTGACCACCTTGCTCAGCGTAGAAGTTGGTCTTGTCCAGGAGAATGCCTAGTGGTGTGTTTGGCGCAAGGTCCTTGGTCGACTTGACGAATTCGCTGCCGGTGAAGATCATCTGTACCTTGGCCTTGATGTCGCCCTTTTGAAACTTGGCATCGTCGTTGGGGGTGGGAACGTGTAGCTTGTCCTTCAGCTCGGCGATCTGGTGAACATTGAGTTTGGCAAAAGTCTGCACGGCATCCTTGACGGCCTTGCTAGCTTCGCGGGCCTTCTCCTTGGCAACAGCAACCTCCTCTTCATCAATGTCCAGACCTCTTTCCTGGGCCATCAACTTTGTCAAGTCCTCGGGGAAACCAAAGGTATCATATAGCCTCCACACGTCGGCGCCGGAGAGCTTCTTCTTTTCGCTGTTGGCGGCCACGGCAGCGTATTTCTCGAATTGCTTCTCACCACGGTCCAATGTGCGGGCAAAAGCCTCCTCCTCTTCATCCAGGATCTCCTTGATGTCATGCTGCTTCTTGACAATCTCCGGGAACTGCTCACCCATCTGCTCTACAAGAGCAGGCAGGATCTTGGAGAAGAAGGAACCAATCTCGGCACCAAAGTACTTGCGGGCGTAACGCACACCTCTACGGAGAACTCTTCGCACAACGTAGCCTCTGCCGTCATTGTTTGGCACGGCGCCATCCGAGATCGCAAAGGTGAGCAGTCTGATGTGGTCGGCAACGACACGGTAGGCGGTGTCAACACCATCGGCATCGTCCTTTTCATACTTGTCGGTGTATTCCCTGGCGCCAGTAACCTTCTGAATCTGGGCAAAGAGTGGGGTGAAGATGTCGGTGGCGTAGTTGGACTTCTTGTCCTGCAGCGCAGAGACCAATCGCTCGAAACCCATACCTGTGTCAATGTGCTTGGCAGGAAGAGGCTTCAGAGACTTGTCTTTTTGTCTGTCGAATTGCATGAAGACGTTGTTCCAGACCTCAACAACCAATGGGTCATCCTGGTTGACCAGATGGGCAGCATTACGGCCTCCAACCTTGTCGTAGTGGATTTCACTGCAAGGTCCGCAAGGGCCTTGGTCACCCATCTCCCAGAAGTTGTCCTTCATGTTACCAGGGAGGATATGGTCGTCAGGTACACCTACCGACTTCCACAGTTCCTTGGCCTCCAGGTCGGGGTCGAGATTCATGGCCGGGTTTCCTTCAAAGTACGTGACGTATAGCCTGGAGGGGTCCAGACCATAGACCTTTGTCAGGAGTTCCCACGACCAGGTAATAGCCTCCTTCTTGAAGTAGTCTCCAAACGACCAGTTGCCCAACATCTCAAAGAATGTCTATATGCGAGTCAGATCTGCTGATTGGACGAAGGTGCCGAGAGCGGCCATGGATCAACATACGTGGTGATAACTATCTTTGCCGACATCGTCAAGATCCTATCCGTCATTTTGTTAGCTATAGGAGGGCGAGATTTCGGGTCGTGTTCGAAGGGCGCATACGTTGTGCTTGCCACCAGCGCGAATACACTTTTGCGAATAGTTAGTGGATGACTTTCCTTGGCGGCTTCTTCTTGAAAATGGATCACATACCTTCTGCGTATCCACGGCTCGCTTCAGCTTGGAGAGGTCGTCGGTGCTGGCAACAGTTCCGAGGAAGATGGGCTTGAACTGGTTCATGCCAGCATTGGTGAAGAGGAGGGTGGGGTCATTGTGCGGAACGACGGAGCCAGACGGGACTGCAGAGAGGAAAACAGATAATCAGTCAAGACGTCGAAAAGAAGACGAGAGAGTGCGTCTGTGTGGCAGCTTCATCGCCAACTCAGAGCTTGTCTTCGAGTATTGTCTGGGCGGTCAATTGGTTGGCGGTGGTGATGGTGCATATTTACCGATCGTGTGGCCGCGCTCGGCGAAGAAATCGAAGAAGGTCTGGCGAACCTTCAGACCCGTCCACTCGCCTTGCGACGACATTGTGGCGGCGGCGGCGGTTGTAGTAGTTGTTCTTGTTGTAGAAAACGGCCTCGAGGCAAAGTACTTGCGGGTTGCTCGAAGAGTCGCAGTCTTTCGTTGTCTTATCGCAGCAGAAGTAATCAACAAGTTCGAAGAATAATTTCTGGCAGCGGTGGGGGAGTATATGTCTGTCGACGTAAAAGCATGGAGGGGTAATGGCAGTAGCTTGGGATTGGGGGCGGCGTCTGCAGTCAGGGTCGCGGTCGGGGCCGTCTGTGCTGGGACTGGTGCTGGGGGGAATCTGGACGTTGCCGCTGATGGGGCTTCCTGGAGCTGGAGCCACAATGGTGGTGGTGGTGGTGGTTCTGCGGCTGTGACTGCTGCTAAGCTGCCAACTGACCCGCGCTGATAGAAACTTCTACAAGAGTGAGTCAGGCCCCTATAAGCCGACGACGCCCGCCCTCGCTGCATCGAATCTTCATTCGTCCCAAATTAGATGCTTTTGGATGCAACAACACTGAGTCAAAAACGACGAATACAAGTAATCGCACAAGGCGCAACCCCAGGAACAGCAATTGGCTGGTCGGATTGATTGACTGATCGATTGATGACTCGAACCTCCGTGTTCGCACCAGCCCTTGCTCTTGCTCAAACGACGGCGACGACGAGGCTGATAGGAAAGAGTCGGTCGGCTTGATTGAGCGGCCAAGTCTGACTGATCTGACCTCGAGTCCCGAAATTGGATTTTACCTATTGCGTAGGTTTGGTACGTTACCTAGGGACAGGCTGATCTAACCCAGCTTTCCACCAAATGGACGTTGAACTTGGACCGAGCTCCCAGAGCCAACCGGGATTTTACCACGGCCGGGACTTTGACCAGGGCCCCAGCGCTTATCACGCTGGAGCGGGTGCTGCTAACGGTGCCGCTTTGGGGAGCTTCCAAGCCAATTCCATTCCAACAGAACAAGCCCCAGCGGCCAATGACCAGCCGCCGGTTCACTATTCATGGGCGCCAGCGCAGACGGCACCAGCAACGTCCATTACCGTCGACGATGAACATACCACGAGCACGCGCAAGATGCGCAAGCGAAAAGCCGAAACGCAGGACAATGAAAGGCTGTCAAAACGTTTGAGTCTCTTAAATCTGGGTAAGTATATCATTATAGTGCGACAAAGTCAAAAGGATCCCTGACTGACCTGGACCGCAACCCTGAAACAGAAAAAGATGGCCAGAAACTCTACGTTCCCGTCGAGAGCCCCCAGCTACGGCCCACGGCGGGCGGCTCTTCCTCTTCTGCGGCCTTGGAAGGCGACCAGATGCAATTGGACGAGTCCAAGCACAAGGTATACATATACGACCTAGACGCAGAGCTCGCAGACGAAGGGAGCGAGTCCTCGTCCGACGAGGCCAAGCTGGTCTTCCTGCCCGACATTGCAAAGCACCTGCGCCAGCAGAGCCGGATTCCACCGCGCGTGCTCGCCAACCCCGACGGCGAGCTCGCCGGCATGCAACTGGTTCTGTACAGCGAGCCCAAGTCGCTGACCGTCCCCGAGAGCCAGGACAGCGTCAGAAAGGCGATCGCCGACGCTCGCGCGCGGCTGCGCAGTAAACACCAACAACCGCACACGGGAGCAGGGACCGGAAGCAACAACGGTGTCGTCGACAACGACATGGTCACGGCAGCTCCAAGCATGGATATCGAGATATCTTCCCCTGCACAGGAGCGCAGGATTCCTAACGGGCTGAACAACCTTGCCAACGATGCTACTGAGACGACCAATGGTATGACGGGCCCGAACAACTATTCCATATATTCATCTAGCTACGACCCGGACGCCATGGATATGGACATTGATTGATGGTGAAACGATGTTAGCAGGAGTGGATAGAGGTTTTGAGCAGTATGCAAGCTTCCCACAGTGTATACAAGTGAAGTCTGTTGTACTATTAGCCATTCACATGCTGGGCAGCATATATTCAAGCGAAGGAGTTATGGCGATATGTGGGAATTCACACCCAGAGGCGTTTACCACGTTTTGTTTTTAGCTTATACAGTTTTCTTATTATTAACGGGTCGTCTATTCCTGATAGCTCACTCAAAAGTTCCCGGGCACATTATATGCGCGCAAAGATGATACATGATCTAGCATGTCCTTCCAAGACTGCCTCGCTCTTGTCCCTACAAAGTCTATACGAGGCCCTTGGTTCATCAAATTTATGTTGTACATTCCGTCGTTTCGACAGAATAGTCGTTAAAGCATCCGATCCATCAAATGACAACTCCGCCCCCGGCTTTGGTCCCGCGCATCTCAGTTAAAGAATTCACAGCCGCGGCGGGTCTGCAAAGGGGTTGTTGCTTCCACCGGTCCTTTGAGGCTGCTGGGTGGCCGGAGGCGGCGGGCCTGGCGGAGGTGCAAAGTCGCCTCCAGCTTGCTCGGGGTCGATCTTGCTGCCGCCCTGGGGTGGCGGCGGCGCAGGTCCACCGGGGTACTGAGGAGGCCGGTTAGGATCGTAGACGGGCGGAGGCATCGGCTGCATGCCATAATACCCGGCGCCAGGCGGAGGCTGAGCGTAGTTTGTATAGACAGCTTGTGGATATGCATAAGCCGGATCCACGCGGGCCAACTCGGCGCGGGAGACCAGACACTTTTTGACGGCGCATGTTAGTTCATATTCGCAAGGTTTGAATGGCAAGATAATACAAAGACGAGACAACATGTCTTGGGCGCCTTGATGCGGAAATGCGCTTACCCTGTGGTAGCCCAGCGGCTTCAAACCCTTCCTCATCCGGCGCTTCGCATGCATGTAACCTAGGACGAGCCACAGCATAAAGACGACGACGATGGCGAGGAAGATGGACCACTTTACAATAATACCCGTCTATCACAATCGTCAGAATTACTTGATAAGAAGGATAGTGGTACTTTGATGAGCTCCATGCCCAGCGGGATATCATACCCTAGTCCACCAGAAGGGGACGTCGTCTCTGTCGTCGTCGAGAGTGGTTGTGACGCTCCCATCGTTTTGTCGCGTGGCGAGAAATGTTGAAGACATGATTGATGAATGTTTGTTGTTGTGGCGCTCTCCGGTCCAAAATTTTGTCACTTTTGTTCAAATTGCGCAAATGCAGCAATTATTTGTCGGTCCTTCGACGAGAAGGATACTCAAGTTGAGGCGGTGCTGGATGTGCTGTCGTCACCAGTTGTCGACTCCAATGCTCATTTGGCCGAGATTAAGGGTGGTGGAGGAGGTGGTGGTACGTGTGCACAGTAAAGAAAGGCGAGAATTTGGGGGGAGAAATGGGGAAATGGAGGCAAGCAAGGTGAATGCCAAGAAAGTTGTAGTGAGCAGATAAGTACGAATGGTTTTTCTTTAAACCGGAGATATTTTGCCTTGGAGGTCTCCAACTCGGCGGACGGCAGGACGTACAAAAACATACAATACACCAAGTACTTGGGCAGTGTGGCGTTGCAGTCAAGTCGTGAGGTTGAATGTGCGGCAGATGTGTTACAAAGGTTGGCGGGTGGTGTTTCAAGATGCTCGGATCTACGGGCTGGCCTTGGTTGTGTGGGTTGTCCCTGCGAGGAGTCGCCAGGCACAGCAGAGGAGAAGAAGAAGCGGCAACTCTGGACCGAAGTGGGCACGGGGCTTAGATTACATTGGTGCTAAGATATTCTTCGTTAGAAACTGCTATATCATAACTCCCTGTGGGATAACTACAGTCATCTAATTAACTCGTGATGCTCATTTGAAAGGGCGAATAACGTTTGGTAGTGCTTGATATTTCTTAGACATACCATACATATTATATTTCTAGCCCAGGGATTCCCCGCTGTCTATGTACCTACCGAGGATCTGCTTTGAGATAAGAGTATGCCCTTGCCTTGAGTGCCTGGCCACGTGAGATTCCATTGATTGACTTGTGTGCAATGTTTGCGGGGTTTGTTGGCGGGTGGTCGTGTTTGGCCGAGACTCATGTTTCTTTTTTGGATACTCATCGACCGTATATTACTCTCTATACAGCTGGGCTCCATTGATACAATACCTGGGACCACTTGGGTCATGCAAGATGAGGTTTACAAGCGTTTGCATATCACCAGATTGTATATGAGGACCGTGTGAACTAGGAATCAAGGCGTAAGATGGTAAATAGATATATTTCATATTGGACAGCGCTAGAAGATCAAAAGAGTATCTGCTTCATCCAAAAACTCCGGGAAAATGCAATTTGAACCGTGTACTGGGGTTGTCTGACAGCAAAACGATACAAAATAGCGCTCTAGGCCAAATAGTCAAAAAATACAAGTCCCTCCAGGTTCCGGTTTGTTTTTGGCTGGTGAATCTGCTCTGCTGGCTCTCCTGACTTCGAGCCGGGCGTCAAGCCGTAGGCAGTATCCTATAAGCAGCCACAAACGCCAAACGCCTCCCAAAGAAAAGCACATGTCTTTGCAATGACATGTTCGAGAGGGCTCCGATATCCAAAAGTAGTAATATGTTATGTATGGGTGGGTGGGTGCGTATTCCCGTTAATGGGAATATATGTCGATTTGCCAAGCTTAAGAGATCATATCACCGAGCTCAACCTTGCCAGTTGTGTCGACCATTCGTGCATCTTGCCAGGACCGGGCATGGGATCGAGCAGTCTCTCCGCGGAACAACTTGATATTGCGCTTTTCGGGGCTGTTGACGGCGTCCTCGATGAAGCGCATGACCAGGTCTTCTCCGTCGTCCTTCTTGGTAAGCACTGCAGGCACAGAGTTGTGTCGGTTGGCCAGAGATCCCCGGTGCAAAGTGGCCTTGATATCTCGCTTGGTGGTGGTGGTGGAGGTAGACTTCTTGTTGATGAAGATATAGGCGACCACCACAATAACAATAATCAAGATGATGGCAACTGGAACGTTATGTTAGTCTCGACTAGATATGTATTATGGAGGATACTGCACTTACCAACAATAGCGAGACAGATCCACTTCTTCTTTCGGGTGGCTCTCGCCGTGGTGATGGCGGTTCCGATCTCTTGGTTGCCTTTGTCAAAGTGTTCAACTGTCTCCTCGGCCTTTTGCTCAATCTGCTGGACGTATTCTTCTTGCTGAACCACAAGGGTGTCCATGTCCTGGAATAGTTGCGCGAGCTCGATGAGTTGCTGTTCGATCTTCTGTAGCTGAGCGTGGCGATCTTGCACGGCGCTGAGAACTGATTGAGCCTGACCACGTCTGTTGCTTTGCATGAGAGCTTGCTGGAAAACCTGACCACCCGTTGGGTCCTCGACAGCTGCTCGTACTTCGCTCTCGTCGGCATCAGGTCGAACAATTCGATATTGTCGGGCCATTTGGTCCTGGTTCTTCTTGCGGAACTGCGACTCAACTTGCTGGTAGGCATTGATGGCTTCCTTGAGGCGGCGATCGATGCGCTGCACTTGTGGTGCGTTCTTTGGCGTCTTGCTCTCGGGGTTGCTCTTCAGCTGGCGCACTCGTTCAACCAAAGTTCGGTAATGGGACATGGTCTCGCTGCTGAGGCTGTCGAGCTGCCGGGTTGTGCCCGAGGCGGAGCTATCTGCTTCGTTCAGGGACCGGTCCTGTAGCATTCTCATCTGATTGAGATTCTGGTCGATTGTGTCGATTCCACGGCCAATATCTGCGCACTCGTTCAGGAGAGCGTTGGGGTTTGACAGGCCGAACGTAGATCCGCCCTGGGCCAGAGGGGCCATCTCGACATTGTTTGCTGGAGTTGCATATTAGCTCGTCTGCTACGAGGATTGTAGAAGTGCATGCAAGGCGTCTACGCACATCCATAGCTGTCGTCGTTGTATCCGCCGTAATTGTTTCCTCCACCGTAACCGCCCTCGTTACGCTGGTCGAAGGGGTTCTGCTGCCTGCCGTATCTATACACACACGCGTGTTAGTCTAGACCCGATGTCGCACCCGCGGCAGCATGCGTGCCGCGTGTATAGGAGTAAGGATTACCCGTACTGTGCCATGTTTGTCAGTTGAGTGTGCTAGAGGCTGATGTGAGGAAAGAGAAAAAAGAGTTTAAGGTTCGGCAAGTCATAAAAGGGACAGAAAAGGAAGCAAGATCATGTCAAAAGATGTCGAACTTGAGGTGAAGCTCAGGTCTGGTCGCAGGGTGCTTTGTTGAAACCGTCAAGGAAGGGGTGAAACACTCACGCTCATCTTTCCTTCGAAGCGACTACGCGCGCAGGCGATTCCTTGTCCAAACGCACTGCTGTCTGTCGACGATGTCTGAGATCAGGGGAGCCTGGTTTTATCCCAACTCAGTCTCCAATATTTTGAATAGTGGTTGTCGTTGCGTCAAGTAGTGTCAAGCAAAAGCAAATGCAGACAAATACAAGAGGAGAGCAACAAGAAAGAAGATGTACAGGACGGCAAGAAAGGTTATCGAGTTTGGTTCCAAGCCCGCCCACTAAAAGGGATGGAAGTGAAAGGGAATGGCTCGGATATCTCAAGACTGTTTCAATGAGTTTAGGCCCGCTCTGATCTGGAATTTGTGGCTCCGTACCTTGTACTGGTAGTGTAGCAGTTAGGGGGGCTGCACCAACGAGAGCAATGCCCCTAGCGCCACCGAGCGAAGGAACCTCCCTACCCAAAAAGACCCCTGGGCAAAAGTTTTAGTACGAGCTAGTACGAGCTATGATGGGCCAATAATCGGCAGAGCAGCAGATCGTCTCTTGGACGTGATGAGAAATTCACAGGCGGACGATGGACCCGAATTCATCTCTGGGCACGACAATGACGAGACCATGCATAAAGAAATACTATTCTGAATTGTTGCGAGCCACAAGATGTGCAGCATTGTTTGGCCTGATCTTGCTCCCGAGTTTCACCTCTTCATTGTCAGTCGAGAACAGGAGGCTCGGCCTTTTTTTCACCTTGCCCCTGGTAACTGCCAGTGTATTGGCCATGGTCGATCCTGTTGCATGCCGCGAAACCCATTTTGGGTACTGAGCTTATGCAGGGACGCTGTCCTGTCGTTAGGCCCAGCGTCTGCCCACCGCCCATCCCAAGCCCATCCACTACTGCTCGTGTCCCAGCTGGCGGGTCGCCCGTTGGAGTGTACGATCGACATCGAGGCAACAAAGAAGCACCCATTTCAAATCTCTCCAACATGCATTATGGTTGAGATACTGTGGGGTTTCTCGCAAAGGTTATCCAGAAACTCTCGTATCCTGTCAAGCCTGTTCCTGACTCGTTTGGACAGTGTCTTTCTTCCAGGTGGTTTCTAGAATAGAAGCCAAAGATTGTATGTGGCTAGAAAGATTTTCCTCAGAGCAAACAGTCCAGACATACTACATGATGGAATGAACCAAAGGGAATTGATTGTTTGTCGGCGGCGTGTGTCAGCTGAGAGGCAGAGGCTGGCGCTGGGCTGCGCCGTGCCCAAAGCCATATTAGCAGATGCAGTGTGCAGATGGCGTTCCATAATAGAGCTATTTCTGGCTCAGCTCACAGAAACTAAAATCAGCACTTCTCGATTAGCCCCAGAACCTTGGACGCTCCCAAAGCTTCTTCCCCGCTACTAACTTATTCCAAAGCCCCTCTCTCTGCGAGGCGTCTTAACGGGCTTTGTCCTATGTCATTTGCCAAACTTGTCTTTTGTGAGGATCATACTTACCGCTATCCAAGAGGTGATATGATCGAGATCTTGGTATTCAACCAAAATGACTAGAACTGCCACTGTTAGAGGCGGGGCTTGCCCGCCATGACATTGGCGTCGGATGATCGATGCGTACCTAGTAGGTGGCGAGGAGACGCATCAAATCACTATATCCAAGTCCAATCGAAGGGATCTTAATAATGACCCTACATGATCAAATGTTAGGAGTATAACTTAGAGTTAACAAGACTGCGTCTTGTCACGAGCCGTCTTCAACTTCTGACAGGTAACATACAACGTGCTTCAAACAAACTTTGCCCAGCGAAGCAAACGGGAACGGTCTTCAATTTGACAGGTTACTCGTAACACTTTCCAGATAAACTCTGCCCAGACAAAGCAGACAGCCTTTAAGTACTTGGCCAGTAGCAAAAGTCAAGATGAAAGCATGTGTCTTGACCAAGTCCGCCACTTAATACATTGCCAAGACGAATCACTCAAAGCAACCGCTAGCGTTCAACATGATCTCCATTGACTTTCACGACCTAAAGCTAAGCAACCTTCAATCAATGACGGCGGCTCTAATTAGCATGCAGAGTCATTTTCATATGTTAGAGATCCGACCTCACACTTTCTAATTGCTTGCAATAGAATTCGTTGTCTATATGCGTGAACACTTGGTTTCAACCAATCCAAAATCCTTCGTCGTTCCGTCCTCCTCACAAAGTCCTGGTGTCCTGATTGTTATGGAGCAGATTAGAAGAGGACTGCTGGCTATCTAGGCAGTCGAGCATGAGCAATGTAACGGTACTAGTAATTAATGAAGACGACTCTACTTAAATAATGATGAATAATACCGACCTTGGTTGGCATCATATTAGCTTTGAGGATTTGGTCGTATTGAAGTCATCAAAGCTGCCACTCTCTTCGTCTTCATTTCCTTTCTCGTCCACTTCCCCTCTCTTCCGCATATTGGCGGCAAAATATATCTCCTATAGATTAATGAGGATCAATACCACGTTGATTGACTTGTGATCGGTGTGATGAAGCCAGTATCATACCATCAATCACTAACAAATTGGCTAGTATGGAAGGAATAGAATACGCCATCGGGTTTCATGAATGATTGGATCGACCATGTCGGGTGGCCATTATCTCTGAGCCAGGTATAATGTGTAAACAATGCTTCCAGGACGCACAGCTCGAGAAATCATGCAGTCTGAATGATAATGTGTCTCATCATAACTGCTCGGCGAGTTTTGCTTTTTGACTTGAGAGCGCGTTGTTCTTCATACCCAAATAAATTCCGACACTTTGAGACATAACTGGAAACTTCATTGACGGCGTTCTTGACACGGACCTCAAGAAAATATGCTAGATTTTCATTTGAAAATTGCGAAGTAAAATCTCTTTTTCGAGAAGAAATTGAAAATAACATTTATGGTGGTCTTATCAAGTCTTGCCCAACTGTGCCGCAAAATGCAAACCACTTAATAATGTCATATCTACCGAAACAAGCGGTGAAATAATGGTATATGGAGGAATTGAGCCAGCGTTAACTAGCTTAATGGCATCTCAGTCTCATAATCAGCCATAGATTCGCAGATATATATATATATATATGAGGCATAAACTCACTATAACCAATCGAATCTCTCAAGGCCTTGCCCCTCTTGTTCATTGATTTTACCGCGACTTGATAATCATGTTCCTACAGGCGCTGAAGAGTAGTTAGTGCTTGGCTCGCTTGGGAAGTGAGAAGATTATGTACGGCAAATGAATTATAATTAAATTCAAACGACACCATCCTGTCAAAGCCCAGGGAGCTTGGAAGCAGCATTGGAATTCATTTTTGCTGGCCACATCATCGCTATCCTGGTATAACTACCCCAGGATGATGTTCAACTCCCAGGAGAGCGAATACGCGCACTGAGACACTCGTCCGATAATGAGCCACGACAATGGTGAGCTATTGCAGGCCAGGAATGCGCGCTGCCCATGGGTATGTAGTCAAGTATCATGATTATAAACTTCTGTTACCAAACTTTGTTCTGCCCAGTTCCTGATTTCATTGCTAAATATTTTGTCTGGGGGTTATCTTGTGGAAAATTTCACGGCCAGCAGCGAGGAAAGGTCCGGTCGACGAGCAAAGCCTTTTCTGGTGGATAATCCTCAAGTTGTGACTCAATTCAACATGGAAGTGACAAAAAGCCTCCAAACTCAGTGTCGATTGTTTCCTCCCCTCAAGCATAAAAGTTCTTCGAGTTAGAAATGTCAAGTGAGTCGAGAGCTTGAGACCCAATTGTTCCCCGTCCGTGGCCCTTTGAGGTAATAGATCGCCTCCTGCCCGGCCGATATTCTCAGCAGCAGGTGTCTTTATCATCAACTGGGGAATCAATAGCGCCGTAGATCATGAATTGAGGGATAAACACATCAGATATAAACGTCTAGTTGTTTGCAAAGACAGCTGTCAGTCACGTAAGCAAGTTCCACTCGACACTCAATAGTGCATTTTCATAATGGGAACAAGAACAACACAACCCCCCGAGACCTCCGATAGCCGCCATACTTTATTTCCGAAGATCCTTCAAACAAGCTGGCGTACGTGAGCATCTCACAGGGGTTTGTGGTGTTCTCTTATGTAATCATGTCCACGAATCCTTTAAGATTATAGTGGGTTCAGATCGTTTCAAACAAAAAGACTCCAGGACCACTGGCTCCACAATATCCCAGTATTCTCACCGTTCAGCCGCATCCCCATGTACGAATCCTTCATCCCATCTTCACCATACTCCAACATTCTTTTGTCTTGTTTGTTTGTTTGGTTTTGGGATTCAATGACTTTGAGGCGCAGGATAGCCATTGTATCTCAGCCACTTGCCACTTCTACATGTTGCCGCGATTCAGACGACGTACCAGGAGCCAGCATAGAGATGGACGATGAACTTCACTTCTATACCTGCTGTGTAGTCTGCGGCTGCCGTTGCATTCCGCAATAACGGTCCCAAGCCAACTCAGAACAGTGGAGCAGATACTATAGCGAAAAACTCCACTCCGGAGACCGAGCCGAAGAGAATGTCACGAACTAGAACATGGGGTCGAGAAATTCCGTAGATCGGACTGGCTACCGAAATTCCCTCTGAGACGGCGCGTCTGAGTTAGAGTAAAGTCCATCAAAATCATGGATTCCTGACCAGGACCCATGATATGCGATGCTCCTTTCGTCTGATGACACCCACAGGGTTGGGTCCAGATTATTGCCAAGTTGGGAAATGTATGACAAGCTTCTATACAATATAAACACCCGTCTTGGCCGTCTTGGCTGGCATGTCGATCTCTAGGAACGTCACTGCCAAGTGCTCATACTCAGAAGCCGTAGACTTCAGCCTTTCTTTACATTTCAGTCTTTACCATGCGTTCCTTTCTTTTGACCGCAGCAGCGCTGCCGGTTGTTCTCGCTTGCTCCAACCCTGACACCGACTCATGTGCTGGCGCCTTTGTCAGCTCGAGTGCTGCTGCCGCCAGCTTTTGCGCAACATGGACCACGGCCGCCATTACCGAGACCACGGCGGTCCCTGATGCCTTTGGCTCTGCATGTGCCTACAAGACCAAGAAGCTGTCTACGGCTTGTTCTTGCTACGTGACGGGAGGAGCAGCTGTCGCAACCTCGACTTCGTCTGCTGCTGCCGTCGAGACCACAAGTGTCGCCTCTGTCGTCAAGACTTCGGCAGCATCTGTTGCCACCACCACCACTCAGGCTGCCTCGACCTTGGCTACCTCAACCAAGGCTGCTGCCACCACCACTGCCGCTGCTGCTGCTACCAGCTCGGCCGCCGCCGCCGTGGATAACGCAAACGCCTGCACGGTTACCGCCTACGCTGATATTTCGTCAGCTGTTGCTTCATGCACCAACATCATCTTGTCAGGCATCTCGGCCCCTGCCTCCAGCACCATTGACCTTCAGTCTCTGCAGACTGGCGCCACCGTCACCTTTGCTGGCACCACCTCCTTTGGCACCACCGCGGACTCCGACTTTGACCCAATTGTTGTTTCTGGCCATGACATTACAATTACCGGTGCCGATGGCCACGTCATTGATGGCAACGGCCAGGCCTACTGGGATGGCGAGGGTTCCAACGGTGGAAGTGACAAGCCTGACCACTTTTTCGTGGTCAAGAAGGTTTACAATGGAAAGATTACCAATCTGAACATTCAGAACTGGCCTGTAAGTACCCAAATCAGAGAAATAGGATTAATATCTTCGCTTTCAGTACCCACTAACACGCTCTGGCTTTTAGACTCACTGCTTCTACATCAACGGTGTCCAGGGACTCGAGGTGACGGGTCTCACCCTTGACAACTCTGCCGGTGATGAGCCCAACGACGCCAGCGGCGACGACCCAGCCGCTCACAACTCTGACGGTTTCGACATTTCGAGCTCGGACACGGTCACTCTCGACAACATCAAGGTGTACAACCAAGACGACTGCGTCGCCGTGACGTCGGGATCCAACATCATCGTCAGCAACATGTACTGCTCGGGCGGCCACGGTCTGTCCATTGGCTCCATTGGCGGCAAGAGCAACAACACGGTCGACGGCGTCACCTTTTCCGACTCGACGCTCGTCAACTCGTCCAACGGCTGCCGCATCAAGAGCAACTCGGGCGAGACGGGCACCGTTGCCAACGTCGTCTACCAGAACATTACCATGAGCGGCATCACCGACTACGGCATCGACGTGCAGCAGGACTACCTCAACGGCGGCCCGACTGGTGAGCCCACCAACGGCGTCACCATCTCCGGTATTTCATTCATTGACGTCACCGGAACTACGACGGGAGATGATGCTTATGATTATTACATTCTCTGCGGTGATGGATCGTGCAGCGACTTTAGCTTTTCTGGCGTCAGCATTACTGGTGGCTCCGAGTCTTGCAACTATCCTGATAGCGGATGCCCATAGTTATGTGGTCAACATATGATACAGCATAATTAGTCTTAGATATTCTTGTGTATATATTATTAAATCGTCAAATCTCGCAGATGTTCCTCAATGCCCCGTCATGCTTATATATCTTCAACATGGTTCTGAGAAGGGCGCTTAAAGTACCATAAACTCCGAGTCCGGGTCGATCTCGCGGTAATGGGCCTCGGCGTCGGGCCATCCAATGCGATCATAGTCATAGTACACCCACTCGGGCTTGCGGTGTGCGCGGAAAGCCTGGTCCTGCTGCTCGAGAGCGAACCGGGCAGACCAGGGGATGAAGCTGGGCCAGGTGGCTGGCTGATACTGTTCCGACAGGAAGCTCTGCCAGACCAGAAAGCTTTTCATGGGCGGCTTCCTCTGGCGGTAGCGGTAAATCAAGTCAAAGTCCTCGCTGGTATCGCGGGCCGGGCAGTCGTCGTACATGTGGGCACGTGCCGTGTTGCACTTGGGACATCCATCGATCTCGCCTCGCTCGTCGACGGGGCCGACGCAGTCGCGGACGGTGTGCCCCGGGCGCTGACAATTTCCGCAGACGGTGTCTGGCACGGGGAGAAAGATTCTAGTGTCCAAGGTGATCCGTGACCTCGGCCTTTCACCCTGGCTTTTGTTCTCGTGCATGTCCGAAAGACTGAATCTTGCCATAGATCCTTTATCTCCGCGTATGCCTGACATTTCTGGTGCCATGGATCCCATGAACATGCTGTTGGGCCGCGAAGGCGACATGTGCGGGACATGAGGTGACGTTGGGATCTGTGCAGCTATTGGAAATGTTGGTGTAACCTTGCAGACGGTGATTTCCAAAAAGTCGTCTTGTCCCGCGGTGAGTAAGCTGTACAGAGATTGCTCTGTCATTGTGACAGGTGTTTGGCCATTACCGTGCAATGCAATGCTTCTGCTCAGAGCATTTTGCAGGACCTCGAGTCTTTCCCAATGCTCGTTGTCAGTCGTCTTACAGAACCCCAGAGGAGCCATATTTGACACCGTACATGGCGTGTCTCAGGGGAACAAGCCCTTAGCATCGACTCTAGAGAAGCTCTGCCACGCGAGATGTATGCATTTTTGTTGCTGCTTAGCGAAACAAAGAAAGGCAGGAAGCATGACGAACTGACGCAAGCGGTCATATGGGCCAACAAGGGACTAGTTATGGAAATTTTTGCGTTTTTACCAGAAATGATAATTTACAAGATTTGAATTGTAGATTACTGCATAATAAGTTTGCATAATTATTTGTTCTCAAATGGCGTGCAAAGTTACAATAAATTGACTGAGGTAAATATATTGTCACATGGATATGGAATAAGCCATTCCTGACAAACCTGTGGTATATTGTATTATAATCTTTGACGGATTTAAATATGTAGATGATAATTCGAGATGGCAGATTCTTAATGCCTTACACCCAAGTAAGCAGGGTGTGTTCATTAGACATGTTACTTTGCTCACCTACTCCAAATGTATTAACGCCCAATGTTCGGTTTCGCAGGAATAATAGCGGTAATAATATTAGAATTGTCAACTCTTCATCACCTCAGGTCTACCATATGCTCAGTTTACGATGCCACTTAAAGAAGACAATGGAGTCACCACATCCGCAACAGACCGCACGTAGATGGCTTCTGATTGAAAACAGGGGATTATCGTGTGCAAATGGCTCGCTCTACTCGAGATATAGACTTGACACAGGTCTGACTTGAGTCATACAACAAACGCCGACGCTATCCGCTTCTCGGGTGGAGGTTTGCCTGTACCTCTCGACTACGGGATATATCATAAGTTGTATACATTTTCAAGGGTTGAGAATTGCGGTACTGTATTATGTATCCGAACAGTTTAGCTGTAAAGAAATTCTAGAATAGAATGTAAAAGAGCAACCAAGGTCAGTCAGGTTAGTATAAGTGGTCATAGGATTGCTTACCAAAAAGGAAAAAAAAAAATCGAGTGTCGATTTTAAGTATACAAAATGGAATATGCCTCCATATCTTCTCAACCTGCGGCTTCATCACTAAAATTTATCCAGGCCTACAGTGTTGGCAGTCAGTCGACGTATCAAGGCATCTTGTATAAAGTAACGGACACGGGCTGTGGCGGGGCGAACAACATTGAACTCTTTGAGATACAAACTTCAACCGGTCGACGTGCGTTCACATGGTCCCACCACGCCCTTTTGGGTCTATGCGAGTCAATTTGCCTAAAACATTTGGCTGGCGCAATGCTCAACATATGGATGCATCTACAAGTGCCGTGGTTGTGTAGTGAGCGACGAGGGGCAAGTAGATTGGAATTCCTTGCTAAGTCCTATGCGAGACGTGAAAGAGACATCACCTACCGCTAATCACATATTGGGGAAAGAATGAATGGCTGGTGGCTTATTCCAGAGCCGAGAAAGAGCAGTATTATAGGTATCTACTTTCTTGGGAGACTTTCAGACAGACACTGTTGCTATGGAACCTCGACGCTAAACTCCATGGCATGTCTGTTGATGCTCCACTTCTTGTACTGAACACCAGTGACCAGACAGTCGGAAAACACAAAAATTGGAGTTCCGAGTCGAATGTGACTTAAGTTAGTGACTTGAGATACAGTTTTCAAGAGGATTGTACATTCCGCACCAGGAAAGCCAAATTTCCTGCTAGAATGGGAATTGTCCAACCAGTGCTGGATTCTCCATCCCCTTACCCAGGTGATGAATACAACCAGGTAGAGCCTTGAGAGACGTCATTCGGGAGCTGCGCAAATCGGCCTTGCCGCCTAGCTTTCTGCTTTTCAATGACAAATTGAACAGAGAAGAGGCCTCGAAATCAATGCTGTTGCTGGGCGATGGGAAGAATGTCATGGTGAACAAATCGCTTTTCCATGGCTGATCCCAGGCGAGACCAAGTTGTCGACTCTTAGACCAGTATCGAGACACCGGAAATAAAGAATGTGGGGCATAGGGTCGGCCAGGTGCGCTAAAGATGGGGCTGTTGTCGCGGCAACAGCCCAAACAATCAATCTAGACCGGAAACTTTTAAACCTCACTGGCTGCTTGCACAAACTACTACCACCACCTACCACTGCCCCGTCGCTTGCTTGCTCCGTTATAGAAGATTCTATTTAAAACTGCAACCCCAGCATCAATTGCAACCGGTTTACCGTTGCTACCATATTGGAATAAAAAAGGAACACAAACACTCTCATGATGGCTTCACCGCTATCGCCTTTGCCCAGCACCGCCCTCAACATTGCAACACCTGCGACTGCGCGTCGCGTCGCACAAGAAGACATGGACGGCACGCCCACATCACCAAGCGCTCCCGTGACGGAACCAGCCGATGCCAGCGCCAACCAGAGCTCCCCTTTTGTTTCCGAAGTACAAGACAAGACAACAGATAGCCCCTCCAAGGAAGACCCGTCGCCGTCCAAGATCCGACACTCTAGAATCCTGTCGGGCAACGAGATTGCGCCATTGACTCTGCTCAGCCCAAGAGACGAGAACTTGGACCCCGAACCCCGATCGCTCTCGAGGCAAGACTCGCGGTCAAAGAGCCCGCGTAGACCCCGTTTCCCCATCCGACCCACCGGCAGCTCCTCACCTACCAAACCCCTCGATGCTGAGAGGTTACCAGAAAAATCTCCGGAAAGATCGCCAGAGAAGTCACCACTCAAAGCCCCCGAAATGTCACGCGAGAATTCGCTAGAGAAGCACATGGTCAAGACACAAGATATGACTCTGGAGGATGCCTTGCGAGCAAATGAGGGCTTGAAGAAGGCTATTCAAATCTTCGAGGACGAGTCCACCATGATGGAGAATGATGATTTACCCGATATCAACGCTATGGACGTCGACCACCCCATTGATGTCGACGACAGCATTGCTGGGCCGGATGAGTCTATGGTCAGCACTTTTAGCACCTTCTCAGCAATTCCCAACATGACCATGTTTGCAAAGATTGGTCACAGCCCAACCAGGTTCGCCAACGCGGAGCTCACGCCAGCCGCCGCCGCCCGGGCTCGCCCTGACCCATCGCCCGCTCGATCAGCAAGAACGCTAGATGGCGGCAACACGACCAGCCTCTTGGAGTTTTCAGATCAACTTGCTAGAAATGGAACCTTTTCATCATCGAAGAGAGCTCGACTTTCCCCGGCCAAGACTACCGGCCACCGCCCGAGTGCCACACCACAGCGTCACCAGGGAAACCTGCTCGATTTTGATATCCCGCCTCTACCCACGCCTCGCAGTGTCCCTACCGTGACCGCGCGTGAGGTGGAGACACTCAAGTCGCAGTTTCTCTCCGAAATCAGCAGCCTAAAAGCCTCACTACTTGGCAAGGAAGCCGAAGCCAGTTCTCTTAAGACAGCTGTCACAGATGCCGAAAAGCGTGTTGGCGAGACCTCGGAGCAGCTACGCGAACTCAAGGCTGAAAAGGAGACATTACTGGAAGACAAGCAGACTTGGGAGAAGCGCTGCCAAGAGATGGAGGACGTGCTTCGTAGAGTGAAGGCCGAAATCCACCATGGCCAGCGCGAGCGTCAAGAGCTCGAGTCGAAGCTCGACGAGAGCGAAAAGCGTCGTGAAGCTGCAGAGATCATGGCGCAAGAGGCTGAATCCAAGATCGCCGGAATGCGCGCGGGCAGGGTCAGCCCAGATGCAGGTGCAGACACCGGGAAAGAGATTAAGAACTCTAGTTCTCGTGAGGTTGAGATCGCTGTCGAGAGAGTAGCGCGCGAGCTGCACGCTCTATACAAGTCCAAGCACGAGAAGAAGGTCACTGCTCTGAAGAAGAGCTATGCTAACCATTGGGAGAAGAAGGTACAGGCTCTGGAGGTTAAGATCGAAGAAGCCGACACCGAAAACGAGAAATTGAAGCAGGCCCAAGAGACCGCTGTTACCAGGGTGGACCCCAACCTCGCTTCTGAGAACCAGGAACTCAGAACACAGAGTGTTCACCAATCTGGCCAGATCACCGAGCTCAAGGCAGAGGTGAAGCAACTCGGCGCCGTAATTGAAAGTGTCAAGCAGGACAACAATGAACTGATCCAGCTCTTGGAGAAGGAGCGCATCGAGAAGGGCGAGCTTGTTTCCCTTGCCGAGGAGATGATGTCGATGCAGCATAGCTTCATCCAACAGGAAGAAAAGCCCGCTCCACCCAGCCCACGCAAGGTGCCCGAGCCTGTGAGTGCCAGGAAGAGCCTCGCTAGGCCGATGGCCTCGGGACTTCGCGCTCCCGGCTCGCTTCAGAAGTCGCACACAGAGAGCCGCATTGGTGGACTTGGTCATGAACGCACGAAGAGTGGTGGACTCCAGGGAGGTCTCCCTCGCCCGGGCATGATTATGGGGGGCCGAAGCGGTATCATGTCTTCGATCGAGAAGATGGGTAACCACAGAGGAAGAGTTGAATAAAGGGATGATGGAAAGGATGGAGGAATAACGACGCTGTAATCAGACTTTACGATGTTATGACAAGTATGATTCTGGTGGTCGGGTAGCCACGGTCGATTGAGTGGTTCATGCCAGATTTGATTAAGCGTTGCAGATACCACGAAAGCCAGTCGTTTGTATGTAGGACCTAGGGGCTGGTGTTAGGAGGCCTTTGCTGTATGTATTTATGCAATTCATGTTGTATAAACTTTATTTCTTACATTTCGTGATACCAAACTGTGAATTGCGACTGCCCATTTTAAAAAATACTGCTTGAAAGGTTGCCTAGGTATTGAACATGATATGGATCTCTTCCCATGACAGCGTTGTTCTGTACAACTAGTTAATCCAAGTGCTTTTGAGCGATGCGTTGTTGCACTGTTGCATTCTCCTTCTCCTCTTAGGCTATATGTACCTGGAAGGCTCTTCGCCACCAATGTAGGCACCAGATACACTGGAATGACCTACACTTTCCTATTTTGAAAGCCGCGCAAGGGGAAAGAGGTAAAGCAAAGTAGGCGGGCAAACACAGATAGAAAATACTTGTAGATATTCATGGTTGAGCAGCAACATACCTGCGTCGGGAACCACTTAAGATCAATGTTACCTACCCCAAATCCTTTCCATAATCTGAAGCCCCTCCAACCAGCGTCAAGAGGTACTCTTCTACCCATCTTGTGATAACAATTGCATCATCTTTATGCGATAACCTTTTGTTGTCGGCTAGCTTTGATCTACCAATGGGTCTACCAATGGGAGACTCTCGACTATGGCAGCTTTTGTTGCCCATCACCGTGATCGGCCTGCTCGCCAGCCTAGCCTCTGCAGCCGACGTTGAGGATTTTGACTGGGAATCCATCACCCCCAGCTCAACGCTCTCCTACAAGCCGTGCTACCAGGACCTGCAATGCGCTCGTCTGATTGTGCCGTTGGACTGGCAGAACAGCAGCAACCCTCATAATGTCGTACTAGCGATCGCGAAGCTGCCGGCCAAGGTCTCCGACGACAACCACATGTTCGGCGGAACCATCTTCACTAATCCCGGCGGCCCCGGCGGTTCTGGGATCGACCACCTCCTCCGAAGGGGCCACGACTTGCAGGTTATTGCTGGCACCCAGTATGAGATCCTCAGCTGGGACCCGCGCGGGGTCGGGCACACGAGCCCCGGAGCAGACTGCTACAGGGGAGACATTATGGCCCGCGACGTTGCCGACATTCAGGTCAGTCATCTCAACTCCATCTCTTCCGTGATATATAGTTTCACCGCATGACGGATGCTGTGTCACGTTCGATGCACTCTTTGTATCTCCCCTATACTCGCTCAACCTTTTATGCTAATGCCTACTTACCGAGTAGGCGGAAGCCATCGGGCCTCTTGATGCCAGCCACGACGCTTTCAGGCGCCGATGGGCCGGGGCAAAGGCCGCCGGCCAAATGTGTCAAGCCACGATGGAGGAAGGCTCTATTCTCCCCTATCTATCTACCGCGAGCGTAGTAAGAGATATGGTAGCGATGCTTGATCAGGTCCATGCACCAAAGTTTCATGCTGGCATGGACGTTGGTGCTGGCACCGAGAAAGTCTTGGAGCCCATGGATGTGCCACGAATTATGTATTGGGGGTTTTCCTGTGAGTCCTATCAGAACACCATCTCTCATTCCTCTTCCCTTTGAATCTCATTGGCTAGCACTCTCTCGATACTTCTGGGACTAACGGGTTTGTATGAGCTAGATGGATCTATTTTAGGCAACACCTTTGCCTCAATGTATCCAGGTCGAGTAGGACGCATGATTCTTGATGGTATTGCTGATGCTGATGACTATGTCAAAGGTGTAAGTCAATGTACCCCTAAGAATAACTTGTTGTAGATTGCCTAATGAAGTTACAGACATGGTTGACCAACCTCCAAGATGCAGATGCAGTTTTGGAAGATTTCTACAGGGGGTGTTTCAGTCAAGATCGCAGCTGCTCCTTGAAAAAGTCTTCAGACACCAAATGGGAAGATATCAAGAACAGAGTTGATGGCTTTATAACACAGACAACCCAGAACCCAATTACCATCATCGACAACCACGATATCACAGTGATCACTGGGGCTGACATCCAGCTTGCCTTCATCCCAACCCTCTACGCACCTCTCAGCTTGTCCAGACACCTCTCTGACTTACTCAGCGATGCGCTTGGAGGAAATTACACTCTGCTCCGCGCCGATATGGCCCAGACGTCACCAAAGTTACACGACTATTGCGCGTCAGAACCGAAACCGTTTACTGGTAGAGACGCTGCTCATGCAATCAAATGCGCCGATGGTGAGGACGAGACCAACCATGGCATGGCTTATTTTCAGTCTTACCTCGACGAGCTCAAATCACAATCTCAAGCTCTTGGTCAACACTGGACCAAGATCCGGCTTGCCTGTTCTGGTTGGAGTACTCGGCCAAAGTGGCGATTCACCGGTCCGTTTACCACCCCCGAGCCCGATGCATCTCTCGTTGAAGGGAAGCCCGCTGCACCTATACTATTCCTGTCTTCGCGGCTGGACCCAGTGACACCGGTCCGCAACGCGGTCAACATGGCCCAGGGACACCCCTCTGCCGCCGTGGTGATTCGCGAGGGTGCCGGCCACTGCGCCGCATCAGCTCCAAGTACCTGTATCTTTCGTATCATTCGAGAATATCTCGACAAAGCCGTGATGCCCGAGAACGGCACATCGTGCTTGCCGGATTGTGATCCCTGGACGCCCTGCCCTTTGTCAATTAAGCTCTTGGATAATAGCCTCTTGAGCCGCAGACATTTCTTCCTCTGAATGGAAGTGCTCTGCTGCTCTTTTGGATCTATTTGTATGGGCGCCTTCTTTACCAAAACTACACGGGGTTTTGGCGTGGCGTTGGTGACTTTCCAGGGCATCCAGAAACTACCGCGCTCTCATTTTCATCTCCCCAAGTTATCTTCTGTCTGGGCAAAGTAAGAACCAGATTCTTCGAGTACTAGAAGAAGAAGAGCAGGCAGACTTTCATGGTCAGCGGAGAGATCGGAAACGTGGCGGAGTTTGAATGCAATTGGGCACAGCCCTTCTAGTATAATCATCCGGAAGCAGTATCCGAGCTTGAGGTTTCCCCCCCCTTCTTCTAGATGCCAAATTCCATTCTCGCTTTTCCATTCCAAACACCCATGCTTATCCCATGTCGAGAACTCCATTATTATCCGGATGCGGCACTGCAATGGCATGTTGCCGCCTCGCCAGTGTCGGAGATTTACGAAAAGACAAAAAAAAAAAGGGTGCATATGGCGGCCGCTATGGTGAGGCTTCCGTGTGCGTCACTGACATAGCCCACCAAGTTTTCCCACTATATTCTTACCGTGTGTGGGTAATGTACGTCGTAGGTCATGTAGGGAGCAAAAGTGGTACAGCGGTACTATAAAGCGGGTTTCAGTGAGTGGGGTGTTGAGACGGGGAACTGGATGGTAAGATGGTAACTCATGGATGAGACCACAATAATTACCTCCACAATTCGATCCTAGGCAGCGATGTAATAATTGAGACCCGATGAGGCAATTACAAGTCAGTATAGCTTGGTCAATTTTGCGAAGGGGGCCCATTTTCTATACACACAAGGCATTCAAAGTCACACCACATGACGACTGCAAAAGGCATTTGGAACCGATTAAATCCATGCATGATAAATGTAGTTGGGATGGTGTATACCTACATAATGTAGGACAGGACGACTTTAGCGCTGGCCCCAATGAATGCACATCTTGGGAGGAAGGGATTGCGCGGCAGCTGTCTGTCAATGATTCAGGCACAAGCGAATACAATGTCTTCTTTTTTCTTTTGTGCCAAGCTGCCGCGCAAGCAGAACGTGTTTTCCGAGCTTGGCTGTGGCTGTTCATACAGAGTACCTGACAGCCGCAACGAAGATCGACAAAGAGCAGCAGTTTTGCTTGGTCGCTTCAATGTGAATTGGTTGCGCCGAAACAGGTTTAGCACATAGATCGAGGAAAACGCCTCCTTGACCCTCGGACTCTCAGTTGCCATGACAGCAATGTCTAGAACCTCTTTCCGATAGCGTCCCCGACTTTTTAGACAGAATAGCTAGCCTAGTTCAGTATACCGGATTGTTTTGGGCGTTATAGTCTGTCTACTGTAGAGATGTTGTCGCACATTCATGCGACTTCCGAGCACAGGTCAAGTCATGGTAAGTTGCCAAGGTGAATCGCTCCAGGTGATTCAACTCGCTCGGAGGTTAGAAATGGAACATCAACAACAAAAAGCCCGAGATTGCATCCCCGTTGAAAGTCGGTCGACAATGACGTTTTGGGTAATTGTGAGTTTCTGCCACGTGCCCGCGCAATCTCCGCGTGGTTATCTGACTCAAATTTGTCTTGACACTTGACAGACAGATAGATAGACAGATAACCTATGCCGATGTCAAGGTCGCCAACAGGACCGTAAAATGCTGACGCGGATCTGAACTTGGCTGCAGTCATCGACTGCGAACAAAGACAATATCCTCGCCGACGATCCGCGCGGGCCCGTCTTTGCACGCCTCACTGTCAACGAACAAGCTGACAAGAGACAGGTTTGCAAAGTTCCTTCCGCCAGCGATCAGTGGATTCATGGAAGTTTCTTCGAAAAATAAAAAAAGAGACCATCCATTACCCGGCCGGGGGCCGCCTTGGGCACGAAAAATGGGAATTAGAGTTTTCAGTAGAACCGTTTGGACAACAAAAATGCGGAGTCACTGTCGTGGGGATTATTGTATAGTAGCGACAGAATTCATATCCGAGACGTTGACCCAAAGTGGGAGCCTGCTTCAGGGTTATTGCTTGAGGCTGCGCGGGAATAGGACGTCATAAGCAATTCTCAAGTATGGGATCCCCTCAGCATTGCGCCCCGATGGATACGCGTCAGGCATCCAGTAAGTTGCCAGAGATGACGGAAAGAATAGAGTAAGCTGCCCCTCTCTGGTGTAGAATAGTGGAAGCGGGCACTGTATGTAGGCAGTAGTAGGCTTCGGCTAGGTAATGTAGTAGGGAATTGTAGTGTAAAGGCCATCTCGACTGTACTGGGTCCTTGATCGTATTCAAGAGGTACAGAGTAATGGGACGAACGAAGAAGAAAAAGAAAAGTAATTGGTTGCGACCCAGCTGAGCGGCTAGTAGAGAGAGATCTGCTCCGTCAATAGATTCATTTGCCCATGGCCTAATTGCCGCACCTTGACCATGGAGTTTTCTCGTCAATTCCCCATTGCCGACCAGATTCTATTGTTTTGGACAGAGATCATCGGCCCACTTGCAAACAGAAAAGATGAGAGCTTCCAAGGCCGCAAGACTGAAACCCCTGGAAAAGCGGTTCTGCAATTGGCAATCGATTCCCCATCTCCCCACTAAACAAGGCCCTTGTAGCACCCCTGTAGCTGGACCGAGCTGAATCTGGCCAGTGGCCGGGTACCTTGCAACCCTGGCAAATCACACTAGGTTTGTAGGTACCCAAGGTAGGGGCTCGGCGGGCGCAATGTACCTACTCTAGCACACTACGTAGAGAACTTGAGAAGGGTGGGCGCGAAAGAGAGAGACGCAGCACCCTGGCCTGGCTGGGCCACCACCACCACCTCCCAATATCAAGCTAAGCTTACCTGTTCCACTGCCTGCATCCCAGCCTCCCACTTCGCTACAAACCCGAGCCCTGACGCGACCAGCCACCGGGAGCTTTTTCATGGTTCATACATTAGTTGCAGAGGCCTTGGACCACCAGTCACCAATTGCAAACAAGCCATTCTCTTCTTCTCCCGGTTTGCATCTCGATTTTCTCCATTCGTGCTGCACGACACTTGGTCGACTTGATTGATTGATTGACCTGCTTGTCTTCGATCCTATCCGTCATCTCTGTCTCCGCCTTCAGTCTATTCGCCCACGACATTTTACTTTCTTTGGGGCTTTTCATTACAGCAGCAAGGCAGACAGTTAGACAGCAGTCTTCACTTCTCCACCGGCAATACAGCACGTCCTTCACTCATATACAGCTGGGCTGCCCTCTGATCCTGTCCTGGCAAGAGTTGAAAACAAATATACGTATATCAACAAAAAGCCAGCAGACATAATTGCCCGACCAATATCTGTTTTCACTACAGCTTTCGGCCGGCGCCCCTCGACTATCTGCAGGCGCAGTCAGGAATCAGCCAACATACAACATAAAGTCGGGTGCTAGGCAGGCATCCTAGCCGCAGACCATGGCCGCCAAAACTAAGCTCAACCCATTAAATGGGATGCACACAGCGGGAATTTTCTCAGACATGAGCATAGATGGCCCAATCATAGGCACATTGGTACTCATTGTCGATCGAGCCAAGAACCTGCCCAACAGAAAGACGATTGGAAAGCAGGACCCATACTGCGCAGCGCGCCTCGGCAAGGAAGCCCAGAAGACGACGACCGACGTTCGAGGTGGTCAGACTCCAAAATGGTAAGTGCTCAGGTTCGGCGCAAAGTGTAAAAGGATTCCCCTCGATTGACTTATTCGGCGCTATAGGGACCAGGAGCTACGTTTTCCTGTACATGACTCTCCAGATTACTATCAACTCAAGCTGTCAGTGTTCCATGACGACAAGAAAACGGAACTTATCGGAGAGACATGGATAGATCTAAGAGACATTATTCTGCCAGGTGGAGGTCAGAGTGATCAGTGGCAGAGCCTGAATTGCAAGGGAAAATACGCTGGAGAAATCAGAATCGAGACTACCTTTTATGACAGCAGGCCAAAGCCAGAGAAGCCTGCTGCGAAGCCGAAGCCTGTGGCGTCCAGCCCTGAACTCGATGCAGGCAGCGTTTCGTCACGGACACCTGTCAAGAGGCGACCTCTACCGTCAAATCCTGGATCTACAGAGCCATCTCCCTCGGCAAAGTCCATGCCGGAGCCTGCCCAAGCACCCGCAAGACCACAGCCTCATGGGAACTTCATCCCAACCCAATCTCCTCTGCAAGCTGTGGAATACAACACTGCACCCCCTGCGCGCTTCGCCCCAGCCGAGCAATACGGCACTCTAGACCACGGTGGTCGTTTTGCGACACCGCCGTCACAGCGCGATGAAGCGCAGTTCCGCCGATCTGTAGATACCAACGAAAAGTTCATTGCTTTGGAGGATGACCGCCGACACAGCCATGAACATCATTCGCGAGCACATGACCACGGCCCGCGGGCCTCTCACCATCATATTCAGCCAGTTCATGAAACGAGTCCGCCCGCAGTACTGGGGCCTCGATCGCTAGGCGGCGCACCACCAGCAGACGATGGACGTCCGCCTCCGCCTCCAGCCCATCGAGTCAGAAACAATAGTGCAACGTCACACGAAGCAAACGTGCCATTGCAACACAAGTCAACTCCTTCGATGCAAATGAGACACGACGTGCTACGAAATGAGGCTCATCGGCACACTGCGCAGGTGGCACCTTCACCTCAGTCAGCACCGTCCATTTCGAGTTACCCAGGCCGGCCAGTTTACCGTCCATATGATTCAGCGCCAGAAATGCCAAAACAACAACTAGTATATGAGGACCCTCACCATCCGTCACCGCCGCGACACCACTCATATGATGCCGTTCACGAGCCGCACCCACGTTCTCTGCAGCCGACAGTCGAGGATGTGCCAGAAACATGGACGCCGCCGGCAGCACGCCGACCCAGTTCTATCCAGGAAACGCACTCTGATATGGCATATGGAGCGGTCCCCAGTCCTGCACCACTGAACCTGAGTGGTCGAGGCAGCGCCGCCTCGGCTAATTTCCCACCGTCACCCTACGGGATGAACAACTTTACCACATCGCCCTCGCCAATCGCTTCGATGAATCATTATGATGATCGTGCCGTGGCTCCGCACGCCAACTCATTTGACGGCAGCGTGGACCCCTACACGGACCGAAGCATGTCGGAAGGTGTCTTGGTGCCACGATCCAGCAATTTCGACTTGCCGTCTGTGCCACCGGCTTTAGTTCCTGGTGTAGACCCTGCCTTGACGCAAGAAATTGCAACTCGCATCCGAGAAGATCAAAGCAGGAGTCACGAGCGTCGCTATACGCAACCTGCCCCCATTGTGACACCTACCAGGGGCAGGCAGCACAGCGAGCCACCCGCTAGTCATGTGCCTCAGCCGTATAATCACCACCCCAGAGATTCCGGAGGCTATGGCACATCATACTCCCATGGCCCAAGTCCCGTGGCCAACACCCAGACGCGTAGACATTCGCCGAGTCCAAATCCAAGCCACACGATAAAGAGGAAGTCGGTGAGCCCAGCCCCTCCGCCCAGGGAGGAAGGACGGCGGCTATCGGGCGTGCCTTTTGGCCCCGATTCGTACGACGAATTAAACCCATCAGTTGTATCAGCGCAGGAGGAAACCAGAAATGGCGAATACACAAATGCGTATGGCAAGATTGTCACAGCTGATGGAAGAGAGGTCGATCCGTCGGATCACCTCCCCATGGATACTTGGGCACCAGAGCCGGAACCCAAGCAGCCCAAAAAGCCTGAACCAGCACCCAGTTCGCGGCCAGCTCTGGCAGGAGCACAGCCCATGCCGTCTTCAGGTCGTCGACAGATTAGGATCACGGCTCGACCCCAGTCTATGGCCGTTGTACCATCCTCCTACGCTCCAGTCGAGGCCGAGCTATCGCCGCCTGTGGCTGCTGGTCGAAACAAACTGCAAAAGAAGAGAAACCACCATGTATCAGCCTTGCCAGCACCAGCACCCAACTCGAGCCCGCTGGGCCCGGCAACATCACACCAGCGTAACAGCACACCGCCGACTGCGTTGGTCCGTTCTGGTACGTTCGACTATGAGAACTATGGTCCAGCATATGGTTCACCAAACGGGACATATGTTAGCGGCCCTCCTATCCCAGCAAAAGTTCCACTGATGAGTGGTGGACTTGGTCCAGCTGGAAACGCTTCTCCTGATGACTGGGCTATCATGGATGAGATGAGTCGTATCGACATTGGCACTGGAAGGTCAAGGCGGCATGGTGGCTACTAAGAGAGTGGCCCTAGAGAACTGCCAAATGTGACTTTGAGAATGAGCCACGATCACAAGGATATTGTGGCGTTCATTTGCGAGGCAATCTTTGGCCTTGTACTATTATTTTCTTTCCAAGCCAGCTCTTGGCGGCTCGCGCTTTATTCTATTCTACAATACGACTATTAGGGAGGCTTGGTTTTCTTCCAGGATGGGTTCGGCAGGAGACGGAGTTTTCTGAAAATAATGGAAGAAGCGCAGGGAACATGCAGGTTTACGAACACTGTACATGGAAAAAGATTTCCCCCCACAAACGAGATTGTGCATTTAGTATAATAGACCCGTGAAGAATAAACAATGGCTTGAATAATTGCCAAGATACCCCCAACCATGACACTTCACTGCGCGACAGAAACGTGAGCTTTGACTGTAGCACTAGGACTTTCTTCCTTTTTCTTTATCTTTTTATTTTTCCCTTTTTACACTTGTACTATTAGCCCATTGGCAAGCCCCCATTTTCCCAATTGATGTCTATATCCCATCATCAACTGGAGTTCCATAAAATTACACCATGTGTGGGAGGCGAATATTCTATTCTTAATCGTTAACTATAGCGCCACGCCTCTGTAAAAATGATTGAACCTAGTATTGACCTCCGAATACCGTGCTAGTAATAAGGGGATAGTAGGTACATTGAACATTCCCCAAGGCAAAAGGTCATGCGCAATACGTCAAAGTCTTGTTCGCAACATGTGCTCCTCTTACTAGTGGTCTTCGTTGGCAGTGGCAGAAACGCTGTCGGTACAACCGACAAGTCTTGGCAGGCACCGACGTCATAGACCCCATAAAAAGTGTCTCTAGCCACGCTAGCCTCCAGTCCCAGGTGCTCAGACCAGTCGCCTCGGAAGTCAAGTTTTTCCTACCTAATTGTCACAGCCCATCGCGTGGCACCACCGACGAACCAACCAACCTTTCAGGCCTTTTTCGCAACCTCACTTCTAAGCACTGCGGACTAATCTCCATCTACAGATCGCTATTATCAGGACTGGGTCTTGCGCGCATCTACCTGGCGCATTCTCATATTTATCTTGAGTTTCTCTGTTTTTTCCCCAATTTTTCCTCCCCCTTCATCAATCACCACGAATATACGACATCTCGCACATCAACCATGTCTTCTCGCGGTAGCACTACGCTCTACGTGACTGGTTTCAGCCACGGAACCCGCGCTCGCGACCTCGCGTACGAATTCGAACGGTATGTCAACTGAAAACTCATCGTCGTCGTCGTCGTCGTCGTATTCGGAACCTCGATCGACCGTCCTTCCGGCTGCGGTGCTTCTGCCTATCTCACGGTTCCCTACCGTCTCCCGCGATCCTACCCGTTTTCTCGCCCACGCATACGCACGCCGGGTCATCGAGCCGTCCTTTATCCCCCGTCCCTTCCATCGCTCGCCTTGTAAACTTAGATACCAGCATCTCCCTTTCGATCGAGCGGTCGGATCCTTCGTTTACGTGCTTCGCGAATCGGCCCGCCCAACCCCGTGGCGGGAACTCGAATCATTACGCACCGATGCGGAAACGGAAAGTGAAACTGTGGTATGATTGCTGACTCTGATCACCTTTAGTTATGGTCGCCTTGTGCGATGTGACATTCCGGCTCCTCGCAGCGCTTCGAGCAGATTGTAAGTTCACCAGACCATGGATTCATCTATCTTCGAGATGGACACACTGCTGACCACGACATTTTAGGTTTGCTTTCGTTGAGTATGAGGATCGTCGCGATGCTGATGATGCATATTATGAGATGCACAACAAGCGTCTTGGACGTGATGAGATCTTGAAGATCGAGGTGAGCACCTTCTGTTCCGTTCTGGTGGACCAGTAGCTAACACAATATAGTGGGCTCGCACTCCTCCCTCTGCTTCTTGGCGCTTCGACTCGGGTCGTGACCGTGATCGTGACTCTCGCCGTGCTCCTCGATCGCCGCGCCGTGGCCGCTCTCCTTCCCCCAGACGCAGCACAAGAGATTACTCGCCTAGGAAGGATGACCGCCGCGACCGCGACCGGGACTACGACAGAGATTCGCGCCGTGACACCCGAGACCGTTCTCGAAGCCCTGACCCTCGGTACAGCTCCCCCAGATCCCAAATCAAGGCAGAAGTCAAGGAGGAAATCAATGAAGAGGCACAAGCAAGCAGCATCTACTAAAACGACATCGACAGTGACAGAGACCGAGACAGCAAGGACGAGCGTGATGACCGCGATCGACGTGAAAATGGAACTAACGGTGATGACCGAAAGCGTGAGTTAAACCCTTTTTACTATTCAAGTCAGCAATCTTACTAACGCTATACAAGCCGTCGACTCTCCCCCACCCCGTGAGCACGACGATCTGGATGCGGCCGAGTAATCACTTTTTCCTTGATGATAGACCGCACGGTATTCTCACTGAGATGCCCTTAAAAGTTCGTGTGTAATGTTCTGTATCGGCCGGTAGTTGATTTCTCTTTCCGGGTCTGCTCATTTTCTAGTCCGGGTGACCTCCGATTTGCTTTCGCGACACAACGTACGATAGATTCAGTTATTCAGCGCAAATAGGTCGGGCGCTGCTGTTGCCGAATGAACCCAGCTTGTCCTTCGGCCTTGGGGGCTCGACTCTAGTCTCTTCTATAGGTAATAAATCGTTAAACCATTAGGTTTCGTTGGTCCCATCGTTCACATCGATCCAGTCCCGGATAATATTGCTGCGTCACAATATGCGTCACGGTCATCAATCAGTCTTGTCCATCAATTGAAATCTGGAATTACCTGACTGAAAGACAAATGAATACTCAATTACAGAAAAATGACATGGCAATCAATTGATTAGCTCATAGCACTTGCAGCACGCGCATTATATGTCTGTTTCCATATCGCCTCGAAAAAAACAAGTACCTACGCGGCCAAAGTATTCACCTAATAAGATCATGGTGCGATGAGTAAGTCGAGTTGGCACAGCTAGACTCAGTCATGTTTACAATGGTATTTCATGTTAGATCTCGACCCCATCAGGTGCCAGGCCTTCGCCAGTACATCGATTCCCCTCATTGAACTATGTTTCATGCTGCATTTGCATTTCGAGTGACAGTGCTCCTGATGATATTGCTCAGGAGCCTAGTCCAACTTCAAAATGCTTACCGAATTTCACCACGCCTGCTTCAATTCAGGTCCAGATATCCCAAGTAGGAAGCTACGGCAAAGCAGCCGTTAGAGTGCGAACCACTATTGCTGTCGTGCTGCTTCCAAGATACATTATAGCGAGCCTTTTATTGAAATCTGGAGCAGTGCACGACGCCCAATCCGCAGTTTCATAAAAAATCTTTGAGAATATTCTGCCTATAGCAAAGACTCGGTCAAAATCTAACTCATTGCTCATACTCGTGTTGTTTTCACATATGCTAAGAATAAATAGTTACTCCGAACATGCCTGGCATGGGTGTTGATTCCACTTTAATGGAGTATAGATAGAGCGGTGCTGAGTGGAGTACGTAAAACATAGAGCTTGCATCCATCCGGTAGCGCCTTTCCACTGCATAACAATGAACAAGACGTACAGAACTGCATGAAGTGGTGGGCTACCATCAGAGTCGATGCACTCACTGATGGTTACGAGCGGATGAGCGAGCCAGTCGAAGTCGATGGTGCAGTCAGCACAGATGCAGCATCTGGACACTCGTCTTTCCCGGTCTAACCCGGCCGGTCTCCGGTGTCAACACTATCACGGCGATTTTCGGCTATGATGATCGTTGGCGCCGCCGGGTTTAGGTGAAGCTCCATATAGCGGTGCAAAGCAGCCAACCAAATACCGTTGTTAGGTATACGGCGATCTTGCTTGGCTGACTGAATGATCAGCGCATATGACCAGGCACTGGCGGGGGAAACTACCTACTAGTAAGCATGGCCAAACACTACATCCTTACAACCGTTGAGACTTGTAAAGGCGGATGTAAATGCTGCCTTTTCTATCAAGAGATTTTATACACTCAGACTTATCTAGTTTGTTATATGACGGGCATTGATTTCGTGACTCATGTAACCAGAAAACGTGGGAAACAAGGGAACTGTCCGGATGCATTGAAACGCAAAGGCTTGCTCTCTCGTTCGGGCATGCATAAGCGATGCGATGAATCAACCAATCAGACCATCCTGCACACACGATCTGCCGTAGTTTACTGCTGTTTCCCGAAACACTGGATCACATCTTGATTGTTGAGCAGGATTAGAAGTTGGGACTCGAGTTGGGATTTTATCACAGCTACAGTACTGACAATATACATGTGCTGCTCACGCAATTTCATGTTGTTGCCCGTGCTATGGATCCGTCCCCCTTTTGTCTTTAATTGGCAGTTTTCTCGAATTATATCATAAAGAAAAGGGAGTGAACAAGAAAAAAAGAAAAGAAACCCCCTAGAGTTAAGGAGGATTTCAAGAACGGGGCATAAGCACAAGCGTCTCAGGCTTGCATGGTGCACCTAAATAACGTGAAGAAGGGTTCGCGTGGACGGTAAAACTACCTTTGTGTAGACAGATACAGATCTCATGTTCGTCTTCCGACAGATCAGATTCCCGTCATGCGGCTGTTAATTGACCCCACGTTTGTCTCCTGACAGCTTAAGTAAAACCCAAAAGCTGGGGGGAGCCGGGAAAAAAAAAAAAAAGAGCTGAATTAAGTTGGTATGAGCTTTTTGGTCGGCTGCTCACCTATTTAGTACCCTGTAGGCAGAGAAAAGGCGCCTAGGGTACCTCTAGATCCGCTGTGACGCCGCCCAGGGACTAAAAAGCTGAGTCTGACTGATTGATCTGATCTGACTGCTCCTCAAACTTCCTGTCTGTCCCTGCGCGCTTTCTGATTCTCTTGTCAGTCATGTTCTGTTAGCACTCTGCTCACATTCGTTCTCGACGCAGACTGTTCCCAACCTCAATTCTCTTCTGATTTATTCTTTGTAGATGGGCTGCCGACCCCATTGCGATCCCGCCAGCTAAGAATCCTCCGACGGCCAAAGAGCTCGCTCGTTGCGTGCGCTGCTGCTACCTTACCCACCCCCCAGCTTGACACATGGTGAACTCGACCAGAGCTTAAAGCTATGACGTCCGAACCTGCGACGAACTCTTCTTACTGCTAGGATTCGACGACACGACAATTGCAAATCCTCCCACATCAACCGCCAACTTTGAGCAACCACGTGTGCCTACACATTGTTTGTATGCACTTGGCGCGGCCGAGGATACACGTTCTGACACCTCAGCACTTGTGCGACGCTGCCTCTAGCTGCCGTCAACGCGTCGCAAACTCTACTCTCTGACTGCGCCAATCCCATCTGTCAAGATGACAACTGTACGTTGGAAGAAGCCCCATCGGGAGGTTACATCGCTCTCCTACAGAAACATCGTCGCCAAGATGAAATTCAGGAACAATGACTGACCAGCCATGTTCTCTTTGCAGACTTCTGAGGATGCAATCAAGGCAGCCCCAAATGCCGACAAAGCAACTCCTTTCCGAGACTTCTTTTCACAGCCCGTCATTGCTGCCTTTTGCGGCGGCGGCGTAGCTGGTGCCGTATCGAGAACTGTCGTCTCGCCCCTCGAACGATTGAAGATTCTATATCAAGTGCAAAGCGCCGGTCACAATGAATACAAGTTGCCCGTAGGCAAAGCGCTCGCAAAGATGTGGCGCGAAGAAGGTTGGAGAGGTTTCATGCGTGGAAACGGCACAAACTGCATTCGCATAGTCCCATATTCAGCGGTGCAATTTGGTAGTTACAATCTCTACAAGAAGGTGAGATTGCGCTTTGCAACGGGCACACCCCCCAAAAATGAGATTCGTAGATGCTGACCATGAGCAACGAACAGCATTTCTTTGAGACTTCGCCGGGATCTTCTCTCAGCCCGGTGGAAAGACTTGTGTGTGGTGGCATAGCAGGTATCACCTCGGTCTTTTTCACCTATCCTTTGGACATAGTCCGCACGCGACTATCGATTCAATCAGCATCATTCGCTGCTTTGGGCGACAGGCCCAAAGGAGAGCTGCCCGGCATGTGGCCGACGTTGGCCACCATGTATAGGGAAGAAGGCGGCATCAATGCTCTTTACCGGGGCATCATTCCTACGGTAGCGGGCGTCGCACCCTATGTACGTTTTTCGAAATCCGAACACAGCACCAACATTTTGCTTTGGGTTTTTGCTTTTGTTACTGACTTGTCTCAGGTCGGCCTGAACTTCATGGTCTACGAGTACGTGCGAAAGCTGTTGACGCCCGAGGGGGACCGTGACCCAAGCGCATGGCGGAAGCTGTTGGCCGGTGGCCTGTCTGGAGCTGTGGCACAGACCTGCACATATCCCTTGTAAGTCATGTCAATTCTCATTCCCTGATGAAGAACGAGAGTGCTGATGCTGTTTTCAGCGATGTGCTGCGGAGAAGGTTCCAGATCAACACCATGTCTGGTATGGGCTACCAGTACAAATCAATATTCGACGCCGTGAGAGTTATTGTTGGTCAAGAAGGTATCCGAGGCTTGTATAAGGGTCTCGTTCCCAATCTACTCAAGGTTGCCCCCAGCATGGCAGCCAACTGGCTCAGTTTCGAGATGACGAGAGACTTTTTGATTGCTCTCAATGATCCAGAGCCTGTCAGATTATAGGCGTAAAGGAATTTCCAGCCCCTTGGTTGGATATGGAAAACAAGATTCCCAATTGGAACTGTACCAAAATATCATAGAGCAGCGAAATGGCTGCATTGCATCGAGAAAGACGGCAAGGCATTTCCGGGAGCTCAATAAACAGAGGCCAGATCTTCCCAGCAAAACTGGTTGGTAGGCTTTCAGGACGCTAGACAAACAGATTTGTTAGAAAACACAGGAGTTTTCTATAAAGTACTTGGTCAATGGCGCTGTATTTGGAAGACAACCCGACTACAAGCGGTTGTCACTGGGAATATACAAGACTGGAGTCTCGATAGCTGTAGACTTTACTTTGTATATATGCACTTTATTTTTTGTAATCTTTCTTTTTGCATGTGTGATGAAGGGAAATACTAAAGAACTGTATTCAATACCTCGGAGACATGAGAATTCTATTGTTCGACTAACACTTGACATTGCGAAAGTCGATGGACTCATGGGTCTATTGAATCTTCTCTATACGGGAAATGGAGTGAAGCATTGGCAGCTGCGAGATCTTTTTGGCCAGCTGAGAAAAACTGCTACCACGACGACCAAGGACTTTGATTGATGTTTAGCTAAGCCGGGCCCCTGCTAGCTCTCCATGTTTAGGTGGGGCTGTATTTCATGTGGTCCTGACCCCGATCGAGTCTAGGCAAGTCAAAGACTTTCAATCTGGCGAAGTTTTACCCTAACTGCCAATTTTCACCGCCCACCCACAGACTCGTCCCACCTCTGCCAATCGAACTTTCCCACTTTGCTGGCGGGCCTTCACGAGAACTTTTTTCCTTCTCGACTTATACTAACCCGGCAGCCAACAATTCAACCCATCGACTCAGCAACTTCGACAGAGTCACCGTCAAGATGGGTACGTCTATTACTTGGATTTTTCGTGTGCAAGTGGGCAATGTTTGAGAGGCAATTGCCGCAGCGAGAATGAGAAACGGTCGCATCGATTGATTGCACAGTCTCAAAAGTTCTCGCGGGCTCTTTTGCGAAACTCACATTGTCTGCGATCTGGACAAATCTCTCCTTCGATGGATGAGGTCTCATCTACGAGTAACGTCGAGGACGAAAACAATGCATTTGCAAGCGAGAGCGGTCTGATAACCGATCTGGCCTCTGCTGTCGCGCTTTTCCCGACGGACCTCTTGAGCCTCTCCATCGCTGGATGACGATGTCCCATCATGAGCATACTTGAATAAGAAGCTAACAGTTAGCTTTAAAGGTATCGATCTGGACAGACACCACGTGCGCGGCACCCACCGCAAGGCACCCAAGAGCGACAACGTCTACTTGAAGCTCCTCGTCAAGCTTTACCGCTTCCTGGCCCGTAAGTTGCACCCGCTTTTGCTCATGCGGCCCCGAGCTGGATTCTCTCCAGCTATCAATCTTGACCGACCAGCGCTAATCTCTTGTGTCTCTCATCTTAGGTCGTACCGACTCCAGCTTCAACAAGGTCGTCCTGCGCCGCCTTTTTATGTCCCGCATCAACCGACCCCCCGTCTCTGTCTCCCGCATCGTTGGTCAGAGCAAGGGTCAGGAGGGCAAGACCGTCGTCGTTGTCGGTACCATCACCGATGACAACCGCCTGCTCCAGGTCCCCAAGCTGAGCATCGCTGCTCTGCGCTTCACCGCCACTGCCCGTGCCCGCATCCTGGCCGCCGGTGGTGAGACCCTCACCCTCGACCAGCTCGCTCTGCGTGCTCCCACTGGTAGCAACACCCTGCTGCTCCGTGGCCCCAAGAACTCCCGTGAGGCCGTCAAGCACTTCGGCATGGGCCCCCACAAGAACAAGAAGCCCTACGTCCAGTCCAAGGGCCGCAAGTTCGAGCGTGCCCGTGGTCGCAGACGATCCCGTGGTTTCAAGGTCTAAGCGGGCCTTGTTGGTTGAATGGGTTAGGAACGGTCATGTGCTACGTCTCTTCCAATATACCATGCGAGCACTTTTTAGCAGCTGGAAGGGATTTCATCAGGCGTCACTTGTGCATGGTTTGGCGTGGATCGGTTTCACAAAATGAATTATTAGGGAATGATGAAAGCATTGACAAACCAATCTACTACCGTTCTGATGCCTGACAAGTTGTGTTGTGTTAACCTCTGACTATCTAAATGTGATTTTAAAATGACCAAACTTTTTACCTAACAGTATACCAATCAACCCAGACCTTTTGCCGGGCCTTCAAGCAGACTTCTGCAGTGTCGTGTCACATCTCTTTGAAGATGGACCAATGAAACTCTTCAGCAGACATGAAGTGGACAGAGCGCCAAAAGTGATCGACCATTGTATATAGAATAGTTACAGCCGCCGTACTGATCGTATAGTCACAATACTACGAAGGCACAGGCGTAGTCAACTATGTTAGATTGAGACGCTTTTGTACAATCCGACATGGTAGACAGATTTTGCTAATCCCAGAGCAAGCCACAATATGAATTATGGAGTCAAGTGAACACGAAAATTTGATTCATGGTAGGACTTGACATAGTATGTGGTTTCTCCCTCTGTCAAATATCACGGTGGAGACGGTGCTAATAGTATATACGGCGCAGAGTGCATCTCAGGCTTATTGTAGTACTTTAATAGGTGTCACGTGCTTTGGCGTTGTTCCGCGTTGGTTATTTCGTCATGAAACCTTGAAGCGTATCCAAAATGCATCGCGACCATTGAAACGTCTATCACGCCTCGCTTCTGATTCAATATTAAAGGAATCAATTTTATCGAGCGTGAAAAGCATGTGTGGTCGATACGCTCTGGCACTGGTATGGTCGCAACGTCATTTATGTCCCATTGGGTCAAGAGAGCTAATAATTTGATGAATCGCACAGCGTCCGGCGCAGATCCGGCAAATGCTACAGGATCAAAATATGCCTGTAGATGAAGCACCCGGTGACGAGGGTGACGGAGCGCCGCGCCAGTCCTATAACTTTGCACCGGGATATCATGGCGTTGTCTATCGCGCCAACGTACCCGACTATGGCGCCGGCCCCCGCCGCCAACAAGGCAACCACCATGGTTCAGAGGCCAACGACACTGAAGCCACGGAGGGAAACAACACAAAGGTTCTGCCGGTTGAGCAGAGTCACGGCGCCTCAGAGGAGACTCACTACAAGCTGCAATCGATGAAATGGGGTCTGATCCCTTTCTGGACAAAGCGCAACCCGGATTACGGCAGCATGATGAAGACAATCAACTGTCGGGACGATTCATTGGCACAAGGTGGCGGCATGTGGAATACGATGAAGGCCAGGAAGCGCTGCATCGTGATTGCGCAGGGCTTCTACGAGTGGCTGAAAAAAGACGGCAGCAAGGACAAGATCCCTCATTACGTCAAGCGCAAAGATGGGCATCTCATGTGCTTTGCCGGCCTCTGGGACTGCGTGCAGTACGAAGGCGAAGGTGACGGCGACCAAGATACCAATAGAGAGAAGCAGCAAAAGCACTACACGTATACCATTATCACAACGGACTCGAATGCGCAGCTCCGCTTCCTGCACGACCGCATGCCCGTCATCCTCAACAATGGCTCCGAGGCGCTGCGGACATGGCTTGACCCGGCGCGCCACGAGTGGACCAAGGAGCTGCAGGCACTGCTCAAGCCGTTCGACGGGGAGCTCGAGGTGTACCCCGTCAGCAAGGACGTTGGCAAGGTCGGCAACAACTCGCCAACATTCATCGTGCCCCTGGACAGTAAAGAAAACAAGTCCAACATTGCCAATTTCTTCGCCAAGGGTGCCAGCGCCGCCACCAAGCAAAGCCCTGGGCAGAAGGAGATACTCAAACCCGAGCAACCGGAAATCGAGGTGAAGAAGGAAACTGGATTTGTGGAAGAAGATGCCAAGGAAGACTCCAAGGAAAAGATTGCTCACAACGTAGGCGAGAGTCTGTCCAAGTTGAGCAGTGTAAAACGAGAGGCCGACGATGGGCTGGAGGGCGCGCCGCCAAGGAAGGCGTTGAGATCCAGCGGTCCGGTCAAGTCGCCGTCGCCGCAGAAGAATCCGGGCAGGCCAAAGATTAGTGCTACGAGCAATGGTACAAAGTCGCCGCAGAGGAAGGCGACGAAACAGGCCGGGACGCAGAAAATCACAAAGTTCTTTGGTAACAGCTCATGACAGAAGATAGGGTAGAAGCATTATCTTGATGTTTCAAACGTGTAAACCTCACATGATGCGGTGCAATGGTCGCGGCATATATCTCTAATTCTTCCATCGGAATGGATGATCTACCTAGGGACGCAGTGCCCTCCAAATCACTGAAGAACGGTCCACCCTGGTTGTTCCTGTATCAAAGGAGTGTAGTAGTTACGATGTATTGTTTCCGATACGTTCCAGAGGTCAGAAGAGCAACATCATACTCAGCAGGTAAACTAGTCTCTGGATTAGCGCTCGAAGAACATCATGTACCAGGAAATAAAGTAACACTCACAACTGCCGGTCCGGGAACCGTGTACGAGTTGAAGTTATTGTAGATCTGTAGCACAGGGTGGAATGAGTTAGTCAAGAAAAGAACTTTTCGACCTGAAATACTATGAAACCGGATGCATCTTCTTTAGGGGAACTCCTTACGTTGGCAGTGTAGCCAGGGTCGGTGGCCTTGACAAAGCCGGGAATCTTGGCCGTCGTCGAGGGCGTCGTCGACCCGCCGCCCGTCACCTTGACCTGGGCGCAAGAGATGTAGAATTGAGGCGTGCTGCCCGGGTTGTGGATGGCGAGGGACTGGATGCGAAGAAGATATTCTCCCGCTGGGATGCACGTAGGAACTGTGCTAGAGTAGGAGCCTGCATTTTAGGAAAACATGTGTTAGGGAGATGCATTTTCTATAAAAAGTGGCATTCGAGGGAGGGAAGTAGGGCCGTACTTGACATGGTCCAGCTTGCCTGGCCGTTGGAGAACTTGGGGCCCCTGAGCAAGAAAGATAAAAAGTCAGAACACTCCTAGTCATCTAGTAACCCCCAGCGTATGATTTCTGAAACTCACCAGTCAAAGGTCTTGAACCAGTCACCGGTGCCATCATACTCGGCAGCTGTGCTCGGTGCCTTGGACATGTACAGCGAGATCGGACCTTGGTGGTAGACGGCCTAAGGGACGTTCAGTATTTCCGAAAGTTGATCATGTTCTTGTAGCCACGATGCATATATACCTGATCAAGAGTAAAGGTGAAGGGAGACCCAGCTGCCACCTCAATGGTTGTCGTATTGGCGCCGGTGGCTCCTCCTACATTGCATCGAAGATCATTCGAGGCCAAGTCTACATTTGAATAAGTAATACTGTTTGTAAAGTATTGAATCTTCTCTAAAGGCCTTGGAGATCATACCAGTGACGGGCGAGTTGTTGTTCGTGTTGCGACGAACATACTCGTAGGCAGTCGCCTTGGTTGTCCCAGGCGAGAAGGTCGTGAAGATGTAGTGTGCCGAGGCACTCTGTGCAGCCAAGGCAGCAACGACGATCCCGGCAAAGGTCTTCATCTCGGTGATATTAGATTGATGCAAAAAGGAATGCAGAATAATGATGATATGGATCTGAAGGATCGTGTCAAGAACTACAGGCAAAAGATCTGTGGCACAGTCTGCAGGATAGATGATTCCAAAGGAGGTAGCGAAGAAGCACTCAAATATGGCTTTCATATGGTTCACTTCTTGGCTTAATCCAGAGATGGGGTTTTACACCGGGTTGGAGTGATGACATTGTTGATCGATCCTCGACCCTGTCTACGAAACAGCGCATTCTATCTCTGATCCAACATGCCGTGTTCTGGTGTCCAGTATTGATGAACGGCAGAGGACAGCATAAGCGGCACGACCCTGCGAGTCAGCAAATAGTAGTTGAAAGAAACCCGCTCGCTTGATATAATGCTTGATAAAACACTTTACCCGAGGGTCACTAGGAATGATTTGGGCCTACCACGTGTGATGGTATTGTTGCCTTGCCAAGTCATCTACCGGCTAAAACCCCTGGAGTGGTTCAAATTTAGTTCTAGCCCGGCTGGAGAGATTCCGAATCTGGAAAACGATGCTTTGAAGGATTACTTGGAATGGAATAGAAAGGAAAGCTCGCGGCACGACAAGCACGGAATGACGGTTTGTCTGCCCGGGACTCGTGACAGCTCATGGAACACATAATGGTAGCAATTGGATAGTATACTATCATACATGCTACTGGGCTGGAAGATCTCATGTGCTGTCAAGCACGATTCAACTGCTCATCCCAAAAAAGAAAACAAGTCATTGTAAATTTCCACCGACCACCTTTGTCCTCCGATGGTCCATATACAAGTCGCAGCTAGGCTACAGTCGCACTATCAAAAGGCTTGAAGGTCGAGTTCGACTGGTACAAGTCGCCACAACCGTTCAGAAAGTGAACAAATAATGGCTATCATTCAAAGTACCTGCAACTGAAACATTTCTGTAAATTAATACTGTAATATTGCTGATCAGCAATGAAATTGTATTCTGATTTACTCGAAGACATTTCTTTATTGCCTGATTCAAAATCGATATTGGCAATAAGTATTATTGAAAGATTTCAGCTGTGTGATAAACATTCACGGCGATAGAACTAGTCCCGGTGATCATCGCGGCTATTCGACGCTCGCCTACAACCATTGCCAAGCCGTGCTGCTCTTGAGTCTCACAGATACAGTTGGGATCACACTTTGTGATGCTCTAAGAAAACGCCTGGGAATATTCAGTGATGTATTAGTGACTGGGATTTATCCGCGAACAAGCGCATACAAGCCACAACATGCACAAGAGCAATACCAAAGCCGTCGGGTTGGGAGCCTCTCGATTGAGGCGAGATCTGATATAGACCGACAGGCTATAATATGCCCTGCGGGGTCCAAGGATTCCAAGTTCCGTTGGCCTGGTCGGCAATCTATCCGCAATTAAGCTCAACAGCCACTACGGATTTTACCCAGACCCAAGTCAATCTAATAAACGCCTTGGTACTACTTTATTCTCAGCGGTGCCCCGGTGGCGAGAATCCCAGCACCGGAAGTCTCCCCCGTCAGCAGGCGTCTGTGTGGTCACACTGGCGCTTGAAGGCTTACCAAGGCTTACCTACACGCTGGCTCTGGTTGGAGGAGGGGTGTATTCAGGCGGCTCATCATTCAGCATTGCCGAAGTCCTTGCATTGGAATATGCAATGTACTAGCGGTCGGAAATGTTCCAATTACAAGTCTCTCTTCACAATGCCCACTCAATTATACAAGAAGAGCGAACTTCAATGTCAGCTTCATGGAAGATATCCTAAACCCAAACTCGGCCAAGAGCTTGGCAAGTAATTGGTCACAAAATGCCACACAAAGAACTCGTGTACTCCTTGATTGGCCAACAATCGAACAATCCATGGTTTGCTTCACTTAAGCTGGTCGTAATGGGTATATAGAAGTGATGTTCAATCTGGAACATTAAAAGCCCTTTCAGCGGTGGAATATCATGTTACAAAGTATCAAGAGAACCGATTGTCATTTCAGATCAGACGGGCCGTGTTCGACATACACAATCTTGGCTGCAATCTAGCTCCATTTGTAGCCTTCCGTCCCATATAGGCACCGACCAGGACCCTTTCACCGTCGTTCCGCTTGAGGCGACTTGACCCGAGTAGATTGCAATAGCCTGTACATTGACAGGGTGTCGCCAAGTGGCGTCTCTTCCAAATGATCAAAACTGTCAAGGCGATTTGCAAATCACCGGATAATACCTAGAAAACAGCCTAGGTCAGTATTAGGGCCAGGTTACAGAGGTCATGTGCTCAACAACGGCAGTATGCTCACAATGGATCGACAAGGTGGCTGTAGATCCGCCTCCGTCCCTCATGCCCGGCACCGACATATGTAAAAGAACCGATCCCAGCCAATTTAAATTCAGGAACCAAAGACTTGGTGATTCTTGGAAGTGTGGCTGTCATTCGTACCCGTGTTCAAGATGAAGGGGCTTGCTCGTGTTGCGTCCGCGTTTGTCGCAGCTGCTGCGTGTAAGTGGCGCCCTTTTGTAGTTCATATTGTCGACGTCTGAATTTGCTGACAAGGTGGAAGCTATTCAATCATGCCTTGCCCAGACGGCATACACTGATTCCAAGACGGGGATCAAGTTCTCTACGTGGACACAAAAGGGTGGCTATACATATGGTATTGCGCTTCCAGGTGATGCTCTGACAAAGGATGCTACCGAGTATATTGGCCTTCTGGTACGCAACTCACCTCAGTCAAGGAATTCTTCTGACAAATTGATAGAGATGCACGGCCGGATGGTGCGGTCTATCCCATGGAGAATCGGGGCAGATGACGGGAGCCTTGTTGCTCGTGGCGTGGCCATATCAGGACCAAGTCGTCACATCCTTTCGATATGCAACCGGCTACAACTTGCCTACAGTCTATTCTGGCGATGCGAAGCTGACACAGATCTCCTCCTCCGTCAACGGTACCTCTTTCGAGATTATTTACCGATGCGAGAACTGCTACTCGTGGAATCAAAACGGTGCGACGGGATCAGTTTCCAGCAGCAGCGGATCATTTGTCCTCGGGTATGCCCAGGCGCAAGCTGCCGTCGCGAATCCTAGCTGCCCGGACTCTACCTTTAACCAGCATGATGCATTTGGACAGTATGGGGGTCAGCTCAGCGGTGCCGCAAACTCGGCCTACGCATCGTGGGCCGCCCTCGCCACCAAGACCACGAATGGTGCCTGCGGTAGTGCAACGACAACGACAACGACTACAACGCAACCAACAACACCGCCGACCACTACTTCCGTCCCAACTGCCACGCCTACTTGTGTAGCGCCATCGTCGGATACATATGACTATGTTGTCGTAGGTGCCGGCGCCGGAGGCATCCCTATTGCGGATCGACTGAGCGACGCTGGCCACAAGGTCCTCCTCATCGAAAAGGGCCCGCCATCTTCAGGTCGTTACAATGGGACCATGAAGCCAGGATGGCTACAAGGCACCAATTTGACACGATTTGATGTTCCCGGACTTTGCAATCAGATCTGGGTTGACTCGGCTGGAGTTGCTTGCACTGATACAGACCAGATGGCTGGCTGCGTCCTGGGAGGTGGCACTGCTGTCAATGCTGGACTCTGGTGGAAGGTAAGTCTTTTTTATCTGCGAGTCTCTATGAGTATTGAAGCGATGCTGACTATATTAGCCAAACCCTCTCGACTGGGACGAGAATTTTCCAGCAGGATGGCACCACAGCGACGTCAAATTCGCAGAGGACCGCGCGTTTGCTCGCATCCCGGGAACCGACAACCCCTCGGCAGATGGTGTCCTCTACCAGCGCCAGGGCTTCGACGTCCTCTCCGCCGGATTCAAGCAAGCTGGGTGGAAGGAGGTCAAGCCGAACCAGCAGCCCACGGAGAAGAACCACACGTACGGCCGCACCACGTACATGTTTGACCATGGCGAACGAGGCGGACCGCTGGCCACATATCTGCAGACTGCGCTCAAGCGGCCAAACTTTGGACTCTACATGAACACTGCAGTCAAGAGGGTAATTCGAAACGGTACTCACGCTTCTGGCGTGGAACTCGAGTGCAACGGCGATGGTGGATTTGCTGGGACTATCAACTTGACGCCCAAGACAGGGCGAGTCATTCTAGCAGCTGGAACCTTTGGCTCAGCTAAACTATTGCTTCGAAGTATGCTTTGCCTTTTCTGAGGATATTACCTGATCCAAGCTAATCTGCCTAAAGGTGGTATCGGCCCTGCTGATCAGCTGGCTATCGTGGCCAACTCAACCGACGGTCCGACAATGATTGCAAAGGACTCGTGGATCAACTTGCCTGTTGGATCCAACCTGATAGATCATCTCAACGTATGTATCTCTTGCAGTCTGTTCGGGAAAATACTGACTCTATCAAAGACTGATGTCTACGTGACCCATCCCGACGTTGTATTCTACGACTTTTATGAGGCGTGGACCACTCCCAACCCGTCAGACAAGGATCGCTACCTAAGTATGTCCTTCGACACAGTTCTCTCACGATGCAAAATACTCACACAGGTTTAGCCAACCGGACGGGTATCTTTACCCAATCTGCACCCAACATTGGACCAATGGTAAGTTTCTACGTGTACCAAGCTCTGAACAAGTGCTAACCTTGGGGCCATAGTTCTGGGACCAAGTCACATCCTCTGATGGAGGAGTCCGCCAGATGCAATATACAGCTCGCGTTGAGGGTGCAGACAAGACAGACTCGAACAGTAAGTCTCTAGCCCCGAAACCAGGATTGTCCACTTTTTGATTGACGAAAATATTAGACACCATGATCATGAGCCAGTATCTAGGCCGAGGTTCCACATCACGAGGCCGCATGGCCATTACTGCGCAGCTCAGCACCGTCGTGGCCGAGCACCCGTTCCTGCGCACGCCCGGCGACAAGGAGGCCGTGCTCAAGAGTCTCGATAACCTGCGGGCTGCGCTCAGCCCGGTCAAGAATCTTACGTGGGCGTTGCCCCTCGCGAACCAGACCACGGCCGATTACGTCGATTCTCTAGTGGTCACTGCCAATGCGAGAAGGTCCAATCACTGGATGGGTAAGATATATCCTTTTCTTCCCCTCCTCAAATGATCAATAAAGGATAAATTACACGTTTCTGACCAGCATCAACAGGTACGGCCAAGATGGGACTCGACGACGGCCGGGTCAAGAATGGAACGGCCGTGGTCGACCTCAACACCAAGGTTTACGGAACGGACAACATCTTTGTGGTGGACGCGTCCATTTTCCCGGGCATGTCTACGGGCAATCCATCGGCCATGATTGTGGCTGCTTCAGAGTACGCCGCCGAGAGGATACTGAAATTGAAGGCTTGAGGCAGCTTTACACGAGGAAATGGGCGCTTCAACGAATCCAGCAAACTTGGAGAATAGTTTATTGTTAATTTCCAGTCTGTAGCAATATGACGAACACACGTACCTTGCAAGGAGGTTGGCATATGCTTGAATGTAATAAGGGTTACCCATATTTCATTTCTGTTGTGCCACTAAAACTAGGTTTGTCTCTCACCCATTGTGCGGTAAGTATACTGTGGAAGTCTATAGCTGTGACTTGGCTTTGATCGTCTATACCTACCCATCTATGCTACACTGATACTATTAATGCGAAAATGAAATGAGGAACAAGCACGATAATCATGGCATTGGAAGAACCCAACCATATACTATGAAGACTTTCCAAAAGCCGCCGACTTCTTTTCATGCAAGCAGGGCAGGATCGGAAAACATCGAACAAGTGAGGCAACAGAAACGATCCGATGAACTGGCGGTGCGGGTATAAGCCTTTGTCAGGTCTACACAGAGAGAGAGAGAGGAACATTGCCAAGAAAAAGCCGCGGATACTCACATACATCACCTGCCGCCTTCCACATGCCCGGTAGGAAAAATCCGCCGTGCCTCCTATATCTCCGTAGAGGCTCGCTGCAGCAACTGCATCTCGCTTTGGTGAAACCCCATTCATTGCCATGCTGCTTTCTCCGATAATGGAGACCGATGCTGGCGTCTTTCTCTCACATTCTCTTTGGTCGAGCAGCGATCATCATACGATTTCTCCAGTGTTTTCCCTATCATTTTTAAACGGGTCTAGACAATTGTCATACTGAGAGACAACCTCAATAATCATGGTGTGGTGAGCACTCTGCCAACCGGGGATGAGAGAACAACAGCATACACGCAAACATCCTGGACATGCAGAGCGCTTGTTCGTACTATCTTCTACCCATCTTCAAAGCTAGTTCTTTATCCTCTCACACCCCTTTGCCAAGGGTGCAAAGTGAGAGAAAAACTTTCCCTCTCACCGATTTTCGGATGACGTGTCTGGACACCAGCGGTTCATCAAGTGTTGTTTAGGCGGCTTCGTAAACACAATCATGTCGTGCACCCTTGATTGTCTCATGGCAAACTCGCGTGCGTGTCTGGCGAGTAAAAGGGGAAAGAGAAAAAGGGTGCAGCAAGCATCGGAAAATTTTACCCGTGTTGTGTATGCAAGCAATGTGTAACCATCATGGCTGCTTTAGTTCCCTCACTTACGTGTCAGTCGATGGTAACTTCAAGTTTCGTATAATACTTCCTTACCACAGTCCTTATATGCCTCAACTTCGAATCGTCATAGTATGTGATTTGGACAATTTGTTTGGATATATTGATAGTAGGTTGGTTTGAAAATCACCAGCAGACTTGAACAATTTAGTGAATTACATATTAAGCACGCGTACTTGAGTCATGAATGATCAGATGTTATCGTACGTTTGACTTCAGTTGAGGATAGCTGCATGTTTTCTAGATAGGTGAAGAGGCACGAATATTGGTATGAGCAGACAGGGAGCAGCATAGAACAAGTCATCACTAGAATAACATGTCTCTACAAGATGCGTCGGCAAAAGGACCATGACAAAATAGAACAAAGGGTGGAAACTAATTGAATATGCCTGCAACCGTTGTATGATGTCTGATGTGGCCATGTTCTATAACAACTTTTCATTGCACCAAGCCACGCAGTAGTGTCCGTCTGCTCCTGCAGGCAGCCAGTTCTTTGGAATTTCACTCACTCCCGGGGAGCTCATTGCCGGCCTCGTTAGTTGTCAATATCGCATTTCCCATGCGATCGACCGCTGCAAGGCATGTCTCACTTGCCGCACTCTAATTATATAGAGAAGGGTAATCTAGAAGTCGGATACGGGGAGGATGGTGGTCTTCTTGCGTCAACTCAGTAAAGAATAGGTTCAAGATGCAGAAGAAAAAAAAAGAATGAAAACGCGGGCCAACTTCTACCATTGACCGGTTGAACGTGGACCTGCCCAGCTCTCCCTGCCGGCACTTGGTAAATGCGGTGATCCGTTTCGATACAACGGCAGTCCTCACACACAAACAAGTTTTTGCCCGGCTCATGCAGGCAGTGATCGGGCGCCCAGTCGAATGCCAGTCGAGCGGACCCGATCACGATGTACATGAAGTATACAGGCAGTCACTACTTTCTGCTCGTGACCAAGCTCGTACCGCAGTTTTCCCCCCATCACCACCAGCCAACTTGATCGCTCCCGGGTTCGCCTCTCAGGTTGTGTGTAGAGGGATCGATCCGATGATTTAGCAACAGATAGCAGAGACGATTTCTCGACCATATCCAGGAACATGGTTGTTCTGCAGCTACATGGGGACAACAATCATTCGCCGTTATCGCGCTGCTGTCCATAAGATGGAGAGAACAGAACCTGCTATACATGATCACAGAGGTGTGCTGTCAAGACCCATCACCACATTGGACTTGATACGCAGCCATCCTCATGGAAGCCTCAGTTGCAGCGGTCGCAGTACTATATCGGGAAAGAGATTCGGTATCTTCTCTCCTAGCCTACAAAGGTCATCCGGTCTCCCAAGTCCTGGTACAAGCGCCATCAGCGCAGATTGGGCTCAACGCCGTCTGATAACAAGTTGAAAGAGTTCTACCGATGTCACTACTACCGCCAACAAGTGCCGTCCATATCAGCCCACCAGAACTGGCATAATCTCCGAATATATTCTTCACTCTCGCCCCACTGCATATGAGTACTAGGTAGATATGTATGCAGCCATTTCTTGGAGTTTACATAGTACACGCATTTTACACAGTAGAGAAGACCGACTGATGTATGTAATCCGATCTCATGAAGAGAGAAGGAGAGAGGGAGAAAAGTCCATAGTCGGTTTCAAATCAGCGAAAGTGTGGGTGCCGCAATGTGCCGCGGTTCGAGGGGGTCTCGCATTACTTGTGATGATGGAGAAAAACCCATATCGCTCTTTTGACTTCCCGATCTCGCAAGAAACGACACAAGTTTGCAATGAACAACCTGGGGCAAGCTGAGCCAGCACATGTGTATTGTGTGTGCTGGACCTGCCTCACCTGGCGCCGAGCTGAGCGATGCGGATCAGAGTTGACCGGAATCAAGACCCGAGCCTGCGCCTCGGTAGACGACAGTGGCATTTTTCAAAACATGGTGATGCGCTTGGAGCATGGTTCCTGGAGACGAGAACCTTAAAACTCTATTGGAACCGGGCCAACAGTAGTGTACATTTTCCCTTTAAGGGGTGGTGCCATGGCGCAGTATACACGAAGATTTTAGTGCAATAGACTGTATAATGGTATTGCTTCGGTAAGGGAGAAGGAAAGACAGAAAGTACCTGAATTACCTACCACAGGCACAGACAGTTTTGGGCCTGATCCTGCAATCGGATCAAGACTAATGCGGACTTGGTGAGAGTACCTAACATACCCAAGGTTAGGCAATGCTCAAGTGTGCTGAAGCCCCAGGTTAGCGATCAACGTGAATTCGGGACTGTCGAACCATGCCTCAGCACGCCCTATCATGAGATGAAACCTACCTCCCGTCAGAAATGTCGACTTTTTGCAGTGTATTCCCCAAGAGCCGCTCGGGATCCGCGCAGGGGTGACTAGTACCATGTATCATGCCCGTCGGAGAGCTCGGGTCAAGGTGACAGCCATCTGCCGACCTGCCGAACACACAGATGGGATGGGATGGATGGTGATTCTGTCTTGCCTCTAGCCGACGATTCCTTTTTGACTGCATGTGGTGAATAGACTCTCGGGTGCGACCGAGCAAACGAGGGGAATTAGGATGATACGCCGCACCAGCAGGCCGATTCCGTTGTGGGCGTTGGGATTTGGGTGAGAAGGAATGGTGGAGGAGGGGCAAGCAGGTCTTTGAGGACAAGGCCTCCGACCCAGGCCAGGCCAGGGGTCCCGTTGCCCCTAGGCGATTTTGAGGGGCTTTGCAGCTGAATTGACAATGCAGAGCAGGAGACAGACGAAGCTTTTCTGCCAGTACAGCCATGACAGTTGACAAATAAATCTTGCGGTGGCTGAGAGGGAGGGCATGTAGGTAGTCACGTCTTGTCGACCAGGTTTGCGCATGTATGTATAACTCCCGAGGAATATAGTCAAATGTACGAATGGGGGTTACGTATGAGGCTGGCCTGTCAGAGGACAACCAGGCGAGGCGATTGCCTTATGCAGAGGGTCAATCTAGAGGTTCAGGACGGCCCCATTCTCCAGACAGCATTGTGCTCCGTGGCTAATGCAAGCTCCCATGCCGAGGAGGGAGATGTGCACATTACGTGGCCGAAAATATACAGAGTATACGTCTGCTTGTGTCGAATTGAATGAATGATGGCCTGAATTGGGTGGTTGAGATCCCCAGAATATAGTGCAAACAGGACTAGTCCAGTAGAAATGGGCTTAGCATGCGTCGATCTTTCAACTTTCACCAGGTAATATATTATAGTGAACTCGAGCGTATCCTGGTTGTGTTTTTCCTCTTGAGTGACCCGGAATAGCGCGCCTGGTTGCCGTTATCTGCGAACGAACCGGCGACGATCTCGAGTTTAGTCACCGAGACGTTTCCTTGAAAATTTTCATTTTCATTAATTTTTCCGCCTCCTTTGGCTTTTGCAGAGCCCTGACATGCAGCGTTCAAACTCTGGTAGCGTGGACAAGATTGAGCCTCATATAGACAAGGGGTGATGCTGTTATGGGGTAGTGAAGGCTCGGCGGAGCAAGGGGGCCGATCTGGAGCCCTACCAGTCCACATCCACTAAGCACCTGCCCATGGTTTGCGCCTATCGCTGTCGCTGAGTTGTAGCGCATGAATTTTGAAGAAGAGGGTATCCATTTTGGGGGTACTGAAACAGACAGGCCGCCGTCTCATGTTGGAGCCCTGGGGTTGTCTCTCAGTTTGGCTCAAGCACGAGATTGGAATATTGCGCAGTCATGTCTTGCTTGTTTCCTTGAAGCTGTCATGGTTTCTTTTGTCGAGGAAATTGACCGTGGCCTCGAACTTCTATCAGGTCTCGCGAACTTTGGGATTGGGGCACAATCTGATCTGTACCGTCGGCCGACGATCGATTCAACTGGGGAGTGCGGGAATGCCAGACTGGGATACAGTTTCAGGCTTTCAGCAATGGGACCATGTAAGGTACCTAGGTAGGTAGGCAAGGTATGTACCTAGGTTAGGTAAGTGGCCTAAACCTCGCTCGTCCCTAGCTATGGTTCTTCATCAGGCCATCAGATGTCCGGGATCGCGACTATCTGACAGTTGAAGCGTCCGTGATGAACCAATCGCATCGCTCCGTGTCTTCCCATTGCGGTCCCAAACAACAGACCAGCAGATGTTTGTGTATCGGAACACAGTTTCTCACTCACATGTCTGTTTAGTTTCCATGGCCCCTTGTCTGCACATGATATCCGGGGGCGCGCTCGAGTATGATCGCCGGTCCCGCTCATCTCATCGGCAGGTGAAAGATGGACAGGATACTGTGTAGGCAAAAAGAGTTGACGACTGATGGGGCTGACGATCTGATCTGTCATGGTGCACCCTGGGCTGAGCGCCTGTGCTTGCTTGGAGATGGATGGTCATGAATACATGCCTCTGATGGCGCGGACGAATAGCTATCTACACCTAGTAAAAGACTTTTCGTCATCAAGGACATGGTCATTCGCTACAGCGGGCAAGTGCCAGCATCGCGACATCTGTCAAGTTGCGTCATCCCCAAATCGAGACAGAAATGTCGTTTTTTTTTTATTCATTGGTGCCGTGGATCTAGTGCTTTTGTCGTACCTTCCATATCTTGGTGGGGTAAACATTGTTTAGGAAACAGCAATCATGATTGTACCTTGTGAAATACCAAGAGAGAGCATGGAAATAAAATAAACTTCATCACCCGTTATAGGCTGGATTCAGTGTACTGTCAAGGGAGAAGGGAAAAGAAGACAGAAGAAAAAAACGGCCCTAGCTTCTAGCGTAAGTTTTCGCGTGGTGACCAGACAGGCGCGGGTGTTACAGAATACGAACCGCATGGGAAAGTGCCCTGCAGAATATTAAACCCCCACATAATGTACTTGAAAGCACCCGTCAACCCCTTCGAATTATCACAGTTGCTGCTGCCCAGCAAAAGGACAATCATAAAGTACGCCTCTTTTCTTGCTTGCTATGAACGTACTTTGGTGACTTTCTTTGGAAATCGCACGTGAGCCCCTCGTCAACAGCTCAGCTGCACTCTGCAGATGTGCATCCAGAACACCCGCCTGGATCCCTAGGTAGGCATCAAACGTCCAGGGCATTACACAGACAGTTGGAGATTGTGCCCCTTTGAATGCGACCAACTTGAATATGACCAATATGACATGGCTTACATGGGGCACTTTGGATAACTGTAGTGACGATCATGGGCAGGTCACAAACAAAGTGAGAATTCAAAAGCTTTGTGACCATGTACCTGCGTACCCAAGTAACTAACCAAGCTTATATTAATTAGGTGATTGAGATATGGTATCCCCATCCAATTGCCCCTGCCCTGCCCTTCCCAAAAGCTCCCCGGGGCCCTGCCGTGCCCTTTTCACCGCCACCGGCTGGCAATTAGCTACCTAAGCTACACAAGAACTATTTTTGATTTCGAACGATGTCACCAGCCACGAACTCCATAGGTTATCGCTAGCCAATATGTCACGATATTATAAGGTATCTAAATAAATGACGCCCAGAAAGGCACGGTAAACGAGGGTATATATAAACTTATGCGGCAACAACCGACCGACAGTGGAGGAAGACAACGCCATGGAGCCGAGGCCAGGCTGATCAGACTCGGTAGCTCCCGAGTGGCTCGACTAAAAAAAAAAAGGTACCGGCCACGGGCATTGACTTTTACCCAAAGAAACCCACGGGTAGGCGAATCTTCCTATGTAGGTACGGCATGCAGGTGTGCCAATTGTTGGCTCGAATACAGCTAGCTGTCCGTTCGCTGTCTCCCCCTTCAGCCATTGAACCATCAAAGGCGTTTTCTTCCTTTCTTCGATTTGTTTGAGTAGGTTTACCTGCCAATTACCCACCGGTCAGATGCCAATCCGGTCACAGATCGCCCAGCCTCAGGATCTGCTCCAGGTGTGTCCCTCGACCGGTCCCTGAGCGTCTGGCGTCTGGCATCAAACAGAAGCGCCTTCTCTTGCGAGGTTTCAACCCCAATGCCGGGTCTCAGCTTGCAGATCATCTATACACTTTCTTGCTTGCTGCGCCTCAAAGCTTCAGTGTCCTTCTCCTTTATGCTGTTCAAGCATCGCACATGTTCATTGCCCAACTGCTGCGCATATTCATCATATGCAGGGCTTTTGCTCTTCCTGGCATGCTAATCCAGGTCGCCAGCCAGCGAGGCAGGCAGGCAGGTAGCCAGGCCCCCTTTCGTTCCCGTCTCTTCTGGAACACCTCAATTCTCACGACGAGATCCACCCCCACCCTGGCTGGTTCATACCCTGGTGAAGATCATGGTTCAGACGAGCACTTGACGCCATGATCCGCCCGCAAACCTCTCTGTTGTTGTGACTGCTTGTTGCATCATGGTCGCCATATTCCACCCAAGGTTCAAGTTGTGCGCTAGTCATCATGTACTTAACCTACATAGGTAATGTAGGTACCAACCTTGCACCTCTGCACTCGCCCATCCAGACAGACTAGAACGCCTGTCACTATCCAGCACGTGCCTCACACGCCTGGGGGAAATTATCAAGGAAGGAGACCGTCGCCCTAGTAGAGTGTAGCACATAGTGTACGTACTATGGACAGAACGTGCTTCTGAGAACAGTACCTCAACGTCGGCGAACGTTGCCTGTAACTTGTCCCTCAGTACGTTGGAAGTAAAGTAAGTAACCGCTGTCGACTTTGCCCATTGCCCGCAAGCATGTCCATTCTTCCCCTGCCCGTCATCTGTCATATACTCCACTATCGTACACGGGGCATCTACCATATCCGCGCACTCGCAAGCTATATCCAATGTCGTCGTCGTCGTCTTCGTGACGTTTTCTTGATCCTTTGTCCCTCCTCTGTGTCCTCGGACTTGAACAGACAAACTTTTCCGCGTGGGGAATGTCTTCTCTAGCAGCATAACGTCTTTTCTTTGCCTGTCCCCATTCTGGCCGTTCTGTTTCTTCCCATCCGTATAGTGGGTACCCTAGTCGAGAACACTTAGAACAAACTCTCAAACAGCTATTGTCTTCAGAGGTAGCCTCATATTCATGCACCAGTCAGCACAGCCCTCACCCACCACCACTTTGTACGTTGCCTGTCTATTACAACTGCAGCCATCCTTTTTCTCCGTTGCCCGTATCCACCGTTCCTGGAATTACCTTCTCCTGTACTTTTTCAAGCCACAGTTGGGGGGTTTTACTTGTCGATAGACGCCGTTTAGCAAAGCTTACCTTATTCAAGAACATCATTCGCCCGAGAGTGTGAATCGACACCCCCTCGTACCATACGCCCCTGGGTGTGATCCGAGGTCTACCTTTTAGTTACCCGGTACTTGATCCCATCATAACTTGAGATACGCCGCCTTGCCCCTTTAGGGATGCTTGCACGCTATAACTCTGTTTATGTGCATCTGATCCCCTGCCTATAATAGTTACCCAGTTTCATCTTCTTCCGTTGCAAAAATCAAGCGAACGTCCTGCAACACCCCCAAGGAGATCTCATCTGAAAAGACCTTCCCTAATCGTGAACGGTCGAGAGAGAGAGTCGAATACTGATATTCGTCTCAAGAAAGCTTTGCTCTTGAGAGAGACTTGAACACCAGTCTTCGTCTCAAGAAAAATCAATTCATCAGTCGAGAAGGTTTGTTCACTCCCACACCCCGAAATTCCTGCTTCGCTCATCATTTGTCCACTGATAGGTACTGGCTGCCTTCAATATACGGTGCCCGGACGACTGGCGCATTTCGATCGGTAGCGGTTTCGGCTGTTTCAATCGACCAAGGCCTGTCAGTGCGGTTCTCTAACGTCGATCTTCTCAACGGATCTGATAATCATATTTGCTCAGCCCTGCCCCGGACGAGACGAACGCCCCTGTGACTTTTCTTCTTCTTGTTCTTCCTCCATCTTCTTGTTATATACGCCTCTGTGCCCACTACAACCTGGGTCGAGGGAGTAACAACATAAACCGCGACACCTCACTGTGCTGGTGCGCAGGTAATACTCAGAGCCTTTCCTTCTTGTGCGGCCTTGGAACCAGACATGTGAAGTGTTCCAACAGACTTTACATTCACCAACAGTGCTGTTTGCGGTCACGTTGATTTCTCGAAGTATAACAGATAACAGACACGTTGGACCCGGTGAGAGAACTGGTTGAGCCAGACTCACTTTCTGTTATTCAAAGCTTGCCATCAACGGAGGATGGATCTGACAACGATGTTGAACTCGGGGGCAAGGAGGGATGCCGGCGAGCAGTCCGAATCGACATCAGTATCGCACAGAACGTCAGCTTGGCCATCATCACCCGGTTGGAGGACATCATCTAGGAGGACCAGCGAATCGAGAACCACCAAAAGCACGAGAACGCCATGGAACGCCGACGGCTATTCCATGCCTCTAACCTTGGACACCAAGACAGTGACTCAACCAAGTGTACGCCCTTCATTCTTTGGTTCGTCGCCAATTGACTCGGCAAGTCCACCCAAGTCGCCAAGACACAAGTGCTCCGACAGCCAGAGCACCATATCTTCTTACAATTCGCCATTACATAGCAATCCTCACTCTCGCTTCTCCTCAGTGTCGACTGTTGGCGGGTTCAACCAAACAACTGGAGCACTGATAACGGATCCGGCAGCCTTGACAGCTCTGACAGCACTGGAGTCGAGGTCTTGTGATAATCTGGATTCAGCAGTCAGTCTTTCATCCATGCCCGAGTGGCTTCCTGGAAAGCTACCGAGGATGGAGGGAGGCATCTCGCCAACCACAATTGCAGAAGAGCCTGACTTGAGCGAATATGAAAGACCTGGCTCACCATCTGACGCCATGTTGATAAGGAGGGACCTTCAGAGCTCGGACCGGATGAGCCCACAAGACTTGACCAAGTAAGTTATTCACTCGTACTCGCCAATGAATGCGCTTGAGAGAATCATATTGTCGGAGATTCGACCGACTGTGCTTCACACCCATTATCCCGACCCACCAACCGTCTTTTATGCCAGTGCTAGCGCCAGTGCCGCATTGGATTGGGCAATTCACCCTCGTGTGGCATTGTTGAAGCTCGGCGTGCTTTCCTGATTGTTCCCAAGTGGTGGTTCGACAGCATTTGAGCTCAACAAAAGGGCACAATCCGACGTTCCTGCTCATTTACATTTCCCACTGTTCAAAACTGAGCAAGTACGACGACAATTCCTTGCTATCTTTTTCCTGTTTTCTGCCCTCCCCCACATCTATAAATTCCCGATTCGGACGAATCCTAATCAACAGACTATTCACAACCCAATAACAACACCTGGTGACAACCCAAATTCGGGATATCAGCAGCACAAGCTTCAGACACCCACACAGGTATCCATTTCCTTGCTTTCTTCTCTCACTCATTTGCAATTTTTCAGACCTCACTGCTTGACGACGATCATCAAGGCCCCCAAGCCTGATCAAGACGTGTCATCTGGTGCGAGCTGGGGGATCTGCCTTCTGAAGCCTTGCAAGTTCATTTTTTGCCATATCAGACGTTGGCATAGCTTCACTCGAAGTCAAGAGAGTGGGAGCAGTTAGTTTCTGCTCCTTCAGACGTTTTTGCTCACTGCCTCCGACTTTCACACGTCGTCGTCCTGGCAGCAGCAGAAAAGACAGGCGGTCCAAGCTTTGATTATTTCCTTCACATTCAGATCGTCGTAACTGCCATTTATCGGCCAGTCAACCTCCCCAGCTCTGTTTTCATTTTTTCACACCCACACAAACAAGCCTAGAAAAATCTGAAAGTGAATCATCCTACTGGCTGCAAAATTCTGACCATTTGCTAGTCCGGATCCAAAGTCTTTCAACAACTTCTTGGCTCTTCCAGGCATACCTAAATCTCACAAGAGAGCGGTTTCCGCACCTGACTTTGCCGCCGCCAACACAGCTGCGACTCTTCATCGACCTACGACCCCGCCACATCAGCTCAGGACACCACGTCAACAAGGCGAAGATCGCACCGGTTGCATCATGGATGAGATCGATTCCGAGGAGGATTCTCCCATCTACCTGCCGTCGCCTGACGAGCCAGTGAAATGCATGTATGCAGCCAAATGTTCCACTGGCTCGTCGCCTCGCAAGGCAATCTCACACATCTTTGGCCGCAACAAGACTTGCACACGAAACATTCCTCCCCATGTCTGGGTGCACTTTTGTCGCAAGCACTATCAGCGCACCCGCTATCGAAACAACCAAGAATACAATAAGCTTCAGGCACTTCTCGTCTTGAAGCAGATTCGGCGAATCCAGGTGTGGAGCGATGGTAACCGCAAGGCTGACAAGTCCGGAGTTGTCCGTAACTGGTCGCTCTCAGTCCGCAAGAGAGAGCAAAAGCGTCTTGATGAGCGCGGCGCCATTGGCCAGAAGAGACGCCGATCGGGTGACAATAGCGAGGACGATGAAGATGATGATACAGAAGTCATCGACCAGACCCCCACCTCTGGCACGGCTGTGCCTGGCTGGCTTCTCAAGAAATGTGGCAGTGGCTACAGCACTGAACAGATTCTTGAAGTTGTCAAAGCCCTTCGCGCTGAGATCGTGGCTGGAAAGCTGTCGCAGATTCCCGACATAGAGATTCTGCCCAACATCGAGTCTTCAGAGGACGGCAAGGCCAAGGCTCCCATGAAGCGCAAGACAAGCACAAGCAGCCACAAGCGTTCCCGCTCAGTTGGCTATGGCCAGGGATACGCCCAGGATATCTCCCCGATGATGCGACGCACTAGCCAGCCCGGCGCCAACCACGGCCACCGTCCCAGCTTGTCTCGGGTTCCCGAGAGCATGGTCCCTCCGACCATGGGCCATGGCCAGCATGCGATGCTGCCTCACCGACCGGCTTCGTACACCTACGATAATAACATGCGCGAGACTCCAGTTCAAGAGTCATACTATGACAGTGGCGTCCCTCGTAGCACCCCATACGCATTTGGTGGCCCTCTACCCCCCGTTGCCACTGCTCATAGACTTGGTCAAACGACCAACGCTCAACAGCTCGAGGCCAATCGAGGCTACTATGAGAGTCGACACTTCATGCACCAGCGTGCGTCGTCGGAGGCTGGATTGTTCCCTCACCACGCGCAATTCACATATCGTTCCTCATACCAGCCTTACCCGTCCGAGACTGCATACCAGCCGGCCACCAGCAGCCCCTACGACGCCTATTCAGCACCCGGCTACAACAACGGCGGTGGACCCCCAGGATACTATGACAACGTCCCATATCAGCAGCGCTCATGGGTCCCGCAGCAAGCCTGGGGCCCCGCCCCTGAGCCGCAGCAGTCTCCGTACGCCATGCCGCGTCACGGTCGCCACCAGAGTGCCTCGGCCGTGCATCAATCAACACCTCAGCTCCCTTATCCCCGAATGGGCAACAACTCGGGTGATATGTGTTAGAGCACAAGTATCGAAGAGGATGCACTGAGATCAAAGAATGGCTTGATCAATGCTGCACAAGATCCCCCTCCTTCAATGGCATCTCCCTCCTTGCTCTCCACTTCATTTGCCCCTCTCTTTTGTAACATTTCCTTTGTATAGACGCGATGCTGTTTGCGGACGCCTCTGTATTCCATGTACAAGCGCCGTAATTTCTGTGTTCATCTCGGTGAAGATTGAGCAACTTCCTCAGCTGAAGTCCCAGAAGATTGAGGCAGTCATCGAGGGCGGAATGCATCGACAGTGGCGTTCAGCATCTTCAGTGCGCGATGGTATTTCGGTGTTTGGTGGAAGAGGAAAAAAGAAAAGAAATCCGGCAATACCCCCCTTTTCGACACGGCATCGTCCCCGGAGGACTGGCTGGTCATGGTTTTCGCGAGGAGTTTCTAGGGCTGCATTTTCTGATTCGTTTCCTTTTCTCCCACCCTTTTTTTCCCCCCATCGCCGCCGCAGGGAGGCCAAAGTGGCAAGGGTCTCGGATGGTAATGTTTTTTTTCGTTTGATTTCGCTCGGCGATATCATTGTGCGCAGAGGTGCCAAAAACGCAATGAGCACCAGCAAACATTTGATTGTTTGGCCAGACTTTTAACCCAAAAGTCTGGGGTTGCTGTCAGCGGATCCAAAGTGATTTCTCTTGCGTAGCCTCTGTGGCAGATGTTCATCAGCAGTAGTAGCAGTCTCCCCCTGATAAAGCTAGCAAGACTAGAACAGGCAGATGAATAAAATCCAGGTGCAAACCTTAATGAATATGATTCTTGATCAAAGCGGTGAATAATGTGGTATTTTTTATTTTTTTTTTGGTGACTTTAGTCCTTGGTCACAAAGAATGGCAATGTTGGAGTCTTTGTTTGAGTGGCTTGTCTCGCAATGACTCACATGATTGGTTGACAGTTAATCTGGTTGAGTTAAATTAACGCCAAATGGGGACGCGACTTCAAGCAAGTCTATAGGCGCGTCTGGACGTGCCTGTCGTTTGGGTCCTCTTTCCCAGAATGTGCCGCAGATCGGTTCCACGCTTGACATGATTCAACATATGCTTTTGAACTTTACTCCCGCCTGTTTCACGATCCAGAATGAAGTGAATAGTGGTCAAAGTTGTCTACAAATTTGCCGTGTCGGACAAAAAGATTATAGTTCTGCTTCTGTGTTGTCCAGTGTCCATTTGCAGAGCAAAGATGGCGTGCACACGAGGTGCTTATCCTTGACGGCAAGACGTGCCCGAGTTGAATACCTACAGTCCAACATGAATCACATACTGGTCATGAAATAAACATGCGACATGATAATAATGTAATGGACATTCGAGTTGTGGCTGCCATGTCAAACTTCTGTCCGGCTTCTCTCCACAGTTACAATTACTTCTTCCATTTCCCATCTCTAGAATCACTGAAATTGTTTCAAGGAAGGGCAGAAGACTGTTGACATCAGTAGAAGCATAAATGTGATGTCCATGATTACGTCTCTTGTGCTACCTGGAAAAGTCCGTCTCCCTTGAATAACAAAGGCTTTGTTCATGTTGGATGTGTCTCAGGGCACTCAAGTTGAGAGTTCCCTTGATGACTGTTCTCCTTTCTTTATCTCCCCAGCCTGTAGAATATGGCAGTGCCTGCACAATTAACTTGTCCAGTGTGACTAATTATTGTAAAAATGGACGGTATTGCAACATTCTCAGTCTTTTTCATGCCTGTTGGCTTCAGGAAAGAGCCCATGTTCAATATAAATATCACTGCACAGGGAGAGCTGCACGTATTTGCACAAAGCTTCTTGTGTAAAGACCATCATCTCGTCCTCCAACCTTGACAACGCCGTTTGCAACCTCCTCGCCTCTGCAGTGTTTCCCTCGATTCTGATTTTTCTGGCGCGATCCGGTAGACGCGTCTTGTAAATTGGGGGACTGCCAGTTACGACTTTGTCGCTAGCGAGAAAGCCAGCCCTTCCCTACTCCTCAACAAACGCCCTCTTTTTTTCTCACCCTCAAAGCAAACGCAAGACTACAAACTCCTTTTCCTTCAGCCTGGTGGTGACAGATTCTACATTCTCCTTCCAACAGCGGGAACAGCCTGTGTTGCTCTTTACAACACCAGAACTTCCCAGCGAAGAGCATCCATTTTACAACTTCCAATTCATCTCCACGTTTACAATCTGGTTACTTTCATCCTACACAAAATTTGAATACGTTAAAGTCTACCCATCAAGTCCTTTCCAACCTACTACCCCTCCTATCTAGACTGCTCCCATCTAGACCATCCACACCTACGACTACCCCCATTCCTCCATCCTCATTCTTCCATCGACAAGGCAACGCGAGTGGACAACTACCTGGGTTATCTCCCATCATCCATCCTACATTCTTGATCCGTCGCGTCACACAGCTTGTCGCAACAATGTCCTACTTCAACATCGTCACTACACCTGGCACCATGGCCGACCATGCCTTGCTTGGCGTGCCTGGCCAACGTCCTTCTGTCTTTCGCAACCTGACCAGCAAGACTCTGGCCGGCGAAGACGACAAGTTCTTTGATGAGCACGATAACGAGGCCCCTGCTGGCGCCGAGACGGTCGCGTTTGCCTTTGATATTGATGGTGTCCTGCTTCGCGGCAAGGAACCTATTCCTGGTGCACGCGAGACCATTCAGCTCTTGCAAAAGAAGAACATCCCTTTCATTTTCCTTACCAATGGAGGCGGAAAGACTGAGGAGAAGCATGTCGAGCAGTTGGGCCAGCGTTTGAACGTCGAGCTTACTGCGGCCAATTTTGTTCAGTCGCACACCCCATTCTACGACCTTGTTCCCAAGTACAAAGACGAGACGATTCTCGTTCTTGGAGGTCATGGCGACCAGATTCGCGACCTTGCCCACGCCTATGGATTCTCAAAGGTCATCACCTCATCCGACCTGGTCGCTGAGTGGCCACACATTCATCCATTCCCTGAGATGACACAGGAGCACCACTCTTCCCACGGCAGACGTACTGGCACCACTCCCAAGGTTGCCGCCATTCTCGTCTGGTCGTCTCCTCGTGATTGGTGCCTCGATCTACAGATCGTTACCGACCTCCTCCTGGGCAGCCACGGCAATCCTGGCAAGAAGTCAGCCTTCAACAACCTGGATCACCTGCCCAACTATGGCTTCCTGAACGAGAACCAGCCTCACCTCTTCTTTTGCAACCCCGACTTTGAGTGGAAGACACAGCACGAGCATCCCCGTTTCGCCCAGGGCGCCTTTCGCGCTGCCCTCAAGGGCATCTGGGCCAGCGCTACCCAAGGCCGTGCCGAGCTCAAGTACACGGTCATTGGCAAGCCGACCAAGGCCACCTACACCTATGGTGAAAAGGTCCTCACCACCTACAACGACACCCTCAACGCCGAGCTCGGACGTGAGCGCAAGATCACCAAAGTCTACATGATTGGCGACAATCCCGAGAGCGACATCCGCGGCGCCAATGAGTTTGACTCCCACATGGGAGCCGAGTGGCGCAGCGTCCTCGTCGAGACGGGCGTCCACGAGGCCGGCACCAAACCCACCTACGAGCCGACCTTTTATGCACGCGACGTAAAGAGCGCTGTCATGAAGGTTCTGGCTGAGGAGAACCCGGATGCTCTCGACGATCTCGACTTCCAGCTGGCCTGTCTGGGCTTCACTAAGGGTGAAGAGGACGGGACTGACAGCAATTAAAGTCACTTCTCAGAGAGAACCTACAAGCATTACAGACATCAGACAGGAGCTCTGGCTTGATCGGTCGGCTATGTCCTGCAGAGACGATACGAATGCTTCTCAACGACACGGTGGGGGAGATGATCAGATCCTCAGTACACAGATTGGTCTGTGTTTGTGGTTTTTATTTTTGCTGATGCTTTGTAATTCTTGCTTTCTTTTTTCGTGGTCAAGGAGTGCTTCGCCATCCCAAGTTGGTCGATGGAAAGAGACAGAGAGAGACGGGATTCTCCTCAAAAGTACACAGTCATAGACTCTAGATGAAAGAGGGATAGAGACAAGTGTAAAGCAAGACGATGGATGATAATGGTACAAACGACTGTAATGATAGATAGCACTGGCAAAATAGCCAACGTAATGTAATAATGTGCAAACGATGCTTTTACTTTTCCGAGTCCAACATGCCTGCGTCCGGTAAAGGACTTGCTACTATCGCTCTCTGGACATTCAACGGTCCAGCAAAATCTCGCCCGAGAGCACTCGACAAGGCCAGTCCATGCACCACCGCAGTTCGTCCGGCATGAGCTGGCGAATGCCATTGATATCCCGATGCAAGACTTCATAATCACCTTCGCCATCCATCCACCAGACCGACTCGACCGGCACAAGGAGCACCAACAAACGCGCAACAAGGGCCATGGCCAGAGGATCATGGCGGTCGAGAAGCCGGCGAAATGCAGGAGGGACATTGACTGGCATGGTGCAAATGACGAGCCGCAAGTTGCGCTCGTCCATTCCCGCGAAATAGGCCCGGTAGTAGGAAACAATATGTCTGCGCGCCGCCTGGTAGGCCACCTGCTCCTCGTCCTGCTCGTCTGCATCGTCACTAATTCCAAACCGCGCAAACAGGATCTCGAGGTCATTTTGCAACATGTCGAGCCGACAGCGCGACTTTTCCGACAAGACCTGGCCATCGTCGCCGTCGTCGTCGTCATCCTCGATCCGCAGCGGCGCGTACCGGTGACCATACCACTCGTACCCCATGGCCCCCAGGACGGCGCGGCGGCGCACGTAGAGTGTCGTGACCCCGTGCAGCATGGCCCACGCCGGCAGCGGCAGCTCGTAGGGCTCGCCGGGCCGGCGCTGGTGCGCGAGCAGCCAGTACAAGACGGAGAGCAGCACGGCCGACAACCACACGGGCTCGGCCAGGACGTCCTTTTTGTTGTCGTGGTCATTGTCATTGTCATTGTCATTGTCACTATGGCGCTGCAGCGCCGCGCGGTGGTCTGCCAGCGAGCGGCCCAGGTACCGCGACACGGCGAGGGGGAGCGTGGGATCGCCCGTCCGCCCGTGCAAGTGTAGTGCCGTCAGCGCCAGCAGTGGGTTCATGACCATCTCCGAGGTAAAGGCCAGCTGGGGAATGATACATTGCCACTATCCCCCGCAATGGATGGTCAGCGATCGCTCTCTTCTGGTCAGATGGGAGTCAAACATCAATCTCCTGAAATTGCAGATGCTTGAAGGGATAGACAGGGGCCATGTCTAAATCAAACCCGCAAAGGCCTGTCGATAGGAGGAAAGGAATCAGCAACGACTACTTACCATTACCTGAGCTGCCTTCCCGTTGCAATCGGGGAGAGTCTTACTGGTCACCGAGGCATAGTAATGCATGAGACGCAGCTCGAGCGTTCTCCATGGGCTTTCTGCTCGCGACGATAGAGAGTCTGGCTGGATCATAACTGATGGGCTGAGCTGTATGCTACCAGTGGGATTCCTCGGAAGCAACATTTGGTTCAGAGCACGAGCTGGTCGTTGTGTTTGAGTGCCGGATCGTCTCGGGGGTGGCGGCGCTTCTGCGTATTCGCATGGTTGCGTGGCATTGATGAATCGCCTTGAACAATTCCCGCAAATCGGCCTATTCTCATCACATTTGACCTCTGATGGATTGGAGATTGTTAACTTCTTGCTTTATGTCTTTGTACGAGTAGATCACTCTACAGAATTCTAGAGCCAAAAGTCTTTCATTCTGGGGGGAGCTTACTCCTGGCTCGACAGCTTGTGCACCCAGTCCGCGATTTCCTCAGACGAGGGCCTGTTGGTGCTAAAGTCCCAAGCATTTTGCTAAATCTTACGAATTCCCAGAGACGTGTCGTTTTCCTCGAAACATGCAGCTTATATGCCCCTGCAATGTGTCACGCAGATTGGGGCTGTTGTGCGCGTAAGACGGTAGTAGATGGCTGGCCCCTGAATGAACGGACAGCCACTCGTCGCTTGTCTTATCCTTGTGAGATGGTAAACTTTGGAGGATGGAAGATGTTACAGGCTCTCAAGAAAACTACAGAATGTCGGCAATTCTGGCCTGCAGTAAGACAAAATCTGTTTTCGAATGAAGATACAAGGATAGTGAAGCTAAAGTTTGGCAGGTGTTGACGTTGAATCAGCTTATGAGGACCTCGCCGGCTTCAAAACTAAGAGTATAGCGTCTGTCTACCTTATTAGTAAGCCAGCTCCTACTATAAAGCCACTACAGAGTACATTACGGACGCCAAGACACGCCCTTGTTCTCTTGATTTAAGCGAGAAATGCCCGGCTGGCTCGAATCATGATCGGTCATCTACTTTCCGTTTTGGATACGACGATTGAGAGATGGATGGTCAAGAGATGATTCTGTAAGCGAATGAGACGAACCTATTTGAATGGCATCATTCGAATCCAGGATACTTTAAAGAACTCGCAAAATGGTGAAATGGATCTTGATAACCTTGAATAGGTAGCTATACTAGATAAAGAACTTTGCATGCTCCAGTCAGGCTCTAGTTATGCTTCAAATTCATTCTTCCGTCTCCTGTTTCATTGCCAGTATTGGCGCTCTTGACGGTAATGGAGAAGCCACAGGCCAGGTCAGTTGACTGCATCATGTCCGCATTCTTGTATATCGCGAAGCTCTCCCCTCAACCATGTCAGCTGCTCACAGTGGCATCAATCCACGCGCTGAACAGAGTCCACATAATGACCCAGGCACCGTTCAGATGCATCCTCCACTCAAAGGCATCTCTTATGCTTGTTGGCATCAAACAAACTCGTCATTTCCTGATCGGGGACAGAAAATTCGCATATGCCAGACCACAATCCGTAGACTTTGCAAGGAATCGTGAGTTGACAGAAATTCAGGGCCACGGCGACACCGATGACCAGAGTTTGGGGACGGTTCCGCAGGGTTGATCTGCAAGTCTGGCAGGACATGCTCCCGGGTATCCAGCAGGCAATGGAATTCACAAAATCCCATCGATATTTCGGAGCATCTTCCAGCAGTGTTGCCTCCTCGCGAAATTCGTTCAAGGGGTGTGGAAACAATAAAAAGTGAATAGATAAACGAAATCAAATTTGTACTCGATGGATTTTTTTCTGCCACCACTCCTTAACGCCATTTGCTGTAACTCGATTCTCCCCTTTCTCAACCATGCTGTCACATATTCTGTTGACAACGGCCGCAGAGAGGCGAAAAAGATATGCTTCTCTTCTTCGAAACGATATGATCCGTGCTGCTCGACCACTTCTCCTTATGGGTATCCTTGATTGTTGTTCATTCGACTTGAGCATGTTCGGTGTGCATTGCTGTTTCTCTTCTCTCCCATCTGCGCTTCTCTCTTTCTTCTCAGTAGCCGTATTCTTTCTTCAGTCTGTTTTCCAGTGTGTCATGGAAACATCATCATCGTTGCCCAGGTATAATTCGACGCCATATAGGCCCATGGTCATTACCACGTTGATCCATCGCCATGTATTGCCTCCCGCATCACCATCTCGTAGCGTCCAGCCTTCGGTGCCGTTTGTCGAAAAGTGTTGCAACAAAAGACTTGTATAGACTGCAATCAAGATGGAAGGCGAGAACCAAGAGAGAAAGCCCAGGATTCGATTCGCATTATCAGAGTCGTCCCAAGAAGCTTCATCAAGAAGTGCTCTCGCGCCAGATTCCCGCACTGCCGGAATGATGCGAGTAGCGCAATAAAAGACAATGGTTCGGTACGTGAGCGAGATCATGACCGAAGGCGCAATGGTCTGAAATGCCGCATGGAGGAAGCTCAGCGAAGAGTACACGGCGGAAGGCAGCGATCCCAATAGATGCAAGAGGGTAGAATAGCTGGCCATGATGATTGGAGGCAGAGGCGGGAAATCTGGTTGGTTTGCAGCTTCCCTTTCAGCAGCCTCTACAGCCTCTGGCGACTGGACATAATCGGTGAAGATTTGATATATGCATAAAACGACGTATGCAAAGAGTAGTGAGGACTCGACGGGATTGCCGCGACCTGAACCAATACCGATTGCGCACAGAAACACGGCCGATGTCATGGTCACGCCGATCAGTGTCGCGTCAAGGTGACTGATGCTTGGGAAGAGGGCGACGCGCCATAAGAAGTAGACGGCACTTGCAATGACGGAGGCAGAGAAGATGAGCAGGATTAGCTGGGACGAGAGTTAGCGCACTGTACACTATCCGCTATTTCAGCAGTACTTACCACCCACGTATCGCTACGTCCCCTGTTGACGAGCCATCTCGTGATTTGACCGGCAGCCTGAATAACCAGCAGAGTACAAAAGCCCTCAAGAAGCTGGAACACGGGGCTCGAGTAGCTGAGGGTCTTGTCCCAGCCCCCGAGCGCGACGTTCTCAACTAAGCCCCCGTCGCCGAAGAAGTAATCAGACCAGCTATTGTGCTTCCTGCCCAGACCGCCAACAGTTCTCGAAACCCAGTCTGAGCTATTCGCGTCAACGGCGAAGCGGTGGAGAGACCAGATCAGCAGAGCAGGAATGACAACCCATTGAGCAGACTGTATGAGCTTGGTGATACTCCATCGAAAGCGCGATTCTTCGGGAGTTGCAAGCTTGAAGGCGCTATAGATGAGGTAGAAGGAGAAGAGGGACAGGCTGTAAGCCAGCCCGCTGTCGCGACCTCCTACATCAAAGGAAATGGGAATCGAGAGGACGACGGTAAGCAAGAAAACCGAGCTGGTAAAGATGCGAAAGAACCACCACATCGGCGCGTCAGGGGTGGCTGCCACCGCGCCTTATCAGCGAGGCTTCTGGCCGGATCGACTCGAGTTGGACAGGAATGGACGGTGAGATGCCTGTGGGGTCAGACAGACGGTCGTTCGGTTGGTTGGTTGGACGATCGATTGGTCGTTGAGCGAAGAACCAAAGTATCTGAGCTTGAGACGAACGATAACGGACGGCTGGCTGAGAGGTCAGGGCGTTTCGCTGGCTTGCTTTCGTTGGCCCGAGGTCTGGGTTATCGACGAAGGCGGGCCGCCAAATCCCAATGAGCACGTGTCGTCGAGCGGAGGGACGTCGATTGCGACAGCTTGCGGGGGGTTCCTGTTGTCGAAAATTAAAGATCGCAGGACAGGTGGGCAGAAAGAAGAAGAAGAAGAAAACAGGTCGGTGTACGTTGAAGCTGTCGTGTCCTGAGGGGTTGCGCAGGTGTTCGATGCCCCAGGGAAGGGGAGAATGAATTATTATTAATTTTGTGAGTTAGGCAGGCGGTGGACTGGTTGAGAAATTGGACTGGCTTTCTTAGCCTTGGGCGTCTTCCAAGAAACAAAGCTGCGATTTCCAACTGAGGTGGCTTTTTCCCACGATTAGGTTGCCAGCTACCGAGTTGATCTACGCTGGCCTCGCCTAAGTTATGTGCTAGCGACCTTGTTTCTTTCCAGTGCAGGGGTCCCAACTGGCCTGATCAATAAATGGCAGAAGAGGTGATACCTACATGCGTTTATCGCTTATCTACACGTGGCTGCAGATGCGAGATGATCCAAAGTGCATAAATACATTCAAGGCAAATGTTCCTGCGCATGTCATTGAATCCTGTGTGTTTGTTTCATTGCTACTACTGTGAGTCTGTCTCATGGTGTTTGTCTTGTCATGTGCAATTGGGTCAGTTGGCTACACACTACGATAACAAGTAGACATATATTTTTGTGCGCGAAAACACGTCCCAAAAAAGCATGTGAAATCATAGGTCCCGTGTGCTGCCCAAAAGCTAAGACTGCGGATCTAGCCACATCAGTTCGCAGCTAGCAGTGGAGATGAGCAGCTATCCTTCCTGTAGATCTGGGCTGTTCTTTGCCGTCATCGCTTCATTATGCTCACCGCAACAACATCCAGCTGTGGTGGTGTAGATGCGGAAACTTTTAAAGGTGAGGAATGAAGAGAGGGATTTTGAAGAGCGACAATGTCAGATTATGGTATCTAGAGAGCTTCACGACAGTAAATGCCTGAGTGTAGAAAAGTGCACTGCAATTTTAACCCACGCAGAGCGGTTGCGCTCGAGTAAATGGTACACACTTTCTTGATTGATAGGTTCAAAGACAATGCTCAGTTCATGCAAGGGCCAAGAAACAAGCTTGGAACTTACCACTATATAGAAATGCGACTGCTGGCTCAATTTTATCATTATTGTGACAAGGTATGAGCTTGTTCAAGACAATATGCATATTTGGTTGACATATTCCAAACACTATTCTAATATGAATCAACAACGACATTTTATTTTTCTTCATCCTCTTCGCACGCCATTTTCCATCGAGCTTGTTACAAGACGTAGGTACGTACTATGTAGGTACCGCATTTGCGCTTGCCAGCTTAGAGGGCGGGGCGCTCTCAAGCAGTCAGCGCAAGCACAATCAATAGACACTGACAAGAAGACCTCAAAGCTCTTGCTGGCTGCACATGTGTCGCAGCGGATTTGGCCCTTTCTTTCCAGCTTTGGAAATCGTGAAACTCACCCGTCTTGATATCGAAGCAATCTTGATGGTTCTAAGCATCTCATCAAAGATATTTGCCTACAAACCGGTGGCTCTCAGAACTCTGGCAGTGCACTCCCACCAACCACACTGCAACAATGGCTTGTTCTGCTGCCGCACCCGTCACCCGTGAAACTTGATCGAACGGCAGCGCAGATATATTTCGGATAACAACACTTGTAGAGATCCGATCCCGGCCTCCATCGACGAGCCGGAGCAATTTTTTTATGGACTGGTCTTTCGAGCAAAAGTTTGGTGCCATGTCAAGCCGGAGCAGGGCTCCCTCGGCTCTCCTCAGACGGGCAACATTAATGACTGCCTGCATGTAACTGTCTCAGTCATAAGCAGTGTTGCATTGCTGTGTTGGCACGGAATATAACCAACACAATGACAATGCACTTTGTTTCTCGAGCAGAGACTCGATCGCTTGTCCTGCAGAGTCGGCGGTTGCTGCAAAGACTGCACATCGGCGAAACGCCCTGAGAGGCGACATGCAGGCTGAGCTGATTTGATCCTTCGGCTGATCAATTTGGAGAAGAGACCCCGGCCGTCCTCCGCTTTGCAAATCCACCCGCTGCGTTGTCTGGATGGACCCTCTCTTTGAACTTGATGATTCTAAGTTCTGTTGATTCTCTAGCATTCGAAATGCCGTTTGAAATTTGCATCTCGCAGCCTTTTGAGAGTAGATCTGATCTTCTCAATCTACTTATTCAGCGGCAAGATCAATGGACGGGACGACTCTCGCGAATTAGCGACTTCAGGTGTGCTGACACCGTTTTGGTGTTGGCCTATCGGTCACAGCCCATGCGGCCACATGCCGTGGGGCAGGCAGACTTGGCTCCCAGCCGCAGATATAACCCCAGCTTGACATGATAGCCGACGATTCCCTTGCCCAGTGTCGGAGCCTTTTTCTTTGTATCCTGCTGTGATTTTTTCCGCTTCAACTCGTTGCATCATTTTCCTTCGTGTGATTTTTTCGGTTTGCTTCGTTTTGAAAATGGAAATGGAGGAGGGACTGAGCCAAAAGCCTAAGCACCCGCGGCCGAGGCCCTTTTGGGACCGTACGCTTTCTTATCCAGCAGTGAGTTGCTCTCAGCCTTACCATGCTGCTCCCAATTCCAGGCTTCATGTTGCGTTTCTGGGACGGCCAATTGGGAGTTTTTACTCGGCCAACAGTCTTAACAAGCCATACTGGCGGGGGCATCGTAGGAATCCGTGTGTGAGATATTCGCTGACGCTTCTGGCGGTAGTTGTCACGTACCTTTCGTGCGAATTCTAGTGAGGAAGAGGTGTTCAAAACACCCTTTGACGCCATGTTGCCACACTCCAAAGAGTCTGGACATTCTGCAAAAGTTATTTACAAGCATACTCAAGATGCATATGCAGACAAATGGCCGGCTGAGAAAAGTTGGCGTGTGGACGACAAGTAAGATGGCCCAGTCGTCTCACTATGTCTACAGACCTTTCTGACGAACCAAAGCGAGGGGAAATACAAATATCTCCGCCACATCAAGAAGCTGTCTCGAGCGTGGCCGCACCTACGATATTTGGCGCAATGGATGGAAGTCACTACATCACCAGTCAAGTGGGAGCAAATGCTGCAATTAGGTGATGATAGGGACAACTACCGGGCAGAGCGCGCAGCTCGGACTAATGTAGCTGTTGTCGACTTCGCCAAAGATTCGGTAGAGGTTGTGGAAAGGATCGACCAAGGTGACAATCTTCTCAAGACACTGAAAACACCCCAGCCTGAAGGCGTCAACCGGCTGTACATTGTAGAGGATTTATCTCGAGACATGATAGAGTATTTCGGCAGAGAGCTGGACATCGACCCCTTATTCTTCAGAGAACACATCAACGATTACTTGTGGTACAACACACGAGACCCTTGGGTAGAGCTTCCCGACCTGGATATCGTGGCAAGGGAGCGCAATTTCTTCCGCCTATCTTACGTTCAGCCACGGTACTTCTCAGACATTCGCAGTTTTCAGGATGCCCGAGAAGAAGCAGGGCGTTTCAATGTCCTTCGAAGATTGGATGATGATGGTGACCACAAAGCTCTGTTCGACTCAGAGGATGCCATCGTGGCACTTTTGAGGAGCAAAGCATCATTGTGGATCAAGCCGCAAGCTGAAGGCAATGACAAAGGTTCTACTGGTAAGAGTTCATTGAGCCTACATACCAATGATTTGAAATGGTCACTAACATCCAAGTAAACAGGCGTTCTTCTGATCGACCCTTCTATCACACGAGGTCATGCATTGTGGGGAGGATATCGTCCATTTTGGAATTCTCCAACGTACAGTCAAGGTCAAGAGGAGTATGAGTGGCAGCCAAAGTCATCTGTTTTGAAAGACCTGCTCTTCTGGATCACGCAAATGACAAAGGAGGACATCGAGAGTATATCCACTAACCCCAAGGCAATGATGTTCCGAATGGCTCAGATTATTTGCTCCGACTGGAACATACTAGTACGATACATCACGGCCCGTCTTGGACAGATAGAGTGGGAGCTTGAACGGCCCGACTTCCGTCTAAACTCCAAAGGCAAAAACCAATATGATGGTTCTCTTGCTGCCTCTCTCCACAAGCTGCACACCTGGCGTCGCCGTCTTCCCCTTTACAAGGCTATGGTCAAGGAAACGGAGGAGAAGCTATTTGGCGAGCTCCTCGCGCCAAGAGACACGAATCCCAACGATTGCCTCTTGAAGATGAAAAAGGACTTTGAGATCGTAACAGCTGGGCTCGTTGAGCTCTGGGACCGTACGGAGCGTATCGCTACGGTTGCCACAGCCGTGACGTCGATCGAGGAAAGTCGACGGGCTATGGACCAAAACAGAGCCCTCGGCCGTCTGACGTACTTGGCGGTGATTTTTGCGCCGCTCAGTTTCATTAGCAGTTTCTTCAGCATGGCACCCGAGTTGGGTGAACTCACAAGGACAATCTGGATTTACTTTGTGGTCGCCATTCCGGTCAGCTTGATCGCTTTCCTCCTAGTGGAGCCCTCCGTTTTGAAGTTCCTGAAGAGTTTTTTGCCAAAGCATTCCGAAAAGAAAAAGAACTGATTTCATTGTCGGTTGGCGATATCTGCAAGAGAGGAGTTATTATTTTCATTTGCCGCCTTTTCTTTCTTGGCATGGATAACATGAGTACCTCTCGACCTTTGTGACGACTTTATGATTATGAGAAACGGCCTTGATGGGGAGCAACCTCCATCGAAACGCTACATGGGAGAATGCATGACAAAAAGTGGTTGGGCATCATCGCGGTTGATAAGCAGGTACTTTCTTCATCATACACGAAGGACTTAGTTTATGAGCATAAAATTCATATTGACGCATTAGAACTGCTCTGATCACACGTAATTGGTAATAATGAACAATTACCCATTGACTGAAGCAATGAATCATGTGAGCTGTGCGATGAAGTGCTATAACGAAACTGACGTTGTCAAGATTATATTTGCATTTGCAATGAAGCCTGAAACTCGAATACCAAAGCTCTATCTTGACTTTTGAAAAGTAGGTATACGTGAGCAAGAAGTAATACTTGGAGAGTAGTCCTTCACTCACTATCTTCACGGTACTATGATTACCAGTCTCTGCAACCGTTTCCCAAGCTGCCAAAGCAGATGATGAGCGTGTGGCTGCTGCTGAACATGAAGCTAAGACTTTTTGGCCTAATCATCAACCTCCCCACCAGCCTGAACATTTCGAGATGCCATAACAACTGAGAAACAAGTCTACCATGAAGAACGGATGATTCCGCCATATTATTGCATAGGAGAAATCAAGTCAACCAGATACACTATCTCTTTGGCCACCAAGTCTGGCCGATCCAATTGTATAAAGTGGTCGGCGCGCTCGGCCACGACGGGGCCCCTCCGCTTAGCCTCTGGTACCGCTAGCAGTAGTTTCTGGTTATACTCACGCCAATAGGGCTCGATGTATTGCCGCGCGTACTTGGTGCTAATGCTCAGCTGTAAATTGGGAAAGATAAGAAAATAGATATTAGCGATCAAAAAGACCAACGACAGAGTCATAAGAGGGTGTCAAGAGAAGGTGGAGATGGTTTGTTACACTCAGTAGCCAGCTCGTATAATAATGCATAGGTATTCATATTAGAGTCAGACAAAAGTACTCACCTTCTCAGCATCCTCCCCAAAGATGACATTTGGATCATGTCCCACAACCGTAAGGTATGGATGACCCGGAAGAACAGGCTTTTCAGCGAGGGGCAACAGACGGAGAAAGGCAGCTCGGTCGAATCCCTCCGGGTTTGGAACTGACGGGTGGAAGACGCGGCGGGTAGCCTCGCGAGTGCGCGTCAGCTCCGGCGGCTCGCCCTCGGTCGGCGGCGGAAACAGCGAGACAAAGTCCGAGTTGACAATGCTCGGGTCGAGGAGGAGGGCGCCCTGGACGGCCGCTGTCACGTCCAGACGGGCGGGTTGAGGGACGTCCGAGTCTTTTGTCTCGCCATCGTAGCGCCCGGCAGCGAGCAGCAAGCGGACAATCGCCGCGCCGATACTGTGCCCCACGACGACGATCCTGGCAGTCTCTGGATCAAAGCCCCTCTCCCCTCGCCGACCGAGCTCACATATGAGCTCGTAGAGGTCACGAGCCGCAGCCGCGCCATCGTGCCACGAAGCCGGCACACCATCAGGCAGGTGAGGCGTGTCGCCCTGACCAAAACGATCGTAGCTGAGCAGGGTATAACTCGCCGGTAGACGGGCAGCGACTTCTTTCCACGCGGCCCTCGGCTTGCCCAGCCCGTTTACAAAGACGACAGAAATATTGCGAGTACTAGCCGCCGGCGGCTGTGGTATTTCGGCATTATCATCAGCATCGTGAGTATGCTTGCCGCCGCGCCGAATCTCGACCGTCAGTGGGGCGCCGTCGCGCCAAGGGATCGGTACCGTCTCTACTACCGAGGCATGAGACTCTGCCAACCCGTCCGACGCCATTTTTTGAACAACTGGGGAGAAATACAAAACGAAAATAAATAGGGCTGAAGAGTCCGGTCGATCTGCGAATATAGCTAGCTGTGGGGTTGCCCTTGTCCAGCTCGGCTTGGTTGTGTTTAGTTTGAGATCATGGCATGTCGGGTACTATCGCCGCGGCAACTTTCGCTTCCCACTTTCACCGCAGATCTAAGTCAGGTAGTCTGTTTTGCCTCGGAAAACGTCTGGTGGACCTGAGATGGATGTAGTGGACAAAGGTAAAGGTCGGCAATTCATTGAGGAGGAGGAGTCATGGAATCTCCAGCGTTGTTGTTCATTTTTACTTGAGGCAGGCAATACCAAGGAATCTGACAAGGCCCAAAGAATAAACTAATCCGGTGTCGGCAAAATGCCCCGTGGGGCCATGGATGGTATACTCGACTCCACTACTGGTTTGGTCGTATACTCGGCCAAAAAGAATCAAACATGAGAATGACACGCAGATTAAACACATGGACCATAGATCTGTGTTGTAGTTATCAGGTATACTTTGCACTGCCTTGGCTTTGATTGCTGTAGCGACTGTTTAAAAAATACTCTCATCATTTGTGAGCTAAGATACAACCCGACTCGACCTTTCCTAGCCATCCTGCCCACTTGTGTAGGCGTGTTGGTGTACATGGTAGGTAGAAGGAAACTAATTACAACACTTGTAGGAGGAAACCCCAAGACTGAATCACACCAGAACCGCTCAAGCAGCACCAGAAATAGACAGCTAAGGAAATAAGATTCCATTTGGAATTTGAGAAAAAAGTCTGGGCTATCAAATGCCCAGCTTGCAAATCGCCTAGATCGTGCCGGGAATATCTCATACGTATGTCTTTTCTTTTTTTGATTATTTCTTTTTCTTTTCTTTAGAAGGCGGGTTTTGTTTTGGAGCCGCCCAAAACATCATCCACGAGGCCCTTCCAGAGATCCCTCAGCATACCGGGCTCGGTCTGCTTCTTGGGGGACTCGTGGGCAAACTTGAGCTCGACGCCATCCAGCGTCATGCCCTCAACCTCGGTCAAGGCCGAGACGGAGACCTTTTCGGGATCCGCGGCCACGACGTTGATCTGGCCCTGGAGCACGGGCTCGGCCGCCGGCAGCGGAGCGTTGTGCACGTCGTAGTTGTCGGGCAGGATGGGCACGCGCAGCCTCGAGGCAGAGTGCGACTGTGTGTTTTGCATGTCTGGGAGCACCAGCTTATCCATGCCGCTAACCTGAGCAGGGCGAGAGGCCGAGGAAGTAAATGTTTGCATTAATCGCACGCGTCTGGGGGCAGGATGCGGGCGATTCGACGAGCGAGTGTAGATGTGTCGGGAGTGCTGTAATACAGAAATTGGCGTTAGTAAGCTGCACTGAGCTGGAGCTCCCTTAGTGGGATGGAGGTATGTATAGTTGGTGTACATGGGTGGGTGTCTCGAGGAATGAAGCTACATACATCACCATCCATGTTCTTTTCTTTTAAAAGTTCTGCATATTTGTGAGAGAGCGGCGCCGACGCCCTGGAAGATGTGATGAGAGTCGCCGGAGCAGTGCTGGGGTGTGTGGTTGTGGTGATGTGACGAGCGAGTCTGGCAGCAGGAGCTGTAAGACGGGGACCGGTGAGTCGAGGGCCAGCCATTTTTTTGGTGTAGTGGTACGAGTTTGGTTGAGCTGCTGGGAGACTTGTCGGTATACTCCGCAACGGTATGGTATGTGTATGTAGGTGGGATTTCACGAACTATACACCAGTGCAATCGATGGTTTGATGTTGGGGTCTGTTTACTGTTGTGCTTTTACTCAAGGCGAGACTTATGTATGGTTTTAGAGACAAGAGGGAGAAGAGGAAACAAAGGAGGTGAGAAGGGGGATTTCTCGTGAGGGGGATGGGGGACGGGTTGGTGGTCTTATTATTGTTCAGTCAGTCCAAGAGTGTGTCTGTCTGTGGTGGCTGCGGAAGACCGGTAGACCGGGATTCTTGAAGCTCCAGTTGAGAAACCTCCCAGGCGCCAGGTTTGCCAGGCTTCACAGTACAGTAACACGACAGTAGGTTGGGGCGAAGGTGGGCGGGGGGGGGGAACAAAGGACTGTAGGGAAGGTGGGAGATATGGTAGCAGAGATACGCTGAGAGGTATGTAGAGCTATGCTAGTAGCTGGTAGGGAATGTAGGTACCTATCCGTACTGTGCTGCCCATGGAAGAAACAAAGTGTACACAGCCCACTGAGCGGTCCCCCTCCCCAGCGATCGCGAGTACCGGAGAACTTGGCTTTATTAGGCCATCTCACCTAAATCAATGTTCTCTCTCACCTACCTACCAGGTATTTTGCCGATAATCAATGGTCTAGTCGGTCGTATTAGGTTTCCCGCCAAAACTGAATGGTGCATTAAATAGAAGCTATGCACGGGAGATGCATGAAAGGATTGGTGGATGCCATGGGATGGCCCGTGTCTGGTATTCGTGGATAGGTTGATGGGTATGTAAGTAGGTAGGTTGGTAGTACGAATTGTACACAACCAACGAGCTAGAGCAGAGCAGGTACCGGCAGCACCGCATTTACGAATAAACGGTTGGCTTACTTTATGCATGACCTTGAAAGCATGGCTCTATCTTCATGAGAATCGAATCCAGCCAGGTCTTCTCTCTTATCTACACTAGAAACATGGTACTCAGCTGTCTCATTGGTCGCGGGATCGAATGCTCAAAGTCTATATTCCGGGTTTTTTGCTCAGTCAATTCGCAAACAATTCTTGCGTGGCTTGGCTTTGGTTTGGAGACTCTCTCAGAAACGTTTCGACGCTTCCCGTACCCAACCTTGTCCACGTTCTCTACCTACTGGAGGTAAAGTGACTGACTGGGTCCCGTCTCGAAGCCGCTTTTAGCTATTGATCTGTGGCTGTCCTATGGCAGCGAGCAAGTATCGACAATTTGCATTAACGTGACACGTCAAGCACAAATGGTCATTGCCAACCATGTTGATGTTTTGGTTAGATATTCCGTAGTGTATGTCGGCGTGTACCTACTCTGCAATCGATTGTGGTTCGGTACTTTAGGCCGACACTACAGTGTCCAGTACCGTGGCAAGCGTGGGTAGTGTATGTACTGTAGCTGGCTGATAACAACAATAACAAGAAAGAGATCACCGAACATCAATTCCAAGGTTCTTGGCAGGCTTCAGGCCTGTCGCAACTCAAAAGCAAGCCAACACAGGCAAAACAAAATCACCAAAGTTGGGCCCTGTCTGATCTCACTGTCTCTCTCTCCCTCTCCCTCCCTCTCTCATCAATCCGTTGAGAATTGACCATTGAATAGAACGGTAAGAGAAGCTATGGCCAGCACCCCGCTATTTCTGGGGTCATCCCCTGAACAGTTGCCAATAACTTGGCCGTGATAGGCCTAGGTCGAGGTCAACAAAATGCGACGCCCTGACAATCCTCTTCTGACCCTGACCGCCGGCTGCCGGACAAGTGCTCCCCGTATCGTACTTGGACTCACCAAGCAGCTTGGCAGCCAGGCACTGCTCCATCATCTGACACGTTGCCGCGTGGAAGCAGAACTTCTAGAAGCAAATTGGCAAGAAAGAGGGCTGAGCGATGCCAAGTGAATAGGTTTGTCGATAGATACAGAGAGTAATTTGCATCATATACCAGGTATACACTGATTTTGTTTTGATTGATTGATTGCAATGTAGATCCAACCTAATCTACCTATCTAATCATCTTGATTATCTATCATCTATTCTGGTACCTACCTACCTATCATGGACGCCCGAACTCGGATCTCACAAAAAGGATGCCTGCTGACAGTGAGCTCGCCAATGCCCCTTTGAACGTTCTGCGATAATTCACCGATGAGCCCATGCCCACCACACCTCGATCATCATCTGACGATCAGCCACCACGCCAAACTACCCAGACCAAGCCAGACCAGACCGCAGCGACCCCGGGCATGTAGCAATCATGACCTTATCAACCTGTCCTGTTGGTTCAGAAAGAAAGTTGAACACAAACGGTACAGACTGATCCACCACTGTGCCAACTATGGAGCATTCTGATGGTATGATGTCCTTCGAGGTGGAACCATCCTGCCATGCATGCACTTTGTAGGTAGGTGCATTTTATCAAGTAATCGACTGAACCCCGGGTTCGGACGATCAACTGTTGTATTCGTGGTAGGTAATTGCTCTTCCGGCTCTAGTTTCGGTTTCACTCACCGTGCGACAGCTGCGACCATTGATGATCCCCTCAGTATTCTATAGACGACCACGTGCAAATGTGAATGAAACAACTCGCTCTCCATCTAGGAGGCAAGTATCGACAAAGTCGACGTAGATCTATTCTGACCTCTGCCGTCATGCCCCATTGAAAGAAAAGCCTTTGGTGCCCGGGTGTGACAAGGAACTACTTTCCCATTTCTTGCTGGCCGTATCTCTCGGGGCAACTCTAATTGCCCTTGATTGAAGACTTGCGCATCAGCATCGGAAATATTGCTTAACGCGGCATGCCTCTTTCCTCATACCTGTTGACTCTTTTTGCAACGACCGAATCTTCCGGCATTTTCGGAGTCCGAATGTACGTATAGTCTGGGATCTCCACCGCCGCGGTCGCGCGAGTTGGCCAATCACATCATTCGGTCCAACCCCGGATGGCAATGCGGTGAACCATCATAGGCTTCTTTCGAATTTGTGAAAATAGGAGTAAATCCTGATTTTACAATGCCAAATCACAAGAGGAAAAGAGGGACTCGATTGATTTTGTCAAAGATTGACAGGAAAGGAACCTTCACCGGCAGCAAAAGAGGCAAACTGGCCTTGTAGGGCTTCATCTGCAAATAACTACGTGAGTATATAGAATTACTTTTTGCATCTTGACGCAATATCTCATCTATCCTGCACATTAAAGAGCTTTAGGAGGATTGTGGATCACAGATATCTTTCCCGAGCTGATACCCTCGTCCGGTCGGGGGATTTCGTGGACTCAACGTAGGTCCGAGTACTGGGATCGGTTAACGCCCACTCGATTTCTTTTTTGGAATGATTGTTTATAGTAGATAAATCTAGATGTTCTCTAAGGTGCGTTTGTCAATGCTCGTTTTTTTTCTCGCTTGCCTGGTGGTATTACGATAGCTAGTAAATAGGTAGTTTCTGAAAATCTGCAAGCAAGGCTCGCAAAGCTCTGTCTGTGCGTTGTTCGGATGCATACGCAGTAGGGCAAAAATGTGAGAGGAATAAAGAAAAACCAATACCACGTCATTTATTCCACTCGGGAAGCTTACCGAGAACCACTGTGCCAGAGATCGCTGGTGTGTTCTCGAGTAACTCTGATTACGGCGGTTGCCTGGCAATCCAGCACCCTAACAAGTCCAGTTGCTCAGTTGCTCTGTCACAAGCAATCTCACATCACCCTTCCACCAAGACCGTGACAAGAGCCATTTCTGAACTGTACCTCGTTGTTTCATGCAACATGCCATGTTACAATATCGGTCACAACATTGATAACCTGAGCATAGAAGGTCGTAAATCCATGCCGCGCCAGGAGTGGTTGATGCGACCAGGACAACTTTCTCATTTTGCGACAACGAACTCACATTTTCTGGATCATAAGATAATAACAATCTTTCCTTTTCAGCTTTTTCAATAAACACACAATTATTGCGAGAACAAGTCATCTTTCTGAGTCAAGCAGCCGACATGAGGCAACGAGAATATTTCAGTAGGTACATCTCGACCACAATGCCAAAGATTCTTTATAAGAGCAGGCTGGCAAAAAGAAAAAAGGTACGAAAAAAAATATTCGAGTTTTATTTTGAGATTTGAACGCAGGGTCTTCAAGTTTGAAGAGGTTATCTTTGACTTTCTACCATTCGACCACTGCGTCTTTCTATTGCCCGAAGGCGAAGGTAGATTGTTTGTTGGACATTATATGTTTGATACAAGTGCACTAATTTTCCCTGGTTGAGCAAACGCAGGACAAAGGACGCAAAAGGGGAGGTTGGGTTTGTTGCTGTAGTCACGTACCTGGGACGCGATGTCAGGGCAACGAAGTGCGCGTGGTAGTACTTAGGGTGGCTATGCTAATGACCTACCCTACACCAAATAATGCGAGCAATTGGGATGAGAAGCTTGATATTTTGTTTATTTAAAGCTTTGTGACAATTTTTGTCATATTACGATAGCTTCCTCGACTCCCATTTGTTCAGTGTTCTGTTCCAGTTGTAATTCATGAACTCACCAGGGCTGTTTTCTCCAGACCATTGAGGACAAGTCGTGGCTGATCAAACATAAACTGGTTGTCACAACAAGTCAGTAGTACCCGTTTGGGTGACTTTTTCTAGCTACATTTCAAAAAGAAATGACTCTTGATCGTTCTGTCAGGTAGATGAAATCCGTTCGTAATAGGACTGCGCGCAGCGATGATGGGCCACGATATAGAGGATAGAGCAGAATTCTAGGACCTTTGCCTTTGTGTTCCATTATTGCAGCGGCCCATACTCATCCGGATTTTTCAAGGCTTGTTGTCAGTCACGTCATTCTGGAGCGCATGGCTCTTGGAAGGAAGTCACTCGACGAAAATATAAAGACATTTGCACGAAGCAGAGAAACGGAGTAGTATATGAAAAGGAAGTCAAGGCCACAAGCCTTACAGACCTACTCAAGAGCGACTGAAGTGTCTGCAGTGCCTATCTTCAACCCTCAATAAGGTCGTCTGCAAGACTTGTCAAGTATATCATCTGGAGAAGAGAGAGATCATAGTGCCAACACAATATTGGCATTCACTCCGACTTCTCCTCGAATCTCACTTTTGTCGACAGAGAACATTTTCATGTTATTTTCAATTCGTTTCGGTCAAATCAAAATTTCTGCACCTATCAAGTAGCAGTAAAAAGAAAATCGAGTCCACATGGGCCACGTCAATAGGGAGGCAAATTTGACGAAATAGTGAGACATTATCTCGTACGTGATTATATGGGTCTGCGCCAGACTCAAACTTTGAGTCATGTCTAGAGGAGCATCATTCGGACTCGCAAAACAAAGATTGGCAGAGTCGATTCTGCGCCACTCAGGCATTCCATTCCCATCAAAGGCGAAAATAACCTACTCTACGCGGAACAATTATTCGTCCGTTGTCGGGTTCTTGGTAAAGTAGCAACAAGAGCGACATAAATCAGAAAGCAGTGTTCTTCGAGCCCTAGGTTGCTTTTCCCATCCAAAGTACGGGAAACACAGACCACTGGATGAGTATCTCCGGTTTAGGGCGAGAGACTAGATCCTATGGCATACATTAGAGTAGCTTAGATTTGTAGGGCACAGCATTAGTCTTGCCGTTCAGAAAGTCCACCTTGGTGTGGTAATACCATTAACGATATGGCCCACCGCCGTGGCCTCCTTGAGAGATAAAAGAGAAGAAGGAAGAGAAAAAAAAGGACGTCGCAATGAATGATTTGTTCGGATTCTAGAAGACAAAGAGTATCATGGGTGATTTCTTGGAGCCGACGTCGAGTGTTTCGGTTGGATCAAGAAAGAATGATACATCTATACCTCACTTTGACGTCTTGCCTGCCGAGGATCTCAGGTCGAATACCAAGTGACAGAATGATCACAACCACCTATACTGGTGCGGTCCTCGACGTAGCTAAGAGGTGGTATTCTGGTACTTTAGCCGCATGAGAGCCACCCCAAGTCGAGGTCGAGGAACCTTAAATATCGGACGGAACTACAAATTGCAGTCCTAGTATCCCTAGAGTCGCATCGTCGCTCCATCTGCTGTGATGAAACCTCAGAGAGAGCTCTTCGTGATGGAGAGTCCAAAGGGTCTAAACTGGCCGGTGATTCGTCTGATAATCTCCTCTGGCGCCTTCGGCTAGGCGAACCTTATAAGGATGGAATCCCACCAATACCGAAAGAGTATGCACATCGCAAGCGTATATGAATGTCATGGTACTGCAGTAGCAAACATGCGGAAATAATTGAAGCCATGGGCATTCTTGGGGCCCTCCGCCTGCTCGCCGGACTGCGCGCCGGGTCTTTTAACGGAGGATCTCCAAGTCCCGAGCAACCCACGACGTACCTAAGCTATACACGTTACGATGCGCAAGATCTGGTCCAGCACGGGATGAATGGGGTTCACGGACTTCTGGCGCGTCAGACCATGTGTTTAGCGTGGCTTAGAGACTACCACTGGCTGGGTGTCGCCGTCGTAGGTCTAATGAGCCTACAATGTCTTGGACTCTTGGGCTTTTGGCTTGAACACTTTATACTAGTGCTGTGTGGTGGATTGGTGCTGTGATCAACAGTGTATAGCGCCCATGGCATGTTTCCGGCTATTTGCATCCGACAGGAATTTTGATCGGGCGTGGACGAGTGTGAGTGAGATATATCACCTTGTATGAGGTTGAAGAGGAGGCCACAAACGGGGTGGCATATGTCTTGTCTCTTTTACGTTCCACGCGGATCTCTAGGGTCGCCAGACTAGTCGGTCGAGTCCATCATCTCCCAAGAATGAAGAACAAAGAAGAGGGAGGAGAGGGAAATGCCCTCTTTACATACTACTAATAGGTAGCGCAGTCCGTGTTGTCGAGGCCAACTTCGGGGACAGATGCCGCCGGGACGATTATGAGTGCCGATCCTAGAGCTTGTCTCAAAGCAAGATGCTGCTTACGGTCCGTGAACGAAGGTAGGGGACTCGGGGCTGAGGATCAGTGGGTTTGAGTGGGCTGTGGTGGACGTGCTTGGGTCCTGAATCGGTGGTGCCAACAGGGCGCTATTTCGTAGGGCCGGCGAAACGCTAAAAGAGCTGCACCTGCGTCACGCTAACACAGGTACAGCATAACGTTACCGCCCGTCACATCATAGTCCAGAAATGGGACCAGACTTGGAAATCCTATTCAGGGACTCAATTTCACAGGAAGAAGAAGTCGGGCAGGTAATGGGCAGGTAGACACATACCTAGGCGAAGGATCAGAAACAAAATGCTGACATTACTGAAGCTAAGGCAAGGGCCCACGTCTACAAACCCCCCCGGGCCTCTTATTAGTCTGATATGATTTCCTTACGGGGAAGACACAAGAGCCAGACAAAAGGTGCCCTGGTCCCTCCTCTTGTTCGATCCTCTTGAGATGCTCCGAATTTCATGTACGGGCGCATTTTGGTCGCCTTCAAAGTCGTCGTTATTGTTGTCTTTCTTAATCGTTCTCTTCTTGTCATGTCTCTGTTTGCCTGTTCTAACGTCTAGTCACAATTCGAGTTGTAACACACTTTTATATATATTTCGGGCACGGCCGGGATCGATGCAGAACGCTGCTTACAGGAACTCGGAAACACGACGAACTTGCTCACCAAATACGCATGAATACTCGCCTTGTGGCGCTGGGTTGGCGTCATGTCGTCAGAGGACGGTAAATTCGTCTACTCGGCCATCAACTTGCACGATCCGGAACCATTGGCGAATAAAAAGGCGACACTCTTGGGATGGGTCATAACATTTCTGGTAATACAGAATCATCAAGATATTCTTGTCTTAATGACGAATTCAACTGACATCGCCTTTCATCTACCAGATCGCATCATGGGTCTGTGTGAGTATGCGACTCTGGGTACGATTCAAGATCATCCGTGCGCCTGGATGGGATGATTTCTTCGTCGTACTCTATCTTGTAAGTCGAACGGACTTCTTCGAAACAGGACCACTGGTGCTAAACATTCAAATACAGTTGACCATGACGGTCGGTTGTGTATCAGTATGCATAGGTAAGTAACGGAGCTCCATACCTGAGCAACGCTCAGGAGCTAACAACATTATAGCTACAGAGAATGGCTTGGGCCAGCACGTCCTCCTTTTGCCCGTGGAAACGGTAGAAGCATTTCTCAAAGTTAGTGGTACTTTCGAGTCCAGCCCTGCGCACTCATCTCTGATCAGACAAACGTCAAGATATTCTATGTGACCAATGCCACCTACTGCAGCTCGACATGCTTCATCAAGATTGCCCTACTGTTGCAATACCTTCGAGTGTTTGAGCGTGGAACCAGGCTATACGCGGTGACCATGGCCCTCACCATCTTCACTTCTCTTTGGGGCCTGGCGTATTCCATCATTGCCTGGATACCCTGCGCCCCCGTTTCCGAGTATTGGAACTTGTCGGGCACAGGAGATCGGTGCTGGGGCTACGGGTCTCATTACCCAAAAGTCTTTGTCGGGACATACGAGAGCCACACTGCCGTCAACATGGTACTCGATGCCGTCATACTAGTTCTTCCTCTACCCTTACTATGGAGGGATGGTGCTACAACTGCAGGTCGAGTCCGCTTGGCTGGTTTACTGTCAATGGGTTGCGTGTAAGCATGTCCATTGCATCAAATATGCTACCTTGGAACATCATGAGGCTAATGCATTTTCTTCGTATATAGCGTCCTTATACTCGCAGCATGGCGTCTCGAGGAAATGGTCTCGACTCAAGTCGCCACCTATCCGACTCGCGACCCGACATGGTACGGGCCATTAAGTATCTTACTCGCAGCACTCGAGGTCAACGCGGCCAGTATATGCGCCAGCGTACCCATATTTTGGCCAGTCTTTGCCACGACGTGGAGCGGCATCTTTGTCACGCAGGAAGTCAAGGTCACGAGCGAGTCGCGGTACGTGGACGAGGACGGCGACTCGCTCACCATGAACCATCAATCCCGTCGCAGCGGATCTCAGCTCAGCATTGTCGAGGACATTGAGGACGGTGGCGGCGGCGGCCGCGGCCACCGCAGCACCCACAGCACCAACAAACACTATCGGGACTCGTTCATCCTGCGTCAGGTCGACCCCCTGCGGCAAAAGGACGATCGTGACATGGCCAGTGCATTGGCAGACTCGCCAAAGGAGGACTATAGAAAATACGTGAAATTCTGAGGGTCTCTGCCATGTAGCACTGAGGAAAGTTATTGTGAAACAGGGAAAGAGGACATACCCCCGGGTGAGGCGTTGGCGGTTTGATTTTTTTCTTTTTTGGGTACAGTATGTAGCCTCAATGCAAGTTACATGGCATAATAATGCATCATGCCTTAAGCATTTGAATCCTTCAGCAGACATCTACCCTTGCTTTCATGAACTATGTCAGTCCTCTTTCGATTTGACCTCGAATGGACAATAAGAGCGTCACAGCTAGATTTTTCTCTGTATAGAAACCTTACATAGTGGCTTGGGAATCTGGTGGCATCTGTAACATTTTCGGTCACGCCGATGGCTTGGTTACCCGGCGAGTTATGTTCTGATCAGCGTCTCTCTCCGCATCACCAGCACGCAGCCTGCATCTCTCATCCGCAAGGATTCGCTTCCCGGTTCGATGGCTGACAATTTTGGGAAAGGCTTTGCACAAATTTAGCAATACCTAACTTGATTCGAACTTGATGCATACTCGAAAAGGGAGACATTGGTCGCAATGGATTCTCTGGTGACAGAAGACAAGTATTGACGAGGATCTTGGCATCTCACACGTGTGGATCCCTTCCCCGAACCAGGTGGTTTGTCTCCCAAAGTGTCCACCGCGTTTGATCAGATCCATCTGCACGATCCTATGATTTGGACCTCCCGTGGGTTCCGACTGGTGAGCAGGTATGGAGCTGCTGGACAGAGACCCCGGGGATATGCGTGGCCCGCCCTAGCCCCGGCATGGCCTATCCGGGTTTCTAGAAGACTGCAAGGCTTACTATGATCAACGCATCTAGATGGGGCTACATGGGCAGTGGTCTAGCCGCACTCACTCATTATATCATAGTTCAATCAACTAATTTGGGTATATCGCAGGATAGCAACTTCGTCATAATCTCGTCAGGGACCCGGAAGGTGATTCGCCTTTCCATTCCTTGAATAGACTTCATGGGCCATCACTGTTTTGTGAACACCAATTTTCTATCTTTGAGTTGACCCTTTGATGCCTGAAAAATTGTATGACCTGCTCGGTAACCTCGAAAGCCGAACGTACAATACGGGCGGCATCTACTCATCATAGTGTCGTGTACCAATCAAGTTTGAATTTTAAACATTTTCGCGCACTTGTAGGTGGCTCCTCGTCTGGTCAGACGAGCTCAATTTTTTGAAGATCCATTACACCGGCCCTTCGTAGTATGTCAACGTCGACCATGAGACGGGCTCTCTTGTCTTGGAACTGTTCCAGCTCTTCGCGAAACTCCTGGAGGCCCACTCCCAACTTGACAAGCCGTGGATCCTCTTGCACAACTTTCCCAGAATCGATATCCTGAAATCTCCAGCCCTTGTACGAAAGCACGGGGCGTATAGTCTTTGGAAATGGACCCAGAAGCGCCTCGCCGTACATGATGCCCTCTGCATAACACGCGCCCACCACCATGTACTGGTTTCCTCCGAGAGGCCTCAGAACAAGCGGCACCTCGCAAGGTATGAGCACATATATGTGATCTCCCGGCTGCGCAAATATCGGCACTCTGCCGAACAAGTCATTAGTACCAGTAAATAGCTGCCGGCCTGCCATCACTGTGACAATAAACCACAAGATACTGCTTGTTTTCTCTCGACCAAGTCTCTCTTTGATCTCTTGAGCTGAACATCCAGCAAGTACTTGCGCAATCAAAGACTCAAAATCCCGAAGAGATGGATAATCTGACGTGGCAGGTGACTCCCATATATCTGAAATGTACACCCCCAAGAGTGTTTTCGCGCAACGTTCGAGCATTTCACCAATTCCCGACACAAGTTTGTCGAGCAGACTTTGAACAGTTGTTCGAATTGTGTTAATCAATGTGTCGGCACTAGACTCATCATAGTCGTCGAATTTCCACAAGTGCTCGATCACGGTGATGAGCTTGCCATGCGTCTGGAGAACGCGGCCATCCAGAAGTGCGAAGCTCATGCTTAGGCACGAGTTGGCCCAACTGTGCGTATCAAGATAGCAGAATCCCGGATTTCTTGACCAGTCGGGCACCCAAGAGGGGCCGGGAATCGGCAGGTTCAATTCACATTGCTGTAACAACGCCAAATCCTGGTGGCGCCGGATGTACCGCAGGGCGGCATCTGTATAAACTTGTCCCACTGTCTTGGTATAATCCGGAGTGATTTTTAAAACGTTTTGTCCGTTGAAATAAAGTCTCATTGTGGCGTAGATCCTGTCTCTCGGATCTTCACATTTTGCTGCGTCACACTCAAGTCGTAGCCCAGAGTATCCACAATTGACGTCTGTATATGTGAAACTCCAGAGATTGGTACGAAGAAGTGAATCAAGATCATGGATAGTGTCATCCTGTTGTATTGCCATCATGGCATGGCGGAAGTGAGTCCAACGAATCCGATGCATGCCACACATAATTTCAGCATCACTGTTAGCTAGGAAGATCTCCTGTCTAATCCACAGTCGCCCAAACCATGGACGTGATAGTAAGTGGTAGATCGCATTCAGTTCCGGAGCCTGGAGTGGGATTGAGACACGACCATGGATCCAATCGACCCCGTCGAACCCTTGGGCGGCACTGATTGCGTATTGCGCCCGCGACGAGTCGCCATTAGGTCCAGGCCAGTTGACAGCTATTTGTGAACCCAGATAGTACATCGATAGCATGGCAAGATTGCTGCCATCAGCCTCAGGGCCCAACCAAGCAACTACTCGAGAAGCACACTGATATATGTCCGCCATGATTGCAACTTGAGCGCTCTTCTCTTCATTGTTCTCTTGGTCGATACACAAAGCATCGATCCACAGCACACGAACTCTGTCTCCGAGTCGAAGGTGCTTGAGAGCAATGTACAAGTTCTGAGTGACGTGCGCTATGCAACTTTCTTCGCCTTCGATGGAGATGATCATGGGTTGACCCTTCGGACCCCAGGCGTAGGAGAGCGCTTCATACTCAATAGGGCTTCCTCGAGCTTGCGAGGACTCTATTTGAAGTTCTGCCCATGGGTCTCTCGCATCCGACTCTTCCACGTCTGAGTCTTCCACACCTATGCGAAATTGTACAGGCTCGAGCCGTATAACGATACCGGCTTCGTATGACCCTGGTTCGAGACGAATCAGGCGGATGGATTGAGGTGGTAGATTCTGGTACACATAAACCGGGCGGATGCAGGTCTCGAGACTGCTTCGATCTTGGGGCAGCTCCATCGCAACCTAAAGTGGCATATGGCAAGAGCAAATAAACTCCACCACTGGGATGTATGGCGTGCGTAAGCAGACCCTCATGTCAGCCATTACGGGGTGTGTTCGAACATCGGGTTGAAGAGAATCGATATTTGTTTGATTAAGCTGGCGGCTCAGCTGCTGAACCCCTCTTATGCATGTCTTCCCTTGGCCTCGTTGATTGGCTACTCGGGATACGCATGTTTATTTGTGAGGCTGAACGTGGCTTACATGGGTGATGCTGTAAACTTCGACCCTCCTCTTGGGAGCACAGTCCAGAAGTGCAGCCAAAACCAGAAACATTAGCGATGAATTCCAAGAATGCCACTGCAAATGCATTTAAGAATCAATCCTGCATGTTCTGATTGGCCCATTTCAATTGACCCATTTTCACCTTGCATTTGATATCGTCAATTGGCTTATAAAGTCACAAGTGTTGAATCTACTACATCAATAACTACATAGTACAATGCAGCTCTGGCGGTGTTGTTTGTAGAGCTGCCGAAGACTCCGTTTCTTTGATCAAGTAGGCGGCTTCGAATACAGAGGTGCTAGCGGAAGGGCAGGCGGATTGCGCAATAGCTCAACTACTCGCAATTGCTACTTTGTTTCCAAATATCTTCGGCGGCATTGACGTCGACCCATTGGTCAGAGGAACCCCGAGCAGAGTTGGACTGTTGTTGGAGCTTACTCCGTTCGTTTTTCCAGGCTGCGGAGAATATGCCGAAGAGAATCGGCCCTGAGGACCAAAGTAGGAAGGCTGCTCTGGTACAGCAGAAGACGTAGATCGAGGTGTGGCTAAAATTACTGCCGATTAGCGGGCCAAGTGGTTGACGAACAGTTTACTGGAGCTTACTGGGAGTTGAAGCCTGGTTGGAGGCGTTCTTCGTACGGGGCGAGTTCTTGAAGGCGTTTGGAAGTACTGTGCATTTGTTAGCATTGCTTCGAGCCTATTGAGTGTCAACGAACCTGTTTTCTCGTGGACACGAGACCTCTGGCATTTTTTGAGACCTTCCCTGAGGATCTCTACCTCGTGCTGCAACTGAGACCTCTCCATTTGAATGTCCTCTGACTCGGATGCAATTTCCTGGAGACGCTCTTCGCTCATCTGAACCACCATCATTGAAGTCAAGATATCAGGTATCTCGGAGATCAAACAATTCTCGGCAGCCAGATTCACGACGTTATCGGCAAACGTTCGGAGAGACATCTGCATGATAGTGTTAAATAAAATAATTAAGAAAGGCGACAAGGAAACGTGTGTTCCTGGGTCCTTACCTCGTACTGCGTCATGGCCATGTCAATCACCTTCTCGGTACCGAACTCGCTGATTTCAGCTCTTTCTGCAAGTTTGATGCTTTCCTCCAAGTCATCAGGATCCAGACCATGTCCATCCTTTCGATTGAATACCTCGGGGAACTTTTCCTCGATTAGGCTCACAATGCGTCGAGCCTCGCGCCCAGCATTCCTTGTTGCCAGAGCAGCGTGGAACTCTGCGTCTAGCGGTAGGCCGTAGCCAGATTGATATGGTCGGATGATCTCTGCTAGCTTATCTTTGAGGGCTTCGCGCTTGAGCTCAAAGAAATCACTCACGAAAAACCCCAAGATGGCTTTAATGGTGTCTTGATCGGCACCAATGATATGTATGAATAGATCTTCCACAAAGGACTTTGCGAAATCCGTGACCGTATCGAGATAAAAGTCTGCGATAGGACTCCATTTCTTGGCCTGCTCCCTGAAAAGCTGATGTCCCAGTTGTGCATTCGGTTGAGTAGGGAATTCTGTTCCTTGGTTGGCCGCACCCAGCTTCCCAAGTTCATCACGAAGATCCTCCTCCGTAATGATATCAGGCTTGGGAAACCTGTCAAAGAGCCCAAGAAACGGCTTGAGGTACTCAGGCGGGGGCTTGTCGTCAGCGAGCCAGTCAAACCCTCCGTGGGACAGGCCAGAATCCTCGTCCTCCAACTCAACATCGCGATCAGCCCCTTTCATGATGAGCGTGGCATGAAAGGCACGGTTGAGTCTTCTGATGCATGCTCGCAGTTTTCGGGTGTGATTGTTATCGTACAGATCACCAAAGAAATCGTCACCGTAGCGGCCACCTAATCCATCGTTTGCGAGATGTTGGAACTTGACAGAGATACCGGTCAGGTATTCCCTCAGCTCTTGGGTCGTAGAACGAGGCTTTCCGAGCTGATCTAGAGCATGCTGACGAATAGACAGGCTAGCCTCTATCTCTTCAACCAGACCTGGGAGTGTCTTCCGAATGTGTTCAAGAAGGACCTTGCTCAGTTTTTTGCGCAAGTAGGCGATTCCACGGCTACTTGGGGCAATGTTGGACCATGCGCCGGTCTGGAAGAACTTTTCCTCTTCAGCATCTCTCTCATCAACAGTCGATGCTTCTTTGCCTTCCGACTTATTGCGAAGCACGTGCCAGCCTAGTTTCAGTTTATGGATATTTTCCTGGCCCCTAACGAGCTGAAGACACTTCTTCTCATCTTGTGAGCCAGGTGCTGCAAGGTCCGGCTTGGTGATTACACCTAGGGTCCGTTCTCGGTTCGGATCGTGTATCCGAGCTTCCTCGACAACCAGCTGGTTGGCGAGATTATGGTTTGCCGAGACAACGGCGAGAATGATGCTATTTTTCTGCTTCATATATCGCTCGGCAAGTTGTCGAACAATTTTTCGACCCTCCTTTGTCTGATCAGCGGTCTCGGCATGGAAGAAGCCTGGCAGGTCAACCAGCGTGACAGGATAGACATCCGGATCCGTGATTTCTACCCGCAGAATATCTTGAGAGAATCCTTTTGTACTTCCTGGACGAATTCCCATCTTCTCTGTCGCCTCGGTGATGATGTCTGGCAAAGCATCTTTGCTGAAACTAGTCCGCTTGAATTGCTGAGAAGTGCCAGTCTGAGCCGAGTCAATGGAAACGCGGATTTTCGTATTAGCCGCACGCCGAAGTACGAGTTCCGTTGCGAAGCGAGTACATAGATCTCCCTTGGCAGGGAAGCGGACGCGTGAAATGGCTTCCAATACCGAACTCTTGCCAGAGGACTGGTCGCCGACCACGATGATTTGGGGCAAATTGACAATCTCTCCAACCTGGAGTTCTCGGAGGCGGTCAACCTAGAGATTGATCTCGAATTAGCATTTGACCTCAATGAATTGAGTAACATCAAGTGCTTCTGGTTAGTGCTCTCATAAAACTGGAACTCCAGCGCTTGGAACATCTCCATTGAAGCACAAGAGCATCAATATCATGGATTCATATGAGTACTTGCCGTGTCAAGAAGAGCCCTTGCTTCAGGGCTGTTAAGTTCGCTCAGAGCGATTGAGTCTAGCGTGACTTCAGACATCGTAACTCCCGGAGCTACTATCGAGTATATCCAAAGTCCAATGAGCCAAAAGAAAGAGACAAGATCAGGTAGTCAAGTTCGAAGATTGATCATAGTGTGAGTTTCCGAAAGAGAATGGAATATGCTCGAGTTCATTAGAATAGCATTGGATCCTTCCCTAGGCTTTATAGAGAATATGGCTATCAATCCCAACACCTTTACAAAAGAACGCCTTTCGATATCAGGCTGACTCGCTGCAAGTGCTTCGTTGGTAGCAAAGCTGTGTTGGTGATAGGTCATGATGTGGCGTAGCGACAAATAGATGCTAAAACGCCAGGCGGCCACCCTGATGATACTCACGGGGTTCCCCAAGGTGAATGCAGGAGGCCCATAGCCGCACCCAAACTCTAAAATGCATACCACCTATAAAAGATAGTCAACTATCTACTCGGACAGGGTAACAAAAATCCTCCTTTTGGGTCGCACAAAAGAGACCCTCTGTAACCGCGCGCGAAAGGGATGAGACGGGCAGGGTGGATACTGCGACGCCATGCCCTTTAAGATAGTTCAAGGCCTGAAGGCCTGATATTGGTCGCCGAATACTTGATTATCCTGGGGACCAATTACGGTCATTATAGTGGCTGCTAACAGGATTCGACGGCGATCAAACAAATGTCCCACCCCCAATGATCAACCCCCAACTAGGACTTATTGGCATAGCCGAACTGTTCGGGCCGCAGCACCCCCACGGAGGGCCGGGAGCTGGGCTGAAGGGTAACGGGCTTCGCCCCGACACTGATTGATGCAGCAACCTGAAACTATGACCATCATTGGTATGTCGGTAGTATGTACATTATATACCCAATGTGCGCCGAAATGGGTTGGGGTCTTGAGAGTAGCGCCACCAACCCCCTTCGGACCATGATCAAGGTAAGGAACTTCAGCGTAGCAATAGATAATATACAGCGGTCTACAGTAATTCACTGGCAATGCATAGGTTTCTTTTCATGAGCTCTTGCGTCCCTGTCGAACCATTTCCCACGTATTGATTTAACAAGTGGTGTGCATGATGAGACTCAGGCAACACCTACGCCCAATCGACTTCAGTTGGGGGTTTAGCAGACCTGCTTTGCTCAACAACTATCATGCGTCACAACCATCCGAGTCTTCGAACTCCATCTACTTAACCATTCTCTTCCCATCATCCTACCAACATAACATGAGGCACCACTGTCATAGTGTCGCAATTGAATTGTCGCCCGTTGTGCTGTGGCGCCATCGTGTATCTCTGCGCTCAACATTTCTGTATGACGCATGTGCATCCCAAACGCTAGAGATCCATGTTGCTTTTGGGATGGAAATCCTCCCCAATATCTTCCTCCCCGAGACGTTAATACGCCTCTTTCAGACACCATGACATTGATTCCTTGCCATGGAGAGGCTTTTGCCAAACAAGTTCAACACAGCTTAAATCTAATCGTCGTCTTTGGGATAGTGGTAGACGTTGCATGGTGGCATTTCTTGTTCGCCTTTTGTGCAATCAAATACTGCCCCCGAACACATCAGCCTCGTCGCAATAGACAACCATGGCGGAAAAAAAGTGCGCTCTGTCTTTGTCACTCCGCTGGCACGTCCAGCCGGAGATCCAGACAACCCCGGCCGCACTCATCATTATATTCTGTGTCGTTTGAAATGTAAACATCCCATTTGGTGTTGGCTACATGTGCTTTGGCCATGCAGCGGTTTGTGAGGGGCTCCTTCTTGAGGGCGGTACACAGATTGGCGATTGCGAGAAAGCTGATGACAGCGGTTTCGAGACTGGTTTAAATGCGCATTGTCTCCTTTGTCGAGAGCAAAACCCCTGGGGATGTTCGTCCAATATGATTTGACGCTAGGACGCAACTATTCAATCACGAAGCTGCTTGGCGGTCATTTCCCGTATGAGATGTTTGTCGATCGAAAGATGCCAAGACGATTGTATAGCGGTGACAAGAAATGAAGTTTTCGATATCCATTTCTAAACGATAGATGTGCCTTGGCGTTTGGGGATCTTCTATCAAGCGATCGGCAATCTCTCTTCAGTGTCCGCAGTGTGTGTGAGAGAGGTCAAAGATACAATGTTGGGAAGGAATCATCAAGTCAGATGCCCGATGTCGCCCAGAAATGCTGCAAACAGAACCCAAAAAAATTTCTCTCTTCAGTACTCGGCCAGATGACACGACTTTTGACAATTGATGGGTGAAGTCTCGTCGTCGCGAGATAGAGCGAAATAGCGAGCGATCCGAAAACGGTCGCGGGAGATCCGCGAGACCTTTTCTGGAGTGGCAGCTGAGCGTTTTCCTTTCAGCCCGCAAAAAGTCCCATTGGTCAATTGGAGGAGGGATCAATTGGCCGAGCTGATGCTTGGCGTGGTAGCTGCTGGCTATTGCCGGCGATCATCGGCTTATGTTATCAGTGCGTCATTCCCCTTCCCTCCCTTCTCTGTTCTTTTTAACCTTTGTGTCTAGACCCCAGACCAATAAGCTGAGAGGGGACCCTGAACTCTGCCCAGTTGGCAAGGCATTGGTTTGGCTTGTGATTCGGGATCCAATCTATGACCGAATTCGGGCACATGACGATCATATCCCGCCTGGACCGAGTCAAGGGTCAATGATTAGATGAAGCATAGCCCTATCTCGGCGCATGTAAGGTTGCAGCGGCTCAGTTCCAAGGCATTGTAAGATATAGATATATGCCACGCAGACAATGTCCTACCATTCCGAGGTCCCTCGACCCTTTCTACTATCCAAACTATACTGAACAGCATTTCCGTGACTTGAAAAACACCCTACAATCCACGAAACTCTACCAACAGCACAACTAGAACTCGTCTTGCTAAAAGTACATCAACAACAAGACTACAAATCAATCGTCCTGGCATCAATCACAATGGCTCAGCTTGCCAGCCCATCTCCTCTCACAGCAGAGAACCTAAAAGTGTTCTCGCCATCACTACCCCACAACTACTCGGCCTCGGTCTCATCGCGGGCCTCAGAGGACGAAGACGCTGCGTCACTATTCTCAGACGCGCACAGCGTCGTCTCGTCCACCTCCACCGCGCCCGAGGACGAGGCAGCCCCCTTCACCGTCCAGGAAGCCTCGGGCGAGACCGTAACCGTCTACGAGTCCCTGGACCAAGCGGTTCGGTACAGTCTCCTGCGGGCCGAACAGGCGCGCCGCCAGGAGGAAGAGACCCGGCGGTTTGCGTACATGCCCTACTCTGCGGCACCACAGCAATCGCAGGACGTGATATTGAATGAAGCTTCTTGGGTGTCGGCACCTGCGCCACCACCGGCAGGAGATGCCCAAGGTGACGCCGATGAAGAGGATGAGGATGCGTACTTTTCAATGGGCTGAGGAAGAAGATCCTCGTGCAGAGAAGGACAACGGCAATTGATTTACGGCGTTATTGGAATGGGAGGCAGAATTGCTCCATGTTTTGGGGAGAGCGGTGCTTGGGTCTGGCAGCTTGGCGTTTTCAAACTGCGCGCACTAATGCGGCAGCTTTGTTATGGTTCATTAGGCGTCTGGGGTGCATCTCATGGTTGTACGGTACGAAGGAAATCGCCAGTGTGCTGCTATTCGGATGGTACGGAGTTGTATTGAGCTTCATAGCGTAAAGATACCCAAAACATATGTAGGTCATTTAAATTGCATACTTGATTCCATTCTTCATGTATTCTCTAAGTAGTTCTAATCTACCTGTATGGTTTGTCTTTTCTAATTTCTTCATGTATATCTCTCCGTTGTCCTTCCTGCTGGTTCTTGTAAAAGCAGCACCCACATATCAAGACTCCTCTACTGCCCCTGTCTACTTCTAATAATCTAGTCTACAACTTCGCCTTGGGTTTGTCTTGCTTCATCATCGTCTCGGCAACAATGCGCCTCTGAATCTTGCCAGTAGCCGTTTTGGGCATAACATCAGAGAAATAGATCTGTAACTCGTCAGCATGTCTCCTTCGTATCTCTCCCATAGTAGCACTCACCTTTGCGGGGACCTTGAACTTGGCCACCCTCTCAGCCATCCACTGCTTGAGCTCGCCAGCGCCAAGCTTTTCGCCGCTCTTCAACACGACGGCTACTCCCACGTCCTGCCCATACATCTCATGGGGAATGGCGAAACTGACAGCCTCGCTCACGGCGGGGTGTCTTGTCAGCACATTGTCCAACTCTATGGGGCTGATCTTCTCGCCTCCCTTGTTGATCAATTCCTTGATTCTCCCTGTGATGATAATGTAACCATCCTCATCCTTCTTGCCTTGGTCGCCAGTACGGAAGTAGCCGTTTTGGGTGTATGCTTCCGCGTTGGCCTTGGGGTTGTTGAGATATCCCTTGGTAACGTTCTCGCCCTGTATGCAGATCTCGCCCTCAGTTCCCTGAGGCAACTCCTCGCCTGCGTCGTTGAGGATTTTCACAACTACACCCTGGCCAAGACCAACAGTACCAGGCTTTCTCTTGGCGGGAGGAAGAGGATTAGAGGTCATCTGATGGGCTGCCTCAGTCATGGCATATGCCTCAAGAACGGGAGCTTTGAAGGTCTCCTCAAGCTTCTCGAAAACGGCAGGGGAAAGTGGCGAGGAACAAGAGCGGATGAACCGAATGTCCGGCAGTGGGCTGGGCACAGGCGATTTGAGAAGAATCTGGTGAATTGTAGGCACTGCCGTGTACCAATTCGCCTTGTGAGTTTGAAAGTCCTGCCAGAAGTCGGTGGCAGAGAACTTCGTGGGGACAATCATCGATCCTCCAGAGTAGAAGGGAGCCAACAGAGCGCACAGGAGGCCGTGAACATGGAAAAGTGGCATGACAAGCATAGTCCGGTCGGCCGAGGTGAGATTGTATGTGCTCTGGATGTTTCCTGGACTCGGATTAGTTGTATGCTCCAAGAAGAGTAAGCCAAGAGCTGCACAAGTCTTATGTTGCAGGACTTGGCATCACATACCCATGGTACGGACAAGGTTGCGATGGGTCAAGGGCACCTGAAATCGACATATTAGTATACTATACGGGCTCAATTGTTTACAAGAATCATCGTTCAAACTCACAACTTTGGGCCGTGATGTGGTTCCGCTAATTCCAAGTGGTCAGTATTGTCCATTCGCGCAAGTTCAACTACCACAGACCCCCAACTCACCTCGTATGTAGAACCAGCGCAACATCGTCAGTATGCGCTTGAAGTATATTCTCCTTGGCTCTTCCCTTGAGCAGGCCGAGATCTTTGACATCGAGTGCGACTTCCTTCTTCGTCACATCCCAGTAGCATTCAGCAATCGCAGCATTGAACTTCTTAGCCGCTTTCACTGCCGGAGCATTGGCCTGGTAGGCACCCTTGGGAACCAGGACGATGGCAGACTTGACATCGTCAATGTAGAATTCAAACTCGTCCTGCTTATAGGCAGGGTTCAGAGGGGCAGCGATGGCGCGTTGCCAAGCTGTAGCCTCAAAAGAGACGATGAACTCATACGAGTTGACTACGGCAATAGACACAGCAGAACCATGACCAATACCAATGGCTGCCAGCTTGCGTTGGAATGCAGCGCACTCGGCCGCAAGGTCCTTGTAAGTGACGGTTAGGGCGTCTGGCTTCGAAGGGATGATGACGGCCGTTGAGTCGGCAACGCCACGAATTGCAGTCTGCAGAGTCGCCATTTTATCACGGCTTGGGTGACTTGATGTACCTATCACACACCTTTCCAAAGATATCCAAGATAGGGGAAACAAACTAAAGAACGAGTCTATCGTCAGTGTCAATATAAAAAATGAAAGTGCAAGACCAATCGAGGTCTATGATATTCCAAAGAGAAAAAAGAAATGTTCTATTCTATCAAGCACAGAGTCCTTACACGCGTATTGTTTGCGTGCTCCCGATAAATATCTCGCACGGAAAGAAACTAAGATAATGCCAACAAACGTCAGACCAGCGTCTGTAACATGGCGTGGTCTCAAGAATGGTGTCACCGGGCACCTGGTGCTCCCTAAGGATGCCGTTACCGAGGCCGCGGGTTGGTACCTGAACCTCGCCAAACCGCTGAATTTAGAGGGTCGCTGGAGGCTGGGGTCCCCTGGAGTACCCCAACTAATCAAACATGATAGGCGGGAGCTCAGCACTCAAAGCACTAATCCACCTTCGAGCTCCAGTTGGTAGCTTAGCTGCGGCCAAAAAGTTGCCGGATCCGAATACACATGCTGCTCGTCGCATAACTCTCGAGAAGTCTTGTCACAAAACTTTTGGCATCCTCCCCTCTCCTCCCCCGTGATCACCGACTGTCCAGCCTGCTCTTCGCAATACACGCCTCAATTCTTCAAATAAGCTTCCGCAACAATGTCAGGACCACCGCCTCCCAAACCCGGAGGCGGGTTGTCCCTCTACGCGGATCTTCTTGACCCGCCAGGCGACTCTACAGCTTCCATATCGCGAGGACCCCAGCTCTCACAACAAGCGCTTGACGCCTTGAAGGAGCAAGAAGATGGAGCTGCAGCGGGAGCAGCAAAGAAGGCAGACGCTTCGTTGCGCTTCCAGCCCATCCCAAATATACGCCGGCCGCAGCAAAAGACACAAAAGCCCAAAGCAGGCTTCCCCAAGGCCGCTGCTGTTGTGCCCGGATCAGGCATTGGGAACCCAGCTGCAGCAGCGACGGGAGCTCCGGCTCCTCCTCTCGTCAAGAGTACGCTGGCAGATTGGACCAACACGGAAGAGGACGACTTCATGTTCGACGACAGACGGCCGCGCAACAAGAAGAAAAAGAAGAAGCACAACGCGCCGGTTGAGACGGACTGGAACGAGATCTACGATCCCTCGCGGCCTACAAATGTCGATGAGTATCTGCGCAGCGACGAGCGCATACTGGAGGTTAGGGAATGGAAAGCGCTACTCTACAGGCATAGACGGCCAGCCGATCGGAAGAGGCAGTCAAGCTGGGACAGTGAAGAGGACGAAGAACAGCATCGTCCTATGGGCAGTATGTCGATAAAAAATACCGTACTTCCTTTTGAGACCTTGGTAAAAGTTCTAACAAATCTCAATCGCTCTAGACCAGTTCGCGCCACCATCTGCATACTCCTTCGCACCTCCGCCGCCCTCGCCGCCAAGGGCAGCACCGGCTCCCTTGCCAGACGACAAGACGGGAGACGATGCGTATGCTCGACGACTAGCCCTGTCGCAAGGCATACCACCGCCTCCGCCACCGCCTACTGAGCCGAGTCATACCGGGTCAGAAGTACAGTCTCCAGTACCCCCTCCACCGCCGCCAGAACCGGACAATGCAACCATCTCCCGCGCGCCAGTCCGCTATTCTCAGCCAGAACCGACGGAGACGATGGCCATGGACGATGACGTGCCCGAAAATCAAGCAGAAAACGAGGAAGAGGACGAGGACGAGGACGCTCCACGGTCGAATCGGCCAGGGCAAAAGGGCTTTGCTGCCCGGCTCATGTCCAAGTATGGCTGGTCCAAAGGCCAAGGACTGGGCGCCGAGGGTACCGGTATCCTCGCCCCATTACGCGTGCAAGTTGAGAAGCGCAAAAAGAACGAGAATGGCGGTTGGGCGGAACCAGGCGGACGAGGCAAGATCATACAGCCAAAAGCAAACCCGAACAATAATAACACAGCCTCGTCTACATTGGAATCGTCGTCAGCAGGTCAGGGTGGAAAGTTTGGCGCCATGTCCAACGTCATTGTCCTCCGGCACATGCTGGATAATATTGAGGATGCACAGCAGGAGATGGAGGATGGTCTCGGCCAAGAAATCGGCGAGGAGTGCGGCGATAAATATGGTCGCGTCGAGAGGATCTACATTGACACGGCCCCCCAAGGCTCCAAGAGCGTCTACATCAAATTCGTGGACACGGTGAGCGCCTTGCGGGCTGTCAACGCGCTGGATGGTCGTGTGTTTGCGGGAAGCAGTATTGAGCCGCGGTTCTACGATCTCGAGACCTTCGAGAAGGGTGTGTACGAATAAGTGGAGTATATACGTACCATGTACCATGAACCAAACATGATTGCTATATTTGAGACGGGTAGAGCAATGATTAATGAGGCATACACGGCAAAATGCGATCAGGCCGTGGACAAAGCCATTTTGCTTTGGTCACGGAATAGCTATGCCAGCATTTGCTGACCCCTAGTAGGCATCCCGGGGCCAGAATTGAAGGAGAAAGGAGAAAATGATTGGTATGATATATTGCAGGCTCGAATCCGGTCCTTGATCACATGACTGCTGTGACCGCAACCGGCAGATCACCAGGTGCGAAGATCGATCTCTCGCCAATGGTACCGAAACAAGGGCAAGTCTTGTTCAAGAATGTTACGAAACACTGCGTCAGACATCTGCCCCCACGTAGTGCGTGTCAGGGTGTGGTTGTATTCATGTAGAATGGGGAGGATGGCAGTGCAAAGTTGGACAAAACGAGTCAAAATGCAGACTCAGTAAACATTCTTCTTCTATCCAAGGTTGAATGAGGAGAGCACGAAGAATTACCTAACGGGGTTTTGACACGGTGACTTGGCAAATGACAATTGAATGAGATATTACTTCCAGTTTACAACCAATAGAAAATGCGCTGCGCTGTCTGATGACTACCATGTCTCATTGAAACCCAAAACGAGAACGCCACAAAACATAAAGCATCCAAACATGTCAACTTATTTCCACCTTGCAACGCCTAGTCGAAGTGATTTGTTCTGTGCAGACAAGGCTCGTCCTGTGTCTAGTTGAGAGCTCGATTCCGGCGCAGAAGCCTTCGAAGAGTATCACGGGGGAGAGTTGATCAGTAAAATGCGGTGGTATTAGTCTAGCGGTTCCTTGTACGTAGCCCTTGTTGCGATACCGTGCAACTCGGGTGAAATGACAATGACAAGAGTTTTTGATGACATTCGGAAAATGGAAAATCTGTGTGACGCCCCCTTATCCCTATCCATCCTCAACCTTACAGGAAGGCAACAACGAAGCCGGCAATGGAGACCAAGCTGACGAGCCACGACATGCTCATGCCAGAGGCACCAATGACAGCGCTGCTGGAGCTGTTTCCAGAGCTGGAGGTACCGCCAGTGCTGTCGAGGTCGCTGTTAGCATCAGCGTTGTTGCTAGTGCAGCTGTAAGAACCCTTGATGTAGTCCTTGGAAGAGAGGGTCTTGAAGGTGTCGCAAGAAGTGTCGATATCACCAGTGGAAGAGATGTCAAATCCACCATCGACCTCCTTAAGAGAGGGCAGGTCGACCTCAGAGAAGTTACCACGGATCAGAACGGCACCACCAACGGTCTCCAGGGCAGGGAAGCCGTTGAGCTCCTCCATGGCGGTGTTGTTGGCAATGGTGAAACCACCACCAACCTTGGTGAGCAGAGGCATGGAGATGTTGGTGATCTCAGAGTTGCTGACAAATGAGACATCACCAGTCTGGACCTCAGTCAAGTTGGGGGCGCTGAAGGAGGTGAAGTAGTTGGAGTCGAAGCGGATGGAGCCGTTGATGGTCTCAAGAGACTGAGCAGAGAAGCTGGTAACGTTGGAGATGGTCATGTTGGCGGCCCAGATCAGGTTCGGCATGCTGACGCTCAAATCCTCGCCGTTGGCGTTGATGTTGAGCAGGGTCGAGAGGTTGTACAGCTCAGTGGTGAAGTCGGTGAGACGGTGGTTGTTGTTGATATCCATAGAGTCCAAGCTGTGGATGTTGATACCCTCGAGGGTGCTCAGGAAGGTGTCGGCAATGGCGACAGTCTTGGCGCTGGTCAGACCGGGAGTACCGAAGGTCAGGGTGTCCAGGTTGCTCAGGGTAGCCCAGTTGATGGAGTCAACGGACGAGAGCTTGGTGAAGGACAGGGTGGAGATCAGGGTAAGGTTCTTCAGGGTGAAGGCACCACCAATGGTCTCGAGGGAGTCCGAGGTCAGAGAGATCAGACCACCATTGTTCTCGACAGTGAAGTCACCACCAATGCTGCTGGGACCAGAGATATCGATTGTCTCGCCAGCACCAGTGGTGATGACAACGTTGCCGTCAACGCTGTCGCAAGACTGGAAAGTGGTGATGTCGGAGGCAGACTCAATAGTGACGGTGTCATCACTGCAGTCGAGGGCCCAGGCACCTGCAAACTATGAATTAGTATCCAGACACTAGATGAGGTAACTCCAATATGCTTACCAGTGGCCAGGCTAAGAGCCGCAACGGCGGAAACGAACTTCTGGGTGTACATTGTCAAAGACTGTAGCGATTCGTGTCAGCGAGGTTCAATAATTGGTTGTTTAGGCTCGAAATGGAGCTGGTAAAGAAAAAGATAATGAGAACGGTGCAGGCGTCTTCCCCAACAAGCTTGGAGTGCAGCTAGATGTGCGGAAAAGAGTTCGTTCTGCAGGTTCCAAAAAAAAAAACTGAAAGTACTGGGGGTGGATGAACCGATGCCAATGATGGAGAGCAGACGATCATATTGACAAGTAGAAGTGAGTCAAGATTGGGAAGCCAGCAAATGCCAAACAGGAGTCAACAACGATGACAAGTGTACCTAGTCTAGCAAGCTCGACTGTATGGCCCAACGGTGATTGTTGACTACTGGCGCTTTGGCTAACAGAACATCATCAACCTGGAAAGACCAGGTTATGATTTCGGTTGGTGTAGGTTCTGCGCGACTGACGGCTGCGGCTTCCCAAAGACAAACACTCTCTGTCTGTGACCATGGGCGTCTGGAGGACTATGCATCAAAAGCCATGGCATTCTCGACATTATGCAAAGCGCCGGTGTTGAGCAACCAGAAAGTGAGCCAAGTGACGACGGCAACCGGACAAGCTTGCTTCCAACATGCTCGTCTCAGGGTCCCGACCAATCATAGTTGGGAAACAGTAGACCACCATGCAGAGAACACCGACAACCACTTGCACTAGGGCTCTTGGTGTACAGTAGCTTGCATCAGATAGTCAAAACCTTGTACTGAAAGCCGTTGTCACCCGTATCAACGTCTGATGCTGCCCACCCCCATTTCGCGTGTCGAGAATGCCAACCCACGTTGGTCGCTACCCACAGAATGCTCCAATTGAGTGGATAGGAGTGGACTGATAAGAGGTGCCGTGCCGTGCAGGGTGTCTTGGGAATCCTTCCATCCTTGACGAATGTTGTGATGGTCCAGGTATGGGATTGGATTCAGGAACAAGCCAGAGAATCCGCATGAAGTGCCCAGATAGGGGATGCCGTAGAAAGAAAAGTCTTCACTCGATAGTTTTCAACGTACCTTAATGGGAAATACACGAAAATACTGAAATTTTTCTAGATGTTACGAGTCCAATCTTCACTGTCGGCTATCGAACTGGAAGGAGATGGTACTCTGGAGAGTTGGGTTGACACGAATCGGAATTGTCGTCGGGTCGGTCGAGGATTGGAATGTTGTTGTGCTTTGACGTGGATCGCTCCTTGGACGCGAGAAATAGCTGGTGTCGAACGAAGGAGGTATTAAATGGAGGAAGCTATTAAGCGAGCGACTTTCCTCTGGTACGATGGAATATCGACAAACGAATGAATCCGAAAGGGAAGTGCAAAAGAAGATGAGAGAAAAGAGAGGAGAAAAAGAGAGTTCTTTACGCAGACGAGAAAAGCCGAGACGTTTTGGAATTTAGATTCAGACCTGGGACCCGGCGGAAGCTCATGCGTACGAAGGGGAACGGGGGTGTGTTGGAAAGGGGGGGCGTGCAGGAGGTGCAGAAAATAGTGGAATGGGACGAGGGAAAATCCCAACCGCAAAAGAGGATCCCGTTTTGGTGCTAGACAGGGGAGGCCATTGCCTGAGTGCCTGGTCCAGGGGAAGCAAGTCTGAAGAGTGGGAACGAAATGATACCTCTGCTCGCCAGGCCTGCTAGGCTAATGCCCGCGACGTGGGCGGCCATCGATGGGGATCGCCCCCAAGAACAGACACTGTAGGACGCCAATGGACACCAAATGGGACACCAACTGGGACACTCAGCAAGCTTCATGCAAGCCAGGCCCGAACTCTACCTGGAGATTTGCCAAGAGATTGCCAATTTGTGCACCTTTCATTTAGAGATCCCCAATCTCGTGCCAATCAATATGCGTCTTTCTGTTCTGCACTGGCCAGGGAGCCTCTGTGGTGTATTGTGTGTGTGCGTGTGCGTAGCAGTACCTGAGATAGATCATATTATCATTTTACTATGTGCTGAACTGGGTTGTAGTAATATCCTCCCTACATTACCTATCCTGTTCCTCCCATCCATCCATTTTTGGGGTATTGTATATCCCTTTCCAATAGTAGATAAGTACTGTGCACGGTACGTAGGAGGTCATGAATGGATGAATGTACTTACAGAGCACGCATTATGGAGTTGGCAACGCGCCCACCCATCAATTCCATCATCATTGCACATGCCATGGACTGCTGGTTACCTCCGACTCCCCGACCTCCGAATCCAGCAGCAAGCACTTGCGCCAAAACACACCCCAGACAAGGCAAAAACAAGAGCACATACGTACTCCTCATGTGCACAGATACGAGCAAAGCACAAGACTGAACTACAGTTTTTGTTTTGACTGGATCGTCCATCCAATGTACGTGTCGTACGCAATGCCTAGCTTTGCTTTGCTGTGTGAGAGAAAGGGACAGAAAAAAAAGTACGAATCGTTGACGACTGCCCACCCAGCAGGTCCCGGTATGCGTTTGACGGCGCCACTCCCATTCAGGGAAAGTCGAGTCAATCTCGTGCGTGTTATCGAGATGATGGCCCATGATGGGTGGTGGTGCGGGCGCGGCCTCATTCAAACAGCGCTGAAAAAATTGATCGTGCAATTGGCGAGATTGCTCCCTCTTCTGTCCCAGTTCGGCAAGCAAGGAACCACATGCGAGCCAAGCAACCATCTGCACCCTCCCTGTCCAGGTAATAGTGCTGCCGTCTTTCTTCTATCCACCCCCTGGCCGATACTTGCCATGATATCCATTCGTGTGGGCGAGATTGCGCGTTGAATCCGCCGGCAATCTGCCCGGCGCGTCTCTCCCAGCTTGCCTAGGGGCTTTAGGCGCAGTGAATGGATACTAGCATCGTTTCCCCGTTGTGCATCATCATGTCTTCCGTCGAGATCTCCAATCGGCACTTTCACCACGCCGTCGTCTATCGTCATTCCGCTTGATGAGAAGGCCAAACACTGGACTCTTGGACTCGGTGGGATTTCTGAGCAGGAGAGAACCACCCATTTGCTTCTCCAACCTCGCGGGAAAACCTTGAGGTCGGGGATCAGCATCAACAACAAATAACAACAACGAGCCTCTACCTCCATATGCAAGCTTTCTTACATAGTACAAACCGGGGGCAGATCCAGTGGTCCACCACGAGAGTGCCTGTTCAATCCTGCAGACTCATCTCCGTTGCATTGGCTACCAACTGCTTGCACGAACAGCGTGCCAGCCAGCGACAGCCACAGCGAAACGGAAACCTTCCCCCCCTGTTGTGCCTAACCCAGGGTCTGTTTCCTGATTTGAACACAATGTTGTGAACCTTCTTCTCGCCAGCGTGGCTTAGCATGGAACCTCACACCATTGCCAGACGGTACCTATCTATTCGAGTAGATGAAGATTCGCCATGTGAACGACGACCAGTCGAATGAGAAGGCCTCCCTCTGGTTATCCCGTGGAATCATGAGTATGAGGCTATCGCAAGTTCGCTGCTGATCGGCAGCTGCCCAAGGTGCAAGACGCCCACTATATTCTTTACAATGAGTGCCTCGGAGCTCCCGCACCTCCACTGAGCTGGCTGGTTTGGCTTGTCGCCAGCAAGTTATCCTATCCATGATGACGACAATCAATCATGGATAAGAAACAGGCCGTTCTGTTAGTCTGGGCGCTACCATACTGGAAAACTCCACCCCTTTTCTTCCTCGCCCAATACAGAATGTTCATTGCTTCGTCAATTACTTTGGCGTCTCCCGCCGCTCATCCCTCTCCACTAATCACTGATCGGGCAATGTTCTCCAGATTGCTCTGGGCCCGTAGGGGTGGCTGTAGACTACGGTACCTGAAGCTTTTGCTGACAACCGACAGACGGCGGGCGACGCGGCGGAGAATTCATGTGTGCTAACAAACATTTCTTTTTCTGTCTACCAATGAGTTCGTCAATTATTATCTAATATATGTTCGGTTTGTGACACAAGAAGAAGCACTGGAAGCAGCATCTTTGCCGCCGCAAGAAGAATCTTTTCGTCATTGATTATGTTGCCAGGCAACCTACTCTCAAGCGTCTCACAGAAAGGCAGCACGCATTTCAACTCAATCCCAGCATCAATCGGCAGTAGGATGGCAAGATGAGCCGCTCGGATTGGTTCTTATCACCTACCATTATCACCGATTTCTGTGGTTCTGTGAATCTTAGATATCCATCACGCCCCAGTCAATCCAGTCGGTTTGATCCATACAGGTCAGGACGAACAGCGAAGCACCCATCATCCAATGTGCATCATTGACCACCAACTGGTCATTTCCATGTGCGCGGCGGCCTCACCTAGGCGTCGTCGGGGCATTTATTATATTTTTCTACAACCATGATCACATAGGGGAGGCGGCACGATCTCAATGCTGTTGTGCTGTGTCTCTACACACCCTGCAGTCGATCACAGGTCTGATTTTTCTACCTTAGCAGTCGTTGATTGACTGATCATGATTGTGACGCTCAAGCAATTATCACACACCCGACAGATTCCTTCCTTGCAACCGAGTCAATCGGTGGTGTTGACGACCTTTCCTAGCTTCTTGTCATGGCTGGCTGGTGAACTAGTGTCCAATAAGGTGAATGTGCTCGTAGCATCTCCAGAGGTAAAGAATTGGTGTGCCACGAACACGAATCTTCACGCAGCAATCCTGGTCTTGGCAGGTCGAATAGGATGGGTGTGTAAGGCGCAGTATCTGCGTCGCATTGGCTGCATCGAATAGACTTCTGCACACTATTTATTTCGTTCATCCACTAGCATAAGTTTTTCCCACGTTCGGATTTCCATACGTACGTCTAGTATCAAGAAAGAAAGAACAATATGCGACAGTTACCAAGACGACCAGGACTCTCATACATCACAATCATGGCTTGTCGCACATTGGCGTCATAACCCACCAACGAGGTGGTATGGCCCCATAGCAGATATGTTTCATCGTCGTCCTTTTTTAAGCTCGTGGCTTCTGGAATGCCCAAACGTGGATATTTTCTTTCCCATAGGCATGACGCCCGGCACGTTCGAGAAGAAGTAGAAGCCCGCCGCTCCCCCTTGTCACGGCTGAACAGCCTCCTTTTGGCGTTTCAAAAGATGTTCTGCCGAAGGGGTAAGAGGAGACTCGGACGCATTCACCGACGTCATCCCGTTCGGCATTACAAGGCAAGCTTTTTTTCTACATTGCCCGAAAAAAAGGGAACCGTGATCTTGGCTATTAGGGCAGGCTTTTTTTTCGCATATCAGCCGCGCTCTTTTCCAATAAGGACTGCAGCTATAATGGCTTGATGAGCCACCCTGTTTTTTTTTTTTTTAAAGCCGCCGCTGGAGCATAAGTTTTTAGGTGCTTATTCCCATATACCTGTCTGGTGCGGCGTGTTCGCACGCGCGTCCTCGCTACGTGGAAAGTGGGCCGGGGGTGGCTCAACGACATGTTCTACATTTGCTTCGTCAGCTGCTGCTGATCTGGCTGGGGATTTTGGGGCTCTTGTTTATCCTCTTTCCATCATCAACGTCCTCCAACCCCGATCTAGATTCAGGGTCGTAAGTGTAGAGAATTATCTCCTTTTACCGCAATTTTTTTTTTTCAAGTCTAGGATGTACAATATGGCAGCATGCCAGGTAGTCAGGTCCATGCTTTTTGTGTGCGAGTATGGACAAGTATGCGGTTCGTGCGAGAAAGGGGCCAGACTCATTCAATGACTCCAGAAAAACTAAAAGAATCCTCTGTGCTCTTTCTTTGATTTTCGCCACTTTGCGTACTCCCAAGCAAAGCCAAGCATTGATGCTCTCCATATTTACAAATAGTAGCTGAAAAAAAAAATGAGGCTATGTTGCGGTTCGGATGACAGATACATTTCCCCATCGAACCAGCATAGGCAAATGTGGATGTGGTCCAGCAGCGTTCGGGGGCAGGGCCGTGCCGTTCGGTCTTTCCCGATCTGAGTTTTACTAGATTGGACGCTCATCATTTGTTCATTATACGAAGTACTACTCCTGATCATATCTCCGTATTCAATGTTGCTTGGTCCAGCCATTTGTAATTGCTGCTTTCTACTCACGAGGATTTCGTATTCCGTAAAGGGGAACAGTATGGAAAGGATAGAATTGCTACAAATTTCAGCAGTTCCCTATGGCGTGATTTTTGAAAAAAATGCTTCGAGTGGCATTCGTGCCGTAAAAGTTGCAATGGCTGGTATTACAAACTCTTTTCGAATGGGCCGAATCTTCATATCTTGATTCTGCCTTATGGTCGTGAGAGTTGATGGAAGCGTTGACCGGACCGGAGCAGGTTCGTTCAACTTATCCTTCGGATAGCCAGCCTGCTTGGTCCAGGTCCGTTTGTTGCCATTTATCGTATCAAGGGCAGAAAAACCCAAACTCATTCGAGATCTGCAAGATTCTTCTCAAGACCGAGGATCTCAACATGCAGCACGAAGAGCCAACGCAACGCAGCACACATAAAGCAAGCCCAGGCGGCCACGGCCACGAGAAGAACATGCAAACAGGCGATACTAGTTGGGAATGAGACACTGCTTGGATGAAGAAAGATATCAGGCTCGTTTTCAACCTATCCACAGCATGTAAACAGTGGCTACGTGTGTGGCATGCCACTATGGGAAAAGGGATACACTCGTCCTCCTTGAATTTTGGTTGGTCATGTGTCACTACCAGGAAAGCTATCATCACGTCAGTTAATCACCATCCGACTCATTTGTCAATAGTCCCTAGATGGGTAGGAAACGAAAAGAGTACAACAGTCTACACGTCAGAGGCTGGAACGCAATTCTAGCCCACAAGGATCATGTTCTGTGCATTGAATGGCAAAGGGCTCCCCTACCTTCACACAATCCCTTAGAGAGGTAATCAAGAATAGGCCAGGGATACGAAATAGTACTGTGTTTAAGAGATAACATATCTCCATTCACAGGCAAATGCCCATGGTCTCTCGCACGCTCATAATAACGTGGCGTTTCGGGTTTCTCCATGGCTTCATCAACTTCATTTTTAGCACAGGCGGCGATTAAGACGATACTTCAAGTCTCCGTTTTACAACCCTAACAAAGAGGGTATACAAAGCTCCTCTTTTCGGGACGTATCTCCTGTTGTTCTTGTCAATGAACTTGATCATTGTTCTTGGGAGAACTCGCGACGGAGCCCAAGCAGGAGCTTTCGATACTGTAGCCACAGAGTCTAGGGTGCTGGAAATCAGTAGCACACTCGCCTGAATTCTCGAGAGGTCTGAGATATGCTTGGGCTCGGCTTGGCCATGGATTCTTTTTCCACACTCGTTCCTTGGTGGAAGGTTGCGGTTGCTCCAGGGAGGCCCTGCTCATTATTCGATTTAGAACTATAGATTTGTAGTACATGGTGGCATACAAGTAATGTAGTACCCGTTCCCGATATCCTCATTTCGATATCTTTCGCAATTTGTTCCCTTCTGCATCGAATTCTCTCACTCTAGTGTACTGATATCAGTCTCTTCGACTCTCCACATGTACCACATAAAGACGCTTCTATATGGCCGGAAAGGCTCAGCCATGGCCTCCATGTCGGCCTGCTTCATGTACTTCCATTTCCCGTTTCCATTACGCAGCTTGTTCACATCTTTCCCTATAAAAGCAGCCATGCCCCTCTGAACTCCCAAGTCACCCACCGAAAACACGTCCAAACGCTTGAGGGCAAAGCAAGCAAACATCTCCACGCTCCAAAGGCCCAGGCCGCGCACGGCAATGAGCTTCTCAACGACCTCTTCATATGGCGCGGTTCGGAAGAACTCCGTCGAGAGCTCATGTGTGGCGAACTTCTCAGCGAGGCCCTGAATGTACTCGGCCTTTCTCTGGCTCAGACCGGCTGTCCGCAAAACGTCCATCTTGGTACCTGCCACGTCCTTTGGATGCGGGAATCTGGCCCCTTCTTTCTCCAGGTGTGGAAATATATCAATGAAGCGTTTCTTGATGGCCTTGGCGGCTGCGCCCGATACCTGCTGGCTGATGATGCCCGAGCATAAGGCCTCGAAGGGATCAATGGCCTCGGCGAGTCCCTCGGGGGAAAAGACCCGGCAGTGATGTTTGTCTATCAGCGGCTTCATGCGCGGGTCGACCTTGATCAGGTGGTCACATGCCTGCTTAAGGATATTTGCCGTCGTGGTCCGCGCAACTTCGGCCTTGGACGGCGAAACCTCGTCTAGGGATTTGGCAGCTACTATCCGCGAAGTCTCGGGTGAGAGCAAGGTAGCGTTGCTGACTTCTGGGTTGGCCAGCCGCTCCACTGCTGCCGGCTTGGGCTTGGGCGTGGTGACCGAGGGATTGGCGCCGGTGGCGGGCTCCCCGATCAACTTTGCATTGCTGGGCGTGGGAGTCGCAGGTGGTGGCGCAGCAGCCTTCTTGGGTTTGACTCGACGCCTTTGAGGAGTGGATGGGGTTTCGAGCTGTTGAGCGGTTTCCTCTGTTGTTTCGGGGGCCGTCTTTCTCTTCCTGGACCGGACGGGCGGCGGAGGCGGAGGCATGGCCTCGGCGGCAGCACTGATCCGGGCAGACCTACGTGTAGCCATTGCTAGTGATCTGCTGATAGAGAAGGGCCAATTTGTAATAATGCTAACCCCAGATATCTGAAAGCCTATATGATTTTTCAAGTGCGCTGCAGGATCAAATAAGCCGGAAAGCGACCTCTGGTATGACCTTTGTCTGTGGTTATCTGTAGGCGTGAATGTGTGGATGGAACGGTCGATGCCAGTCGAGGTTCTTTGAACCAAACCAATTTGATGACCTGAGTATGTTTGTGGCGATGAGATCAATCTCGCAAGTACTCGTGGCTGCCTCAGCAATCTGACTCTTGTGTTAGAAGCCGTCTTGATGACGTTCATTCCTGGGTTGCAGGGGTACGCGAAATATTGTGCGCGACTGGCAAATCTGTACCTCCAAAAGAAGAATTCACAGAGGTCTAAGATATCAATTAGAGTGCATTCAGCGGGATTTAGGGAATCTCGATACAATTGATCTCTAGGGCTGGATTATAACACTTGCAGTTCACGCCCTTGCTTTGTCATCGTCGCAGTTGTCAGCCAGTTAGATGAGACGACTGCAGGCTCCAGTCGTACCTAGCAACCACCCAAAGACCAACATTGAACGTAATGATACATACGCAGGGAAGCACAAGACAGAAAGCCTTTCATTCAATGAACACTACTAGGTATCTATCTAGTCGATAAACTACCTACTTGGAATTGTTTTTCATGCATACAATGAATATGATTCTCCTGAACACCATCTCAAGCAAATTGATAAATATTTCGAGACTTTCAAGTTTGCTGCGTCCCCTCATTTATATAGCCTGGAGCCAGAGCAATATTGAGGCAGGGTACTTGCAATCAAGGTATCTACGATGTAGTCTGAAGGTGCATTTTGTGGCTGACCCTCACTAAATATCGAGCCCTCAGCACTAATAAGACGATGGATTAATTCTACTGATAATCATTTCTAAATGCTGCAAGACGAAGCCTACACTTGCAACAAGCATTGAACAGGTTCTTCCGAGTCTCATGTTCGTATCAATTGACCCACGGGTTCTGCATATGGTAGCATCTGGCCACTTGACTGGTGGGTCGCGTTCAATGACAGGGCGAGATCTCAGTCGCAACATTATGCTCCCATCGCACGAAGAGTGAACAATGGGCCACATAGGTTGATACCACGCGATCCAAGAGTTTTATACAGTAATGTGCGTTTAATGACTCGAAAACTTGGATAAATCAATTGATGTAGTTGTTGAAAGAAGCTAGATACGGCCATTGCAAAATGCAGTTGAGGATTGATGGCAGACCATGATACAGTAGAGAATGCATAGCAACTGGGCAAATGAGACAAGATGGTGGATGATACATTAGCTACTAGCCGCTAAATCTAAGAGCAGCAGACAATGGGGAAGGCAATTGGAGGCTGGAGGTTTAAGATGATCTCCGTTGCGCGTCCCCAGTATTCGGTGGAGCATCGACATTCCAGACCACCGTGTCCGAGTAAGTCCGAGTAGCAGCAGATCGGATCACTGATGAGACGTACCTACTGTGTAAAAACACTGCTTCTATTCTTGGACAAGGCTTTCATCGCAAAGAGAGAGTGCTCTTAAATCAGACATCGCCACAAGTAAAGACAGACAGACTCATACCCAAAGTGCGACTATGCCTTTTGTAGTCACCTTTGGATGCACGGTAATTCATCCTGACATTCGTTATAAAGAGAACGCGTAGCCTGCCTGGCCCCTTGGGAGCGACAGACGGAATCCCAATGCGCCAGCTCGTGCTCGCGTGCCCCCATGGGCTTGAACCCCCTTGCCGAACGAGAAATCTGCGATAGCGGTCTTGGCAAACCTCCAAAAAAATTGCAGGGCAAGCGGATGCTGGTACTCGCGAGCTTATGACCGGGCGAAGAAGAAAAAAAAGGGGGGGATTTCCAACGCGCTACCTTATTACACGCCAGCTGGTTGTTGTAGTGTGAGCAATCCAGTGCGTCTGAGATCACTAGACGAGCCTTTCCATTGCGCCAAATGTTCAACTCTGAATACTTGAAGCCAATGCACTCAAAGTCTGTTGTTAGGGGCTACATATTGCTGCTGCTGCCAAAGAAAGCCATGTATATGTAACTTCCCCGTAGGTAGTAATTGCAGGTGCTTGTGCATCAGCCCTTTCTGAGCAGAGCATTCTGATTCGATTGCATTCTGCCGGTTTTCCAGAACCCCTTCCTTCGCTGCCCAGATAACAACATTTGGTAGTTGAAAGGGTAGGTAGGCAATGTTGCTTCAGTAGGTAAGGAAGAGATCTTGGCCAGCATCCTTCCAGTCCGCCTTGATTGCTTGTTGGAAACGCGGACACAGCCTCACGGGCAAATTCTTCTTTTTTTTAATTGATATTGCTATCCAACTTGCACGGAAGGAAAGAAATCGTATAATGTTGCAATCATTAAATAACAACACGGCTCTTATGTACCTGTAGATTGAACCGGTGCATCGGCTCGATCTCCAAAGCTCACTTGTAGGTACGTAAAGCTAAAAAGAGCGAGTTCCATTGCCCACCCACCCCATTCATTCAGAGGTCTGCTTCGGGACGTTTCCCACCCACCCAATCAAGTGTAGGGCGCCGAGCTCCAGGCTTGTCGACAGGTGTACGGACGGACGGTACCATCTCGTTTAGCCCACGCCAATCCAAGCCAATCCAATTCAATCCCGTCCAATGCCAGCTTGGTTCACCTGCTTCAGGGCCTGTGTCTGCATAGAAACTTTTCTTACCTCTTCCAGTCTCTCACCCCCCAAGCCAGCACACGAGGACACGACAGTTGACGACGATTATTGATCCCAACTCCTGGAAGCATTACGACCTTGTTGTCGCTTCCAGCTCCTATCCCCTTTGGCATCGACAAACCGCCAGCCTTTACTCTTCTACACGACGAGTCGAGGACCCCTGTGATAGCCATCGTGTCCCGTCAGGCGCTGTACTCCAGTCTCAGCAACCTAGCGTGCGAGGGTTGGACGTGCTGTGCTGCACCACCACATTGGAAACGACCACCACATCGTCACACTCGCGACGGCGCTCCAGGAACGTTTCTGTCTCGCGTCGCTCATTATTCCTGCCTTCGCAATACATTTGAGGGCGCCGTAGAGGGCCACCCGAAGCGCTCAATATGCTTCTTCCCAAGGGCGGCATGACCTGGAAGTCCGCCAAAGCACAGTTACCCCCTACCAGGGCGATATTGACACTCCTCACGAGGACGCGGTTCCTACTGTCCCTTGCAGTTGTCGGCATCATCCTGCTGCTATGGCGCGGCATCCGATCCTCAGCAAACGAGATGCAAAGGTAAGCTGCCACGCTGCTGCTGATCCGTATGACGGTTTAGCCACCAGCTTTCTCTGCCTGCTTTTCATATAGAAACCCAACTAACTTGCGTGTGTTCTCTCGCGATAGTTTCTACTGCTGGGGACCGTCGAAACCACCGATGGAAATGACGCTCAATGAGCAACAAGCGTGGAATGCCCATCTCCAAACACCAGTTATCTTCAACCACCATGCTCCGATAGAAGTCAACCAATCCTCCATCATCAACGTCGACCTCAACCCTGTCAAGTCCACACGTCAGGCCATAACGAATGAAGAACGCGTTCTCATTCTCACTCCCCTGAAGGATGCCTCGCTCTTCCTGTCTAAATACTTCGAACTTATTGCGGAACTGACTTATCCTCACCACTTGATTGACCTTGCTTTCCTGGTTGGTGACTCTAGCGACAGTACCCTTGCAGTCTTGGCCATGGAGTTGGAGCGCATCCAGAAGCGCCCTGACAGGATTCCTTTCCGCAGCGCCATGGTGGTGGAAAAGGATTTCCACTTCCAGCTAAGCCAGTCCGTTGAAGACAGACATGGTTTCGAAGCCCAAGGACCTCGGCGCAAGGCGATGGGCAAGGCGCGAAACTACCTCCTATCAACTGCTCTGAAACCAGAACACTCTTGGGTTTATTGGCGCGACGTGGATATCGAGGACAGCCCCAAGAAGATTATTGAGGACTTTATTGCCCACGACCGAGACATCATTGTGCCCAGTACGTCAAACAATGTGGCATACGCTGCGAACTTATCTTGCTAACTCAATCCAGATATCTGGTTCCACCGCTACAGAGATGGCCGCGATGTGGAGGGACGATGTAAGTTTACTAATAGCGCCTATCATGTAGACCTCGGCTGACCATGCGCCTCCAGTTGACTACAATTCCTGGGTCGAGTCCGACAAGGGCCTCAAGCTCGCTGCTAGTCTGAGCAAGGATACAGTACTCGCTGAAGGTAAGACGACATCGACTGGTTGGGAGATATAGACTTTGGAAACGTTCCTTGGCTAATTATTGGATGTCTCACAGGATACAAGCAATACGATACTGGACGCCAGTACATGGCCCGCATGGGTGACTGGAGAAATGACAAGGACGAGGAGATTGAGCTCGACGGTATCGGTGGTGTCAACATCCTGGTCAAGGCTGACGTTCACCGTTCGGGTACGTTTAATCAGAAATCCAAGTTTTGGCTTTTCATGCAACCTCAATTGCTGACCTAATTTGATAGGCATCAACTTCCCCTGCTACGCCTTCGAGAACCAAGCCGAGACAGAAGGTTTCGCAAAGATGGCCAAGCGAGCCGGGTATGAAGTCATTGGTCTTCCGAACTACGTTGTCTGGCACGTCGACACTGACGAGAAGCCCGGCAACGCATAAATGCATTCCTTCTCTGCATTATTCTCTTCATCCTCATTTCTATCTGCGTACCAAATTTGTCCGCCGGTACCAGGCTCCCAACTCTCGATGGAGGACAGGACACGTAATTATTGTACGAAACTCATGATACACGGAAAACCCATACCATCAACGGCCCTCCCCGCAGAAAAATTCGGGCTCAAATTTGTTCTCGGAAAGTCTGCTCTCTTTGCCTTACATCTTGATCGTTGTTATGATCTCGCCCAACCATCTACACGTGAGCGTGGGTGGGAATCTCGTGGATTACTAGGCTTGTGCCAATCTCAAGCGATGGCGTCTCGAGAAATGACAGTGGTTATTTGATGACAATACCATGATGTCATTCTCTGGTTGGGTCCGAGCTGTTGACTTTACCCATGTACAGTTGTGTACAAGAAAGCATTAAGCGCGCGCATCTTGCATGGTCGGCTGTGGTTGGTATCAGGGTAATACTTTTTTTTTTTCTGGCGGTCTACTATAATAGAGTCTGGTAATCAAATCATGGTGGAGAAGACCACTTGCGCATACTGGATGGACGGGCGGCGGAAGGCAGGGAAATGAGAGGCGCAAACTTCAGGATACTTGCGCGCATACCCCTTTGATGAGTGGTCAGATGTTGTGTATATTGAAAAATTCGAGAGGGGTTTCAAGGACATGACGATAGAAGTGCTATAGTTGACTATGGGTATTTTCATGCTTCCACCTAATAGATCATGGCAGATGTGAAATTGCTCAAGTCGAGATCAAAATCTCGATGCTCGCTTCTCATGGCGAGTGTTGATACCGCCGAGAGGCCCACCGTAGTCGCGGGGCATACATTTGATCAACGGGAACAGCTCTCCTGTTACTCTGTAGATCTATCACATTATCAAAAAATGGAAGATCGCGAGTCACACTTTCTTCTGGTGCTTGAACAATTTGTGCACATGGGTAATTCTTTCTCTATACAAATATACACAATTCTCCAAGACGTATCGGGTATTTAGAACTTGAAACCAAAAGTTTCTCTGTCTCTTGGTCCTTGGCAACGATGCGTTTTGCTGTCTTCTATTCATGCTTTCTTTATTTGTACAAGCGGCCATCACCGGTGCCTCTCCCGTCTTTTCTTTTGGAGAAAACGACGCTCCTTCATTCTTCTGTTCTCCAATCGACAATGCTTAGTGGTTCTTGATGATGGTCATGGAGTCGAGAGCCTCCTTCTCCTTTCTCTCGGCGCGAATTTGCTCAATGAGGGGGACCAGGTATGGCACATCCTAGAGCACCCACAGTTAGCCAAGCCCGGTCTTCCGCCTGTCCTTTTCGTCGCTATTAGCTGCGTTTCTTACCTCCTCGGGCTTTGTCTGCTCCTCCTTGGGCAGCAGCTTGTGCGACACCGAGCACTGCATGGCGCGGCGGATACGGTAGACGCGGTCGTAGGACTCCTGGGGAGAAAGGCGCTTGAGGGCCTTCAGAACATCCTCATCCTCCTCGACAATGAGATCGTCGGCGCTATTTCGGCATCAATTGGTCAGTCTTTCTGTCTGCAGAAGCATTTTGTCCCTAGGCTTCATTCCTTGCAAAAGTCCCAACGGTCCGAAGGACCGACCACCTTTGCGCCCTCAATTAACCCGACGGTTTCCAGTACAAGCAATTGAGGTTGCTGAAACCAATCTTCCCAAATCGATGAAGAATGTCCGATTGACCCGGCCGGAATCGCTCAAGGCTGCGTGAGGGAAGACGTACCGAAGACCGAGCTGGCGGTAGCCGGCGGCGTTGGCGTACCAGTTGGCAAGAGGCTTGAGAGCGTTGCGCAACCAGGGCCTCTTCTGAACGAAGGGCGCGAGCGAAGGGTAGGCGGACATGGTGTTTCTCGAGGGGTTGAGTCAGAGGCGTTGAGAGGTCCAAAGGAAAAGCAGCGTCTCTCTCTGGCGGCAGAGCAAAGTCGTGATGTGAGTGATAATTGCTGCCAGTTGACTGGCCGCTCCGGTTGGCTGAGGTGGGTCCGAGCTTTTTCGCGGTCACGTGGATGGCACTTCTTAAACACACCACTGCATACACAGTACAGGATACGTACCTACCTACCTACCTGCAGCGACGCATCTCTGTTCAAGGCGCTCAATGGCGCCGTCTTAGCACTAAAAAACATGCAGATATCACCCAACAAGCGAACCGACAGTCACTGGCTCGTTAAATCTCTGGGCGCTGCAGGCTGCACATACATCCTACACAGTACGCCGTCGTGACCCTGACTTTGGAACCTTGGAATTACCACATCTACCATGGTACTATCATTGTCTTTGTATGCACGTGCTTAACGGCTCCGTAGTAGCTATAAGTGAAGACTATACTTGAGATGTGCATCCTCGGAAACTTGCGGTCACACCAAGACATCGCCCGATTTGAATCGCTGTTGGAGGTTTTCCAAGATTACCTCGAGAACCAAGGCACATCTAAATTTGATATCGGACTTCAGGAACCGATAGATAGACCCTTGACCTGCTTGGGGACTTACCCAAATTGTCAGCCCAAATCGGCACACGTGCTGTGCTTCCTCAGTCAGCTATGAGGTCACTGGGGGTTTCCTTCCGACAAGTCTCGTACTACGTAGATACAACAAAGCAACTCTGGCTGACATCAAGGTCTCTTTGACTCGGGAGCCGTTTAAGTTTGGGGTTTCCAGGCGGGCTCTCATAGCAAATAATAACTGGCACAAACTGAATCATTCATAGCATGCAACAACAAAATGACAACAGAACTGAATCACCCGTTTCCAAAATCTATATAAAATAATCAAACAAAAAGGTAGTCGGCGCTCACCGGCGGAGCTCCCTCGTAGATTGCAAGCGCTCCAACCCGTTTATCGGCTAGTGAGTAAAAAGGCGCCCCCAAGTCCGATACCTGCCGTACCTACTGCAACTACCTTGACCTCTTCATTGCTTTTTTGGGGGGTCCTCCACGAACAAGGAACACCACCTCTGTCTGTTGCGCCAACCCGAACTGCTTATTAGCCCGCACCCCTCACCGTTTCCAGCGGGAGCATCTCTAAGCATATTCGGGACCTGGTCTTCTGACCCAACTCTCTTTTACTCGACATTGTACAAACAAAAGTCACCAGTGGGATTTCCTTTCTTCATCAATGGCCTGCTGCAGCCCGTAGTCAGTCCCCATCAGACTGGACGTGTCGACGGTGAACTTGCGCGGGAGCCCAGTTCGTTCCCCGCACACCGCACACGATTCGTTCACCTGGAAGAGAGACGAGAAAGACGCCTCCGCAACCCATCTGTGCGATCGATTCGAGAACGACAGAATATACCCAGGAAGACAGACAGTGCATCTCAAAAAAATTGGGTGGATTTCTTGCCTTACAGGCGCTTTTAGCTTGTTCCCTCCCGAGCAAGTTCGAATTCCACAAGGTCTTCCACGCTGGGGGCCTCTCGCGAGATCGTTCCGGGGCCCCAACTACGCGGCCCTTCTCCAAGTTCCCGAGTGTACCCGGCGCTCTGATATCACTGTCAGCTCCGCGAGGGGATGTCTCACGACCAAGCACAGAACGATCCGTCAGATCGGTCGCCAAACACACCTTCAGAGTATGGTGTCTTTTCGCCTCGATCCTCATCTCCATCGAATACACTCGGAACGACCAGCGCACCAGACAGCATCATGCCGGGCTCGCCGGCTTCGGCGGTGGCGGCCGTAACACACCATGGAAGTGATGGTCTTACTCCGCTGCAGAGATGGGTGACAAGAGCATCAGAGTCGCAATTCAATGCTCTTTCGGGTGCTGTAGGTGGCTTCACGTCGGGCGTCGTTACATGTCCTCTCGACGTTATCAAAACCAAGCTACAAGCTCAGGGCGGTTTCACGCCTGTGGACAAGGGTAGACACGTCGGTCATCACAAAGTCTACGAGGGCTTGATTGGCACGGCGAGAGTAATATGGAGGGAGGAGGGAATCCGTGGCATGTACCGAGGACTCGGTCCCATCATTCTTGGGTATCTACCGACATGGGCTGTCTGGTTCACTGTCTACACCAACAGCAAAGAGTTCCTGGCTGAACGCAACGGTAAGTCTGCGCTATCAATGAAGAGTGATGACAGAGTCACACGACCGCTGGATGTTTCGGCTTCTAACATTCTATGCAGTGCAAAACCAGTTGCTCATCAACTTCTGGTCGTCCATAGTTGCGGGTGCCTCGAGCACAGTGGTAACCAACCCGATATGGGTGATCAAGACTAGGCTCATGTCACAATCCTCCAATGGTAACAGGCATGTGTCTCTCTTCCCAAGATCTGGAAACACACCAACGTCAAGACCAGCTATCAGCTCGTCGTGGCATTACAACTCAACACTTGATGCCGCAAGAAAAATGTATTCCTCCGAGGGTATACTATCATTTTACTCAGGTCTATCGCCGGCTCTACTCGGATTGACCCATGTCGCTGTCCAATTTCCAGCATATGAGTATCTCCGCAAAAGGTTTACAGGCCAAGACATGGGCCACATGGGTGAAGGTGGTGCGGATAAACACTGGCTAGGTGTGCTATCTGCCTCGATTCTGTCAAAGATCATGGCAAGCTCCGCCACGTACCCCCATGAGGTTATCAGGACAAGATTACAAACACAAAGGAGACCGACAGCAGGCGCGGAATATCTACAAGGGCTTGGCGTCACGGCTTCAGGGGACAAGGCGGCCAAGGCCACCGAATCCATCCCCCAAGCCAAGTACCGAGGTGTTATGATGACCTTTCGTACAATTCTGAAAGAAGAAGGATGGCGAGCCTTTTATGCTGGCATGGGTGTCAACATGATGCGAGCCGTGCCAGCCGCTACAGTCACCATGATGACATACGAATATGTCATGAACACATTACATGAGGAGAAGGCAAAGGCACTACGAATGAGAGAGGAGGCCCTTTCTGTGCCAATGTCCTAGGAGCCATGAAACACTTTGCGCACCTCCACCAGCAGAGGGCAATGAACAGACATGCAAATTTATCCGAGCAGTCTATGCATGTTTGCACCAATTCAGAATTATATCGAGTACGAAGACAATAAATCTAGCGTGCCTTGATTTCTCAGCAAGAAAGGCTTGGCGTCATACATCTGAATAGGAGTTCAAATGCGGCGGTCGGAACGGGATGGAAACAAGTCCAGATACGATACCCTTCCTTGTAGGTATAGACATAGTTCCAGGTCAAAAAATGGGACAGCGTATTGATTTTGATTTGTACCAATATCTACAATAACGTATTCATGCTTGATACCGTGCCCCCGTCGACCGCTGGTCAACAGATGTAAAGCTAATCGCCTCAGCGACCATCTTGGAAACAAACCATCACAAATTGATTGAAGGCCACCCATCGAAGAAACCACTGAGCCGTGGCATGTAAAGACCAGCTGGTACACACTGTCGCTCGACTCAAAAGTAACGGTAGGTTCCGATCTCGAGCAGGAAGTTCAATATCCAGGCAAAAGACTGACGACGTACAAACATTTCGAAATTCAAGACGCTATTAGGGTATCTATACTTTTGAAAAGAATGTGGGGACCATTTGAACAGCATCAACGTTCGAACCTTTTGTCTTACCAAAAACAAGACGAGAAGAGCAATATGCATCACCATGAACACATTTTTTTGGGCAAATTCTAGTCTTCCTTGGATGAGTCTTCAGACAGCGCCATCTGTCAAGTCTTCCACCATGGGATAATAGGGTTGAAAGGGTATGAGCTCGTAGGGCTGCCACAGCGTGGCGCCGCGGAGGTGGAATGCCTTGTGTGGCAGAAACTGTCAGCCTCTTGTTGTTTCCGCGGGGCTATCTGAGATTTGTTTTTTTGGGGGGGAGACTTACGTGCATTCGCTCAACCATCATATCCAACAGGCCGGCCCAAACGTCAACGCCACGCTGCTCGGCTGTCCTGCAGCACGAGGCGGCGGCCTCCTCGTAGGCAATGGGGCCGACGAGACGCAGCGCGTGCGGCCATTCGAGGCCCTTGTGCGCCCGCAAGTGCGCGTATACCAACCAGAGTGTGTCGAGGATTAGTACGGCGACTCGCCTTTCCCGCTCGTGGCCCCCGGCGCACACCCTCAGCAGCCGCCGTTGCAGTGCCGCCCGCTCCGCCAGGAACCGCTCGGCGCCGCCCTCGAACACGCTCAGCGCCCACCAGTGCCAGCCAAAGTCGGCGGCGCCGGCGTCCTCGTCCTTGGAGACGGAGAAGCCGCCGACGTCGGCTGATGGCTGTTGCCCTTTGTGGCCGTTGTTGTTGTTGTTATTATTGTGCCCATGATCCTTGTCTTTGGTGGTTGTTGAAGAAAGGATCGCACTGAGCATCCCGTCACCACTTTGAGCGCCTTCTCCCCTTTCTGCCATGACGTGCTGCATAAAAGGAAAAGGTGCGCAGCATCGGCATGCGCCGTCTAGCTCGTCTGGATGGATCGCGGTTCCCGGCGCGAAATATGGAATGTGCACCCGGTGGTGGCACAGTCGATAGTGTAATGTGTGCTGGCAACGCGGGCAGCGGGCATAGGCGTGTCGTCGCAGCTCGCTCTGCAGGCAGGCCGGGTGGTAGATGTGGCCGCAAGGCAAGGTGATGAGCCTGTCAAGACTTTCTTCCCTGTCGTCGAGGCAAGAGGAGGACAGGGAGGAGGACGCTGCAGCGGCAGCACGGGTTGGTATCGTCATCACTTGGCAGCTGAAGCGTCTCGGCGTGGACGAGTGCTCGTTGCTGAGCACCAGGACCTCGAGGGGCTCGCAGACGGGCCACCTGTAATCATCCAGCATGCGCAACCGGCTGTATCTTGGGGGGTCCGAGGCATCGTCTGCAAACACGGAGTCCCAGGCTGGTTCGTCCGTGCTGGCAGAGGCTCGGCGGAGTTGGAGTTTGCTCGTGTATTTCCGCAACGTCTTCTTGATCCTCTCCACGGGCCGTCTGACGGGTTCGTTATCAGGAGGAGGTTCCGGGCTCAGCATGCCCAGGGTTGATTCAAATAGCATATCCACGGCCGTGGTCGAAAGATTTCTTTGTACCGATTCGATGGACTGAAATGATTGTGCAAAGTAATTCACAGCGACAACGCCTGTGGGCTCTTCATATTTGCCAGGAACTGGCAATTCTTGTCGCCTTGACGACTGTCGATATGGTTCGCAGAAGTACACTGGGGAGGATCACCTCCATATCTACTCTGGTCTTTCCATACATGTGGTGTAATGTAAAACGTGGGTTCCGAGAATATTGTATCGAACTTATTTTTCTAAGCGAGAAGCCAAAAAAGAAGCAGAACATGGGGGCATGTAAGACACTTTGCTCCTGTGACCTGAACCCAAATCATGAATCTTCAGCGCCAGATGCTTTCCCCATGGGCCATCTGTGGGCGGTCGAGACGTACAATATATCCAAGACAGCAGAAGAGCCCCTTATCAGGGGTAAAGGGGCTTTACCCTTCTTTATGTGCAGGTTGAGCAGCGCATGGGCAATTGTGATTGTATCCTTTTCAATCAGAAAATGGCCTTGGGTGCATCTTGTCGATACAAGTTGCCGAATGGAGAGAAGGCACAGTAACATCGCATTAGCAGCTTATAAAAAGGAAAGGAAAAAGCAAGCATGATGCATTTAATTCCCCGAAATCCTGGTCAAACACCTTATCCAATGCCGAAGCAACCTTTCAATTTGAGAACATAGGTACTGATCGTACTCGGAATCCTTCTTGTGTGTGATAATAAGGCAGAGAGAGAAAGCAAGTATAAACCATTGTCTCCTAATGGCATGACTCAATTCTGTTGAAGGCCTGAGTGGAAGTGTGAATGGTGCTTTTCTTTTTCCAAATGTAGTGCAACACGACAATTCGCTGGCCACCAATGGACCGCGAGGGGATTGCGCTTTGATGACGAGAGCATGTTTCTGAGGAACAATTTAAATTCTGGAACATTAGAGCGTGCATGCATACATGGGGATCTTCCATGTTAAAAAAAGGAATTGCCAATAGAGAGGAGGGGAGGGGGAAAAGGGAGGAGCATCAATTATCTATGAACATATGTACGGGCCATGGCAGGACGACCTCCACAAGCCTCCTACTCTGTATATGAATTTGACTTAGAGCGGCTCACGACGATTTGGACAACCCACCAATTCGGGCATTGTCATGTCAACCGAGGGATGTCGATTACCACAAACCACGTGTCAATCGCGCCCATGATTGCAGACAAGGGTAGTCGTGGTAAATCGGCCGAGTATACACTACCTAGTTGTTTTGATACGATCACTCGTGGCCTGAGGAGAATATTCCGTATAGGAGGACATATTGCGACTATGACTCGCGAGACTGCCCCGCTCCATCCTATCGCAATGCGCACTACTCTCTGTAAATATGCCCCGCGCGCGAGAGAGTGTGCTACATTGCATGTCTTTTAGGTCTCGATTTGATGCATGAAGGAGCTTCATACGACAGTGATTGCTGGCATGTCATGCAGGAAAAACATCCTCTACTTTCAAGCTGCAGAAAATCACGGCATCTAGTTGCTAGTAGCCAATCTGCCAGTACGTACATGAGACATAAGTGAGTCTGACGGGCCGAGGTCTCGAAATTTAGGGCGCAGCCATGTAAGCTCGAAGTTTATATATCTGTCCTTGCCCAGAACGACTGACTGTTATCTGTAGAAAAGAAGGATACGGAGTGAAATGCTATCAAAAGCACAGAGGAATGGACAAACCTCTGCATCGCAACCTCACTGTCCTCCACGCGACAGCCTAAAACACGACGCGGGCTTATTGTACTGACATTACGATGTCCTCTCACGACTGGAGAGCAGGCGTGCCTGCCTATTTCACTGTCACAGCTGTATACTATCTATTGAAAATTGCCCGATTTGTCGGCATGGAATATATTTGGCATGGCCACGCTAGATCGATGTCGCCAGTCTAGCGGCAGTTGCGCTTGACGTGATTGTAATGGGCCGTGGGTCAGACAGCGAAAGGCATGGAGAATGGTGACTTTCTATCCGATCGATACTTTGATTGTGTTTTTGATAAACTATTTTATCTGTTTTTAATTAAAATTTTGGAGGAGGACATCGCGCGATGCGACTCTTTGTATAATATTATTGTTGCGCAGCTATGAAGGGAATGAATGGCTCAAGTATCTGCCATCATTCCTCCTCCACCACCACCAGCAGCTCCCTTCTCTCTAATTATCGGAGGCTACTTGTAATAGAATGTATCGTTCGCAGATATCACCTGCTCGACATAGCGGGTTAGGATCTCATGTCGTCAATAACATCTCTCTAAACGACCAACACACGGGACGGTGGGCTCGACGATGGCTGCGTCGAGCGTACTGAGTCCTGACGTTGGCCGTGACCACGCAGCGGAAGGCGTCCTTGTTGGCAGGTGGCCCTCACCCGTGGATTGACGGGGCTGAGATTGTCAGCCTTACCAAAGAATCGTTGGAACAGGCAGGCTTTTTCTGACCGAAAGTGTACATTGGTCCTCACTGCCACACACCACCCTTCGCTGTTAGGACTTTTGATGGGTTATTACATTCTGATCCCAAGGGTAGCCTACATACTCACGGGGATGTGTCATACCTACGACGAAAGCACCCAGGTCGGTGTCACGGGCCACGCTAATAAGCCAGACCCTTGTCGTTTTTATTCTTCCAAGCAGCAATGTGGCTATGCATTTATGAAGCGGGGGGTCTAGCCTTTCCTTACATACGTACGAGCTACTGTGTACCTCACGAAGGAGCCTTAGGCTACATCACTTCAGCTCTCCCCTCCAAAACGTATCACCAACCTTGCGCCCTTCATTATTCTTCACCAAAACCTACATCAAAACGACTTCCTTCGTCGAAGTGGTACGTGTTTAGATTGCGCAGAGAGTCTGGACGCGCATGAAGCGACTCTGATTATGCTGGAATCGTCTTAGCGACAATCAAGATACCCTTTTCGTAAGGCTCGAATTACCCTACCAACAAACAACGACTTTTCATTCTTGGGGAGGAATGTTCAATCTAGGTGGCGATTTCTGGCCCACGACACATTACGCTTCTTAGGAGCATATTCTTCTCATGTGGGGATTATTTAACTAGCTTATCCAAGGCCTCGTTAGGCTTCTGCGATCGACTAGGCAGTCGTTTAGACAACACTGGGTCGTAGCATCAATCACTGGACGTACAACCACGGGCATTGCGATTTGCCCTGAAACCAAGATGGCGCCAAAGTACAAATTCTTATTTGTGCCGGATTTCTTCATCAAATATGAGGAAGAAGCGAAGAAATACCAAGGAGGTAAAATAATTACGCAACCACAGCTAGGAATATTAACGCAAGACTATGGTCCTGTTGACGAAGAGCCTGCGACATTCACAAACCGACCCCAATGGGCTCGATTCGCAGAACATGTCAAGAACTTAAACGAAACATGTGGCGACGGTGTATCTTACAAGCTGTTCTATTTGATACGGCACGGTATTGGGGTGCACAATGTAGTAATGGAGGCGGTAGGATCGGAGGCTTGGAGAGTAAGTTAAGAAATGTTCTGTCCATTTTGTGAGTCCTGGCTCATCTGCTCCCAGACCAAGTTCTCCATGCTCGATGGTGCCCGGCCCGACGAGGTCAACCTCAAAGACACCAGTCTCACACACGACGGTAAACTCATGTGGGTTGATGCGCTTCTTGTAGAAGATGGAATCGCTCAAGCCAAAGAGCTGGCCGAGACTTGGATGAAGGTAACGAAGATCGATGAAATGCCGTTGCCACAATCAATATACACCAGTCCTTTGGCTAGATGTCTCGAAACGACTAAACTTGTCTACGAACCTGTAATGGCGCAACAGAACTCTGAGCTACATCCGATCGTGAAGGAGGCTCTGAGAGAAAGATTGACAAATCATACTTGTGATAAGCGCAGATCACGTTCATGGATTGAAAAGCACTACCCCAATTATATCATTGAACCTGGGTTCACTGAAAATGATAATCTCTGGAAGGCAAACGAAGCGCCTGAAACCGAAGCGCAACATATAGAGAGAAAGCGATCACTTTTGGAGGATATTTTCGAACACGACGACGCCCAATTCATATCACTGACAACACATTCGTACGCAATATCGGCCATACTTGCGGTTGTTGGCGCCCCTAAGTTTCGCGTGAGCGAGAGTGTTTTAGTTCCTCTTTTTATCAAGGCCAAAAGAATCCCGCCTGTAGATGCTATAGATATAAAATCGTCATAGCTTGTTTTTTCTATCTCAGCCTCAAGGAATGCATACAAGGTATTGAGTATTCGGCAACCCAGGTCTTGTTTTGGTTTATCTTATTTTACCAGTCATTTTGGCTTTCAGAGCAGCTGGACGTTGTGACATGTTCAAATTGCAGGGTTTTAAGTAAATGCTCTCGCACATGAGAAAGAGCATTTATGACTTCAGCCTAATACGACAGTAGAATTGGAGGTGGTATGAAGCAAATTGTCATACACGCAGGAATTCACCAAGAAATGAGCGAGGCGTCAGTACACAGCGATTATCCAAGAACTCTTGGGAAAATGCGGACTCAGTAATCCTTTCAAGGGCTTGAGTCAACAACACTACTAGGTACTCAATGTTGTATAAAGAAGTTTGATAGTTCAGCTGTGCCACCAATCGATCTGGGATGAAGCTGTCAAGGGTGATTCGTTGGTAACAAGAAACTAATTCTACACGCGGCAAGCAATGGTTTAGGCACACTGGGACCAGAATGTTCTCTGTGCACAGTCTGATACGACCAGTATCCAAAATAAAGAGTAAAATTAAAGACGGTCTACATTTACGAAAAGAATGTGTGAACAAACAGACTTAATAAGCCCTTCCCGTCATATCACCCTTCGGGTGAACCAGTCACTGTGGCGCATAACATTCCTACCTATCTGACACTCTTGTGTTTCTTTGATGCCCCTTCATCCACCCCGGCATCATCACTAGCTCGGTCCCTCTTTTCTTTTACCCCTTCGAGCCGGTTCTCCAAGTCTCTCAGCCTCTGCTCCAAACGCTCAATCTGATGGTAGGCATCAGGTGCAACGTCAAGTTTCAAACGTGTCATCTGAAGTTTGCCTTCCACGTTGTCTAAAGACGCCGAGACACGGTAGGAACGACCCTATTCAATGACAGCTGTTAGTAATTGCCTTTTCCAGGTTGTGTTCAAGAGCAAAGCAGCACCCAATTAACGTTGTCTCTAAGATTCCAATCTAGATACATGCCGATAGGGGATGACACAACAACGATTACTAACCTGAGCTACCACATCAAGATATTCGCTTTGAACTGCAAGATCAATCATCAGATCATCCCACTTCACCGAGTCAAATCTTTGATTAGGTCCGAAGATGGGCTTGATTGTTGACCACTTGTCGTTTTTGTCGTCCAGAATGACGACTTTGTCTTTGCCTCCATATTGGTGAAACAAGACAGCAAATCTGACTTGCTGATCAAGGAGACTCAAGACCATATACGCAGCCCTGACGACATCTCTATGTCCGTAAGCGACACGGAAGAATAAGCCATTCTGGTAGTCCCAGATGCGTTCTGGTACACGATCCAAAACCTTTATGCTCCATATTGTACTGGACGATTTGGAGCTGAACTTCTCTGGCACATTGATCGCCTTCCTGTGCGATCTATCGAAGGCAAGGACGGCGTCTTGAGGCGAAATTGTTATGTAGCCTTGATGGCGAGGCACCGGCTTCAACTTGTAGGAACTCTTGTCTTCCTTGAAGCTGGCTAGATCCTGTGTCCTAAAGCGAGCGTAGTTGGCACTGCCAATTTTTTGGAGACAGACTCCATAACATTTGATGTGATCCATGTCATCGATGAATCCTATCAAAAGCACCAGGGCTGACTCGGATGCCTGTTTATCCTTTGGGACAATTCTCAACGTCGAGGCATCCAGCAGAACCCCCTTGTTTGTGATAGAGAAGTGCCCTTCGACCTCCATGCTCTTCATCTCGGGACTGTTTTCGAATTGATCTGGCGAATCTGCAAGCATGCTGCAGAATGGATTGCTCCCCTGCGTGCTGCCGTCAGGACTTTTGTCGGGGCTCTTGCTGGGGTTCCAGGCGAATACGGTCATGTCCGTCGTGTAGCGAATGATCTTCATCTGTAGTGCCTGGAATGCCTTTTCCCCCCCCAACACCGTAGAGCTTACTCATGTGAACGTCGAACAGGCCGAGAAGACTATATGCGCGGTCTTCTGGTCGGGTCGTCTTCCTCTGAGCTGCCCACTTCATCCTTTCGGCAACCGTGAAAGACAGATAAGATTTATCCCCAGTCAAAACTCTCCAATTAATACCAGTGATCTGGCTCAAAATATCGGAAAGCATGGTTCTGGATCCAATATTCTTCCAATTTTCGTTGTAGAATTCAACCTTCTTGGGAGCTATCAATTCCTGTAGCGTCCAACCCCTGCCAAACCAACGGCAGGCCTTCAGTTCTTCTTCTCCCTGCCCTCGTACAGATTCGGCTTCAAGATCAGCCAAGTACGCGAGGCAAACTTTCGACTGCTGGTACCAATAAAACATTGCATTGATGCTATCGACTACCTCTGCCGGATTCTGTTGGTTGATACAACAAGTATCCACCCAGAGATAATCGCACTTCTGATCCTGTGCTACTTCACAGGCTTTCAGGATCTTCTTCCACGCATCGGGCTTGAGTTGTTTGGTGTCATCCTCACCAATGTCCGCAAAAAGGATCTCATCGTCGTCGTGACCCCAGGCGCCGCGAACCTGCGTGCCGTCTGGTTTCCAGACAAGATCTTGTCGACCCCATGTGTGCGAGAGAATGGCATATGGCTCTTCGTGAAGCTTGGTCTTGTCTACAAGGAGGATTTCATCTCTGTCAATCATGCGCTTGGCGTCGATCAGCCTCATCGTGGGCAATGAATGGATATCTCCCAAGTCCCTGCAAAAATGAGGGTAGAAGGACTGCGTGGGCTTTCAAAAGCACGAGACCGATTCGCTGGTGAAGAATTCAGGAGCAGTATCATGGTATGACGCTCGACTTTGGCATTTTCAGAGGAACAAAAGCCTTGTGTCGCTGTCAGGCTCCATGACAACTCATTAATTTGCGCCACACAATGGCATAAGGCAGAGTGCAACACAAGCAGGAAGCAATGGCTGTCATGGGCCAGATCCGCAATATCTGTTCGGCTTGCGATTGGCGAAGTGCAATGTGGCAGTACGCTGGAATGGGGCCCCGGCGGGTACAGGTTCGCTGCTACTCGTCAGGGCTCACGAAGATAAAGCCTCCTGTACCCCGCCAAGCTGTAGATAATACCCCTCTCCGACAAGGCTCTCGGGTGTGGAGGTTGCATGCGATCCTCGAGCATGGGTATCTACGCCCGGCTTGCTTGCTTCAATCTACATTTGCACGGCAGGGATAAAGTGCGTGGTATATGCAGCCAATGCAACCAGATCAAGTTATGGAATGACAATAGACCAGCCTCGTAATTCTCTACACCGGATCGCACAATTCCACCATTGCCATCCGAAGCCGAAATGTAGAAACCACGACGGATTATTCTTTTATGCATTTTCCAGTTGTGTTCGTCTGATCCTAATAAACCCTCGTCTATATTCGCTGCACTTGCGGCAGGTACAGGGGTGCCGAAATGCCAGAATTAGATAGATATTCTAGACCACATATCTCTACCATTGAGTGAGATTTTGCGCTATATTTACTCTCAAAATCGAGAAGCCATTGCCTTCTTTCAAAGAGCATCTGCAGCTTTACCTGAACCTAGATGAGTCAGTATGTTGAGCTTCCATGCAGCTCCAAGCCACTCTTTCGCTGTATATCGAGATTGAAGATGCGTAGTGTAAGATGGGCCATGATACGCCTACCGGGCTGTAGCCTTGCTGCGCGGACATGCCTTGTACACCATTCTTAGCCCCGTTGATCTGCCGCTGTATTGAAATGTAGCCTTCTACAGAAAACGGTCCATTGTTGTTGATCATCATGTACTCGGGCAATACGAACACGCTACGAAGGGAGCAGTCTCTCGAATAAGGGCACGCATTATGGTGATTATTAATAAAATAAATGCCAAGGCCGACTTGTCAAGTCCAAGTTTACTGGAATTATATTGAAAAATGGTAATCATAAATTCATAGTAGAACCGGAGTGTTGCTGTCTGCTTCAAATAGTTCAACTCTGTCATAATTATGTGTATTCATACACCATTTAGGCGGTCACGGCCTGGGCCTCCTGGACGTTGATCGTTGGCTTAATGATGGGAGACGCCTTTGACTTGACACCCTGAAATTTGTCGCCATCTTCTTTCTTGTCGAGGTTGTAGACGATGCTGTTTCTCCATCGCTGAAACTCAAGAGCAGTGATGTCGGGAAAGATTGCCGGTTCATCTTGGGAGACGAATTTGGGCAGTGGCCCAACAGAAGTGTCGCGTGCCGCTTTGAAAAGATACGCCATTGACATGCGAGATGGAACGATCATCCCACTCTCATCCTTGAAGGCTTCGGGGACACTCACTTGATGAACGCCCCCGGTGATTCTTCCATTGGTCCAGCGGGTCAATGTGTCGCCCACGTTGATGATCATTTCAGTCGTGTCGGTTGGAGGCAGGGGGACGAAAGGGTTGCCCGTAGTATTGGATCGGTCCTCAATTTCCAGACCTCCCGTGCTATCCTGGAACAGCAACGTGACGGGACCGAAATCCGTATGCGGTGCGATGCGAGTGTTGCGCCCCGTTTGCAGCTCATTGACCTCAATCTCCGGATAGTGCGTGAGTCGCAGATCCGTGGCGCTGGGGCTGCATCGAGCGACGAGCGAACCGTCGTCAATTCCCCAGGCAACCTCGAGGGCCGCCATCAAGGTAAGACAGACATCATTGCACTGCTCGTAGAAGCTTTCCATGAAAGGGCGAAAACCGGATAGGCCATGAGCACTGGGCCATTGGTTAGGGAACTCTTTGTCGTCAGTAGGACCCTGGTCGAAATGCTCCTGTAAAATATCACAGTTAAGTAATTAGGTAGATAAAAAACTGGGAAAAAAAAGAAGAAGAAGAAGAAAGCTCGAAAGAAAAGGAGAGCTCAAAAAAAAAAAGGAAAGCTATACCTTTGAATCAGTGAGCATACGGACAGCCTCATCGTGATGTAGCTTCCCAACTTCTTCCACTCTCCAAGGCGTGTAGCCGCGCATTGGTTTTGGACCAAGTTCATTGGGAATCTCGTTCTTGGCCTCTAAAGGCTGGTTGAAAAACCGTTGTCCCTAGTTTCGGTCAGCTACATTAGAAGGACGACTGAAGACCTTATATAACAGTGACGTACCCAGTGAAACAACTCCTGTAGTTGAGAATCACTGAATGTATGATTGCTCAGCTTTGCGAACCCGGTTCTCTCAAAACTGCTTAGAAGGTCACGGGCAAATTGAACCCGCTCCTCGGCAGTGCCTTGGATGAAACTGTTGTAGTTAAGGGTAGGAACGGACATCTTGTTTGATCTGATGAGCTTTGAGAATGTAAGTTTATATGCTTGATTGTAGATGATTGAGTTCGGGAGTTTGTTTCTGGACCTTTTGTCGTTGGGCGATGCTCTGACCTTTTGGACGACGAGAAGTCGGTTCGCTCGCAGTGCTTTATACAAACCACTCGCTGAGATATTGACGCCCAAAATATCCCCTCATCCTGTAGGCTTCTTATGGCGGCCTTGGAAGAAGCACGGAGAATGGCATTTGGACATCGTCATCGGAATTTTTGATGCCGTCGAGAGAAATCCTTTTCCCTGTTTCCTTGTTCAAGGCGTCAAAACGCTTGGCGCGAATGGTACTTTGACGCTCGTGAAATAAGAATGACTCAATCATGCAGGAAATATTGCTAGAATACGTTTTCGAGAATATGAACTTGGAAATCTTACTGTCGATCTCGACGGGTTGATATTGTAGTATCATAAAGGAAGGTTCTCCTCCAACTTTGTGGATCTCTAGATCCCAAACGATCGAGATCGACTTGGTAAGGTGCCGATAACATCAGTGATGAGACGGTCAACCAGCATTGTGGACCTATCATGACTCATGCAAGTCTGATTGGGGGTTCAAGATTCTGGATATCTCCATTGTATAGGTTGCCGAGGTAGCCAAGGGCAATGTAAAGGAAAATGAAAGAATATGTCATGAACGACAGATTGGTTGAGCCGCAGGACTGACATCAAGTAGACTTGTGATGAGTGTAGTCAAGACATGCATCTTCCATGCAGGATCGCTATCACGCAGGCTCCCATCAAGTCTCGAGGCTTAGATGTTCTTCAGCTCGATACGATGTAGCCAAGATCAACACCATGTTGTCAATATGTAACAAGGGCCAGCGCTTACGAGATGCAGCAACAGCTGTTCGGCGGACGGTTGGTAGGAAGTTGGCTGAATCGATTAATGTCACATCGCTTGATGTCTCGAATCATTCGACTGCAAGGTGAAGTCATTTTATGCCCGACATGAACCGAGGTTTGAAATTACTAAACGACTGTTGTTTAAGCAAGTGATAAGTACCCAAGTTGAAGAGTTGATTGTGGAAGAAGGAATACATTTGGGTTTGTGAGCCGGACTAGTCACGATTCAAAGCGGTCCTGTTCTCTCTCCTTGGCTCAACTAACAATATATATTAGTTTCATCATGTCTTCACCGTAAGTGAGGATAATAAACTTCCGGAATTTTAGGCGTCATGCAACCTCATTTACCTCGCTATACCACTACACAAATGATAATATCAAATTACTATGCATATGAGAAGCTTGGTCGATACCTTGGACTGGCACGGAACCATTTGGAACTTTTGGCGACCATATACAATGACTGATTTTAATTATTTACCATTGAAAACATACCAGGGAGTCTACATCTATAATATTTTCCACAAATCTCTACGACCTTTCTGGGCTACGCCTTCCGCAATCGTGGTAGGGCGATTACCTCTTTCAGCAAAATAAAACGGCCGTGGCGTTACCTAGTGGTCATGGGTTGGGATAAGGTAACAGGCATCTGTGCGCGGCTCCCACGGGTCAATGCCAAGGCTGCTGAGGCTGTTCTTTGTGGTACCATGTACATCACCGTTGGCATCGTATTCTCATTTGCGGCAACCCCTGAACAATGGCGCACTTGAGTGGGTCTGGCATCATGTCCGCGTAGAAATCCACGAATGTCTTCACATAACCACCCAGAGCACGGATACGTGCGGATTTCTCAGTTTCTTGCACAAGAAAGACCAGGGTAAAAGTAAGTGACAGTCAGTCAGAAAAGCCGGGTGTTGAAAGACAACCAAAAAAAAAAAGACGAGATTTGCAGTCTAGAGCAAGCAACGGGAATAAGCTCAATGAGCTGGGCTAGGCTTCTGTCTAGTTCAGACAAACATGGGCAAAGAAAATCAACTCATGGATAATCGTCATTTGCTCCTGTTCTGCTTCATATTACAAAAAGCTTGAGCGAATGTGTGCGTACAGCCTGGCAATGCTAGTTTGACACTCAGGTAGCTGCTGGCGGTTATCGTTACATTGCGTCATTTTGCATTGCGAGCAAACTCCCATGTCATTTTAATAAGTGTCCGACGCCCAAAATGTATTTTGCACTTCCAAGTGCATCCAAACCTCCAAAATCATTACTTCCGTCGAGATCCGTCGCAAGAATTCTGCTATTCTTCACTTGCGAGCGAGCCTTTATCATTCTTTGCGTCTTTACCGAAAATGGCTATGATCAGGAAACAAGACGGAGAAGAAAATCCAGGTAAATGAGTCGCACTGTCTAGGTTTATCCACACAATTCGCTTACCATGACCCAAAATGGAGCGGCTGAATCTGCTGCATTATCACGAGAAGAACCTTCGCATCTGAACTCCGACCTCACAGAGAGGGGCACGGTATCCACATCTCATACCTATCCTGAGGGCGGACGCGATGCCTGGCTGGTAGTTCTTGGGGCTTGGTGCGGGTTGACGGCTTCTTTGGGCATCTACAACACATCTGGAGTTTTCGAGGTCGTCATTTCTCAAGTGATCCTGCCTCAGGACTCGGCGTCTACCCTGGGATGGTTATTTTCCATCTATGCCTTTGTCACGTGGATCTGTGGTGTCCAGATTGGACCAACATTCGACGCAATTGGTCCTCGAGCCTTGATCACCGCCGGCAGCATATGCACTCTGGTTGGCATCTTCATGCTCAGCTTCTGCACAGGTAAGGCCATGTTTTCAGAATTCCTTATCATACGATCATACAAGACGATTATACCCAAGACTTTCGATACTCACCTAACTACGTCATAGAGTACTATCAAATACTTCTGTCTTTTTCCCTGTTGACTGGCATTGGATCGTCACTCCTTCTGACCCCATCAATGGGATGCGTTGCCCACTGGTTTTTTGAACGCCGTGGCCTCGCCAGCGGTATAGCCTTCATTGGCGGTGGGTTTGGTGGAGTACTCTTCCCCCTCATGCTGCAATCCCTTTTGCCTCAAGTTGGGTGGGCATGGTCCATCAGAGCCCTGGGCTTCGTGTTGATGGTTCTCTGCGGCATCAGCATTGCATTTTGCCGAAGTCGCATACCCCCTCGCAAAGGGACTGCTACGACATGGCGAGATACTCTGCCTGACCACCGCATCTTCCTTGATGGGACTGGAGCCATGGCTTTGACGACTGCTGGGGTTCTGTTGACGGATTTGGCATACTTCATTCCCATCACCTATACACCGAGTTATTACATTACGCGACAGGGTCTGTCCTCGGAAGAGTCTCTTGAAGGCTCAGCAGCATTCGCGTATCAACTCCTTGCGATCCTGAACGTGGCATCTTGCGTTGGCCGTTACGTTGCTGGCGACTTGGCTGACCGCTTTGGGCGTTACAACACCATGATTGTTTCTCTCTTCCTATGCACCATCTCGTTGTTGTGTCTGTGGTTGACAGATATCTTGGTACCAGGATTGGAAAGCGACGGCCTTCTCATAGCTTTCGTGGTCTTGTTTGGTTTCCAAAGCGGTTCCAACGTCAGCTTGACACCGATCTGTCTTGGCCAGCTATGCGATACGGAGGAATACGGGCGATATTATGCTAGCTGCTTCACAGTGGTCGCGTTTGGCGTCCTGATAAGCCTGCCAGTTGCTGGAAGCTTGCTTGGCACAGTAGGTACTACTGGGAAAGGAAAATACTGGGGCGTTGCCGTGTTTGCTGGTTCGAGTTATGTGGCCGCCACGATTTGCTTTCTATGGGTGAGAGTCAAGCTCAAGGGTTGGTCTTGGAAGATCAAGTGGTAGTGAATACCCAAAGTCCTGTGCAGAAAAAAAAAACAAATTGCAAGGGTTGTGATGTTGCCTTGCTATCACGGGGGATGAGATTCTTCTCCCCACCTTGAGCCTCGGGATCTTCTGGAAGCGGCATCCCGCCAACCCTGTTCGCTTGTCCAGCAAGGAATAGTCCCCGCTGTTGCATATGCAAAGGAAAACTTCCCCGGCGGCTGAACCGTTAGCACAAACTTTTGGAACGTAGCTCGTACTTTGTACATGGCTGCCGGATAACCGGACACAATCGTCCGCTGATCAAAGCATTTACTTGTGCAGTCGCATTGTCCAGTGAATTTTTAAGTGGGACATGTTGAATAGTACTGGAAAGCTTATTTTCTAAATACAATATACTTGATCATCTATGGGCAAATCACCATAATCCTTGTGATCCATGGTTCAAAACAAATGGCTGAGATTGGCCCTTTGCAGTCCTGGTCCAATAATTCAACATACATACCTGACCTAGTAGTTAGGCGCCCTTGTCCATTCTCATGTCTGCAAAGGCTCTGCGTTTCGAATAGCCATCAAGAGCCCAGAAGTATAATCATCCAAGACTACAAATAGTATAAAACCCCTGAGATCACCTTGGAAAAGCAATAAACATAAGAAGAAAATCGCAAGCAATCAACCGTGGCTAAGCATAGCCATAATCCTACGCGAGCGGGTTCCCACAATAGGCAATTGTGTAACCCCTACAGCATACCCCTCCAGGGCTCTGACAGACTTCTCTTGTCCTGCCTTTTAACCTATCTGAAAGCCTCATCTTTGTGACATTCAAACCTACCAATTCAAACCTCCCAACAATTATCGCTACGATGGCCACTGCAGATCAGCTACCTGTCTTATATCTTGCCCAAGCTCGTGCTTGTCGCAGCGTGCAGGACTGCATGAGCATCTACGACAACTGGGCTGCGACTTACAACAACGAATTGAGCGACAAAGACCAAGAATACGTTGCTCCTACCATCGTTGCTCAACTCGTTCTCCATAGAACAAATGACTTGAGCCGTCATGTCATCTTGGATGCCGGATGTGGAACTGGCCTAGTCGGCCAAGCTCTTGCCCTCGTCGGCGCAAGAACCATTGACGGACTTGACCTGTCACCTGCTATGCTCAATGTCGCAAAGCAAACTGGTGTTTACCGTACATTATCCCAGGCCGACATGACCCAGAAAGTCCCGCAGGGTGATGGAATATACGACATTGTTACTTGCGTCGGCACCTTCACGAACGGCCACGTTGGCCCCGATCCTGCCCTAAGAGAACTCGTCCGGCTTACCAAGACGAATGGGACCATCATTGCCACGATTCTGGAGGAGTTCTGGGAGAGTGCCAAGTTTAGTGTCGAAATTGAGAAATTGGTCGCTGAGAAATTGGTTACGGTTATTGTCAAGGAGCTTATCGACTATGTCAAAGGCCACGGTGAGGCAGTGGTGGTGGTTCTTCAAAAGGTGATCTAGTTGGTCTAAACACCAAACTGCCGAGGCATATCAGAGTAGATATACTATTACTGATAAATATAGAGGCGTATTAGTGTCTGAAGGCTTGGCGATGAAACCCACAATTTCCGGAGCTAGAAATAGATATTTGGAATTGTAGTCTCTAGGAAATACCCGTAGCAACCTTTTCAGCTTGCAACTCATGTTCAGATAGAGCACCATAATCTTTGCGTCATCTCAAGTTAAATAAATAAAGTGCGCCTTGAAAATTGATACGAGTATTGCTCAATGGAGGAATCATTAAAGCGCTTCTCCACCTGTACATTTAAGTGTATACATGTCGCGATATACCGCCCGGCAGCCCTAGCCTGGCCGCACCAGTGAGAGCTTCACGCCTAGCGCAGGCTAGTGTAGAGATACGCCTACGCAATAATGTAATTGACCAAACATCTACTATTGGATGTGAGCGACTTGAACTGATACAACTTCAATTATTCTACCTATTATGCATACTTTGATGAAGTAAAACGTGAAGCAATATGCTAATAGTGAGAGCTCCACACTTGGCGTTATGCTAGGTGAATGGATAGGTATTGACGTACAGATATATTGGGTGCAGGTATCCATACCCACACTATTAGCCTACCTACCTAGGGAAATGCCTGTGTTTTGGTGTGGAGCTTCACAAGTTGTTCAGCTAGCGCAGTGGTTTGGTACGACAATGTATCATACACAGCGCTTCGCATTTGGGAATATCTTAACCGTGTGATGCATTCAGTGAGAGTGCCTTCGAAGCGTTCAGGGCGGGGATCCCAACGTGGCTGTGCTGTCCTTTTGGTGTGGTTGTTAATTCCACTGGCTGACTGGGTACCTATGTTGCATGTATGCAATGAAGGTTGCCCTGCATAACCCCTCACTGTGGCACAGGGTCGCCCACGGCGGTCAACGCACTGCCATAACAGCCTCACAACGCCGGACCCCCTCCGAGAAGTGAGATTCTTGAATTCAGTTTCATCAATTCGCATGATTGAAATTGCAGAAGCAGTGTCTGGTCTGATATTCTTAAAGACGGTAGCTTTGGAGAACTGATCCCCGCAACAAGTCACACCAATTTCTGTTGTTCCTGGCATATGCCGATGGATTCCTCAAGTGGATCGTCAAATCCCCGAGAGGATCCTATCGAAGCATTCCACGTACAGATTCGAGAGTTGTACTACCGCCTCAAGCTCTTCAGCGACGCGATTGAGATTTCAAAGCAACACGTCGAACCGCCGATCGCTGTCTCAAAGGCTAGCCAAGAGAGCGAGGATGGTGGGAGCATCTCTAACAATGCGGGGCCTCATGATCGTGAGGGAAACGTCCCGAACCGAGGAGTCGGAACCGACTTCAAGGAATCCGCGCGTCAGACTTCTGGGAACTCAACCACACAACACAACCTACATCTTGACCATCAGATCTTAGGATTCTGGGAAAAACTGGTGACTGCTATTTTTTCAGCTCATAGTAAGATCCGAGACATCATATTGAAGGAAGATGAGGTCAAGCGCGACACAGCGATCCCATGGGCCAAACTCCTCAGCTATCTCCAGGGCGGGCTACGCCGGATTTCCGAGAGGAGCGATTGGGCTCTTGAAGTGAGAAGAATCACTGGAATCGTCAATTTGGTGGCAAAAGATTGCCATCAGGTAACTATTACCGCGGTCATAAATGACACCTCCAACCACGTACATTTAGCAGTGGCTTTTGCAAAAGCTGTAGCGATGAACATAACCAGCTCCCTGTCGCCGGATCTCCAAGGCAATCGGAAGCGCCTGGTACGACTATCGAAGCCATTCGACAAGGCTTTAGACCGTTATTTTCATGCAATGAAACCAGATGTTCTGGGTGGATTAACCGAGGAGGGAATATCAGTGGACAATATATTGTACACTCTTTACAGGCTCCGGGCTAATATCTGGATATTCATCCTGGATGTTCTCCTAAAGACACCAATTCGCCACTCCATAGACCAATTCGCGCTTCGAAGCTGGCCATCAAATAAGAGCCCATTGTTGGCTACCCTGTCTCAGTTTCACCCGGTTGACTCGGCCCAAGTTATTGAGCAAAAGCTCATTTGCAATCCCCACTTCACTTCCTTGACTCATCGGCTCACAAAGCAATTTTGCACCAACGAGTACTTCTGTATGGATTTCTTCAGTACTTGGGTCTATGATAGCATCGAATTTGACTTTCACCGCCCAGAGAGAAACTCTTTTCGACGTTTCCAATTCGTCATCGACGTAGGCGACTTGGATGTGGCCAAGCATGCCTACGGCCAGAATGGATCTCTAGCAGACATACTTGTCTTGACAGGCGCCGACAATGTCGCGTGCGCATCAACCATGGGCAAATATTCCTCAGAGGTGTGGCCCGAGCATGGACCGCTGCTCATAGATCAATTAGACCAAGTCCTGAAGGCGTTTTTCAATGGACATTCCGGCCCGGTGCCGGCCCGAGATGAAGCTTCGCCATTGGAGCTCTCCATAGACCTAATGCGGGGGATGCACTCCTTTGGTCTTTCAGTAGAACGCGGACAGCTTATCATGACGGTTACAGCAACTCTGGAGCTGATCGTAGAATGTCTACAAATTCTCGCATGGGCCTACACATGCCTCAGCGTGTCTCCATATGGCGAGCAGCTCGGTCGCGGACGGGTGAACCTAGCCCCCTCGCATCAGCGATTTGTTGATCTGGTCAGAGTCGAGTTATCTTTGGCTGTCGAGCCCCTCAAGATGGCCAAAGCTTGCTGGCTGCCTTTGTTCAGTCAAGCCGTTCTGGCATGGGGATACCCCGCCCCATCCAAGCGTGACGGTCTGATTGGTTTGGAGATTGATCTGGGAGTCTTGTCTGCGCTCTCTGGTGCGAGACATGCTGTAATGTTCCGCGGTGGTCTCCTGCTCAAAGGGATCTCAGCGGTTCTTGTACCTACAAAATACTGTGCAAACACTATTCAATGGCATCTCGTCACGAGCGATGACGACAGCCGACTGACTTGCGAAGAGGCAGTACGGAAAGTTGGACCAAGAATTCTGAGCGACGAGCTGGATTTTGAGTCATATTCAGGTTGTCGCCATATCGTCGGATGGTGTAGTAAAGTCGAAGTAATGCTGGGCACCACAGGCATTGATTATGGGTCGATTGGTTACTCAGACACGGCGGACGCTATGGATATGATAAGAAGTGAAGGTAAAGTGACATTGGGCATCCAGCAGATCGTCACGGCACAAGTTGAGATGTCTGTTGGCAAAAGAGTTGGGACATTCGCATTCCGAAGACAAGGATCGTATGAAAAGATTTTGAGGTTCGCCTCCAAAACGCCAATCGTGCTATTCGATACAGATACCAGAAGAGGCTGGCTGGTTCCTGCCGTCGCCGTTATGCTGCATGTCGTGCAGCGCGCCATCCATTCAAACCCAACCGGGAGCGGCAAAGACAAGCTCCTCTCTTTCAGAGGTACCGTCTTGCAAACCTTGCTAGAGCTCCGTGATGAGTGCCCAGTGACGGGCGAAGACTCGCTGGCGGATGAAATATCCACAATATTCAACATCATTGACAGAATGATCGAAATCAATGCGGAGGAAGATACCGCAAAAGAGAAACCTGTTCGGGGGACCCTCAGGAGTGCCATATACGGCTTCGAGTTCATGGACCTGATCGACCAGCCATCGCCTATTCACCGCAAGAAGCTCTACATGCACAATACGCATGGTGGATGGCCGGCTCTTGCCCACGATATCGATGCACTCGTCCTTTTGGGCAATGGCTTTGGGGAAATCATGCTTCCGATTGAACCTTCTCTCTGTCCGTCTTGGACTACGATGCCTCTTGGTCAGGACTTCCTAGCTTCGACTGTTGAGACTCTGTCGGACCTTTACAAGAAAGCCGGATCTAAGGACTGGAAATATCTCACCACGCAGAAGTTGCAGTGGCATCGGGGTGCTTCGGCTTTATTCGAAGCCTGCAAATCGGACAATTCGCATTGTAATTGTGTTAGACTTCAACGTATTGTACCAAAAGAGGTGGTTGGGCATGTTATTGGTCCAGGTCCGGTCGAAACTGCTCAAGGGGCCGTCATCTTCGGCGAGGTGGGAAGACCAACAAGGTTCAACACCACACAGAATGCCCGTCGGCGGTCTTTAGGGCTTCAAGCGCCCCCGGACGTGGACTACGTGCCGCGCGATGACCAGGAGCAGCAGCTAGTTGTGGTCAATGGAACACAACCGATTCTGGGCGATGCGCCAGCAAATGGAACCCAATTGGGTTCTCCAGAATCGCCGCACAAGAGTTTTTCTGGTTATGTTTCTGCTGGGTTTCGAAGACTGTCCAAGCGAGAACACAGGGCTGGATTCAATGGCCAATTTCTCAATTCACAACAACCGTCATAGACAATCAACCTCAAAATGTCTTTCGGGACGAATGAAGTTAATTTTTACTCTTTTCGGATTTAATGTCATGAAAATCACGACCAAGACTGCTTCCTACCGCCCAAGATATGCTTCTGGGGCAATACTGTTTGTTTTGTTATCCGAATATGTATTGCTAGGATAGGTAGGCATGGGCGACATCGACTCAGCGGTAAATGATGCGAAACTAATCATCTCAACAAGGGGCGGATCAAGATCGCGAGATGATTAAAGAACACAATTGCTACCTGTGTTGTTGAAAAACGTTGATTGTACGTAGGTTAAATTTGGCGTTGCGGTTTGGATTCATGAACATTCACATGTTATTAATAACCTTTAGCGGCTTGCAGTGGAATAATATGGGACACGTTGCTTGGAGTAGCGCTTTCTGTTTTCTGAGTCCACAAAACTCTCATTCCTCTTCAAACTGTACTTTACTATAATTGCGCACAATACATCATGAGTCTATGACCTTGTTCTCAGGAATAACAATTTGTAGACTGTCACCGGTTTCCTCAAGGTATACCGATCTTTGCAGCACTTTCAAGCCAGCAGAGGATAGTAGAATGTCCCATTGCTTCTGCGTTCTCTCAATCGATGCCAAAGTTGTCAGCATAACCATGTCTTGCTCGGTAGCGTGTCGATGAGCGCCCTTGTTCGGGATGATCATATCATCGATAAGAAGCACAGATTTCGGACCCATGGCGGCGATGGTGTTCTTGAGAAGTACGAGAGCCTTCTCATCTGGGTAATCGTGAATGATGTTTCTCAAGTAGTACGTCCTAGCACCTGTATTGCTGTCAGATAACGAGAGAAACAGCAAGAGACAATAGTTCGTCTTACCTTTGACCGGCTGCTCGCCCCAAAAATCAAAAGCCATCTTCTCGACACCGTCTGTAGGGAGTGCATGATGCTCGATTACGACCGGAAGGTCCTGCAAAATCACACGTCCAGTAAGGTTGGGCAACCTGGCCTTGAGTAGGGCGCACTGACTTCCGACACCGCCGCCGACATCCACAAAGACAGGCATCTCGGCATCTGCTTCCCCGACCAAGGCTGTGAAGTCGACGACATCCATCCAGGCCTTTTTGCCGTTATGGACTGCGGTCATCCAAAGCCCAAAATCTGCCACGATCTCAGGGTGACTTTGCATCCAGACAAATGCAGGTAGCTCTGTTTGAAAGGCTTTTTGGAAGGGGGTATCGACAACATTGCTTGGGTTGGCATAGTTGCTGTTCTTGAAGAATTGAGGAGCAACTTGAAGGCATGGGGCAATGCCTTGGAACCTAATTCCAGGTTTAAGCTTATAGTAGAAGGTGAAAATATGAGGAAGATGCCTACGCTTGGTTGATGCCAGCACGGAAACCATCAATGCTGAGAGTGGTTGTCAAATGATTGGACTGGTAAACGTCCTCATCCACTTCAGTGATGAACCCATGTGATGCCAAGAATCTCGCAATCCGAGCTTCGGCAGATTAGATTGATTTGCTCGAGCTAGCTTTTGTTTGGTACTAACCTGTGAAGACTGGGTCTGCTCCCGAAGGGGAAGCCAGGTCTATAGCAGAGCAGGGGCTCGATTTCCCGGCAAGAGTTGTGAATATCTTCATATTGCTCGCGATTTGAACAACACTTAGGATCATGGGCTTTGAACACGCGTCGTTAGCTTCATACGGCCAACATCGAGAAGAGTAGGCTCTGTGTATACTCACCGAATAGATGACTCTGTATACCGTGTCGTGCGGCGACTCGATAGCTAGACTCAAGCGCTGAGCTGCTTCGTAAAGCTCCTTGCGGAGGTTCTCATCTTGTGGTGGAGAGACTGCTGCGGCCATGAGCTCTTGTATGAGCTTGGTGATATCTGAAGTTGACATGGCTGAGTCCATTGAGTTACGGAAATCGAGACCTTTTTCTGTGCAATAGCGTTTGTGAGAATACTGCAAGCCAAGAGGTCCAAAGAAGGGAGCGCAGGGCTGAGTGAGGTGCGCGGGATTTATTACGAGCCTCATAGTTTCCCTTGCGCAGGGGAAATGAGGACATGACCAATCGGATTTTGTTGGAACATGGATGTCAAATCCCGATGCCATGATATGATCTGAGCTATATTTAGCAAGATGCAAGGCCACCGTTAGCTTGCGGCGCGATGATATGACCAGCTAATGGTACATTCATCCTTGCATAACTTGTGTCCTACAAGAACTCGACCCCAGAATCAGTCACGCTCGCTTTCTATTTTGATGATTGATGTTCTTCGGCTTTCTGAGTTGGTGTAGCTCAATATGCTTGATTCAATCACTTCTCAGTAGACAGTACGTGTATTATCCTCAATGGAATCCTCCTTGTCAAAAGAGCCAAATGACGAGCAGTTTTGAAGCGTTTTGCTCTCGCTTCCATCCTGAGTGGCAGCAATGTGGTATGTCTAGACAGTTGGCTGCACAGCGAGTGAGAGATTGCGTGGCTACTGGTTGGGGGGATACTTGGGCAATGGTAGAGAAGGTACAAACAATATCAATGAACATGGTTTCTTGGTACAGCCAGCAACGTCTCAACTACAACCTACTTATACCATACCTGGACCATGACCTGGAAGGCGGCCATGGTATACACCATGTATGCTACTAGGGATGGCGCAGTGTCCACTCTCGCCAAAGTGAGAGGTACGTCATCAGTATTTTCATTGACCCTCATCAATCGACGTCGTACGCTCAGCACATCGAGGCGAATTCTTACGATTTGATTGAGTTGCATTATATTCGCTGCTTATAGTGCTATATGACGAATAAATTGCAAGCCAGTACGCTTAAGATCTCGGCATGTTGTAACCATAAATCATGCTAGCGCATTCCTAGTGAGTTCTTGACACGGATAAAAGGAACATATCCCCATATCGTGTGTCCTTTATTTAAGGTTTTTCTTATTGTTTCACAGGGATTGTTACTATAATGGCGATATAGAGCTTTGATGGATTTACTTTATGATGTTCCTTTTGAGACTTAACCAGCAGCACATAGTACCATAGGCGCCAGAAAACTGGCGTTCCGTCCGCTCTGTCCTAGATAAACCAGCAGCAAAGCCATATGTCAATGGCAGCCTAATAATCTCATAAGACTATCACTAGTGGGAATTCTTTCACAAGAGCCAATGTGCGATGGGGAAGATTGATGGAGGGGGCATTGGACGATGTCTCAGTTGATCCTATGACCTACACAAGAAAGGTGCTGAAGAGATACTCAATCTACCCGAGTAGATGATCTGCGGTGCATACTGACTACGTCAGTGCAAAATATTCAAATTGCCTTGTAGGCCTTGAAAAGATGGAAGGGGCGTTTTCATCTAGGTAAGCTGCCGCATCCGTTATTCGAATCAGTAGGCTACATATTTCTTATGCCTCGAATGCATATTCTGGCCCCAATGTGGTACTGGTTCACTAATGACACTATCTTTGTGTGCATCATGCAACCTAGTTACTAACCAGTCAGCCTGATGGGCAACTGCATTTGTGGAGCAGGTTTGATCCTATTCGTTGGACGTTTCACACTGTCATCACTCACTGACAACGGTTTCTGACAGGGTGGTGAGAAATGGTTCCCATCTTATGCAGCCAGACGCAGTGTTGGTTACACACAGCCGCCTCATTCCAACACAATTTATTCTCTACTGTCGTACTTGCTGCATGTTCTCCACGGCACGACAATTGCCCCGCGGGGCTCACCGAAATGCCATGTTATTGAAATGAAAATTGACCCAATCAGAATAAAGAGTTCGCACGAGTAGCTACGCCTTATGCGGACCATACCAAGATAGAAGTCAATGATAGGTTGTCTCGAGCTCAAAACTTACTGGTCGGAACTGCGCACATGCGCTTCTTTCTTCCACTGGACCAATACGCCCGTCCGGTGAACAAGATTTGGGGTCCGGGTTGCATTTACGGCCCTTTTCCCCCAGCAAACCGGGGGGGGGGGGGGGGGGGGAACAACGTACACAGAATCGTTCCCTACCATCGAGGCATATACCAACATCGAAGGGAATAAATATATCCTATTATGTTTACTGTCTGACGAAAAGGCATGCATGAATGCTTACCTGCGTGGAATGGCAATTTGTGTAAAAATCAAACGTGAGTCCTAGTGCGTCCAATTCTTCAGCATGCGAGAAAAAGCAGAAGCCTAATTTAAATGCTTGCACCTTCTTATCCTTTGAGATTGTTGTTGCTCGACATATCTTTTGCACCTCTTTCGTCCAACTTTGACATTATGCTTCCTCTCGGGAGTCGCGAAATCACCAGCTCCGTCGTCACGGGGCCAGGAGTTTCCTATCACAGATATATGGTATGTTAAATATGCGCAAAGCTTCCAACTCCCCTTTCTTTTCCTTTTGTTGTTGTTGCGTGTTTTGCTCCGATTTCGTTTCTGTTCTTTTGATCTTCCACTCCGAGACATTAAGATGTTCATCCAGGCTATTCAGTGGGCTGGAGCAGGCTTCTCGCTGGTATTTGTTTTGATCCGTCTTGTATCGCGCTGGCACGGACCAGGTCGCATTTTCTGGGACGATGTTTTCGTCGTGCTTGCTGTTCTCCTGGTACTTATCACCGCGATCCTATGGCAATGGGCCGCAAAGGATATGTACTACATCCTTGATGTGCAAGCTGGCCTTGCGTCACTCGAGACTGACTATGTAACTCATTTGACCCGCGATCTCAAGGTCTCTATGGTTACCGAAATATTTTTCTACGCTATTCTGCTCTTTGTTAAGGTATCGTTCATTCTCTTTTTTAAGCGACTAAGCAGCAATGTCCGTGGGCAGCTTTGGATCCGGTGGGCATCACTTGCATTGTCTGCAATTTGCTTCTTCGTCTCTATTGGAGATATGGGTATCCGTTGTTTCATTCAATCCGATCTTCAGTACTTGGAGACATACTGCGCATCGCCTGAATTCAATAAAACCAGTACCAACGCTATAACGATCAACTTTATTTTGGACGTCATCTCCGACATAGCAAGTAAGACACACCCCTTATAGCATTAAATCATTTCTTTTCGTGATTCTGATTCACTCGCCTTTCGCAGTTACAAGTATTCCATTCGCATTGCTTTGGAATGTACGCATACCAATGCGGAAAAAGCTAGCCTTCGTCGGTATTTTTTCGCTTAGCGTGATCACCATCTCTGCCGCCATCACCAGGGTGATAGTGTTGAATAGCACGACAAAGGCAACAGGATCGCCAGACGCGTCCCTTGTGTGTATGTGGGGAACGATACAGGCATCTTTAGGTAGGTCTCGGAACCTATCTTTATTCCGGAAGTCTTTAGTCTACTAAAAAAGAAAAATCACCATAACAGCCGTCATCGTATCCAGCCTGTCGTCATTCCCACAGCTCTTTTCTGCATCCTCTCGCAAGGTCAAGCCTCAGTGGACGCCGACGGAGACTTATTACCGGCGACTAAGGACACGCATGCTCAAGCGGAAGGAGAGGTCAACGGATCCGCTCTACGATATTTCGGCTATCTCTATGCCTGACTTTGACCACAACGCTGATCAAAATGCTGCTTCTGTCCAAGTTCCATATCCCGTGCTAAATACGGTGGAGGGTCAAGTAGCAGCTCAATACTCGGCTGGCATAAATTCATACCTGGTACCACAGAACCAGATGACTCGGCATTTCGAGTATCGGACAGAAATGACCGCAAGACCAACTACTACACAAGAGTGGCCTATGGGAAAGGACTAGGTGGTTTGTAGTTGATTCGCACATGCTACAGGCACATATACACTGAAGCAGACATGTTGAGCTGGTAGCGGCATGAACCAGAAACCAGCGCTCAGATATTCTTCTCCACCATGTATGAAATATGCACGGAAAATCTATCTGATAAGTTGGAGCAGGAAAACTACCACATCAACGCGTGCAGATATCATATTAACGCAGATGGTACTGAAGAGCCATAAAGGGGAGGCGTCGAATAACTATTTCATAGACCCACATGACGTTGGTGTAACGGACTGCCACTGATTGCACTTATGCTGGACGAAAAGCATGGAATGCCGGTCCATTGGGGTTGAACATTTCTTGAAGGTCGTGAACTAAAGCCCCCGGCTGCTCCCATGCGGCAAAGTGCCCACCCTTTCCATGTTCCTTCTCAAAAACAACATGTCCCAGTCGTCGATTCCACATGCGGGGGGTCGCGGCGATCTCTTTCGGGAAATATGAGAAGCCCTAAGAAAGCATACTGTTAACAAGAATATTCAAATCTTTTCTCATTGAAAAAAGGTTTATTTGTTGACATACCAGCTTGGCCTTGGGTAAACCACGCCCGGGCTCCGCTTTCCAATCCCCTTGGAACATCTCATAATAGATGTTGACACTAGCAGCAGGGCCTGCTCGACTGAACCAATAGAGGCTGACCCATTCACAAACCTCCTGATCTGTCCATGGATAATCGTCTGTCCACGCGACCAATTTCTCGTAGATCCAGGCCAATAACGCCACCGGGCTATCAGCAAGCATTGTTCCGATCGTCTGCGGCCTTGTCCTCATTATTTGAAGGTAGGCACTGCCATTGTCTTGATACTCCTGTGAGGCTTTCAGGCCTGCTTGCTCACGGGGTGTATACCAGTTCATAATGTGTGTCGTGAGGAATCGGACAAAGCCTAGTGGGGATTGAGTGAGAGGAGGTGGTAGGGCAATGACAAAATTGAGATGCAATGCCAATATTGACTCGGGATAGAGGTTACCGATAGATGTGGTGATATACAAGCCCTGTAATAATTTAGCTCCTAGCCCTGACAGATGCAAATTTCCAAAAATAAAAAAAAGAATAAAAAATCAACTTACCCAATCTCCTCCTTGAGCTGCATATCTTTCATATCCTAAGCTAAGCATTAGCTTATGGCAAGCATCAGTATACTGCCGTAAGCCAAAGCCTCTCTTGGAAATCCCGCTCGAGAACCCGAAATTGGGAAGGGACGGCGCCACTATGTGAAACTCTGGTCCCGGCTCCCCGTTCTTTTCGGCTGTGAGCATTGGAAGGATCTTTGTGACTTCAAAGAAGCCACCCGGCCCTACAGCACATTAGCTATGAATGAATGCCATACTTGGCTGAGACTCCACAACGTAAGTATTTACATCCATGGACAAAAAGCAGCGGGATCGCATCTGGGCTTGCACTCTTCTGGTGGAGAAAGTGCAACTGGATTGGATCAAAGCCGTCAAGCGAAATAGTCGTCTCGAAATGTGGCAATTTGTTCAGCCGCTCTTCGAATGTAGCCCATTTGAATTCCTTCTGCCAATACTGTGCGATCCGTCGAATGTCGGCGGACGGGGTGCCTTGTGCCCAACTGTCGCCGCCCTCGGAGTCCTCTGGGAATTTTGAAAGGGCCAGCTTCTGGTGAAGCTCTTCGATCGCCGTGGAAGGAACCGCAACTCGGTATTCCCGAATCTTTGGCATGTCAAACGATTTGGGGATCAAGGCAGCTCAATTTCTCTTTTCCCTTTTTCTCTTCTTGTTTTCTTTTGGTGAACGACCTTCCTGTATGATGCTGATGTTCCTGGCCTGTGAAGCAAAGCGCAGCGAGAGAGGTTCCCCGCTCTGTCCTCTTATGTTTCTCTTTCTCAGGGGTTCGTGTCCAAGAGAACCAACACCAACGTCCAACATTTTCGACTCACAGTCCTCCCGCGGCACAGATGTTACACAGGAAAAAATCGCCCAGAGCGGCTTGGCACCTTGTTGTGCCGGTTCAAAGCCTTGTAAGGCGTAGAGCTCCCAGCTCCCAGTTCCTAGCCCCCCCCCCCCCCCCCCCCAACTATGCATCCCTTGAGCAGGCTCGAGCATGGGTGTTGCGATTTATTTTATTGGGTAAGATACTGGCATGATTCTGTTGGTTCAAATGCTGCACCCTGAGCGTTGGGCTTTAGTCTGGGTTAGCACTTCATTGTTGGTTGTTTCACATGTACACTCGTTCATTTAATCCACGACTTTAGCATGTCAAGGACTTATGGTGCTCTTTCTTTCGGGTAGTCATCCGGTGGGGTGTTTGCTTTTTTTTATCCTAGTCGGATGCGGTATAGTTCTTTACTCAAGGGTCTATAAACAGCCGACAGTATCATCAAATAATATAATGGAGTTGGCCATCTGTGGATCTATAGTCGCCTGGTTGGCGTCGTTGCTGGCGATCCGGATGTAGCCAGTGTGCTGTGCTGCCAACGATGGAAGCTGGTGACAGTGAATGAGGTTAATGGCTGTTGATGATTGGTATCTGTCTCCCTAACAGGAAGTAGGAGAGCTCCACAGACGTCATCAACATTTGGTAGCGATTAAGGCAGATTGATATTAGGACAAAGTCGTTGACTATTCGGAATTAGAGAAAGCGGCGTTTCCAATAACCTGCTTGCGATTCGTTGGTTCTTCGGCACATGGAATTACGCCTGGAAACACCGAGAGTGGAGTGAATATGCCGCGAAAGGAGGGATCCACATTTCGCACAGGCACTAGTTTACTACGGATACACAGCATTCACCATATCAGAAAAAAGACCACCATAACGCTATACTCGAGATGTCTGGTAAGAGGAGGAAAAAAAAAATGGCAACTCATATCCCTAAGAGAACTTCCGCTGCTCTTCAAAGTGGATCGGGGACAACAAATACATGTGTGCTTTATTTAAAAACCACACGTCTGGATTTTGTCTCCTTACCTCTCGGGAATATCGCTCGGCATTTCAATATTTAGTCCCAGTCTAGCTCGGCCAGCCACGCATCTGCTGCCGAAATGCCTTAATTTCCGGCGTGCAACGATCGCCCGTGCACTTGCTAATGATTCAGATCCGAATGGTTGCTAGGTATACCATGAAGACAGCAGGATTTTGTCTGTACTCTATGATATTGAAGTGAAATGGGAAGCTCGTGAACTTTGATGTAAGTCTTACTGCGGCCAGCCCGGCAGAATGAAAAGACTGTATAAGAGCAATTCAACTCAATCACACCACATAAATCAAAAGCCCGAACGCAACCTCAACGTTGATCAAACCTAAATCTGGTCTTCATAATATGTCAATCGGATACCAGACTTGCCGGACTTGTAATGCACGTCCCAGTACCCACACACCGCATATATATGTATAGACTTGCCCAAAGTTTCTTGAATTTTTGATGACAAGATTCGAAACTTCTATCAAACACATTTTGGTGACGCTTTAGGAAGTCGAAAAAGTTTTCAATGCCTTCAATTCAACAAGCTCTTGGTGCTGATGGCCTGAGCCAGAGAATGTCTCATGGCGCCCTCGTATTTTTGCTCGCGGTATGTTGAACAACTACTAGTGCCGCACATAAGTAAAGAAGCATCACTCACTGACTTATAATAGATCCTTACTTGGAGGGTTATCCTCATTGCCTACCGGCTTTGGCTCCACCCATTACGCAGCTTTCCTGGGCCAAAACTTTGGGCCATCTCAGACTTGCCGTTTACGTACACGTCCAACATCTCGGGTACTAGTATCAGGAGAATCGACGATTTCCACCGTCGATATGGCGCCATTGTCCGCATAGGGCCAAACCGCATTGTAATGGACGGTAGTATAGCATGGCCGCAAGTATATGGCCGTCGGTTGGCAGGCCAGCCCGAGTTTGAGAAAGCCCCGGGCTTCTTTGCTCGAGGCGTCGAGCATGGCATCATTGCCGCACCCCGAGACGTCCATCGCCGTCAACGCAAGCAGTTGGGCCATGCTTTCAGCGAAGTCTCCATGCGCGAGCAAGAGGCCACCATCAACCAATACGTCGAGCTGCTCATACAGCGTGTGGCAGAACACGCAGCCAAAGAGAAGCCCCTGAATATCGTCGAGTGGCTCAACTTCACCACGTTTGACATTATTGGCGACCTGACGTTTGGAGAATCATTCGGCAGTCTAGAGACGAGCAAATACCATCCGTGGGTTCACAACATCTTCAAAGGCATCAAGGCCGACGCCTTTGTGCGCGCCTGTCGAAACTACCCCGTCTTTGAACCCATGCTCGTGCGCTGCCTGGGAGGCGAACAGGCTGGGCAGGGGGACCGCAACAGAGCATTGGCGCGCGACAAGGCCATGGCACGCATGGAACTCGGCATGGAGCCCAAAGGCCGTCGCGATTTCATGACCCATATGCTGCAGCCCACCCGTGACGGGAAGCCTGGCCTGTCCACTACCGAGATCATGGCAATGTCCCCTCTACTCGTCGTGGCCGGGAGCGAGACTACGGCCAGCGCCCTGTCGGGATTCTTCTTTTATGTGAACCAAAATCCCCGGGTCAAGACGATTGTCATGGACGAAATCAGAAGCGCGTTCCAGGATGAATCAGATATCACCATGATTACCACGAATCAACTCGAGTATCTGCATGCAACATTAGAAGAGACATTGAGAATGTACCCACCGGCCGCAATCCTACCTCCTCGTCGCTCGCCCGGCGCCGAAATCGAGGGCAAATTTGTTCCTGCAGGGGTATGTTAGCCCATGGCCACGCAGACATTGTTCACTTTGCACTGTCTAACTAATCATATTCATCAGGTCATCTGCCACGTATCCCCATGGGCAATATTCCGGAATCCCAAACACTTTACCGCGCCCGACTCGTTTTGTCCCGAGCGTTGGCTGAAGTCCGAGCATCCACTCTATGAGTCCCGTTTCGCTACCGACAACCAATCCGTGTTCAAACCTTTTAGCAACGGCCCACGGGACTGTATCGGGAAGAATCTGGCGTACGCCGAGATGCGACTCATTACAGCTAGACTTTTGTACAAATTTGATGTCGAAACCCTTCCCGGACAGGATGGTTGGCATGCCGAGCAACAAGCGTTTACAATCTGGGAAAAGGGGCCGCTGTTTGTCAAGTTTGCATCTCGCAATATGTCCACCCTAGCACAATAGGGGCCTGCTGATTTATTCCGACGCCCCACTGAGGGATGCACTTTTGACGGCATTTAGTGCCCGGCAACGGCCCCGTATCTACATACTAGGTAGGCTCTATTATAATGGCTGCATTTAAAAGATTATTTAAATTTTAAATAATTACTTTATTGTCAGATACGGGATGTGCTATATAACCCACTGCGGAACTCCATGGTGTCTGCATAATGTTAAAGCGTAGGAATAGGGGGAGCGCTTTTCCCAATATGTATATATCTTTAACCATCCAACCACTATTGGATGTAAGCAACTCAACTAATACAGCAACTGTTGTACCATACCCATCATCCCTTCTTACACGTAGATGAGCGGGGCTCCCGATGATTAGCCGGGTGCTCCTCAATCTGTGCGCAAAGTGTGGAAGCCAGGATGAGATAAACTAGTATTGAAATTTAATAATCACTGATTTCACCCAATTACGTCTGATCAGACCATTTTGAACTCTGCTAATCGATAATTATTATCCTATATATATTCTTGTTGTATTGGATTTAACGGCTTCTGGGAAATTATCATAACGCCATATAGGGGAGAAATTGATTGAATCAATTTTAGACACGACCTCACCGTGCTCGAACCCGTCGAGCAGCACAAGATATTGCACGTCTGTGCCGCTTTTCGGTTTTTGTCTCTGGCACACCACCCATAGCCTCTTCCAGTCTTGTCTCTCCGACGATTTTATTTTCTCGGTAATAGACGAGTCATTTGCAATAATATTTCCCTTCGTGTCTGCAATCATGAGAACTCCGTCAAGCGGTTCCTTCTTGAGCCACACTTGCACTGCATCCATGACCATACGTCTCTCGAAAAAGGATGCCGCTTCTGCATGGTCCTCGTCCAGCTGGACCTCGAGTCCCAGGTCAGGCACTCCCATCGTAAATTTTGGCATCCAACTGGGGGAACTCAGCTCCTCTTGGTATGTAGGTGTCGCCTTTGCCCAGTTTTCCTCATAACGTGGTCCCCGTACGTTTGCTGGAAACCGCTCTGACAAGTTATCCAAAGTACCCTTTTGCTGACTCTCTCGGCATCTTGGTATACTCTCTCGGCGTCTAAGTATACTCTCTCGGCATCTTAGTATAGCTGTTGCCGACTTGTCCTTTGAAAGCACTTTCCGCATGCTTTCTGCCATCGGCTCTTCGTAGTTCGCTCCATACTCTTCCCAATCTTCTACCAGCGCAGATATACCCCATAAGTAATCCTTTTGCTCTGAACACTTCCTGCCTTTGGCTCTGTGCCACACAACCATCAAAGGCCTCCTGATGCTCTTCAACCACTCAGCATCTGTTCCACCCCAGCGCGTCCACCTCTTATCAAAGACGGCTACCATCCTCCTGAATCCTCCCTCCGGGTCTCCCGCATTCCAGACCTCACGTCGACACTCTTCAGGGCGATGGCGAGCCGCAGCAGGGACTGCTATATATGAGCTATCAACTGCGCTAGTAAGTAGCGCATCTATATCATTGCCGGCCACCCAGCCGCCTGGAGTCAATATGTAGCAAAACGCTGACAGTTCCAACTCTTGCATAGTCCACACTCTTTCGAAGTAGGAAGACTTGATAAAGCTCACACACTGGTCCAAGGCGGCCAGATATTCTTTTGTATCAAGCCGGCGCCCCGCGGTTTTCCATTCCTCGATCGCCTCCAGGAATCCTTGTTGTTTTGTGAATATCAGGCATGCGCTTGCTCCAAGATAGTATGACGACATTTTTCTCACTTCCATAGCCTTGTCCTCTGGATCGTCTTGATCTATGCAGATCCTGTCCGCCCAGAGATTACTTATCCCTGTTCTCCTTTCCAGCTCCGCCCGTATTTCGTCCCAGTCCACTTCTGGGAATTCTGTCCACACATAGGACACTGTCGCATAAGGTGCGGGTTCCATTTCGTCCATTTCAAGGAAGAGGCCTTGCTGGCCTAGAATTCGCCGTGGATTCGCATCTCCTCTTCTGCCATCTCTTGACAAATCCCAATTCGAGTTCACAAACACCAGTCCATCTCTGTCCAGGCGCGGCGGTCCCAGTGTGAATTTGGAACCCACCAATAAGCTCGCGGCTTTCGCGGCTATGCCAGTGTAGCTCATCCCAAGCTTCCAGTATTGCCGACATTGCCAGTCGTGCATGCCCCTCTCAATGGAAAGACGTGCGGACGTTTCCTGCCACTTTGCTTCCATGTCGGCAGGGCTCTCGACTGTCTGAGGCAATGTTTGCTCCATGTCATACAAAATCCTTAACACGTTGATTCGTTATGCTGCCGTTGGAGCGATTCGAAGGGGCTAACGACGGAATGAATCATGTCACAGATGATCTCGTGTGTCTCCGACTCATTGGCTTGTTGCGTGCTCGGCGTAGAATTTGTGTAGTGCTGTTATGAACATGCACACTGGCAAGAGAATAAACGTAGGTGTGTTCTATAAACCGTAGTAAAGTCGTTACAAGCGTGTATGGGAACGTAATCTGGCTGAGGTTGCAAGATGAAGTAGGAGACTGAATTCACGTAGAGGGTATTGGAACAGGAAAGAACGCATTTGAGTGGAATCATGTGCATATTACGCAACGACCCTAGCCCTCGGTTCACCTCGGATCCCACTTGTTAAAAAGTGGACTTATGGGACGGATTTTCCAATCAAGCTCCGAAAGGGAATTGTTGGGGTAGGTGCCTTGAGATGATCCGCATCCCCATGAAACAGCTCATTCATGAATGGAGGTTTCGTGGTCGCATTGACTGCCACAGCCTCTGGCGCGCAGCGGAAAGCCGCACTTGAAAGATTGCGCGCTGTTCTGCTCTCGAGTCGGGACTCAGATGCCGAGTTTCATCCCAGCACGCTCGCGCTCCCGGCTGTGGACCTTCCGGTCGCTGACTACGGCGCGGCCCGCGCCGCTGTTAGAGGTTGGATCAGCGCTTACGACAAGGAAGACGAGTGGGAGCCCGGTGTGAGGCGGGACGTCTTTGTCGTGGTCCACGCACCAGCATTGGATTCTTTGCTCACCGACGACCGCCCGCTTGGGTGATTTAGGGGCATAAAAATATATAGACACACGCCCAAGTGAATCAAATCTATCTTATCTATTACGTTTCTCCATGGGTGTGTACTTTGACATCCATCGTCACCATGCTCATCCACAATGCTTGATATTGTGTCGACTATTGCTCATCATCCCAAATGCGAACGCATCCCGCTTTCGCCAAGTATCATGTTCCCATAAGGTTGAGAGCTTCAATGATTTCTGTATCAAATATCTCCCCAAACCAAAACGATAGAGGCTCGTTGCTTTCCGGGGGGTTACTTGCAAATGCTTCGGACCCTAGTGCTGGTGAGACATGACTATTGGTAGCATGAGACATTGACTTGTTGGTAGTTGATCCGGTATGTATAGGGAGATTCTTCTGCTCTATGATCCTCTCGAGTAATATACGACCACGTTCAACAACAGGCAGGTCATCTAGCGCTCTCAGAAACACTAGCCCTTGCTGTATATATGCGACCGACATGGATGCGTATATGGCTGGTTCCTGTGGATCAACAGCAGATTCTATGCGCAGAACTAGTACTGTCAAGACACAATGGATACTGAAGAGATGCATTTGTTAGAGGTGGTCGCGAGAATGCAAGTCCACACAGTCGACTAGATGCGAAAGGAAAACACAAGACTTGGCTACTCACAAGCTCAGAGGAAGCATCCTCAGATTTCCGTTGGTCATCATTTTACCAATCAGATTGTCGGTCCCTAGCATTGCCATTTTCAGTTGCTGGTTGGCCAATGTATGTCGATCATCGTGGATGGAGAAATAATAACTTCGCAATGCACGATAAAAGAAGCACTGGTATCGGTAACTCAAAGCCAGAAGCATTGTCAGCTCCAGATTGCCCTCCACACAACAGGGGTCCGCGTTGAGTTGCAGGGCCCCTGGCAAGGATGACTGCCAAGAAGCGAACTGCTGAGTAATGTCGTTGAGGTGTCCGTCGTTGTTACCGAACTTTCCTACATTTCTCATCGTCGACAGGCAGCGTTCTCCTGGAGATAGATTAGTAGACTGTATGAGTGGCTGCCACCAGAACAAACTTGCCTATGATGGACAGCTTATTTCTTTCCACGAGATAAAGCTTTTGCCGCCGAGGTACAGGATCAAGCACGGATGAAAATTCTACTGGTACGCCCATACTGTCCCAATTGTCTTCCGTGACGGGTTTCATGGTACAGTTGGTCATGTCCAATATCCTTGAGTTGGAGAGCCCGGTTAATGACAGCAAAACATCGCTGTCCTAGAAGTGAAGTCAGCAGAGGCCGTTGTCATGGGAAGACTTTGGCCACATACATGTAAACAACTCCATATCCTGCGACATAGCAAATACGTGAATGAGTCCATATCATTTGATATATCGCTACATGGCTCATCAGTGATTATGCGTAGGAACTAGGGGATGAGGGACGGAGGTGCGGCGATAGGTGGGAAGGGAAACAGTGTTAATAGAGGTGCTCACTTTCTATGCAGGCCCATCTTCATTGCAATACGACCGGCATTCCATATCCAGTGGCGGAAGTCCTTGTCGTGTGTATAAGACAATATCGACGACCCTAGGACGATGGAGCCCTGCAACATCCGTACCTGGCTTCTTTCGTACCCCAGATCGTACAGCAATGCAGCGTTCTCGCTGAACTTCTTTTGTGCGGTGACCCTATCCCTGAAACCGCACTGCCTCAGTAATGTCAAGGGGGCGTACTGGCTGCTACTTGCAAAGATACATTGCGCAAGGAATACAGAGTGCTGGCCCGAGGCTAGGGAAAACATGAATTCGACCCGATCGAAAACCGGAGCATGTGGATGGCATTGACTGAAATACACCTTAAGTAACTGTTCACTATTTCGGTATCAGCTCTCTTAGTTCTACACACTATTCGCCCTAGGAGAGAAAAAGATGAAAGGAGAAGAAAAAGAAAGAAGGGATAGAAAGAGGGAGCAAAAGTATTAAAACAAAAACATCGTACCGAAATGGAGAAGCCGGCAAAGTCAAGGCTCCCTTGTCCTGGAGAAATCTTGTTTCCGGAGAAGCGGGCTCGTCCAACTGATTAAGAAGGGATGGCTGCTCTTGATTAGAGGAGAATTCGGCTTGGCTCTGTGTTTGATCTTTGATGACCAGTCTCGTGAGACTCCTTGGTTCAGTACTGATGGCATTGGCTAAAATGGACATGAGATTTGAGCTGTCCCGGTATATGATGGAGTCCCGGTAAGGGCTACAGGAACGAAGGAGAGTCGATGCAGGCGGTAGGCCTTTACTTGTAGCGACCTCGTTACATATCTGCACGAAAATCTGGTTCTCAGGGTTGGCAGCTGTCTCAAAGGAGTCCGACGACACTTCAAACGGTGGGACGGGTTGCTCAAAGGGATCAGTAGAGTTTCCAGTGGTAATGACGGGCAACTTTGTGATTATTGTCAGCTAGTTACACAAGCAAAGCCGAGCTGAAGCTATTCAGAGCAGGACTGACTAAGCTGTTGCCCGCTTGATCGTCAAGAGCTTGGTGTGGCGGCTGAGGACGATTTACGGTAGGAGGCGAGCGGCGTTCAGGTCCACTAGCGCGTGTAACTCTGCGAGCTGAGGCTTGAGGCGACTGCAAACTAGCATGTGGCCGGCTTGAGAGGCAGAGGTCAGCCAAGTGGCTTTCACCAAGACGATACGGAGGTGAGTAGGTACGTTCTGGGCCGCCGGACAGCACGGACACATCTTTCTTGGCAGTTTCTTCCGACGCATGAGCGGCACGGAGTTCCAGCGGTGGACAAGTCGCACCGGACCTTTCGCTCGTGACAGGGGAGGCACGCTTTGTTCGATTTGGGCGTCATGTCAGCAGAAATCCTGTTGCGGCGCTTGGATAGGAGGTATAGGAGGTCCGGGAAAAGTGTCTTGGCTGTGGTTGAGCATCTACAGCTAAAATAATGCCGAAGTCTCCACTTGACGGAGATATCTGCACGCTCCACTACCGACCTAGGTTAGGGAGTTTTGGGCGCTATTCCTCCATCCACACTCATTCGGCACTACGGGAGGAGGATATAAAGTGATGCAATGACCCAGCGGGATGTTGATTGAAATTTAGATAGTTGGTTCATCTGTTCGTCGATTTGTTGCAAATAAAGTAGAGGTGCATATCTTCAAGGGCTTGCATAAATTTTGGTATTTTCAACTACCGCTGGTTTACCCTTGGACGTTTAAATCACCGAACGGCAATAACTTTCAAGGTTATCACTACACACTAAGCTGGAGAGCGTGAGCCTGGTCGGAATACCACAAGCAAACACCAACACCTTCAGGTAATCTCGCGATCAGGCCCGTCTGTCTGTACACCCTCAGGGATGCATCAGATTCGGTCGCATTTGTATGTTGAAGGAAACATATTGCTGTCCGATAGCTGTGGGCGAGTGTAACAATTGGAGGAAGTATACCCTTTTTGTTCTGGCACCTTAATTGACTAAACGCGTCTTAGTTTTATGCCCACGCAAATTGTGTCGCCTGGCTTGGTAAGAACAAGGATAGGAGTGAAAATGTATTTGAAGATTTACGGATGATTAGATAAAAGATCGTCAATGACAATGCAGACGTATCTTTACGGCACAGGCTTGTCAAGATCTTGGTTCCGCCGAATCTAGGTAAGATCATTGGACCGCTTTGCGATCGGTTGTTCAGTACCTATGTTGCTAAGGTTAGTTGATCCAGGTACTCCAAAAAGTTAGCGTAGCCCGGCATGTCGAAATTCGTTGTGGCCGCTCCTCAGTGGATGATTACGCTTTTGGTGTTGCAGCAAATCGAGTACATCTATGGCTTCAAACCCGGGGTCATTTACAGGAATTGTAGGAAACAAACCGAATGTGTAGCATATCTCATCCAGGGGTCGACTTTTAGAGATTGGTCCACGGGTACCACGGACATGGCATGTCTCTCGAGTACGTAGGTAGGTAGGGACCGCCTTCCCCAGCGACCCTCCTTGCAGATTTGGACGCGAGTCTTTTCGTAGCTATTGCAAATCAGCGAGTCAGCGCAAGCCGAGTCAGAAATTGTACGTGCGGCGAAGAAGGTCACACGTGCATATTGCTTCAACTTGTTGATTGGGCCTGATGACGCCTTCGTGGCACCTAATCTGGGATGCACCAAACTTTAAGCTCGAATAGTTCCTCTTCCCCGCATTCTCCAGACCAAGGCACAGGGTCTTGAACCCCCGGTTGAAGAATCCCGCCCAAGCCGCCCCAGCTATCCCCAGACTCAGCCAGGCAGGCTGGTAGCTAGTCCTGCCAATGCCGGCTGCATAGAGGCTGGAGTGCATACGAGCTAGTGAGGTTAGTAGATTCTTGGGCCGGGGCGTGGGTACTTGGCGCCTGTGCACAACGCCAGGGCTGTCAACGCAAACGCGGAGGCTTGGTTATACGTAGTAGGTAGTGCGCTGGCTGGTTGTGCGCTATCTCTCTGCCCGTGTCTGGCTCTGGTTTACAATGTCGCCTGTCCTCTCGGCTTCATCTACGTCCAATTCGGCAATTCAACATTTGCCAGCCAACTCCTTTGGTATCACAACGTCTCTTGGTGCCAGATAACAATGCCACCACAGACAGAGCCCGCCACTAGCAGAGGCACGACTCATACGGCTGTGTCCTTGCGGAAAGCTAGAAAGAGAGAGGCAGATCGGAAATCACAGCAGGCGGCACGCGAACGGACGAAAAATCGGATTGCCTTCCTCGAGGCTTTGGTCCTCGACCTTGAGCAACAGGATCCCACCAGCAATGCCCAAGAACTTATCAGACAACACGACGAAGTACGTGCTGAACGCGATTCGCTGGCGCAAGCTCTAAGCGCCATTGAGCGCATCATTAAGGACCGTAAGGGCCATCGTCCCGCGCCCGGCTCCGCCAACGCACCGCCGTGCGACAACCAGTCGTCCCCGCCACCCGACGATGGCCAGAGATCCGACAATAGTGGCTTTGGTGATACCGGATACTTGTACATATTCCCAGAGTCCCTCTTGAATATTACCTTTGACAGAGTCTAATGACGTTAGATCGCCGCTCGCAACAGTCAGCAACTTCAACAGTGAATGCGGAGAAAATAATGTGCATGTACCGAGCAAGACCTCGGCACTGGGTCTCGATCAAACTCTAGTCCCCGAATCAGAGTTCATGTTCGACGACGTTTTGCCAATGGACGAGGTACTCACTTGCATTCCTCCAGATCCAATTATACCCCCAGCGGCAATGTCCAAGTGCGATTGCGCTCCGCGCTCCTCCCCGAAAGCCACAATGGAAGGAGGGGCCAACTTGTGGAGATATGCGAATGAAGTCCTTAGTGAACCTACGCCCTGGTGCCCTCAATTGAGTGCCCAAGAAGCTATGGTAGAGGACGATACTCCTGTTCGAGCTATTATCGACGGCTGGGACGCCGTTGAGAGGCGTGCTGGTGGTCGCCTACTACCATCATGGCAAAAACTACGACAAATTGATGAAGCGATATTCTCATCTTGCGCAAAGGTGGAGAGACTAGCAATTCTGCGACTAATGCACATCCTGCTGCGGTTTCATCAAGAAGGAAGCGAACAAAAACGTGAAGCGGTGCCCTTGTGGTATCTTGCGAGGTTTGTATTGCATTTATTCTCTTACACCCAGCGATCGGGATCGCTGAATGCTTTACAGGCCGTCACAGTCAATCGCACACTCTTATGCCATCGACTTTTTTGCCTGGTATGACAATGACATCCAATCTCAGCTTTCTCGTGGGGGCTACAAGGGTCACTGATTCATCTTTTTGTATCTCAAGGCCGGGTCTTCGTGAACGCTTCGTCTTTCAGCAGCATCGGTACTGCTCTAATATGTTCTGGCAACTGTTCTGCTCCAGTCTTCATATACTCTGGCCGTTCGAGTTCCGAGACTGCTACTTTCGCAATACCGACACAAATGAGTACAAGGTCTCCCCTGCCTTCGATGAACGAATCAAGGATATAAACGTTTGGACAATGTCGGGAGATATCTTCAAGATGTGGCCTGAGTTCTTATCCGACATGCCCAGATTCAACCGAGGCCCGGGCCGAGAGCTCACTTCAAATCTCTCCAACATTAACCGTATGCTCAATAGTGAAATGAGGGGTAGTGCAGAAGACGGCTCCGATGAAACGGGCGAAGTAAGCTTAGATATTGGCTATCAAACCCAATGGGTGAATCAGCACGGTAGCGGCCAGCAGACAAACCTGGGTCTAGATGCCAACCTTGATCAATAAAACAGGTCTTATTTCACCAAGAACAATACCCACAAGAAACGGTGAAATGAAAAAGCACCATATTAGCGGCAATGTCTGAAAGTTCACGACTCCAACTGATGGAATGCCGAGAAATACCCCGTCGCCCTCAATGCTTGGACCAGAAGCAGGCAATTGTACGGTCTCTGGAACATTCGAGCATGCGAACACGACCGGTAAATTTTTCATATTCCCCCATTTATACAATAGCAAGGTCCGATTTCAAAGCATTAGATATCATATAAACACATATGTGATTGTAGTTATTCGACCTTACCCCTGCACTGGCCCAGCCATTTCGTCTAAAAATGGGCACAGGAAATGGTAAAGCCGCATAACTGTCCTCAGCGAAGATCTAAAACAATTCTTCCATTGATATGACCTGCTTCCATTTCCTCGAAGATCTAGGCCAGCTAATCAGTTCATGCCCAAAATGAAAAGTGGTAAATAATACTCACGGCCGTGAGATCCTCCATTGGCCTTAACTGGTAGTGAGTTTTGACTAGCCCACGCGCTGCAATGTCCAGGCATTCCTTTGCTTCAGCTCGGTTCCCCGATTTGTTCGCTGTGAGTATTTAATTATCAGCTGATATTCGATCCTTGAATCAGGAAAAAGAGCATGGATGGGGCGAAGGGCCTTGGTTAGCAACCCACCAAATATTGTCAGTTCCAGTCCAATAAGATCAGCGACCTTGGCTCCGCCAATTGGCAGTTGTGGTCCTTCCGGAACACCCAAACACACCAAGGTGCCACGGAACCCGAGGAAGGAAATAGCTTGATTGTATGCTCGATTGCTAGACGAACACATGAGCACGATCTTGGCACTTTCCTTGGTGACGCTTTTCACTGCTGCCGCAAGCTCCGCATCAGTGTCGTATTTGGTGAAGTCAATAAACGCGTCGGCGTTGAAGCCCAGGCAAAACTCTTCCTTTGAGCCCGTGTCCAATGCCAACACTCTGGCGCCCAACACCTTGGCGTATTGAACCGCGAGATGGCCAAGCCCACCTCCCGCGCCACAGATGACCACCCACTGCCCGTGCTGCACTTTTGCCCTTTTCAGACCTGCGTACACTGAGATGCCGCCGCACATCAGCGGTGCTGCGCCGGCGAGATCAATGTTGTCGGGCATCGGAGTTGCATATATTGCTGGGCTGAGACAGTACTGCTGGAATGTTCCTGGGGTGAGATAGCCGGAAATTGTGCCTGAGCTGCAAGTAGTTTCGCCTCCTTCTAAACAGTTATCTAGAGACATCATACCAATATCAGAGCTGCTGACCCATGCAAGTGGTGTCGAATAACCAAAGTATAATACTGACCGCAGTTTAGACAGGCGCTCGCTGCATACTTGATTCCAACCAGTGAGCCGATCGGTGGCTGCTTGACGCCATCACCGTGAGCAACGATTTTACCTACACCTGTTGCAAGTTTAGAATCATGAATATGAAAGGAGCTCTGGAAGATTACCTTCATGGCCGCCAATTTGCCCTTACAATCACGAGTCAGTATCCAGTATGTCACAGCGTAGATGTGGAAATGTTACCCTTTGGGGTTGGGATAGGCAGCGTCTCGAAGCCATTTGTGCATATTCCATAATCTGTGTGACAGACGCCAGAAAAGTCCCTAAATTAGAGTTTTGTTAGGTGTTGAAGCTAGAAACGTTGAGATGAGCATACAATCGAACAAGCACTTCACCAGGCCCAGGCTTGGGTATTGGCAATTCAACGACTTCTGTTTTAATGCTCGGAGGGTCGGAGTAGATGACGGCTTTGTTGACGCCCTCGATGGCCATGTTATTGAAAATATTCTTTCTGTTTCTTGATCTCTTTCGCCCTCTCGCTTTATTTCCAATTCTTTCTTTTATTTTTGCTATAATCGGAAGTGTCGGTAGTCAATAGCCTGCATTAGTTGGGATTGATTTTGTGATTTTATTGGATTTAAAGCAGTCGAAATAAAGCAGGTTCTTAAATCAACGATTTATCAAGGAGTGTTTTGAGTTATTGGTTGGCTGAAATGTAAGTAATTCATCAGTAAATATTAGTCAGTCTGTTCCATGCCGCAACAGTATATCCACTTTGGCCAATTATGTGTGGCAGGGTTGTTACTGAGTCAGTATTGCCCGACTCAGATCCAATGCTTGACAAGTCTGTGTATCGGATGCTTGAATTATGTTTCGACCCATAATTTAAGGGTCAATCATTTCACGAGACCGTACGCATCTCAATGGCAACTTGATTCTTCATGTTAATAACATTTTGCATGTAGATCGTGCCTCGATCCGTAATGCTTGGCTCGACTGCAAAACACGAAAAACAATTCTGCAAAAAGCGGCATCAATTCAATGAGCTGACTTCTCTGTGTCCAGTAGGTAAAAAGGCCATTATGGCCTTTGCGGATGCCCTTCTTGAACTAAAGAACAACTTCATTTGCTGTGACCGAGACTAAACCTCTAAAACTCTAGGCCTGCATGGACCCCCATGGGGAAAGTGGAGGCCAAGACAATCACGCGGGGAAAGGCCCACTGACTCGACTATGTCGAGTCAGAATATCTTATTCCTGGTCAAAGAACAAATGGTTGAAATTGTATCCACCAAAGTATTGCATAGAGTAACCTGAGTCAGTGGCAGGTCGATCAAAAAATTGAGTTCTATGTCCTGTATAGTATAGAGAAACGTATGGAAATCATTTATATACAAAACCACACCACGCAGACACTTATGACTGATGTACAATGCTATCTACTCCAATCAAACATGGACTCCATGGATATCGACACTAAATTTCTAGAAGGCGGTACCGCCCAACTTGCGGCGGTAGCAATTGGAATCCTCCTGCACTTGTTTGTTTTCCGCATTGGTGAATGGGATCTTGCAACCACAAGCCTGATCGTCTCCTTCTTCGGCCTCCAATTGATCCCTGCTGCAGCACTATCGTACCTCGTCTCGGACCATGTCTCATTTACTGAGTCTCAAATTATTATTTCGCGCCTTGCGTTCCTCGCACTAGGTGGCATCTTTTCCTCCATGCTTGTCTATCGCGCGTTCTTCCATCGACTTTCCAAGTTCCCAGGTCCCTTCTTGGCTCGTCTATCCAACTTCTACGTAACTTCGCTCTCAGCCAAAGATTTGCACCTGTACGAAGAGGTTCAGGACCTGCACAGAAAGTATGGCGATATCGTGCGTCTAGGTGAGCATCCTTGTGTGGAGAGTCCATTGAATTGCAGACGGTTCTAATCTGGTTTCCTTTAGGCCCTTCCGAGTTATCCATCACCAACAAGCATGCTCTCGCCGCAATCCACGGGGCTCAATCACCCTGCACCAAGGGACCTTGGTACAATGTTCTGCACCCTCTGGTTTCGCTACAAATGATTCGCAACAAGCCGGATCATATTAAGCGCCGACGCGTTTGGGATCGTGGGTTCAGTGCAAACGGTACCACAGCCCACTGAATCTATATCTGGACTTTTGCTAATAAATTTGGTTAGCTCTGCGTCAATACGAGCCCAGAGTTCAAAACTACACAAACCAGCTGATGGAGCAACTCTCAAAGCGGGAGAATACGCCCGTAAATGTCACAGACTGGTTCAACTTTTATAGTTTCGATGTCATGGGAGACCTGGCTTGGGGAAAGTCCTTCAATATGCTCCGAGACGGAATCAAGCACTACTTCATGAAATCTCTTCATGCTGACATGACCAATGTTGGCCTTTTCAGTCATTTGATTTGGCTTTTTCCAATCTTTAAAGCGACGCCTATCCTCAATAAAGAAAACAAAAAGTTTTGGGCCTGGGTTAGTCAGCAGGTCAACGATCGTAAAATGGTGAGTGTGTACCAAAACGGCAATTTGAATCTCAACTAACTCCCTGTAGATGAAGCCAAGCCAACAAGATGTTTTTTCGTCCATCTTAGAACATCATGAGAGCCAAGGAAACCCCAGCCATCAGGATGAATTAAATCTCGTCGGAGATGCCTATCTTATTGCTGTTGCAGGAAGGTTAGTCTACCCTCGGCAATGTCCTTGGAAAAGAAGCTGACCAAAGTCCAGCGATACGACAGCAGCAGCACTGACCTGCATGTTTTTTGAGCTCTCACAGAACCAAGAAGCTTTGCAAGCACTCCAGAAAGAAGTCGATGATCTTTATAATTCTACAGAGAACGTCGATGCAGTGGCTTTACAAAAGTTACAATTTATGGACGGTGTCATCAATGAATCACTCCGCTTGCACCCCCCAGTCCCTTCAGGTGTGCAGAGAATGACACCTCCAGAGGGTCTACGGATCGACCAAACCTTTATCCCAGGGAATACCATTATCCAGATTCCCTCATACACAATGTATAGAGGTAAGAAATTCGCAACATTCAAAACTCAATCCATGGTAACAATTACAACAGATGAACGTTTCTTTTCTCGGCCAAACGAGTTCATTCCTACTAGGTGGACTACTGAAAAGGAGTTGAATGTAGATGATTCTATTTTCAACCCTTTCTCCTCAGGTAAGGCTTTATTCTATCTTCTCATCGAAGCATTGCTGATGACGAATCAAGGCCGTTACTCTTGCATCGGCAAGCAATTAGGCTTAATGGAACTGAGAGCCGTCGCATCACGAATTGTTCGCAAATACAATGTCAGTCTTGCGCCGGGCCAAGACCCCCAGGCGTTTCTAGACGGAAAAAGAGACACGTTCACGTTAGCATTAGGCTCTCTTGAGCTCGTCTTTACACCGAGATCACAAAAAGCGTGAATGCGTTGTTAGACTGACGCCGTCAGTACACACCGCGCATTACCTGTTCGGATATATTAGATAGCTCCATAGCACCTCTCTATTATAGTTCGTTGAGATCAACGCAAAAGTTTCTGGCATGCTTTCAACTAGTGAGCAGGCGTCAGGTGCCTGACTTCCTACCTGATAACATGAATGTTCTTACAAGAGTGAGCCCGGCTTGGATTTCATGCATGGAGTCTGATGACCTGGGAAAGTGAACTTGATGGAAGAGGCAGTAGACTGCCGATGCTTTGTTGTACGCAGGATAAATTGTCTTTGGCGAGCACTAGTATATTATGTCAAGAAGTAGAATTACGCAAAGAAATCATCGAAGTCCTCCAATATCCAGCACTGTTTTCAGCTAGAACTCTTCTCCCCTTTCTTGTTTGCCTGTCTACCTATCCATCCGCTCAAATACTAGTGGACTTGACGAATATCTCCAACCTGGCGAGGCCACCACAAGTCTCATCTGCGTTTCCGGTGCATGCCTTGTTGCAGCCAGCAGATCCATCAGACGCCAAATCTCCGGGAGGATTGATTATGTCATCGCACCAACACTCTTCGCCGTTCTCGACACCAGCGTATGAGTATCCACCGCGATTACAAGTGTCAATGCAGTTCTGGTGCGTGACATTTCCTCTACCGTAGGAAACCGACAATAGATTGCGCAAGACTCGTGGATCCTCCTCTCCATAGCAACCGAGTCCAAGCCATGGAGCAGTAGGTACAATGTTCTTGTATAGGAAAACACGTGCACCAGCACCGCACAGTTCAGAACTGTCGCCTGTGCACGCCTTGTTACAGTCGGAAGTGGCGGCGGGTATATTGGTCGCGGACGACTGGATCTCGTTACCGCACCAGCATTCGCGCCCATCTTCGACGCCAGCGTATAGGTAACCGTCCTTTTTACACGTTGTCTGACAACCAGCAATGGTGATGCTGGTGTCGCTGAAATCGCGCAGATCCCGCAGGGTGCGGTTGACTGTCGGATAGAGGTCATTGTAGCAGCCGAGGGTCTGCCAGGTGGCCTCGGTGGCTGCGACGTACTTGTAAAGGTACACACGCGCGCCGGCGCCGCAGAATTCAGAACTATCACCAGTACAGGGAGTACGACAGTCTGTCTCGGCTACAACCACATTGGTCGTGGACGACTGGATCTCGTTGCCGCACCAGCATTCGCGTCCATTCTCGACGCCTGAGTACAGGTAATTGTCTTGTTTACACATTGCTTGGCAGCTAGCAATGGTAAGACTGGTATCACTAGTGGCAAGGAGGTTTTTGAGTGTACGGTCGTTGGCTGGGTACAGGTCTTTGTAGCAGCCAAGGGCTTGCCAAGTCGGAATGGCAGTGGCTGTGGTCGACGTACTGGTAGTGCTGGTTGCCTTGGTAGTAGTGCTTGTAGCAAGACTGGTGGTTGTGGTGGTGGCCGTGTCTGTAGGAGTGGAAGGAGCAGGGAGAGTATCTTTGACCTCGGCTTCATAGATGTTCATGACACTAGTACCGCCGCACGTCTCTGATGTTTGACCACCGCAAGGGATGTTGCAATCATCTTGGTCAGACGCCCACTCATTGCTAACATAACTGCCACACCAGCATTCAGTACCAGCTTTGACTCCAGCGAAAAGAAAATCATCGCCGAAGCATGCTGTCTGACACTTTTCTACTGTGAGCTGGCTGCCACCCTCTTTTGCGCTCAGAGTGCTCAGGGTGTGTGGGTCATCATCAACGTAGCAACCGAGAGACTCCCACCCGAGCAGTGACGGCTTTGCGGTGGCGGAGGCCGTGCTAGTCGTTGTGGTGGTGGAAGTAGTAGAAGTAGTCTGCGTTTGCTCGCTCTTGACCTGCACACAGTACGACAGTCTCTTCCAGTTTCCACAATCCAAGGTGATGGATGGGTTCCAGCGAGTAAAGTCTTCAGGACTGATGGCGTACAGCAAATCGCGGACGTCGGTGCAAGTCAGACCCTCAAAGTTATCGTACCACCAGGTGCACGTGGAAATGGTATTCAAATCGTACGGCATCCCCGGCTCGACATCTCGAGTGTTGAGAAACTTCAGCCTCTGAGCCAGGGACGCAGACGCCAGGCGAGGCAGCGCCGCAAGTGCAGCCAGCGCTGCTTGATTGATTTTCATGGTGAGTTCATGCAAAAAGCAAACGAATGAATGGATGAGGTTGCGATGTGAACGAGAGACGTGAATGAGGATGGAAGGGGAGCTTTAGAAAGAGGGACGGAGGAGCAGACACCTGTACAGCATAATCAAGCAAGGCACACAGTCATCACCCGCCGACGGGAACCGCACACGTCCGCCAATGTCCGAAACATCACATCATGATGCCCCGAAGAATGGATTTTTAGACCCTTGATGCATGGCAAGGCGACAATATTGGCGTGCGGCTCTATACCTTGAGAGTCCCTCTTTCGCCAAGACCGATAGTCTTCACGATCCTTATATTTTAGCTTCTATTGACACTGGTAATTGTGGGGATGAATACGCATTTATCCCTCATTTTCACCCTTTCGGGTAGTATATCCGGCTGTGCCTGAACATTTTCTCTTGGCATCAGGAGTAAAATAGTTAGATTCTGATGTGGACTCTTCTGGCCTTCCATTTTGACTGCTTCGTGATGGGTCTTGGCGTTATGGTAATATGGATACCTACAGGCCTCACGAGCCCGCCGTTTAGGTTGAAAAGCTTCGCCGCAACGGCACGTGTATAGGTACCAGGTAGCTGTATACTTCGTTCGTAGCCGCAAACACGTTCGGTCAAATTTGAAATGAGCCAAGAAATCAACTATGAACGGCGCGTGATGGATTGAGCTGCATGGGTAGGAGGAAGGTTATGGCCATGATCCTGATCAAATTGAGTCAGTCACGCCCGGGGATGCATGCCTTTGTAGTACTGCTTTCTACACATGTAGCGGTCTGTTTCCGTTTTTTTGACCATCAGATATTGTCAGAAAATAATCTTGAACCCTTTGATATCCGAAACTGTGTTTGCGTTCGTTCTTTACTTCAGAATTTGCACTCGTTTACTTTCATTCTTCCTATCAGCTTTGCTCAAATTCTTTATCATTGTGGTTTCTCTCAATATAGTAGAAATCGCACAAGATGCAGCTCTCTTTCTTGTTCTCGGTCCTCTACTTCGCTGCAGGCGTTGTCTCCCAAGAGAATCGGAATTTGCGAATCGCTTACGAGATGATGTGGTTGTGGAACAACTATCAGCTTGATCTGACCAAGCCTGAAGCTGACCGCACCATCGGATATCGTTGCGTGAACTGGCTTGCGGCCACGAGCGAATGTGACTCGGGCGTGTACCAAGCTTGCACAGGCTCCATTACTGAAGCAGGCAAAGAAGGCACTTGTTCCTTGCGAGAGTTCTTGGCCCATATTTGCAACCAGCCTGCGTGGCGTACCCAGGTAGTGATACCCGGAAGGAATACCGCCGCAATTCAAAACAACCTGACTCCCGACATTGAATCGACTGTTGAAAATTTGTATTCTAGCAATCAGAGATACACTCGAAGACATTACAAGCCTCAGAACACGATTAAATATTGTAAGTGTAACTTCAGAGTCTCTCTCCTTCCATTGAATTCCGAACGATATTGTGGCAAGAAACAAAGTGAATAATCAAATCATCTCTCTCTACATGCAATTGTTCTCCAAAAATCTAATGAGGATCAGCGACGGGAAGCTATAACGGAATGATCGACACGATCGCAGACCACACACGCGAACGCTTGAACAACATGACACCGGAAGAACTGGATGCAAACTCTGTCTTTTTCGCTGTAAGTCCTATACACAGCGCATGAACCGTCAGGAATGACCGCTCAAATCAATACAGAATCAAGCCGATTCCTTGGACGGAGCTAGGCAGAAACGCATCTTTGATCATAACAGAGTTGTTCTCCCCATCATTGAAGGCAAGCTGGCAGCATCCGGAATCACGCTGGCTTACAATGACTTTGGGAATGATATTGGTAATCAAGCACAAAAGGTGTTCAACATCGACAAGACCATTGCTGCCAGCCCCGATGTGGATCCTGAGGACGTGAGAAATGCGCTTCAGAAGGCACTTGACGAGGAATACGACCCAGACAGATACTACAACCCAGACGGCAGTCCAGGCACCAAAGCCGCCATTGATCACAAGAACGTCATTTCCAGCTTCACTCAGGCGCTCAATAAATCACAAGGTCTCTCCTGTACGTCTGAGTAACAGGCTCAGTTCGCAGGTTGAGGGCTTTCCAGCTTGTGCGATAGGCATTCTTCCAAATGTCTCCATAAAAGGGTGGAGAGGTGCTGCAGTGGCAAAGAATTTTGATTTTGGGTTGGCTTCTTGACAAACTTTAATCACGTAAACTTCAAGCTTGATGATTAGCAGAAAAGCTGTGATTTATTTTTTTTCTTATTCAGCATCTATTCAATTTGGATCGGCGGAAACACAACCGACGTAAGAGCTCTCAAATGGAAGATGATGTGACAACAAATCGTAATGGTCGCAAAAATGCTATAATTGCCGCGCGTGTCTAAATGTGGCTTGTACCAACTGCCTGGTCTCATTGCAAGCTTGTACGATTGCTCCATTGTCTCACTGACTTGTAGACCCTATCGGAGCTAGGATTTCTGAAGATTCGTGAATCTTGGCAGTATCGTAGTCAGTTCATCTGTCATTAGTCCTTACCTAGTAGTCATCCGGAAGCAACCGCCATAACGCAAGTGTATGTAGAAATTATTGGTGACCGCCAAGTGCCAAGAAAGCTTGTTGCCATGTCTGGCTTCGGGGCCGCACTATTGGGCTCGTGACCAATAGAGAGAATTTTCCGTCCGGAGTTTAGACTACGTATACAGCTCGTTCTAGGCTTCATGGACTGACTTGTAAGATGATATGACCTGTTGTCTTATCTATTATTTCTATTTTCGGCTACAATTACAGGATTCCGTGTGTTGCCACTCGGGAAATGACCGTTCTCTACCATCCTCTGACGCGCCATCGGACGGATCAACGTAGTATTCACCCGTTTCCTCCAAAGTCTTGCGAAATTCACGATACTGGCCAATGTATGTTTCCGAGTTGACCTCGGCCTTGTTTGGGTCGCCAGGAGCGATTACTCTGGTGAAGAACGGTAGCGGATCGCATCGATAATAGCAATCCACCATGAATGGCTCGGTCCAATCTTGCCACCAGTTGGGGTCTGTCCTGGGTGTGTCTCTCATGTTGATAATAGTCAGAGATCTCAATCCCGTGGTTGCGAGTGCCTGTATATCCTCAATTTCATAGTCCATGAACGCGTTGTAATCGGTGCATTCGATGGCCAGCTGACGTATAGAGTCCCATTGGGTGCAAATTGACAACAATTTGCCCTGCGAGATCCGGATGGTATCGAGTTCGAAATACACCCATAGATAACGCGGCTCGGAACCTTCTCGGAAGGCTTGTACGTAGCTGGCCTGCAGGTACAAGCGAGACTCCCTGCAAGCGTGTAGAACTGATGGAGGCTTTGCCGAGGAGGAATAGTATTTGACAACATTGGGGCCATAAACGGGATGCACGGTGACCTCCCGGGCCTGTAGGCTCATGTCCCATATGCGGTGGCGCAGCTCGACAGGCAACCGCGGAAAAGGATGAAAAGTAGCCATGGCTCGTTGGATGAACCAGTTTGCCGGGTATGATCCGAAAAGGGAAAGGGTGTTGAATCAAAGTGCCCCGTAAAGTTCGTATGCTTGGATTAATTGATTGAAATGAAGTTAGAATAGACCCGACTGGCCACAGGGTCCTGGACTACTATTTAAGCACTGCTGCGGCGCAGCTCTGTGATGATGGAGACCCTTTGACCCCGTTATTCAAGGTTACTAAAATAAGCTTATCACTCGACGTGTGGAACCGACTAACTATCTTGTTTCTGGTAACTCGGCCGTTGAATATGATCTGACGGGAGCGGGGCCCGAGAATTGAGTTTTTCCAACGGGCCCCGGCCAGTGAATAACAATGTTAGTCAAGATATATGCAACTATCAGAATACTCTTCTTTCGGCCGGCATATCCTTGGAGCCACGACTGTGCCAGAGCCATAGGCACACAAATGGTCTATTATAACTACCTAAAGTATGAACTCGAACAATCCGATTCCAGTCTCTTCACTCGTCCCAATCGACTTTGGATGAAGTTTTCCAGTTTGACTCTCGTTTACTACTAGCCCTAGCATTCATCGAAGTGCGGGCGCCACTCCTTCACCATGTTTTTACCTTTGTTTTCTGCCTGCTTGCTTGCCCTCCCTCTTTTGGCAAGCGGCAGTAGTAGTTTCTTATCAAATTCAACCTCCCTGTCTCCCGATTCAAGCAAGTTGATGTGCCGTCTCTCACCCAGCATGTGTTTGCTAACCAATTTGCTCCGGGTCCAGTTGACATATCCGCATTCATTGATGACTTCTTGGAACAGTGGAAGATTGATAATCCTGATCTTGAGTCCGATCAACTCGCCCAGGTCATTGACACAGCCAATACCGTGAAGGAGGCTGTGCTGAATCCTACGCAAAACAAGAAACGGACGTCAAAGCACCAGTCGCGTGCCCCTTACAAGCCGTCCCATCCCCACTTCCGTCGTCAACTCGCCAATTCCACCGCCATCAGCAATTCAACACTCGAAGAGGCCAGGGCTCTGGTTCTCGAGGCCCAAAAGGAGGCCAACATTCGGAACCGAGAGCGATTTCAGAACCCCCGACTCAACAACTACTATGACTCCTTCTCTACCGAGGCAGCCAGAGTGAGGCGTAGAGCCGATGCAGAGGCTTTCGCAGTCAATTCGACTGTGGCCGCTGCCGCCGCCATGGTCGCTGAAGCGGATGCCGCAACTATGAAGCCCGTGGAGTACAAATCCATACCGGCATACATGCTTGAACTCAGTCCATCACATGGTACCGAATCAAGTGAAAGCACTGGCTTGTCCAAGCGTGCTGATAGCTTTTGGATGGAGGACATTGACCACGTAGGCAAGGTGCCATTTGGAGGGTCAGAAAATGATGACTACGTGGTCTTTCGCAATGTCAAGGAGTACGGCGCTGTTGTAAGTAAACGGCCTCCATGCAAACTCAGAGAATCGACTGACACTACTTATCAAGGGCGACGGTTTGACAGACGATACAGAGGCCATTAATAATGCCATGAAAGAAGGTAATCGATGTGGAGAGAATTGTGGCGGATCTACCGTCAAGCCGGTCATTCTTTACTTCCCCTCAGGAACATACCTTGTCAGCTCTCCCATTATTGCATACTACAACACGCAGATGATTGGCAATGTGAGTGAACTCCTATCCCAAACCCATCAGATGACTATCGATTACTTACTCCACTGCGAAGGCAAATTCACTGCCCATTATCAAAGCGGCCAAGTCCTTTGTTGGTCTCGGTGTTGTCTCATCAGATGTTTATACCGGCAAAAATGGTATGTAGTCATTTTGGATTTTCCCGTCTATGTATTCGATGTGTGGTTGATTATCCCAAAGTGCTCAATTAACCTTGGGATATGAACCTGCACTGTGGGATCTGCTTCCCTTGCATTTAGAAGGATATTTACTAATTTAGTGCAAAGATGGCAAGGACCAGTGGTACATTAACCAAGTAAGTACAATGTTGTTGCGTTGGGGTACAGTTCAGTAATCTAACATCTTTTTAGAACAATTTCCTGAGACAGTTGCGTAACTTTGTAATTGATGTCACCGAAGCCGATCTGACCGACTGTGCGGGAGTTCACTGGCAAGTTGCACAAGCCACCAGCATCCAAAACGTCAAATTTTACCAGTCGGATTCCGCCGATAAGGAACATGTTGGTGTCTGTAAGTATTACCAGGTTTTCATCTGCTCTTCTTCTGTAGTCTATGTACTAACACGGAACTTAGTCGCTGAGAATGGCAGTGGTGGTTTTATGTCGGATCTGCAATTTTTCGACGGCGCTGTTGGTATTCAGTGTAAGCTTCTTGCAACAAACGTCGTTTTCTTCCTTGCTTATTCCATCTAGGTGGCAATCAGCAATTTACGACGCGAAACATGGCCTTTGTCGGATGCCGTACCGCCATTGACTTGCTATGGGATTGGGGTTGGACTTGGAAGTCTCTCCTCATCAGCGCCACAGAGTACGCCGTCAAGATGAGCGGTGATTACCGGGGTGGCTCAATAATGTTTGTCGATTCAACAATCATTAACACCCCCACGGGAATCTACGTTACGACGCCCAAGGGTGGCACTGCGTCAGAGCAGTTCTCCATAACCCTTGACAACATTGAATATTCCTCTGTTGGTACCATGGTAAACCACGAGACTGCCGGAGTATCTTTGGCAGGCGGCAGTGGAAGCATCGAGTCTTGGATTCTTGGCAAGGTCTATGATCAAAACACCCCCAATGGCAAGTATCAAAGCGGAGGCTCGCTTTCTGCTTTGCATCCACAAACAGAAGAATTGAGAGGTTCTACCGGATTTTTCGAGAGAGAAAAGCCTCAATACGCCGATCTTGACGCGAACACATTCATGTCTGCCGGTCTGGCCGCAAAAGGCAAGTCGATCTCAATTGATGGCAATGACGAGCTATCACTAACTCTGGACGTTTGAATCTAGGCGATGGCGTTACCGATGATACCTTTGCTCTTGCGATCTTGTTCCTCCTCGCAACAAGGCTCGGGCGACCCGTGTATATTCCATTCGGGTCTTATATCGTGACGCAAACAGTCAAGGTTTGTAGTTTGCCATGTCTTCATTCATACGTGTCAGAGTTGGTTGTGAAGCTGATCAATCGTAACAGATACCGACTGGGGCCAGGGTTGTCGGTGAATGCTGGGCACAGATCGTGGCCAGGGGTGCCTTCTTCTCAGATATTGATAACCCACAGGTCATGATCCAGGTCGGCGAATGGGGCGATGCAGGTGTGATTGAAATCCAAGACTTGATGCTCACCACCCAAGGGCCGACAGCTGGTCTTGTTCTCATGGAATGGAATGTTGCTCAGAGCAAACAGGGTTCCGCCGCCATGTGGGGTTAGTAAACCGTGGGAGACGTTCTTGCCCTACGCCTCTGGCTAACAATGTTTGCAGATACTCACTTTCGAATTGGTGGCGCCAAGGGCTCCCAACTGCAGGTTGCCAATTGCCCCAAGCTGACGGGATCCGTCAACCCGAACTGCATTGCTGGCGCCATGATGCTCCATATGACTCAAGTGTCATCTGGATATCTCGAAAATATCTGGGCTTGGGTTGCAGATCACGACTTCGACAGTGGACCTGATCAGACTCAGATCGATATTTACGTCGCACGTGGTAAGTTTGCAAGATGAGCCCGCTACTAATGGTCTTAATGAAGAACAAATAGAATCCAAAGCTAACGTATGGGAAGGAATGCTCATTGAGAGTACCGGTGGGCCTACATGGATGTATGCCACTGCTAGTGAACACGTTCGTAGCAATGCTCCTCGTGTTGTGATATTTACATGTTGCTGATACTTTCACAGTGCATTCTATACCAGTATCAATTATATGGAGCTGAAAACGTTTACATGGGCATGGTAAGTACCATATCTCTTCTCCTGTCCTGCATACCGACAAGTCTACAGTGGAAAAGGCTAATTCCTTCGTCACACAGATTCAAACAGAAAGCCCTTATTTTCTGCCTCAACCTCAGGCTCCAGCGCCTTTCAAGAATCAGCTTGCGAACTCACCGTTTCCAGGTGACCCGGACTTCAGTGAATGTACTTCCGACAACCCTCATTGCGCAGCAGCATGGGGGATTAGGATCATCGGGTCCACCAACGTGCAAATTCTCGGGGCTGGCCTCTACAACTGGTTCCAAGAATATACCCAGCCTTGCGTCGATTCTCAGGACTGTCAACAACGAGTCGCCAATGTTATCGGCAGCGGAAACGTTTGGATTTACAATCTATACACGATTGGAACGGTGGAAATGATCAATCTCAAGGATGCTAACCCAATCCTTTCCAAGGACAATACCAACACGAATGAACACCCGTTCACTTCCATAATCAATGCGTGGTTGGTTGCATCGAGTGGCGAGTACGTGTCAACGTTCCCCCAAATATCTTCAAGGACATCAACAGCTAACAATCACTTATAGGGGAGATTTGTCTGTTTACGATGGCACGAGTGACGACGATGACTATGAGGAAGTCGTGACTGACCCGAACAGAAGCCCCTGCAGTGCTCATTACACAAGTTTGGACCAGATTGAAGAAAACGCCAATCGCATCCCGGATTACTGCTACGACAACTACCTGGTCGACGTTGAGCTCAGCGTTTTGAACCAAGCACTGGCAGACTATGACGACATCGTTGCGGGTGATTATGATTCGAAATTCGATACCTATGAGCGCGTCACGAGGCAACAAGTGCCGGCCTCAATCGATGCTTACATGGCCGGTGCTCAGGCCTCGGGCAACTTCCGCTGCACAAAAAATGTGGCCGTCTTCTGCTGTTCCGACTGCACAGGGCCTTATGGCGGATGCTCCTCGTGCGACAATTCGGCAAGTTGTGTTGATGGCCAGAAGACGGTTGACGTCGACTGCCCTACAGTGATCAATGACCCATACGACATTTATTCCCCATCACCAGGGACGATTACTTACATTTTCACCAACGAAGACAAGTTCTATTCCGAGATTCTTGACAACTATGGCGTCCAGAGGGACTGGATCAAGCCTGGGGATCGCCTCGCCAAACTAGCCAACGGCTGTCAATACCAGGCAGACCCGATCGAATGCGGCAAGACGGCTAATACATGGTGGCACGGCTACCCTATCGTCGACGAAATCACTATTCCCGATCCAAAAGAAGTCATTAGCAAGTCCTACGACCGCTCTCGCGCGCTCGCCATTGGCATAGCCGACAGCCATCGGTTTGCAAAATACGGCATTGACTTGGCCGGCCAGTCAGACCTGACCGACTCGGTGTCGCTGCCCGCATTGATGATGTCATCAGCGGTCAGCAACATGCGAGACGTCGTCAAGGTGGCCGACGACGCGGCTGAGCAGGAACGAAAGGAAATTATTGCCAACTTCATTACAGGTATCTTCATGTTGATTCCAATGGCTGGCGAGTTGGCGGGGGCATTGGGCGGTGCCACGATGAAGGCCATTATCGGCATGGCTGGAGAGCTCGCTAACGTTGGATTGACAATCTACGAGATTATCGATAGTCCCGGAAGCGCTCTTACAACCATCTTGGGATTTGCCATGGGAGGTGGCTCTATCAAGCCTTTTAGAGACGCCGCAAAGGCGAGACGTGGCATGGTTCAGTCAGAGAAAGACAAGCTGAACCCAAGGACAAAAGTGGATCTTGATAGAATCGATGCAGCACGATCTGCATGCTTGCGGAAGTAGTTATCAAGTTGGCAAGGGACTGGCAGAGCATAGTGTTCACCGTCCATAAGACGGAGTACTGGTCGGCTCTTGGATAGGAACAGGTGTACCTATAGTGGTCAAATGCTGTATTCTGGGTATAAACCACTTGTAAGGGTATTTGGGGGCTCGTTTGATGATATCTTAGATATGCCACTGCTATTTCCTATGCTATGATAGCAAGATTTGTGAAATGTTGGCGTCAATTGTAGTTACAATGTACCACTTTAATTGAGTTTCAGAGTCAAAGTTTAGCTAGATGCCTCGATGTCGGACACATTATCCCGATTTCTCAATGTCCTGTGCCAAGGCCTCCTGTCTTCCAACGCTGGAGGGATCAAAATAAGGTCTTTCCCCCACGCTTACAGCCCGTTGTCCCGACCGGGATCCCAGTCCCTCATAGTCAAAAGTGGCCGTATGGAAAGTGCTCCGGTTGTCCCAGATGGCTATGATTAGCTGTTGGTAAGTTTACATGTGACAAGGCCAGGCTCTAGGCCCCATGTGCAGGAGAAGGGGTTTACATACCGACATCATTAGGATTCTGCCAGCGGTGCCTGACTTGCAGGTCGTGGTTATCGACAATCAGCCGTACGAACCACTGGAGTAGATGCTGGCTTTCGGCATCGGAAACATCGTTGATTCGCTGCATGTGGTGACCGACGGCAAAGATGCTCTTCCACCCCGTGACCGGGTTGGTGCGAACTACAGGGTGCACGGTAGTGAGGCTTGTTCCCACATTTTCGAGACTGCCACGAGGACCTGGGTGTATCGCAAAGTCGTTCTTGGCCGCGGTTTCCTTGAACAGAGGCTGGGTAGAAGTGGCAGTCAAGCCCTCCAAGAACTTTTGATACGGCTTAGAGATTCGATCGTAGACTTCGTATCCAGAGGCCCACAGGGTATCTGACGGATGAGATCAGCTGATGGCTCTTGCTTCCCACTTAAATATTAATTTCCTTACCACCTCCAGTGCGCGGCAGCTGGGTAAGTCGCAGAATCGCATAGTCGCTCGGGCACGGCTCAAAAGTAATGTCGCTGTGCCATCCTTCCTTGGCACTTTGCTTTGTCTTGTACAGCGTGCGACCGTACATCTTTCGCTGTTCATAGCTTATGGTGCTGATGTGGTCATCGTCCCCGCCCATCTTTCGACTCGCGTTGTTCACGGGGTGAATATGTAGGCCAGAGGTAGCGGGCTTGCCGCTCAGCTTGCCCATACGATCGACCAACTCCTTTTGTAGGTCGCTGGTAAGGTCATTTTGCCTTCGGAAAAAGACGACACCGCGTTGCGATACTTGAAGGGAAACCGTTAGCAATCATATTTGGATTATCACCCCAGGTTCGGACACACCAGTGATGGCCAGGTCCCGCAGGAGTTCATCGGAATTAGGCGCTTCTAGCCATTCCTTAAGGCTGGCATTGGGGAATTCTCGTCCAATTACTGGGGTAACATCAAAGGACTCAAAGTTATCCAAGACTCCTCTTAGCTGGAGCGGTGATCGCAGTGGCTTGGCAGAGTTTGCCTCCGGTGTGGTGGTGGTGGCATCGCCGATGGAACTCATGGTTTTCACGGACAGACAAAAAAGCGGTCGTACCTGCAGTAGCTTGCTTGGCAAAGATCTAGTCACGATTGGTCGGCAAATTCGGTGAATTATATATGATTGAGTGAAGAAAAAGGCTTGCTGCAAAACTTTACTACATTGCGCAGGACAGACACCGACCACTCCTCGGGCGAAGCCATGTGCCCAGATGACGAATTTCGATATTCAAATGACGAATTTTGGATATTTACACTCGGCGCGATGCGAAAATCGGCCTGTTCTGGTGCGGTGTTTTCCCGTTTATGTGCCTGGACACGGCGTAAACATCCGATGAAGCCCTGTTTGGGTGCGGCGTTTTCCCGTCCATGGGTTCTCCAGGAGAAAGGGAAAATTCGGTCTATTCCGTAACGGTATTTTCCGTCCATATGAACTTGACACGGAGTAAACACATGTCGGTTTTTCCAGCACGGTAATTGTATAAATCATCCGTAATTGCAGAGATGTACATACCTAGGTGCGAACTTCGTCACTTGAAATCTGAATAGAACTATGTAGTCTAGGTTCGATCTCATCCAAAAGACAACTCATCTTTACTCCTTGTAGCATGTTGGACCATGACGTCCAGCAGTCGTTCCAGTCAATCCCGTAGCCACACCAGCCGGATTCCTCTGCCACTCGACATATCTACAGTCGCTCAGCGGATTAAAGGCAAGCAACGCATTGAACTCTGCCTGTGATTCTGGAGTGGCCCGGGTTTTGCCTTCATTCTGCTTTGCAAGCTTGAGTGCCAACGGCTTGAACTCAACGACAGTGTTCACCTTCTTGCGCATGCCTGTTTCGGCGGCGATTTCATCAAAACGATGAATTTTCTGGTACAGCTCCCAATCACCGTCGAAGCTCTCAATAATGCGGTGCGCCATCAGACGCTTCCAAGTCCACGATGTACGAAAGTGACCCATAAAATCCCAAGGATTCGGCCGGCTAGATGATCCCGGCTGCATGAACAATTCAACCCCTTCGGACTCTGAGAGTACTTCCGAAGAAGTCCTGAGCTTCCGTAATGTCAATGGATATCCCGGGTTGCATATATTGCAATGATTGAAGTCGAAGAGGTCGCGGTTGAATGAGCTATGTTTATCGATCAAGGTTGCGTGACGATTCTGCATTGTTGACTTGAGAAGCGGTCTGAAGGTATCCAGCATTGTCTGCAGTCCCCAGACCTGAAAATGTCCCAGATACGAAACCTATATCGTGTCAGATTCTTTATGGTGATCAGTTTGCAATAAACGGTATGCTCACCATGATCCTGTCGAATTCAATCCCTGACAGATGCTCCGACAACTCAACCGGGTCACAATTGTGGACTTCAAAGTCAACTTTGAGTGATCGGAGCCGTACGATGAACTTCTCAAATAGGCCGCGAACATAAAAGAAAAGTTTGCCATATATGTCGTTGCGGGACACTCCTGCCTCGGTGGCAAGCACTTCATTCAAATCCCAGCTCTCCAACGGATTGGTGAAACTAGTTCCTACCAGCCTGAGCGTGCTACATGATTGTTAACTGAACGAGAAATCTTCGCGATGAATAGAATAGACTTACTTGTTCGTGTACCATGTCTTGTGCCGAAAGGCTCCAAAGGGTAGCACAATACGCTCATTGAAGTACTTGTAGAATGGCTCACGCCACGATGGAGGAATACGCATGAGAATAGTATCCCAATCATCCCTGCGAGCGCCTTGCGCCTCCCATGGTTTGGCTCGCTGTGACTTTAGGTCGGCAATGTCCTTTTTCATGTCATAGCCCTCATAACAAGGTCCCAGGGCGAGGCATTGCTTTTGTGACAGGTAAATCTTCAGTGTATGTCCTCCGAATCTTCGCTCGTCAACCTTTCTCTGCTCGAAAGAGGGCCCAGCCACATGAAGATCAGTCATTCCTTCTGCAGAAATGTCTGCCAAGTTTGAGAAGTCTCCAAGACGGTTCACGACAGACTTTATCATACGCCGTAGAGCCCCAGCATACGTTGATGGCCAGAACTCATTGTACCATAGGTTTACTGCCAGCTCAGCAGTGATGGTTGGATCTTTGGAGGATATGGCCATTAGTATGAGCATGTAGTTGCGTATCCCAAGACTGCTTAGGTCGTTGATTACGATGCGCAAAGGTGCCGAGAACGTCTCAGGTAGGTCTACAACTGTCTTTACCACGCTTGAAACGTCTCCAGAGACTGTCACATTGTCAGCACGTGTCATCATGTTGGAGGTGTTGAGTATATATACCAGGGAACAATAGATTGAGAGGCTGAGACCAGTCAGCGCCTTCGTTCTCGTCCAGGCGAAGTACATCAATGGCGGGCATTGCACGAGGGTGGCCAGGGGCATTGAACCCGGTGAACGGTGCCTCTCCCTGAGCGGGATTTGGGTTGACTTCGACCCAAGCTGGCAACCGGTTTTCCAGCTCAAACTGGGGGACCCATTGATCTTTGGATAGTTTGGACTTGCAGTCCAGCTTGTGTTTGCTCCAGTGAGCGGTTTGGCATGCCTTGTCGCAATACTGGATGCAGCTTTAGTATTTCAACAAGGCATTGGAGGGCTCAAGAGTACTAGAGTCACTCACCTGGACCAGATGACATCCTGCGCAGGATGAAAGGGTCTCGTTGGATTTGTAACAGTGGCTGCACACCGTTTTGGTGATTTGGATTCTGCTCGCCATGATAGACCAGGGCCAAGATGTACTGGTCCTTCAGGAACGAAATTCTCCGAGACTGAGAGGAAACAAGGGGATTCCGAGGGCAGACGGATGAGAATTGTACCAAGGCCTTCTCAGGGGAAATGAGAGGATGAGATCTGGAGGATATATGTGTATCAAGTTCTAAAGCGGGCGTTCAGAAAGACTTTTCACCGCCACCGTTTGCCTCAAACGACTTGACCTATCAGTTCGGTTTGTTACAGCGTGGGAACAACAAATCACCTCTAAGAACTAAGAATGATCCCAAGGGTGGAAGCACTCTGTCACAAGCCTTGGTGCAATGCTGTTTGATGATCTGCAGTCGAACAAATCAACAGGACGGCGCCATGGTAGAGCCAAGAAATCTGATGTGCCCCAAGCCGTGCTTGCACGCTTGCGTTTGAACAAACCCATGCCCGTTTGTAGGGAAGTTGCGGGCAGGACGGAACATCCGGTGCGCAGAAGGAGCAGATCTCGCCCGTGACTGCCTGGAATCCCAAGGGAGCTCGCATACTTGTAGTGGTCAATGTTTTTCATGTTTCAGAGACAAACGTCCGCTGGTTGTTAAAGGAAGTAAGTCACTGATTGATGTACCTTGACACTTGGGTTTGATTGATGTGAAATCGATGCGCTGCTCCTAGTTGCCCAACAAAGACTACAGGCGGTCAATGTGTATAGCACTTAAGCTGAATCACCCACGTTGACATGTGTGCAATTGGAAAGATGCAAACAGGTAATGGGGGCTGTTATGTCTCACCCATATCAAGACTGATTCATGGGAACAAATACCAGTCCTATATCATGCAGGCATGTTGCTGTGGGCAGCATGTATGAGATGTAGTTGGGTCCTTAGCAAGGCAATTCTGGCCGTGCTTGCAGACTGTAGAGCTGGCACTAAGGCGATACCCGTGGACATACCTAGTGTTTGTCGGGATTGGGAACCGCTAAGGCTAGGTACTACTCTGGTGTCTTGGCCCGTATTGCGGGAAACAATGTCCACTCTTTAGCGAGTGCCACTTGTATGTTTTGATTTCTGAACATCTTTCTCTTGGCTGCCAAATCCAAACGAATGCCTTGGGCAGTTTTGACATTCATTCAATTTGCCGATGGGTAGAAAATAAAGCACTCAACGCAAGGACAGTTTGGGGACGAGCTTGATCTTGACCTGTTGTGTTGCATTGGGTGCGTTGTACCCCCGCAATTAGCGCCCATAGGATTTCAATGCACTGTAAAAACCAAGCTAATCCAGCAAACATCAATTGCTCTAATTGCCTAATGGTGCGGTAAGAGGGGTTTTACTTCGCGGTAGGCACACCATGGCCCTGGAGAGCTGCTGTTCATTAATGTACCATCACTAATAGGCTACCCCCGGGTGCTGGCGGTTCAGAGTGCGCGCAACACGATGCAAGAACACGCTTTGCATTCAGACAATGTAAGCCTTTTGGATGGAGTGAGTGGGGGCTGCACAACATATGCCCCCTCACTGCAGAGCGGGTGGCCCAGCCCAGACCCATCAGTAACCAATGCCTCCTAGCCTCTGTTATCTTTGGAGCCAACGTCAGAGTCAGCCTCCAATGTGGCAAAGCGGCATCATTAAACGAGGACAGAATTGCTGCTATATGGAAGTTGACGACCCATTGAACGAAGTTGACGACTGTATAAGACAATAGCCATTGGAGTGCCACAGTATTCAATACTTGTCCTCGCGCACAACGTTGCAAAAAATGCCAAAAGTGTCAAACTCCACCATCCAGTTTCCATTACCTATCTTCACCCCGCATCTACCAGCAAAGCCATGACTCCCACTGCGCGCAGCCGCGGCCTCAAGTTTCCTGTTATCCTTTTGGGCAAAGAAAAGCTCGATTCCAAGGTTGTTAACTCCCCTTTGAGGAAAATACGGACAATGAAAACTAATCAACTTACAGACTATTCGCGCTTTCCTAAAGCAAACACAATATGAATTGGTCCTAGTAGGAAACAAAGATGTACCAGTCTTGTATAATGGAGAGACCGACGATGAGCCCCTAGACATGATCGAGTCGTTTGGGCAATTGGGGTGGCCCGACGATTTTATGAATGAAATAAACCAGAAGCCCGGAGTAAACGGAAAGGCCTTTGTCATACTGGATAGTACCTCGGGGCAGGATCAGTCAACCTGCCTCGTGGCGGCCAGCGTGGGTGATGACAACCCCACCATTGACCATGCAAAGTTCCGATGCCAATTTTCGTCGACACTCTCCGTTCTGGCGCAACTCGATCGCGGTGGTCCAGCTGATATTCCACACATCATACGGCGTTTGCGAACCGAAGCCGCAGAGGCAGGGGCCGTCTGGGAAATGGCCCTCGTAGACAGGATCAAGTCTCGAGAAGCTCAAATTGGCTTATCAAAATTCCCTCCTAGTAAAGACTGGAATACCCGGTGTCCTGAGGCGCTCCCACGCACCTCCCGGCCATATTTTCCAATCTTTCGGTCTGCTGAGATCAGTTTGCAGGTATGTACACTGCTTTTGCGCAAAAGCCTCGTTATCCAAAGTAGCTGTTAATTCAATTCCAGACGCTGAATGAGTTCCTCGAAAGTACTTATTGCAAAGAACATTGGGGTCATTCAAGCGATGAGCCCGATCCCCGTGCCTCCATCATCACAGCGGTCGAGCCACCATATTCAGACGGCCCCGCCGAGCCTCCTTTAAAGACAGTGCCATATCTGCCAAAACAGTTTTTAGGAACGCGGCCACACGAGTTTGACGCGATTGTACGCAGCGTGTTTTCTTGCCCATCAAACGAGAATCCTGAATTTAACTATAATCGCTACATCGTCATGGATGAGATGACCGAAAAGGACAAGACGGTGCTGATTATTGCCAACGACGAAACAGAGGGCTTGGTCGTCAGCCGATCCGACTTTAAAGGTGCATTGCTCATCCTCATCTCGTCAAAGGTTACATCGTGAACGCTCGAGAGTTGTATGGACGATGCATGCATCAACGGTGAAACCGCCGTCAGGTCCCCATACTAGATAATATCACAATCGTAGGTTCTGATGGAGATATCAATGGTATGTATCTTGTATACCAGGAAATCCTCTATGTGCTATAAGTTTACCCACTGCTGTTGGATCAAGTGCGCCATTGTGGCACGAAGTGGGTCTTCTGTTGAGAGCTGCAGCGCTACCGGTATGCTACTGGCTTCTAGTAGTAAACAGCGCAAAAGTCTACATGAAGTTACACTCAGCATTGCCACGTATTATAATATGATTGTTTGGAAATCCCTCCCACCATACTCTTGGAAAGAATCCTGGATACCGAGAGAAGTATGTCGATCAATACACCACCTGGGCTCTCGTAGTGATTTTCGTCGCAGGTTCTTCACCGAAGCCGATTCATCGCCATTTTGTGCTGGGAATCTGTGCATCCGTGTCCGGAGACATAGCACGACGGGCATATAGTGAACTTTCCCGAATTGCAGTCATGGCAACCTGTTGATGATGTCAGCATCAAGGCCGTTTGATTTTGAAGAGACCAATGACATACGCCATAGTATATTATCTTGTATCGCATCATTGCAAATATCGCATTTCCGTTTTCTATGGAGTATCTTTGCTCGCTTTGAGGACGTCTTGGCTGTTGAGGTTGTGCCGGCCAAGTGAAGTTGCAGGGTATGTTCCTTTGCATTTTGGCACCGGATGCCACTACGATAACAACCGTGGCACAGAATAAAGTTGTCATTGTCGCAATTGCAACAATCTGAAGATGGACCAAATTTGATCAGCCATCATGCCTTGTTGGAAATGGCGTACAACGAAAAGACTCACGGTAATATCTTCCCTGTGTGATGGAACCCATGCAGTGACTGCAGCATACATCATCCGCCTTGTTGCGCCACGAACAATCCTCTACCAGGAACGGCGTCTTGGAACAGTCCAATGCACAAAGATAGGCAGTGAGATAATGTGTTTCGTTGCCACATGCTGCTCCCGCCAGATAACATGTTTCGCAGAGATCAAAGTCGGCGCATTCTCTACAATCTGGGAAACGTCAGCTCTTGTCCTCTCATTTTCTTCTTATCTTTAGCCATTGGCTTATTGTTGATTCATGAAGAGTACTTACGAAAACATGGACCTTGAGAAACCAGACCTCTGCATGCACTACATTGGAATAATGGGTACCGAGCTTCTTGCACCAGATTCTTTCTGAGTCCGGAACATCCAGACGACATGAAAGACTTTCCACACCATTTCTTATAGACCGGCAAGCTATGGCTGCCCTGGAAATCGGAGTTGTAAGCTATTTGTCTCAAAGTGAGCTCGTGGCTCGGGGCACAACGAGCTCCTGCAGAATAGCAGTCTCTGCAGACATCGTACTGGTGGTCATCACAGTTGCAGCAATCTGCGCTCTGCGTCAGTAGGATTCTTCGCGAGCATTGTACCGCAGAAACTGGACTTACGCCAATAAGTACCAGCTGTCAAAACTTGACTGCATTCAATGCACTCCACGACTCCTTCAAGGATGCGAGGGCACTTGAGATTGTGATCCTTATTGTACAAGCCGGCCATGGCCTCAGTCGTCCACCAAGCGCATTTGTCTGCAGCAAAGGCGACAAGTGCCTTCTCAGTGAGCTGCAACGCCAACATGCCCTCATCATACCTAACTGTGTCGGTAGGGGATACGGGCGACCAATTCGTGTGATCTTGAAGAACTGCGCCAGAGATGTCTGACTCAGGAATTACACCCTGCGCCCTAGCTTGAACTGCAATCTCCTTGGCTTGTTCAGCCATCCCGTCATCGACGACGTAAGGCACATATAGTGGATCCTCGACGACTTGTTGAATGGGAGAAGTTTCCTTTGGCGCATTTGTTGCGTTCATGGCGATATGTTCGATACCGCACCCGACGCCCATGCCGACAATACCAGCGACCATGGGTATCATGAAATCACGCTTCTGAAGTTTTTGTGGCTCAATTCCTCGCTTTGCAAGCTCCGCAATGATGAGAGCATTCTTTTTCGAGGCGACGTGCCTTCTTCGCAAGGCTACGATGCTGACGGCTAAAGAGCCGCCGAATGTGACGGGAGAAGCTCCTATCCCGGCCCCGATGGACCAGGAACTAGCAAACTTTTGTCGGAGTTTTACAACCTCCTGCTTGATAAGGCGTTCGTTCGGGTATGCCTGAAGATCAGAAATACGACGAGCATATTCATGCTCGTCGAACGTGAAGAAGTCTTCAACTGTCATTGTGTGAGAGTACTAGGTAGTTGAATTGATCATACTGATCGAAGTTGTGGCCAGCTGTAGAGCCAGACAGGGGATGCGGGCTTATTATATTCATCAAACATGCTGGACTTTCCAAGTACATATTGCGAATAGATCACAGCTCTTGAGATTGTCAAAGATACTACAACTTGATATTGAAGTGCATGGAAAGTCATGCCTAGACAAGCCAGAAATACCATCATTATCGTTTGAGTCCCTGCCAAAAAAGTTAGTCTCAACATGTGGCTGAGCCCGGTCGGATTGATTGTTACGTTCCAGGTGTCAGTGTTACAGTGCTGCATTGTGAACCATGGTCATATTGTGGGAAGCTTTTTGACCCTAAGGGATTGCTAAACAGTTCAATGATGGAATTGTTGCGCTATGAATCCGAGCCACACCACAGCTTCAGTCCGTTGCGCGACTAGAATGTTCTGTAAGTGATTTGCGCTTGATGGCCAAAGCGTAAATGCAATTTTTTGAACTGCTAAATCAGATGTCCACGACTTGCAACGTTGAGACCGTCTCATCACGTGAGTCAATGCCACATGCATTCACTTTCGGTAGCCCCAGAAACAGAGCTGTTTTCCATATTTGGAAGTGAAGGTAGAATGGCCAGACGCTAGAGAGCTTGAGCTGTCGGCAGCTTTGAAGTCAATTTATTTGTCTCTTTTCAATATCGAGTTGGCGCGGTCACTTTAAGAGACGCCAGCCTCGAGCTGTGCACCAGCGCCCACACCAAATAACCATTGACAAGAACATTGCAACTAAATATACTGCCCCCAGCCCCGAAGGTGTGGGACGAAGCTGGCCCAGATGAATTGGTTGTGACCCACTCATGTACTCATTGAGATAACCAGAAATCATGCTACGTTCTAATTTTGGCCCCCAATTCTATTGACATCATTACTGACACTACCAAGCTTCTAAGCTGCAACACTGCTCCTTGGACCCAAATAATGTATGCGCTTCATGCCCATCGTTGCCTGTAGGTTCAACGGAACGGCTATTCAAGTGCTCGACTTGCTCTTAGCCTGCTAGAACTCTTGTCCTTTGCTCATTTGTAGTGAACCCCAATCATGAGTAGTGCACGTCCTTGTTATGTGCTTGCATTAGCTGGGCGGAACTGCCTGGACCATGGACCTTGAACTTGCTGTTACCACGCTACCGTGACCTTATTCTGCTGTTCGGCACGTGCTTCCAGGATGGGCACCATATTAGACAGACGATCTGACGGATTACCCCAACAAAAGAGATGAACAAATGTTCCAATGTTGCACTCTTGGTGTTCAGCACTATCTCTCTCATGCCAAGCGCCATTACTATAATTAACCAGACGCATCCCCACGTTACTAGACAATGAATCGTTACAATAAACTGTTGATACTCTATTTACTAAATACATTGGGCTGTGGTCTTGTGCAATCGTCGAAGAAGTCTTTGCCGATCGGAGATTGCAAAGCTTCCTTGACACGTGCCAATATTGCATATTAATCAGACCCGAAGTGTCATGATTCAACTGCTCCATGTGCAAGGCAGAGATTATCTAATCATGACTGTCTCCAATTTTTCATGACATTATAGAACACATTACCTAAAAAAGAAATAATATAATGAATGGTAGAGAGCTGAGTAGATATCTAGAATAATAAGCTGGCGACTTTAAGGTCCTAAGCTCCCCTTCCTTGCCTTGAAGGGTGAGTCGCTTCGCGCTAGGGTACCACTCCACGGTTTAGCGGCGGTCTCTTAGCGACGAAGGCGCTGTACACAGGGACTGGTCTTTCTGCTCAGGCTTCTTTCTGGTAGTAAGGGATTTCGCTACCTTCACATATAATTCTTTTCATCGATCAGGCTTCCATAACATGACTTGACCAAAGATTCTTCAGGGTTTTGCGGTGACGAGGATGGACGATGCAGATGTGAAAGCACCATAATGCGATTGAAGTGAGGAATCCTTCTCGGGTAAAAGCTGGTCATCCGTTATGTTTCCAAGCCTGGCAGGCCATAGGTCAAATTACACACAAAATGGTTCACTTCACCAACCGCAAAAGTGCATAACTGTTGTTTGATCTGTCCCATTGGAGGCAACCATCGCGAGCAGTTGATTCTCAACGCTTTCTACTGTCCAAATCATTCCTTTTCAGCTGCTTGGCTCTATATTCTGTACATCCCGTAGCGAATGGTCAGAATCTAGTTTTCCCAGATCCCGTAGCCCCAAGGCCAAAAAAGCTACGGCCTGTACACTGAACGGGCGCGCGCCAACATGGAGCAGCCCGGCTTGTTCGATATAACCCCGGAAAAAGAGGCCAGCAAGGCCCAATTTCTCCGCCGACTGTATCGAAGCAAGAGGCCGATTTGAGCGGCAAGACCGCCATCGTGACGGGGGCCAATGGTGGTATCGGCATGGACTGCTCCCGCCAACTTCTAAAACTCGGTCTCGGCAAGCTCATTCTCGCTGTCCGCGACACAGCCAAGGGCGAAGATGCTCGTGGGTCGTTGACTCCCATGCTCAAGCCAGATCAAGCCATCGAGGTTTGGCAGCTGGACTATGCATCGTATGATAGTGTTGTGGCTTTTGCGCAGCGAGGCGAAGACCTCGATCCTCGCCTCGATATCGCTATTCTCAATGCCGGCGTCAACCGCAAAGACTTTCATGTCAACCCGATCACGGGCCACGAGGAGGATTTGCAGACGAATTATCTTTCAACAGTTCTCTTGGTACTTCTCCTGCTCCGCGGCTTCAAGAAAGCAAACACATCATCCCCTGGTCGCATCGTAATCGTATCTTCAGATCAAGCTGCTTGGGCCAGGTTCGAGCAAAGGCATCAAGAACCGATGCTTCCTGCGTTTGATGACGAGAATAACCCATGGAATCCGATCGACCATTATGCCACCACAAAGCTGTTGGGTCAATTGTTCGTGGCCGAATTGGCGAAACGGGTCCCTCCGTCCCTCGCCGTCATCAATTGCGCAAACCCGGGACTGTGTTACGGCTCACAAATTGGTAGCGAACTGGGGATCATGGCTGCGGTATTTATACGCCTGGTCGGCCATACAACAGATACGGGAGCGCGCACGATTGTCCATGCTGCCACCAAGCTCGGCGAAGGGTCGCATGGCCAATATGTCGAGGAAGCCAAACTGAGACCGTAAGTATTCCCATATTTGGAACTTGTTTAACTGTTTTCATTCATACCTCATTCCGCTACGGATCAATTATACGACTAATGCGTGTCCATTTGGCATTGTAGAATGGCACCGTTTGTATATTCCAGGGAGGCAGAACACATCACCCGACAGTTGTGGAAAGAGACTTTACAAGAACTTTCGTTCGCAGGGGTACAAGAGATTGTGGAAAGTCTTGAGCCAGTGCAAAGGCAAGCTTAAGTCAACCAGTACGGAAGCCAAGAATCACGGCCCGCCCCACAGGCACCACCGAGCTAGGTCCCAGCGTTGAAGGACTTTATCATGGTGGCAGGCAAAAGCTGTCGCTAGATTTAGTCATGCACGATAAGTAGGTACGAAGCGTGATTGCCCGAGTCAAAATAGTGGCACATATTTTATGGGCAGTGCCTAACATCTATCCAAACGCTTGAATCTATTCTCAAGTGAGTTACTAGATGCTAATCTGTACGCCCATAATAGCAATGTTTCGCTTGATGATATCTATCAAACACCATCCGCCATGAGTCTTCGAGTGACAGCTCGTGATCAAAGCCCGTCTTTCTCGTTTTAGTAAACGAGAAATGGTGGTCAAAATTGATCCAATCCGTGAATACTTCGATCGTGTCTTCCAGCGCAATCTCCTGAAGAGTGACGCCCTGTTCCTCTTTTAGTTGATTTACCGCCTCGGGATGATCATGGAGAAATTTGCTAGGAAGGACAAACGCCGGGTCCGACTTTTCAACGGGCGGTACCCCCTGAAGCCCGAACAGAGAGCAGATGACCCGCCACCGATCAGACATGCTCGCAGGCTCAGACGCATCCCCGATGTTGTAGACTTCGCTGTTCCCGGCAATCTCTGGATGCAAGCATAGATATATACTGAACTCGGCAAAAATATCCTGTCCGCCATCATTGAACAAGGTGTCGCAGTCTTCCGGAGCCGCGGGCCAGGGAATCTTTTCCGACTTTGCATCCGGGTGTCCTTGCTCATGTAGAAACTTGTACACTGAGAGAAAGTTCACACAAGCTCCCGCAAGATTATACGGGTTCTTGTGAGGGACGAACCCGACCTGGTCAGGCAATGTTAGTGAAAATATTGAGGCCAAGGCCAAGGCCGTGACGATCAACTTACAACTGGACCGCATCTGACCTCGGCGAATTTCCAGGATTTACCCTTTTGAAGCTTGTCTAGCTCTGCATGTAGCACATAGTAGAAGAGCTCATCATGCCAAGGTTGATGTACGTCACTCATCTCCTCTGTAAAGGGAGCCTGGAACGGCCTCTGCGGCAAATGAATACCATAGCCCTTCGTGATGTTAGGCAGAGCTCGATGCACAAATCCCAACGATATCTAGGGCTAACCTTGGTGCCAGCCGGTAGAATGGCATATGAAGATTCGGTGCCAGGCTTTCTGCTGCCGCGAAACCTCTTTGGAGCATGCCTAGATTGATGTGGGACTCTGTTGGAAAGTCGGGATGGGATAGATAGGCTATAGTAGTCAGTCTGGTCGTCCAAAGATGCTTTCCCTCGTTGAATACATACCGAAATAATAAATGTGAGTAACGGAGCCAATATCAGGGACGCGAAGTCGTAGTGTCTCCTTCATATGATCCATGGTTCCCAAGGTCAAGTCGATCCCGTCCACGATTGACAGGACTGGTTTGCCAGGACCACTGAGAGGCCAAAATGCATTCTCCTCGCTCAAAGGTCTATTGGAGAGTGCAGTGACCTTGTGAAACACTCCCCTTTCGGGATAGTTCTTGAGAATCTGGTTGACTACGGACCAGCCGAGAATGCCAGAGGCACCAAAGACCAAGGCGTGGTGAGGAGCCGACATCTGGTTCACGATGATTGTCCCGTCGCTGTTCAGATTGAAATATCAAAGAACAGAAACTTTCTTGTCAATGACCCCGCGCTCTCATGGGGTACATATATCTGCCAAGGTGGTAGCGTCACATAAGCTTGAGCCACCCTCAATGCAGGCGGATGTAACACAGCAGGCAATGGCCTCGAAGTAGTCGAGGGCGTTTGCGCAAAGACTTGCATGTATGGAGGCTGCCCGCTGCTTATAAAAGTCTTTCAAAAACGCATCCTCGAGGCACAATATGTGTTTCGACCCAGTTGATCCCAGAACATGCGCCCATGCCCATGTAACCACACTGAACTACCGGATCGAGTCTTGGAAGGTGTGGATACGTTATGATGACTTTATCAAAAAAAGGAAAAGAAAAAGAAAAATAATTATTACGCAAGTATGCGTTTCTCTAGTATAACCTCCCCTGAGTCAATGTCTGCCGCCAAGTCGCCATTGTACTTCATCATATCATGAACATAGGCTTGGCCAATGTACAGCCATGTCGGATTGTATAGTTCTGAGACGTTGTTTCCTGGTTTGTTCCATTCGGGAGCAGTTTTTCGCAGTATCACTGGAGTTCCCATACCGAGAACGAGGTGTAACTCGTCACCACTCTTCAGGCTTTTGGGGCCCAGACCGAGCCGCCCATCTGCGGTGATGAAAGGTCGCCTGCCAATACATGCTTGTTGATGAGCTTCGTGGTATTGACGGTATTGCTCATCATTTTCAGGTGAAGGCCTGCGCGAGAACTTTCCGGCTGTAAGTGTGAGGTAGATTAACTCTTCTAACGCCGCATTCCCAGCTGACGGCTCGGTCGTCTCAGTTCCTTCCCTTGTGCCTCTCGATGCCAGTAATCTTTGGGCCAGTTTCCAGTTTTGTATGGTTTCTTGGCGCCAACTGTTTCTCATGTTTGAGGCAACTAGTTCATCCCACTGTCCTGGTAAGCGTCCATCACTCGAGACGGCGATGCCAAAATTTGAGAGCACATGGATTTCCAAGAAATGATAAGTCGGGTCGAACAAGAACTCTCCGACTTGGGGAGAAGACTGAGCTGGTAAAGCAAGTACTGGAATGCGACCTGCACCGTGGAAGTGGTCGCCGTCATCGCCGGGTAGACCTGTCCAGAAAGGCCGAAATCCATGTCGAGTCTTGATATTATTCGTCATGAAAGCCGGGCACCAACTTGGGATATAGGCTTCCCTGTCGTCATTCGTCGCATCCGGCATGGTGGGCGACTTGGCTCTGGCGCTTTCCGCCAAAGCCACGACAGACAGGTTTCGAGAATGATATGTGTACTGATTTGCAAGATCTATAGATAGAAACGATTCCCGACGGCTGTAATCGGGTTGTAAAAGATCACGGGAGCTATCAGCAAGACCAATGAAGGCAAAGACTTTGTCCCGAGGGTCGGTGGCGTTGCGAGAACGATATCTGTACCAAAGGGAGACGAGATCAGGGGCATGAGAGTCGTGGGTAGTCGTCAGAGGTTTCTCAAATATTATGTCTGCAATACTCTGATCGCCCCTTTGGGTTGAGGCTCGCAATTCGTGATTGGCCTCCAAAGCCAAGAACTCATCAAGATAGACGTGGTTGATTGGAAAGAACGAACGAGACAGACAGCCTGTGACAAGTCGTTGAAGCTCTTCCCACCGGCAAGTGAATCTGCCGCAGGAAACAAGAATATCTCTTGCCAAGACAAGTTCTTGGACAACCCATACTCTAGTCCAGTATGGTCTCCGCAGTAGCTTGGCCGCAACGTACACAATGCCAAAATGAAAATATGGCATTGAGATCTCAGTATTGGAATCACTCAGCTTGAATGATTTAACGCGATCAATTGCATATTGAAGACCCCAAGGCTCATTTTCACCAAGCCACAGAACCACTCGGGTTGCTTCTGAGTATATGAGTGGCATCAGCAAAACTTGCGAGCTCCTTTCGTCGAGATCGAATTGATTAATACACAGTGCGTCGATCCATAATGTTCGCGGATTTGTCGTGTCCCGCAAATGCAAAAGTGCTTGTAGCAGGACCTGAGAAATGTAAAACGTGTGCTCGTTGATTTCGATGTGTTCATTCATGTCGGGTGGACCCCAAACATAGGATAGTGCTTCATATGGTGGGATGTTTTGGCCGCTCAGGTCTGCAACAGCAAGCTTGCATATAATGGGCTCACCTGATCCACCTGGAAGGATCTCGAGTAGCCTGATGCATGAATCGTTTGGACTTTTGCCCGACTGTAAGGACTTGTATATGATCGAATTTGATGCGGTAGCTTTCAGAAGCGATGATGTTACAGCCTCCTTGTAGGCGTCGACGAAAGGCACAAGAATTGCAGCGAGCCAGGTAGTGAATATAGGCAGTACAATTATAAATACAAGCCACAGACTCTCGTTCCCAGCGTCCGGGTTCTGTGTGTCCAGCAAGATCCCAACAACCAGGACATGGAGGATATCGAATATTGAGATGATCAAATTGGTAACGGATGAGACTATCCGGGCGACTAGCTCGGCAAGGAAATCAGCGGCCGCGGAATTAGCGGCGCCAACAACAGCTTGACATAGTTGATCATATAGCAAGTGTAATGGTTTAGGTGAAGCTCGCCATGTAGCGTTCAGGTGGCCTCGGCCGTGCTCGCAGGTATTTGAGAAGTGGCGTGAAATTCTGAGGATGATGTACACGACAGCTTTTGGCAGTGAATCCCAGCTTTCGGTGTCGTCAGGTTCGCCTAAAGCCTTTATAGCAATTTGTGACAATGACTTTGTAGCAATGTCTGCTGCCTTGAAAACACCGGGAACCACAAGAATTGCTATAAGGAAAACAGGCCAATAGACTAGGTAGAGTGCGAGAACGGTCCATAGTCCAACAATGATACGCAAGACCCAGCGTATACGGTCCACGGAGCGGGTCAAGAGAGACCCAAGTCGCCCATCCGCTGATAGCCTAGACGTGTGAAACAAACTTTGGAGAATTGATATAATTGATGAAAACAGCCCTATAACTGTTGTGAAACCGACGATGAGCGGCGATGACACGAGAAATGTGAGCGAGAAAAGGCCTATAAGAATCCACGTTGGCCACCAACGCTTGTCGCGTGCGACTTCTTCGGCCGCCATTGTCAGAGTATCGTGTCTGTCACTATCGACTCAACAAGAGCGTTTCTAGGTGGGAGAAACGAAAACGATGCAACGCATAAAGGATATGTGCAGGCGAGTCTGGATGTAATATGAGAGAAACAGGCTTGATGGACGAGAATAAGACGTGAGCACGCTATGAGTGAGTGGGCTTAAGGCTTCCGCAAGTGCAATAAGGGCATCGGCTAAGGCTGCATATGGAGAGGAAAGGTCAAAACATAGGTGAGAATTGTAGAAATACAGTAAATGGAAAGTCGAGAACTATTACGGCGAGCATGTACACATTTGGTAGGGTCCAAGACCCTCCAATGTATGGCCACTGTGCACAGCTTGTGTGTATTGACCAAGATGACAACAGGCAGAGAAAGAAAGGCACCTAACAAAAAGAATGAGGGGAGCTCGGTTCCAAGCTTGGCCATAAGCACAACTGCAGCTGTGGCCAGCTGCATGCCGCCAAGCAACTTTGGTGCCCATTGATAGTGCGGCTTCGGCGCCCAGTTAGTGGCAGAAGATGCAGCGGTCAATCAACAGTTACCCAACTTTTCGCTGATGGTCGACGGACATCTTGTGTTTCGACAAGACGAAGCGAGGAGAGTGTCACATCTAGTCCTGGAGCCAAAATATCCGTCCATCTCGATGCTATGCGAATCGTAGCGGCTTTGCTCGCGGTTGCGCCCCTCGTCTGCCCGGCCGAAGCCGACGGCCTACGTGGGGCACCAGCGCCGTGTTTCGAGGCCTGTCAGATGGTCCTGCACCCCATCTTGTTCAACGATACCGCTGGCTTATCGCCATCTCCCCCGACCAGACAATGCCAAAGCCACAAGGGTCTGGCATCGCTGTACCTCTGTGCGCAGGTTTTTTGCTCGGTGGATGAACGGACAGCAGGTCTCAATTTCCTGAATAGTACTTGCCACAAGAAGGTCAACGATTCAATTCCTTCATTCGACCTAATTGCCAACTACACTGACGACATTATTGCTCGCTTGCCCCGGTTTGAAAAACCAGATTATATCGACGGCACAACTTTCCAGGACGTTGCCGTCCCATCAGATGGCTTTTTCCGCCTAGCATATGATACATTGGTAAGATGACTTTCTCGGCCACATCCTTGGCATCAAACTAACAATTCTTTCAGGCATCTTGGTCATATGCGTATGGTTATCACTTTCGCTATGGGTATGTATCTGTGGGCCCCCCAAGCTCATCATTTTCATTGCCCACTGACTGTATGTAGAGCCGCAATGCTGGTTTTCTGGGGGTTGGTTGTCACCATTGGTCTACTCAACAGGATATTGCTCTATCTGATGCACAAGACGAAATCACAGACGAGAATCTCCGACTCCGCCCATTCCGGTGCCTCAGAGGACGGTGAGGCTCTTATACCTTCGAGGAACCCTCGACTAGGCCGTTTTGGCGGTTGGCTCAATGCTCATGTATTCCTACCCGCCACGTTTGGTTACCGCAAAGCTCAACCATTTGGCTGGTATACCGTGCCTCCCCGGATTCAAAGCTTGACCATTCTCTTGTTCATAATCATGAATTTTGTCTTCACTGTTCATGGGTATCATGTATTCCCAGAAAATCTTTAGTATGTGATGTGCTCTCCAAGCTCAACGCGTTACTGACCGAATGTCCCGTAAAGCTACCCAAGAGTGATTAGTCAGACGCTCAGGTATGTATCTGATCGAACTGGAATCATAGCCTTTGCAAATTTCCCCCTGATCTGGCTCTTTGGTATGCGGAATAATGTCATGTTATGGGTGACAGGTTGGGACTTTGCTACCTACAATAATTTCCATCGCTGGATAGCCAGAGTCTCAACAGCACAGGCGGTAATCCATTCAGTTGGCTACACCATCTTGGTCTTTTATGGTAAGTAAAACTCGTGCTACGAACGACTCGCTTGGACACTCTTCTAACATTATATAGAAAATGGGTGGGGACATTTTGTTGCGTATTGGCATGTGACTTGGTGGGTGACGGGAGAACTGGCAAGTTTCACCTCGGCGGACTGATCAATCCAAGAAGCTCTGCTAATATAGTTTTCCAAGGCCGCCATTCTCATGTGCGCATTGCTACCGCTGTCACTTTATTGGCTGAGACGACATATGTATGAGGGTTTCCTCATCATTCACATTGCCCTGTCAATCCTCGTGTTGGCGGCCATGTGGGGGTTCGTTCTTCCATCCTCCGCCTACTCTAAATATGCTCTAATCGCCATATAGCCACATCTATCCATTCAGCAGGGGCGTTCCATGGGACAGTATTGTTTGGGTATCATGCTCTATCTGGGCTGTTGATCGGATTGCCAGGATGACTAGAACCTTGTGTTTCAGCCGCAAAATATGGAACACACAGGCACAAGCAACTTATGAACGAGATGCCAATATTGTTCGGCTCAGTATCCCAACCTCTCAAAGTTGGTATCGACCACGTCCGGGCACATTCTATTACCTACATTTTCTCAACGGCGGGCGCTTCTGGGAAAGTCATCCGTTCACAATGTCATCAATTCGACATGGGAAAGCGACAGGGACGGGGTTGCTCTCCCGCACAAGTTTGGATACGGCTGAGGGAATGGGCTTACTCTCTGCAGATGTTGAGGTCGAGTCTTTAAAGAGTGAGACTACTCACCCGGATGCGCCCACGATGAACTTCATCATCCGACCTTATGATAGTTCGACGCGACGCCTAGCAGTGGCTGTAGAGAAGGAGTCCCCGTCCTCGTGCATGCTAAAGGTCCTGGTCGAAGGACCCTACGGTCACACACAGCCCTTCCACCAATACCACAGTATCCTATTCATCGTTGGAGGCAGTGGAATTGTCTCAGCGCTCGTCTATCTCCGGGAGCTGTGTAGAGACGCCGCCCAAATTAAGAATGTCCACATAGTATGGGCAGTTCGAGAAGCGGCCTTTGCCTCCTCTGTCCTGCGGGACGATATGGCCGACCTGCATGAGAGCGGGAAGCTAACACTAGATATCTACTTGACGGCACACGAGGCACATCACACTTTGGAGAGCTTGCCCGAGGGCGTCTCGAAGCACATGGGTAGGCCAGACATCATTGCAGAGGTGGGCAGTGCCATTCACCGATTCGGTCGCACTGGAAGTCTCGCGGTTGTGGCATGCGCCCCCGCTCGCATGGCAGACGATGCCAGAAAGGCAGTGGTGCACACGCTTGCAACACAAGCATCTCGTCAAACATCGAATATTTCGGTAGAATACTTTGAGGAGTCTTTTAATTGGTAACATAGACATTTATGTATAGAAATATTTTGGCAAGGATCTCGTTGTGGTAATGACTTTCTTGCATGAGCCACCTGAGTATGCAGTACAGTAGGGATTGGTGCGGCGGCGGCGGAATCATGGAGTGTGAGAGACCGTCAATGGTGCAAATGCAAAGATTTAATCGGCAGGCACAGCCTGCCGTGTTCGTACCGGATGGAGCTGTGATCTGCATGGCGATGCATTTTGGGACCCCAAAGCCTGACTGCTGGCTCGAGAAAACGGCACCCGAGGTAGCATCAAGAGGGTTACACATGGCTGTAAGCAATCAATTGCAGCCCCCGATTATTTAAAAAGACTACATACGGAAGTTAATGCAGAGCAGCGAGAGACAGTGTAGATTTCTCTTCACCTTCGTCTCAGCCTGATATCCACCTGGGATGATGTACCACTTGATGCTTCTCAACTCACTTCCCCACATCGAAACTGGTTCTCAATCATCCTCAAGCACTCCAGTCAATTGGTATTGACGTGCGAGAATGCAAACGCCTGGAACTATGGCTACTGATACCTCCGACGACACTCAAACGAGTCGAACTTATGGAACGGGCCAGGCCAGCAGCCTTGACGATGCGAATCACCGGTATTGCCCGCAGTCATCTCTTGCAGATGATGAGAGCGAGTATTGTTTTGATATCAATGAGGCAATCCTGTACCTCCTTTACGACGATCTATCAAGAAATACCGAGCGAGAAGTTGAGATGCAGACTGAGACTGCTTCAACTGACGAGTCTGATACTCTTATGCAGCCGCAGTCCGACTTGTTGGACACTCCCTCGTCGACGCGAATACCATCAATAAGTCGGAGCTCAATCACAACAGCTGGTGACGGTGAGGAATGTCCGGGACTAAATGATACCGAGGATATCAGGAAAACAGACGAGACGTCAATCGCAGGCTGGCAGCCTTCCCTCTTGAAAAAGTCAACGGCCAGCGCCTTTGCAATTTGTCTGGGCGCCATGCTAATCGCGCTCGAGACGTTGTTTGCTGTGTCACGGGCTCGTAATGGCCTTGCTGATGCTGATTCTCAATTTCGATACATCTGGGCCTACGGAACAACCGGTTTATTCGCTGTAGTGTCGGCATTCTGGGGTCGTCTGGACTACGAGGTCAGGGCGGCTGCACCGTGGTTTCGCATAAACTCTGGATCAGAAACAAAAAGAGCTCTTTCACTCGATTATGTCGATGCATGGTCCATCGCCGTGCCATTCCAGAGCCTGCGACGCAAGGATTACCTGGTGGCTTCGACCTCTTTCACCGCGCTGCTGCTCCGTGTTCTGACTTTGTTATCTACCGGTATCTTCAGCTCCAGGCCGATGTTTGTCAGTAACCGTCCTGAAAGTATCATCATCACTCGCCAATTCGTGGATGACTCAACACGCCTTGCAAATTTTACATCTCTCATCCCTTTTCTAGTAATGAAGGGGACCCATCCTATGGCCATCGATGATAGAGACTACATGGAAGAATGGCGTTCTCTTCTGTCAGCTCAGATCGACTACCCTGGAGGAGTATCGGGTCAATTTGTTTTTGACACATTTAAGTCACAAGACTCAGGGGCAGCTATACTACATGCAACTGTCGATGGTCTTACATTCGGCTTCGAATGTGAGAAAGCTACTTTGGAAAGAATCGGCGATCCATTTATCGAGGTAGAGCACAATGGCTGTCGGATGAACATGAGCGTATACAACATGGCGGCCTCTGATGCTGAGGGCACCAATTATATCTTCGCCCTGTCACCGGGGCAATTTTCTCGAGGTGATTGCAACTCAACGAGGTTGGATGCTAGACGCTTAGTCATTGTCTCAGCAGAAGTCAAATACGGAAAGACGAACGAAACATCGTCTTCCATGTATGATGAGAGCGCTAAGCCATACAACATCATTGGCACTCGCGCTTCTGCTCTTAGCTGTGCTCCGTATTATAACTTTACTTCCGTTGACGTGGTCAGAAGTCTTGGTACCGACAGTGTCGCCAATCATCCTGGATCCCCTTCGATCAAGCCACTGAATATACACCCATGGGACATTATTCAAGCTTGCTTGGACTCATATAGCCTGCTCCACTACATCCAAGTCTTTTGGCTCAAGTATGGAAACACTTTCGTGGCAGGTGATAGTGACTTCTTGTTCTATCCCGTTTTGGGATCATGTGGCGAAGCGTGCCATAACCTATCCGAAACAGTAGATGAAAGTCTTCTAAGCGACCTAATTACTCGCTGGTATCAGCCATTCGCTGCCCTCATCTTGGCACAAGCGATGACAGAGGAGACTAATAAATCAGCTACTGCTTGGTCTGCAAAGAATGTTGACCGCCTGATTGTGGAACCGTTTCCCTCACAGATGATGGCGGCAATGCTTCTTATTGCCATCACCATTCTTAAATACACAGAGTGTATACACAAGACGTTGCAATGTACAAGACTGAAGGTCTCGGCTGGGTCAATTCTTGCCACTGCAGTCTTAATCGGGAAACATCACTCAAATCCAAGAGCTAAACAATCAAACATGAGTACATCAAGAGACAATCCTGTTTCCAGATGGAGAGCTGGAATCGCACAAATAATTGCAGTAGCATCTGCAGTTCGAAAGGAGAGTCAGGATGACGGACAACACGATTCTAGGCAAGTGGGAACGCGCCTGCACGATCTCAAATTGCTGCAACCATTCGCCTTGAAGATCTTCATCCGAACTGTGACTTGTCTGTTGCTGTTAGGATCCGTCATAGCCTTGGAGGTGATGCTCTGGGAGTCTTATTGGAATCAAGGCTTGGGAGATGCCTGGGACTCAAGGTACCTTTCTCTGACATGGACTGCTGCCCCAGCTGCCATCTTGGCAGCATTGGGGATGATGTTATCATCAGTTGACAGTCAGACTCGCATATTATCGCCATACTTCAACCTCAAGCAAGGCGCAACGGTCAATCGAAGCTTGAAGCTAGATTTGCTGCACGGACTAGTCCCCACTGTCTTGTCGCGAGGGATGAACACTAAAAGCTACGTCGCTTTCCTAACGACCTCTGCTGCCCTGTTTGGGTCTGCGCTTACAACGGCATCGGCACCATTGTTTGATACCATCAACACGCCAGTCTCTGAGACACTATTGCTTCATTCGAACAGCTTGTTCACGTCAAATATGACTAATTTTTCTGATGCTTCTGAAGTTGCCTCCCTAATATTGGGAGGTAACATATCATATCCGTTTCCGACACACGGGGACCTTGTATTTCCAAACTTCACGATAGGTGTATTTTCAAATGAGAGCGTAACCTTTCAAGGCTTGAACAGCGCTTCGGTAGTTACAGCCGTGGTACCTGCCTTGCGACCAAGAATGTTTTGTCATACTTACGCGGAGAACCAAATCAATTCCGTGTTTCAGGAGGCGCTTGGGATGATCCAAATGGTAGGGCCTGGCATTGTAGTGAACATTTCTGCCGACGAGTCTCTCTCTGCCGACGAGTCTCTCCATCTGAGAATTATGCCTTCTCCCTATCCAAACAATGCCACCTTTGGAACTCGGGATCTAAGGTCTGGCTATTTCGGCGGTGCATTATTTCAGGCCGATAATCTGGGAGAAATCATTATGGCTGAAAGTCGTCATCAGTTTTTGTTCATCTATGGTCGGTTTGACGCCCCAAATGTAAATACCACAGCATTGGGATGCAACGCCACTATAGAGCTTGTGGACGCCAGGGTTTCCCTTAAAGGAGCTGATTTGCAACTAGACGAGACGAGCCCTCCACAAGTCATCGAGTCGTCTGCACGCAGTTCAATGCCTCTTCCCCTCGACTCTTCGGGCTGGGCCGGGGGCCTCTACGTGAATCTCGCCTCATTACCAGCACCACGAAATACCGTATTCGACACGTTCTTTCAACAACTGGTCACCTCCCGCTACGCAGTTCCGCTATCTTCTCTAGGCGACCCGGAACAAAAACAGCTGGTAGAGGATGCCATCGTATTCCAGCATTGCATCATTGCAGCACAGTGCATAGCCAGATACTACCGTGAGGAGCTCTCAGGCTTAGACACAAGTAACTTATCAGCCGAAGCAATGTCCCCTCCCCTTTTCAATTCATCCGCGTCGGATAGCCAGAATGGATACCCTGCAACAGTCAGAAATCCCGCCGCGAGGAGGCGTGTTGTGCAGGATCCGATTGCCACACGGGTCTTGGAAGCCCTGCTGCTATCCATACTTGTACTGTCCATCGCAGCCTGGTGGTTGAGTCCCCGCAAGCCATTGCTACCGCAGAGTCCCACCAGTATTGCAGCAGTGTTGGCGCTTCTCCAGGCAGGCGATGTCCTGGACCATCTATACCCTCCCGGGGCACCGGAGCCCGAGTCCCTGGAAGACGCAACAGCGCGGCTCGGCGAGGATTGCAGCTTTCGGTTGGGCTGGGGACCTTCGAATGATGGCCAACACGGGTTTGGACAACGTTATGGCATCTGGGTGGTGAAGAAGAGTTGATAGAAGTGTCTACCAGATGCTTTTATCCTCAAGCATTTGGCAGATGTGTTGGAGCGGTAGCGTTTCCTTAGGGCATTCATTGCCCTAAGATTCCGCTACGGATTAGGCGCAAACGTCCTGATACATAACATGAAAAGCGTAAACCCTGCAACCATTCCAGGTACATTTCTACCTACCTGCCTAGGTACGTGGGCAGTTGGAACTCGCGCACCATGTTTTATCAAGAATGGTAGCAAAAGATAGATATTTTAGAGATATCCCTTGTGTTATCTTGATCTCTTACTCCCTTTCGACCCTAAGCTTTGTTTTGCATCTTAATTCTTGGGAACTGATCACTACCGGGGTTAGAGCCGGTATTTATGCAACCGCTAATCTCCAGTGTCTGGCGCCTTCAAACAGGGAGGCCATGACCAGCTTCCGTACCTAGATAATTCCCCAAGCATTTTGCCTTCCGGATGCGTTGCGATTCTCGAACAATGTCATGCTGCGCTGCATTCGCTGTTAGACACATGTAGCTTGAAAGGCAGTATTCTCACAGGCCAGATCATGGAACGAATGCCAAAATCGCTGGTCATTCGTTGTATGAAACTTGAAGTACATAGACGCTACAAGTCACGCATATGAAATATGGCTAGCTTGTTGCACTTTGCGTATCGGCGAGGGTTCATAGTGAGGCGGCTGTGGAGTTGGATAGAAACAGATGTAATTCGGTCCTCTAGCTAGCTATATACTCTATGAGAGCTTCATGTCACTCGATTATAATCGATCTCATCTCAGCCTCCTTGACCCACAAAGGATCATCGGTACTGTATTTTGCACCTACGCCAACCTCAATCGGCCAGTCCAGTTCGTCTAGTGACTCGCCCGCAGAATCTGTGAATGCGATTTCTGGAATAATACTTTTTGGGGAGTATGGGCGAATCACATCGTACAGGAAGTGCCTGATGAAACCAACCCGTCGATAAACACCTTCGCTTTCTTCGAGAACCAGAACCGAGAGCTCTACAACCCGCGATGAATTGCTAATCCTTGTCCCTCGGTGTAGGACCAGCCCAACGACTGAGCTTGGAAGTTCGTCGACGTCCCACTTTACGACGGACAACATGTGAACATTCTCAGACACCTGGAGAGTCACGAACTGTCCGTCTCGTGGCCGAGGGATAATGGCCATTGAGCTCAATCCATCTTGGGAGAGGTTGAGCGTGGTGCTAAGCGACCTCTGTTTGCTATCAAACTCTCGTTGCACCATATGAAGGTTGACAATTGGTCCGGTGATGTGCAGATACCGCCAGTCCCTTCGTAGTAGCGTTTCAGTGCTTGGAATCTGGCCTTCCAATGGAAAGGAGATTGTCGGTTCGTGAAGGCTGCCAAGCGCGATCTTCATGTGCTGATAGTTCCAAGTCCCAAACCGCGAAGCTACGATGGGGCCATGCCAATCCAGGAAAGACCAAGTTGGGAACATGCCACGTCTCTTCTCGGGAGGCCCTTTGGGGTGATACCAATCAATCATGAAAAGTTCGCCACTTGCTGGGATAGCCCAGGGGCAGAAGATGGATGACTTCTCCAATTGCTGTATAATTCCGCGACACGCATTGAGTGCATCAGTATCGTATGATAGTGATCGTTCAGAATATCCCATCATTATTTTAATGGAATGCCGATAGGCTCCAAAGGTATCCGCCATCAGGCGATCAGTTACCGGAACAAGCCCTTCGGTTTCAAACCTCCAACTGTCTCGTGGTCTTGTATCCAGTCCCGGCCGTTCCCATGATTCCACCCAAAACGTCGTGTCGCAGAGGTAAGTAATTTGTGTATCGGAAAACATTACTCGCCGAGGGGAGAGCAAAGTCTCCTGAAGTGTCCATCCCCGGGTTGCCCAAGGAGACTTCCCAATTTCGTACGCAGGGTGTTCGTAACCTTCGATCAGTGTGATTTCTCCAATCTTTTCCACACTCTGGGGCCGACGGACACCATGGCCTACACCGGGCAACCCATAGCTAGAAAGATTATGCGAGGAAGCAATGATGGTAATAGCAGCTTGTGCGTATATGTCTCCCTTGCAAGCATTAGTGTCAGTAACTAGGGAGATCCAGTGACGCTGAGTTCGGGTTCCAAAGTGCACTATGTGTTGCTATCCACAAGCAAGGAAAATAACATAAACAGTATTCTGAGCGAAGTTGACCCCGAATAGAGGATGACCGAATACAGGAGAGACAGAATGGAAAGAAATTAATCTGGCGGTTGCTTACCATGCGTGCTATCTGGTCACGTCTGTGCTCTGGATGATCTTGGTCAATACACTAGAAAGCAAATTAGCAGAGCAAGAATCACAGGAAGTATCGATGAGTCGTACATGACGGTCAACCCATAAATACTGCAAACCCAGTTTCACGGTGGCGGTCATTGCGTCCATTATGACGGGAGAAAATCCTGCTCCAGTCCATGGTGTCGGGCCCCAAACGTATGACAGTGCTACATACTCGCAGTCCGTAGGCGCTACGATAACCTCAGGAAGTGTCCGCATGCAATCAATAACTTGAAGCCCTGGAATGGGTGCACCCTTTGTGGCTGAGCATGCAGCATGAGTATTTTGGCATATCGACAGGCAGCTCTTTATCATATCGAAATTGGCAGTACTGGAATCGATGCAATGTATCCCAAAATCAGCCTTTCTTGTCAATTGTTGTATACCAAGAAAGCCAGCTTTCCAAAACCAATTGGGTCTTCCGACATCGTTAAACATCATGCCCAGAATATTGCCATCGTTTGGAACACCAAACTCAACATTGGTATCCACGGCCTCACACAGAGCCGATCGAGCGGAGAATCTCGTCAAAACGCATGTTTCAGGCGCCTTTTCGGTTGGTCTCGGTCCTTCCTTGACTTTGCCGAAATTTGGACTGGCGACTTCTGGTTTGATGGTTGCAAAAAGTCGACAAATGCGGCATGCAGAGTTCAAGAGATGATCATGACTCTCTGGAATCTCGATAATCTGCACTCCCTCCTCACAAGTAGGAGGCTCAGAGCAAGCAAGCTCATCCCATGGGATTGACCTGCACCTTGTGCATACCCCATCCATATCGATATCGGCGCCACTGAAAAGCTGCTGCTCCAGAGCATCTCCAGAACTGATTTGGCGCATTTTTTCAAATGCTGGGGGTTGTACACAAGGGCCTGTGGTGAATGCACTTTGCGATGACGATGAACTATCGAGACGACTTGTCTGTTTTGGCTCTAGTTTTGCGCGTTGAGGTCGTCGATTGCTCTGAGTCAGCGCTGGCAGTGTTGATGCCCCAAGACATGAGCTGACGGTTTTCTTCGCCGCCGAGCATGCAAGTCTGCGGCGCATAGCCCATTGGCCCCACGTCAAAGAACGCATGCGCAGACTGATTAACCCAACAGGCTGGATACCGACCGACCGCTTGATGCTGCAACAGGCCGGTGGTCCTATAAGTCTACACCGATATGTCGACCTATATACATATTTAAGTATATAGGTAAAATCGCGGCCGTCAAGGGACCTTTCAAGCTCGCCTCACTACTCGGCTCACAAGCCTGCTTTCTCGCTGACATCCACTACCGTTGACGCCATCATGTCTTTCGCATTATTTGATCCCGCAGTTCTCCTCAGCATTCTCGGTGCGGCGGCGGCGATTTACCTCTTCGCAAGCAAGATGTTTGGCCATGATTCTCGCGAGCCACCTCTTGCTCCCCAATCAATTCCCATCATTGGCCACATGGTTGGGTTATCGCGCAGCACATTCAACTACTATGTGCAACTCAGGTGTGTATTACCTCATCATCTCTGTCTCAAGACGTAGAACAGAGCAAACATCTGACTTTATTCTCAGCGAACAGACAGGCTTGCCAATATTCACTCTAGCTCTGCCGGGCCAGAAAATGTACGTGGTGACAAAGCCGGATCTTATCCAGGCGGTCCAAAAGCAACACAAGATCCTCGCGTTCCCACCTGTCGAGGCCAAGTTTGCCTCTACTGTCTGCGGGACCAGTGCTGAAGCCAAGGCCATCTTGGCCCAAAATGTCAATGGTGACGACGGCTCTCATGGCCTTTCCATGGCTTCATACAACGCGATGCGCGCAGCCCTGAATCCAGGCTCTGACCTAGACAATATGAATCGAAGTATGATCCAGGAGATTGCGAAGTCTTTAGACCTTCTGCAGCCAGTAGGGAAAGAGTCCCGGAGAATCGGCATGTATAGCTGGTTGAGGGATACTATTACGCTGGCCACGACCAGGTCCGTGTATGGACCGATGAACCCATATGAAGACAAGACTGTTGCAGATGCTTTTTGGTAAGCGATACATCATGCCAGATTCATAAATTGCGGTTCTGGCCTAATGCTATGCGATCAGGGACTTTGAGGGTGGCCTCATGTCAATTCTAGTAGGTATTCTTCCTTCAATCTTTGCCCGTAAGCCTATTGCGGCTCGAGCCAAGGTTGTTGCTGCATTTGAAGCATATTACAAGGCTGGGGGAGTGCAGAAGGGATCCGCTCTCACTCAGAACCGATACCAAGCACAGATTGACCATCAAATATCCTTGGAAGATATTGCCCGCTACGAAGTCGGAGGTTCGATTGCCGTCCTGGTGAACACGGCGCCCGCAGCCTTTTGGACACTTCTCCTACTCCATAGTCAGCCGGATCTTCTGCAGCTTATTCGTAAAGAGATTGATGCTTGCACAGCAACTGCGGTCAATAATGGCGCGACCGTCAAGACTCTCGATGTTACAACTCTAAAGGAAAGCTGCCCTTTGTTATTGTCCGCGTTCCAGGAAGTCCTCCGTTACTCGTCCATGGGCACTTCAGTACGTGAAGTCATGCAAGATACCTACCTTGGCCCGTGGCTGTTGAAAAAGGGTGCCATGGTACAAATGCCTAGTCGGATCATACATCAGGACTCCAACCTTTGGGGCTCTGATGTCGCCGATTTTAACCCACGTCGCTTTCTCCCTGAAGAGAGAAAAAATCGACCCAGCGACGTCTGCTTTCGCGCTTTTGGTGGCGGCAAGACTCTCTGCCCCGGTCGACATTTTGCTACCAATGAAATCCTTGCCGTGGTTGCTGTATTCAGTGCCAGACTAGATATGAAGCCCGTGGAGGGCGAATGGAAGCTCCCGAGTGCTCTGAACACTAACGTTGCCGCTGTCGTCATGGAACCCGATGTTGACATTGAGGTTGAAATTCAGTCGCGCCCAGGATTCGAAAGTGTGAAGTGGAACATAGACCTTCACAAGTCGGAAAAGATCTTTGCGTTAGTCACTGAAGACTGTGTCGAGCCGAGCCCGTAGGACAGGTTATTATTGACAGTGAACACGAATTTCTGAACGGACAAAATGGTGGTTTCTCGCCTACCGAGTGGGGATCTCTTCTAGCGTGTCGCATTAGGAGGTAGCCAAGTTGCATGCACTTCTTTTACAGGACTTCACTATAACAGCTCTGGCTCCAGTTCTTGTGCGACATTAAATTGCTGAATAATCTTACCCCTCTATAGACCTGAGACTGTCACATTGATGTCGCAAGCACGGAGGCCGAAAAGCAGGCAATGCCATAATACGGTACTCTATAAACCCATGACGTACTGAGACGACACACTAAACGGACAACATGGCTAAAGGCGAACACCGAGGACTATGGCGGCACACCTGGGCAATCAGGCCCGTCATAGTCAATAGGGTCATGTATAATCGAACTGTGAATGTTTGTCTAGCTCATTTAGGCGCACGGTCAAAGTCTTCCCTAAAGCCGATAGACTTTCCTATCTCCCCTGGGCTCTGCACAAATTCCTTTCTCTCACACAGCACTGACTCGGCCAACAGCGATCTCTCAAAACTCCGAGCGGCTGCTCCTCGATTGAGCCCAGTGCCACCATATACCTACTGGAAATGCGGCATGTTCGATCACCTCCAAAAAAACCAAAAGTCGGTGCTCGTGTCTTTGTATCGTGGCCGGATTAATAAACCACATATCACCATGTATCATACTGAGCAAGTGTATAAATATCATGCCAAGAAACCAAGAAGTCCAGTCGAAAGGAGGACTATCAAGCTCGATTCAATATAGGCAAAGCATCAATTCAAACAAAAGATCATCACAATGACTCACTATCAACCACTTCTCGGCAAGGTTGCTGTTGGTCAGTTCCATCTCTTTGTCCCAATGCTCCAGTGCAAAATAGCTAAGAATCCAATCTAGTCACCGGCTCAAGCCGAGGCATTGGCGCCGCCATTGCCCTCAAGCTCGCCTCATTTGGCGCCGACGTCGTGGTCAACTACGTCGCCTCAGCCACGGCCGCCGAAGCCGTCGCGGCCTCTGCGCGCGAGCAGGGCGTGCGCGCCATTTGCGTGCGCGCCGACGTGAGCAAGCGCGACGAGATTGCCGACTTGTTCCGCCGGACGGTCGCGGAGCTGGGACGCGTCGACGTGGTCATGAGCAACTCGGGCATTGAGCATTTTGGCGACGTCGAGGCAGTCCAGGAAGCCGAGATTGATAAAGTCCTGGCCGTCAATGTCAAGGCGCAGTATTTTGTGGCCCAGGAGGCCTACAAGTACTTGACCGAGGGCGGTCGCTTGATCTTGATCTCGTCGATTTCTGCGGTTTGGGTAAGTCAATAATGCATACACATCAGTCGTCGCACAGGTGACTTAATGTTGTTGGCTAGGGCGTCCCCCGTCATGCAATCTACAGCGCTTCAAAGGCAGCCATTACCGGCATGGTCAAGTGCCTCGCGCATGATTTTGGGCCGCGAAGAATCACCGTGAATTGCATTGCCCCCGGAGGAATCAAGTCGGACATGTATGCCGAGGCCGCCAAGGACTACATTCCAGGAGGCGAGCATCTCACTGTGGAGGAAATCGATGAGAAGGTCGGTGCAATGAGTCCTCTAAGGCGCCCAGGGCTTCCAGAGGATATTGCCGGCGTTGTGGCACTGCTGGCATCTCCCGAATCGCAGTGGTTGACTGGCCAGACTTTCCACGTCAGTGGAGGTGCGCACATGGCCACATCATGATTGAAAGAGTAATTGAGGCGTGTATTCGTGCAATCTTGCCATCATGGGACTTTCTCTACTCGAGCTACAACGCAGTGGAAACGGTGAGCCGAGTTCGTACAAGATAAACTTCATAGGCACAGAAACCACATTTGTTAGCTGGCCAGAGACTAAAGCGTTTGTCCCAATTCAAGAAACAATATTAATCTATTGTACGCTGAGTTAAGGCTCTTTTTTTTTTTTTTTTTTCCCCACGCCTCTCCGTGTCTTTCGAAGGCTTCTCTATGGACTAGATGCCCCCCGGCGTCCTTCTGAAACTGGCACCGACATCATGTTCGCTCCTCGGATATCCATATTGAAGGCCATTGGGGTGTGTGCTCAGGGTAGCCAGCCACAGAACGTAGAAAACGGAATGTCAGATTGTGTGGTTTCCGCGAACCAGCACAACCACATAAACTATCCGTACAATTTGATGTCTGTCCCTTTGAGTCGATCGGATAAGGACGAACTATATTGGTTCACCGGCAACTATCGCGCCTGTAACTTGTGCAAATATTCCAGGCGACAGATGTCGGGTTTTCTAGCCGATATCACAGTTTACAACAAGAGGGGAAATGTCATCAATTTTGAGATCATGGCGTAATATAAAAGACTGTCATAGAAGAAAACGTCTCACTAATATCAAAGAAAAAGTTTGTAACCTGGACGTCAAGGACGGAAATCGATGAAAGAAGTCGGAAGATTTATTGCTCCATCGCAGACGCATGTGGGGGACTCAAAAGTGGCCGAGAGACCCTGCAAGGCTTCGCACTCGCTTAATTGAGGTACTCTGTACCTCTCTGTCAGATCATGGGTATCTGTTATAGAGTAAAGTAAAGTGGAATAGCTGACAAAGCGCCATCGTCCCCAAACAGCTGAAAGACGCCTGTGTCGTAACGAGACCTCTAGGGGCGTTCGATATGTCCCAAACGCTCATCTTGAAGTAGGCTTGGGTAGTGAGAGTTGTCTACATAAATACTAGATTGAACAATAACTTGGATTTATATTATTTTCTGGGCGTCGTTCGTAATGGCTACTCTAGGATTTTCTTCCCATTCTCATTGCACATCGCAGCGGCCTACTTAGTATAATAGAAGCCCTCTATTGTGTTGCACCATGTCTGCACGTCTAGAAAGCATCGCCTCTTTCCAGGCCACCATGGCCCACAACTTCTGGAAACAGGTCTTTACCAGCGTACCCCTAATCCCAGCACAACTGGATCTTGCCGGCAAAACAGTCCTGGTGACAGGATCCAATGTCGGCCTAGGTCTAGAGAGCGTGCGCCACTTCCTCAAGCTGCGCCCGCGCCTCGTCATCATGGCGGTGCGATCGCGCGAGAAAGGCGAGGCCGCGGCAACGAGCTTGCGTCCCGAGTTTCCCGGGACGGCCATCCAGGTCTGGGAAATCGACATGGCGTCCTTTCAGTCGGTACAGGCCTTTGTTGCCCGTCTGACGCGCGAGCTGGACGGTCGGCTCCATGTCGCTGTACTCAATGCCGGGTTAAGCAAAATTCGCTTCGAGCGCGCTCAAGAGGGCGGCCGCCACGAAAGTACCCTGCAGGTCAACTATTTGGGTACCGCACTGCTCGCACTCCTTCTGCTGCCCACAATGCGACCCACTGCATCATCGCCCGAGCCCGGCCGCCTCTCCATCGTAAACTCCGAGGCCGCGCTCCCCGTTGACCTCGACGATCCGGACCAAGGCGGGCTCTTGGATTCCCTTGACCGGCCAGAAAATTATGACGGCTTCTCGCAGTACAGCAAGTCCAAGTTGCTGGTCATGATGTTTATTGCGAAACTAGCCGAGGTCGTCAGTCCCGACGAAGTCATAGTCAACTGTACTGACCCTGGTGCCACAAAAGGAACCGCATTCTTTCGTGAAGTGGACTCGTGGGCGTTCAAGATAGCGCTTCATATTTTGTTGGGTATCATGGGACGCAACATGTCAGACGCAGCCAGGATATACCTTCACTCGACCGTAGTCCTGGGTAAAGAGAGCCATGGCTCCTACACGGACTGGATGATTAGAGCGTGAGTGCAAATACCTATAAGTATATCTTAACAACTACCGCTGACAATTTTTCCAAGCTGGCCGACTATAATGTACAGTGAGAAGGGTCGACGGCTTAGTGAAAAGTTATGGGATGAGACGTTGGAGGAGCTCAAGTTTGCCAAAGTGGGGGATATGTGGAAAATCCTTACAGAAATCTAGATATGGTAAATGTGATGTTCTGTGAACAAAGAAATGGTAAAGCAATTCGAGCCATGGATATTTTCCTGTTGCTTTGATCATTAAGTTCGCGACAAGCACAACGACTTATAGAGATTTGTAAATAGTTGTTTCAATATTGATTTTTACTCATTCAGCAATGCATGCAACTTGCTCTCGAAGATCAAAGTAAAGTGCCCACCCAGCCCACATCTGTACATACTCTGTATCAATCGCCAAATACGGCTCCGATCCGGCCCCACATTGGGATGGGGAAAGCTCCGCCATGGTGCTGCCGTCAACTGCGGGGGTTTGGGGGGGAATGAACATGTACGCACGCTATTGTTGGGTATTAAACACTGCAGTCTCCTGAAGGGCGCGCACTTGGATCAATTATACCGGAGACTTGCCCCGAGGTCGCAAGCACATATAGTTTTCAGCGGCCGTACGCAGCCCATTGGTAGAACTCACTGACCTATATTAATACTTCCCGCGAGAATAACTTTTCGTCTTCCTCTCTTCCAGTCATGGTTCGCCCTTTCATCCTTCTTCCTGCACGGTCACTCCTCAGAACAACAACTACAGTCCCTAGAGGATCGCCCATCACACAGTCCCGTGTTGCAAGTTCCTTCCGGAAACCCACCACTACCCACCGCGCCATGTCTTCCGACGCCTCCAGGCCCGCCATCACGACGCCGCCTCCAGGCAAGTACGAGTTCCTGGTTGTCGTGCCGGACAAGCCCGGAGCGCAGCCAAAGCGACTCGAAGTGAGACCGTAAGTCGATAATCTCAACATTCTCCCATCTGCTCCCCCACTGTTTTCTTCTTTACTTCGAGAAATTAAACTAACACAATCAACCTCAGCAAACATTTCGAGGGCCTGACAGACCTCGTTGATAAGGGGATCTTCAAGGTCGGAGGTAAGGAGACGCCCCATTGTCTCATCCGCAAAATGTCCCCGCGCTTAAGAGATGACATTGACACCTCCAAACACAGGTGCTACTCTGCACGATGTGCCAGAAGGTACCGACGCCGCCAAGTGGAGCTTTCATGGCAGCACCATTGTCATGGTAGCCGAGTCCGTCGAGGAGTGTAAAGAGATTCTGAGAAAGGACATCTATAGCACCAGCGGAGTGTGGGATGTCGACAATGCACAAATTTGGCCCGTAAGTTTGAAATCGGAAGAGCTCTTCAGGGCCGCGACCAGTTGGATTGCTGACATTAAATGCCAGGTAAAACTTGCCTTTAGATACCCATAGAATCACGCAAAGCGCTGAGGAAAATCGGATAAATTTGTACATGCCATTATAATTCATTTGCATAAGCTTAAAGACATCTGTGCGCTGATGGCTGTTCGTAGTCACTGCACAGACGAACCAATCCTAATTGTACAATCCATAATGCGCAAAACAGCCATGACGTCTCGATGACCCGCCCTCTCAATCGCTTTGGATATTATATGCATGTTTCGCCGGCTCGTGTAGAGCGCCGTCAGGCGGAGGTTTATTTATCGTAAATATCGGACAATCCAGGAGCGGGAACTGGGCTACGGTTACCCTAGTCCCTCCCGTTCCCGCCAATGGAGTTCTCCTCAGCAGCTGCGGCATCGACTCTCAGCTTGTAGCAGCGTTCAAAGCATTCGTCAAGGAGCTCTTTGACGCTTCCTTGGCCCTCAGGAATATCTCCACCAACCATGAACTTGCCATCCTTTTGCAAGTTGTCGATCGAGTTAAGCTAGAGGCATCATCAGCAACTGCGAGTTTCGAAATATCATAGGAGACATACCTTCATGCTGTATGGGAAAAGCTCCCTGGCAGACGAAACACCACCATTGGCCTCCACCTCAATCAGGCACCTCTTCAGCGTTTGAAGTTGGTTATAGACTGGCAGAAGAGCTTCCGAGACAGGCTCAGACGAGATCATGAGGTGGTAGATGTAGCCGTAGCTTCTTCTGATGAGATATAGTAGCGTCTGTGACACGGCCTGTCAGTTTCTGGCATTATTCCATAAAAGTCTGGCTTCAAGCATACCCGTTGCACATAGAGCTCAGCCGGCTGGCCCTTTTCGTCAATCCAGTTGCCTTCAACCCTGCTCTCATCAATCTTGTCGAGTTGTCTCTGGTAGTCGTATAGATCAGTCTCTCGCAAAGACCATGCCTGCGTCAAAGAAAGCTTGTCAAGCTCGTTGCGAATGCCAACTAGAGTGCTGTACAGTGGTTTCCATTCCTCGGGGAAGTTGCCCGCTCTGTAATATAGTGGTTAGATAGGGGATAGTGCGAACGGCAGACCATGACTGACCTCTCGAGGACTATCTCGGTGTACTTCTGGCAACGATCCCACAAGGATGAAACATGTTCGCTGCCGGCAAGAACGTTGCCATCCGAGTCCACAAACTTTCCATCAACACGTTGGCTATCGATTTCCCTTAATTGCTTTTGCATCTTGTGTATATCCTCTGGTTTGAACTAAAATGAGTGTAAGCATATAGTGTACAAGCCAATGCGCGTAGACTGGGTGTACCTTTGACTTGGTATTGATGGCGGCCATTTGCCGTAATATGGAGACGAGTTTCTCATGTGTGGCTCGAATAGGCTGGGCGTAGTCTTGTAGTCTTTTCTTGAGGTTGTCTAGCGACTCGTGGCATCGCTCAATGCGCTTGGACAATAGACTCTCGAGGTACTTGTCTGTCGGCTTCTTGCGCATATTCTCAGTGAGACGCTCCAGAGTGTGTCCCATGCTGGCGATATCCTTCTCGGAGAACAGATCGGCCTCGTCAAGGTGGTCGAGTAGCCTCTTGATTGTGGATGTCAATGCATAAGCAGCGGGTGCCTCATTGTTTCGGCCGATTGTCATGAAAAACAGAGACAGCAATTGGAAACAGCTGTCCACTACTCTATCGACTTGAGGTACGTAAGTATGAGAATTGTACTGTTTAGAAAGCTCCCGGGCTCACCTCGATTCTCCCCAACCTTTTTGCCTTGCCTCAGCTCGGTGAGTTTGCGGACTTGTTCGATAGTTTGGTCATATAGAACCATGACATCTTGAGATCGCACATAGTTGGCACGGTCAGCTCTGCGAATTTGTAGTTGCGCCAGTACAAGCTCGAGTTGCTGAAGTATTTCCTGCTCCCCTTCGTTGCTGGGGGGCGGGAACTTTGGTGTGTCCATCTTGATCGTGTGGTGCTAGATGGGCGTAGGGTGAATACGCGATACGAAAGTCTTTATCGTCAACGGAAAGAGAGTTTGGGGACCCCTCACCCCGGCGTACTTCTTTGTCCGGTGATGGCAATGGTCAGTGTGCAAAGAGGGAAGCTAATATCGAGTCGCCCAAGGAAATGGCTAGGCTCAGATTGTAGAGTCTAGCTGCAGCAAGCCCAGTTGCAAGAGAATCCGAAGTCGATCGGTGGCGCTTCTGGATGTATGTGTAACTGCGATGTGTGAAAATATCGGAGGGATGTGATTTTGGGGAGGAATTCGGGAGTTGTTCTTTGCGAGGTGCCGTAGCTTGGGTATTTAGGCCAAGTCAGTGCTTCTCCATACGCAGTACAGCCTAAGAATGGAGTACGTCGTAGTAGTAGTAAGTAGTAGCTATGCAAATGCCGAAATTGGTGCGTTGAAGAAGAATGAAGTTGTCTCTTTCCGAATTATCGTCAAAAACTCAGTCGCAAATACAATAATTGGGAAAAACTGCTACCAGGGGTCCCAGGCACGTTGTCTTATGCAGTAGAAAGAGTCCTTGGCTAAAAAAGCACCCGCGCTGTTGATGTAGCGCTGGTATTGGGCGTTTGTAATGTCAATCACCAGCAGCTTGAGTTCCCCGACATCTGCAGGCGCGGCCAGGTCGGGCAGAGGTGGGGCAATGACGAGGTTGAGGGAAGGAATGGATGCTGCAATCGATAACGCCGAAACTCATGGCGGGGCAAAATCAGATTCTCATTACCTTACAAATGTCAGGCGCAATGTTTGAGGTTTGCTGGAGTTGGACGCTAGGTAACCGTGCATTGGGGGGTCCCATTCTCTCCAGCCAAAAAAGACTGGATCCACTTCTTCTTCTTTTCCATTGGCTCTTCTCCCGCCCTGGATCTGAGCCAATCAAATTAGTGCACTCAGCGCGGGAGGGAAAAGTAGATCGGGCCAACGAAAATCCGCACAACCGCTTAGGGCCCTCAAACCCTCGAAATTTCCAGCTTGGTGGGCTCCGGCAGCGACTCCAGCAAAACCGCATCGCAAGCATATTCAGACAGCCATTTCCGACCAGTCGATCAACGCAACGCAACCGCCCAATAACCCAATCGTCTGTCCCTTCGCAGCACATCATTCACAATGTCGAACGCTGAGCTGGCTTCCTCTTACGCCGCCCTCATCCTCGCCGATGACGGTGTCGAGATCACTGTACGTTTTTGAAACTTTGCGCCCCGCGACACGAGCAAAGAGAAGGGAAATTTGGGGGGGACCGACACGACATGACTGGGACCGGAATCAAAATTTGGGGAAACTCGGACAGCATCGACTGACAATTCTCGCTTTTTCTAGGCCGACAAGCTCCAGACCCTGATCAAGGCTGCCAAGATCACTGATGTCGAGCCCATCTGGACCTCCCTGTTCGCCAAGGTACGACATTCCGTTGTCTAATTCTGCGCGACTGGACTCTGGGGAAGAGAATTCAAAAGCAACCTAGAGGACACGCGCATAGTGGAGGGATCTTGAAAACTAACGCGATGCAATTTACAGGCTCTTGAGGGCAAGGACGTGAAGGAGCTCCTCTCGAACATTGGCTCCGGTGGTGGTGCTGCCGCCGCTGGCCCTGCTGCCGGTGGCGCCGCTGCCGCTGGTGGTGAGGCTGAGGCCGCCGCCGAGGAGAAGGAGGAGGAGAAGGAGGAGTCCGACGAGGACATGGGATTCGGTCTGTTCGACTAAGCGGTTTACTACACCCTTTCAATGTCACGATCTCCACGAACAAAATCAACCCTTCACACGACCTCTTCCGACGATCTGTTCCGTCACCAACTTTTCCCTTTGTACTCGCACTGCATGGGCTTTGGGGTTTACTTAAACACCGCATTCACCGGTGTGGCGTGAGGGAGGCTATGGCAAAAAGAGTCCGGATGCCTTGGGACTTACATTGAGGTCGCTCAGCATATAGAGTAATATGATGATGCGCTCTTGAGAGATGATCAACCAAGCTTGTTACTTGCGTTTTGAAATGAACGTGGATCTCGAGGTACAGGGGCCACACTGGCAATTCTGAATTCGAGCACCTATGTTCTCGGAGCTGGCCCTCTGCTTGCCACTAGTCCTGGGTCTGTCCACGACGAATGTCCCTTGGCCGAATGGTGCTGTATCTGCGACTGGCGGCTGCTTGTGTTCCTCGACATTGCTTTTGATGCTTTCACTTGAATGTTTGGTGATTTCAAGAGATTTATTTTTGTGGTACTCTTTCATGTCCGGATACCAGTACGATATCATTTCAACCACGGATCAGTGTTTGGTGAACCCAACACCAATCAGCCCAAAAGGTTTCTTGAAGCCGCACAGTAGGAGCTGTATCATCCGTCGGAGATATTGCAGTATTAGATCACCCAAAATCTGCACAGGATATATTTGAACAAGACCAGTTCTTCGTGGCAATAAAGTACACCAACGCCTAGGAATGAATGATTCACTCAAATGCTTTGTTCATTATTCATGTTCTGCTTTTTCTGGCTCTGTATCACTGGTTCTGTATCTGTATCGGTATCGTCATCCACGGAAGCCCATGAATCACTAGACTCATCTGTATCTTGGAGACCGGGTGAATCATCTAAGCGAATTCGTTTCCTTTCCGTGACGTCGCCTGGCACCCATCGCACACGCTTCCGGAAGAATGATGTCTTGACACAGCCGGCTTTCCTGACATTGCCTCTCTACTGCGCGATCAAGGCAGCGCTGGGCACAAGGCCCGCCTCCTTGAGCGTCTTGCCCAGATCTACGCCCTCGAAGACCTTTCTCGGGAAATTCAGGCTGAACTTGTTCACCGTAACTCCGTTCTCGCTCTGCAGTTGTTGGGCAAGCTCGAACAAAGTTGTCTCTGCAGGCAGAGTCTTCATGATGTTTCCAGCCGAGGTTTGAACTCTCAGACGAGCCTCGGCGTGGTTGACGGTAGGCTTCGCGGCAGCGGGTGTGGAGGCAGCAGGTGTGGACGCACCCGCCAGGGCAGGGTCAGGCTTACCCTCACGGACGGCCTTGGCCTGCTCAGCCTTGCGTCGTCTCTCCTCCTTATCGGCCTCGATCTTGGCCTTGATGCGCTTCTTGGCCTCAATGTCGTCTATCTTCTCCTGGCGCTTCTTGGCTGCGTCCTTGATCTGTTGCTTTCGCTGAAGCTCTTCCTTCACGTCCTGGCTCTCCTGAGTGGCCTTCTGGCGGATTTTCTGTCTTATGCATTAGTATTGAAGCTTGACAATGTCTTTTGGGGTCCTGCCAAGTTCTATAAGCAGTTGAGCGCACCTCGTTGGCTCGAGCGTCCTCCTTATCCTTGACAGCCTGTGCGGCTCTCTTCTCTGCGAGCTTACTGCGCATCTCCTGGAGGCGTTCCTTCTTCTCCTCCTCGGTCAGAGCAGCAATCTCCTCAATGGACTCTGCAAAGTCATCATGGCCACTGCTCTGGGTGTCAGTATATGTGAGAACAGTCCATTGTTCGTCAGTGTCTGATACGTACGTCTTCTCGGCGTGAAAGCCAGCAAGCTCCTGGTTGCGGAACTTCTTGCCACAGTCGTTGCAAACAATTGATTTGGCGACTTGACCTTCTTCCAGAGTGGCCGTCGACGGTCCAGCAGCTTCCTCGGCCTGCAGCTCATCAAGAGGGGTGTCCTGTGTCTTCTCCAGCCAGTTCATAGCCCCCTCCACTGCCGAGAAGGTTAATATCCGGTCCCAATATTGTGAAGCGATATTACTTACAACCGCCGCCCTTCTTCACTGCCAGCTCAGCACGTGACTTGTCAAAGCCCATCTCCAGGAGGGTGTCTAGGTCGGACGACATCTTGGCGACAGATTGATATGTGGTTTGTCGTAACTGGGGTCTTGGGTGTGATGATTTGCGCAACTCCGCACTAACAAGGTACGTAGTATGAAGAAACGATGTTTTAAAGACGTGGATCGAATGCAGTGATCCCCGTGATGTCCGAACAGAGATTAGCGCTCCACTGTGATTATAAACAGAAATAATGTTTTAATTTTTCCGCTTTGCGCCTTTTTGGCAAGGTGGAACTTTGTGGATGGTGAAAGTTCTTTTGGTTTTCCCAAGCTCTGAATATCTTCAAAAGGTATGCGGCACTCAAAGAAAGTCGTTCGAGGTGCGTCTACTGGGTACTATGGTTGGCCTGCGTCATGCTTGCAGCTGCCTTTCACAAGCTCCGTTTGCTTCTAAAATGGTCCATGCGCCGCTACGTTATTAAGCTCGTAGGGCCCCCAAGCAGCTCCGTGGCCGGCCAGCACACAATGAACAGTGGACTTTGGGCGGGCCTAAGGGCCCTATTGGGACCTATAAGAGGTCTAGGTGCCCAAGGTTGCCGAACGTAGCTTTTTGGGAATACCCGCAGCAGCGCTAACTGGACCCATGTGGGGACATGATCTCAGCAACGGCAAGTGCCCAACCTGGTAAACTGGAAATGAGCTTCTGGGACACTTTTTTTTTTTTTTTTTTTTTTTTGGCCCTTCCGCAGCAGGCAAAGGGGGACGGACACGGCAGCGAGGAAAAGGCAGGCAAGCAGGCTGGAAGTGCAAGCAAGCAAAGCAGGTGGTCGGCAGGGGTGATGCAACGAACGACTAAAATACTTGGCCGATGGCGTAGTTTTCGAAACAGGAAGACTTGGTACATGGAAAGTAGCCCCAAGAACCAAAAACCGCACACTTCCTTGTTGCTTTTGTGAAGTGATCATCGTCGGCATTCCGTATATTCACTGCTTGCCTCTTATTTATTTTCCAATAAACGCAAATTCATACATAATAGGCTTTTTGCTGGTCGCACTATCTCCCTTGGCCAGTCTTACCGTTGACTGTTTTTTGTTACTTGTTTCTGTCTGGACTCCTGACTTTCTGCACTTCAGCGACACCGACCACTTGTCACCTCGGCTGCCTCCGCCTGGTCGCCGCCAAACCTGACAAACCCAAGGCCCGATTTCCCCGACACCGACTTACTGGTTCCTGCGACAACTGGAAATTCTAACGGTCGAGACTCAGTGTGCTAAAACGTGTTCCTGTTATGACGAGCACGCACTAGTACAACAACATTCAATCACCAAAAAACAAATATCTTTTACCATTGCCAAAGAGCTTTCGACAACGATTCGCACCGAGCATCTTCTTCCTACAGTAGCCATCATGTCTGTTGAAATTGATCCCCAGGAGCTTGGCTTCCACCGTACGTCATCGGCCAGAACTTCGCGCATGCGACGCGCACAACCAGTCACAGAAGCTCATGGATTATTGCAGGTCCCTTTACTTCGGAGGTGTCGGAGGTGCTGAAGATTAAGAACCCCAACTCTACACCCGTTGCTTTCAAGGTATGTCTTCACAATCGTTACCTTGGCCCGGTCAATTTTGGACACGTGGGACATACAGAACTGACGGATATTAGGTCAAAACCACCGCGCCGAAGCAGTATGTACCCAACCGACATGAAGTCAAATCCCACGACAACCGGATCCAAATCTACATGTGCAGTAGTGCTCATTGTGTTCTACAGATATTGTGTCCGACCCAACTCGGGGCGGGTCGAGCCTGGCAAGGAGGTTGAGGTTCAAGGTATGCACGACTCTTGGGACCTTGCTCGCAAAATGGAAGTAGCTGACAACCCAAAGTCATTCTCCAGGCAATGAAACAAGAGCCTCCCCTGGATACAAAATGCCGCGACAAGTTCCTCGTTCAGTCCGTCGCAATCTCCAGCGACAAGGAGTTTAGCAACCTGGCAGCCATCGTAAGAAGCCTATGAATTTATCTACCATTCCAAATCCTACAAAGGGATGTTATGGGCATAATATGGGCTAACATGCCAATAGTGGGATGGTATCGACAAGTCTCAGGTTCAGGAGAAGAAAATCAGAGTCGTCTTCCTTGCTCCTGGCGGCGCATCACACAGCTCTGCTGCAGAGCCCCTGTTGGCTACGCCAAACAGAGCCTCTCTGGTCAATGGCGTTAGTATTTCCTCTTGCCAACATGATCTCTGCTTTATACTGACGTGACCCTTACTTTAGCACGAGGATACTCCCGAGGCGCCGCCTGCATACCAATCGCCAACCGATTACGCCAGGGCCTCTCCAGTCCCTAAAGGAGAGACGGTTAAGCATGAAGATGATACCGCTTCCACCTCTGCTGCCGGTGGCGTGGCTGCCGTTGTTTCTGCAAAGGCGTCTGAGACGTATGAGGAGCTGAAGTCTCAGCTCTCGCAGGCACAGCAGACTATTGCACAATTGCAGAAGGATACGGCATCTGGCTTGAGGCAACGCAAAGCAACCAGCAGCGATTCTGCTGCATCCTCATCACAGTCTGCTCAGCTTGGCCAACAAGTGCGCCAGGCAACTGAGGGCGTCCCTGTTAAGATCACGGCGATCCTATGCCTGGTTAGTTTCCTGCTGGCTTATCTCTTCTTCTAGTTGCTCGATTAGCATAGGGTTGTGACCATGTGCACACTATTTGTTGTTGTCGGGTCTCTATGGAACGGATGACCATACTTTTTGCGTCAAGGGGAGGTCTCATCGATAGGCGTAATTGGCACGAATAAGCGACCTTACTCTTGGTTTTCATGATTTTGTTATATGATACACCAGTATGGTAGAAAGGCAGTGGCAGCGTCTGTCAGGCGGCGAAAGGAGAGGAGATCATATGCGTTTTTCTAATGAAGGAAGCAGTTTGAAAGGATGGCTGCTCTACGAACAAGAAGACTACACTACACTGTATTCTAGTCTGTATTTTTCCGTTGTTTCAAAGTTTTCTTTGCTCGTTTGATTTGACGAAATTTGGTCTACTTGGATTTCTCCTTTGAACCTTTATCGGTGCTTGAGTAATCGTACTGCAGAGATCCAGAACCACCAGCTGTTTGAAAAAGGAAATCTTCGAGTCTATATTGCTCAAGGGGCTTTTCTCATGGAACCGTGCATAGTGGCATCATTGGCCGGACAATGCATGTGCTTGTTTTGTGGTATCATACATATAATCAATACTTGTAGGTCTATCATTTATGCGTCAAGTGGCTCTATCTGATCTCGACAGTCCCCTCCTGTCACTCTCAACGGCAACTGGTTTTTGCACTTCCCCTGCTCACATTACAGGGCATAATGGTAGAACCCCATGCGCCTTTACTTTTTGAACAAGAAGGAAAACAGCTTTAGGCCTCAATCTCAGTCTCCTTCCAGTCGTCTACTTTCTTGGTTCCACCAGCGCCAACAAGTCTGCCACCTTCCTTCCTCTTGACACGGCAACGGATGCCCACATTGTCGTCAAAGATGAACTGCCAAATAACATAACTCCAGCTGCGGTGCTGGGGCAGGGGTTCGTAGAACTCGCGGGCAATCTCGTAGAGCTTGGGCAGGCGGGTCCAGGGGATGGCGGGGAAGTCGTGGTGCTCATTGTGCAGGCCGACATTGTAGGTGAACCAGTTGCCTACGCCATAGTACGAGTAGGTCTCGGGGATCGGCACCTTGTTGTCGGGGTCCGCCTGTGTAGGTGTCACGGTCGAGTAGACGTAGTGCTCGGCGATAAAATGGCCCGCTAGGGGGTGCAGCGAGCCCGCCAGGAACGACGATAGCAAAAAGTAGAGCAGCGACTGCGCGCCCAGGGTGCGCAGGATAATGGTGTCGAAAAGCACCTGCGTGGCCACATTGACGGCCGAGACCCAGGTAAAGGGCACGGCGTAGACGGCCATGGGACGGACGGCGTAGAAGAAGATCTGGAACGTGCAGAAGAAGGCCTTCCCGAGGATGGAGTCGAGAAAGACGGCCTCGAGGGCGGTAGGCAAGTCCGTGTCTAGCCCATCGACGCCGAGCGACTTGTGGTGCGTCAGGTGGTAGGGGCGGAAGGAGGCGCTGTAGGGGATGCCAATGGGCAGGTTGGCGAGAATGGCGAACAGGCGGTTGGCGGTCGGCGAGCGGAAGGCGAGGTTGTGCGAGATCTCGTGGATGGCCAGGAAGAGGTTCTGGTTGGCGGTCGCGCCCACAACATAGGCCAGAGCCCAGAAGGGTAGTGAGAAGAAGGACGTGTTGCGGAGCAGATAGGCGCAGAAGATCTGGAGCGACACGACAAAGAGCACGACATATTTGGTCAAGGGCTCAGGACCGCACAACTTCGTCACCTCGGGGTGGGCTTTGATGATGGCCAGGCGCCGGGTGCGGTGCGGCTCCTCCGTGTAAGTCCAAAAGAAGTCTCTGTAATTCTTCTCCTGCTCAATGCCCTTGCTTGGCTTGTCGCCATCGGGGACCTGCGCGTTCAGCTTGACAACCTTTGGCTGCTGCTGGTCCTTGCCGGTCGCGGCGGCAGTGACGGTTGAGGACGTCTTTGAGGGTGCCATTTTTTGTTTTCGCTCGATTGCGGGCGGTTTTGATTGACCGAGAGAAGGTCAATTGGCACTGATGCAGAGGAATAGAGGGGCGACGTCTGCAAAGGGGGACCACGTCGAAGTAGGAAGCAAGAACGAGCGACCTGGGAGGTTTCCTGCACCTCGTTTTGTTTTGTCTCTTCACCTGCGGTGAGGCGGAGAAAGCTGTTAGATTCCAGTAGGTAAGTCGGGTGTGTGTGAGTGAGTGGCAATGCCTAGAATCTAGCAAGCTAGTGGCGTATGTGGAGAGATTGCCATGATTGATTCGTTCGATGTGGGATGTTCCAACAGGAGATATAAACTTCTAGGCCAATCAACTGGCCGTTTTAGGGAGCATGGGTCCCCTTTTGTTCTGCCTTCTCAGGGGTCCAGCGCCATGATTGCCGGGTACCACCACTGCTGCACTGGCACCTGGGACAGTTCTAGAACTGTTGGGGCCAGCCGAAACCGTCGAGGGGCTCCCCACACTTTCTATACCACAATGTGTTCACTGTTTGAGAAAACCTAGAGGTGCAGAATCCAGAGGCAGCGCTCATGCATGTGATTCAGGACGTTTTCTTCCACCAAAGCTGCTACAGTAGCGTAGGATTACCTAAAGAATAGTAACCTCCAGTTTACCCTGTAAATATCTCTATGGATCAATACTTTTTATTTTCGGGAAATTCTGAGCAATGTACCCTTTTGAGAGACCAGGCAGAGTCTTTGAGCCTGCATACATCTCATCGACATCCTCAATGACTCTACATGACGACATTGATCGCTTTTTATGATAATTTCCTGCGAAGTAAAAATATCGACACCCCAATGAGCACGATCAGACAAGATATATTTTTCTCCACCACTGGCTTCAATCTAGAGATGCTGTCCTTGATCCATAATGACGGGGTTTTCCCGAGACGGAACATCGCCGCTAGAGACTATCGGGGTTGAGTCCGCTGAGTTCTTAAAGGCTCAAGTCTGGCGATAGTGTAAAATAGTTTCATTTTTGGCATCAGATTAGGATTCAGTCAAGCATACTCATTTATGCCGATTCAATACTCGGAGCTTTCCAGCAGCATCAATTTCCAACACTTTCAAAATGACGATTGTACACGTGGGTCCGTCAGTCCATGATCTTTATAGAGGTGTGAGCAATATAGCCAAAGCTAACACCCGCCGAAAGTTCTCTTTAAATTCCAGGCGAGTGTTACTCAAGAGCATAAAGATACCTTTGTGCGAGAATTGAAGAAGCTCAAAAGTTTGCCATGCGTCAAAGATGGCAGGCTTGTCGTCGGCGGACCATCAATCACCGACCCAATCGAGAAAAGCAAGGGCTTTGAATATTGCCTGGTCAGCTACCATCAAGATCGAGCAGCGCTAGATACATATCAGGCCAGCAAGGAGCATCACGAGTATGCTATATTTCTTTTTCTATGCTCCCCGAGTGCCGCAATGCTAATCAATTTCCTGCTTGTCTAGGGTCACGTCAAAATACATGTTTCCTTTCAAGGAAGACTTGTGCCGGTTTGATTTCGAGGTTTCGTCTGAGGATGAGCATTTGTGCAATTTCAGCAATGGCTTCTTGAACACTCAAACTTCTTGAAGAAGCGGCTGTGACTGTTTTCCACCGCGTCGCATAAACATTAGAATTAGATCTAGAGCAGTCTAGATATATGACCATATACAAAAAGTATCCCCTATGGTGTTTGGTAATGGGTGATCGTGATCTTGGGCTCGCGCATGTAGTGTGCACGGCGGGAAGAACATGTAGCCGCTCGTGTAACGCTGGAGACAAACAGACAATGCCAAGTTTGATTGGATGCAATGTGCTTTTATACCAACTTGAGCCACCAATCTATTATGCCGAGCGGGGTCTTTTCTTCACAACGTCCAGACACCCTCATCCAAAGCGCAACATGCCTTTAATCCGACCAATTCCCTTGGCTCCAATCGAGACGGAACAGTTGCCTGAAGTCGAGATAAAAGAGGTATGCAATGCAGAAAGCTCAGAGGCCGGTCTGGTTCAGCTGCTGTACCAGCAGCACCACCTCGAAATGATTATGCGAATGAAGGAACATGAGAATCTGGTATGCATCGGCCTCCCCGTGAACAGTACTGATCAATTGACTCACTACGCCATTTTAGCTTGGCGAGATGGCCTGGCTGTATCCGCATCTCAAAGATGTAACATACGATGCGCAGCCATTCAGGCTCAAGTCGGGCGGTCTCTGGACAAAACCGGGGATGATCAACATCATAGAGCCCATCAGACACCCGGATCGACCTGCACCGGAGATATACTGGCATTTTGGCGAGACTGTCTTCAAGCCCTTTTTTCACAAACGCTTTGCGAGGACCATTTATCGTCTCGGTTGGGAGCCGAACCAAATGTATCTTATCCACGACGACATAACGCTTAGAATTGTGCAAGGAGAGGCGGATTTCAACTGGTTGCGACCGAGAATTCCCACTCAACCATGAAATGAGTGGGAAAGTCGTTATGAGATTGCAAAGCAGCAGACGTTCAGCACCGGAATCGCGATATGGCTGCAAAATGTATGCATTTCTTTAGTGCTGAAATATGTAACGAGTTCACGCAGAAGTCAATGTGCATGCTTTTAGAAGAGGATCAATCCCCTGAGGCTAGATCGTCCAAGTATATCTGCGATATTGTTTCGACATGGCCATGGTGTACTTGTATCTTCTATAGTCGGACCGGTACAAACCCCAAAAACGTATTGAATCAACCAGTCACGGCTAGATTTCTCCTGGCCCATTGGCTGTCAAGAAGTCAAAATCTGCTCCAAACTCGGCTTGCAGCACTGATCTTTGATACAGACCACGATAACCGCGTTCCCTCCGCGGATCGCGCTCTTTCGAAGCACGAGCAGCTTCCCGTCTTTCTCGTATGCGTGCTGCAATTTCTTCCTGTGTCAAGTCCACGTTTAGTCCGCGGCCGTTGACATCGCAAGTAATCACATCGCCGTCGCGGAGAATGCCCAACACCGAGTCCAGCTCAGCCGACTCGGGCGAGATGTGCAACACAATCGTCCCGCCCGCGGTGCCGCTCATGCGCCCGTCGGACAGCCTGAGCATGTCCTGCACGCCCTGGGCCGCGAGCTTGCGCGGAATCGGTATCATGCCGGCCTCGGGCATGCCCGGGTTGCCCTTGGGCCCGATGCTCTGCAGCACGAGGACGCTGTCGGCGTCCACGGCCAAGTCGGGATCGTCGACCCGCTGCGCCAGGTCGGCCGAGTTGTGGAATACCACGGCTTTGCCAGAGTGCCTCGTCAGACGTCGGTCTTTGGAGGCACTGGCTTTCATGACGGCACCGCCTGGTGCCAAGTTGCCTCGGAGGACCACGAGGGACGAGGCCAGATAGAGGGGTTCGTCGAATGGCTGGATGCAACTCAAGTTGCGCGGCACTTGGATCAAGGTGGCTGCCGCCATTTCCTCCCCAAGGGTGCGACCGGTAAATGTCATGGCGTCGAGTTGGAGCAAGGGCTTGAGCTCGTGAAAGAGTGCCAGCATGCCGCCCGAGTTATGAAAGTCGGTCATGTAGTTGTCGCCGCTAGGCTTGAGGTCGACGAGCAGCGGCGTGCGTCGGCCGACTTCGTCAAACGTGTCGAGATCAATGGTGCCCGCGACATCTGGATGTCTCCCGGCAATGGCCAGTAGGTGCACTACGGCGTTGGTAGAGCCGCCCGTGGCCTGCAGTACAGTGATGGCGTTGAGGAAAGACGACCGGGTCAACAGCGCCCGTGGCTTCAGCGTGGTGCTCGATGCGAGCGAGACGGCAATCCGCCCCGTCTGCTCGGCGATGCGCAGACGGGCTGCGGAGACTGCGGGCGCCGATGCACCGGCGAAGGGCATCATTCCCAGAGCTACGAGTATACATGCCATTGTACTCGCAGTGCCCATGACGCCACACGTACCAGCCGTCGGTGCAAGCTCGTCATTGATGGCTGCAATGTCTTCGATATCGATTGTCCCGGCTCTAAAGGCCGCCCAATTGTTCCGGCAGTCTGTGCAGGCTCCAACCCGCTGGCCTCTATGGCTTCCTGGCATCATAGGTCCCGTCACAAGATGCGCAACCGGCTTATTCGCCGAGATTGCTCCCATCAATTGAGCAGGAGTGGTTTTATCGCACCCTGAGATTGTATAAGCGAGTTTAAACATCCGCACAAGATAATCATATACATACCACCTATCAAGACAACAGCATCGCAGGGTTGAGCTTTGATCATTTCCTCGGTATCCATACTCATGAGATTTCGCAGATACATGCTCGTCGGGGACGCAAAAGACTCATGGATGCTAATGGTGGGAAACTCCATGGCCAGACCCCCATTGAACTGAACCCCGCGCTTCACGGCCTCCATCAACTGTGGGATGTTGGCATGGCACGGGTTGAAGCTAGAGTATGTGTTGATGATACCGATAATGGGCCGTGAGAGAGCATCTTCACTGTAGCCCATGGCCTTGATAAAGACTTTGCGCAAAAAGAGGGAGAAGTGTGCATCGCCATAGGATGTAAGTCCCTGACGCATTCCCTGCGTTGAAGTAATTGGCTTGGAGAGGTCATAGTCGGAATTTGGCTGGGTTTGTCCATTTGATGCATCTGTATCTTGAGCCACCATCTTGAATAGTGCATAGCGAATCTTGTACTTGGGATTAATTGAACATGTCTTGTCTCGGTTCGGGTGTCTCCCAGAATATTAGCTGACTTTCTCGGATGATGTGATTTGCTCACCCCACAGCAGTAGTTGGGGCCCGGGGGAAAACATTACCGAGTATACCAGCTATAGTGGCCGGAGATCTCCCCGATAATCATGGTGTGGGTGGGGTTTTATTCAATGAATTGGGTAGTAGCCAGAGGTGACAGTCACCCACTTTACATATCCGACGGATAAACATCCATACAAAAGACTCTACTGATTCGATGCATCAAGCCATCTTGGCCAATAGCTATACGTATGCCTGACTGCAGAGTGGATAGTGGTTGCTCTTTATTGTTTCCTAGTTCTCACCTGCTTCCGACTGATTCTACTATTGTTTCTGATCATCCGCTTTGACGACTGTCGCGGGGGTGTTCTTCTCATCAATATCCAATGGCTCGCCGTGGATAATCGCATTGATGCCAGTGACTTGGGAATGCACCTCTCCGTCAAACAGCGCCGAGACCTCTTCCAGCGACAGATTGCGAGTCTCGACCCAGTAGAAAATAATAACAAGCAGCTCAAAGACATCCCAAGCGCCATTAAGCATGTATATCTTCCAGCCAATGGCTTCAATAGCAATGGGAAAAGCAAAAATGGGAATGAGCAGGATCATATTCTGCCAAATGCCAAACCAGGCCAGACCGATATTGCGAATGCGGTAGTTGAGGATCTCGGGCGGGTAGATGAAGGATAGCGGCGTCCAGGCCAGGCTATAGGAGCCCATGGCCAGGAACATCATGGCAACGTTGGCGTAAATGGCGGGCTGGTACGTCGACTCGCCGTAGAACTTTGTTAGCGCGCCAATAATGAAGAGGAAGACAATACACAGCGCCGTCGATATCCCCGCGAGCAGCTTGCGCCCGACGCGGTCGGCGATGAGCGTGCCCCCAATGGAGACAACGAGGCAAAAGGCGTTGAGAATTATGTTAATCTCCAGCTGCAGCGTCGAGTCGGTGATGCCTGCATTGTCGAGCGCCGTGCCTAGGTAGTACGAAAAGATGTTGCTGCCCGTGAACATGGAAAATACAGCGCACGAGAGCACAATGAGCATTCTCTTGCGGAGAGGCTTTTGGGTCACCATTTCCTTGACCGATGGTGGTTCCAGATTCTTCTCAAACTCGAGTGACTCGACAATCTGTACATACTGTGCTTGGACTGTCGCTGCCGTGGTGTCTCCATCAGAGCATGCTTGTGCCAGGGCGAGAATGGCATCTTCGCGGCGACCCTGGTATGCGAGGTATCTTGGCGACTCTGGCACGAACGGGAGTGTGACGATAGATATAAAGGTGAACACGATCTGGAGCAACGATGGCAAGCGCCAGGCCCAGGTGGAATCCATCTTTGCTGTGCCATATGTGATGCCTGGGGAAAATTAGCACCTTTGATTGTTGTCCGTTAGGGGTTGTTCTCACCAGAGGACAAGAGACCGCCGACATAGTAAAGATCCGTAAAGGCACCCAAACTGAAAGTCCGATATTGCATGGCCGAGGTCTCAGCCAGCAAGAGAGGCGTGGCTACATATGTGCCGCCAACTCCCAGACCCAGGATAAACCGGGCGACCAAGAACATGGAAATGTTTTGCGAAGCCGCCTGGATTGCTGTGCCGATCATGGCCAGTATGGCTGAGTAAAAGAGCGCCGGTCTGCGGCCAATTGTATCGGGGATCTTTGCGCAAAAAAGACTGCCAATGATTGCACCAATCCATACAATACCTGAATTCAAGCCTATTGTCGCGGATGTAAGGTTAAAGTATTCAGTGTATGATGGCAGTATGTTGAGCGCATTCATCATGGAGGCATCGTAACCGAGCACCTACTCCGAAGTCAGTACATCCGATAAAATTGCAATGAAGAGCGATATTAATCACTTACGGTGGCTGTACTGAAAGATGTGCCCAGAAGGAGAGCGTTGACGAGTTTGGACGACCTTGGAACCCATGTTGGGAACGCCCTAAAGGCTTCAACTATTTTGCCTTTCGAAGATGCCATGACGAACACCAAATGAACAATTAGTCACGGTGAGCTTGACTTGCATGTACAATGGCACTGATTCCCATTCACGCATCAACCTACCTACCTCAGATCGTAGGCTGTGGTCTTTATACCACCACTACACATCAGAGCTGATAAACAGATACGCAAGTGGTTTTTGGAAGAGATGCCGGCGGCAGCATTATCGTCCTGCGCGGCAAGATAACACCTTTGTTCCCGGCAGAGGCGCCGCTATAGAAGGTGTGGAGTAGAGATAAAACAGTGGATTAGTTGATGCCGATTGGCCCTGCCATGCTGATAAGTACGATCCAGGTCGGCACCCGTGCAGAGAGGTTGTCCGATGGAACAGATAAGAAGAGTCCGGCCTGGGTTGCCTCGAGATACGGATTAAAACCCGCTCTCAGCTTGAAATGATAGTTTTCCATCAGCCCCTTTCATTGCGCTATCAAGGGCCACGACATACCGCACTAGGCTACAGCCAGGGTTGTCGTGCTATTCAAAGCACTTGGTTCTCCTGTCCATGTCAAGTCGAACAAGCCAGATATATCCCCAAACTCATCCAGTAAGAAGTCAGAATTGCCAAACATGGTGCTAAAATCTCCCTCCATTCCACCCAAATCCCCTAGGGGCAGGTCGCTGGAAAGCTCATGGGTGTTGCTGGGGCTAGTCAATGACTGTCTGGACTTGACCAAGCGCGTCGTCGCCTTCCCCAAGTCATCTATAATACCTTTACATCGCTTGGCCCCCGACCAGTGCTCGCCGATTGCACTGAGAAGGTTGGTGCAGATCGAGATATCCCCCATCCACGTATCCAGAGTGGTATTGTCCGCAATGCCCGGGACCATCCTGATGCAGTACATCATGGTGATTGCGCTCATGGTTATGGAGTGTAGCACTGTCCAAGAAGCTGCAAGTAAGTCTTGCTTGTAGAGTTCATCGTATAATCGGATAGCCATTGTCGCACTGCTGTAACACTGCGTCAAGACGTCTGGCGACGGCGAGGGTATCGCTGGACTCGGGCGGGTAACCAGCATGCGTATCTCGTGATATTTGATCTGGCACAGCATGTGTCCAAGATTGTTCTCACCGGGCTGGGCGCTGGGTATCTCAAGGTTCCACGCATCCAGGTTCTGCATCACGCCATCTTGCCATGCTGGGTAGTCGGCGATAAACGGCAATGCATAGGGCGGTGCGCCTCTGTTGATGCTGTTGGCAATATACTTGATCTCGGAGTTGATCCTTGCTAGCTTGAAGAGATGGATGGAAAATTGCATATGCGATCCATTTGAGACCGTCGATGGGGTACCTGGCGTTGAGAGTGCATCGTCGGAAATGTCTTGCGGTAACTGCCATCACTTAGTACCGAGAGATATACACAGCCCGATCATTGTACACGTACTCGCAACTCGCACGCTTCATCCCGGAGCCCAATGGGTCTCCCCACCGTCGTCGCTATAGTTCTGTCCAGTGTGTATACAGACCAAAACAATCTGGTTCGCATTTCTTGCTCGAAAAGGGAGACTCCTGATGATACATCAATCTTTCTCTGTAGCCCCAGGTCCAACAATGCAGCTATGCAATGATAGTTGAGATACCAAACACTAAGTTTGGCTGATGGGTTATGCATGGCGTACAAGGACATGAGAAGAAGACACTGTAGGCCTTGAAGAGAGTTTTGCACATTGATCTGGTCAAAGAACCGCATAGCCGAGATACCATACGAGTCGCTCAGAATACCCGGTCTCGAGACACGGGGGCATACCGAGGCACCGATGGCTAGCACCATGAAGACTTGAAATGCCACGACAGGATCGGGTTCCGATGGCTGATGCATCTGCTCCAGCATGTTCATGAAGGTTGGCCGGTGTAGAATTGGGTATTGGACATGAATCATGTTAAAATAGCTTTCACATAGAAAGTTGGCGCCCTGTCGAGATGGTAGGGGAAGTGGTCCCTGGATTGAATCAATAAGATCGCAAGGCAAAGGGAGCTTGTTGTTGGTCTTGTTGTTACTAAACGAATGAGTTGTCATCGTCCTCTCGGGTGATTGTAATAGTACACGGGCAAGGAACTGATAATCATAGAAAAGTCAGCCTGGGGCAACAGTGATCTCAACATGTCTTCCTTTTCTTCCCTTCCTTTGTTGTAATTTTATAGAAATGAAAAAGAGAAAAGATGTTGAAAGTCAGGCTTATTTACTCACATAACCACTTGAGGGCCCGATGTACCTGGCATCTTGCCCGCTGCCAAGTGCTATCAGGCCTATCTGATGCGTCGACGTGTTGGCATCGATAGCAATGTCGCGCCTAATTTCTGCGGGCCGAGATGTATCATTAACAAGCGGGACTCCAACCGGTTGGCTAGAGCCTTGGCTCTGGACGATATTCTCATTTGTGGCGTCTCTATCCGTGTGCGCACGTGAGTTTGCCTCCCGATTCGTCAGTTCGTCATCGGGCAACCCAAGGTCTTCGGCGTCAGACTCGGATGCCTCCATGGCCGGGGCATCCTGGGAGAGATCTATATCAGGACATCTCTCCTTGATGATGGACTCTAGCCATGCGATGCGATTTCGCAGATCGGCCAAGTGCCTGTTGTAAATAGTCAGCCCTACCTATTTCCTCCGCCGAACATGACAATGGCAGCGAGCAAAGGGCCTTACGCTCGAGGCAGACCGCGCATACGTGCACTCGCTCCATCTGCACATGCGATTCCTGCATTTTTGCAATTGCTACACGCCGGGAGAGCTCCATCACACTGCGAGACGCGGCAAGTCAACATGGAGGCCTTGTACACCGTACGGGGTAGGGGGGTGGGCTCGGCGATACGCACTCGTATTTTCCTCTTTTGGCATCTTTTACAAGCCAGACGTAGCCGGGGTCTATTCCGTCCACCCGTCATATCGGTCATGTGCTTCTGTGGCAGACATGGCAGAGTGTCCACGGTGGTCGAGGAGCTGACGGCGGAAGATATGCGAGGGTGCGGAGAAGAGCCCGAGGACGGACTTTTACCGTTGAACTTTAGTAGTGGACGAAAACACCTACACGCCTACTAGCTTACCCACAATGGCGCCGGACTAGTCCGCTATGATGAAGGACTCTTCCGCGGAAGCTCTAATAAGAGTTACGAATATGACAGCAATTAATTCGTATTTTTCTCTACGGAAAGCAGCTTGTTTGATACTATATTCAAAACTTGCAAAATGACAGAAGTTCAAGAGCCCAAAGTCTACGTCGAGGCTTCTGAAGCCAGACGCTTCGTGGAGGCCGTCTTGCAGGGCAACGGGGTACCCGCGGCCAACGCCGCCATAGTGGCCAAGTGCCTAGTCGCGGCAGACTTACGGGGCGTCGACACGCACGGCATCAACCGGATCCCCTCGTACATGGCGCGGATCCGGCAGGGCGTGCTGGACGCGGCGGCCTCGCCCGAGCTGCGCCAGGTCACGCCCGTGGTCGCGCACGTCGACGGCCATAACGGCTTTGGCTTTGTCGCGGCGCAGGCCGGCATGGCTGCCGCCGTCGAGTCGGCGCGCGTCTACGGCATTGGCATGGCCAGCGTCGCCCACTCGAATCACTTTGGCATGAGCGCCTGGGTCGTCCAGCAGGCCCTCGATGCCGGCATGATGAGTCTCGTCTTCACCAACTCGAGCCCCGCCTTGCCCGTCTGGGGTGGCCAGAGCAAACTCATGGGCGTGTCGCCTATTGCTTGCGGTGCTCCGGGCAAGGATATGCCGTTTATCCTCGATATGGCGCCCTCGATCGCCGCCCGTGGCAAAATCTACAAGGCCAAGAGGCGCGGCGAGAAGATTCCTCTGGATTGGGCTCTGGATTCCGAGGGACGACCTACCGATGACCCCGAGGCTGCTCTTGGAGGTGTCATGCTACCAATGGGTGGTCCGAAGGGATCGGCCTTGGCCATCATGATGGATGTATTTTCTGGCGTTCTATCCGGATCTGCTTACGCTGGCCATGTCACCAACCCTTATGACCCTTCCAAGCCGGCGGATGTCGGGCACTTTCTTGTCGCAATCAAGCCGGACCTCTTTCTGGACTTGGACGAGTTTCGGCAGCGTATGGACTATTTGTATCAAAGGGTTGTCGGATCCGATAAGGCGGCAGGGGTTGACAGGATCTATTTCCCTGGCGAACTAGAGCAAATTGCTCAGAGCGAGCGCGAGAAAACGGGCATACCCTACGTACAGGCAGAAATCGATGCTTTGAACGACGAGGCGCGCAAAGTCAATGCTGACTCAATCGTTATTAAGTCGACGTAGCAAAATGTATAGACTCAATTCAAGTATGCGGGCTCAGTCTGTTGTGACCTCGTGTTGTATCAGCATAGGCACTACACTTGTGCTTCCAGAAGAATTACACCGTGACCGCTCCTGGACTCTATCAGACGTACCAGGATTCTCGTATGCTTTCAAGATCATTCGCGCATGCGATGAGAATAAAAGTGCAGAGTACGTGTTAAGTGGCATGTCAATGCAACTTGCTTCTCAACACTGAATCTCGCAGTAGGCCTAGGAAGAGAAACGCTAGACCACTGTCGTAGTCTATTTGAGAAGCGAGACCTTGACTTCCCGACTCATCCCATCTATGTTTGCTCTTGACCCAAGCTTTAGAGATACAAATATCGAATGAACTATCCCTGAAGAATGACTGTCATACTTAGGCTCACCGGAATATCACTACGACAAAGGACTTGGTGAACTTGCATTTAATTCTTGGTACTAGAACTAATGCTCCTTGGTGTTACAAGTGACAAGGTGGGTGAGTAGCCATAAATTGTTCGATCCATGAAATGATGAGAGCCAACTGGAAATTATTTGTCAAGCGACTGCATCTTGTGTGGCTTTCTCTACTAATGAGGTGGTATACACGATCACGCCTTGGTCTAGAACAGTATCGTTTTGTAAGACAAAGCGACACAACGAGAATGCCGATAGGCTGTTGAAATCTTTGCATTTGGCCAGTCTTCAACAATGTAATGCTGTCGATTATATACACCATTGATCAGCTATTCTGGCACCGAAAGTAGTCTGTTTAGATGGGAAATATTGGCGGCGGTGAATGGTAAGCGGAAATGTCAACCACCTACATACCCTGGTGGGAATTTTAGCCCCAACGACAGATTGATTTCATAATGGAGAACAAAATGCCAAGCCGCCTGTCAGGTTCTCGAGGACTGCGGATACAATGCAAGATGATGCGGGAAAAAAGTTAGAGGGTTGTATCTGACTGTGTACATGTACAATATGCCCCAGCGCACGCGCGCAGTGCAGCCACTGAGGAGAGTACGATTTCGGCGATGGGGGCAGATTGGTGTAATCGGCTGCAGACGGACATGGAATAGCCTTGCGAGAGAGACAGACAATCCATGCAACCCAAAGTCAAATTCAATCAATGATAAACGTTGTTGCTACATTCATTGAATTTGTGCACTCATGCCGGGCGTAAACTAGCAGGGGCGTTTACAGAAGCTCTTCCGGGCCAGTTGCCAGCCTTATCCAATCTCACCGGCTCCATTGTACTACTGGCCGAGGCATACACGAAAGAAGCAATTTACACGCAACTTGACTCGCAATCTTGATCCCATACGTTAAGCACCGCGGTACCCATAGGTTTTATTCTGTTACCTCGTTACGGAACGGTGGTGGCCATAATAAATACCAACCGCTTCCAACGGCAACTGGCAAGCGGCAGGCCAGCCGAAGCTCCGTTTCAAGAAATACGGCATGAAGAACCGTTGAGGTCCATAATAACAATTTGGAATGCCTTGAGAGAAATCTCTCCAACCTCCATTTATGTTGCGTCTTCAAAATAGCTGAAATCATACTTGGCAGCAAGCTTGTGATGCATGGCTTCTTCTACTGCCGCCCAAGGCGTTTCGTCCAATGTCCACACGGCTGGTAGTGAAAGGTTTTGTTTATCAGACCACGGAACAATCTGAATCTGACTCCGCACGAAACTTGTGGTCTTATGCACATCATCATGACTGTGACCTGGCAATTCGGTCTCACGGTCAGACTTTTCGACTTTCCCGTTTGGACCGGCCGCACCCATGTGTTGACGGACTTTGCTGGCATCGTCATTCTTATTCTGGGACGTTATGCTACCTGCACGAATCATTCCAGCCATTCTGATCGCGGGGTCGAAAGAAAGTACCACCAGTACTTTCATGGCAGTGCTACCTCCTGCATTGCTTGTTGAATAGACAATAGTTCGGCAATCACCTGCCGCTGTGACGCTTCCACGAAGTCCGGCCGGATTCATGGCCTGATTGAGTCTCTGAAAAATGTCTGCACGAGCCTCGGCTTCCCTGTGATCAACATCAGGCGGCCAAAAGGCAATGCTGTTGCAATGAGCCCGACTGGCATCTTCTCGAGCCACTTGTCCATCGTGGGGGCCATGCTGTGCAGCAGCTTGTGTTGCAGCCGACGAGTTGCATGTTCTCGACCCAGTCCTGATCCGCAGGCGTTGTGTATCTGGATCATATGGGTGAGGATCGTCAACCAAATCCATAAATGTGCCACATGAATGAGAGTAAGTGGACAAATAAGTCTTGCTCCTGCTGAACATGGATGGTCCGTAATCGCCTGGATGGAACTGTCTTTCGGAGCTTCTGCCGAAATTGGGGCGATCACTGCTTCGGATCAAACGTACCAATGGTTCATCTGGCCAAGGATCGTTACCATCAATGCCGAGACCTGTGCTCTCAGGCCCGTCCCGCTCAGAGGTCGGGCGATCGAATCTTACATCCTTTGTGTAATATGTTCGTCTGTTTTCGCTTCCACCGTTCAGCCACTCGCGACGGCACTCTGTCAGCTTAATTGAGCCGTCCTCCTCGTGCTGACTGAGGGTGAGAAAAGTCCAGCGATCATCTATCGGTCCTTCCCTATGTTGCCTCCTGAAAGCGTCCCTTTTTTGCATGACCTCTATGCTTTCCCGGTTGAAGCCATCCAGTGAAACACGGAAGCAATAATAATAAGACGTCCAGTCAATCTCTTCCAATTCAAACGAGGTCTGATTGGAACACCCGTATAGATACTTGTCGAATATTTCAAAACACACGGCGGATCCAACTTCGTAACCAACCAAATCAGACATGGTCATCCTGCCAGCGTGAGACAAGTCTTGAGATTCCATGTTGTAGTGGTGGAGAATCCATTTGCGGTTACCACTTGCATCGTATTCCGAATGAGTACCATAAACCAAATCTTTTGCGTTGTTTCGTACAAAGAGGCGTATCGTTGATTCTAGCGGGATTGTACCGAAAAATTGCCGCTCTTGTGCATTGAAGACCATAAGCCAACTGCGGGGTGTTGGACGTGTGTAAGACAGCAGGCATGTTGTGATACCGGCTGCGTGGTACAAAGCTCGAAAAGTGTACTTTCGCCCAGTTTCGGATTCGGGAATTGAACGGGCAATGAGCCTTGGTATGTTGACGATGACCTCCTGATTATTGGTGTTTTGCAGGTCAAGAATATGGAGACGCTTTTCTGGACGGTCCCCTACAACATACAAAAGCCAGCCATTGTAATATATATAGGAGTCTGCGACCCCAACGATTCCCATTGCATACGGAGATGCTTGAGCGAATGCTCTTCGGCGCTTGACAAGTCTTCTAAGGGCCCTGTCAAAGCGGCCATCACTTTTTGCCTCGGCAGCTTCTGGTGAAAATGGAGCTTTCAACTAGGACAACAGCGTCAGCATAGCTCAGAGAAGCTGGTCAAGCCGGAGATTACCCTCAGAAGCATTTTGCATAGATTGACTTCCCTGACCAAATACTCAAAATGGTGGCAGGTTTGAGCCAAGTCGAAAATGGTCTCCAGTGATAGTTCTTGCACAATGTATGACAGGATTTCGTATGGTAGACGTTTGAATCCTGGAACTCGCGTGATCTCCGGCCCCTCTGAAGCATTCGTATGAGTGACGGATGCCGAGTGGACAATTTCAGTGGTATCATCATCGGTCCTGAAGCTGCCTGGCGTGAGAGTCTGAGAGGCACTGGCACTGGAACCTGGAGGCATCTGCTGGAATCTCCCACGATAATGGCTTCAATGATACGACCAAGAACATATGAGAACCCAACCTGCTGATTACATGAGAATGAGTCTGACGAGGACGGTAAGGCAAGGCTTACATGGTGAGAAAAGTGAAAAATGATGCAGAGGTCTTGCCCCAAGGCTCTTATACAAGTCTCAGTGGAGAGGGAAGTGAGTAGGTCCCCACCGCTGGTAGTGCAGCCAGCCTTACCTAGCCAGTAGGGCGTCGGAATGAATACCTACATTGGACTGGGGCGGGAAAGAAAATTGTTCGTGAACCGTTCGTACTGTCTCGCGTGCCACAATGGTGCTCCATTGACACGCCTGAGACAGAATGTCATTGTGGTCGTGCGGTTGCCATTTCCACGCAGCTGTGGCTGTTTTTTTTTTTTTTTTCCTGAGATAAGAAGAAACGGCAAGTTGTGGGAGAGAAGCAAAGACGGCGGAAACAGCCTCGGAAGAGAGCGTTTCTGGAGCTGAAACTCCAATGATGGTTATCAATCAGAATAAGCAAAGATTGGAAAGAGAAGAAAAGAAAGGCAGTACATTTCTTGTGGTCGCGACTTACTCATCGCATTCCTTTGGTGCTGAGAGCCTGGGCGACTCCTGCAAGGGGAATGGCTACGTACTTTACCTGCTTCCAGGTAGGCCAATCATGAACTCACCAACTGACTTCCATCGGATGCATGTATACTCGTCTCGGCACAGTCGATGAGGCAAGAGCTATGTCTCAACAATATCTCAGCGGTGACTCGGAGACTCAGATCGGCACTTGGACACATGACAACCTTTTCCTGTGTAAGTCGAAACAAAGGCAGAGCGATCCAGGTGCCCGCCCACCAGCCAGATCAGATCCTCTGTTGGCCGTGCAGTGCGGCTCAACAGGTGGGTCCTTATCCCACGTAACCCCTCCAAATTTTACAGCGGTGTACAGAGTACGTACATGCACTAGTATTCGCTCTGCTGCAGGTGCCAGGTGCTAGACCTCAGCCCGTGCCGCGGGGCTGGCTCTGCTAGGATCAACCGTTGCACTCACCCACCCGAGATCACCTTGTGTCTTTCCTGATTTTGATGAGTGATCAAGCCATTCATCATAAGGCTCCGCGCAGAGCCTCAATTTTTTCCCTCCTGACCGTGGTCCATCCCCTCACTGCATCCTTGACATTGATAGTAGATACATACGCCATGGAAAAGACCTCCCATCTCAGCAGGCCATGGGTCACGCACGATCCAGGTCAACGGAAAACCCCCCAACTTGATTTCCTACTCGCCAACCGGAAAGGCAACCGGAAATCGTCCCCCACTGCTCAACGGTCCCTGCTTGGCCGTAAGGCTGGGTTATATAATGAGGTAAACCCGTCCCCATTGCCTTTACTTTACTAGAACGGTAATATAGCCGAGGGTGGCCTGTTCCTGCGGCATTAGCAGCCGGAGCCTGGACCACCTGGTTGAGCAGAGCCTCATCTCGACACTGACGATTCACACCAATACCCGGGCGATTTCATTGGGGAGTACAAGTTTCATGGTCCATCACAAAACTACCTACATTGGCCAGACTTCAACCAGGCAAAACTTGCTAATTTTCATGAGCAGTCATTTCATAGAACTGATACTCATCACATGCTTGTATGAAAGTGGATGTTCTCAATCTGCACCTGTCCAGCCTTTTCCCAGGTATCAATCTGTAGCCTCACAAATGAGGTAGTCGGACCAAGGTCTGGAGCTACCCCGCAGCCCCCAAGTTGCAACACCTGAAAGCCCTCACACCATCATGGGTTGTATATATTCAACTTCGAGCGAACTGTGCATCAAGAAGGGAGCTCGTATCACGGATACGAAATGCCTTGTTGTGTAGACAATGCCAGCTGGTCAAATCGTACTCGTCGCAAGGTCATGAGACGGCATAAAGGTAAGGCCGATGATGAGACCGCGGCGCAGATCGCTGAATGATGGCGCTCTACGCGGTCGAATCAAGGACTTATTGGAACGTGTACAGGCCATTCATGAAAGGCTTGTATACGCAAAGGCACTTGATTGAGTGCGTGTTTGGTACTTATTGTAGGTGAGGCTTCAGGGTGTGGTAGTCTTGGACCCCAAGACGCATGTATTGCAAAGGGATTTGGGGATGCCTCCGATGCAATAAGTTCGTCTGGTGTTACAAGAAAGCCAAGATGTAACACATACATTCTTGTGGGATGCAAGTTTTGTCCAATTGGGACTTTTGTTGCGCTTGGCGTTACAGTCCACATCACTCAACTCGCTGAACAAGGCTGCGCTTCAAAGAGAGCGCTGGAGGCGCACTGCGTGCTATGATAGCACGACTCCGAATGAAACGATTCTTCGTGGCATTGTAATAGGCAATGCATGGTATGATGGCACTGAGCTGTATCTTCGTAGGGCAAACGTAGGATTAGAGGGCAGTCAAGTAAGCCACGATCAAAATGTTTGTGATGAGAATTTTCGGTGGATGTCATTATGGCCACGTTGTACCATTTGAGCTGGGCGCACAGGTTTGGCGTCACTAAAGGCGTCCGCAATGTCTCGTCGAAACGCAAGCCGATCACAGACGGATGAGACATTTGCCGATGTCGGCTCTCGCACAACGTCACCATTCTCAAAAAAAAAAAAAAAAAAAACCCCGTACGGATGAGAACACCGTTGTAGATTGAAAAGGAGATGCGGTGGAAAGTGCAATTTTGCTGCCGTGCCATGAAGATCGTGTGATGAAATATGAAACCTTGTGGCATACAGTACTCTAGTAAGCAAGACACAGTCAATCCGTTGATGCGGCAAGCACCATGCAATACTGCCCAAAACCAACAGGCACAATCCCATTAATGTTGGGCAATGATTTTGGCAAGAGAATCATTCGGAATGCCGTCTATGATGCACTACCAAAGCATAATTTCTCTCATTTGCCCACACGCGACACACCGCTCTGGGCTCCGATGCATTGAAATCCATGTGCGGCAGTCTTATTCAATAAAACAACGATAGTCTCCACATCACATATAGCCCGTACCTATTTACGCAAGTATTTGCGAGAAAATGCTCACGTGGCAGCCTCTCATCTAAATTGAATGATTCGGCACTTTCAACGGTATCCTGGTCCACGACTAGGAGACTCGCCCGGCACCTGTGGTAGCACAACTGAAGCATCACGAAGACAATTGTAGCATGGTTGTACTGCTCATCAGTACGCGAATGGATAATTGCCAGCACGCGACGACCACACTGATTTGAATGCTTTAACCCAAAGCATCGTCATCATGAGCGTCGCTGGAAGCCTAGGAGTGGGGCTGATATTACCTATCCCTTAGGCACTATTCTGTAACTTTTTATGACAAGTCGGGAAGATTTATATCGCCGTTTCTATTCTATTGACACCCAAGATTCCATTAAATAAAAACCCTTATCGTCACGAATATTATGTGTTCTCAAGGCTTCGCGGTCAAGGTGTTAAGCTGTTATTTGTGACGGAAGGCTTAATCCCAGTTGTTCCAGCATCTGGATCGGAGAACCAACCTCTCCGTGGGGTGATCTTTGTACTCAACCCTGTTGTATTTAGTAAATAATTCAAAAAGACAATGCGAAGGCTCAACATACAGTGTTTGCTGCCATAGATCTACATCATTCCACGCCACTCCGAGAAGCTGAGACAACAAGTTGGCAAAGCCATCTTTGTCTCTCTCTACTTTACGCATAACAGCAGAGTATATCTCCAAGGTCGTCAAGGCGTAGTCTGGGACAACGGCCGACTCTGGGGTCGCCATGCCAACAAGCGCAAACACCTTGTCGCGAATGTCGGTGCAGTGCCAGTCGCGGAAGATCTCAATCAATCGACTGAGTCGTGGAACTGGAGTATCAGGATGTCTCCAATGTGCTCGCTGCCAAACCATGGTGGCAGCAGCACTCTGCTTGATGGGTATCAGAAACTCGTGATGCGCAAACCAGTGAGCGTTTTCTATAGTCTCAAGCTTCAGATACAATGCCTCGATATCGGACCAGTCGGATTTCTGTGTGCCACACCACAGGGTGATCTTTCTCGCATGCAGCAATTCTTGAATAATCCACATTCGGCGCCAATATGGGCGCTCGCATAGCGCACTCAGGGCTTTCGCGGTCCTACTATCCCATATTGGGAGATATCCGCATCCTTTCATCCGCAGAGGGCTTTTGGACTGCTGTATCAAGAACTTCATACTGCAGTCGCTGTCATCGGCTTCGGGCCCCAACCAAGCGTATACTTCAGTTGCCTGCGCATAAATCGCCTTCATCATGCCCACTTGATGGTTCCGTTCTCGGACATCTTCCTGGTTGATACAAATTGCGTCGATCCAGAAATAAATCGGCTCCGTCAAGATTGCGGCCTGGAGACACAAGAACTTCCAAAGATTGTCTCCAATAGCTATGCTCCCGCCACGATCGAGCATAACTTCGTGTTTCACGGTTTGATCTCCCCATGTGTATGACAGTGCAATGTAGCTTGGGCATTCCCGTAAACTGTATTGGGAGAAGGAACCTTGGCATTGAACTTCTGATGCACTCGGTGAGAGTTTGAATAATCGTATCTCCTTTTTACTTGAATCGAGCGTCGAATAATGATCAGCTATATTGCTCCGGGGATGGCTGTAGGGACTCATAAGTCCTAGACGATGGGTATTGCGCATTGATTGTGTGGCCAGGTGCGCGTCTCCTGCTTGCAGGGCAACGTCAAGGTCCAAGAGGGGTTCTGCTCTCATCCATTCGAGAACCAATTGTGCCACACGATTGACAGATTCTTCTATCTCAATCCTGGTTTTGTCATCTAGTCTCGAGGCTATCGTGCGGGAGTCTTCTCCAAGTAGATGTGAGTGATCCTTTGGCCGATTGCAGCCCGGTGTTTCACAAATGGAGACTTTCTTGTGTGGGCCGCGATGACCTTCCCAGAGATAGCAAGCTTCTGTTCTACAATCAATTGGTGATGCTCGACTGGCAAGAAGATGCGGTCCAGTATGGTTGTTTTGTAGACAGCAGCCAGGTGAAGAGGCACATGACGGGGATAAGTGAGGTCCGTCGTGACCTTCCCGTTGTGGGCAGCGATGCCCAGTGGGTGATAAGTACTGACAGAGACTAATTTCATATCTATATTCATGTCCATGTCCATGTCCATCTCCATCTCCATCTCCATATCCGGACGTGTAGGTAAAGAAGCGGGGGCAACTAGTGACTAGTATAGGTGCTGGGTCTATCGGCTCGCTTGGCCTTGGTACGAGGAGGTGTATTGGTAAGTCTGGCGGGTCTGTAAGCTGTATCTTCTTGTGTCCAATTTTCGAGTCCGATAGCAACACGTGGGCCTTGGTCGGATCGTCAGGATTTGTTCGTACGTTTATCTTGTAGCGAGGTAACCAGATGTCAGTAGACGTGTGTGTTGGGCATCCACGTATAAGCGAGTTAGAAACGCTGCAGAAACAGAGGAGTTTATCGTGCTGGAACATTTTGGATATGAGACTCGGCAGCGGCCACTTTCATTGAGCTGGTAAGCATGCAAAATTTTGTTGATCTAGATTCGTTCTATTCTCCTTCTTTTGGATTCAAGGTGCGGGGAAATAGTCCTTGTATTTTACTTGAAGCCAGGTGGGCTGTGCCTGGGCGAGGCTGTATGCCTTTTGGATGCGCCGGCATGGCTTCTTGCGGGCCACCTATCACAATATGCCATCCGTTTATTGATGCATACAAGTGTGTGTGGCTGTGTCTTGTGATTTTGAGCTACTCGGTGGACAATAGGCAGAAGGCATACGTTGCCTCAGTGTCACCCTACTGGACAAGAAAATGTAGGACAATTGTGAGGGTGTACAACTTTTATCTTCATATTTTGGCTTTACTGCAATAATTGCGTCTTATCTGCATGTCGCAGCAATGTAAGCATTTCGATGACAACTAATCTGTCTCATGCGAATACAAAGATGAATTGAAGGATGGTCCACATCTAACGAAAACAAAGTGTGAACAAATAGACTTAACAAGCCCGTCTCGTTGCATCACCCGAAGGTCCCACTCTCGAAAACAAGACCAGTGACAAACTGTTTCTTGCTTTGATAAATTCAATTTATGAATTTGTTCTCAAGTGGTATCGTCTTTTCCAAAGTCAGACTGTGACACTTCATTGTGCCGTAGATCTTTGTGCTTAGTCTCTTTCGAGACGTACCGAAATTACGAGTTCCATCTTTCTCCAAGTCCTGGCCTGCAAGTAGCAGCAATTCGACTGGTTTGACGTGCAAATCAAACGTAGCCATAAGTCCGCACCAAGGATGTAGAAGTCTCTCTGCAGCTTGTGCAAACTTGTTGGTATCCGCAACGGATAATGGCACAGAAGTGACATCATTTGCTTGTAGCTCTTGTAGGCACTTTCTCGCATCTTTACAAGCTTGTTCCACTTCCGCCGGCGGCATCCCTATAAACAACGGGTTAGGATCTACCTCATGGCGCGAACGGTAGTTCAAGTCATATCCATTAAGGAGTATTCCTTGTCCAATAATATCATACGGGCTATTCAAGCCAACGCCGCGTATGACAAGCAAACCTTTCCCAAACCCCGTCTTCACAATCCAATCGTATTCCCGAGCTTCACTGCAAAGTAATGCCCCAATATTCGAGTGACAGAACAATGGCTGTGGCCAATACTTATTCGACACAATCTGCGATGTCATTTCGGCTTCGCGCAAGGTCGTTTCTCGATCGTTACGTCGCTCTGGGTCTAACAATGCCGTCAATTTGTTTGCAGAGTTTCTGGAGATGATTCTGAATTGGGTATCATAGATTCTGAAGTTTTGAGATGCGAGCCTTCCGTGCTGATCTTCTTCCACTTTCGATTCAACAGACCTTGCTGTGACTAGTTTCGCCATCTGTAGATCATCATGACAGATCTCGAGTCCTTTAAGGACCTGGTTGGCGGAAGAGCAATGTGCACTGAAGCTGAGAAATAATTCCGCCAACTCGATAGCAGCAGACGGCTTATAGACTGGCTCGATCGGCTGAACGCCATCGGGCCACTTGATCAGAGACAAAAGCCCAAAGACTCGGTCTTCTGGCTTACTGCACTTATATGTCTGATCAATCTTTTCAAACAACATGAATGGAGGCATCGGTGAGGCTGTGTCCATCTCCATGACGGTCCTGAAACAGTGCTTGCTGAACTTGAGAAATAGATCTCCGTCGTTGACACTTGAAGAGTCCCTGAGAAGTCGGAGACGAGCCGCAACATGAAAGAGTGTGTACACTTCTGATCTCGTAAAGCTATCATGGCCACAAAGGACCTCAAGCTTCTCTCCTGTCCCAAACGTGGCAGCAACTTCTTGCACTATCCAGAGGCGAGTCCAATAGGTCCTGTTGGCGAAAGCGAGGAAGGCTTTGCGAAAGCAAATGCCAAAGCCAGACTGTAATGGCTTTGATCCTTCGACGTAGTGCTGAATCAATTCGACGAGGACTCTCGAGCCGGTGTGGCCAGGGGGGCGAAAATCGATCACATGTTCGATCAATTGCCCATATCGTGAGGATATTTCGGGGGAGCCTTTCATGAAATCCAAAATTCCAGCAAGTTCATGACTGTCGTCGAGATGCGGACCTATGCAGGCCAACACTTTGGACGCTTTTGCATATATGCGGCCCATTGACGCAACTTGGTGACCTTTCTCCTCTGCATTTACCTGGTCGATGCAAATGGAGTCAATCCACAGGTAGAAACGCCCCGAAGGACTATATGAAGAAGCTTCGCCAGAGAGTCGAGCGTGATACAATTGTATTTGTGTCAAGGCATAATGACAGTTCTTTGTAACAGCCATCGGCCGAGTGTTGACGAGGACAGTTTGCGGGTCTTCAAGATCGCCCCATGTGTAGGATATCGCATGGTAGTGTGGTATATTCGCCCAAGAATGAATGCTCAGGCATAGCTCTAACGGCTTGTGTGGCTGCTGAGGGCTGATTTCCAGAAGGCGAATCTGTTCACCTGGAATTTCCAACTTATCATGTGAATACTGAGCACCAGACGACCATTCTAGCGACGAGGTCGTGTCGTCTTCACCCATCTTGTAGCTAAAATGGAGGTACCGGCAGGATTTGGGACGAGCGCGCGTTGTGGTGTTGCCGGAGTGCATACATGTCGCAATTATGACCAACGAAGATGAAAATTGCATGTTTATCGATGGATCACAAATTCTCACGGAGCCCGTACAGGCGGAAGCATCACTAACTGTGGCTGTGTCGCAACGCCCATGCATGATGATGTAGTCGCGTGATATTGCCTTTGGCTACATTTTTCCATTTCTGATGTTGTCAGTAGACCAAGGGAAAAGCATCAAGATTATTTGGCATCAGATCAAATCAAATCAATCGGGGAATTCCGACCGATATTTCCTGCCTAGAAGGAGTCAGCAACCCCCCGATGAGTTGCGAATGCTCGGGACGGAGTATGAAGAAGAGATTCGCTATGGTACATGTCCCTTTCAGCACTCATTGCGCCCTTCTACCTAACGCCTACGGTACCTGTTAGCGCCTAGCCCAAGGTAAAAGTTAAACGACCAGACGACTGGACACTACCTAAGGTTAGGTGACTTCCAGGACGTGCAATTTCTAGTTGCCGAGTCTTTAGATCATCTTCTCACACTTTTCTGACTTGACACTGAACAGTACGGTCTGCCTTTCAAAAATCGAAGGATAGATTTCTTCTCAATGCCTACGCGATAATCGAGCGATGGCTCACTAAATCAAAAAGCGGCCCGGGACCGGTCGCCTAATACCGGCAGCGGGGCGCTCGCGGGGTTCGGAGAGAACACCGGCGGACTCGTAGGCGGCTTGAACCAGAGCGGGGGATGGCGTGACCTTGGATGTAGTAGATCCAAATGAGATGGTGACTCTTCTGTGTTTTATTCTGCTATAACATTGACATTACTGGACATTTTCACGATTTGCGAAATAGCATAGAAAATTAAGCCGATTGATTAGCGCCAATCGAAATCTCGTTCAAGCTTGCAGAAGATATCGAAAATGGGCGCCAAAATAGCTGATGCAAAGGCAAAGCCACTGCCTCCTGGTGTTTATACTCCGGTAAGTATCGTAGCCAAACCTTGTCTACAACACTGATACTCACGCTTTACCCAGGTCATCACATTATACGATGACACTCCCACCCAACCCGTCAACCTAGAGGCCATGTATACGTACTGTCAATATCTGGTAAACAGTGGCATGCACGGTCTGGTGTACCTCGGGACAAATGGCGAGCTTGCCCTTTTAACTCACGAAGAAAGGCAAAGCATCATACGTACTGCTCGCAAGGCAGTGGTTGACCTGGGCCTTCCTGACTATCCCATTGTCGCTGGCATCAGCGCGCAAAGCACTGTTGAGACCATACAGTTTGCAAAGGAAGCTGCTGAAGCTGGTGCCGGCTGGGGTCTTCTTTTGCCGCCCAGCTACTGGGCAAAAGCACTATCGTCTGACGCTCTGATTGCCTATTATCGTGATGTCGCAGATGCGAGCCCAATACCTGTTGTTATTTACAATGTAAGTGTCTCTCCCAAAATTCATCTACATTTGGCATGAATTGCTTACTAGCAGTCAGTTCCCCGGAGTCACTTCGGGCGTAGACTTGGACTCAGACCAGCTCTCGGCACTGGCATCGCATCCCAACATCGTGGCCACCAAACTCACCTGCGGCAACGTGGGCAAGCTGACCCGACTGACGTCCAAGTTTGAGCCGCCGCACTTTGGCGTCTACGGCGGCAGCAGCGACTACCTACTGCCGACGCTGCACGCCGGGGGCAACGGCTGCGTCACGGGGCTCGGCAACTGCTTCCCCAAGTCGACGGCCAAGATTTACGACTACTGGGCGGCGGGCCGACTGGACGAAGCGCGCGAGTTGCAGGATCTGGTCGCCAATGCCGAGTGGGCGTGCAAAAAGTCTCTGTCGTGTACGAAATACGGGGCTTGGTGGTACGTCGGTAGGCAAATTGGGTTGAACGATGAAAGCATGTTCAAGATGCGCAAACCATATGTAGAGTTGGGCGACGGGTTGAAGAAATGGAGTCTTGAGACCATGAAAGTGTTGGAGGAAGTAGAGAAGAAACTTCCGGGGAGAAAAGGGGCATCGACGGTGAATGGCTCGTCATGATTATAATATTTGGCATATATACCTCAGCATATTCTCCCATGAATAGACCCCACATGATGTATTCTGAACAAGTCTTGGGTGACCCGATTCTGCTTAGGCGTCCGATGTTTGACAAATTGCTAATTTTTATGAACGACTCGTTCGACCAAGTTGCATGATAACAACAGGCAAGTAAAGACTTGGATGCCCCGATCAATTTCGTGGCTGCGATAGTTTCGAATCCTGCTATTTCCATGCTCCTATTGTGTCATCTTCAACTCTATGCGGTCCGATTGATACAATTACGAGCACTAATTCGATCAAATCTTTCCATTCATCTATTTATTCAAGCGCTTGTAGCTAGTCTGAAGCGTTTACAAACATCTCAACATCATCGATGTGCACATATTTTATGTTTTGCCGATGATAAGTATATGCCAGGTGCACACCTTTTTGACCCTTTGTCGCATCATCGACAAAGATACTTGGATAACTCAGTTCTCGGTTTGTACGCTCCACGGAATTGTTGGTCATGCAGAAACCATCGCCGTCCTCCAAGACTCGGTATTTCCAGGTAACACCATCGTCCTTGGACAGACCGACTGACAGAGCTTTGCGCGGCGTTCCCCAGATTGCCGCCTTGCCGCCGACCCCAGGCTGGTTCACCCTAGTGTCGTCTGCAGGAGTGATGTCGTCGTAGAGTCCTTCTCTTCGCGCCATATTGCTCTCGGCACGCGAGTCGTTGAACACAATGACGAGATCCCCGTTGGGCAGTGCGGCTGAACAGATGCCCGAATTGGGATTTGGCAGTGTCGTTTTCGCAGGAGCGGACCAGTTGATACCGTCTTTCGAGGTAGCCCTGTAAATGTTGTCTGCCCACCGGCTCCTGAAGAAGGCGACGTAGGACTTTTTCGTGGGGAGCGCAATTATGTTCATGTGTACACATCCCCTCGAGTCCGGCACTACGCTCTCTGCCCATGTCTTGCCACCATCTTTGCTGTACATTACTGCCGATACATCATCGCTCCCGATCCATCGGAAGCCGGGTGGAGCACGGCAATAAAAGACGGGCAGCAACCATGTATTATCCGGGAGGACAACAACAGGCTGCCGGACAAATGCGCCCTTCTTTTCCGGGAATGGCTCAAATGGCTCCGACCACGTTTGGGCATCGTCTTTTGAGATGCGAGCTATGATAGCTGCCTCGTCTTGGTTTCCGGCTGATTGAGCTGTATGGAAGAGCCATATAGCACCGCCAACGGGATCACGAAACAAGACGGGATTCTGCTCGCTGCGCTGAGCATCATGTGACAAGCGGACAGGTTGCGTCCACGACGAAGAGCCCGGGCTCAATCGCGATGAATAGATTGAAATATCTGAAGTACCTTCCTGAGTTCCACCAAACCAGACACTGAGCAGTGTTTTATCTGGAAGTTCAAGAAGGTTTGATGCATGGCATTGAACCGTGGCCGCTGGGATATTGTCGACGCGAGAAATGTGGCGATCCCCCGTCTTGGGACTGTGTGTTGCGAGTGTTGTTGTGAGAGACATGATGATCTGATTGCCTGTTGTCGTCTAGATCACTGGCACCATCCCTGAGATCATGCTTGAGCACTCTTATGTAGACGTGGAGTTGCTTCACACGTGAATGGCCCATGTATTAGACAATCCGGGGGGTTCAGTGGGCCAAAAGCGGTAAGGTATACAGTTGCGACAAGACCGGTAAAACCTTCGCCTTTAGCATACCAAGCTCGGACACTGAATCCCTCGCCTGAATGTGTTTCGAGGCAAGCCACCAGCTGATCTCGGTATTCTCTCCTGAACGTCGGACTTGATTCCGATGCGGGGGAAATCCCCATACTACCATAGGTCTCTGTCAGGGAAACCAAAGGCCTGGGACGCGCTAGAGAGGGTCGCTGACTCGCCCATACCCACCCCCACAACTTCAATGAATCTTACCCCATAGCCAAGCAGCCCAAGCTTTCTGGGGTAACGGTGCGAGTTGGCCTTGGCTGCTTGAATGATGGGTTACAATGGCAGTTCTCTGTGGGTTGAACGCGTACCAGACATCAACCCATGAAAAGGCCATTGCTAATGCCCCAAACTAGAGACCTGCAATACCCTCCAACTTATAAGTCAATGGTTCTCCAGAGCGGTTGATTCAAATCCTCGTCTCGACTTCCTGTTTTGTCCATATCTCATGGCACTATAAGCACCTATCAACTCAGAGACATCCGATACAGAACATCTCACTATGGGCGGTGGAACTTCTATCTGGGCATCCCCTGAGTGGAAGTCTGATCCCAAGGAGATATTCAACTGGAGACTATTCTACCTCACAGGCACTGTCGCTTTGGCAGGATGCTCCTATGGTTTCGACCAAGGTAATATTGGTGGCGTTCTCACTTTACCCAGTTTCAAGCGTGCATTTGGACTGGACGTGTTGAGCGAAGATGAAGCTGACCAGCGATGTACGTACCCTTCATGATGATGACCAACTTTCAATTCCTACTTGAGTACACGAATATAGCTAACACTAGTTAACACAGCCGGAAATATTGCTGCAATGTGTTCGTACACGATGACCCCTTTCCAAGAGACAATCAGACTAACACAAAGTCAGTGGCGGCTGGAGGTTCCGCTGGCGCCTTGATCGCAGCACCATTCGCCGACTATGTCGGTCGAAAATACTCGATGATCATCTTCGGGTTTCTGTTCATCGTCGGCGCTACTATGCAAGAAATTGCCATACTAGATGTTTTTTATGCTGGGAGATTCATTGCTGGACTGGCCATTGGAGCCACCAGCATGCTTTCGCCGCAGTATCTGGGAGAGAATTCGCCAAAGAGCATCAGAGGATCATTGACAACATCATACAACTTGTGCATTATCCTTGCGCTTAGGTAATACACTTGAAACTATATATAACCTTGATCGCAGATAACCTACTGACACCTCATGTCATAGTCTCGCCTTCTGGACCAACTATGGTGTATCCTTGTGGCCAACATCGAGCAATTTGCAATGGAAGCTGGCATTGGGCATCCAGATTATTCCCGGAGGCTTGATGTTTCTCATGATGTTTTGTAAGAAGCCCATATTTCACATGACTCTACTTGCAGCTGACTTCTTTCCAACAGTGGTGATTGACACACCGCGAGCCTTGATATCCAAGGGTCAGAGAGAAAAGGGTCTCCAGAACCTATGCAAGCTACGAAACCTCCCGACCGAACACCCATACCTGAAGCAAGAGTACATGGAAGTTTGTGCTCAGGTTGATGCCGAGCGGGAAATGACTACGGGTATGTTGACTTTATATGGGCAGGCTGTTGTGGCCTTTCAAGATTGTACCTTCAGCCGCTGACTCGCATCCTATACTTGTAGGGGTGAATTATTGGGTGGTCATGAAAGATATTGCCACTGTTCCCAGCAACCGCCGTCGATTCTTCCTGGCTTCCATGCTTTTCTTGTTTCACAAGTTCACCGGAACAGACAGTCTCAACTACTTTGCTCCGGAGATTTTTGAGATGATCGGTGTTCAAACCGGTTCTCTTACACTCTTGACCACTGGAGTCTATGGTCTGGTTAAGCTAGCAACGACTATCATCTATGTGGCATATATTGTTGACCGTGTTGGACGACGCAAGCCGTTGATCGTATGTCTCTCGATAATCTATGCCAGTGCTGTAGCTAATATTGGACAGGTTGGCGCTGTTCTACAGGCAACGGCCATGCTGTATATCGCTCTCTACGTCAAGTTTGCCAACCCCGACTCCACTGGTGGAACACCGGCAGGTGGCATTGTTGGTATCATCTGGATCTATATATACGCCTTTGGATGGTAAGTATTTCCCTTACTGGATCAAGACATGAAGATTCAATGCTAATGCACTTTTCCAGGTCCTTTGGATGGTCTGTTGCCCCATATGTGGTGGCGGCCGAAATCTTCCCCGCTCGGATCCGCTCGTTCTCAATGAGCTTCTGCTTCTTCATCAACTGGATTGTGGACTATGGCATCACCAAAGCCACACCACTGATGATGACAAACATGGGCTGGGGGACATTCTTGCTCTATGCAATCCTGACCTACATCGGAGCGGTTTATGTCTACTTCTGCATGCCGGAGCTGAAGGGAAGATCTATCGAGTCCATGGACGATTTGTTCCAACGCTCCATCTGGACCATGTGGAAACACGCTTACCCCACCGAGGAGGAAAAGGTGCGCCATGACGTGCAGGAGAAGATTGTGGGCGATCTAGCAGATGAAGAAAAGGTGATTGAGGGAAAGGATCAAGAGTCGACGGTGGTGCACGCAGAGAGATGCAATTAGAGTCCTCCTGATTTGGTCATGAATTGATGAGAGAGAAGAGACGGAAGTTTATGGGACTATGAATTCTATCTAGGTTAGAAATGCCAAAGCTGTAACTACGAGCGGAGCACAACCCCCGTTCCTCCCCTTCTAAACGTTGTGGCATTGCTCTTCTATCCACGTCCGAATCATCGCCATGTACCTAGTTACTTTCTTCTTTCTTCAATCAGTATGAGAATGAAGCAAATACGATGCACCATTTGCCACGTTGTGTAGGCTCAACAACTTCACCCTTTCAAGAAACGACAAGAGTTGAATCGCATCAACCTGCGCACTGATGCCGCTAGAGGCGCCAGCATTTCGGATGGGATCCGCGTGTCGCGTCCAACGCCCCTATCATGTAGCACGCTTAGGGGCTGACGGTGCCAGTCTGGGGTAATACTCCGCCAGACCCCGCGTCAACTTGAACCAGTTAGGGGCCTAGCTCCAGGCGATACCCACTAACTTGGACATCCCCCAAATGGCCCCATCCCCAGGGCTTCTCCACGACAAACTAATTCCACCGTTGCAGACTGGCAAACTTCCCCTCAATTTCTCCTCAGGTAGGAAATGACTCTACATGGTCAAGTGCAAGAGACTTCAAAGAAATCATGTCCAAACGGTCGTGGGATGAAGCTCTTCGGGATGACGAATCATCAATACAGCCTCCTTCGGGGGTTCGGAGGTATTCGCTCGTCGAGCAAAGACAGGCTTCTGCCAACGCTGTCCCAAGCAGCGATCTACTACCCCAATTTATTCCCAACATTTCTAGAAAGGTGAAGGCTTGTGCAGCATGTAGGAAACACAAGGTATGATGCGCCCGAGATCCAGGGTCTTGAGCTACCAAAGTATATGCTGACAATGCACTAGATCAAGTGCATAATGGACGAGTCTGGTCCCCCTTGCCGGAGATGTGACGAGAAGAAACTCGTGAGTCTTCTAGATATATGCACAAATAACTCGCTTCTAAGTAACGCAACAGGGCTGTGTGTTGAACAAGAGTCTTCAGACTTTGATAAGCGAGCGCTCAGAGTAAGTGACTGGCCAACTGCAAGTAGACAGTCTTTTGTTGTCTCAAACTCGCATCTGCAGGTTAATTCTGTTAACGACAATATGTAGATCATCTCAGGAACTGGTACATGATATCGAAATGATGCACAGTCATCTCCAAAAAGTCCTGAGCAGTCTGAATCTGCCTCCTCTTGGCCGCTTACAGAGCTCGAAACAGAGACTGCATACTCCAAGCTCCGAGGAACTAAATCACTTTCACCGTGAGGATGAAGTGCTACCATCGTGTGATGCCTCACCAAAAGCCTTACCTGAGGATGATCATGATCTACCAAAGCCCCCGATACAGTCTCTATATCACCTAACCAAGCTCAGCGCTCTGCGGTCTCCAGACACCACCGAATCAAATGAGGTACCAAGGCAGCACGGTGCAGCCATAGATGACTTTATTTCGAGAGGAATATTACCACTCGAAGAAGCTCAACGTCTTTTCAGCCTCTACATGAATCATTTGGATCATTTCATGTATGGCATCGGTGGGCGGCATAAGACGTTGGAAGCGTCAAGACGTAGTAGCCGCATCCTCACCGCCTCGATACTGACAGTCGCTGCGTTACATGATCACCAAGGAAACTCTCTCTATGGAATATGCAGCAAAGAGTTCAGGCGTCAACTTGCATCTTCATTTCTCAATCGACATATTGACAGAGACTACTTGAGAGCCATGGTGAGTGCAGCACACTCGGCCAACATTCTGCATAAATGCAGTTGTCCATGTTGACTTGGTGCGAATTTCGTGACATTAGCTGGACTATGTAGAGCCTAATACTGACTATGATTCCGCAGTGTATTGCCTCGTACTGGCTCTCGGAGATCAACTGGACCGTCTCAGGGTATGCAATCCGGCGGGCCACAGAGTTCAATCTCATGAGCCATTACAACAGAGCAATCAATGACGGCAATGAAGAGTCGGCAGACTTTGTTCGGCTGTGGTATGTGATGTATATCTGCGACCAGCATTTGTCAACGCTGTATGATCGGCCCTCTGTCATCCGTGAGGACCCTGTCATTCAAGGCTGGGGTGCTTTCCTCCAATCGTCCACCAGAACCAATGAAGACAAGCGCCTTGTAAGCCAGGTTGCATTGTTGAATATTATTCACAATATTCATGACCTCTTCGGGGCCGATAAGGGAGAGCCTGTGCCACAAGTCTATCACACGCAGATCGCCAGCTTCGGGCGCCAGTAAGTCAAACCTGTTCGCCAATACTGTGGTATATACCACTCCAGATCTGTAGCTAACTGTTCCTAGGCTTGATCAATGGCTTCGAGAATGGTCCACGGCACTTCCAGGTATGAACTTTGCAATTACTACTCACGCGTTGTTTAGACAGCTAACATTATCTGCCGATAGAGCACCATGAGCACATTGGGCGGTTTCCTCGAAAGGGAGTTTTGTTGCACTATCATTTCACCAAGTTGCATTTATACAGCCACGTATTTCGCGGGCTACAAAACGCCGACATTCCGCCGCGGTTCCTGGATTCTGCTGCTTCTGCAACCACGGCCGCTGTCGCGATCATCAACACCTTAATCAGTGACCCGGAGATTCGGCCCGCTCTGATCGGCATACCCTCTTACATGCATTCCATGACGGCTTTCGCAGCCATGTTCCTGGCAAAGCTGGTCATGACGTACGGCGACCAGCTCCTCGAAAGGACAGTCGTCATTGATTTGATCTCCAAGCTTATTGACTTGTACCACTCGACTGCAGCTGGCAAATTTCACCTGGTGAATATGATGGCAAAAGGACTGGAAAGGATAGTCAAGACCTTGAAGGAGTCCTACCGACAGCAAGAAGTGAACAGAAGTATAGATGTCTCGTCAGCTACGCTAGATCCAAACGCTTTTCCAGACTTTGGAGATTTGGGATTGGATGGCGAAAGTGCCTTGTTCGACGCAAGCTTTCTGACGGACTTTGACATGAACCTTGGTGCTTCGATAATACACCTTGGCAACGGTCCAACGGCATTTGAAACGACCGATCTTAGTCCACGTTTGCTATAGTGTACACATTGATCCGGCAACAGCCCTTCAAGCTTCAGCGACAGCGATTTAGGTTCACGGAAGAGCTGGGGAGAACGGGTTGGGTATAGATCATGGTTTCGCGAAGTGTGGCTCGTTTAAGGATGCCCTGGCTCTGACGCATCCACGTTAGACCGACTTCCGGGGAAATATTTATATTTAGACAATTCGAAATACTCCGTAGAACATGAACTCAGCCTTTAACTCTCTCCAGTTCACAAACGTTGCCGGCTCGACTCATCTGGAGCTGGTTGTGAAGAGGGAAGAACCTTCCCAACCCATCAAAATCGAGGACCCTCAGCCCTGGGGTATCATAGCTTTAGGCAGCATCCTTTTTAAAAATCTGCGAAAGTGGAAAGAATAAGCGAAAAAGAAAAACGTGGAGAAAGAAAGAAGATAGAGAAACAAATTAGAAAAGAAATATATAAATTTTTTTCTAAAGTAATTTCTTGCCCGAGACTGGCCCCTGGAATTATGTCCGATGCGGGAAATGCTTACATGAACTGCCCCGCAGAATTGCATTGTGCCCCCGGCGTATCGGGGAGAATACCGGGAGTCCCCCCCGAGATGGATGGCGATCGGAGCGGGGGCATTACCAAGCAGGCTCGCTTAAACCAGTCACCGATCGATCACGTAGATGTCATCAAGTCTAGGGCCAAGTTCGCGATGCGATATAGCTTTTTTTTTTTTTTTTTTTTTTACATAACATCACTGCTCATTTCTGCCGCCGCCTAATATCACAATTAGCTACGAATTATTGATCAGCGATTTTTCCATCGCCAATTTCTGCATAGATCCAGAGCCTATAGCAATAATGGAATACACAAGGCAAGATGCTCCGGTTTCATGTTCTGAACATTATTCTAAAAGACTTTAGGTTAGGCACCAGTGGCCTCAAAATTTCCAAGGTCATTCTCGGCTGCATGACCTTTGGGTCTAGTAAATGGGAAGGCTCGCCTTGGATATTGGACGAGGAGGAAAGTCTCAAAGTCATCAAGACGGCTTATGATCATGGAATCAATACGTGGGTAAGGTTCTGGAAGAAACAGACGCGGTCATTTCTCAAGAAACTGACATTTCTCAAAAGGATACGGCGGATACATATTCAAATGGAAAGTCCGAGGTGATTCTTGGGAGAGCCCTGAAAAAGTTCAATATTCCCAGGAGCAAGGTGGTCATCATGACCAAGATTTATAATCCCGTCATGGACGATGAATCACGGCCAGCCTCGGTCAACGATGGGCCTCTGGTGAATCAGATGGGTTTAAGCCGTAAACACATCTTTGAGGCCGTGGATAAGTGTCTTGAGCGGCTGGGCACAGACTATATCGGTAAGTATCCGCGATGGCCACTAATACCTCGTCCACGGACTGACACATTACTCCCAGACGTTCTGCAACTCCACCGCCTCGACCGTGAGACCACGCCCGAGGAAATCATGCGGGCCCTGCACGAGGTCGTCATGAGCGGCAAGGTCCGCTACCTGGGCGCCTCGACCATGTGGACGTGGGAGTTTGCCCGCCTGCAGTACACGGCCAAGCTGCACGGCTGGACCGAGTTTGTCAGTATGCAGCCCTTTTACAACCTGCTGTACCGCGAGGAGGAGCGCGAGATGCTGCCCTTTTGCCGCGAGACGGGCGTGGGCGTGATCCCGTGGAGTCCCCTGGCCCGGGGCATGCTGGCCAAGCCGGCTTCGTCGTCGTCGGCGGTGGCGTCGGGTGGTAATGCGGGTGAAGGCAGTGTTAGAAGCCAGACGGATACCAAGACGCGCAAGTGGTTCGAGGATGCGAACCTGGAGATTGTTGATGCCGTTGAAAAGGTTGCCAAGGACAAGGGTGTCAGCATGGCATTGGTGGCGACGGCGTGGGTCTTGCACAAGGGTTGCTGGCCTATTGTCGGTTTGAACAATGAGAAAAGGATCAAGGAGGCAGTCGAGGCGTTGAGTGTGAAACTGACCGATGAGGAATGCCAATATTTGGAGGCCGGATACCGTCCGAGGAATGTGGAGGGTATGTAGATTTGATTCCAACTCTATAACATCTTGTGAGATATTTGTCGTGGATAATTGCCACGAACATTTCCAATTTCGTGTTTAGACTTTGGTGCGCTGCTTTAGTAGAGATCAAAGGCTACACTTGAAGCTCCTCAACATAATTATGGGAGTCCATGCGATGGTTGTCTTGATAGAACAGGTGCATGAATAACCAGGGCAAGTGGACACTGGTTGTAAATACGTGGCATTCGTAGAATGCATCATCTTCAACTATCTAACATGAATTAATAATTCTCGATGACGAATCTATAGCTTTGCCCCTCCTTTTCTCCGTGGTATGCTCGGAAACCTGTTTGATTGCCTCACCAGGTGATCAATGTCCGCAGTGTTGAGAAGGTCAGGTGTAGCTTGCTCCAGGCTAGTGAGTCCGCACAATCTCATGGAGACTTCAATCTCGTCTTTCAGAACTTGGGACTGTCAGCATTCATGTACACATTCATAATTGAAAGGATACTTACTTTGGGTGAGATGTTCCGCGCCTTCTTGGCCATGTACCAGAGAGTAAAGATAGGGTCTTCCGACTCCCACCGCCGTCGCTCCCAGGGCAATTGCCTTGAGAATGTCTGTGCCGCGCTCGAAGCCTCCATCTACATAAACCTCGAGCTTTGAAAATACCTCGGGCGCTTTGAGCCCCAGCTCGAGGAGGTTGAGTATCGCGGGCTGGGCGCTGCAGACATGTTATGAGCCAGATGAAGGAACACCGACAAAGAATTCCACTTACGTGTCCAGTGATCGACCACCATGATTACTGAGCATTATGCCTTCGACGCCGTACTCGACGGCCATTTTTGCGTCTTGCACATTTTGCACCCCCTTGAGTACAACCGGGAGGCCGGAAGTCTTCTTGATCCAAGCCAAGTCAGACCAAGTAAGGGACTTGTCAATGTACTGAGCCATCAACCGCCCAAGGCCACCGCCCTTCTTGTCGTTTGTCGCCTTGGCCCCGCTGATGGCGGACTGGACCCCTTCTGCTGCGATGCGCTCATCGGCTTCGCGTTTCCCGGGGACTGGCGCATCTACCGTGACGAAGATGGCTTTAATCCCTAGCTCCTTGGCTTTCAGAAGCAATTCCGTTGTTTTTTGTCTTTCTGAATTCACATAAAGTTGAAAGAAAAACGGCTGCTTCGGATCGCCTGACTGCACAATGCTTCCGAGTGGATATGACGCATTATTTGAAATCTGGAAATTTTGTAAGATGCCAAAATTGACCTGGTTTTGACTTTCTTTCAACTTACACATTGTATGATGCTCTCTGTTTTAGCTGCTCTGGCCAAGGCAAGCTCGCCGTCTGGATGGGCTAATCGTGCCATGGCTGCTGGGCTTATGAAGAAGGGAGCACTGCTGTCGCAACCCAGGATTCTTCTTCGATAGTCGACATGCTTGACATTGCGCAAAATCCGTGGTTGGATCATGATACGTCGCAACAGGCTCTTATTCTGCTGGTGCGTGATCAGGTCGGTAGCTGCCGATGAGTAAAAGGCCCATGTTTTGGCCGTCAAGGACTTGCTGGCTGCCTTTTCAAAGTCGGCAGCATTGATCAGGGTGTGAAGCTCTGGTAGGCCGAGCGCATCTGGGATTTTTGCCACAACCTTCTGATCATTCGTGACTTCAGGCACGGCTTCCTTGCGATGAACAACATGGCTACTCGCTTCTACCGCCAGGGCCCCTTTCAGCTTATCGTCTGACAGATTCTCTTCGAGTATCCCAGGCGCATGAACTTCATCAAATTGACGAGTTGCATCAGTCCCCGCGCATTGCAAAAGAACTGTGTCCATTAGCATCATCTCGACCTTCACTGAGGATATGAATGCTTTAGCTCACTTTCTGATCCGCCTGGATGCTCGTCAACGAACTCTGTGAAATCCCAGACCTTTGAATGTACTGCGATCCAGCAATCCTCTTTCCTATCATGCTTGCGCAGCTCGTCAAGCGATACCTGTGATACAGCCATGTTCTAATGCTTTGGCAATGACGATAACGCTGTGCACTCTCAATAATGACTGACTGCAGGTGAACAGTGTAAGTCAGTGGAGATGTCTCGATTTAGATCTTGTCCGCCACCCTAGCAGTCATGGTTGCAAACACCAAGATAACCCCTTGCCGATCCCCTGCTCACTTCCGACTATTGCCAATGAGCATTGCCCAATTGAGGATCTTAGAGTTGGTCGTGGGGTTTGCCGGCGTTGTCGCATCTCGGTCTTCTGTCCGATCTCCACACATCATCCCCTCACTACTCTCTGCCGAGCGACGAACACCTGCACCCGTCTCCCCGCACAATCTCCAACTATGACTATAGTATTCGGAGAAGTAAGCCATTGATGCCGAACAAGATGCATTCCCACTAGTGATGCACTAAAGGTTGGATATTGTTGAAGCAATTCTCAATTAGAGTATACCAACTGTTTGGGTCTGTTCAAGAAACTTTATCTAATACCTGAAAGTTGCAAAGAGTCAAGGCAGCCAGTATCAGCTAGAGACACCATGTCTAAACCAATTGTCCTCCATATCGGGGAACCCATCAAGTACAACCACGAGTTCTACGAAAATGAATTTTGCAAACAATTTCAAGTGGTACGAAATGATTGCCCCGACCGTACGACGTTTATACAGGCCCTCAAGGACAAGAAATTTGGCGATTTTGCCGCCATTTATCGTCCTCACTTTCAGACGGGCGGCGAGATGGGAGACTGGGATGAAGAATTAATTTCTCTGTTACCAAGTTCCGTACGGATATTTGCTTCAGCTGGCGCAGGCTTCAACTGGGCTGATGTCGATGCCTTGGGTCGACGAAAGATATGGTACGCCAATGGCGCCGGTGCAAGTGACGAGGCTGTCTCGGATACTGGCCTGTACATGATTCTCTCAGTCTTTCGAAACTTTACACGATCACAATTGGCAGCGCGAACTTGCGACCCTAACCAGTTCAATGCCACGCACAAGCTCATAGCCACTATATCAGCCAACCCCCGGGGGCATGTCTTGGGCATTGTCGGGCTCGGAAACATTAGCAAAAAGCTTGCCTACAAGGCAAAAGCGGCACTTGGGATGGAGATTCACTACTACGATGTAGTGCGGGCGCCCGACGATGTCGAAAAGGAACTCGGCGCAGTCTTTCACTCCTCTCTACACGACCTCCTATCTATCGCGGACTGTGTCAGTCTGCATACGCCACTGAATGCGCACACTCAGGACCTCATCAACGCCGATGCATTTGCAGCCATGAAACCTGGAGCAAGGTTGATCAATACCGCACGAGGTCAGGTCGTCAATGAAGAAGCACTGGTACAAGCCCTCAAGAGCGGCAAGATATCCGCTGCGGGCCTGGACGTGCACTATCACGAGCCGCAGGTGTCAAAGGAATTGGCAGCCATGGAGAACGTGACCCTCACTACACACATTGCTGGAGGAGCTCTGAACACAAGAATCAATTTTGAGCTCAATGCCATGAAGAATATTCTGGCTGTAGTTGGGCCGACGGGACAGTTTATCGGGGAGCCTTTGACACCTGTAAATAAGCAAGCCTTTGAATCGGTGCCTGCTTAGATGAATAGAAACTCAGATGGTTTCTACAAGATGATTTCATCACAGATAGCCACTCAAAAGCAATAGACATTCGTAGAAGCCTAGGTGGTCTTGTGTGTAGGTTCAATCTGGCCATGTAAATATTGTCAATATCTACACCTGAAAGCTCCTCTCTTCTGCTTGCAACGTTGTACCAACCACGGTGGAATCAGAATGATGCGCATTGATGCGTCACGGCACGACAGGATAGCCATGGATTTCTGACCAGGCTCCCTGAACTCTGCCAAGACAGGTGTTATTTCCATGTCTTGTGAATGGACGGTCTTGGCCTACTAGTCACCGCCACGTCGACACCGTCTCGACCGTCTACATGGTATATCTCAAGAACGGTGAGTGTCGATCTTTCTGGGGTCCCCGCAGATACGACGTCTCGGATGCGGGGATAAGCCTCCCTTGGAAAGAGGAGCGCTCTTCTCTCCGTGTCTCCAGGGCCATGGAATGGGGCCATTATAGCATGATAGGCGCCAGTGCACCGGACACTAGACTCGGATATAGTCAGCATTGTATGGAGACGCTCGAAACTAATGAACCTCTTATGGCCAAGCATCGCCCAAAGTGATCTTCCCTATCAATGACTGAAACTTTACGGGAGTAGAGCTGCTTCCAACATTGCTCCAAGTCAACATCATGTCCGACACAATCACTGCCCCGAAACACACGGCAGAGCACGTTGACAAGTGCACACAATTGCTTCCGGATGAACTCCCATTGCCAGATGAGATTTCTCATTTGACACAGGATGATCGGAAACGCCTCGAGCGTCAGCTAACGCGGCGGTTGGATTTCACCATGATGCCGGTTGTCTTTATACTGTTTCTTCTCAACATTCTGTAAGCACGATGGAAAGAGTACGAATTCGCGGAGAATCTTACTAAACCAGTTCCCAGAGACCGCAACAACATTGCTAGTGCCAAGATTGTCGGCCTGACCGATACTCTTGGAATGACCAACGAGCAATACAATACATGTCTGCTCATGTTCTATGTTGGATGTGAGTGACGCTTACCTGTGCTCTAGGTGTCTATCGTAGCTAATGCTTCATAGATTGCATCACCCAAGTCCCATCCAACATGATCATCGGAAAGGTTCGACCCTCTTACTACATTTGTCTCGTCACCTCGCTTTGGGGTGTGCTCTCGATGAGTCAAGGATTTACCAAGAACTTTAGCCAATTGGCTGCTGTGAGATTTCTTCTTGGACTCATTGAAGGTTCGTGGTCCGTCGTTCCGTGTGCGCTATACAATCATGCTGACTAGCTTTGCAGCGCCTTTCCTGCCGGCCGTATTTGTGTTGATGAGCTGTTGGTACACTCGAGCCGAACTCCCGCCCCGAGTCGCGATCCTCTATGGTGGCAATATGATGGCAACGGCATTTTCGGGGCTTATTGCTGCCGGTATAACGTCTCGAATGGAAGGGGCTGGAGGCAGACCAGCATGGGAATGGCTCTTTATCATTGAGGGCTCCATGACTGTTGTCATTGCCGTCCTGCTTCTGCCCCTATTGACAGACTATCCGCTTCAGAGCAAGCACATGTTTATTCCTAGAGACTTGCAGCTGATTGCCGTAAGTAGACCCTAGCTCAGCTCAGTACATACCGACACCGTCCACTAACAATGGTGGATAGGAATGGCGCATTCGCAGAGAGAATGCCGGTATTGCCGACGAGGATGTCGAGTCCATCTGGTGGGGACTCCAACAAGCCCTCAAAGACCCCAAGCTGTACATGTTTGTCGTCATGCAAATGGCCCTCATCACGGCTCAGTCTTTCAACAACTTCTTTCCTTCCATTGTCGGCACCCTTGGCTTTGATTCGACCAAGACACTACTCCTCACGTCTCCCCCTTACTTTTTTGCCTTCTTCGTCTCGCTCGCCGTATCATTCCATGCATCGCACAAGCATGAGCGTGGTTACCACATTGCCGTTCCCATGGGCTTTGCTCTCCTAGGCAATCTTCTTGTAAGATTGAGTACTCTAGACATGGCGCTTTCACCATTTGCTAACAGCCACTCTAGGCCATGTTCGTGCCAACCAATGGCGGCCGCTACTTCTCCATGTTTCTCATGACTGGAGGCGCCTATGCCCCTTATAACCTGTGTGTGAGCTGGGTCAGTGCGTCGCTGCCACGCCCACGGTCGAAGCGTGCTGCCGCCCTGGCCATTGTGAATTTCATGTCGTGAGTAGCACCAAAGCTTCCAATGTTTCCTTGGCATCATCGACTGACTCTGAGATGATAGTGCTGGAATGGCCCACTGGTATACTGCCTACATGTTCCCCGACAGCCAAAAGCCGCGATATTATGCCGGCGGCGGTGTCATGTCCGGCGCTTGCGTGGTCTGCGGAGGCATGGCGATCTATCTCAAGTAAGCACCCAACGTTTTCTCAAGCCAGTCATTGCGAATTGGAAAGCTGACTTGACAAACTTCCACTAGGCATTATTTGAAGAAGCAGAACAAGATACTAGAAGAAGAGGAGCAGCACGGCTCGGTCGGTCAGAGCCAAATCACAGGTTCCAAGGCTGGACACGGGGGTGAAGCTGTTGTTGCGTTCAGATACGTGCACTAAATCATGCGTACCTACATACCTAACCTAGGTAGGTACCTAAGCTTGGTGGGTGGCAATAGAAGCCGACGCACAGTGTATATACTCATTGAGCTCATGAACAGGTAGCAATTAACATCGTGACATTCCCTGGAATCTCAAGAGCTTGACTGCCCTATTTCTAACTATAAAAATGAGTCAGCTCATCGCAAATCATCATCCTGTTTCTGAGTTTATTGCAATTGTATTTGTCTCGTAAAGTGCTGGTCGTGGCGTTTTGATGGCGCCTCCGTTACAACTCCACCCCTGCTACCACAGGTAACTAGGACCACCGACCTGGACGTTAGGCGCGCTGACCGACTGTAAGGACTCAATTGGCAGTACATCACAGAGTACCTAGGTACTACACAATACGTACACAAGGTAGCATCTTCAGGTGGTGCCAACAGCCAACGAAACCCTTGTATGAGAATGCATATCCGGTACATAGTCACCAATCAGCCACAGCGCAACATGATGCCCAAAAAATGCCCAACAGCTCCTATCAAGGCTGAATGCGGGGCTCGTTGAAGACTTGCATGGAGCATTTGGTAACGACGGTCGAGACGCTGGATTTACTACTGGCCACAGCCTTCCTGCTCGAGAGAATGAAAATCTACCCAAGTACCTCACAGTTGGTGAATTATCACGCAAAACACTTCTGGGCGCCTGACGCAGGCGTCTCTTCACCTGTGCCGCAGCGTAACTCCAGGATTTAGTCCTGCCCGTCTCGATCCGACTCCTCGAACGCTACTTTCCGACTCCAAGAGCGGAAAAAAAGCACGACTACAGGCGATGGGCAAATGATAATACTACTCATATTTTGTCCATAACATGTGCTATTTTGACCAGACTCTCTGGCAGTGTGGCTTTTGGCGGTGGGGTCGCTTTCGAGAGCACTGCGTGAAAGAATATCGGACAGAGGAATATCGGGCAGGGGAGATTTGCGGTTTGATGTTGATATTCCAAACTAACTTCAAAGAGGGAACCTGCAAGCTCTGCAAGGATATAGAGGAAGAACAGGAAAGATATAATAAGCTCGAAGATGATATACTCCGATGGCAATCGGAGGGTAATCGAGATGAGGCTATCGAGAAGGCAGTAAGGGATATGGCTGAGGCCGGAAACACCATCTTCTCGATGCGGTCGAAGCACTGGACTCGTCAGAACAGTTTTGACGCTGATACCAGTGACATCGATGATACTGACGAAGAAGGTCCACAGCCGCTCGATACCATCTTGATAAGTCCTTTCGCCCCAACCACCAGTCAATGGATGCCCACGTCAACGACACGTTCAGAAGATATCCCGAGCACAACAGCCGAGCTGCCACAAGCCGAGCCCGACGAGACATTATTGGGGGCCGCGGTGTCTTCTGAATCGCATATAATGACTGAAGATGGCCTCACCGTTAATGCCCCAAGCGGCTCATTGAGTCCCAGCAGCTCAGTGGACTGGCTAATGGACGATCCCGAAAGCTTCTCTCCTAACCTATCGCCAAGCCCGGTGGCTTCTAATCTTTCTAGATCGCGACGTGGCTCCTTCTCCTTCGAAATGCCCACTGCAAGGATTCGATATTTGTCTCCATCGTCACGTGCTAACGTCTTTGAATTCGTACGACGCTTGAAAAAAGACTTGACATGCGCATTAAAGGTTGATAAGTTGGATGAGCGGACCCTTGAAGATCTATCGCTCATTCTCCCGGATCTTGTCAAGGTATCTTTGATCATGATGCCTCGCGATTTCGCAACACTGGTGTTCCGTGATATCAGCGATTTTATCCTCGAGTGAGTAAACACCTAGTGAGGCGTGATACTGGACAACATGCGTGGCTGATACGTATCGCCAGTGACGTATGCTTCTTTTGGCGTATGGTTGAAACGCCCCATGAAAGCAATATCACCGCTCCCGACGAGTCTACCGATCATCGCATCAATCTGAGTGTCGATGATAAACTCGAAATTTCTCATTCGAGTGCTTCAGATGACCATGTCACTCGAGGGACTAACAGTACAGCTGTCGATGCCATATACCACGCGATTGCAGACTTGAACATACCAGATGAGTTTTTTCCCAATATGGAGTCCACGGGAGCAGCTTATTCATATCGTTGGCTCGTCCAACAATTGTTGATAAGATGCAGACTTGTCACAGCAGAGCCGAAATCAGTAGAGGCTATTTCCCGAAGTATCGCCTCTTGCGTACCACCAAGCAGCATCCTTAACTCAGAAGTTCAGACAATCTTGTTTTATTTTGACTGGGACCTAAAGGGCTTTATGGAAAACCAGTACCGTGAAGCGCAATCATCTGCTGCAATTGGGCGGGTCATCACTCTCACCGGCTCATGTCAAGACGCACAAGCATTGACTTGTGCTCAATATCTTGAGCAGACATGGCCAATGACAGGCAAAGTAACATTACAGTTGATAATGGATCTGCTTGACTCGCGGCCGGGTGCCACGGTCGCTGGTAATTATTTCCCTCTCACTCCTTCCTTCACACAGATGCACATCCATCGAATTCTCGGTTTCACACTAATTTATTCATCAGGTAATTATGATGAAGGGACTACGATTCAAGCTGAATTCTTTGGGCAGAACTTCATGGCAACAGTCTCTGGCATTCAACCCACAATCATAGAGATCGGTGAACAACTCTCGTGGCTTGGCGCTGCTCTCAGAGAATCTGGTCGCACAAATGGACTTACACAATGCATTCCAACCATTGAAGAGCCGCATTCCAACACGCACCTATCGGCCTTCCGAGACGAGATTCGTATACAAATCAAATTTCATTTGCACGATGTGGAGGACTTACGACCGCTTCCTCCTGGTTGTTGTTGGCACAAGATGTTCAAGAACCCAGTTTTAGTCAACGGGTTTCCCATATCACGCAAGACTGAACCGCAGACAGGCTTGGAGACACCCCTTGACATGATGGCAGCGTTAGCAGGCACCACGAGCGTGGATCAATTTGGTGGGACACTATGCATCAAAGGCTTTTCCTCCATGGTGGTTCCCGTCAGAAGAAGCGGCGATTTCCTCTTTTGGCACTTGATATACAAAGAGGATGCTAGTCGCATATCTTATCTTGACAACACGCAGCCTCCCATTGAGGACCTTGAGCTCAATGACTTGGAAAACTTTCGTCATGTCCTCGGCTGGTGCTCGGACGCCAGGTTCTATGCAGGTAAGAATTGCTTTCAACCCGCCAAGGCAGCATTTTCTGATATAAAAGACCAATAGGTTCAGCCGAAGCCAAACATCCCGTCGGCAAGTCAGCTCTTCCTGCGGTAAGCAAGGAGTCCTTGTTCGGCAGGATTTCTCTATACTCAGGGAGATCATACATGATTGGCGCTCAGGACATTCCCTTGCATATTGCGAGGGACGGTTATTTCTCCAAGCTCATATGGATTTCTAAGAGATTCGTGCTGCTTTGGGACGAAGAAGACAAGAGAGCTTGGCTGACTATTGGCACGGATGTATTGTTGCATCTGGTTCGTGCTTCTCTGAAATTCGATTCCGTCGGCGACTTCAAAGACATTTTCAAGTTCAAGAGTGAGAATTTGATAGAGTCGCCAAAACCACTCAAGCCTGGTTCAGCAATCTATGTGCTTACTCGAGCAGAGAATCGAAAGTTGCCGATTTACCCCAGAGATGGTGGTTTCGTCAATTTCGAAGATCGGGTTGAAATCTTTTACAACATTCTAGAAAAGATTATTGACCATCAAGATGAGACTTCCAGAGGTGGTCAGGTTTTGCAAAATCAACCTTCACGCGAGCTCCAGGGGTGGGACTTTCGAGACTTGGCCACCTTGCGCGACCCGCTCTACCCACGTGTGGCAGAACTGTCAGCGGATGGGAAATGTTGGGTCGACTTGGTCCGGTCCATTCAAGCTGTAACCGTTTTTGGGCGTGACTTTGGTGAAATCATTCTGCCAAGTACCAAATCGCAATGCAAGAAATGGGCACGCTTGCCCAAGGACAAGTTCTATCTGGCGGCCAGTATTTCTAACCTCGAGCCTATCCTAGAAGCCGATGCAAGCCAGGTCATTCCAAACCCGACAGGACTTGGTGAAAGCCTCATTTGGTTCAACCCAAGCACTTCAAGTTCTACGCTTTGTCAGTGTGGTTGGGGCAATTGCGACCCTGTGCAAACTCTACTTCCAAATTCATTCCTGGAAAGAATACCTTCGACAGACGCTTCTATCCCTTTCGACCGATCGGGAGCTGTGATATTTGGGCAGAACTTAACGATGCCGTGGTTCTGGAGAGGCGCTGACCCGGCCAAAGCGATTAGTCCCTCACTGCCAGGGACTTTTGGCCAGGGCTCGGTTAGTGTCCGCTCTGGTAGATCCAGTAGTAACATCATTACTGCCTGGGTGGATGACGAAAGTCCTCCGAGGAAGCAATATACTGTTGCGATACTATGCGCGCTGTCAAAGGAGCTCAAAGCAGTTCGCATGCTGTTTGACCAAGAGTATCAAAATCCTGATATTGCCGTCGAAGACACAAATTCCTACGCATGCGGCCGAATCGGTTTGCATGACGTGGTGACTGTGAGCCTGCCGTCAGCTACATATGGTACAAATGCAGCCGCAGATGCAGCCGTGAATTTGAAAAGAAGCTTTCCTTCCATTCGATTTTGCCTTCTCGTTGGCATAGGTGGTGGTGTCCCTTCGTTGCAGCACGATATCCGGCTGGGCGATGTTGTCGTGGGTGTACCAGCAGGCAGGCTACCTGGAGTTGTTCAATATGACTTGGGAAAGTCTCTTGAAGGAGGAAGGTTTCAAGTAACCGGATCTCTGAACCGACCACCAAACTTTCTCTTAACCGCCATCAGCAACTTGACGTCTGACCCTCGTCTACCAAAAGACCCTTTGGCCACTTCCCTTGACATCATGGTCCAGCGCAATTCCAGCTACGGGAATCCCGGGCAGCATAACGATACACTCGGAAGAAGTATATGCCAAGCATGTGATGTAGGAGACTTCTGTGCAGAGACCGCCAATCATATGGTGACAAGGGAATACCGGGAACATGATCATCCAGAAATACACTACGGAATCATTGCTTCCGGCAACAGGGTGATCAAGAGCGCCGCAGATCGAGACCTTTTGGCCAAAGACGATGATATTTTGTGTTTTGAGATGGAAGCAGCTGGTATTGTCAACACCCTACCGTGTCTGGTCATTCGTGGCGTATGCGATTATGCGGACTGTTCCAAGGATAAGAAATGGCAAGAGTATGCTGCCGCCACGGCAGCAGCGTATGCAAAGTTGTTGCTTGATTATGTTAGAGCTTCTTGATAGTTTGAAAGGAACGGTATCTTCACAGGCACAGACACTTGGGGGCATTTCTTCCCTTTCCCTCTTTTCTCGGCTTCTCTGTTCTCTTCGTCTTCTCCTTTTTCCCCTGTTTCTTTCTTCTTTGCTGGTCATTTGGCGGTTGCATTTTGGTTGTGAAACCTTAGGCTCATTCAAACAACCGATCCCGGCGGCAAAGTCGCCTTGTCATCGCGATAACGGATTCGGTTATGCGCTACCTCCATGCGAGATAGTCAGAACATGGAATAAATAATTCTGCGCTACCAAAAGTATTCACCAATTCACAAAAGTAAGTCAGAGGTGATGCTAATCGCTTCGCCATATCTAGCATTAGCTCAGCTACAGATACTCAAGCCTTCTATCATCTCCGTCAGCTCACAGACAAGATTCTCGTATACAGCCTGCTGCAACCGGGGTTTTGACAAGTCATCGCCATAGCCAAAGTCACAGTCCAAGCACTTCTTTGTGAGCTGCTGGTAGCGCGGTCCGAGGGGCGGGACTTGAGAAGATAGTTTTCGAACAGTGAAAACATCATCTGGGGAATTAATCTTGGACCATCGCCCAATCTGGAGTAGGATCGCGCCCAGGCTCCACAACGTCATGTTGCGGATTCCGTATTGAATACTAGCGTTCTCAACCTCCTCGATCAAGTCTTGTGATGTGTCGGGTATATCAATCCCTTGCATGTATGATTCAGAGAGTCTCGTACAGCCCTTGCTGTTGTGGTCTACGCTGAAGTGTAGTGTTCGCAGAGAAGAGGATAGATCAGTGTCCACCTCAAAGAAATGAAAGTCGTCGGCGACAAAGTACTGCCTCAACCACGGTGTAGAATGAAACTTCAGGACCGCGACCACCATGTTGCGCGCCAGCCTGAGCTGATCAACGACGGTCATTGCAGACTCCATTGAGCGTCCAAACATTTGGCTCATGAGAGCAAGCTTTTGAGGTTTCAGGCCCTTGTTTTTGGCTTCATGGTAAATTGAATGTCTGAAACTTTCCGGAAAGGAATTTTCCATGTAGCCAAGATACCGCGGTACCGAGGTTGCAAACAATCTCGACCGCTCTTCAGCTAGTGCCAAGCATATGTCTGTCCCAGTAAGATTCTCACACATTGTCGACTGAGACTCCGAGCCCTTGGGAGTTGGCAGTTGGGCCACAACCTCGCTACTCTTCGAAGCAGTACAGTCGTCTGCGAAACGAACTCTTTGTCGCTTCCTATGGCCGTCGTCAGGATCTGATGAAGGAGGTGATTGGGGTCTGCTGTCCACCCATTCCATTGTTTGCGATCGTACTTGGATCACTCTCAGACTTGGTCGCAATAAGTCTCTACAACAAAGTTAGAAGGGTTGGAGTTTAGAAAGCGTTTTATTTGACACTCACAGAGCTGCAGGGTTATGTCCGTGGCAGAGAACGGCAACGTCCATACAGACCTGCTCCTCTACCTTTGCATCAATGAACATTTTGACGCTGTGTCGTAATCCGATAGGACCATCAGACCAGGTATTCTCGAATGCACCATGTAGAGCTTTTGAAGCGCTCCTGATAAACCCGTAGCTGCCATATTCGAGACTCGATTGTTTTCGAATTTCTCGTGCTGGCATCTTTAAGTCCCTGATCTCACTAGCTTGATTTCGGAGGCGCCTCAGGTCGTCGTTGTAGTTACGTAGATCTGTATACGAGCTTTCGAATTTGGACTTGTCCCAGGCTATCTTCAGGCTGCTGCGAAGGCGTCGGACAGCATCTTTTAGTAGTTCGCCCTGCTATGCTTAGTGTTTTGGCCGTTCGTGTCCGGTGTCTAATCAATAACGTACATCTTGACGGAGCGACTCGACTTCATTGAAGCTTTCCATTTCATCTTGGAGTTCTCGGACCGTGCTGGAGATCTCTTCAATTACTTCGAGGCATGTTTCGTAATTCTGTCCCAACAAGGATCGCAAGGATCTTTCCAAGTCATGACATTCCCATTTCCAATGTGCGGGGTTTTCCATCATATCTTGGACCGTGTGGTCATCTTTGAGCGCAATCTGTATCATCAGATGCAGCTCATTGTGGAAGAATTGCCGCTGTCGATTTAGATGTTTGCGCAAGCGGCGAATTTCGCGGGAGTAGTGACAGAATATCTTCATGCGCTTGTGTAATATGCTGTACCCCTTGATCGCGGTGAGTGCAAGAGGCAGTATTGCGAGAGCCAGCGACGCCGGATCCATTGTCGCGATGACGAGCACTACTGCCTAGAAGGATACACGAGTTGAGAATGCGATCTTGATTTCTGCAAGTGCAGAGCGAGGGTCTCGAGGTGGCGAGAGAGAAGACGGATGCGCAGATTGGGCTGAGCTGAGCTGAGCCACGCACTTGTGTGACTGTAGGGGTCTCACCAATGGAAATGCAGGCTCAGCTGCATAGCCGCAGCGCTGTATCTCCCCCGCTCATGATCAAGTGAGTTTGATGTATCTCCCATTCCCGACTTCAGGAGGCATTCTTAAAAGTGAACAAGCTTTATTCAAGCCATCCTGGCCGATAGCTGAAAGATGCAATCGCTCAAAGCACTGGATACTCACGATGCGACACAAAAAGTTCGCCAATTTCTCGAAAAGTCAGAACAGAGTGTCACCAGTGTGGAGTCTGCTGAGCTGAGCTTTTCGTCGAGACTATGTTCAAATATCCTTGAGCTCTTTCGGGAAGTCTTTCTGCTGCTGTCCAACTCGGATACTCCTTTCCTATCACGAGCAGAATATATCAGTTTGGAACGCAGTTTCGGTCAGCTCAAGCTATGGTCAGATGGATATGGCGTATCGACCGGAGAGCTGGATGATCTGCTTGACAAATCGAGACTATTGCGGAGGGATACTCTCAAGCTTCTTCGGAGCATTGGAATTAACTTAACGGAACGTGAGTAGCTTCTCATGATTGCTTATGCGCAATCATACCGATAAATCCGCGGGTCTGATCATGTTCCCGGTACTGCTTATAGGCCTCTTACCGCAGCTCTTCGGCAAGTCTTCCATGACGGAGTCGCTGGGACTGATTAGCAATGGATTAAAGGCTGTTCTTGAGTCGTACCACGACGACGATGGTGAATCAACGTCCAGCGGCGAATCTGACGATTCCTTGGAGGATAACGTTCAAGAAATGACAAAGGACCTTCAAACCGATACTCTCTGTTTGATGGAGCTCGGCGAATTATTCAGAGAACCCGTTGTAGACAGTGTCAGGGATGCAGAGACATCGGCTTCGCACGAAGCTTTGTTGGGTTGGGCGCCATATCAAGCCTTCTGCGATAAGGTCGGAACTCGGTTTCCTCTGGCTGTCCAACTTCTGGTGGCCCGGTTAGGGAAGGCAAACTACGAAAGATGTATCAGGTGCCAACAATTACGACACAATCAAGAGATCAAAACGGTAACAGAAGACTCGAGAAATCCGCCGTTGTATCTTGCCCCGAAAGGCTCAACGTTCCACGACTCAGGCCTAGGTTCCTCGATCCCCTCTGCCACCTCTTATGCAGAGACAATGTTGTCGTACGGAAGCACAAATGGACGTTCCGTACATGTTCCTGCCCTCCCTTCTGACGGAAAATCTAGGAAGCCATTCGCCTGTCTTGTCTGCGGTAAACTCGTGAATATCTCAAACAACTCAGCCTGGAAACAACACATCTATTCCGATCTCCGGCCATGGCTTTGTCTTGACATGTCGTGCTCAAATGGAGACACGTCTTTTGAAAATAGAAATGACTGGATCTCTCATTTGGCACTGGATCATAACCTAGAGCCTAGGTGGAGGTCGTTCGAATGCCCTTTGTGCCATGCTGAGACTGGAGCCGGAAAGGTCGCAGTCACGAGGCACCTCGAAGCTCACCTTGAGGAGATCTCTCTTGCTGCACTTCCCATTGATGTGGACTCTGAAAGCGACTCAGAGAGTGACGATGAACGCGATGCTGATCTGGGGAGCCGTGAAGGTCAATCCGAGACATTACTGGAGGCAATGCTAGCTGATCCCCTGGCACCTTTGACACCCGCAGAATACGGAATTCGAGGTTCCCCGCAATACAAAAGCAATTTACGTGCAGTCCTGGACTGGAGGAAGAGTATGCTCAGCGGCCCCCAGCCGTCGCCGCTCGTAAGCAGCTTTTCATTTTATTTTCCCACCCAATTCGCACTATAACAGGTTTTGTTGTTGTTTTTTCACTACCTTTTTCAATAGATAACTGACTCTTATCTCAGAGAGAGAACTTACTGGCAGAGCTCGATGACAAGGCAGATCAAAGACCTATTTCCCAGATCAAGGGAACTTCGGACTCTCCTGAGAAGCACCACCAAAACACGGACAGCAGCAATGGAGAATGTAGCGGCGAACGCACTCCTGCAGTGAAGCCCCTCCCGACACATTCATCAGCTCCATTAGGCCCGAAGGCGTTCGATGGCACCATAACGGATGTGTACGGCGATAAGCTGTACAGCCCGCACTCTGCTATTACCGACACTGCTGGCAATGCTTTAGGTTTCTCTTCGGTGACTCCCAGTCGGCCTTCTTCGCCGCTGGGGTCGAAGCAGGGATCGACGACTAACCTGCAAGGTGCTACGGGCAACCAAGCCGATAGCAATACCCCGACTACGTGTACAAACTGCTTCACACAAATCACTCCACTGTGGCGCCGTAACTATGAGGGCCAAATTATTTGCAACGCCTGTGGCTTGTTCTTGAAGTCGCGCGGTTTCGCTCGACCGTCGAGTTTCAAGACGGACGTTATCAAGAAGCGTAACCGAGGACCTGGAGCCAACCCTCCAGTCGGCGGAACAAGCACTACCTCGGCTTCGCCACAGACACAAGCGCAGATAGTCACGTCGCCAGATAACAGTGTCTTTGTCCCAACGCCCCGCGCTCGCAAATGACCAGCACTTGAGTGCAACGCAATCAAGCTCGTTGGGCACTGACTCGCCTCTCCGTCATGGTTCACCTCTGGCACCGCAGATTAGGCCAAGCTTGGTGGATCAGATGCGAGAAGAGCAGTGGCAGAATTCTGCATTTCGGGCCAGGCATCTAGAACGCAACACGAATGAGCGGCGGCTAGACCCAGCGAGTACAATTTCTCCAATGGACGGCATGTGGAGTTGGCTGGGTGGAAATGGGCAAGAGCGGCGGGGAGGCCCAAGACATATGTAATGGTAATTTAGGGCACTACGGTTTATCCGTTCCCTTCTCGCCTGTTAATTCTTAACTTAATTGACGGTATTACCATAATTTCTTTTAGGGGAACTTCCCTAACTTTCCCAGCTCGTCTTTGTAATTCCCCTATTCGATCTTAAACAGAGTTTTACCGATACAGATGAGGCATCCGACTTTTCTCTTTTTCCTCCGGAGGAGACGAATGCCACAGATCTTAAACAGAAAGGGGCCTTGGATTCGTCCCTTATTTCCTAATTCCAGTCAAAGTGGTGTAGCAAGGGAATTCGAGCACAACATCGGTAGCAGCTGTAGATGTAGATGCAGATGGAGCAGCAGCTCCAGAAGCAGGAGGCTAAAAGATAGAAGCAGAAATAGGCGCCACAGAGAGCCATCAGCCCAGATACATAGCCCATGCCGCAAAGACCTGGTAGTCATAGGTAGAAAGGGTCCCAGAGACGGAATAATTCAGTTTCCTTTGAATTGTTTGAGACATTGTATTTGATAATTCATTCCAGGTATCTAAAGAGCGGTCTGTGTGCAATTCAGCTCAGCTGTCCCCAAGAATATGCCAAATTGAATATCTACACATTGGAAAGGAGTTTGCAGGTTTCTCCTTCAGCTACACATTTGAGGTCTTTCCACTTGCTCTTGACACGACCATGGAACACATACAAATGTCGCTCAGTACCCAATATCATTACTTGCTTCGTCCTTTCTATTAGTCAATGAGCTCCATCGAGAAGCTCTTCAATACCACTGAGCCACCCAAGGACTGTGTCGCATAATTGAAGGCTGCGTAGCGATAGCCCACAAAGTATGACCAAGTATTGATCAAGAGGTAAGGTTCGCCCAGCTGTACCCAAGTAGTGCCATCGGTACTATAGCTAAAGACAGCCGGGCGGACAGGCTCGGCGTTGAGCGCAGGAGTGACGTCTGCCGTGATCTTCAAGTACACGATCGAGTCCGTGATGGATGGACCCGTGGCTGCAATGGTGCCGTTGGAGGCAGTCGCCCAGTTCCAGTCTATCAACTCCAGTCCATTGACGTAGACAAGGGCAGCCGTGTCGCCGGTCTTGTGGATGCCTATGTAGGCAGAGCGATCGCGAAAGATGGCTGCGCCAGCGCGGTCACCCTCAGCCATTTGGCTGATGTCAAACTCAAATATGGCTTCCGATTTCGGACCAAGCACTCGATGGGTGAGAGTGTTGCGTGCAGAGTACAGGTCATCTGTGATAGATGCAGTCTCGAGAAGAATCCCGCCTCCCTCGACCAAGCTCCACTTCGATGGATCAGGATTGTGATTCCACTCCCATTCCTCGCCGAAAGTTGTGAACGTGTCTAAACCGTTCGGCAGCTCAACCGTCTGACTCGTCGAGATGGGCATCTCATATTCAGGTGCCCAGCCACCTGTGCTATTTGTAATAATGTACGGCCATCCGTCTGTATCCCAGCCGACAGGAGCCATGACGGGGATGCGGCCTCCCGGACACGCGTCCATGAAAGCGATATAATACCACTGGCCCGTCTGAGTGTCTACCATGCCGCCTTGATGAGCGTAACCAGCTTCAGTCAACGGAGCAGGGAGGTTGTCAAAGAATTCATGTTGCTCGTATGGACCCCACGGACTGGAAGCCCGGTACGCCCATTCCCCAGTGGCCACCTTGGTAGGCATGATCCAGTAGTAGCCGTTGATCTTGTACATGTGACTACCTTCGATGTAGACATCCCCTCCGGAAAAGACTTCCTGGGTGCTGACTTCGCTCAAGCCGTCGTTGGATAATTGGGCCACGGAAATGTTTGTGTTGCCGTACGCAACATACATAGTATCGTCATCATCAATCAGGAGACCACAGTCATAATAGCACCGGTCGATGACACTTGCTTGGTGCCAGTCCCAGGAAGAAGCCTCTCCGTTGTTGGATCCTGCACCACTTCCAGACGACGTGTAGATGTACGTCTTTGAGTTTTCGATACATCCGATCCAGTAAAAGGTGTCAGTAGACTCTCGGTATCTCACGGTACTAGCCCATATGCCCTGAACATAAGCGCGGCTTTCGTTGTCGAGGTTGTATTTATCCCCAAAATCCAGAGTCGGTACGCTGTGTGTGGCTGGGGCCCAGTTGACCAAGTCGTATGATTTATACAGTGGTGCGCCAGGTGAATAGGCAAAGGTAGAACTCGAGTAGTAGAAGACATCACCAACGCGGAAGACATCGGCATCTGGCATATCCTCCCATCGAATCGGATTGGTAAATGTCGAACTCTGACGTTGCTCGACGACCTGAGTCGGCGAGGCATTGATCAGGTCAAGAAGAAGCACGCCTACTAAGGCCTGAAGGGGTTTGGTGAAATACATGACTTGTTGCTTGTCGCATTTGTTTGTCTCATGCTTTTGATAGTATTTGAAATGGGATTTGATCTGTGCTTTATATACTGCACAGATATTTGGTTTGTGGATAGTCTTTGATCAAGTATGGAGTTCTTCAGCATGGGACGCGCACCAATTGGAAAATTATGAGGTCGCAAGGACGTATCATAGCCGCTCCAAAGGTCTCTACCTCGGATGTCTACATTTGTCTGATAGATCATCAGAAGCCTCTTGCCAGTGTTGAGCGTAACATTGAGACGAGCTTTCACACAATGATCCGATTTGACCCTGCACACAGCTTTGCCAAGCTCTCCAACAATAGCCGCACGAATATCATGGCGCCTCGCGGACGAACTCCCAATTAGCAACTTGATGTCAATTTCTTTTGACATTAGTCTGTAACTTTGAAGAGTTCTTTAGCAAATACTATCAAGCCAATACTCAAATTTTGGTTTCCAATGGGAATTGCAACAGTCTAACCGACTGTGTTCATACAAGTTTTCTATCCGCCATGCGCGTCAAGGCATGAACACGGATTGGAGCGTATACTCGACCAGTGTCTTGACCCACTAGTCATCACTTCCGACTCGAGATGTCATGCTGATACTGTTTGACAAGGCTTGACAAGGCTGTTCCAAGTCATAAAAGCCTTTGCACGGAGACTTGGTAGAAGATTTCATAACAGCCATCGGGTTTTCGGCGAATAATGATTTCAGAATCATGTATCGGGGGTTTTATTGCCTGGTGTGTTTGCAGGCAGTGAAAGAGGCCACTGGTGAGCTCCCCACACGCACTAATCACCGTCCGGTTGAATCCCTGCTTAGCGCTCACTCTATGCACCAACTTCGACGTCACTTGGTCATTAAATCCAGCGGTCCAGTGGCCAAACCTTCTCACCACGTACCTGCGTCGTAGGTAGCTTTGCGTAGCTGTTCGCGTGCCCAACCATCACGAGTCCCTCCAGGCATCATAAAGTCCAAATATATACCCGCCTACATTTCTCATACTCCTTGGCACATTCTCTACATACAAAAACAGCTGCAATAATGAAACCCATCATCGCCATCCCGGCGACCCTTGCCCTCGTGTACCGGGCGTACTCGCACAACTCGCTGACGCCAGCGGGCATCGCGGCCGCGGCCATCACCGCCGCCATCCACGCCTACCACCCGTGGAACCTGCCGTTTGTGCTTCTCGTCGTCTTTTTCCTGGCGGGCACGCGCGTGACCAAGATCAAAAAGGACGTCAAGGCGCAGCTCACCCTCAGCGCATCGCACGGCGGCGGCGGCGAGGGGCCCCGCACCCACGTCCAGGTTCTGGCCAATTCGGCCGTCGCCTCGGTCCTCATCCTGTTGCACGTCTGGCAGATTGAGCAGCGCAAGCAGACCGTCATCTCTGGCGGCATCCCCGAGGGCACCTTTTGCTACTCTTGGGCTACCGGCGATATCCTCGTCGTCGGCATCATCGCCAACTATGCCGCCGTCGCTGCTGACACCTTTAGCTCCGAGCTGGGTATCCTGTCCAAGAGCAATCCTCGCCTCCTGACCTCGTGGAATCTGAGAAAGGTCCCGCCCGGAACCAATGGCGGCGTCACCCTCTGGGGCCTGGTGGCCGGTCTTCTGGGCAGCTTCGTCATTGTCACGGCGTCCTTGGCATTCCTGCCCATGTGCAACGGCAAGACGACGGGCGCGTTGGCAGGCGGGCCAGCCTGGACCACGAGCCAAAAGACCACGTTTGCCTGGGGCTTGGTCATTTGGGGCGCCCTAGGATCGGTCCTGGACAGCTTGCTGGGCGGCTGGTTCCAGAGGAGCGTGCGCGACGTGCGGTCTGGCAAGATTGTCGAGGGTGACGGCGGCGTTCGCGTCCTCACTTCGACGGTCGGAAACCCCAACTCGAGAGAGCACTTTAAGAAGACGGCCGATGTCAAGGCGACCGTCCTCAAGGGCGAGGGCAAGGATGCTGTGGAAAAGATGGATGACGCCTCTACTGCAAAGGATCCTTACAACCCCCAGGATACACACCGCACTTCAAACTTTGGCGACCAGAAGCCAACCCGAGTAGCGGAGAGCGGGTTTGACTTGCTGGACAACAATGATGTGAACTTCCTCATGGCCTTGACGATGAGTGTCGGGGCCATGGGCCTAGCTGCTCTGTACTGGGACGTACCCCTAACGAGCATACTCCGGGCGTAATGTGCTGCCATCCAAGGATCTCCTGCGTCATGTCTTCACAGTAACTCTAGAAGTATACAGCTAGACATTATCACTAGACAGAACTGTTCATCACCATAATGCTTAATCGAGCACAAGATTGGTCATAATATAGACGTGTAGCAAAGATCGCTGCAATTAATCGTACACTCTTTTTTGTTTTTTTACAGAAACTGATTGCTGCAATCTCAAAAAGTGGAAATAAGGACGAAAGGCGACTATACAGAGCGCACTTATTCGTCATGATATACCGGACCTAACCAACGCCTAGTTCGCAATGCATTCCAGCAAGTCAACATTTCCCAACCCTGTTCCTTTTGGTGTCATATATGAAACCTGTACTCCAGTGTGTCTTGCTAAGCCTTCCTGGATTTGAGCTTCTTTCTCTCTTTGGTATCAGCAGCCCATGCGTCTTCAAAGGCTGTCGGTAGCTTTTGAAGATGTTGGTCACTGAGACCCAGCTTTCTGACAACCTGGAATGCACCAGTGCCTACTGTCATGGTTTGTCCCATGATGATCTTTTCCGAAACACCCTCAATCTTGTCTCCCTTCATGCCGGCTGCAGCTTCAAACAAGTGGTCGGGCGTCTTCTCAAAGGAAGCAAGCTGAAGGACCGAGTCACGCATCTTGGAGAGACCGAATCTCGTGATACCCAACACCTCGCCCTTGTAGGTCATGACATCTGCCAACAACTCCATATGTCGCGGATCGATGTCCATTTCTCCCATGACGGCGTCAATTTCCTTTGCAATGGTTGTTCGCGCTGCTTCGATACCGAGTACTTGGTTGGCCTCCATGACGTTGTTCGAGATGACCTTGGTACCAATGACACCTTCAGTGTTCATGCACTGTCGAAGGCCATACCCTTCCACCAGAACTGTGTGGACGTAAGGAGGAGCTTCGCCAGGCTTGTCGGCTTTTCCTTCGGCAGTCTGGATAATGGCACGAGCGGCTTCCGGATAACCAGAAACTGGAACCGCCGGCAGGGCACGCTTGAGGTGACTCACTCGAGTGAGCAAGTCTGCCGGTGTCTCGGTCTTGGTTCGGACGCTCCGGCTCTTACTTTCGTCGGGCAGGGTGACTGCAATCTCAATGGTACCGTCGATTGGGTAGACTGACATATCTCCCTCCAAGATCTTGAGCTTCTTGGCTTTGGCAATTGCGCTCTTCACATCATGAAGACCAATGCCCAAATTCATTGCTTCTAGTGCCTCCATGTCAATGGCCAGTGTGATGTACGCTTTGTTTGCTTCCCATTCGTCTTCGATGTGTCTGAGAATGTCCTCAATGAAGGTCTTCTCAACACGGCCTCTGACTACACGGGCAGCTTCGATCTGCCTGTTGTTCTCAAGAGGGCAAGTGATAACTGGAGTACTGATTGTCTTCGATGCGTTGATGATTTCCTTGATACGGGGCACACCCTGTGTAATACTCATGCCAGCAACACCAGCGAAATGGAAAGTCTTCAGGGTCATCTGAGTACCAGGCTCACCAATCGACTGTGCTCCGACAGCTCCGACGGCGTGGCCAGGTTCTACATGCGCCTTCTTGAACTTCTCCAAGCACAGAGTGATGAAGTGAACAAGCGTTCGCTGGGACACCTTGGCAACCCTCTCGGTATGGGTTCTTGCCGGGTCTCCTTTTTCGTTCTTGTCTATAGTGGCAGCACTCAAAGTTGGCTTTTCGAGATATCCATCCAGGCCAAACTCCTCGCGAACTCGTGCCAACTTCTTTGCCAGGTCGTTCACGTATCCTTCAATAGTTCTGAGGAAATGCCGGCTACTCTCGTGCTCATCAATTCCGTAATCGGTCTCATCTTCGTAGTGGAGTGGCTCGCCATGTAATAAGCCTCGTCGCTGGTATCGAGCTCGTTCCTTGTCGATCATGGAGTCGCAAATTTCACGAATCTCAAATGGTAAGAGTGCGCGTTCCTTGTTATTCCATGTCAGGTTTTCGGCGTGGGACCAAGTACGATCAAAGTGCACCGGCACGGCCGAACCCTCCATATCTACGGGGTCGAGCTTGTCAGCTCCGAATTGGAACTGCACCACATTGCCGCCAGATGTTCGAACCGTGTCATCGTATTGCGTGGAAAGATCCTCCAAAGATTTCATGAGACGTCGGGACATGTAACCGGTCTCTGCAGTCTTGACAGCGGTATCGACCAGACCCTCACGTCCGGACATGGCGTGCATCAAGAATTCAGTTGGCACGAGACCTGTGTAGAAACTGTTTGCCACGAAACCTTTGGCTGCTGGTTGACGTGCCAATTTGTGAAAGTGTGGTAGTGTGCGATCTTGAAAGCCATCGGCGACACGTGATCCTCCTATGATCTGTTGTCCGACAAGGGCAATCATCTGAGCGACGTTGATATTCGAACCCTTCGAACCTGATGTAGCCATGATCCATGGAGCATTCTTGGTACTCAGAGTTGCGATACAGTATGCACCAGCAGCCGAACGAACTTGACTGAGTGTACCGGAAATGGAGTTCTCCAACGTTTCTTCCATGGAACAACCTGCTGCTTTCTGTAGTGTCTTGTCGTTGTAGGAGGCAATGAGCTGATCTGTCTTCTTGACCGCGTTCTTAACCAGCTCCTGCTTCTCCGCAGTGAGAGATGCTGTGGGAAAGACATCACCAATACCGATTGAGAATCCCTGGTTTGTTAAAGCTCGAGCACAAAGCTTAGCGAGACGATTCATGGCGATGACGGCCTCGTCTGGACCGAAATCTCTCATGATGACATAGAAGATTGAGTCCTTTTTGCCAGCTCCGACAGTCGACTTGTCCATTCTGCCGCACATGACTTCAGAGTTGCGTACAACGAGCCAGCCGTCACTTGGACACATGTCAGGAGCCCTTGATCGTTCTCTGGGGTCACTTGAGCCCTTGTTCGGAGGCACATATTCTCTACATTTGGCGTCCAGGTTGATCTTGACGTTGCACTGCTTGTTCGGCCTCATGAGGATACTGAAGACTTGCTTTCCCGTCCACAAGCGTTGAGGCTTGAGGATAGCAGGAGGTGGCAGGTCAAGGTGGGTCTTGCCGTCCATCATATGCTGGCAAATGTAGGTAAAGGTCTTGCGGTCGTAAAAGACATCTTTGCCACTGAGAAGGTAGGCTGCAGTGACGAAATCCTGTGTTGCAGCAATGACAGGTTCACCGTTCTTGGGTGTAGCCAAGTTGTTCTTGACTCCCATGAGGTTGATTGCTTCCGCACGTGCCTCTTCTGTTTGTGGGACGTGAAGGTTCATCTCATCACCATCGAAATCGGCGTTGTAAGGGTTGCACACACACTCGTTGAGACGGAATGTTCTCCAAGGTCTGATTTTGGCCAAATGACTCATGATACTGAGCTTGTGGAGAGATGGCTGACGGTTGAACAGAACAATGTCGTTATCCTCGAGATGTCTCTCAACAACATCACCGAAGCGTAGTTCCTTAGCTACCCTGGTTCTGTCACCGAACTTGAGCGTCTGTTTGTATGTTTGGTCGCCGTCCTGTTTGATGATTCCCTGTGCTCCAGGATAGACACTGGGCCCGTTCAGAACGCACTTCCGCAGCTTCTCAATATTCTCCCTATGGACGCGCTCGGGATATGTCAAATTCATGGCTACCAAAATAGGCACTGCGACTTGATCGATGCCAAGATTGGGATCTGGAGAAATGACAGTTCGTCCTGAAAAGTCGACACGTTTACCAGAAAGGTTACCACGGAAGCGACCCTGTTTACCCTTCAAACGTTGGCAGAAGCCTCTCATGCTCTTCACAATTCCAGTATTTGTGAGGCCAGGAACGTCACTGTTTACGTAAACAGCGATATGCAATTGGAGGTAATCCCACTGCTCCATGATAGTCTGAAGACTTGCGCCCTTCTGCAATGCTCCTCTGATGAGACTGCAAATGAAGACGACTTGACTTAGCGTAGTAGTGAGATCATCTTCGTTGCTTGCTCCCTCTTGTGCGACGGATGGTCGAATGCAGACTGGAGGAGCAGGGACAAATTGCCACAAGAACATTTCAGGGCGTCCCTCGGTAGGATCCAGGCCAAGCAACTCGCAGTCTGTGGAGCTGATCTGCTTGAACAGATTCAGAACTCTGAGGGGGTTCAAATCCTCCATAGCCTTGCGAACGTGTTTTTCCAAATCGTTGTTGTGCTTCTTGGCTTCGTTGAAGGAGTTGTCAAAATCAATCTTGGACTGAGGCGGCTGCTTCTTTTGCGACGTGGACTTGTTAAAAGCAACGAACTTGTCGTGGACCAGCTTCAAAGGGCCGGCCTTTCGAATTTGGCCATTTGTTGCGGTGCAGTAGGGGCAACTCTTTGTCTTTCTGCATGTTTCGTTGATCTTTTTGAGGATGGCCTGACGATTCATGTTGTCGGGAGCTTTGCGCAGCATCTTGAGGAAGCTGCGACGTTCAGGTTCGGTGAGAAGGACTCGTGAGCAGTCCTTGCATATTTCTTGTAGAATCTTCATAGTGAAACGCAGGTAGCCGATATGAAAGACAGGAAGCGGTAGGCGAATGTGACCAAAATGGCCAGGACAGTCTGTCAGTCGCAGGTCGCAGGTTTGACATGTAGCCTGCTTGCTCGAGATACCGAGACGTTTGTCGAGAGGTCCATGCTTAATGGGCTCTCTTCCGCGGTCGAGGTCGTACATGGTTCTATCGGCGACCTCGACTACCGCTTGATTAACAATGTCTTGGTTTGACTGGATGCCGAACTTGATCTGTCTGAATCGCTTCGGTACCTTATCGACAACCTGATGTTTCACAGGCGCGACGGCACTGGTGCCCTTGAGGGCAGTTTCGGTAGTTGTCGCCATTTCGGCCGAGTTTCGTTCTATCTATCAGATTTGCGACAAGTGAAAAGTCGTGATCGCGATCGCAATCGCAGAGACGGGTAGTAGTAGCTCGTTCGGTCGCAAAGTGCGAGTGGATGGCGTCCACTCAAACGTATTGCTACCTCAATTGCAGACCAGGACTGACCATGGTCTCACTGGGTAGATGCGCTCAGTGTCTCGACAACAAGGCGAGTTGAGCTTTGTGTTTTGAAGCTTTTCGACAAGCTGTTGTCGAGTGTGAGATGTGACTTCTCCGGCGGCGCTACTGTAATTTTTGCTGCTACCATAGAAAACTGCATCAAACTAAAAAGCAGAATTGGGACCGGACCCCGCCTACTACTTCATGGAAGCAGCTTTGCAATGCTTCGCCGCCAAGTGGTGGGGTACGAGCTAGGAAAAGGTTTAGTGCAGCAAGGCAGCATGGATTAGGCAGTGGCATGCCTAGAGTTGGAGTCATAGGCCGTTGGAGTCGCCCAAGTTGTCTTCTTCTGGGCCAGTAACTTGGCACGTGATCTGGTGCCCCTCCAGTGGAATCTTTGGTGTTTCGACCCCACAGGCAACAGCTGCCTTGAACACAGAAAGCGCGTCAAGTCGCGTCTCCGCCTGGGCTCATTTGGTCATCCTCTGCAACTCATAGACAGCAACAAACGTCTTGCAAAGCGTTTTCAAAAATCAATAGCTGAGATCGCACCTCTGGCTCCAGGTGTACAGGGTTTCAATGATTTGTATATAGACACTATTCACAATGCCTCTGTAGGTACACTTTTGCACGGCGTCGCAACACATGCTGACGAGACAACAGCCCGGGCGACCAGCACAACGTCGCTGCCAATCCGTTCGAGGAGGCCAAGCCACGTATCTCTGAATTCACGGCCACTGAAATCGCCACTCTGCAAGCACGTCTTGAGAAGCAGCTCGGTCCCGAATACATATCAGCAAGAAGTGGCCCTTCAGGACAGAAAGTCCACTACATTGCCGCTGAAAAGTGCATTGCTTTGGCCAACGAGGTTTTCGGTTTCAATGGATGGTCTTCTAGCATTCAAAACATCCAGGTCGACTTTGTTGATGAGCACCCTCAAACGTTGAAGATCTCCCTCGGACTCTCTGTTGTTGTACGTGTCACCCTACGGGACGGGACTTTCCATGAGGACATTGGCTATGGCCACATTGAGAACTGCAAGGGCAAGGCAGCCGCCTTCGAGAAGGCCAAGAAGGAGGGCACAACTGATGCTCTGAAGAGAGCTCTGAGAAATTTCGGAAACGTCCTGGGCAATTGCATTTATGACAAGGACTATCTGGCAAAGGTTACAAAGATCAAGGTGGCTCCCACCAAGTTCGATGAGGTCAACTTGCACCGGCACGTAGACTATGCCCCAAAGGAGCCTGCAGTCAAGCGTGATTTCAATACAGAGGCAAAAAGTGGAAAGCCCTGCCTGTTGCCACAAGGTGCGTTGGACTCGGACGATTTTGATTGGGTGGAGGCTGATCTGATGGACGTGTAGATACAATCGACTCCCTAGACGATGACTTTGGAGATTTCGACATGGCCGATTTTGGCGTCACGGAAGATGAACATCCTGACGAAGTGATGCTCCCTGCCCCCGGCGGAGTGACGGCGAAACCTGTCGAGAGGCCCCAAATGGGAGCTGCTGGTCCAGGCAATGTATCAAATCGATCCACAGGCAGTAATTTTGGTTCCTCGAGGCCTATGCAACCACCTGCTCGGGCGCCAATGACTCGGAGCGGCTCTCATGGTCAGCAAACTGGTAGACCACAGCCACAAACCCCACAAGCTGCGAATCGTCCAGCTGCCGTGGGCCAGAGCCGCCCGCAAGGCCAGCCTAATGGCCGAACAAATGGACCGGCTCCTGCCCAGGTATTAGCGGCTCAAGCTGCCTCCAATAATCGGGTAAACACACCACCTCCAGCAAATGGAAATGAGCAGATTCCTGATGGACCGGTCGCCTTCTTCTCGGCTCGTTCGGTTACGGCATTGGCCGAAGATGCGCCTCCCGGGACAGCGACTCTGCCTCCCAAGGGTGGTAAGTTGTTCGATCCGAAGCTTGAAAGCCCTTCTATTCGCAAGACACCTGGCATTGATCATGGGTCAACCAAACCTGTGGGCAAGGACATGCGCCATGTAGCCCCAGTCAAGCATGACGAGGAGGCATCCCAACAGCCTGCAAGTGGAATTAGTAAATTTAACCCACCCGGACGTCAAAGTCTGGGTAACGTGGTCAATCCCTCCCTGAATCAGGCGCGGCAAATAGGCGCGCCTGGCAGCCAAAGTCCCATGGCCAACAGAAACCAGTATCGGCCGCCAACAATGAAGAGACCGGCGGAAAACGGCACACGAGCACCTTTAAATGACATCACAACCAATAGCACTGTGGGTGCCAGTGCCGCCACAACAGATGCGAAAAGGCAGAAGGTGGGCTAAGACGCCAGCAGTAAATTCATGAATCTTGAGGGTTTTTCTTTTATGGCATGGCGTCGGGAGTAATTTTTGTGGTTCGCTATAGAGTCATGATACGGCCCCTTTCCGTGTCAGACAGCGTCTTGGTGCTAGAGATACGCTTCAGCTTCCAGAATTTGCTGGTATCTAATCTCCTGAAGCAAGCAGATAACCACAGTCCATCTAATTGGAAAATGATTAGAAGCATTCTATGATGTTGATTTCTCAGTGCGCTGGTGAAAGGATATTGTCAAAAAGTTGATATTTCAACATTTGCCATCGGAGCAGCTGATCAGGCGGCAGTCTACAGACATAAAGACTAGCCTAGGATTCTTCCCAGAAGTCTCTGCTCCTGTTATCTCATGAGTTGTCCGCTACTTTGCCACATGCAGGAACGCAAATATGACCTATCAATGTCTTAGCTCCCGTTGTGGCTTGAATATGATTGTCTCAAGACTCACGGCTATACGCGAGTGAAGGGAGGGCTAAAGACATTTTCAACGGTGGGAAGGTCGCTTCACGCGGACGCGCCAACAGTCGATCATTGAATGCTGTGGCTTGCTGAGCAAGGCCCGAGCCGCGAATATCAGGTCAGAATGGCGTCGGTGTCTCTGAGTTGAGGAACTACAGGCTGACCGGTCGATGGCACGGAATTCGACACTGGTTGTGGCTCGAATGGAGAGATATAAAAAGATCACAGATGGCTACCATATTGGTGACCTGAGTTTATCGTCAAGGACTGTTGACGTCTTCTATACTTGCCCATTGCACTGCAAAACCAACTCATCAATATGTTGGGATCATCATTTCTCTTGCTGGCCTTTGCCAGCAGCCTGGGTCTGAGCCAGGTTGTTCCCTCTTGCCCTCCATCAGATACGCCACCATGCACAGGCCTGCGGACTGCCGACGTGAGTATTCCTCTCTTCTCGACCTAGTCGTTCCATTTCTTCTTGCTCCACAAAGTTTCTCCATATGGTGACCTTTTTGCTCTACAGTTTGACGATATCCCAGCCACCACTGGCTTGCTCACGAGCCCGAGCACATGTCTAGCATCGTACGAGGCCCTCTCCTACGACGGCTTCAGCGTGTTTTCGCTCGCCCTGGCCGGGGGTGCTTCGCAGCACTTTGCCGGCTTCCAACTCAACCGTGCAGCGCACAGGATTGACAAAATCAACTGGGGTGGCGTATTTATGCCCAGGAGCTTTGAATTCTTGTGCGCGCTGCCGACTCTAGGGGTTAACCTCGCCGCTTCAACGAGCTGCACCGTCCGCGTGACACCGATTGGACCCAACGTGGAGGGCCAGCCCAAGAATTGTAGTTATACTACTGGTGGCCTTTTGAGTCCTCTTGTGCCTGCGAGCTGTGAGCTCCCCGACTGGGGTTTCGGCGTCAATGCCATATCTATTGAGGTGGTCCAGCCTGCTGTGCTCAACACAGTTTATGCATTTGGCATGAGCAACTTTAGGTACGTGACTTGCCCATATGAATCATAACTACTCTTCTTTTGTGTGCGCTAGACTGATGTCATACTAGTTACGTGGACGCATGTTGGGATTGATGAAGTGGTTTACTTACAAAACGCTCCAAGTCAGATGGCCTTCTGTAGTTGTAGTTGGATATAATTACTGGAGCGTTCGGAATCTTATTTTGTCGTGCGATCAAGCTGGTCCGTTCATTTACCCAGGGAAACATTAGAGATGTTGGATATGATGAATTGATTGATTTTTTCAAATCGAAACATTGGCTTGAAAAGTTTCCATGCTGCCACTGTACCATCACAAGTATATACCAACACGTCAAGCTATAGACATCCCGTCTCTGCTTGAAAAACGGCTCATACTTGGCAGACTTTTACTTAACTCGCTTTGTGAATTCCTTGTTCGGTACATTCCCCATACAATATGAATTATCGTCATCATGTTGGCGGATTCGAGTATAGAACTCCAGCGGGCCAATATTTCCCCGATACAAGTTGAGCAGTTGCTAACCGCAAAGGCTAGGTATTAGCGTGCTCTCCCGATCACGTTTGACGTCTTTAAAAGGAGAGCTCCATGCTGATTTGCTTTTGAATTACTTGGCAATGTGGACTTGACCTTGCAGCACGCGACTTGTTACTGGGTCATGTTTTTTCCGTCTTGAAATGTTGTTGATCTACGAGTTGCAGAGGGGGCGCGAAACACACCAATGCGGTATGACGTTGCCCAGTCCCTCTACTCCGTAGTGTACCGATGGCGCCCCCCTTGGCGCTATGCCGCTGTAGACCGTCGGAGCACAGCGAAAAAGCTCACAGAATGCGCAATCCGTAAATCCGTCCCGTACCGAGCCGAAAGTTCCTGACTCGTGTCGGCGCGCGATCCGACGGTCCGTCATATTCTTCTTTGAAAGGCAGTCATCAGTGTATGGCAGCTATTGGGCACCGGCGCATGTCCCATGATGAGCTTAATTGGAAGAAGCAGAGCTGATGCCGCTTTTGTGTCAGGCTCAGAACAAGACCGGTACACTATAGACAACCATGCATGGGGATTGGTTACCTAGGTACCGATTAGGAAAGAATGCCTTGGACAGCCGGTAACGAGACTTGGATGTCTCCAGAGTACGTACTCGGAATGACTTGACTGCCAGTGATCTCAACATTCGCATGTCTTAAGTCGGAGGTTTCTGTAGCGGACCTCATATGGAATTGACATGGTCAGACTAGCAATATAGAAACAAAAGGTCACTTGTTTTGTATTGACGTGATCTCTCCCCTAGGATTTGATGCCGGCGCACAAAAGCTGTACATAGGCTTCTGTTGTTCAAAAATTTCGAACTAGCAGCAGGTTGCATATGGCCGCGAAGTCGAGGACAATATATTAAGTAGTCGTTTAGTTTGCATCTTTGATGTGGTAATGGACATGTTCTCCAGTCTTTCGACTCACATTCCGGGTTTTATGGATGTCAGTTCTAGGACGCAAATCCCACCACGTCTGTAGCAGAAATAGTCATTCATGGCCCCGAATCATGCATGCCCACAGCAACAAGAGGTTTCAGGGTCTAGTATAGCACATGCTCATTTACCAGAGTTTGGATAATACCGAGCTGCACATGGACATGTATGAAGCTCCCAACATCCGCCCAGGCTCAGAACCCAAGGCCCATGCTGGATATCGTGTGACTCGCATCTATTTGGTGTAGGCTTCCTGAAGAATTCACCTGGCTGTGTTTGCAAAGGTCACAATATCAGCTTCAAAAGGGGCGTGGATTCTGTTCCACCAGTGTACGTAGATTTACCCCAGGATCTCGAAGCAGGGCTGTACACCCACATCATGAGCCCCTGGCATGGACGGCAGATATGACGTCCCCAGTAGCTCCCCACTGGTTTTATTGTTACATCTCTATTTCTGGTCTATTCGGTAGTTATGTTTGACGTGCCGGGCCATTGTGTGAACCGAGAAGGCTACGTATACTGGTAGGACTTGCCAGGATGGCCGTGAATTCAGGGGCCAAGGAATCGAGGTTTTACCGTTGTTGGACGCCGTGACACAGGGGACTACATACGTATGTTGTAAGATAATCCGTGGCAATTTCCTAGTAGATATTCACGGTCCGAGCCGGATATGTGAGCTGCTTGAACTTCTCGGTAAACTTATCTACGGTTAGTTTGTTTCGGTAGGAGAAGACTGTCCTGCCCACAAACACATTTCCGAGACCTCTTGAGCTCACATCTAAAGCAGCGTGACTCGTGGCCAAATATGGAAACGAAATGTGGGGTTGGCATTGAATGCTGCAGGCTGCTGTCGCATCTTCCAAGGGCGCAGCCATTCGATGTCTCTGCTATGGATTCCGTACCTACACAATGCTGTGCCCCGCGATCCAAACATGCCATAATGCTCTACATAGTAATAAACGTACCAAAACTTAGGTAATGGTCTGGGTGTTTGGTAATTGATTTGGACGATAACGTGATTCTTGCAGGTTCTTTTTTCAAGTCTCGGTCTTATGACTCATAGCAGCAAGTTTAGAGAATTGCAGGCTTTTCTTGCAGTGGCTCCATGTGTTTAAGTAATGATCACCAATACAAATCAAGAATCTCAAACGAGACGCTGTTTGATTAGTACGAGAGCACGTAATCGAGAGCTCCTCTTGCGTTAAGGCATACACAGTAGGCATCTTTCTCTCTGTCAGCCAAGTCAGCCCGAGCTAACAGGTTATGGTGGGCTACGTGCTCCATATTCAGCGAGATGGGGGGAGGGCTCGAGGGGCCTAGCCGCCCAAGGCAAGCAAGGAGGGCCTCGACGGGCGACGGCGACCGGGCACCGGGCGTGGGCGGAGCTCCACCTCCTCCCCCCTCCTCCTAAGCAAATGGGCAGCAAAGGGGGAAAAACATCGAACCACCGCCCTGTGTAATGGCCTGTTCGTCGCATTTGAACTTTCCTATTCCACGCGTTGCAAGCGACAAACCGACGGCCAATTAACAGGGTAATCATATTTGGGTCACGTCTTATTGGTCAGACATGTTCCTTCTCCCCCTTGTCTTCGGGTGATTGAATTGCCTGCCCGTGGACATCAGGCCACAAACCACGGTACCGGCCTTACCCTTTATTTTTTTTTTCTTCCTCCTCACTGTACATGGCAGATCGCCGCATACTACCATCAATACCCTGTCAGTAAGTAACAGTTGGTACCCCCCAATTCACTGTTACCAGCAACTTTGATCTTCCATGTGGGCTGGTAGGTAGCATGTTATACTTAGTACCTGCCGTACATTTACATTTTAGGGCCCATTTACATCATTTTAGCCTTTCACAGCAGCAAGGATAAACGATTGTCACGCCAGAGAACCCGCCTTTGGACGGATCCGGTAGGTCTCAGAAAGGGTAGAAAGGCCTCCCAAGCTGGGAATCGGGTGCCGCGTTACGGGTCAGACTCGGCCCAGCGAGTCACTCGTACGGTTCTTGCTTGTCCTGACCTGACTGACAAAGCTGACTGTTCGGGTGGCCCTGTGTAGGTCTGGAATAAAGTGTCTCTATCGTCCCGCTGTGCATGGGCATTCGTGTTCCCTGGTTTCTATTTTTTTATTTTTACTTTCTGTCTGTTCTACCGCAAGGGTACCCCATTTCTTGAAACCGCTTGACCTGACTGTGACATATAGACCCTTGTGACCACCCAACTTTGGACCTTGCTGGCTCTTTATTATTTGACTGCTGCTCTCCTCCTCTTCCACCACCACCAACAAGAAGACACAAATTGATTTTCTTGTTCGTGTTATTGCTTGCCCCTTTCAACTCGGAAATTGTGAGAGGAATATTCATCAGTCATCTTCCTCCATCAACTCCACGAAACGGATCGCATTCATCGCCCGGAAGATCGTCATCCGTCATCACCCCACCACCCAGACGACTTACACGGAAAATCAGCCCACTCGGCCTGGCAGCTTCCAGCAGCGCACGCGACAGCAAGTGCCTACACGCCCCAATCCTACGGATCAATACAGAGGGACCCTGACGATCAAAAAAACCTCCTATTCTCTGTCCTCTGTCCTTATAAGGCAGAAACATACTCTTGCGAGTCTATTCAAAGTAACCAAAAAAGACAATACAAAAATCACCACAAACTACACACAAGACAACAGCAACCATGTCGCCATCGCACACCATTTCCACCCATCTCTGCAAGCAGATCTACACTTCCTGGCAGCAGTCGCGCCAGAGCAACGGCCAGCTGCCCGTGGCGGTCGACCCAACACTAGTCCCGTCCGTCCCGTACCCGGCCCGGAGGTCTCCCTCCCCGGAGAAGCGCTCCATGGACAGCGACCGCAGTGATGCTGGCGTGCCCATGAGCCGCTCGTCGAGTCAAGGCAGCTGGACCTGGGGAAGTCGCTAGATGAATGAACGGGAGCGGGAAGCTCTTGTTGTACTACAACAACAAACAATTGTTTGCCAGTTAATTTTTTTTCCCTCCCTTTTCTGAAAACTGCAAAACCCAGAAGAATTGCACAGGAGGAAGAAGGAAGCGAAATAACACATGAACCTCATCCTGACGGGGAAATTCATCACAATGCATTCTTCGGCACCATTTATTATTACAACTGCATACCGTCGCAGACCTTGCGCACTCACTCAGCCAATTTTTGGGGAAGACGAGGACACACCTACACATTATGGAGTTGGGGGAGCGCATCACGCTTGTCACAGCCAAGACCGCGAATCAGAAACTTGAAAGCGTCGAACCTTGGTACTCATGGCGCGTATAAGCCAGCCCGCGACCAAAGGACAAGACGATACTCATCAAATCGAGTATATATTGGTGGTTGAAAGGGCAGTGGTGGGGATTAACCTGTACTCCAACAACTGGATCAGTATACATTGGATTCAGTTACGGGGGAATGGGGGTGCGAGGAAGCTTATTGAGGATCAGGAGTTTATTGTCTATACCCGATTGCTTTATGAATTTGCTAGCCCTTTTTTTCTGCATTGGATGAGGGATGTCATGAATCAAATTATCATACCTACCAAACGCATCTTCTTTGTGAATGTTCAATGCCATTGCAAGTGATTTGAGATCATTCCATGAGAATAGTACGATACTGCACTTCTACATGTTTTCAAGGGCAACCAGTATGAGATTTACCCACACCGTGGTATGCGTACGAACGATAAAATATCATGAGGCAAATCTCTCTTTGTACGTCTATTAGCTTGAAAAGCAAGAATAATCATCGCTGATCCAGACTGCACGCTACATCTAAAGCTGTAACAGCATCTATTTTCTCTTTCTATAGGCACCACAACCTGATAATTTCAATGGCAGTATAGCATTGTGGCAGCCAAACTCCATTCATCTATGCCGCCTTGGCTAGCGGAGTCCCAGTATAGTCAGTCTTGGCTCCGACGAGCCTCTTGACCGCCAACCACCACTCAAAGGCCTCGAGCTTGAGTTCAACACGTAGGAAACCAATCCAAGCGGCTGCGAGCCTCAGCGCGTTACCTGGCCACCAAAGTCCACCCTCGCGCTCCTTAATTTCATCCATCTGCTCCCTGAATACGGTTCGCGCGCAGTACCTCGCCAAGATCATGAAGCTTCGCATTGGTCCTTGGCGCGTGTGCAGATTTTCATCCAGACTCCTGGTGAGATCGTTCGTCTTCAAAATGAGTAGGATAATTCGAGGGACCTGTCCAAGTAATTGGACCAAATCGCTGAGCAGACCCTCCTGTAGAGCATCACCCATGGTCTTCTTCTCATCTTCAGATTTGGACTGCATGATTGAGGATTTGACGACGGTATAGTCGCGTCCCGTGATCGCCGATGCGAACAAGGGGAACTGTTGTTCTGTGATGCCTGCTACTTCGTGAGAGTACTTCTTCATACGTTCCATGTCGCCATCAATGACAGCAAGCCACATTTTAGCATAGCTCCTCTGTAGACGCTCTGGTATATCACGGTAAAGACCGTGGTCATAGATAATGATTTCAAAGTTGGGACCGCCACGTCTCCGGCTCGTCTTTCGGACAGCCAAGTTGCCGCCGTGGGGATCACAGTGCAATGGCGCGTTCTTGCCAAAAATCATCTCATTGAAGGTCTTTGCCAAGGTCGCAGAAACTTCGTCGCGGTCGATGCCATTCTTGTCCAGGTATTCCAAATCGTCAAGTCGGTGTCCTGATTCGTTGGCCATGACCAAAACGCGCTTCTTGGCCCAAATGACCTCGGGCACGACAAGAGGCAATTCAGGAATCTGTGCAAAGTGCTGCTTGAGGCGAATCGCATTGGCCGCTTCGCACTGGAAATCGAGCTCTTGCGGGAGCGACTCTTCCATTTCCAAGGATAGCCATTCGAGGTCATATTCGGGGAACCATTTCTTCAGCGTCGAGAAAGTGAATTTGGTGAGGGCAATGTCGAGTGGTGTCCATTGAGCAAGGCTGGGGTGTTGCACCTTGACTGCAACCTTTTGCCCGCTTTCCCTGATTGTGGCAGTATGTACTTGAGCCAGAGAAGCCGCTCCTATTGGTTTTTCTGAGAAATCTGAAAAGTAATCTCGCAGCTCTTCACCGGTATCGTCTCGGTACATCTGCTCGATCGATTCAAAGGACGAGACCGGGCAGTTGTCTTGCAAGGGGATAAATGTATCAGTCCATTCGATCGGTAGGAGGTATGACATGGCGCTCTGTATGGTGATCAGCGTGCAGTTCTGGGATAGTCTTTGTTCGGCAGGCGCCATACCAAATGCTGGCCCAACTTGATGTATATGCCACCATTCTTCTCGAGAACCTTTAATGTCCTCACCGCACATCGTTTATGGCATTTCCTCAGCACTGTATCGGACTCTTCCTGGTCTGTGATGGATTCGCGCTTCTTCAAGGTTGTTCGGTAACTGTATGATGTTAGAGTCTTTGCCTCTGAAGGATTGGATCGCGTGTCGCAAGCCTACTCGCTGATATTTATGTAGAGAGCCGAGGCAACTCTGCCTGCTCTCTCTGTGGCTTCATAGCCGAATTTGATGTCATCGGTGAAGGCGAGAACACCGGCTCCAGCAGTGCCGGTTGCGGCGGCCGTAAGTACGATCCTTCTCGATCTTGGCGGCGGTGCTTGCTTGGAGTTTTTGAATGGGCCGGTACCGTACTGCCGATTAAAAGGTCGTTGCGCGGTCTTTGCCTGGGAGACCAAGTGGCCGCGGCAGCTCGAGCAGGTCCAGCGGCCGGCGCCCTGGATCGCGAACCGACTCAGGGGATTGAGCCAAGAGGTATTCATGGCGACCAATCTAGTTGCGCATCACGAGCGCCCGGCGGTGGTGGTTCGGCGAGACCAGCGAGGAAGATAGGGGACGAAACTCATGCAAAGTAACTACAATGGCATACAACTCAGTGCCGTGCTATCATGATGGCTTGAGTACAAAACAAGACAGTTTTCAGGATACTCGGTGAGTAGCAGAAGCAAGGCCGAGACAGCGCAGCAATGGGTCGGTCATGCGTTCATCAGTCAAAGTGGAACCATGAAGACGTTGATGAAGCTGTTTCCGTTGGGGACGCCGCCAGAAAAGTGCAAGCGACTTTTTTTTCTTCCTTCAGTCTCTTTCTAGAATGGCGGCAAACCCCGGCCGGGCAGCAGCTGAGTGTAGCGTCATAAGAGCGATTTGATTTGCGTACCCCGTGCAACGACTCGGGATCAGCCAGGGGGGTTCGTTCCGGGAAGCCACTCAGAAATCAACAGCGTCTTTTCAGAAGCGTAAAGTCCCCACCTGATTCCACATGTGAAAGGCCGGCAAGCTCCAGGCTGCCAGGGAACAGCTTTCTCTTGCTTTTTCGCGTGCTGTGGGTGTGCTTACCTCATGCTTCTCGCAGGGGTCTCTTTTTCTGGTTGGCCACCCCACCGTCGTCGACCCTCTTTACGCGTTGAGCTCTGGCCCAGAGTTATTTAGCGCGTCAGCGCGAGCGAGGCGTTCCTCTGTATCCGCTGCCAGCTAGGTACTACTAATAACTAGATCACCACTGATCAACAACAACAATTCAATCTTTCTGGGACGTAAACATACTCTTCGCGATTCTGTCTTGTACCATACTATTTCTTGGTCGTTTTTGCCAAAGTTGTTGGATCGATTTTGGACCGAACAAGATGCTGAGCACCATGTCTCCTCCGTCGCCGCATCTTCCTATATTCAATTTCGATTTTACGACTGCAACGTCCCACAAGCCGGCACATTCATCGCCACTCTCCAGCTCGCCGATTCGAGCCTCACAATCAAGTCCGCCCTTGTCACCGCGAGATCCAAACACCCTCCCAAGACGTGGCTTCTTTTCCTCCCCCATCAATCCTGCAGTTTGCAACCAGGAAAAGTCGTCAAAATGGACCAAGTTCGAGACGCGCGACGCGAAGAAGAACCCGCTCAATCAGAGCCGTGACAATGCTGTGGAGGGAAAACGCAAGCTCTTTTTGAAGAACGTACGACAAAGACGAGACGATCACACATGGGAGAGGCGAGGCGGAGACCAAGAGGTGAGGCATTCATTCCTTGTCACCAAGCATGTGCCATCCTACTAACACGCCCAACAAGATACTTAGACTGGAATGGTCCAACCAGGACCGGAAACGACGCCAGCAAAAGGAGAGAGACCTGGATGGTTTCATGTTCGAGGAAGACTTCGAAGAGATCCCAGACATTTTGCAATCAAATTCTGCAACTCGCGAACAGGATGACATGATGGTTGACTCGCATGCCATGGACGAAGAGGCCGAGCTGGAAGCCATGCTCTCCGCTTACGAGGTAGAGAACACTGAGCAAAAGACACACGAGCTTCCCGACTCGTCATCGTTATCAGATGATGATTATGATAGTATCTTCATGGATCTGCTATCACAAGACGGACCCCCACCCCAACAAAGCCAGGAAGACCTTGTAATGTCAGGACAAATGGATATGTCTTAAACTAGGGACGTTCAATTCGTTCTTGTTTTCTTGCTCATTTTGATACCCATTTTTCGGTTTGGAGTTCGGTCAGGATCATGGTCTAGAGGTCATTTTTGGAGTCGATTGTTTATTCAGAATTGGGGTTTTGTGCGGACTTCTTGTATTGCATGCACAAGTCATATAGCATCCGCTGGTATCATTCCGCGTTTCATATGAAAATTCCATCTCAAGACTACACTCTCCAGACTTTCCCCTGTCTCCGCGCTGCAGCCCTACTGAGGTGTACAATTGTCGTCTGGGCCATCTAACACTTCCTTGGCTGATGGCATATCGCCCACGAGGTCTGCTGGAGGCGAGCCTGCGGCTTGCATCTGTAATCAAATCAGTATGACGTATAACGGGTATTCATAAATCGGGAGGATATCACCTTTTGCATGCGATCAACGATATATTCCCGGTCCGCCACATTTTCATCCTTGTATGTTGGCTCCTCGAATTTGGCAACCATCTCGGCCACGAGCCGCTGTTGCTCTTCATATCTATCCTTGTCCTCCTTGTTGAGGGTCTTGCCATTCTTCTCCATCCAGCCCGGGAACTTTTCGTTGAGCTCGCGCATAGGCTCGTAGAGAATCTCCTTATTCGTCAGCTGCTCCATCATGCCCATGAGCACCTTGCTAAAGTCCTCTTCAGAGCCGTCAGCGCCCGGCAGATCCTTCATGGCCTTCATCATCTCGGCAATGAAGTCGTCTTCCGAGCCCTCGGCGGCGGCGGCGGCGGTGGCCTGGTCTCCAGAGGCCTGCATGCGCGCCATGGTCTTGCGAATGGTTTCTTGAAACGAGGCATTCTCGCTCAGTTCGGCAGCCACCTGTTCGGCGCTGGGAGCAGCCTTGTCTTTCGAAGACGAAGAGGAAGGCTCGGGACCAGCTGGTTCAACCGGTTCATCGTCTGCATTTAGCCAACCAGAGTTGCGAAGATTGCCAAAGAATGACTCGAACTGTGCTTGTAGTTTGGGCTGTTCTGCTGTCTTAGTGGGCTGCGATTGCGAACGTAGGGTATTATGAGAGCTATCTAGGAGCAAACTCACGTCCTCATCATATTCGCCCATGAGCTCCGCCATACCAGCTTGCAGCTGTCTCTGAAACTCCTCATCCGAGAGGTCATTGGGGTCTGCGACAGGGACATCGGTCGTGAGGGTTGGTATCGTAGGACCCTTGGGATTTGTTGCAGGTTTCGAGGTCGACGATGGCGCTGCCGTTGTTGCTGTCGTTGTCGTCGTTACCTTGGCTGCGGAAAACTCGTCAAGGAGGTCGTCGAGATCGTCCAGGTCGTCCTCGTCTGGGTCTGGAACCTCGTCCAGCGCTGGCGCATTCACATGCTCGCTGGGCGCACCGGCTTCGGCCTTGTCGCTGGCGGGGTTGGTGCCGCTGGCGGACATTATGTCATGGACTGAAGAGAACTGTGTGCAGTATGCGTAAGTATGCAAGAATAAATTTGACGTATCAGCAGATGGATATCATGTGAAGACTAGCACCAAGAAGTCTTGATTGCCTAGATATGCATGAAAGAAGAGAGAATCAGCATGAGCTGGGAGCTTTTGGGGGTCGCAAAAGATTAAGCTACTTTCGACGAATCGCGGGGTGCATACCCAAAAGCCTAGGTACATAATAGCTAGATCCCGAGGTTTGTGTCACCTGTGGGGTTCAATTGTGGCGCGGCTTTAATCTTGGCTGTGGCACTTACACGCGATGCGATGCAATTAATTGTAGAAGATATCTAGCCGTTGTCTGATGATGATTCAGACAGAACGTTCCATGATACAATTATCATCCATTTGTGTAAAAATGTAAGATGAAGGAATAGTTCACTCACTTTCGCTGAAATCTGTTTCCTTAATCAACAACGATGATGTATGGTAAATCACATTTAATGTGTAGATAAGGTTTCCGCCAAACACCTTTGGTATAATTGAGGATTTACCTGTTTTCCCCCTATTTTCTTAGGAAAATATTCTCATGGTTAAGGTAGTATATGAATAGAATTAGGGGGTACACTTGATCTTTTTATTTTATTCTTTTAAGCAAAAAGAATATTTGTGTCCTCAACATATGCCTACTCCGAAGCAAGTGCTTTCAGCAAAGACAGAACGAAAAGAAAAAAGTAAATATTTCTAGGTCAATCGCCAAGTTTGTGTCTTCTCCCTCAATTATGGAGTGACTCAGTTCCTGGATGATCAGCAAACTCCTCCTCCTCCTCATCATGGTATTTAAAGTCTCAATTCCCACACCTTAGCAGAGTCTCTTTATTGTATTCTTCAGTTGAGCACTTAGTTCTACAAACACGAGCCCAGCCATCCGAAACCCACAGATCTTTGGCCATAACTCAGGTACTCTGAAAGCCTTAAATGGGGAAATTTTATTGTAATACACCTGTACTTGTGAGTGCAGTGTGGTCGGGCTATTTGGCTGGAAGGCTGGCTGGTTATTCTGCAAAGCCTACGTGTACCGCAAACACCAGTAGTATCGGCCTTCAGCAATCTTGCAAGTTGCAAAGAAATGTTCTATCCATGTCAAGTTATGTCATCTATTTTAGCAAGGGGATCACAGACTGAGTTGCTATCAACAGACTTTTGTGCCACTGGCAAACCTGTATCGCACCCTGGCCACCCATAAGTTTACGAAGAAAACGAATGACTTTCCCCTCTTATGGTATAAGTTAAACTCTTTATGTGGCAGTTAATATTACTTTAATCGAATAAATTTCTTTTCCACTCTGTGGTATATCTGCACAAACCAAGATGGATATTAGCACGATGGGCAGACCAGTATAAAAGATGAACCTTTGACGAAGAAATCATATAGAAATGGTCAGTTTAAATACAAAATAGCGATACCCATCAAAAGAACAAGAGGAGAATATTGACAAATATCCACATCAACTCATATGCTGCTGCAAGAGAAGGATTATTGTGTCCAAATTTGAGCACCTGCCTGTTTGTTGACAGGTTGGGCAGAACCACGGAAAACTCTGATATTCGAGGGCAGCCGTTTGCATTTTCAATCACTCGATCGTGCGTCTGGTTGATTGCTCGCCTGGTTGCTCTGCCACCTGTGAGCCGCCGCAACTACTGCTTCTTGTCGTTGCCCAACCTGCATTGTTCTCAATCACGAACCTCCCACCTCCTACCTCCCACTGTCTTTCCTTGTACCTATTCACAAGTCGATGATTATTCTTCACAGCTGAAATCAGGGGCTGTGGTTCAAATCGCCGTAACTGTTATCCCCAGTCGCCTGAGTGGCCATATTCGTCGCCAGATCATCATTCCCTATCACCATACTTTCCATCTTCGTCGCCGTTTGTCCACTTCATCTTCGCGGTTTCCATCCCCCATCGTCGCAGCCTGTACCCCAATCGCCGTAATGGGTTCCTGTATGTCGGCGGGCATCGATCCCGGTGGGCACGGCGACAGTCGTGCTGTCATTTTAGTTGCCAAACTTGTCGGCGACAATGTTCCCGGCGATTCCATCATTGAGAATCTTCCTACAGAGATGCTTCAGAAGATCATGATGTCCATGGACGCCGAGACACTTCTAGCCTTCATCCGGACGTCCAAGAGAGTTCACCTAGCCTACCAGGGAGCCTCAAATCTAATTGCCTTGGGTTCTAGTGAGCAAAGCGTGGGCCCCGAGCTCCTTCCCATCGCCGTCAACTGCTTCATGGCCCGAGCACTCGACCTATTCCCCAAGGCAACCAACCCCGGAAACAAGAACATGGTTTTCTCCATCGCCCACAGCTTCATCAAGTCATCAATCAGCACCCAGGCCATGACACGCAAACTGGGGCGTACCTACTTCAGTCTACAGCTGGCGCTACGCCTCCAGTCATTCCACCAAGCAGTGGTCGAAGTCTTTGATGACATGTACCTTGACTCCCTGCGCAAGGACAGCTCTTCATTCATCGAGTATACACTAGAGGAGAAGACAAGGGTCTTGAGGGCCCTGTACCTCTTTGAGCTTGTTCACCTGCTCCTTGTGCCCGTTGCTTCCTTCAATGATTGGCGGCTCCAGAAAGGCATCAGCGCTGCCTTTTGGAAGAACTTTGCGCCCTGGGATCACTCCCAGGTGCTCTACCTGGTCGAGGACTTTCTCAGTCAACGCGTGATTAAGGGTTCGTATACCTCTAAGGGCCCTCTTCTTTGCGTCTCATTTTACTCACCAATCATTCATGTAGCCTCCGAGCATTATAGTCAGCACTTCGCCGCATTGGGCGATCAGCTATACCACAGGCTGTATCCCAACTATGGCCGCGGCGCTCCGCCTCCGACCCCTCTCTGGTGCCCTTGTCATCAAGAACTAGTTTGTGATTGGCACAGAGTTACGGGCACCATTTGCCCCGTGGAGGCAATGATGGTTGTGTTTGTCAACGGCATCCAGGGCACACTCGACATGGATTCCAGCGCCGACAAGTACATTGAAGCCCGCGTCACCATGGTCCGTGGAAGACGCCCAATTCCCACCGCGCCGTTGCTCATTACATTACCTCTTGAAATTTGGCCCGCTGTACCCTTGTGGGATCAAGTCCTGGGTTCATGCAACGACGTGTTCCAGGTCATGGAGGGCGCACTTGCCATATCCCAGATCTACGACTGCCAAGATGAATTGATCTTCCTGCTGTGGACTGGAACCATCATTTCGAGTAGGTCGCTCCACTTTGGAAGTATGAACAACATTACCGGTCAAATGGCTAAATATCCGAACGATTTCCTCTTTCGGAGTCTACATGTCATAGAGAAGCACATGGAGAGCCACGATGTGATGGATCGTGTGCTGCTCACATACATGCAGAGACTGCAGAAGAAGGTGCTGGAGCAGCAGCAGCAGCAGCAGCAGTAGCAGAAGAAGAAGAAGAAGAAGAAGCAAGCAGTCATTGAAGCAAAATCTTCCATGTAGCTTGATCTTTGGAATTGAGAATAGACACTAGAAGAGTTTATGATAACTCTATGGATTGGACCTTTTGGGCTGGACCTGATTCAGTCAGGGATCCAGATGAGTATTGAATCTCTGGGATCTGGATGCTGGAAATCGCCGGCCATTGATCCAGAAAGTTTGCGGCTCTTGTACAGAAGAGCCCTACATGATGACGACCCTGCGAGCGTTGGAATTGTTCATAAAGAGCCCGAAATCAGCACTGCCGCCGAAATACATGGTTTTGTGGCCGGGACGGTAACATTGTACCCGATAGCCTATACAAACACAAACTGATACGAATAAAAGCTGAAAGAATTCATTTCTCGTGACTACGCACAGTGTTGAAGGTGTGGTACTGGGATATTATCGTGTCTACCAAACTTTGGAAATCATAGTTGCATAATTCAATGTTGCGTGCCAAGGAAACATGGACTGGCAGTTGTGGACCAAATGGTCCGTATATGGTTGCGTCTAATTGGTCCTTTCACCAGCGGTCCACAGCCTACGTCATACTAGCAGCTTGCACTGCTCAAGGTGATCATGAGGACCGAAATACCGGCAACTGGCACGCTGGCTAGATTACCTTAGTAATATCACGTCACTGCTGGGACAGAGACTCCTTTAAATTCGAGATACCCTCTTTTACAAAATTTGAATCCTCACAAATTCATATTCACATTATTTCCTACCTTGAACACTTCAAACTTCAACTCAACACCTCAAGAACAAACCACCAAAAGACAAACCCTCAAACCCAATTCCACATAAAAAAAACACACCATGTCGAGCATTGGAAAGGACATCAAGACGGGCCTCAAGGGCATCCACGGCGTCGGCGAGACGATCCGGGGCACCGTCAACGAAGCCGCCGACCAGGCCCTCGACACCAACACCAAGCACCCGGCAACCCAGGAGAGCCAGCTCAAGAACCACGGCATCGCCAACAAGGGCAAGGCCGAGGTGGACGGCGCCGACAGTATGCTCGCCCGGCACGAGGCCAAGCACGGCGGCAATGCTGCTCAGATGAGCCAGCCTATTGAGGGAAACCATGCTTTCCGCGGATAAATTCATTTCACTCAACATACCACACACGCTTGGATGTGATTAGACAGAGGATACCCTATGGAGGAAGGACGCTGCGACCTAAGGCATTTGGCCATCGAGAGGACGCCATGCAGGGCCAATCTTGTGCTAGAGTAGCACTGCAAGAGTAGATTTACGACCGTTCAGTCTGATGAGTAATGACAAAATTATTAACGTTCACTAATTTTATCATGCTGCAACTGGAATAATCGACATGCTATAGTCGCCTCATATGAGGCTGCTTTTCAAGTGAGCATACACCCTCTGAACTCCCGAACGCTACTGCGCCAACACATATTGCGATGTCCCCGAGCCTATGCCACCATGCTATACTTGGAAAATAAAATAAGAAAACTCGACCCAAGAATCGCATCCCAAAAAAAGCCAATCAAGCTCATTGAGGAACCCCAATTTCGTACCCAATCATGCACTCTGTGGATGATCCTTCCCAACCTCGTGTACCCGCTGTAGAAATCATGTACCTACTCGTTGCGTCAATGTATAGATTTGAAATGACACCTGCTCTGGGAGGGCCAGGCACAATCAAGAATGGCGGCGGCGAGTGCTTCGAGGTCCTCTCTTCAGCTCGTAGGTCGTACAATCTGAGAATGTCGTGCGAAGCGCAAATGAGATGGCGACCATTGGGCAAAGGTCTCACACAGCTCACGGGTCCACTGCCACCTGGAAACTTGAACGTCCGCTCAGGTATCCATCCTTTGCGCCCACCACGTGCCTTGTCAATGCTGTACTCCTCAACTGTGCCATTCCTCCTTCCGACATAAATCCAGTTTCCATCCGGCGACCAGCAAGCGCCCATACACCACGGGGGTACACCCCATTGCGTACTAATTCGTGCCACCGGGTTGGGTGCTCTGCGGTCCCAAATTTTGAGCGGACCATCAATGGAGCCCGAGAGAAAGGTAGAGTCTGATGTCTGAGTTGTATCGTAATGGGTTGGAAGCGGCTCTGCAAAGACGGCCGATGGGGATTCCGGGACAGGTGCAGAATCAAAGATAGCCGAAGGGGACTGAGGCGGGTCTTGCTGCGTAGACATTGGCTCTGTTGAAAAGTCCGTCACCTGCTCGGAGGGCTGCGTCATGTCGAAACTTGCGTCCACCGGATTCTCACCTGCATCCATTGGTCCTCCATTAGGGATAAGTGTGCTTTCGGAGGCATCGTTAGGTTGCTCGCTCGCGACACCTTCCATGGTAGGTATACCAAAGTCTGTCAATGCATTGTCGGCGCCGGAAGGGTCGGTGGTCGGGTCCTGAGCGGAATCTTGCATCATAGCGCGGGAAAATTCGTTGTCATCATCGCCTCCAAAATTATCGCCGAATAGGTCGTCACCAGCGCCAGGACTGCCACCAAAGAGACTGTCGTGAGTGGGACTGCCCTGAGCATCCATGCCATCAACGGCCATGGCATCATCTGTTGCATTGTTACCATTGCCAAAGCTGCCACCAGCATTGCCATTCATTTCGCCATTGGCGTTCCCACCATCCAGGCTAAAGTCAAAATCGCCGCCAGCAGCAGGGGGGGCATTGTTGTTCGAGAAAAAGGTATCGCTGGCAAGATCTTCCTCAGCTGCCTCGGGTGGGATCGGCATGCCGCTCATGGGACGTGTCTCAATAACCGAGATCTGCCCACCGCTGCCATCAAATTGACGTTTAACGTCGCCCGTGTTCAGGTCCCAGTCAAATATATTCTTGTCCCAACTGCCACTGAGCACGCTCTTCTCGTCGGCAGCGAGGTTGAGAACACTCACTGCACTGGTGTGTTTTTGTAGACATGCAATGCGCTTACCCTCGTCATGCCGAACACTCTGCAGATTGATGCCTCCACTTTCCAAGCCCGATAACAGCCACAGTGCCTGCGAATGTACGGCCAGAGAGTAGACGGGGCTCAAGATGAGGTCCTCTGTGCGCTGGGACGTGGAATGCGGCTCCGCATTCTCCCAGTATGATAACAGCACGCCAGCCTTGACCACTGACTCGACAAAAGGATGTCTTTGCGCGACCGTCAGGAGCGTCTTGCCATTGATTGTGTCGGGGCCGTGGTATTTCCTGATGTAACCATCCGAGCCACCAGTCATCCAATAACGGAGATCTGGTGTGACGGATATTGCATTGATGCTTGTGGACATGGGAGCGGCCATGGTTGGAACGATATCGTATGTCCTGGCAGTGAGGTATTCGGGTCGCACCGAGGCCGGCCATTTCGGCGTCGAGGCGGGTGTTGGAGTCGCCGAAGTTCTAGTCACGGCGGGCTGCGAGTTTGAGGCATCGTTTCCGGCATCGGGGTCTGCATTGCGCTGCTGCTCCTGTGTCTGCTGATCCTCGTCGTCGTCTTCATTGTCTCCATCGTCATCGTCATCGCCCTCATTTTCGTCATCATCTTGGTCCTGATCTTGATCTTCCGGCTGATCATTATCTTCCGGCTCGGGCTCGGGTTCGGCATTATCAAGCATCAACTCATCCTCTTGTTCATCAGAGCTGGCATTCGAGTCTCGATCAAAGTCCTCCATCTCGACGGCAGTGGTTTGAATGAACCAAGAAGGAAGGGCTGGAGGTTACGGTATGTCGACGAGCAGCAGGCACAATAAATACAAAATGGCAAAGAGAAAATTCGGAAAAGCCAAAATCACATCATAATTGTATATGGTTAAGGTTCTCTCATGGCATTCGGACGTCGGTGCTTTGTAGTATCATTGGTGGCGCAAAAAGTAGGTGCAAGTGTTGAATCGCAAAAGCTGAGGCGCGTCGTTGGTTCATTGGAGTCGCGACCTTGAGCTCTCGCGGGGCAGCTGCGCTGTAGCTTCTGGTCCCTACATTACCTACCTGCCTACTGGTACCTAACCTTATTAGTGCAGACCGAGGGTACCTTGCCGACCACCTAGATATCTGGCAGCTATCAACTAAACTATCGAACCACGATTGACGTTATCACCCGTCCATTAATGATGTTTTAATGATAACTCATGAAATTCGATATTATCGCCTCTCCACATTTATTTATATTTTGCACTTGTAAAGAAGATTTTCTAAATAGGTTTATGCTGCTTGGCATTCCAACAGGGGGCAGTGAAGTGCAATTGAGCGCCTTATGCCCGCTAGCGACTTTGTAGTCATGCCGTAGCAGAGCCGCCAGAGTCCAACCCTGCAGGCCGCCAGCTGTGTTGGAGGACCTCGGGACCCTCTTTCTCTCTTTTAGGTGCCGTTGACCGAAGATTCTGGGGAGTCTCCGTTTCCCGCTCCGTCCCCACTGGAGTATAATGGCAAAATGGTTTCTGAGGAATCAAAAGTGGGCGAGATGACAACCATTAAACGTCACCACTTGGAATGCCTCCCATTATTTCTCCACGTTGTAAGTACCTTGTGAATTGTTTCCCAACGTTTGTGCAAGTTCAAAGATACGACTGCTCCAATCGGGAGAAGAATGCGAGTCTAGACCTCAAATGATTGGAAGAAAAATTGCTTCTTGAAATGTAAAAGTTGCAAGATGTACCCAAGATCCGGACAAAGTGCTCCTGAGCGAACCAGGAGCCTTACCGGGTTGCCAAGTCCAGGCACAACGTTCGGTGGCCCGATCACTATTGGCGATCACCAGCAATAGGGCAAATCGGTATCTGATTCCACATGGATTCCAAAAAAAAAAAAAAAAAAAACCCCCATGTATTCTAGATTCCATGTTAATCCCGCCGTGGTTCTACCCTCACAAGAAACGCAACTGGTTGAATTTCCAGTCCATTCATCAAAGAGACATAATCTCGTCAAATATTGATGACGAATCGGCAATTGCCCCCGGAGCCCTCGGGACAGTGTTGGTACTTACGGAGCAAATCACACCGACTCTATCACCCCTTGCTGTTTATTTCCGTTCAAAGGGTATATAGCATTCTCCGCGGTTTGGTACTCCATGAGACAGTCCACCGCCTCCCACGTGCGCCTTGTCGGCAACACGGATGGACAGATCGTGTAGATTGATCATTGTATCGCCTCACATATTGTAGCTGTCGAGTATCATGGATATTTTGTATGCAGACTTGTATTTGGTTGTCATCCATCAAGGTAAGAAGTCCCATATTGAATTCAAACGGCGTTGGCGCCACTGATTCGACCATCAACTCCGCATACAGGCCGGCCATCCACTTCGAGCCATGAATTAAGATGACGAGTACATGTCAATGGAACCATTAACTCCACGGCAAGCACGGTAACTACCACCATCCACTCACGTAGATCTCGCATATCCAGGCTCGCTGGCTCCAGGTTTTACTCAATAACAGTGTATAATATACTGCACAGGAAATGTGGCCGGGGGTAATGTAACGTAAATAACGCGTACAACCCACAGCACTTTTTAGTCAAACACTATTGACTTCATATACTTCCGTTACTCGGCGCTTGTGACCGTGTTACCCCCATGTCGAAGTCCAGTTTGACTGAAGTAATGATGACGACTTGGCACTACTTGCAGATATGCTGATCAAAGCTCAATAAGCAGCGTCATCATTATAATTCCAAAGAAGAATTTTTTTTTTGGAATGTTGTCGTGGTTGGAGGCTGTGTATATAATAATAAGATTTGCCAGCTCAAGGCCAGAATTCACAACAAACCACAACAGTCTCCCAACAGAGTCAAAATGGGTGTCTCGCGGGTTTTGAAGGGCGCAAGCCTTCTGGCAATCGTCTCACCGTCGTTCGCCGTGCCTCTTGAGCCCGAGGTTGAGAAGCGATTTTATTCTGAGCCTACAACCACATATACATCAGCCGCGCCAGTCACCGCTTCTATTGTTCCCGTCACCAATGTGACCTCCCACGGTCCTTACACTGGCACACCCACAACCACTGGTGCTTTGTCTACCACCGTCACTGCAGCATCGGTGGCTGCATTGCCTGCTGACCCCCTCAAGTATCAGTACCCGGCTGACGGAAAGCTTCACTCGCCTCAGCCAGCGCCTTATACCCCTGGTGGCGGCGCGGGGGTGAACGGGTCCGCGCCGGTATATCGTCCTCAAAGCGATTTCGACTATGAATCCCTAGCGCTTGCTCTCTACCAAGAATGGATCGAGCTGGACCTCTTCCATTGGGGATTGGCAACTTTTAGTACCGAGGATTTCGAGCAAGCTGGTCTGAACGCCGAGGACCGATTCTTGCTCGAGTTCATGGCTGATCAGGAAGTTGGCCATGCCACGCTTCTGAGTAACATCCTCGGCGCTGAAGCTCCAGTTCAATGCACCTACAACTACCCAGTCTCCAGTGTCCGCGAGTATGTGGATTTCAGCCAAAAGTTGACTCGCTTTGGCGAGTCTGGAGTTTACGGTTTCTTGCCTCATTTGGACTCACGTGAGAGTGCTCAGCTTTTGCTGCAGTCCATCTCAACCGAGGCTCGCCAACAAATGATCTTCCGCCAGTTTGAAGGCCTCTTCCCCATGCCAGTCTGGTTCGAAGTGGGTGTCCCTCAATCTTGGGCATGGACTCTTCTGGCGCCGTACATTTCATCCTGTCCTGCGAACCAAACTCGACTGGTTTGGCAGAACTTGCCGGCCCTGAACATTCTTAATCAGCCCAACCCGGCCCGTGTCAATGGGTCAAATGTTTTCAATGAGACAACTGGTGGTTGGACCAACACACTCTCGACGTCGGACCTAGAGGATGGTGACTCGTGCGTCAATGCCACTGAGACCGGAGTCAACTGTAGCCCCGCCATTACTCGCAACCGGACTGAACCTCTGTCATACGCGGGCCGCAAGGTCTACCTGTCCTGGGACGCCCCCGGCCAAGCCGTTGGTCCCAACAATAGTTATGTGACATCTACAACTGCCAGCAAGCCTGCCTTTGCGGCCTGGGTTACGCAGCTGAACGTCACGTACAGCCCGCTGCAGGATGTAACCGAGAATACTGCCTGGACCATTCAGCCCAACACTAGCGTCTATGAAGGTGATCCAGCGATCAATGGTACCATGTTCCTGGCAATCACCGATAAAGATCTTTATGTCACTCCGTTCAACTTGACTATGCTCAACCCTCATGTTGCGGCACTTGGTCTCTACCAGGCTGGCTGAGCTACTGTGCGTTCGAACAATGCCAATGCCACACGACGAAGAATAAATTTTATGGATAACAGAGTCTTGGGAAAGATATGTTCGTTATTATTATACGTGATAATCTTTACTCGGAATCCTCTACCTATATTTGTAATGTAGTTAATGCCAGACCGACTGTCTCATAATCCTTAACTGCCATTTACGTGAATGATGCAATGCTCATGCTTCCGGTAATAAGCGAGCTGCTTTGGGACGCACAGGCGAATTCATCATGATTTTTTTGGTGTAGTGTCATTGACGCAGGCCTCTTTGTGTCAATTGATGGAGACAATTTGCGGCAGGGCTTCAAGTACCTCTACATCATATAGTTGAATACCCAAAGGGAAACACCCATAAACATGCCCACAAGTTGAATCTCTGGATATAGATTAAACTACTCCTATTAATGCTATATCATATTGAAATGATACCAGGAATACATATCTGCCATCGGACCTACAGTATGTCGTCAGACACTGGTCAGTGAGATCGATTAAATAGATGTTAATGGTGCCCGTGTGCCCTCGTTCATCAGCTGCTGAAGGATTCAGGTCCCCGACCCAAGTACCTACCAAGCCTTAGCCGTCTGCGAACAAAATATTCCTGGATCAGGACTGGAGCGTGACCTCTGCGCCGAATCGGGCCAAGCGCCATCTTGAGGCTCAATAATAGGGCTGATCTGGCCAACGGTGCCCGTTTGCAAGGCCGCGACAGCTTCAAGTACGTACCTCGGCCACGCGCTGCGTGCAATCAGTAGCTTCCTGTCTGGCTCGAGAAAGATTTATTTAAGAACCTCCGAGTTTCACTTTGGGTTGCAAACTTTTTTCCTCACCCCATTTCAACAAATCAACACGACAACCACAACAATCCGACCAGCCCCCTCCCTAGGGGCCTTCAACCCAAAACATATCCTCCACTAGTCTTCAAACATTCAACAAGTACATATTCCTTCATACTCCCTTTACCCTCTTCCCAATCAACTAACATACTTTTACCCCAGTCGCAGCACCTTCTCAGTTGCCATTCAGCGGCACCTCCTTCATTGGCTGATTCCTCTTATTCAATCGCGGCCCGTGATACCACAGGGAACCCCGACCCTACGGGCCGCCAGAACACCGCATTTCTCTGCCACGACAACTCGGTCGCACCTTTAAACGACTCGTATCTTTTCAGCCTCTCGTTCTGTCTTAGTCTCGCCCAGTGCCCACCGGGGCAAGTTCTGCCGGCGAGACCAAGGATTTCCACAACATCAAATTTGTATTAGTAGCAACGACATGTAAGTCGCATATCTTGGCCATATCTCTTTTCTTCACATTCTCACTTCCTTATAGTCCTGGTCCTGCCTAGGTGCCCTTTGCCCACCGGGGCCAAACCCATCGAATCTCGTCCGACAAGGCTCGGAAGCCTCAGAAACGCATACGCATACCTTCACGACCATTCTCATGACCATTCTCACGACCACGCTCACTCAACCGAATTCGCAAATACACAATTTTAAAGGGCATGGTTGGGCAGGGCTTAGGACAGACATCTACTAACGGTCACGGAGGGGGGGCTGACTTCTGGTCGCCCCTGGGCATGTGGTGGGCCTCCGAAATCAATACATCTTCATTTCACAAAATGTTTCGCTCCGTTCCCCATGATATTGATCTGACGAATACCTAATTGTGATATCACTCTGGTGATGGACAACTTGCGAGTTCTGTTCGAGACATTCGGTTCTCCGCAAGCTACGGGCCGAGCCGCACTCTGCAGTAGCGCCGATCGTACAGGAGCAACTGCTCCAGCTCATGACGTAGTCCATTTGAGTCCCAACCATCAACACAACAGTCATGACGGACGCCTTTGACGCACATGATGCGACGTGTCTAGGAAGGATTCCGGTGATGAAAGGATGCATCAATGGACATATCACCGTAATATGTATCGTCTCAGACTGCCCATGTAGCACCGCATATGTATAACACGGATTCGTAGCACTACTTTGAGTAACAGTCCTTCCCCAATACTAATTTCCTCCACATGTTTTCACGAACTTGTACAGTCCGCACCGCTTCTGCTCTATCAGTGACAAGAAAAACAACAATAGCATCAGCAATACCATCCATCGCACAACGGAAAACCATGGCTTCAGGTGTGCCCTCTGAGTCTGCAAAGATTCAGGAACAGGCTAATGCCTCTTCAGCAACTTTCGCGTCGCATAATATCAGAAACACCAATATCAACACTGCTCCGGGCGTGGACTTGTCGGATCAACAAAAAGTCCTGGTCGGCAGCATCCTCGACGTATGGTGACCTCCCGTCAAACTTACCCTATTGTGTCCATCCACACATTCATGTTCTCTTTCACACATCACCTAGCAGTCCTACCTAACCAAGCTGACCTTGTGGTATAGCTCTTTGAGGGCAACCCGACACTAAAGCACCTCTCCCTCTGGTCCAAGACGGCTACCTTTGCCGACAATATCACCATTGCCACGGGCTACGACAAGTTTGCCGCGCAATGGTACGGTCTGCCGGCCGTCTTCAAGCCCATCCAGATCCAGCGCCACCAGGTGGTGTCGGCGGGCAACCCGATTGAGCTGGACCTGTCCAACAAGTACACGGTCAAGGGCATCAAAAAGGAGCAAGTCATGGACTCGCGCGTCAAGATCCACGTCGGCGCCGACGGCAAGATTGAAAAGGTCGAGGACCGCTGGAACGATAATCTGCCCGAGGGCGGCATCTCCGAGGTGAGTAGCCGGGTCCTCGTCCTACCCCTGACGGCCGCCCGTGCCCTCGTCGGCTTGGGTGCTGGTGTGGTTTGGTGGGCCTTTTGTACCGTGAGCTGGTCGTGGCCCTTTGCGGTACGGGGCCAAACGTTGATGATCCAGTGGTTTTGAACGTGTGTTCTCGATGACTAACTTATTTTCGTAATTAGGCTTTCCGGAAGTTGAATGCTGTCACTGTCCCAACCATGGTTAAGGTGCCGAAGAACGAGGAAGAGGATAAGAAGATGCAAGCCGAGAGAGACCAGTCGTCATGAAGAGGATATGTAGTGCCATGATCGATGAAATGCAGTCAGTATGCATATGGTAGCATCATTCCTTTAGGCATGCAGTGATAATATCAAGCAATATAGAATCGGCTTGCCACAATGAACCAGTGCTTGTTCATGTATATGTAACATATCATTGAGCACCAAGTACTACGGATGAAGAAATATTTACAAGAATAAAGTCAACGGGAAAGCCGCAAGGCCGCCACTTCATCACAAGGCCAACACTCCTCTCGACCTAGCCCCCTTCAACGAAGAGAACAAAATTGTTTCTTCTTGCGCACTTCAAGGATGTCATGAGCCCTCTCGAGGCATCGAGGCAAAAAGCGACTCCGCTCAAGTCGAGCAAGAAGCAACACTTGGGACATTGGTGCAGCTACCGTAGTCCTTGCCGCCAGTGACATCGACACCAGACCAGGTCCAGCTGGAGCAGGAGCCGGAACCGCAAGTGATGACGACATTGTAGCCAGAGGAGCTCACGGCATCGGTGCCGGCAATATTCTCGACCTTGAGGTTGGTGATGGGGATACCGGTCGTGGTGGTGCCGTCGAGGTCGCCGCCGTCATAGTTTTGCTCGATGATGATGCCGTACTTGGAGATGGACTGCAGCGTAATGCCCGAGTAGGTCACGCCGGTGATGGTTCCCGTGTCGCCCGATGACGCCTTGATGCGGATACCTATTTATATGAGTTAGCATTGTGGCTTTTATACTATATCGCTGGGATCAAATAATTTCTTACCGTTGACAGAGTTCTTGACCTCGGAGTTTGTCTGAGACACACGATTTTGTTAACCTATATTCATCACGCTGCTATGGAGGAGTAGCGTATCACTCCGTTGTTTTGAAGCCCGGAAGAGAGAACAGTAGGGAAGGGGGATATGAAGATCTTGGTACTCACAAAGGTCACTGTGTCCACATCGTTGTCACTACGACCACCGACGGATCCGATAGACAGTCCATGTCCTCCAGAACATACTCCGCCACTGAAGGTAATATCCTGTAGACCATATCAGAGCTGTGCCACCAAATTATAGCTCAAGGTTTACTTACCGTTCCTGAGTTGACGGCCACGCAATCATCCCTGTTTTTATTGTAATCAGTAAATGTGCTGTGCATTAAAGTCCATCAATGGCGCTTCAATTTTCTTGCTTGGACAAAATCAAGCAAGTTCATGAACTTTTTCTCAGTCACGGGAAGTACTCACTGGTTGTAAACATTGGCACCTGTATTTGGTGTTAGCACTTTCTCAAACGACATGGGAAAAGGTTTCAATAGTGTTGTTGCTCCACTGGATAGTATGCTATTTTGCCAGTGTTCTGTCATGTAATGAAAGACCGGGATACATACCTGTAATGGTTACTGAGCTTGAAGAACCGATATCGAAACCATCCTATATAGCGGTCAGAACCTTGTACCTGACATTATTGAAGGACATTGGCTTGTTTCTTGGTCAGGTTAATGGTACCCAACCAGACCAATTCAAAGCATACCGTGTTGTGGCCAAGTGCGTCAGTGTCTCCAGCTGAGTTGTCCTATAAATTGCATAATATTAGTTATCTTCCCCAGTGTCAAAGTATCATGACTTAGGGTCTTCCTCACAATGGTCATGTCTGTAACAGTGAGTCCATCACAGCCATTGATGGACACGGCTTGGACAGGCGTGTTCTGAATGTGCAAGTTTGTAATGGTCGAGTCCGTCAGATCATGGGCGTAAAAGAACTTGGGCTTGGTCTTGCCGCCGTTGGAGCCTTCGCCGTCCCACCATCTGGCTCCGTCGGGGTTGAGATAGGCACCGGATGCGCCTTCAATGGTAATCTTGTTGCCCTTGATCTGGAGCAGCGGGCCATCCCACTCCTCGTAGCCCCAAGTGGTCTCTCCTTCAAAGATGACCTACACTGGCGTTAGCTGTTATTCTACCATGCGATGTGCCAATATCCTCCTCGTTGCACTACACTGTGGAGAAGCTTACAGTGGTGTCATCTTCGAGATTGGAAAGATCCAGCGTAGTGCCAGAAGGAACTGCTACGCTGGACAGGACAATCGTGGAGCACGAAGCCTGAGACTTGCTGGCAGAAGAGGCGCCATTGGAGCCAGAAAAGGTGCAACTAGTTGCCCTCTTGACGACGCCTGGCTCTGGAGCAGGTGTGATCTCTGGCCCTGCCACCGGGGAGGCTAGGGCACCGGCCACAAAAGCCAAGGCAGTGAAGAAGGTGAATGATCTCATGATGCTAGCTGTAATCTTTTTTGCCCAGGGAGATGGATGAATCAGACTTGATGACTTGCGCCATCATTTCTCCTCCATGCTCAGCCAAGACTTCTGTGTTTATATAGTCCTTTCCCAAGGCTCAGGTTTCCAAACAATAGAGCATCGTCAACTTAACACTACTTGGGTTTGTGAGCCCCCTTAACATGCCCCTTGGGGCTCGGATTGGTTCCGTGGTCCCCACTAATAGACGGGATTCAATAAGCCTCCAATTATGAGCTGTATATGCCAAGACCCTGTCGCGACTAATGAGTAGTTTGCATCCATACGCATCAGTGTTAGCTAACGAGTCACGACTATCAAATAACTTGCAAAATACGCATACGCAGCCCCATGTCGTCGGGACTGAAACTTATATGTCCTCCAATGATAATTGAACTGCGTCAAGACAATACTCTAGTCATGGAATCAGTATTTACGACCAAGGTATACGCGCTAAGGTAGACCAGATGTGTAAAAGTTGGGCGACCCACAGCCTGCTTGATATCATCGACGACACGACATTTTGCCAGGTAAGAATGATACATTGAAAATCATTTCAGTGCGTGATACCCTCATTGATTCCCACGTTTATAAGTTGCTGTTTTGTCGGCTACTCAATCGACTTGACACCATTTGATCATCCATTCACTGTTATAGTGTCGCCAAGCATGAGGCTCTCGAGGCTTGGCAGGAACAAGCAAAATGCTTAGGTCTCGCTAATGCAGCCCTTGAATTATATCGTAATCGTGAAACAATACATAGTATGGTTCAAAGCTCATAGGTATGGATGAGTGATAGGCACCATACCTCCGAGATGCTGGATTTGGAGTCGGAAGTTGGGGGGTGGGGTGACATGGTTGTTGGGGATGGAAATTGATAGCGATCATATTACTGTCTAGAACAGCACCTGACTGGTCACAAGACCCCCCGCAAACGTGGCAGCGAACACTACCCCATATTTGCAATATGCCTCTCTTTGATAAGCCAGGGTTGATGTGGCCTGGGCTAGGATCCCCCCCGTGATTGTTTTCTGGGGTGCAGACACCTAGTCCAGGATGTCTCTCCATATCCAAGCAGAAGTCTGCGCACGGTGCTTACATGAGGGATTTGGCAGTGTAAATCAAACAAGATTGCAAATCAAGTGAGATGTATGTTTTTCTTCGAATAGTTTTGGAAAATTCTCTTTATCATAATATTTCTTCTTCTTCTTTTTTACAGATGATGATTGTTTGAAAGTGGTGTCTTTTGGAGAGATTTTGACAAACGTGCATAGACCGATGCGTATGAAGAAGTATACCCACCTATGAGGTATGGTTTGGTTCAGGACCGATTTGGCACTTGGGCTCCTTAAGCCAGGAGCCATAGACTCATCAGACCAACAATTATTGACAGATTTTTAATGTCCAGGCAGAACCAAGTCAGTCTCTGCTTCCACCGAACATTGCTGCATGTCCTTGTAAAGCTGCTAATTAAAGGGGCACTGTGACATAATAGTCGCAGGAGACATGTTCTCACAGTCTGTAGTCAGACAGTTGACCCTGGGGCTTCGAATTACCGTTGCAGCCAGACGCGCTAAGGCATTCGCTCAAAATCGGCATGATTGGTGGCAAAACCCTGATTGCCTACACCACAGTGCCTTGCATTGTGTGTCTGTTCAGGATGCCTTCAAGTATGGATTTCCTGTTGTAGCGGAAAATATATCAGAATAGTCCATACGTTTACTCGATCCGGCTTGACGGGTCTCCCAGAATTGTGGATTCGTGTTTCATCACGTTGCATGCGGTGGATGAAGTTCAACGCCAGCTGCTTCCGTAATATCCGCTGCGACTCGGATCCGAGAAGTACGTGCTCGTGTCTATTGTCCGTTAGCCTACGCACTTTGAAGGGTCTCCCATATTCTATCTGACTTACCTCGAACTCTGCTGATGCCGAGCTGATCAGCAATGTTGACATAGCCTTCTCTTCCGGCAGTCTTGGGGATATTGATCTTCTTGATCATGTCATCATCGCCTTGCCACGGCGTTCGACACATTGGACAAGTGACACGATCGTCGCGAGCGCCTCCATTTTGACGCTTGGTAGTTGCCCACATCTCGAAACACTCCTTGTGGATGTTCTGGCCACATTGCGCACGACAATACACGGTTGCCTCTGCTTCTTCGAATGGCATGAAACAGATGGGGCAGTCGCCCTCGACCGGCTTGCGGTTCTTGTCTTCCTTGGGTTTCTCTGCGTCTTCGCCAACTTCAATAGGCGGCGCATGGATGAAGATCTCGTCCAATTCAGTCGACAACAATGCCAGTTGGTAGACCAGGTCAAATCTGGCGCGGAGAACGCGGGATAAGACGTAAAGAATGTGTTTGCATTGATGACCGGCCTTGTGGTGCGGGCAAGTGCAAGTGGGTTGACGAGCGATGTGAACGCTATAGATATTCCCAGTGGAACCGGCGAGCTCGACAATCTCCTCCGGACACTGTCCTGTCCAGGCCCGAGATCTGCTCAGGACATAGAAGCGCTGGGAGGTGGCGCGCTGGTAGACATCGTTGAATTTCTGGGGCGCATGATCACGAAACTTGCGCAGTCGCTTCTCCTCATTCGGGTCCTTCTTCTTGCGCGCCTTCTTGGGTGACTCCATCTCATGACTGGCAGGGGCTGACGAGTCCTGGTCATAACTTGCAGATAGCTTCCGCTTTTTGGCAGCGGCAGAGGAGCTCGATGAGCTTGGCTTTGCGCCAGACGCTGTTTGACTTTCGGCACCCATCTTGCCAAGCTTGCGCAGTCTTGCGCAGTCTTGCGATTGACGCGGCTGATGGGTAAAGGTTCAGCAGAATTGACAGACGTCGGTGCAATCGTTCTGGGAACGACAACTGATTAATCGCTGACTGATTTTGATTGATGTATTGAATAGTGATATTTGATGATAATTGAATGAGTGAATGTTTCGCGTACACGGAACGGTAGATGAAACATTAAGCTGCAGCTTGTATGAGTCCTGGTGGAGTGGCGAAACACCCAGTAGGCGGGCGCTGTTTAACACCAAACCTCCGCGGGGTCAGGTGACCAAGATCCCCTGTGGGCAGTCAGCAGCGATTAACTGCGACCTAATTTCCAGTGGGGGTAGCGCCGGGATTTATCAATTTATACTGACTTGCCGCATTCTGCTTTGTAGCTTGAACTTTACAAGAGTCGACTTTGGAATCCAATTAGATGTGTACTTGAAGCTCATTGAAATTTGAAATTGATATTTTGCTCCATCCAGTTGTGAAATTAGTCCAGCTGTGGCCTTCAGATTATACAGAGCAACGGCAATAATTGTTTGGCAGGATACCAGAAGGCTGGTCTTATAATGGCATCATGTATTTCTTTGGCTGCCGTTATTGCTCTCTCTCTATGACAACAAGACACCATGGCCACTCGACTCCCAGTCTCGAGCCAGCCATCGCCAGTCTGCATCTGTTCCATTCCAAAAATCGCGCAAGAAATGCATCGCATCGTGAAAATTCCTGAATCGCATATTCTCGCATAGTTGGTCATACAGTTCTGCTATGATAGCTTGCCGACGACCGTCTCCGTGACATTCGGTCCCGGCGACGAAAACCGCCCACGCGATACAGTGCAGCCAGTCCTTGGCAACCGACATGGCGGCAATCTGGTCAAACAATGAATCCAGATACCCAGAGCAGATCTGGGGCGACCCCAGGTCCAAGCATCGCGCCGCGTAGAGCATGGCGGCGTAATGCATGATATTCACGACGCAAATAAAATCTCGGCGTCGACTTGCTGGCTCAATCATGAGGCGCCCACAAGCCATCAGAGTTTCTCCCCTGGCCACCTCGAACTGTGTCTGTATGTGACGTAGTGATAGCCCAAGACGCACCGACCGCGCCCTTGAAGATGGGAGTTCACTTGAAAGTAACGTGACATCATACAGATATGTTAGAAAAGACGAGAACAGAACAGACTGGTCTTTCGGGCTGGGAAGAATGACATCTTTCATGGTCGATCGTTGGAAAGATGTAGTGCAGGCCATTACGTCGTGAATGGATAGTTGATTTCGGAGGAACTCGAAAAGAGCACTTCTTTTGTGCCTAGTCGTCTCGAACGTGTTGACAAGAGACCTCGCAGCCCGTCTATGAAAGTCTGCTGCCGAGCTCCCGCTATCCGTCATCTCGTAGCACGACAGCAACAGCATGGCCGCCAGCATTCGTTCGACTGATTGTTCGTTCAACTGCATCCCCACATCATGGCCCGCCAGGACGTGGCTGGTGATATTCTTGACGTAAGCCGATATCATATCGATGGCCTCATCACGCGCCTTGCGAGATAGCTCTTCATACCCAGCAGGCGACGATGCGTGCTGAGACGAGACTGCGGCCATGGCCAAGCCTACGACGGGTACCGTGTAGGCCAAAGGCGCCACAAACATGCGGTAGGGATTCTTATCAGAATCGACCCAGACCATCCTGCTCGCTATGTTGTTCTCCCAATGAACCACCAGCTTATCTAGCGTCTTCTTGTCAATCGAGTTGTAGAAGGAGTTCCGCACGTTGGGAAAGATGTCCAATGCTGGGCTGCCTGGGTTCCTGAAGACACTGGACTCTTTGGCAACATTCGATTCAGCCATGCGCCCACGTAAAGCTGCACCTCCCGCCCATTTCAAGCGCCGGCCATATCCTGGGCAATTCAGTCCTTTCTTTAAGCACTTGTGGCAGCTCGGTGATGCACGATCACACTGGATACGGCGCCGCTCACACGTATAACAACCTACTCAGATTAATTACAAAGATGAAGATGTCGATGAAGACCAAGACATACCTTTCATTGGGACGTGACTTGGCCCTGTTGTCGGAGGATCATTATTTTGAGCAAAATGGAGCCAGGCGGGGAAACGCTGAGATACGCCGGTTAACGCGGAAGATGCGCTAGAGCACCAACGGAAGAGCTTTTAAAACGATAAATACTGAATCAGAGTATCTAATGACGAGACAAAATCTAGTATTATGCACCGTATCATTCCAAGTCATCTTGTGAGACGCTCGTTCCGCAATTCCTTTCTATTGATATACACGATTTTATATTCTGAACATAGAATATTGTATTTTTATTTGAAGAGAAAGACGTAGCTAGTGACTTGGCTCACGCATACAGATACGAAGTTTTGATATATGAGCTAGTACTTGCACGTTGTAAGTAGACAAGTCACTGTGCTAGGCTACAATAGCATGATGACAAGGTTCATATCAAGTCTTGATCTTTATGATCGAAGATACTCGTGTCTGATACGATGAACACTTAGTTTGCAAACCGGAAGTACGCACTCAACGTCAGGATGTTCAAGGTTGACCGAATTTGTTCATGGATGGATAATGCTACAGATTTCATGGTCCGTCCAAACAATTGGTTATGGACAATTGCTTTCCGAAGCACGCATGAAGTGCAATAGACACTTTTGCCCGTAGGGCCGTGCCGAGATGATTTGATCATGAGACCTCATTGAATCATCGCTCATAGTGGGATCTGGTATACTTTGCAGGCGAGAGTAGACCTCTCGCAAGAGAAGCTTCATCTCTGCGACAGCAAGACTGGGGATTCTTGTTTAGTTCTATGAGGTACCAACTGGTTAAGTTACTGGGAAGATCAAGTACTCACTGTTTGCCGACACACCCGCGTCCGCCGTAAGAGAAAGCAAAAATGTGCCTCTTTCTTTCATCAGCTCCCTTGGATGACATCCATCTGCCGGGATCGAAGCGATCCGGGTCGGGGAAAACGTGTTCGTTGTGTCGTTGCACAGAGTGCGCCTGGCAGCTGACAATGGTGCCCCCAGGAACTTGAACATTGTCAATCACGCGTCCGCCGTCGGGTACGACGCGAGGCAAAGACATTGGGATTGCCGGAAAACATCTGAGCCCTTCTTGCACCACAGAATCGAGATATGGAAGCTTATCAAATGCTTCAGTAGGGTTTCGTAGTAGTTCCTCCCTTAGCCGAGCCTGATGGTGCTCTGATCGAGGTTGAGAAAGCTCCCACATGAGGAAGCATAATACATCGCCCGTAGTGTCGATACCTGCGACCATGTGATCAAGACACTCCGCGCTGACATCGATTTCGGTCAATTGGTCACCAAGCTTTTCGCGAAGTCGACTCAAGAGAGTGAACTCTGCCGTGTCGGGGTACCTGGATCTCTGAAGGACAAACGCATCAGCCAAAGGCGTGGCGCGGGCTTCAAAGAACAGGTTAATGATCTTGGATGCATATCGGTAGATGGTCGGAGCATGCAAGATGAGAAGGCGGCCTTTAATCTGATCAGTTTCAGTCACCTCGTAGAGAACAGGATGTTTACTTGCTTTGAAGACTGTCGTCAGTGTTGACTTGGTGCATTATTTCTTGGTCTGTCCGACTCCGTAGGCAATCTGTGCCGTAAGGATGAAACAAGTGATGTGTAACACCATCACACGCGAATGCATGAAGTTTTACCTGCGATTACCATATAAATATTTTCCGAGTCGATGGAGGCATATCGTGGATCTTACATAAATGTCCACACTCGTTGCACCATCCTCGCACTGCCGAGCAAACTCTGTGACCAGATTTTGAATTCCGCTCAAAGAAGCTGGCTTCATAACATTGCTGTTTGCATACTTATCTGCAAGAAGTCGTTTCCTTTTCGCATGCTAATGAGTTTACCGTGTTAGTGAAATACTAAAAGCAAAAACCCAATGAGTAAAAGCACTTGCGCTTGTCTTGTCGAGTGTCGAGAACATGGTTCTAATTAGTATTAGTTAAAGAGGCCGCACCAAGGCTCTTGACCCACGAACCTTCGGCCAAAAACGGTGAAAAGATTGTAAAAGTTGGATTTCTCGTATCCGCTACCCGATGATCCGTAAATCTCCTTGACGGCTTCAAAGGACGTGAATGACACTTCATTGGGAGCAATCAGCACTGCAGGCCCATAAGTGAGATGCAGCTTGTGTATATATGGTGTTCGATTTGCTCGGAAATCATGCCAGCGTAGAGGGACTGATGTGAATCGAGACAAGAATGGGCCTGGGACAACCCATAATGGCGAGGTGAACCGCCTCCAGGAGAAGACGACGACACATAGTATGAGAGCGCACCCGAGCACATTGAAAGAAAGCATGTTGAAAAATATGCCCCAGTAAGAGATATGCGAGATTCCATACGAAAAGTGTTTCAAAGCATGCTTCCTTTTCTGACTATATATGTCTTTGTTTTTCACGGCGCACTTTCATATCTGGTGAAATGGATTCCTATATCTTCTCCAAATTAATGCCTGTTTGGGTTAAGATCTGGAGCGATCAATTCTCCAAGCTACTTCCGCTTTGGGCATCAATCTGGAGATTCTATCGCTGGAAGTGGACCGCCTAAGAGCTCGCCTGTTAGTGCCATTGAGTTCCGTAGATATCTCAAATGTGGGGGAATGGCAGTGACTCTCTTCACGATAAAGATATCGGCAGTGGTCAATTCGATTTCAAATACATCTGTGGACACGTTTCTTATCGGTTCTATTCAGCGTCGGAACTTCTTGATATAACGCGTACTATTTCCGAGCCTGACAGCTATCTACTCTTTGTGCCCACCCAGTACTGCCTGGTCTTACCGGTTCCCAGCAGACTAATCCTTTCCCCAACCCGAGATCGCGGACCCGAGCTCTATTGATTGCTCGTGGCCAACACACTTCTTTTTAGCACCAATACATCTTACATCTCTTCCATTAACATATTTTACTAAGTTTTCTCCTCTGGAATCTGTCAGTACAGCTGGAAACTACTACAGAATGGCTAGCATATCCATTCGCGAGTCAATTCGTTGGCTCCCGGAAGAAGCCACCGAAGCTACTACGACAATTGTGCTCACTTCTCCAGAGAAGCGCTTTGTCGATTTAAGAATTTTTAATCCTGAGAAGGCTGAATCCAAAGATGAAGGTGAGATTTCTTGCGAAGCGCTTCGTGTCCAGACTTGATCGATACACGTGATTGTACTTACATGTTTTAAATAAAGTCCCGCTGGAGCGCCTTGACTGGGCCATGGCAGGCACGTCTTCAAGCGTCGCAATTCCAGAAAGAGGGCCCGATGCGACACGTTCACAATGGGTACACTGGATCGACTCCCGAACATTGGATGTGGAAAATGCGACGGATGAAGGATACATGTCGCCACTTGACGGGAATCGGGTCCTTGAAGAAGGTACCATGATGAACCCGGAAACGGGTCTCCAGACTGACTATGAGGAAATATGGAATGATGAGGAGCCCAAAGCTGTCCCCAGCGATACCGGTAGCCATATCGTGGTTCTTGATTACCAAGGCAATGACGGCGCAGCTCAGCGTGGTCGCGTGGTCAAGCTGGGCAAGTACTGCCAAGGGCTTTTGCGGGATGGCGATGCTATCACTGCAGAGAGGTGGGAATGGCGCCAGGACCGCGGATGGTATATGAGTAAGAATGTCAATAAGAGTACTCAGATCCCGTGTGAGCATGTGCTGGATAACTGGAACAAGGCCAAGGGGACTACTTTTGAGTACAGCGGTCGCACATGGACTGTTATCGAGTCAGAATAATTTCGCTCCAACATATAATATGAGTAGAAATTATTAATCGACTCCGAGGTTGAATATCTCAGCGCTATTGATCATAAAGGAGGCACTCCCCTGGGAATCTGATCCTGATGATACAAGTTCTATGTTCTTGATTGACTCTCTCTTCTCCTTTCTCTATCTGCAAATATACACTAGCTCTTCCAGCAATAAAAAAAATCTGGCTTACTTATACCATAGCGATAATGAATCCGGCGCGTTATAAGGACGTCGTGCCACACACACGCACACCCTTCCGTGGGGCCGAAGCCCAGAACAAGAGCGCAATGGCTGCATGGCAGTGATTAGCAGCGGCTAAATCTAGTAGCATAGTGCTGTAATACGTTGATTAGCGTTATAAGAACGCACCAAGGGATTTTCACAACCTGAAGCTTCAGTGTTACTTATTGCCAGAGCGCCCAAACTATTGTTCTTATGCGATAGAGAGTCTTTTGCACTTTCAAATGTACATTTCATCTAATGGATGAAGGATGCTCTGGCACTGCATTCTGCCCTGATGAAAGCCGAGTTTTAAGGACCAAACAAGCCAAAACAACACCTTATTTATATACTCTAAACCATTTACTACTTTTGCGTTTTACACTTATTGAAGATGATCATACCGACTGCCTCCATCAATTGATACATGATGAATTATTCCCGTCGCAGTGCTCGGATCATCCCAAGGTAGCATTGCATGCTGGTATGCGGGGGCAGAGCCTTGGTCGGGTGACGGCATTACATCATGCTACGAGGAACTACAACCATCGAGTCGAGCGAGCAGCGAACAAAAACAACCGCTGCAGGTCGAGTCGTGCATCTGTTTGGTCTGGAATCGGCAGGTCATGCAACCTTGCGGTGAGCGACTCGCTGGTAACAGAGGTAACTCTCGATGATGAACAATAAATAATAGGCTTTGTATCTCTTTTCTGCAACGCCGCATTCTTGCAACATTTCCGTACATTCTACGCACATATCTCCATAATCTGGCATCGCATGTCTGGGCGGTTTGCATTGGAGTGAAGAAGCTGCCCGCCAATGATGGAGCTGCCGGCTGCTAGAATCCGGGGTTCTCCACCGACTTCCCTCACCTGGATCCTCTTATTATGCTTTTACTGGTTTGCCAGGGCTGCCGCCGACTCGGACTTTGACGTTTTACAGTATATCAATCCATTGATTGGCAGCACAAACGGAGGCAATGTCTTTGCTGGAGCCACCAGACCATATGGATTGGCGAAGCCGGTAGCTGTAAGTATTTCTGTTGTCTTTATCTTCTTTCCCCTGGGAAAAGCTCGAGTAAAAATGTGCCACTGACATGGCGCGGGACATTAGAACGTGGATGGTGCAAATACCGGCGGCTTTTCCACAGATGGGTCCAACATCACCGGCTTCAGCTCGGTCCACGACTCGGGTACAGGAGGCAATCCGAGTCTGGGAAACTTTGCCCTGTTCCCGCAACTATGCCCTAGTGACGAGGTCGATGCTTGCCAGTTCAGACTGGGCGACCGAGCCACGCCGTATGTGGCAAGCAGTGTCGTTGCGAGCCCTGGCCACTTTTCCGTGGAGCTCACCAATGGTATCAAGACCGAGATGACGTCGAGTGACCATGCTGCTCTTTATCACTTTCAGTTCCCGGCCAGCAATAGTACACAGCACTCGCTCGTACTTTTGGATCTGTCGGATTTGTGGCAGAGCCGACAGAATGCCTCAGTCAGCGTCGATGCCACGACCGGACAGATGCGAGGCAATGGCACTTTTCTCCCCAGTTTTGGCGCAGGGTCCTATGTCATGCACTTTTGTGTAGACTTTTATGGCGCCGACGTTTTTGACAATGGAGTCTGGGTCAATAATCGTGCCGGAACGGAGCCCAAAGACTTGTACGTCACCCGAGGCTTCAACCTATTTTACATCGAGGCTGGCGGCTGGGTTCGATTCAATAATCCCGCCAACAGCACCCTCACTGCGCGCATGGGAATCAGCTTCATCAGCACGGAACAAGCCTGCAATCGTGCAGAGACCGAGATTCCAGATCCATTGAACGACTTTGATCGTCTTGTTACGGAAACTCAAGATGCATGGCGAAGTCAATTGAGCCCAATCACAGTCACCCCCGGCGGTGCTAGTACAGACCTGCAGACCAACTTTTGGAGCGGTGTGTATCGGTCAATGATCAACCCCCAGAACTACACGGGTGAGAACCCTAAATGGGACTCTGATGTGCCGTACTTCGACTCTTACTACTGTCTATGGGATGCCTTTCGTGTTCAGCATCCACTACTCACCATTGTTGACCCTGTGGCGCAGGGTCAAATGGTCAACAACTTGATCGATATCTATCAAAATGAGGGCTGGCTCCCGGATTGTCACATGAGTCTTTGTGACGGCTGGACACAAGGCGGATCCAATGCTGATGTAGTGCTTGTCGACGCGTGGGTCAAGAACTTGACTGGCATTGACTGGAATCATGCTCTCGAGGCCATTGTCCAAGACGCCGAGGTAGAGCCCCTGGAATGGTCGTATCACGGACGAGGTGGACTACAAAGCTGGAAGAGCCTCAACTACATTCCCTATCTTGATTACGACCCCATCGGTTTTGGTACCAACTCTAGGAGCATCTCCAGAACATTAGAGTATGCGTACAACGACTACTGTCTGGCGACACTAGCGGAAGGCCTTGGCAAGACTGATTTATACGACAAATATATTCAGAGAAGCACCAACTGGAAGAATCTATGGAGAGAAGATCAAACGTCGATAATTAGGGGAAACGACTCGGGCTTCACTGGCTTCTTCCAGCCAAAATACATGAACGGCACCTGGGGCTATCAAGATCCTATTGCTTGCTCAGCTTTGGCAGGTTTCTGTTCGCTCACCACCAATCCATCAGAGACCTTTGAGGCAAGTATCTGGCAGTATCAATTGTAAGTTGTATACGTTCTATCTATGGGTCATAAACTAATTCTGTAACAGCCTTGTTCCTCAGCAAATCTCCTCACTGATTAATTTCATGGGTGGCGATGAGTCTTTCATCTCAAGATTGGACTACTTTCACACGTCTGGTCTGGCTGATATCTCGAATGAGCCTGTATTCAGTACCGTCTATTTGTATCACTACGCCGGCCGACCCGCTCTCTCCACCAAGCGTCTGCATACCTATATCCCATCTGCGTTCAATAACACAAATGGAGGCCTGCCTGGCAATGATGACAGCGGTTCCATGGGAGCTTTTGTTGCCTTTGGCCTGCTCGGACTCTTCCCCATTGCCGGTCAGAACGTCTATCTCATCTCGGCTCCGTTCTTTGAGGAGGTTAGCATCAAAAACGGTCTCACTGGAAACACGGCCACGATCAAGACTGTTGGGTTCGATCCGTCATACGAAAATATCTATATCCAAAACGTGACCGTCAATGGCGAGGCCTGGACCAGGAATTGGATTGGCCATGAGTTGTTTACTCAAGGATGGACTTTGGAGATTACTCTTGGCAGCAGCGAGTCAGGCTGGGGCACGAAAATCGAAGACCGGCCGCCAAGCCTAGCGGACACTTCATAAGAATTATTCATCATTGGATGTCATATCGATACCTAGCATTGCCCAAACTCCAATCAGAAATTATCCCCATTGCCGAATTACCTCAAATTAAATGTCCATAATTTCCTTTTTCTGAATGAATTGCAATGAGTGTCCCAGTCCCAATTTCCGTGTCATCAGATTGCCCGCATGTAATCACGGGGCCTTGTAGAAAGCCTTTTCCATGACGGGGATACAGGCAATAATTTCCTGTCCAGACGTCTCGCCAAACTCACTCTTGATCCAGTCCAGGGCCTTTTCCACAATCAGCTCCCAAGTATCCTTTTCATCCGCCTTCATCTTGCGCAGCCAAGCAATGACACAAACCGTGGCGGTGGCGTCTCTGGAACTCAGCTTGGCCGCCAGGGATGCGTCGATCCAGCCTTTGATTTCCTGCTCGGTGGTGCCCATTATGGCAGACAGCTTCTCGTCCCATGTCCAGTATCCTTCAAAGTTTTGGAGAATGGCTAGATCCTGAATCGGGTCGGCGGACGGTACCCATGGGACAGGTATCGGGGAAGCCGGTTTCCCCCACGGACCAGCCGAAGAGAAGGAAGAAGTCGGAGATCCTCCAAGGAGCAGCATTGCCTTCTTTGCTACGACCTCTTCGTCTTCTTCGGCTTCTTCCTCCACCTCGGCTGGTTGGTGAAGGAAGGAGTCAAAGTCGAAGTTTTGCAGCCCATCACTGGAACGAGTGTCGGTGGTGGGTGCAGCCGAGGAATAGGAGGCGGCAGAAGCGGAGCCGAATAATGCAGAACCGACAGGGCTCATTGGCATGGCTGCACCAAATTGGGCCTGAGTTTGCTGAACCTGGCCGGCGAGCATGGTTTGCTGTGGCCCCATTCGTGCTCGCTTCATCTTCGCTTTCGGCGAAGCCCTCGACTGTTCCAAGCCTTGTAGCATTGACGACCGCTGCGACGGCCCGGCCCCGAACGCCCCAGTTGCCCGCTGCATCATCAACGTTGCCGGGGATTGCCCAAGTGGCCGACTACCAGGACTCTGCTGCCTCTGCATTGCTTGCATCATTTGGCCCGGAGATTGCTGCAGGCTCTTCGGTGCCGAGGACGGTGCGCGCTGCTCTGTCGCCTCTTTGCCATTTGCTTCGGTAGCGACAAAAGAGCACCACTTGCCCCCAACTTGATACTGGACGCCCAGGCGAACAGCCTCGCGCTTGACCATGTCTTGGAAGACGCTATCATATTTTTGTTTCAAGAGCTGACCTTCTGGACCCTTTTCCTTGGCATTGTAGATCCAACCTCTGCCTTCCTCAAGCTCACCGACTGCCTTTTTGGCCGCGAGTTGATGAATAGTCTCACCCTTGTCCTTTGGTACCGTGATGGGGATCTCGAGTACGAGAGGTCCATGCGACGAAGAGCCGCGCAGGATCACAGAGCCCGGAGTGGGCGTATCAGAAGATAGGAGAAGGTAGACACTTGTACGGCTGAAAGGGAACAACGGTGGGATATTGGATGGTGCCTGGAGCAGCTGTGGAATCTCAATATCAGGGAGACGTGAAGGCTCGGTTGCGAACTCGGTGTCTTGAATCTCTGTACCAGTGCCAACCGAGGGGTCGAATAGCGACCGTGTCTGCGGGATAGGTTCATCTGTGATTGTTGCTGGCGAATCTGCCAAATCTTCCGTGCCCGAAACATTAGATGCTTTCTCAATCATCTCAAAGTCATCGTCAGCTGAACTGCTGGAGGTTCCCTTGAGCTCCAAGGAGTAGTCTTTGACGTGAGGAAAGAGTGCGCCCTTGAGCATTCGGACGACTTTCGATCCCATTTGCTCACGGTCGGCGACGGACTGAGAGAAGCCCTGCCCGGCGCGAGCGACACCTTCGATAAGGGAGTGGCTGGCGCCAGAGCCAATGCCAAGACTGAACAGACGGATCGCCCCGTCGCTCTCGGACACATGTTGGTTGATCAGTTGTAACAGTTGCTGCTGATTCCAGATCTGGCCGTCGGTGATGAGAAACACCTCGAGGTTTGTGTCCCGGTATCGGCGGCCGAAGATGTCCTTGACGGCTTCGTACATTTCAGTGCCGCCATAGTTGGCCTCTATCGTGTCAATGTGTTTCATGGCCTCGTCGACCGTGGATTGGTTGTAAGGCTGCGATCGCTCCCATAAGAAAGTGTGGTTATTGCCAAAACTGCAAATGTTGAACTTCATGCCCGTGCGCAGCGACTTTACAAAGATGCGGAGGGCAGTTCGAAGATCCTCCTCTTTACCACCCATGCTGCCGCTTCGGTCGCACATGAAGACGATCTCGGGTCTCTCCAAAGGAAGTTCGAATTTCGGCACAAGTGTGACCATCAAGGCGCGCTGATTAGGAATGGTGGGATGTTCTTCGAGGACCGCCACAGGTTCTCCTGCGTTTGTTGTCTTGACTTGCAAAATAAAGTCATCCATCATCTGAGCTGTGCCGAGGGACAAGGTTGCGGAGGCTCTTTGGAAAGAGGGCTCTGCATCAGGGGTAGTTGATAATCGGCCCATTGTCACGGCAAGTTGATGGGAAGGTGACTGGATAGAAGTAATGTGAGATCCTGCTGGTGCCTCGGCATCTACAGTGATGCTGATGCTGCCATTTGTGAGGGACTGTTTATCTACCAATCCTCCTGGGTAACCGCCGTATCTCGGGGCAATGATCGTTGGAATGGTAAAGCGGATGCCGTCAATCTGGGCGTCATGTTTTAGCTCCCCAACATACACAATCTTGACCTTGATTTCTGCATCGTTGGGGATGTTGCCAATGGTCGTGGTAAAACAGTCTGATGCTTCGGCAACCTGGTCCAGTAGTCCTGCTGTTTCGCCGCGAGCAACGGCGTCCTTGTAGACTTGGCGTGCTTCCTCCTTCTCCTTGACAATGCCAGTGATTACACGATCTCCGATGGTGCAGGTGAATCCGACAACGCTGACTCCATCGTACAATGGAAAACTGTAGCGGAGCTCGGGCAAGTCGCCCATTCTGTTGAAAAAAGTTTGTGTGAGTGTCGTCCTTGACGCTGATGCCAGGATGGTAGTATGAGCGTCCATTCGTGCCAATGGGATGTTTTTTGTCCAATGCGACACTGGGTCAACCCCGATGAAACCGCAGACTCCTCTGCGAGCCATGTTGCTGTTTCTAATGTTTGCTTTTGATCTAGTGAGTGTAGATAGATGACCGAAAAGTATTTAGTAAATAGATTGGATGAAGGATGACTTCAGCGGGTGGTTTATGAGATGATTCAATGGTGTTGTAGAGATTGGCAAGAAATATACTCTGTTGAAGAAACATCAAGACTCATCCTTAAGAAGTCGTGAAAGCAAGCAGGTAGGCGGGCATAATTGAATAAAGAGAGGTCGTTGCCTAATTGGTTATGCATTCCTGGATATTTCGATTAAACATGCCAAGCGACTGGTGAGTCTGCCTGGTTGCCTCGTAGGCAGAATTTTAGTTAAAAGCTATAGAACATAGTCCTTTGATTCGCCCAATCTGGTTCGCCGAATGACTGTTTGAACCGCCAAGCATGAGGCTTGAACCCTAGATGCCCTCCCTACCTTAATAACCAATATGAATATTCAACAAAAAGGCATCTTTGTTTACGCTTAATATCAAATCTTGTTGTAATGTTGCTGCCTGTAGCATGGTGTTGCTTATTCTGAAACCTGAAGAGTCCTTTCTTGAAATGCTAGCTCCAATCCCAACGTTACCGTTCTTTATTAGCACTATTGTCCGGGCGGGCATATTGTAGAGCGGGGCATTTTAGGTTCGGATTGCAGCTCTTCGGCGGCCTCCCGCCTTGCAAAGCCCGGAACGGCGCCGGCGGCACTGCGACTATACTGAAAGGAGTCCGAACGGGTCAACTGATTTACGCCTGGTTTGACCAATCTACTTACCAATCTGCCCCTGATACATTTTCATTTTCTGTTGCTGCATAGGCGGAGGCTGGGGGCATTTGGCCTTACATTGCAGCAATCATGCCGTGCATTGATTCAAACACGCTTTGTGCAAAGCTCACTATGTTTGAACCATGAGTGTCATGAAGCTGCTCAGATGTAGTAACACCCAGTAATCAAGCAATATCTTGAGATAATGAAAAACAAAAGCATGATAAGTGTCAGGCAGGACCTCTCGCCACCCGGCACGGTCCTGTCCACTCGGGGTTTGTTGGGACATGTACTCAATGACTACATCATACGAGATCTTTGTCTAATTCTATCTGGCAGGAGAAATCTGATATGCCCGATTTCTTTTTGCATCGCAGATCATGGAACGTTGGCGATGGTTCGAGATTACACATATTCAAACCCGAGTCGCTATCGGCTGGCAGCGGAGTTCGCTTGAAGTAGTCTCGGGCGGCTGTTCGGATGACTTCCGACGGAACTGGGGCCACGCCGCTGCTTCGACAATGTTGCAATCGTGGGGTGCGCCAATCATTGGCAAGATCAGACTAGTTTAGGTCGACTTCATGTCAGAACGCGCGCCCGCTTTACATCGTCGAAGCTTGGAAACGATTATCAGCAAGACGTTGGCTGCCCGATAGCCGTGTCCGACCGTCGCCTGTCGATTGCTGCTCCGCAACCTTCGGAGTGGGTGGGAAGATTGGATGTGGCGGATGTCAAGACCTTTTATCTAGGAAACAATCTCAACCACCATTTATATTAATACAAGAACATTCGAAACACGAGCTGCTGTTGCATGCACTTTGGCCAACAACTAGCACTTTGTCCAACTTGTTGCAGATCCACTGATCCATACTATCTTGTGCACTTTACCATCATCATCATCAGCCATGGCGGGAATCGTGCCAAAGCCGTCCGGACCCAACAAGCTCTTCAACAACCCAGAGCAGGTCTTTGGTGATTTCAGAGACGACATCCTTCGAGATGGATATGCCGTAGTCAAGGGTGCCGTGGCCCGGGAGCGCGCCGAAAAGTACGCCGAGGAGATGTACGACTATCTCGAGACTTTCAAGGGTGGTCTTGGCTTCAAGCGCTTCGATCCGACTACATACAAGGAGGAATGTCTGCCCGTCATCAACGAAAAGGGCATGTGCTCGGGTTATGGCGTCAACCACGAAACCTTTACATGGGACATTCGCTGCGAACCCGGCGTTGTCGACGCTTTCGCCAAAGTCTTTGACACGGACGACTTGATCGTATCGTTCGACGCCGTCAACTTTGCCCTGCCCAAGAGAAAAGACACCAAGGAAAACAAGCCGTGGCCACACCAGGACCAGGATCCCGCGAAGCCTGACTTCCGTTGTCTCCAGGGCATTGTCAACCTTTTGCCGAATGGTCCCAACGATGGAGGTCTGATCGTTTGCAAGGGTGCACACAGACTGTCAAGCGAATTCCACGAGGAGTTCAAGAATGAAGTTGACCCAGTGTGGCGCTGGACAAAGGAATGGTACGGCTTCTCGGACGCTGGATTGGCCTGGTTGGAGAAGAAGGGATGCCCATGGATCAAGATCGAGGCCGAGCCCGGTGACTTGCTCCTCTGGGATTCCCGCCTGCCTCACTACAACCTCAGTCCCACCGGCGACAGACCCAGGTTTGCCACCTACACCTGCTACATGCCTGCAGCAGATGCAACCCAGGAGGATTTGATAAAGAAGAAGGATGCATTTGAGAAGCAGCTCGGCACCACGCACTGGCCCAATGCAGCACATGTCCGAGATGTCAGTCAGCCCTTGATGCGGAAAACAGGCGCCTGCCCTTACAACGACGACAAGCCTCGACAGCCGATCAAGTTGAGCGAGAGAGGCATGAAGCTGACTGGCATTCCATACATTGCCGCGAGTGCTTAAAGCCAGTCGACCAAGCCTGTATGAGGAAAATGTTTGGGGGCCTGTATATAGTTTAATTCCATGAAAGCCAGTCATTCTTGCCCATTCCTTCGGCACATTCTTTGCCATTCAATGGAACCAGTGACAACAAGAGCAGCGTCATTCACGGCGCAAAGCCATCCGATGTCTTGAATTCAGTCCTCCTTCTGGGTGATTGTTAGGTTTTCAACAACTTTTGTGAGATTCTCGAGCACATCGTCACTAGCTTTTCGCCAATGTATCGTAGTGCTTGTGAATGTTGGGTAGAAATCCTGGTCGTCGGGAAACGATATTTTGTGGCAGCTACCATCCAGTCGCTTCATTTTGTTCCACGATTCATCTTTGTCGTCAGCATAACTGCATCAAGTCAGCATTAACTTAAAGCAATGCGTGCCAAGAATCAAATAGTCAACAAACTCACTTTTCCCAAACATCATATCCAGTACCGACAAACATTGCTGGCATGACCTTTTCAATGGCAGCAGTGTATATGTCCCTGTAAAGATGAATGCCAAACACAATAGAATCCTCCGAGACAGCTTCGAATCCATCTGGGGATTCTAGAATCGCATAACCCAGTGATTTGAGGAACTCGGTATCACTAGCAGTAAAGCATGGATCCTGAAATATGCATTGAATCTTATCCGTTGAATCGCTTTCAACAGACTCGACCAAAGTCACAAAGGCTGCCAGTTGAATGTGACTCCTCCGTCTCGTCTGCCATGAGCCGTCTTCAGGGTCGAATGAGCCAAGGCCAAGGCAGATGGCCTTGGTAGGTCGAGGGTGACACGACTTCGATTTAACAAGCTCCTGGAGCTTGTGGCAGCACTTTGAGTCGGCCCATTGCAGGGAAAATTTCTTGTAGTCTGACTGTATGTCTTGGACGGAGAGATTCGGAGTTGTCCTTGCCGGACCAGAGGTCTGGGACATCTCTCTGGCCGCTGGTGGCGCCCTTCTTCTGGATTGCCGGCCTTTTTTGCTGGTGACAAAAGTCCAGGGCTCCTCATCGGATTTTGCGGCCATGCCTTCTAGATTCTCGTCACAAATCGCACAGGTCCTGTTTTGTGATGGCTTGTGTGCTGTTCCAAAGACGTTCCCCACACCCGAATTGAAGGTGTGCACCTTGAAATTTCCCTGCCAGATTTCGTTTGTCTTTTTGATGCTAGTCAATGGTCATATACATGCCATTATAGCATCTTGATGAGAAAAAGAAAAGTGCACAAAACTATCCGTCTCAATGGTGCCCGAGGTACTCTGTATGAAATGCGTCCATATTGGACATTCTGCGGACCAGAACGTTTTTTTCTCCTGGCAGTTGGCAGACAGGTGGGTACTCAGACCCGCCTTGAAACTCGACTGCCCAGACGATCATCGATAAGGTCGCATTCAGTTTGATGCTTCATGATGACTAGGCAGGATTGATTTCTTTTGGGGCATCTTTGCTTCTCAACTACTGCAATACAATGTAAATCACGTCAACTTGTCAATTGATGGGTCAAGATTCAGGTGATTTATTGGATTCTCTAAGCTACACGGGTTATCAGCTCAACCTCAGGAAACCACATTGACGACAATGTACAAGGTATGGAGTAGACCTGTGCTTGCCCGTTACGCAAGTGCGACTCTATTGGCGGGCGCATCTTTGCACTGCAAAGACTGTCATACTGTATCGACTTTTCTGGTCCCGATTGTACGTACGGGTGTCGGAATGCAGACGAACATGTCCATGGTTTGCATTCAATGATTGAAATGCGAGCGCAGAAACCGGACTGTACAACGAACATCATACACCTAGCTTGATCGCAAAATCAAACTGCTCTGTCGACGACCATCCCAGGCTCTCGTCAAGTTTGGAGTGCCTTTGAAGTACGACAATGACCAAAATCTTACCACCATCATTCGACGTTGTATTCACCGAGATATTTGAAGTAGCAAACTCGGCTCAAGCAACCAGCAAATGACGGGTAGAAAGGCACGAAGCTGCTGACCTGCATCGACACTATGCACCCGGTGGTGGCCAAAAATAAACACCCACCCCCATCAGATTGTGACCCCGAACAGTGACTTGTCAGTCGTGGATGGCGTTGGCAGGTTGGAAGCAAGATGCGACTTTCAACCGTTCTGGTTGCCGAATACCACCTCGTCCCTCCAACCCGGACCTCCAATTCGCATGAGGCGCCCTATGGGGATTGGCAGAGGCCGGACCCAGCTCTTTTCATTGTCGGCGCTTACATCTGCAGTGTGCCATGTCGTCGCCCACTCAGAGGCCAGAGACCCCAAAACATCCCTGAACCGCCTAGCAGTAGCCCCGGGCACTCCCAGCCGTGGGACCTCTGCTGATTGGCTGCTACCATAGCAAATCACCAATCGCTATACTCGAGTGCTGCCAATCTACCACTTTTCCCATGTTGCCGGCGACTCGCCCAGGCCCCAGTAAGCGCCCGTCCATTGGCCTCATCCGATCAGAGGCCAGGGGTCCGACTATCGTTCCCTGCAGCGGTTCTGCCATTTCGCACATCTCGCCAACCCATATGCCCCTTCTCACTGGTCCTCTACCCACTGGCCGCCCGCCATGAAAGACCCTTGCTGCCGTAATGGAGGCAGGGAGGTCGTCGACAAGGATTGTCTTGCATACTTCACTGCTTTTTTAACCCTCTCGGAAGGGACGCACTTTGCAGCTCGGCGGTTGGCTCGCAGGCCGCTGTCACCACCTCTCAAATAATACCCAATGCATCGCTCGCCACTTTGGGCGGCCGTTTTTCTGTCCCTTCTCTCTTTTCAAACTTCATAATTTTGCTTCTGTCCAGAGGTGTCCAGACTGTTCATATTTCTTCGGCCACAGCTAATCAGAAGCATCACAGGCCAAGCTCACCATAAACATTTGTGTCACTGCCAATAGCAGCGACACGGCCTTTGCACCAAACCAGAGCTTCATCCCCAATATTCTTATTTGAGCGGGGAACAAACTACGGCGAACACAAAAACAGCCACAGGAACAGAAACCGGATTGACGCAAGCGAATAGTCAAGAATAAAAGAGAGAAGACGACCTGGAAACATACACTTGAGATATCTATCGGCATCAGCTAGGATTCCATTTCTCCCAAACCCTGGGGACCATACTCGGCCGCACAACACACGTGCAAGATGCGTTCCTCAATCTTCATTTCATTGGTCTTGTCGACTCTGGCAGCGGCACACACAGTCATCACATATCCAGGGTGGAGAGGAGATAACCTGATCACAAATGATGAATTTCCATACGGAATGCAGTGGATGTATCCTTGTAAGTTGCACCCTCTTCAATATTGACATGCTTCGTGATTTCACACTCCTTCTTTTCAAAGTATCAACAAGATCAAGACGGCTGACAACAGAAAAAAGGCGGTGGTATGAACTTGACCACAAACCGGACATACTGGCCGACGACGGGAGGCGCCATTTCCTTCCAGCCTGGTTGGTTCCAAGGACATGCGACGGCCTTCCTGTACGTCAACTTGGGTATTGGTACCGATGGCCCTGAAGGTGGCCCGGGCAACATGTCGCTGCCCATGGTTTCGCCCTTCCAGATCCTTGGACCGACCAAGAACCCCTACCCGGGAACCGTTTGTCTGCCCCAGGTGCCGCTTCCGACGAACTTGACGGTCAACCCTGGCGACAACGCGACCATTCAAGTCGTGGAGCTTGCTCAGCACGGTGCTTCCCTGTTCTCGGTAGGTCAACTCAATCCAGAAATGCCATTCCAGGCACAAACTACCTAGATGGAAATTATGACTGACATGTATCTCAATCTAGTGCGTTGACATCACCTTCGTCGAGCCCGGTGATAGTCGCCTAAACGAGGTCAACGAGACCAACTGCTTCAACAGTACCGACATTGGCTTCGCCGAAATCTACACCATTACGACCAAGGCAGTCGGTAGCACCGCCAATGCGACCGTTAGTGGTGCCGTGTCATCTTTCCTGCGATCTGGCTCCTCGTGGCTGGGATACTTGCCCCTTCTGATTGCCTCGACGTGGTTCCTGGCATAATTTCAGAATTTATTCGTTGAGACAAAGAAAATGCAAGAGTGGCTGTGGGAAAAGGGGAGTTTTACATATCCGGGAAATATTTTCTTCAACTGTACATTTTGGCATCTATACCGGCGTTCAAACGGAATTGGGGGCTGAGTTTTGAATTATTTGGGCTTTTCTATCATCTAAGAATGAAGCCGACGGGCCGCGATTGGGAGTAGCTCAGCGGTATAAGGAATTATTTAATTTCCTTGAGCGCGTTATATCATATACCACGAACAGCTGATGAGGATATTCTCATCGGAGTCTAGTATGCAGTTTTCTGCTGAAATTAAAATTAAAATTAAAATTAAAATTATCATCATTATCTCCGTCCGTTCATCATCGATATCGCGACTTTCTAATCACAAGGTATCGACCAATCTTGAAGCATATCCGTAAAAGCCACAGGCAGAGGCACATGATCCCTTGGGTACGACCATGATACGAACTCAGTTCCAAATTCTTTGCATTCAGGAGTTCGTCACGTAACAGAAGTTATGGATCAGATACTGCCACAGCATATCCTCCTTTTTTGTCATCTTTTTTCCATTTTCCCCTAATCAGCTCACGACACTATCAACCCATCACAATCCAAAGTGTACCATCTCGCGCGTCACGCATTCAAAAGCCGCACTGCAAAACCCACGTTGTCAGAACAGGCGCCCGCATAATATGTGACCGACCGTAACTTCACACCCCCAAGATTCCAGAATCCTTCCCCGGGACACCACCCTCTTCCTTCCATGTCCCGGTAATCGGAGGGATTCCCAAATGCAAGCAAGTGCCGAGAGGTATGTGACTAGAAGATCAAAATGGCCGATAGGTCGAGCGGTCACATGATGGGCGCGTAGGCCGTCTCGACCGCGTTTCGGTGGGCAAGTCATCACCGATTCCTTTTTGTTTTCACACTGCCATGCTTAGGGAGTAGTGTATCATGGCTAGCCAATTAGACGAACATCACTACGAGCTCGTTGATCACAAATATCTCTCTCCATAATTGCTGTATCGGCTTCTCAAACGCCAAAGACTGTCACCGTGGACGAAAAGGATCGGTCACGGAAATTCCAACGAAACCGTCATCTGCATGAACGTACAAACGATTCCAACGTTTGGCCACATATTGTCTACATTAACAGTGGCAAACTTGGCAGTCAAATGAAAATTGAGTTTCTTTGCAGGTGCTACTGATTTTCATTCATCACTTCAGATCTAGTTTATGCTCCTTGTTACTCTATGAACTTGTTTTGTCATACACGCATGGTGTGGTCGTGATCCAGCTTCCCGCCACCAACGCAACGCTAGGGCAAACGAAACCAGTCCTCATTGAACGGAAGCACCTTGACGACTCTAAAGAGGTACAAGCATACTGTAGAGACTGGTCTTCACTTATGACTAATTACTCAAATCTGATGAGGCGCTTCATCTCAAAAGTGTCAGACATTCGTCGGCAACCTCCTTGACTCTTGGCTCAATTGCAGCGTCCTTGGCTCTCGTGACAGAGCTCAGTACAGATTGAGAGGCGTCTTTGCCAAGAACCGTTACCAGAGTACCCGCTGCAACAAGAGATCGGTACAGAACCTCGCTGTCCTTTTGTGTTGAAAGTAAATGTCCTACCGCCTCAAAGAGCGGGAGCATGTTGGCTTTTGTCAGCCCACCACCCTTTGCATACAAAACAGCATAGTTGATGGCCACTGTGGTAACAGCTATTAACAGATTTCGGTTTTGCTTGCCAATGGCATCCGTGCCGCTGAGTCCAAGTGTTTGACGGAGGAAATCGACGACACGACCAGCTTCTTCAGGTTGAGAAAGAAGTCTTCTTCCTTCGGAACTCGAGAACAGGTTGGCAATGGTACGGAAAGCCATCATGATGGTGTTTTCATTAGGCTGGCCGCCTCCAGGATACCCAGTCGTGGCAGCCGCAATGACGAGTTGAATGGGACTTCCAATGCGCGAACTGCTGGCGACCAGTGGAGATACGGCCGCACATCGAAGAACATCCAATGGTGCAAGACGGTCCGCATAGTCCCACGAGGTGCAGATCTTGATCAGAATATCGAGTTCGTCCTCACTTCTAACAGGTCTATTCGACTCTAAGGATTTTCGCAGCGAGGTCAAATGAGCTTGGGCATCTGGATTCAGTGAGATGTCTTTTCTTCCAGCTGCTTCCAGCGTGGAGCTGATGCTCATGATCTTCTTGAAAATGGCTGATTACAGTCAGTATCGGACTCGAGACAATCATATGAAAGGGTCAACTTACGCTCAAACTTGGCGCCAGTAATACTGAGGTATTCTGTCTGAGGTAAGGCCTTGGCTCGGGATGTCGGCTCCGATTCACCAGGACGGTATCGAGATTCCGTGCCCCAAGGATCCGGACCTCCTGCGCTTGATCCCCCAAGAGTGGCACCCTGGGTATTTTGTACAATGAATTGCGCGACTTGGTCGAGGTAATTCAAAGAGAGCTCATTGTCGTTGATGAACTTGGTAGCCGCGTCATAAGGATTCTCGGAAAGGTTGAAGGGCAATTTGAGTGACGGCGCGCCCTCCTCGATTGCAACATCGAACACAAAGTCGTACTCTTTTCCATTGTATGCTTGTTTCCGTCCACTGCTGGCTGCTGAATCAACCACGGTTCCCACATTGACCCAGGTCTGCGCCCCCATGGACCAAGTATGTGCTGATATCGATCCATTCGCTTCCCTGATCATTTGTACTTGACCTTCCTTGGTACCGGCCTTTTGTGTTAGAAACTCGGGGCCTGGAAGTTTCTCCTTGTTAATGTCGCCCATTTGCTGCTGTGGTATCGACGATGACTTGACGGCATCTTCAAACGACTGGATAGTCTCTGCATCAGCCACTTGATCGGCGTTTCTTGTGAAGATGCGCACGACGCCATCGCTGGTGCCAGACGCGATATCGCCGGTATTCGGGTTGACTGCCACTGTCCAGACCGATATGGCAGGGTGAGTGATGGTCTGAATGCAGTCTGTACCTTTCCATACCCGGACTGTCCTGTCCTCTCCGGCAGAGACAATCTCACCGGTAGGTAACGCTTTGAGGCGGTAGACAAAACTTTCGTGGCCGTGAAGCTCTCCTACGAGTTGGCCAGTGAGCGTCCAGAGTCGAATAATACCGTCATTGTGGCCGCTGGCAAGCTCGGCGCCAGTGGGATGGCCAGGATGCAGCCGACATAAGCCTCGAACAATGTCAGGAGTAGAAATGGTAGATCGAGCTTCTACAGACCCAGCTACGGCCTTGCGTAGGTCGAATATCCGTATCTTCTTGTCAGCGCAGGCCGTTGCAACTGCATTATCGCTCAAGGGCAGCACGTCCCAGACAGCGGCTTCGTGTCCAGCCAAGGTGATTTCGCTCTCCCAGCTCTCGGTGCTCCAAACCCGTGCAGTCTGATCCCAGCTGCCAGAGACAAAGTATTTGCCACTCGAGGCAGCGGCCAAAGCGCTTACATTGCTGGCATGTCCTGGGAGGATTCGGTCGGCGTTGTCAGAGGAAGTTGAGGTTGGCTTTCGAACGTCGAGGCAGGGGTCCTTGCCTCCCGACACAACAAGGCCATCCGGAAACTCGCTGTTGGGCGGCAAGACTGTGACAGCATTGATATATTCGCTTATCTGGTTGATAATGGTGCCTTCGTAGACAGGAGGAGACGCAGATGTCTGTTTCCATAGTCGAGCTGTGTGATCTCTCGACACGGACACGACAGCTTCGGTGGCTGGGAAAGCAATATCGCGGATCTGCGTAATCCAGGGATTAGCGGAGGTAACGCAGGTAGTCGCATAACGACTGATAGCTAGAATGATCTAGGAAAGAATGAGGAGGAGAACATACATCGCTCTCGTGTCCGACTAGCTGGGCGGACAGCTTAAAGTCCCCCATCGTGGAACAACTTCTGGTTACGTATGTTGCTTGGGAAGGTGGCGGCAGGTGATGCTCCTTGGCGGGGTACTGCAAGAGCCCTTGGCTACTGAGATCAAGGCGCAGCGAGAATGACAATTATTAGAGGCAGATGAGAGTTGGTATTCTGTTGTTTTACTCTTGGTGTGAAGAGAAAATGGGATTGATTAGCAAGCCAATAGTGATTGCTCACCAAGACTCAATTTGCACTGGCTTGACTGGTTGATGAGTTGGTAAACAGAAGGTGATAGAACACGCCACAGCATAGCTCCCAGCTTACCATACCTAAAGTCGTCACCGTCAAGTTGCCTATGTACCCCGGGCCGTGGTGGGGTCAATTTGCTGTTCCTGCCCGCCCGCCTGCCCGCCCGCCAACACCGCCGTAGCTACCCCTGGTGTTCCTCGGTGCTTTTGCCAGTACGTAGTACAGAGAGTACTCTCCATGTAAACAAGAAGGCATCAATGGGTATCAAGTGGTTTCAATTTTACTAGTTCATGGTGGAATTCTGTATTTAGAGTCCTGTTAGACAAGATGAAAGCGAGGGAGTCAAGATTGTTCCAAGTTTATATTTTTTCCATTTCTTTTTCTTTTTTTTTTTTCCCTTTCGTAGTTCTGCCCTTAGTCAAGTCAAGCCGGACAAGAAAAGAGTAATTCCATGTGCAAACGCGAGATGGGTTTTATGGCAATCTGAGTCAAGATGTCCCCGATGAATCGCAACCGTAACAGATGCGCCAAACCTGTTTCGTCCAAGGCCCATCTCGGTGAGCCCTCGGTGAAGGTTACGAAGAACGCTGCCCCTCCATCAGAGTCGCGCGGCCACTTCAAGCCTGCCGTCTTTTCAGGGACGACCGACCCGCATTGTTTCATCATTGGCCGCCAGGACAATCGATTCGATACCAACCCAAGCTTCTTGACAGAACTCTGAGAAGTTACTTGCAACCTCATTCTCACATTACGCGCCGTAGTATCACCACTTTTTCTCACGACCCCATCGTTTACCACGTGCTGCGAGCCTCTTCTTAACACCTGTCTTGGACGTTTTACGAATTCCACGAAATTTACGACTGAACGCCGCGTCTCCTTCATTTCTAGCAACACCTTCCCCCTTACGACCCGATCGACCGTCGCATTCACCATGGCCGCTGATGCTCCGAGGCAGTGTGTGCCCTTGACCTGCCACGGTCACTCGAGACCTGTCCCCCACATAAGCTTCTCTGGATTGCAGAAGGACGGTGGCTACTACTTGATATCTGCCTGCAAAGGTGAGTAGAATAAGAAAAGAAAAGAAAAAAGAAACTACAAATATCCTTTGCGATGCGCCGGGGCTAATTAGCCGAGTGATCAGACAACAACCCCATGCTGCGTGACGGCCAGACTGGAGATTGGATAGGCACCTTCATCGGACACAAGGGTGCAGTCTGGCAAGCAAGACTGAGTCACGATGCCCTCTCTGCCGCAACCGCCTCGGCCGATTTTACTGCCAAGGTCTGGGATCCCCACACGGGCGAATGCCATTACACTATTTCCCATAATCACATTGTTCGAGCCGTAGCCTTCCCGCCCGACAACTCGGATCTTATTGCCACTGGTGGTTACGAGAAGAAACTGCGCATCTTTGACCTGTCGGAAGCTTCAGCCTCTGCACCCCCTGTATCGCCCGAAAATGGCGACGGCAAGGCGCAAGATGGTATCACCATCAAGGCCGAGAATGGGTTTGAGATTGGCGCAGGTAGTCACCAGGCTTCCATCAAGTTTATCGTATGGACAAGAGACACGAACGTGCTGGTAACCGCTGCTGGCAACACGTTGCGCTGGCTCGATCTTCCGTCTCGCAGCGTAATCAAAGAGGAAGTCCTGGACGGCGAAATTGGTTCCTGCGAGTTCAACTCACCTGCCCCAGATTTACTGGAAGGCTCGGACATTGGTGGTGGTCTGCCAGTTCTAGCTGTGGCAGCTGGCAAGATGGTCTACTTTTGGGGTGGTGCCCAAGCTATGGATGAGTTGAAGCGAACCAAGCTGGGATACAAGGTCGCCAGTGTTGCAGTGGACACCAAGGGCAGAAGGTTTATTGTGGGAGAGGATACCCCCTCTACCTGGGCTCGTGTCTACCAGTGGGATGATGAGAGTGAATACGGTATGTTGCTCTTTTCTGGCTCCCCACTTGCATTTTCTCTATTGTAAGCCTGCTAATTGCACCTACAGATGTTCACAAGGGTCACCACGGACCCGTTTGGTCGTTGGCCTATGCTCCAGACACTAAACTCTACGCAACCGCATCCGAGGACGGCACAATCAAGCTTTGGAAGAATTGTGATGGTCCTTACGGCTTGTGGCGAGCTGGCGATGCCCAACCTGCCTAGGATGGCAGTATGTCTCTTCGCCAAAGCTCATCAGGAAGAACCGGTACCAGTGACTCCATCTTCAGCGATTCAGCATCTAGCCACACTTCAGACCACAACAATTCAGACTGTAGCCACGAGGACATGTGTCCCCTATCCGTGGTGGTAGTTGATAAGAAGCTCCACAAGAGGTCATTGAGGAGTCGCACCAGGTGGAATGAGACCCTTCAACAGGCATGAAATTACATCTAACCGAATACGGCTCTAATGGTGCAGCCGTTACAAGGTGGTGAAGAATTGTTGATTTGGGCAGGGATGCGGGTAAACCCGCCAGACAAGATTTTACGGCCCTTGCGGTCAACGACGAGATGGACATGGGACCATTGAGCAAGTGGATTTACTGCCTGCAATACAATTACTGCCATGATGGCATGAACAAACACTTTGGTCAATGTTGTTGGACTGAGTCGAAATGCTCACATCGTCATGATATTCAGCTAGAGAGAGTCTCACTATAGACGGGATAGATCTTATTGTAGCTGAGTTGAGAGAAGAAAAATGCAATCAAGTGTTATCGAAATGAAATATGCTCTTCCATGTGAAGCCTTGCCTGGTTAGGTAGCTTGCAAGAAAAGCCAACTAACTTATTGTATTTGCTTGAATCATCTATCAACTGGATGCAATACTTAAAGGTCTAATCAGGGTTTTGGAAGTATCTCACCAGGTGAATGGCACCTAGCTAATCAATGGTATTGCCTCGAACGTATAACATGATATCGCAATGACAAAATCAGCAATTAAAAGTCGTTCAGACAGAAGTACTTGACGAATGAGTTCATCACTAAGAAATGCCGTATTTTCACTCGAAACTCAAGAGCTCAATAGGACCTATAGACTTGGCGACGAACTCAGAGAAAGTCGGCAAAACTATAGCACTGTCCTAGGTCGACGACTATGTAATCATATCTGACAACAGGAGAAACGTTGAGGGAGTTTCTTTGGACGTCTAGCCGTTTTCCGTACTCCCGAAGTTGAAACAAATTACAGCGCTTGGTTACCTCTTATCAGGTATGTCAACATTCTTGTATTGAAATCCTGTGGCCTATGTACCAGCTAGTAGCTCGATGCTTCAATGTTGTTTCAAAGCCTGGCTGGCCTCTCTCGCGCCTGCCATTTGTTTGATATCAAAGTACTTTCCAATCCACAACTGACAGCGCGCCGCGTTTCTGAAACCCGCTGACCAGACGAAGAGCAGCGACAATTTAATTCAAGCTTTTCTTTCCTCCCCTTGGGACAAGCACCTTGAGATAAGATCAGGACCTTTGGCCCATTATCCAATTTTCCCAAACAAATGACCTGGAGAAAAAGTCCAGATATCAATTGAGTATCACTTGACAACATTTTTTTATCGGCATAACCAAGTCGCGCCCGGTAATACTCGAATAATCATAACTACCCAATCTAATTGTCCTTGCAATCTTGGAGACCTTGGATCCAATAGCATTCCCTTCTCCCACGATGCTCTTATCAACTAGAAGGAAGAAGCCAGAGGAGTATTCAACCAATCCCAACACAGTGAGAGCTCGTGCTCGAAAGGCTAAACTTGACCCCTACACTCGAGAGATGGAGCAAGCAAATGCTTCCGACACCAAGGCCATCGCTCGTGCCTGGACAATAATTACCAACCAACAGGATTACAAGGACGCACCCAAGGAAGTGCGCGAGAAGATGCTACAGCAGGCCGAAAAGGAGGTCATGGAGCGCCGGTAAGTTTCCAATGTCACTCATCAAATCCATTCTGCCTCTTCAAACATTCCATCGGCATACTTGTAGCTGCCCCCACCCAAGTACTTGCTTGCTCGGAAATTCTCAAGCTCTTGTAAACTGACTAGAAGTGGCAGAAGGCGCAGGGGACTAGATAAGGATTCCAAGATTGAGCGATTCTTGAAGCTAAATGCAACTGACGTGGTCAACGACACTCCTTCTACATCCAGCCCCGTTCCCGGTTCGATGCAGGACCTTGACAATAGCTTCGCTCAAGAGCCCCAACAGCACACACAGCCAGTCGACCCGATGCATTCTGCTTCTTTCACAGCCGCCCGACCTGGTGAAATCCGTTCTGTTTCAGCCGACTCATACGGCGGTCAGTCTGTACCAAATGTAGAAGGGCAGCTAATCTTCCACAATGTCTACCTTCCGCAACAGCGTGAGCAGCAAGCCCAGACCGAGGCACTAGGGCAGGACAATCGTTCGGCCCAGCATCTCTGCACACACGATTGCGTTCAGCAGATAAATCAAACCAGCAACATGGCTGATTCTGCTGTCATAGCTAGTTTGCAGGCTACCGTTCAGAGACAGGAACAGTATATGCAGCAGCTCGCTGGGGCTATCCACAGTCTGGCAAACGACGTTGTTCTTATCAGGAGTGCCTCCCGTGAGCAGGAAGCTCGCGTAGCAAGCATGGAATCCCAGATGAAGATCTTTTACGAAAGCTCGTCACGTACACATGATCCCGAGGCCGCATACGCACGCCAGGTTTACAAACTTGAGCAAGTCCTTTCCGGCATACAAAGAATCACGAGTGTCACTTCAGAGGTCTGCAACTCTTTCGCCGCCAACACCCACGGTCTATCCGAAGGTCGTGGCGTCGGCCATTCATGGGCCGGAGGATTTGAAGGTGTTCCCATCAACCATGGAAATGTCGAAGCCAGTATTCATCATCCTGAAGGTGGTTCCACCAACACAAGTCAGTTTCATCATTCCGGTATGGTTAGTACCAAAGAAAAAGACAGTATCGCACATCTCGAAGAAGAAGAAGAAGACAGCAAGCAGAGCATTCAAGATATCTCTGCTGAGAACTAAAAGGCACCAACAATCTTCTCCACTCGCCGCCTAGGCTTCAAACTTGCACATGTCAGGGTTTTGTGTTATGGATGGAAAAGTCCTTCAATTTGTGCTTCCACTGTATGAGATGGAATGGTAAAGAAATGTGCTAGGAAGAAACACATGTCAGGCCTAGAGTCAGGACTGCAGAGCCATATAGGCACCAGTACATTAGAGAATGATCAATACGTGTTCGGCAAAGAAGCTTAGAAGGAATTAGAACCTCATCTTCATAAAGAGCCCTTAGCGTGAAGTGACGAGGACAAATAGTGGCATTAGCAATTAAATATCCCCAGATCTGTTGATGTATGTAACATTTCCATCCAGGCCATTGTTCGCCGTAGGAAACAATGGTGTCATGCAGTTGCTGCTTTTGGGCATGCCAACATCTCTCTAGTGAGATGACGTTAGAGGTAGCCACCAGACCTCATATCACTTAGCAATTCAGGTCGAGTGATGTGATAGAAGAACGTGCAACGTCTATCAGTCATTAATGGTGCGTCATGGCATCTACTTGTCATTTTTCTCATTAGATATATGCACCGCAAGCTTTGCCAAACTTGTTCCCTCCAAATGCTGCTAGACTGGTTCCTTTGCCTTCCCAGTGATTGATTAGTCTATGTAAGCCGTGTAGATCATCTCCGTAACATCGTCAATTAAAAGAGAAGAAAGGGGAAAAGAACCATCGTAAACCCAAAATAAATACCAAATACATGTTTCCCATCAAGGAGGAAATTGCAGTACTAGTCCGCCGATTTCAACGACTGCCGAAGATGCTGTTTCGAAAACGAGCGCCAAAACCTCCCTTTTGGGATGACCGACCAAATGACTGCTGTGAGTTCATCTGGCGGTGGACAGGCTCGGGCTCGTATTCATCCTCCTCAAACTCCTCTTCCTCGTCACGGATGCTGACGGGTCGAGTCTGGTGATGCGACTGCTGCGACTGCGGCAATGGCCTCTGCTGAGCCGAGGCCAGGTCCCGCTGCAGAGGCGGCTCGCCGCGCAGGGCGCGCTCCACGTCCTGGTGCTGGCGCAGGTAGTCGTCGTGCTTGCTCTTGGCGTCGAGGTAGCGCATCTCGGCGCGGGAGCGGCGCTCCTGCAGCGCGCGGATCTCCTCGTCGAGCCGCGTCATCTCGTCCTGCTCCTGGTGCATCAGGCCTTGGTACTCCTTGACCTTGTTGTCGAGGGGCTGCAGCACGCAGCTCATGACGCTCGGGCTCTTGAGCCGCTCAATGGCCGCTCCGGCTGCCTGGTTGCTGAGCGAGCCCGAGGACAGGGGGCGTCCTGCACCACCTATGCCGGCATCGGCCGAGTTTCTGTGGTGCTGTGGTGAGGCTGCTCCGTTTCTAGGCGGCGAGTTCTTGTTGCCGTTGGGTTGCTGGCCTCCAGCAGCTGTGGTGGGCCGTCCACCGCCGTTGCGACGGCCATTCTGACGCTGGACCTTGTGGGGGTTACCGCCGTCTCCGTTCTTTTGCGGACCACCGCCGCCGCCGCCGCCAGCGCCGTTCTCTGCTCGCCTGTCTACGAGCATCTCCTCGGAACGGCTGCCAGAGTAGGAAGGCGGACGAGACCTGCCGCTGGACGTCCGCTGAGGCACAAAGCTGTTTGTGACAGGCGGCCTGCTCTGGTCGCCGCCGGGACTGTTCTGGTCCTGGGTCTGCACGCTGCGTTGCGACTGTGGTGGGATCTGGATCTGCGTGGCCACGCCGGCCGTCATGCCGCCGGGGCCTCTGTTGTTGTCCAGGAATGAATAGAATTCATCATGGTTGTCGAACCGGGCCTGCTTGTTCCGGAACGGCACATCCTCCAGGTCACGAGGGCCACGAGCCTTGGTGGGCGAGTGCACTGCGACGGGATACTGAGCGGTCACGTTCATGGCGGTTGCTGGCTAGGTAGTGTATAGACTATGCTGCCGGTCCCGCTTTGGATGGGTTTGAAGATGTGGGTGCGTGCTGCTGCAATGTGAAGAGTAGCAGCGATTGTGTACTAGGTCGAATGCACACACAATGTGAAAAAACTAATTATGGAGTCAATTGAGAGAAGACAAGAGATCTACAAGATTTTGGTTGAAAAGCAGGGAGCAATCAGACGAGGGTCCTTTGAGCTGTGGTTGTTCGGAATTATGAAATACGACGGTTTGTCGGGAGGTTGGGAGGGGGGAGATGGAGGGTAGCGAGAGGGTCTGCTAGAGGGACCCAACCTCCGTTTTCCCTCTGGTCCAGCAGCACGCTGGTGGATCACTCGCACCATGCGGCCATGCGTAATACGACGCGACGCTGTACCACCACATTTTGTTTTCTTGGTTATCAATCGGTGATTGCTTTTCTCCCTATTCTTTGGCTCGGAGGCCGAAGAAGATTCAATTAGCAGAGAGATCTGATACGATCTGAGCCGCTTGCGTTACACGGCGCACCTGCATTTTTTTTCTGGGCGGGTTGCAATCATTACGAGGACCCCTCCATTTTTAAGGTTGTGGCGGGCGACCTTGGGACTGGGTATGTAGATCCAACCATTGTAACCTTCGTACATGGGCTTTGGTTGGTTGGGTGCAGTGCACGTATGCATGTGGGGATCTCCGTTTTTGTGACAGCGAAAGTTGCAGTTCAATGTCCAGCCCAAAAAGAACATTTCAAAAATAAATGAGAGAGCAAGTTTATCCGCTTCAATCAAGCCTCATTATATTCTGCTGATGCCATATATGTGGTTGGGTAGTATAGAAAGAAGCGGTACATTATTCTCGATGGCGTGAGGGTGGCTTATTAGAAGAAGCCTTTTAGATAACGAATACCCGACCCAAACCTGCGGCACAACGATCATAAATGCAATGGCAGGGCTCAACTGTAAATCATCCGATTGCAGCCAGAAGCCAATGCTTCCACTCGCTGATAAAAAGGAGCTCAACAATGTCCAAACTTGCAGCAGCCAAAAGCATATACAGCTATGCCTTGGCTCCTAGGTTATACGGGAAAGATATCAAAAGATGCACATCGCATGCGTTATCATTTGCTACAGTTTCAATGCCAAGAGCTAACCTTGCTAACCCTTAAATGGGATCGTTTCGCGGAGTGTGCCACTCATTGTGCCTGAGAGTCAATCTTGCTTGGGTAGCGACGATGAACCTTAGTTTCGAGGTTACAGTGATAAGGTTCTGTCTTAGACTTTTCCCACGTGCAATCTTTCCACTTGTTTTTCCATAGATTCGCATCACTTTGGAATTTAGATTCCGTAATCGCGGGGCGGGGATATATAATATCGGCCAGCCGGAGATCCAATCTGTGGATGGACATGGGCATTCATTGGGGTATAGAAAACGCCCCCAAACCCTACACTTTGCCGTACGTGACCAAATTATAACATTATACTGATAAGAGGCTGACACTTTGTAGAAATCTACCCGAGAGAGGCTGAAGCCAGCCTCAAGTTAATCATACTTCTTGTTGTTTGTCCGCGGAATATACTGCCATGTATCTCCTACGCTATGTTGCGTGATGCCTCCCCCATTCCTGTTCCAAGGTCAATGAACCAAGCATTATTGCTGAAGCTTGTCCATGAGAGGAACTAGAGGGGCCTCGTTCCGCAACAGCTCCATCGTCTCCCTCCATATCTTGATCTGCGCCTCGGCACCCGCAGAAGATAGCACAAATGCCGAGGGGCTTCAGCGACTGGTTAGTCGAATTGCATCCCCATTAGAGAAATGAGTTTGAAAAAAACAACCCAACTCACCTCTTCACGGTTTGTTCACTAATGTAGACGCCATGCTGATTCTCGTGGCGAGTTGCAGCATCCACCAGGCAATGTCCGCCCTGCATCGCCGTCCAAGCAAACAAATTGACTGCCATGCTGGCCGAGGCATCAGACCTGTGCAATGAGCTCGCGCAGAAACCAGGGTTCACCGTATTGATGGTGACGTGCAGGCCAAGTGCCGCCGACCTGGCGCTTAGCTGCCGCATCCACAAGACGTTGAGCAGCTTGCTGGTGCTGTAGCGTTCAATGTTGAGCTTGTCGAGACCCTTAAAACAGGCGCGGCTCGTATCCAATTCCTCCAGTGCATTTTGCGCCCGTAGCTCTCGGAACTTGGCCCAGAAGTGGTTCTCTGACGAGACGATAGTCAGTCGGCCTGAAATACCAGTGGCCTCAGCTGTTCGATGGAGAGGTTCAAGCATGTGCAGAGATACGAGTGCTGTGCCAAGATGATTGACCTGTCGTGGTGAGTTACGAGATTATCCTTCACAAGCACGATCCTGATTTGAAATATTTTCGACATACCTGAACATGAGACTCATGCCCAGTCTTGGACTGGACATAGTCCACGTTCTTGACGCCAACATTGAGGATGACGATATCGAGCCGATCGAGCTCTGTGACACGTTTTCCGAAATCATCAATGCTAGCAAAAGATTCGTGGTCCAAGGTCCACACGAGAACATTGATCGTGGGCGTCTGAGCAAGTATCTCCTCGCGAGCGGCAGTGCCCTTGTTGAGACTTCTGACGGCGAGAATGAGTCGAGTCAGGCCGTGGGCAGCCATCTCTTTTGCCGCCTCAAGGCCGAGTCCCGCGTTGGCGCCGGTGATGATGGCTGTTTTTCCATCAAGTCTCACGCTCTTATCAAGAGGCTTTGGTTTGAATGTCAGTTGACGGTAAAAGAATCCCGGGTACGTCCCCATTTTTTTCACGCCAATCTTGGATTCGAAGATCCGTAGGTGCTTGAGACGTTAGTATGCGTGGCGTCCTCCGCGTGCTAAAGTATTGGTTCAATCTTTAAGAGCTGATTGCTTATGGAAAGATCTTATTAAATTCTTCCAAATCAAAAATTTCATCGAGAAGATAAATGGTGTTGCGTCTATTTTGCAAGAATGGAATATAGAATTATAGAGCACTGGTTTATATCCGCAAGTTGGCGGCTTTCGGCCGATGTATAGGATGACACATGTTCAGCCAGCCGATGAATTTCGGCTCTAACAACCGCATCATGCCAGCTTCGTATTGCTAGGAACTTGAACCATTCATATTCGGGTAACGCCAGTGCTTTGATGCAGTGATACATTCCGGAATACGTTTGCAGGCAGGAAATTCAAGCAGCCTATAAATTTAATCCAATGGCGAGTCTGTTGATGAGGTTGTGCGAGAAACTGACGGCCAAGATGAATATTCAGATCACTCAAATTGTTGCCTACTACCAATGATCCTTGCGACATGACTGACCAACTACCCAGCCTCACCTGCGACCAGTACCCAATCATGCGATGCGTGTCGAGGTGGCTTGCGGCGCAGTCGTGCCGAGTCCGTTAGATCCGCGGACAGTCAAAGAGGGACACCTCACATCTCAACTCTTGGTGTAAAAGCCGAAGATTGCATCTGAAATCTTATTGCGATTTATTGTGTAACGACATTAATACTTACACTGAGGCCTTGAATTTTGAGGGGCCTAAAATAGCGATTATCATGATGGCCAAAGTTACCAAACATAAACGGAAACGGGCCGTAAACTCATGCCTGCCATGCTATTCCAACAAGCAAAAGGTATGAAAACGATGCCAGTCACATCAGAGTCGGTTTGTATTTGAGAGATATGCTGACATCATGGTCTTGTCATTCAGTGCAACCGGCAATACCCGTGTAATCATTGCACACGGCGCCGGAAGCCTGAGAAATGTACCTACCAGTCCCATGCTATGCATGAAGCTAAAGATATCATCGCATCAACACCATGTGGAAGCGTCTCTGGTTTACAAGGGGAATTCTCGATAGCCCCAAAGTCCAATGCCAATACAATCTTACCGAGCACGTTGGAGACACTGCCGGTATCACTTGCAGATACTTACGGCTATCCTGAAAACAGCAGAACCAATGCCATGGGACTGATTCAAAACCTAGTGAGTTGGTCTACCTAGATTTAATCACACGATCCCCAGCTGTAGCCTTTCCTAGATGCTCACCACAAGCATAGACCAAACCTCCTTTTCAGTATCACCCAAGCAAAAGTGACACAACGATACCATCCGATAAAACAGGTATCTTCAATGACGCAATAGAACAAATGCCGACTCGCGAGATACTTGATATCTTGATACAATTCTTCATTGCCGAGGTGAACTGGACGAGCCAGCTTATATACCCTCCTAGCTTCCTGGCTCAGTACCAACGTTGGTGGGTCAGGGCGGCGGATCTCAGATATCCGAACGCCAGCCCCAGCGTTGCCGACTTGGAATTCGCTGCCCTTATCTTGAGTGTGGCTGCTCTAGCCAGTCAGTTCATGCCATCTCACTACAAATCAAAGGAATCAGTCTGCCATACATCTTTCGATTTGGTCAGAGACACATGCATCCAGGTGGGCGACCGACTCGCCATACTAGCAGCCTCAATCAGCCCACGAGGTTCTCTGCTTCGTGTTCAGAGAATGTGCTTCACTGGGCTGAGCATGTCTTGTGAAGGGAAAATGACCGAATCTTGGGCATTGCTCGACCGTGCCGTGCGAATGACACATGAACTTGGATATCACCAAGTATCACAAACCTCAACAGAGCCTGGCATGGACGAAATTGAATGGGAAATGCGGCGGAGGGTATATTGTAATCTCTACATCTGGGATGGGTAAGCACTTTCGTCTCGAAGACTCTGTCGGCTCAGTACATCATTCCAACTAATACACAACAGCATCCTGTCTCGAGAGATGGACCGAGAGCCACTGCTGGCACAAACGCCCCGTGGAAGCGAGATACCAAGGATGAGTCTGACTCCAGGCGCGGATCAGCAGGACTTTGGCGTTCCAGATCTGTTCACGGAGCGTATTCTTCAACTTCATCTAGGCGCATTCTGGAAACGGCACAGATGCAAGTCGTCATCCGATGAAGTTTACGAGCCACTTGTAGCCGAGGAAAGACTAGAAGTCTTTCAAAAAGAGTTTCTTAGCAACGTCCCGGCCACGTTTGCCTTGGATGCCCCTGATCGACAATGGGATGAGCAAATGCGGTGGTTGCCATTGCAGCGACAATTATTTCGAACCACGGTGTACGAGTCCATTTGTCAAAATTTCCGACCACTCCTTCTTCTGCATCCAGAAGATTTAGGGCGCTTGCCTGCATACAAGCAGGTGCTCATTGAGACGCAACGTCGAGTGCTCGCCCGCGCAGCGCTGGACATGCTCCAGGCAATTTCGACGCTCTATAACATGCTGGAACCATTACAAAGACGATCAATTGCCGTCATTGTCCCCATATTCGAGGCCTCTGTGCTTTTGTCTTGTCTATGTATACAAGGGGCTCAGAGTGCGGAGAGCAGAGGTTTCATCGACGGATTGGACAGAGCCTCTGTATATGAATCGAGTTTCGGCAAGCGGAGGGACGTGAGCAGGGACTGTTGTCTTCGGGCAGCACACGGTGGTCTACTTCGTCTGAAATCGTTGGCCAAAGTCAGCATCGTCGCGGAGACTGGGGCAGCGAACTTGTCACAATTTCTCGAGCAGGTCGACAACTTGACCACAGCAGACGATACGGCGCCCGACGGACAGATGTTGGGCCACATTAGTACGAATTTGGATTTCCAGCCGTACGAAATTGGTGATGTGGTTGGCAAGACGGCGGCTTATGATATCCCCAACCTGTTTTCTGACGACTTTTTGCAGTCGGGCAGTTTCAGTGATAGTTTTGAGAATGCCGATTGTGCTGAGCACTTTCAGATACCCGACCTGTTGGGCGACAAGGTCTAAAATCAGTTCCGATGGCGACGACTACTTCCGTGGTGTATTTTATGACGTGCTTTCCAAAATTTGGACCTGTCGACAGACTTGAAGGTACATACGTCAATCCATCACCTTGCGATTTCATAATAATGCTTCTTATTCCGAACGTATCAATCTGCCTCATTCAATATTGTGTGGATAGAACCAAGCTCAATTTTTGTGTTTTGCCAAGCGCAGTCACTGCTGTTGCCTCTCCTGCATATTTACATTGGAATGATGCCCAGGCCATAAACAGCGCCAAGCTTTAATAACCAAAGCGAACGTTGATGGCCACCTACTTGACACCTTGAAATCGTACAGCGACCAAGCATGTCAGCCACAATTATTGATCAGTCGACTTAACGACATGCCAAAATCTGGCTGAGCGGATTAGAGATGTCAAACGGCTGCAGCAAATAATGTAGATGTACGTGCTTCTGCGAGAACACGGGTGCGCGAACTGTGTTGGCGTGTTGGCGTTTGCACCTTGGCCAGCGTGACAACACCGCGAACCATCCCGACGCGTTCCTCGAACCACGCCATTTGATTCAGCAATGGCAGGCTCCAAAATTTGCTACTTCCTTCTTCGCTTCGGTCCGCAAGGGAGCGAGAGTGATGAAAGACAAAGAATAATCTCTTTACAAGATGTAATGGGTTGCCAAAAATTCCCTACCCAGCCAGAGGCCGAATAGGAGTGGTCATAGTTATAGTTTTCAACTAGCAAAAACGCAGTCTCGGACGAATCCTCACTGACATGCGTAACGCCCGTGCACTAAGATGGAGAGAAAAGGATCAAAATCAAGAGAGGTTTGGGTGCAGGTGAGCTGGTTTTATAATAGAAACTCTGGTGGGGCCCATAATTCTGCCGGCATTAATCCTGGGCGGTGTGTGGATCTCTGGCGGCGCGCCCGCCCTCAAGGCAGGGCAGGCTCCAGCTTGCAGGCAGCCAGCCACTGGCGATTGTCCAGCTGGCGCCTGTAGGTGCCTAAAGATTACTGGACAGGTGCACCTCGCACAGGCAGCAGCCCCTTGTTACAAGGAAAGAGTCATACTTCTTATGACAACGACAAATAATCAAAAAGAATTATTCCATTAATCTCACCTCGAGCCTGGCCTTTCGTACTTTCCGCCTTATTGCACATTCCTGCTACCAGAAATAATGGTGATACAGCCAGTATCATTTCTGACCTAAGCCACCTGCCTGACTACACCAACCAATTTCCATCGAGTTGCGAACCTGCTATCTGGGAATTGTAGAATATCATAAAGGCATATGCGGATGATTGCAGCGACGTTTAGCTGAAGACATGGCGCATCCGGATGTAAGGAACGTTCAGGACTGGGGGCACAGCCTACTTACCTATGACGACTATGAATAATACCAAGTCTTCACCACGAGCTCTCGCCTCGCCATTTCGCGACGGGTCATCTGGGGATGCACAACCACTACGGTAGAAGCTAGGGTGCGCTCTCGTCCCGCCTTAGCTACTACTACTATACTATGTAGAATCCCCAACTTCTCCGCGTTTCCCCAAACCTGCTCGTGCAGATGTAACATTTTTTCCACGGCTCATTGATCCTCCTCCAACCAGACCAGCAGCCGTGCATGGGTGATCCCCACTGGAAGTAGATTGGACAATTCCTGCTGTCCGAGGGAACGTACCCGATGTGCCGGACATTGCGCACATCTAGTATACCACGTAGTCCAGGGATCTGCAAGTATTCAATCATCATACCCCTCAATAGCATGGCCTCTGGAGCCGTCCGTTTACATCAGTGCTTCTGCAGTCCTCTCTATAATCCCGGCTGAATGGCATGCGCGAATATGCAGAACAAACTGGAGTGACGAGCTCATAAATAACGTAGACGGTCGCCAGGCCTGGCGGTGTAGTCCTTTCGCTTCTCCATGGACCTTTTCCCAAACCAGCACTGGCACAAGAGATCATGAAGTTGCTCCCATTCCTCCTTTTCAGCGGTGCTTTCGCTTCATCGCGTGCTCGTCGATCACTCACCACGGTGTCCAACTTGGTCTCGTTTGGCGACAGTTACACAGACGAGGGCCGCTTGTCTGCATACGCTGCCAACAATGGTAGCACACCGCCACCGGGGACTTCAACAGCAGGGAGTAATTTCACCTCTACTGGTGGCTATGCTTGGGGTCACTTTGTATCACAGGTCAGTGGTTGACACAAGGCGTTTGAGAAGGGGATGTCCCACAAGAAAAAGAACCCAGGCATTTTGGTTTTTGCCATGCTGCTCATGAGGGGTTTTGGTGCTGATGGGAAGAGACTGACTTGTTCTTGGAATAGGCTTTGGGTGCAAAGTATTATGACTATGCTGGTAAGATACTCATGAAAGTGAGGAAATGGCGCAGTATTGCCACATCTCCCACTCAATCGAAGCAGCCCCAGAGTCGACTTGGATGCTGACACTTATTCAGTGAGCGGTGCATTTTGCTCCAACGAGATCTTCTCACGGTATCTGGCCGGAATTAACCGAACGTTTCCATCTGTCCTGGAAGACGAGATTCCCTCTTTCCTGGAGGACATAGCCTACATCAACGAAACCACTGGTACAAACACATTCTATACCGACCGGGAGTCTAACAATACCGTGTATGCGCTTTGGATCGGCACAAACGATCTTGGCACCAATGCCTTCCTCACGGACTCGCAAAAGTCTGGTCTTACCATCACCGACTTTGTCGAGTGTATCTGGCAGGTTTTCGACACGATATACAGTACCGGCGGTCGTCACTTTGTACTGCTCAACGAGGCGCCTTTGGAGTACTCCCCTCTCTACGCAGCACCACAGAACGGCGGGGTCGGGGATGATCACTACTGGACAGACAAGACGACATACAACATGACAGAATATGAACAGAAGATGAAGGAGTACACGACCAATGTCAACACCATATTCGACTATGGCGTGCCTGTCGAGGTAAAGATCAAGTCGCGATGGCCTGAGGCTACCGTCACCATCTTCAATGTGCATCAATTGATTCTCGACATTCGCAATGACCCCGAGAACTACCTTGAAGCACCGGCCAATGTGACTGGATACTATCATTCTTGCACAGTGGATAGCTCAAGCTGTTCCAATTCTGAGAATCCATTGGCTTCGTTCTTGTGGTACGACGAACTCCACCCATCTGAGAGAACAGGTAAGATGGCCGCTATAAGTCATTTCGGTGATACATGCTAATCGTATTATTCAACCAGATGAGATCATTGCCAATGAGTTTGTGAAACTCGTCTCGGGAAATTCCTTATATGCAACATACTGGTAGCCTATCACGAAGGTTTAATCTAAAATGGCATGTGAAACTCGTCTCGGGAAATTCCTCATATGCAACATACTGGTAGCCTATCACGAAGGTTTAATCTAAAATGGCATGTGATAGCTCCCGTCTTATGCGAATCATAAGATATATGAAGTTCGGGGCAATGTGTTATATTATGTGCTAGCACCGCGTTCAATGCGATTGTAGAGCAGAATTAAAGTATGAGACCATCCAAGTATTTCGTATCGATGAGAACTTAAAAAAAAAAAAAAGAAAAAAAGATTATTGTGGTACAACCATTTCAGCAATCAGTTCAGCTGCAACCTCCCGCCCTGGTCTTTTTCTCGAAATCACTCCAATACGATGCGCCGTCTCGCGCATTTTGAGACTCGCTTCTGTCTCCATGACCACCTTGCCAAATGCATCCACCAGATCCTCCACAGTCCAGGCTGGAGCCGTACGGCGACAGGCGTAGACGCCAATACCTAGGTCCTCGGCCAACTGGGCAAAATTGTACAAGTCCTCCCACATTGGTATCACGACCTGCGGCACACCAGCTCTGTTGCCAAATGAGTCAATTGCTGTATCAATGACTAAGCCGGGGTGAAGGGGACTTACACGACGGCTTCGTGGTAGCTGCTCGCTCCGCCATGATGGATGAACGCTACCACGTTTCCGGCCTCTAACAAGCCCAAGGTGTCGATTGGCAGCCAGTGTGATATTTTCAATCTTTCCTGTTTGACGAATTCCTGAAGAGGTGCAGCATATGCATCGCCAACTATAATATGTAGACAAATTAGCATCTCTCGTATTGGGCTTTTGAATATCTTCCATTATTATGAAGACGGGCATCGCAGCGGCCCCTTTGCCACCTACAATCATTATGTGGTGCCATTTTCCACAACACCTGAAAGTCTGTGTGGTCAAGTAGCCATCCAATAGCCGCAGCCATGGTAATGGCCCTCTCTTCGCTGTACGTGAAAAGGCTGCCCAGATTGACCACAACGGTAGGCTTTTGCAGCCACTTGACCAAGCCGGCGTCCTGCTGCGCCGCCGGTGCCGAGTCGAGAAGCAAGGCGCCGACGGCAGTCACATTGGCGGGGACGTTGGTGACTGGCAGGCTGGCCTCGGGCAGCGTCTGTGAGATGAACAAGGCGTCGGGGCGCAGATCGAATAGCTCGATTGGTTTGACTCCCTTGCTTCGCAAGTACGACATTACGTCCCGCGAGAGAGGCTTGAATATTGCCGAGTATATGAACCTCAGGTTGACGTATAAGTTCTCCGGGATTCGATGCCAGGGCACTGGGAAAGTGAAGCCCGTGCCGAGACTACAACTTGGTCAGCATATCAACTTTGTCCAAGGTCCCATTCATTTGTATCCAAGTAACATTCGAGATATCTTGAACTCACGCAGGATATTTCCAGAGCCCGGCTCCGTAGTCCTGGATAAACGTAACCACATCCGACAGAGCATTGGGAGTAATTATCACGTGGGCCCGGTTCAGGTGGCGGATGGCATCGACGCCGGGACGGTGCAGGTAATCCAGCACGACCACGGCAGGGTCAATCTCGTCTACGAGCCGAATCACCTCCTGGTAGATGGCGTAGTGCTCGGTACCATTCCAGCTGATCACGGCCACCTCGAGCTGAGAGACTAGGCTGGCTATGCCTGCGGCCCCGGGGCGATGGGATATGCAATCGTCAACGGAGCGCCCATCACAGCCGAGCCTGCGCATTATGGCGGCGGACCGGTCTGGCCCCGGCAGCTCGTGGAATTTGATGCCGCGGCCAGAAGATGTCTTGGCAAGCGCAAAGGCCGACGCCCGCTCAACATGTTTTGCCGCCGTTGAAAAGGAGGCAATGTGAATGTCTATTTCCGGGTGAGCCTGTGCCAGCGCCTGCACGGTAGCCAGCTGCACGTTGATCTGGCCCGACTCGGCGTGTGCGAGAAAGAGGACAGTGTTGTCCTTGCCCCGGATCAGCGGCGGAAGCTCCACGGGTGTGCTCCGCAGCCATTGCGACACGGCGAGACCCAGAACCAAAACCGCGAGGATGCTTGTCCAGGAGAAGATGCGGTTGGCCCCAGAGGCTTTTCTTGGTCGGTCTTCTTTCTCAGACGTGGATATACTAGTGTCTGCGGCTGACGATTGGGATAGCCGATCCCGACGGCGATGTTCCATCATCTTGAGTGCCAACAATATCCCAAAGGATCAAAACGTCTCTTATTAAAACTTTTACTCCTCGAAAAAGATCAAGCATGAAATTTGAGTCCTTCCCTTGAGCGAGAAAGTGAAGTTCGGTCAGATCTGACAAGATGTTTGTTGTCTTTGTTACTGCTGCGCCGCATCAAGTGGTTGCCCTTATTGGAAGGATTCTCAGCCACAAACCGTCGACTTTGTCCTGCTGATGGATCTGACGTATATCTCGTATATGTACTTGATCGGCCGCTAACACAATTTTATATGTCTTGTTTGCCAACTCTGATTCTCTTATGCTCCTCCCCCCTTGCGTCAATTGAATCCTTATGTCCTCTTAGCCACTCAACGACATGTCTCAGTGATCAGCACTGCAAGCGAATTGTTGGTCTGACATATCATGATTCATTCATGGTTCAAAATCTGACTTGATGCTATGTAAGCTACGAAATGATCCAATCACGGTGCTCCATGCTTGGTATCTCCGCTGCATGTATAGTCCAGCCTTGAACCAACATTCATCTCACGCATCGCATCATGTTCATCAATTTGCCCACTTCAATTCAACTCAAGCCATTCGGCCAGTTGCGACATCAAGGTGTGATACGTGTCCTCCAAAGCCACCACCTTCCGTCATCATCTGCATGCGAATCATGCCCTCGCCAGGCTGTCCGCCGGGGCCTCGGCCGGTGATCTGCTCACGGAGCATGCGGAGCTGCATGGCGAACGTGGGACTGCCATAGTGGTCGTTGAACTGGCCCTTTTGGACGGGGCGTGTGATATCGCACCAGCTCTCTCCGCCGGTGCACAAGGCCTCGCACTCGGCCTGCTTCTCGTCGCTCCACCAGGACGGCAAGAGGTTCTTGCGGGACTTGGCGGCGTCGAGATAGCGCCGGAACCCGGGCAGCGGGTCGGCCTTGCCGGCGGCCGTGTAGATTGAGCCGGGCTCCGGGCCCCCGTCAAAGGTGACGTCGTCGGTCATCTTGAGGCGGTACGAGTCGATGAGGACTCTGAAGGTATCCTTCTCGGAGCGGTTGTGGAGCCAGGTGCGACTGTTCAAGGCCGTGAAAGGTTTGGCGATGCCGCTGTCCAAGCCCTTTTGTTGCGCGGCGCCCCCGCCCAGACCTTGCTGAGCGTTGCTGGCGCATGACTTCTTGTGGACTTTCCAGTCATCCTTCTGGCAGTCGCGCGAGCAGTAGGACACGGCGCGACATTTGGCGCACGTCTTGAGGTCAACGTCGGACTTTTTGCACTTGGCGCATTCTGTAGCCATTGTTGAATAGGTTTCTTGGAAATGGCTTCTTGAAGACTTGTTTGCTATAGTTTCTCAGCTCAATAGTTGAGAAAGCTTCAGAATCGCGGCTTGATAAAGGCTTGCTGACAGGGCTTCAAGTTGGAAGAAACATTTAGTTATTCACGTAACTTCCCGTCACTCTACATGGCAAGAATTAATACTGCAAAGGCATACGTAAACCTGTTGGAGGCGGTTGGCTCAGTGGGGAAGGGCTCGGCAGTTTGCAGCTATTTGAACTTGATAGAATCCACAACATGGCCAATCATAGCGGGTCCACTGTGAGCCTGACTATGTGTGATGCAGAGGTAGACAAACAGTTCAATGACAGATTTGTCTGTAGGTGAAAAGTCTTTGATGTATGATTAATTATACAGGTCATATTCAATAACGTAATGTGTCGTTTACAAATGAAATGCTGTCACCCTCGAATACTTTGAGGCATGTCATGGGAGTAGGCAGTCGCCAGATTTTACCAAACAACGCGTCTATATTGATCAATAAGAAACTTCGACGCCATAGCATTGAACTCTCGGGCAGTACTTGTGGACTCTTGCATGATGTGGTCATTTGATACGGCACGGGCGATTGCAGGACACACGGCTGCAGGTAACGTGGTTGGCTCGAGAGAAAACAACATGGGGAATTCTTGTTGCGGTGAGAAGGCGTGATCATGACGAGTTTCCTGAGATGTACATCGTAATGACTGTCTCAAGCTTGCTGGACAAAGTCCGTCTTTGGGCTTCGCAGGATTCATGTGATCGGCTGGAATGGATTCATGATTACCTAGTATATGACAACCATTTCTTCCTAAGCATTTTCCCCGGGCATCATATCGTGCCGGAACACCTATGTTTGACACCTTTGTGATCGTTTGCTTATTTGCCCGTACAATTGGCTCTTGATCGTTTGCACCTCTTTCAGAATGCTCAAATCGATAGAATATCAGTGGATCTCGTCTATGCACAAATCCGAAATGATATGATGGCTTCATTGTCATGCGTCTGCGGAAAATTAATAAACAAAATTCCACGGCGACGAATAATCATGGTCATTTGACCCAAGGAGATTTCCTCCTACTACACCAAGAGCTCAAGTCTCCACGGACAGGTGTTGGAAGTGCATGCCATGATCATCTGCATCTTATGTCCAATATTCTCTTTTCTCTAACAGTGACAACAACTTGAGAAATTTGAACTCTCGTAGAATAAGAGCTTCTGCTCGCTTTCTTGTTGTCGCTTATGATGCCTTTATTTTTTTTTTTTTTTTTTTTCGAAATCCGTGCGTCTTCTTGGAACAATGAGATATGGGTCCAGGCTTTTCCTCAATCCTTACCTCTTCCATCTGAAATTTCTGGGTGTGTGGTGTCCAAGGTGTCGAGATCTCTCCTCAGCTCAACCAAGATTTTGGGATATGATAGCGAATGAGCCGCTTCCATGATCTTGGGTCAATGGCAAGCTCGTGCATCTCGCGTGTGCCTTACTCCGCACTGCAAATGAATATTGCCTGGCATGCCAAGTGGCAACGTCTATTTACCCGGAGCACGATCTTGATATTAGCCGGGAACCAGGCTTTCGGCGCTGCACCCGCTTTTCCCTGGGCTCTGTCTGCGGTGCAAACGCGACTTTTTATTCGTCAATTGGCTCCCTTTGCTGACCTCGGTACGCTCGCGGTCGTATGGGTGACAGATGTAGTACCCAGACCGTCGGGATCTTCCCCACGACGAACCGTTGTCTGGTGATCTAATTTTCCCAACTGCTGCAGTTGGGGAAATTGGAGTAAGTGAGGGGAGCCCACTGGTCGAATCATACCGTTGGTATAGGTTGTATATATTACTAAGGTTTGCCATTTCCAGAGACCTCGTGGGATTAAAGGTTTTGTGGTAGCATTTGTGTTTCTCATCCTTCAGTAAACTCGCATACAAGCAAGATGCGTTATTCTCTTGTATACGCCGTGGCTTCTGTGCCCTTGATCTCTGCGCAATTAAATCTTTACGCCAAGAAAGCGGGCTTGAAGTATTTCGGCGCTGCGACGGATTCCCCTGGGCAGCGTGAGCGCGCGGGCCTGGAGGCGGCATATCCTCAGTATGATGCCATTCTCAGAGACCATGACGAGTTTGGCCAGACGACGGCAACCAATGGACAAAAGGTGCGTGGATATAGTAACCCGTGCAATGAGGAGGAATAGAAAAAAAAAATGGATGCTAACGTGTGTATGAATTGGTAGTGGCTATTCATCGAACCGGAACAAGGTGTCTTCAACTTTACCGAAGGCGACATTGTGACCGACATTGCGCAAGAAAATCATCTCATACAGAGATGCCATACGCTCGTGTGGCACAGTCAATTGGCGCCGTGGGTCGAGTCGACAAACTGGACTGCCGATGCACTGAGCGAAGTCATTGTGAACCACATCACCAACATCATGGAGTACTACAAGGGCAAGTGTTACGCGTGGGACGTGGTGAATGAAGCCCTGAATGAGGACGGCACATACCGCGAGTCTGTCTTTTATAATACGCTCGGGGAAGACTTCATCAAGCTGGCATTCAGCACCGCCTCCCAGGTCGACCCGGGCGCCAAGCTCTACTACAACGACTATAACATTGAGTCGCCCGGCAATAAGAGCGAGGGGGCGCTCCGCATTGTGAAGCTACTGCAGGACGACGGAATCAGAATCGACGGTGTGGGTCTTCAAGCCCATTTCCAAGCATCAGGCGCTCCGAGCCTCGATGAGCAAAGTGCCGTTATCGCATCCTACGCGGATCTCGGTGTGGAGGTGGCATACACTGAGCTCGACGTAAGGATTGATCTGCCGTTGAACGACACCAACCTGGAATGGCAGAAGGAGGTCTACGTAAATGTGAGTGACCAAACAGATGATTTTACGCATGATGAAGTTTGGAAGCTGACAATGGCGACGATGGTTTCTTCCAGGCTACAAGCGCATGTGTTCAAAGTGCTGCCTGCGTCGGCATTACCATCTGGGATTTCTATGATCCATTTAGTTGGGTGCCCGCAGTATTCCCTGGCCAAGGAAACCCTCTGCTGTGGTTTGAGGACTTTAGCAAGCATCCCGCATATTACGGCATCATTGAGGCGCTCAAGAACGGCACAGGGGCTGGGGACTGCCGAGAAGGAGGACGCCACCCGAGAGATTTTGCGAGTAGACGATGAGGGAGGAAGGAATATTTACGTCACTAGTGGCTGATCTGCTTACAGAAGATGCGCTTTGTTATTAGATTGGCGATAGTCTAGATGCAGGTGGGCGGCAAGGAGACCAATACACTAAAAGTAGTGAAGTGTGTTCCTGCAGAAGCGAGGCACAATTAATATTTGCCGAGATGTGTACGACCGATTTTGTCCGTGGAAATATTTTCCTGCTTGATGTGATAATGTTCAGTATCATATCCCCAGTTGCAATCGAGTCGCGTGGTGCATGTCGACCCATCAAAAGGATTCCGTGCTTGACTCCGGCTTCATCTCTGTCCGGACCAGACAACCGAAAAAGCCAAGACGAGACCATCTTTGACATTAAATTCCCTTTGACAGGGGACGATCCCGAGCACTGGAGCGTTCTGGAAGCCCTCGCAACCTCGCACTTGGGCTTCGGATCAATGCATTGGAATTCTTTTACCTTGAAGGTTTAGTGCTTACCTGGCCGGCATCGCTTGTCTGAACTAGGACAGGGTCCACGAGAAAATTAACCAATTAAAAGTATAACCCCCATGGGCCCCTGACCAAAGATGCAGACCAAGCTTTTTTCTTTAGAGGCAACCATACCTATTCTACACTATAAACATGCTAGTCTCCAGGCACCACAGCGAAGGATTCTTATTTTAGCTTGGCAGTCCTGACGGGCCCCCTGAAAACAGGCCAAAAAGAAATTGGAAATAGGGATTGGCATGCGACTTGGTTCGGATATCTCGTATATATCTTTGCCCGGTCTGCTTCTCATCGTTAATACCATTAGCACCTACTTAGTTTTTGCACGTCCTCTTCAATTCGTTCATTTCCTATTTCAGTCGGACAAGATCGTCGCTCAAGCCTTGTTCCAGTACCACTCTCGTTTTATACTTAATATAAGCTTAAAGGCCTCCCTCCGATCCGGTTCCACCTTGAACTCGCAGACTTGTAGAAATCCAGAGAGAAGGACAATTCAGTCAGAAACAACAAAACACCAACAATCAAAATGCACTCTGCTCGCTTCCTCTTGGCTGCGGCCCCTCTCCTGTCCCTGGCTGTTGCCCAGGACGACTCCACCAACACCCAGGATGACTGGATGACCATGACCGACGGTGGCGATGATGGCTACACCGTGACGGCAACCTACGACGACAGCATTCCTGCTACCAGCTACCTCGCCGACATCTACGGAACAGGCATTCCCGCAGCTGCCACGGGTGCTGCCGCCACCAGCTTGGCAGAGGCCATTTACAGGTGAGACATAATTCTTCTCGATTACCAATGAAACACTGAAAGGGGGAAAAGAAAATATCTAACAAATTTGGGAATCTAGCTACGAGATGGCTCTGTACACAGACCCCGCCTACAAGTCGGCAGCCGACGATATCTACAATGCCATTGCCACCGCCAGCAACGTGGACGAGATCTTCTCGTCGCTGGACGGCGGCGGCGTCATCAGCGGTGCCTTCACCACGGCCGCCTGGTACGTCGACGGCGTGCCCGACAGCGCCAAGAGCGAGTTTGCCAGCGTCATCTCGGGCTTTAGCTCTGTCCAGTCCAGCGTCCTGGCTGCCGCTGCCGCCACCACCACGGGTGCCTCCGCCACGGGCTCGGGTGCCTCCACCACCAGCGGCGCCTCCAAGACGGGGTCCGCTGCTTCAGGATCGGCTACCTCGACGAGCTCTAGCACTGGCGGCGCCCCTGCTGCTAGAATTACTGGCGGTGCCGTTGCTGGATTGGCTGCTGCTGCTGCTTTCGCCATGCTGTAGATTCAGTCAAAAGCTGCGTCTACTCGACGAGGAAAACATAAATTATAATTAATATCATTCACTATCCACCTGTTACTGCATTCTCCGGGCTTTTCACAAGTATTTTTCGACTTCATCCCTTTCGATATGCATGAATTGGTGCAAATGTTTCAACATATACAAGGCATATAGTCGGATACGCAAAAGAATAGTATATACAGTTGAACTAGATACAGACAATAAAAGGACAAGAAGCTATGTACATTTTTCCACAATTCCCGTCTCCAACATAACACTCCCGGGCGAGTAGGCAGTCTCTACTTCATGAACCGAACGCTCTGATCGACTTCTAATAGAAGAGCTCAATGGCATCAAAGATCTAGCAGAGTTTTGGTTAGTATTTATCACAATACACATTTGACTTGGGCTTATTTGTTACTCACCACATTGGGGCTCAAGTAGTCGTCGCCGCTGCTTCCGCTGATGACGTTGATGGTGACGGTATTGGTGCCGCTGACAAGGGTACCGCTGGGGAGGGAGCAGTCATAGACATCGCCCCAGCCACGGTAGGCACCACGAGTGACGCCACGGCTGTCGATGGTGGTGGGTGCCGCGGGCGCCGTGCACGTGTAGCTGTTGACGGTGGCCTGGGGACGACCTCCAGCAAAGGACAGCGTGGTGGCGATGCGCAGGGTGGCGGTGGAGCTCACGGCCGACGACAGCGAAAAGGTGATCTTCTGGCCATTGTTGACGTCCTTGAACATGGCCATGGGCCACGACGAGGCCGCGGTGCTGGCCACGCTGCCTGGGCTCCACGACGACATGCGCGAGTCCGACGGGTGCATGCGCAGCTGCTTGTCGGCGTTGAGGAAGCCCGTCGGCTGGCCGTCGTAGTCGCCCAGTTTGAACACGGTCGTGTGCGATGACGTGATAATAGTGTTGGTCGCCGCAATATTGGATGTGGTCGTGCCACCCGACGTGACGGTCACGGTCTGCGTCGCGGCTAGGAACTCGTCCTGGTACAGCTTCATCGTGTACGTGCCGGCGACGAGGGCGGGCGAAGTGAAAGCCCCTGAGCTGCTGGCGTAGCTCCAGCCCTGGTAGTTGGAGTTGTACCAGTGAACAACAATGGGGAAGCTGCTCGAGACGCCCGTGGCCGTGCCCTTGACATAGCCGCGTCCTGATGCGGCGACGTAGCCAGTCAAGCCTAGGTTGTCGAAGAAGGAGACATCAAAGCTGCTGGCAGTCGGGACACCGGATCTGGCAAAAGCAAAGACGTATGGTCCATGGAAGCCTTGGCGGTAGCTCTCGGTCTGCACGTGGCCCGAGTTCATATAATAGGTGACAGAGTGGTAGCTTCCTCCCCAGTTCAGGTTGATGTCGCGGAAAAACGGCCCGCCAGAGCTCTTCTCTGTGGCCTTCTGGTCGGGGCGGACCCAGCAGGCGTGGACCGAGGCGCCAGAGTCGGTTGCACAGTAAACGCTGTTGTCAATGAACCTCTCGGAAGAGTAGAACTTGCTGCGAGTCTGGCTGCTGACGGTGTAGACATCGGAACCCTCGATAGCAGTGCCGCCAGCAGTGTCGGAGACGTCACCGTACGAGTAGGTCGGGTAGGTCTCGGTCAGACCAGTCAGACGGAAGATGAAGCGTAGTTCTCCAACTGTAGGCTCGCTGTTGGTGTAGGTTCCCATATAAATATTGTTCTCGCCGTCGGCAAAGACCATGTAGTGAGTCAAATCAAAGCTGTCGTTGTCTGCCACACACTTGACGATGACATAGTCACCTTTGATGATGGGTCAGCTATAACGCACTATAACACGAGGGGGGAAAAGCAATATATATCAGCGGAGTTCCTTACCACTCGTCGTGTAGGAAACAGTGGCGGAGCCCAGGCCAGACGCGATATGACTATAAGTGCTGCTGTACTGATAATCGGTACCGTAGAACTTGAGCGAGGTGATGTCGCAAGTGGTTCGACTGATCACTGTGGTAAAGCCATAGCTGCTCTCGGTGTCGATAGTATAAGACGACGAAGCAGTGGTCACGGTGATGGCGGCGACTGAAGTTGCCCAAGCAAGGAGGAATGAGAGAAGCATGGTGAACACCATATTGGGCGAGTTGGAATTCGAAGTCTGCTGCTTCGGCTTGCCGTGGTTCTCAGGCAGGTAAAGGACGATCGTTTCTCGAACAACATCCCCGAGTTATATATATCTTATATCTATCTGCGTCTCTCCAAAGGGAATCAGGGGTTCGGCCTTTTTCGTCTCAACATCAATGCCAATGCTTGGACATCCAACGAAACGCGGCCCTCTGGTTCCTGGATGAGATGAACAAGCGGGGCCATACGGGGCCGTATAGCGACCGCGAAGGCAGCATCGCGCCTTGGCGAGGCGGCTCGTTGTAGCAATGTTACCAAACATTAGTCAATACCGGAGCATTCTGGCACCAGAACCCAGATTAGGTTCTGCCTCTCTTGCTAGGAATGCCCATCCAGCTCCCTCCCCTCGGCATAACCATCGCCGACGATACTCGTCCGGATCTTTGTGCCCGAAGACGTGCTTTCGCGCGAGACGTCGGGCGGAAGCTGGACACTAAAAGGATGTGATATGTGAGCGTGACCATAAGGATTCGTTGGCAGGCATGGGAAAACTTTGTGGGTAAGGTTGAAGAGATCTGTTTGGTGAGAAAAAGTGTCACGGAGCGTCGACGAATCCCTGCCGCGTCCAAAAAAGGAAATACCATATTGCATTTTCCACCACTCAGTCCCCAGTCTATACCAGAGTCGGGATCCACCTCTTCACCCCGCAATTTCCCTGGAGTAGAATGCACATGGCACTGCGGCTTTTGAGGTCGTCGGCGTCGTTGGCGTCGTCAGTGGCTGGCTCATCATTGTGCCTTGGCCCTTGGGCTTGCATTACATTATTTCCGGTGGCTCAGATCCATGGCCGCTTCTGACCTAGGACCCGGTAGTTGTGCCTATACCAGCCGGCCGGCTTTTGGGAAGGTGCCATTTTCCCCAGATTCATGTTGCAGATGGCTGCATTGCTTCGTGCAAGCACAAACTCAAAGCACATCTGCAAAAGAGTATCTTGGCCCGACCAGCATCTAAAGCTTAATCTCACACCGCTTACATAGTATGGAAAAAATGGTAGAGAATCATGAGTGATGCTCTGACGAACAATATTAAAGGTATATCACGCTCTCGCATAACTCGGGATGAAATCGGTCCGGTACGTCATCTGCACGGGAGCAGCACCCAATATCATCACATGCACTTATCTCGAGTGTTTGGGGGTCCATATATGGGATTCGTGTCCCCCCAAAGTCACGCCCACTTTTCAACGACATAGTCATTTCCCCAAATCCCCTTCCTCCCCTCCATCGTCGTCCCCTTTTGGGCCGAGTAATCGTTGGTGGTCAGCAGGATATCCGCTCCTCCGCAGCTTCATTCAGCCCTCTACTTTCTACTAGATGGGTTTGATTTTGCGCCAAGCCAGATGCAAAAACTTCCGCAGGGCATCCTTGAGCGAATACGTGGGTATAAGCTGCGCCACGTTTGCTATAATCGTGGGAATACCTCGACCCTTCCCTCTCGTCCAAGAAACTATATGACAGGGGGTCATATAAAAGATAGTTGTTGCCGATCGGCGGACTTGATGACTCAAGCAAGTAAAGAAGTAGCTGTGACATTCGAGAGAAAAGAGGTAAAAAATGAACACGGCGCTGCCCATCAAGGCGAGCGAGGCGCGCGGCAATATCATAGTTGGAACGTTAGGAACTCATTGACTTGGCAACAGGCGATGAGATCATCTCAAGCGCCGTGGTGTCCAGTAACACCGTGCACGTCAACACTGTTTCGTTCAAATGCTTATTAACAGGCTTCACAGCGCATTTTCTGGTTCGGCCGCTCTGCGCACTTGTGAGCGATGCAAGTCGTTGTTGAACACTAGAGGTGCCACACCTCGGCTCAGAAGACGGACAGGTGTGTCTGGATTGCTCAGAGTGAGAATCATTTGCAGGGCACCATAAGCAGATGCTGATTCGGTGCAATTTACATCGATCTGGGTCCGCTCCAGCCGGGCGATTGATTCCAACCCTGACCCTGCCCAGCACTTACAACTATAAGACCTTGGAGTCATGGCCATGCGACCTGTGCTTTGAATACTCATTCGAGCTTCGCAAGCTGACTTTTCCCAGATGTTTTGGCAAAAGGATCGGTGCCATTCCCATACACTAGGCGATATCTTCAAAAGAAGGGGAAGGCGGGGGAGATTCGCCCTTCACTTTGAGGTGATTATCCTACTTGTAAATGAAGGAGAGTGAGTGCGTCTTTCCAGTCTTCCGAGTTCTGGATAGGGTTCGATATCTACCAGTCAGATCAAGCTTAGGCAATAATGATTTTGGAATGACGACGAGATGGTTATCGACTTATGTGGACACAGTTCTGGCGTTACTGTATCCCATGAACGGCTAGATATAGAGGCAGCATAATGAGATTCCTCCAATATGATGTCTCGCATGCGTGAATAAACCGATGACAGATTTGGAGCGTCAAAGATGCATGTACTATATGTATTGAAAGGTACCTTTGAACCGAAATATTGCCTGGCCCTTTGATATGTCTATAGCATGCTACATGTAGCCAAGCGCTTTTGCATAGCTGGACCATGGCGCACCTCTTCTCCGTGTTTCAAATTTCCCCCTCTCCTCTATACGTCCTTGAGAGGGTCGCCCCAAAATGGTATACTAGTTATTGCCTACTCGTCTAATGTTTTTGAGTAGACATGATCATTGCCCTCTGCGGTAAGGGGCAAGAAAAAAAGATATGAAAGACTCGCTCGAAAACACCACGCCATTACCCAGAGTCATCCGACCGTAATGGATGTCGTAATATATACCAAGACGACCATATACAAAAAAGAAAAATAGAGATTCGCACGGAGCCGTGCCCGTGTAAGCGGTCCTATCCAAATAATCGAAAACTTGGCGAGGTCAAGGTCGAGGTGTACGCCGAAGAGCATCGGATGGGCCTTGAATCTGTGTTATATACCATTGCTGCCCACGACAAGCACAAGTAACATTCCATTGAGCAAGCAGATTGCTGTGAATGTCACCCATGTGGCAGCCTGGTACATTATGCTGAGCCTGTCTTCACGATATAGCATGGCTCCAAGACTCATGCAACCAGAAAACAAGCTGACGACGACGGCCAGAATGACACCAGCATCGACCTCAAGACGAAGTCTATGCCTTCCCGTGGCGACCAGGACCCCAGCAATAATGGTGAGAATGATGGCCATCAAGTACGAAAGAATGATGCTCCTATGCAAGACAGTTTCTCTGAAACGCGCGGCACGTTGGGCTTCGACACTGGGCAATGCTGCATAATGGGCCGAGTAGCCATATGTAGGATATTCGGCCGAAGAAGCGTCCTCGTTGTCGCTAGCTTCTGTATCCGTGGCGTGAGTTGACGGATGGGCGCTGAAGTAGTCTGTGACCTGGTTGCCATTCAGTAGTGGTCGATGCTCGGCCTCTCCCAACGAGGAGCGCGAGAAGAGACTGCGAAGTGACCTGACGGGGGCCTTGAACACGCTTTTCATGGTGTCCATACCGGGAAACATGCTGGAATCTTCGTTGGGGTCGAGTTCAATGTAATAGGAATCGTCACCAGCCTCGCTACCGTTGTCGTATTCGTTCCAACCCCTGACTACTGGCTCAGGCTGCTTAAGAACTGGGGTCGCAGGGGCTTGCGATGACTGGCGACTGCTTGTTCGAGACCCGCGCATCGGCTGGTTGATATTCGCAGTATTGCCAGTCTCGCCTTGGCTTGGGGTATTTATGCGAGGAGATGCGGCTTCGAGTGTTGCAAGCACCTCTCTTTGTTGTAACAGCAGCGGGCTGAAGTCGCGCCTGGTGAAACTTTTGTAACTGCCGAGAACATTGTCATGGAATCGACTCGTGAGTGTCGTAGAACCGGTCCATTTCTGCAATGATGACGCCGTGTTTAGTCAGTTTCCAAACTGGTCCCACAATCAAGAATCAATTGAACATTGTTGGATGCTGCCACGAACCTTGTACTTTTTCAGAATCTTTCGGAACGCTTCGTTTTGAGCGCGCACGAAGCGCTGGAGATCCCTAATGTCGTCGCCACACTCAACTACTTGCTGCTGGAACCTGACAAACTTTCTCTGCCTCTTATTGCTGAATCCCTGGCGGCCAATGCTGCAGCGCAGGATCAGGGCATTGATGAGGCCGGCAAGGTGGGTCAAGCGTCTCGAAATTTCGTCGGCTTTACTAGCAACAAAGAGGTCGACACGCTCATGCTGGAGCTGCAACTCGTGGTAAAAGTCGGTTTCGAAGCGCTCGAGGGCTTGATTGGTCTGGCCGGGTATGGTCATGGCACGGGCCTGGCCCTTTGTCGTGTGCAGCTTGATGAGGTGCTTGAGCGAGTTGTAGTCGACATTGTGGATGCTCCAGCGAGGCACCGAGGCGGCCTCGAAATATTCACCGTATTTCATTCTTTGGCGGTACGACGCATAACCCGAATTGGAATGCCGCCGGCGCGCGAAAGAAGAAGTGGTGGTAGATGGGCGGGAGAGAAAAGCGGTCGGATACTGGGCTACTTGTAGACTGAACAAAGAGTTGCGGGTCTGGGGCGTTGCTCAATACTATGGGGTTTTCCTTTGTTTTCTTTCGGTTGCTGGCAAGTCTGCGATTATCCCCGGGCCAGTCGGGAAGGGGTCCTGTTTTTAGCAAGGAAGTGGTGTTGACCCAACGAAAAGTCAAATAAAAGAAGATTCAAGATCAATTGATTCCCCTGGGGGAGGAGCCTGAGGAGCTGAGCCCTCTTGTTGCGCTGGCAGTTCGGGTAGTATTTGACTTGGAAGCAGGCGTTTCCTTGCACGTGGGGAAAGTGAGGCCTTGCGGCGATGACGTCCCCGTATGGGTCCCACGAGCTAATGCAATTGGGACTTGGTTGGTGGTCACAGCAATTGGAAGCAACTCAACTGGTTTTGCTTCTAGATAGCACCTAGCAGTACACTAAGGGAAAAGGGACCAGACTGGTTGGCTGATTGATGAGACTCCAGATGATGATAAGAAGAAGCCCCAGCGGCTTGACTATTAGTTGGCTTGGTAGTAAGGCGGATAACGCACACGACACACGACACACTTGATTTGGGACTTTTCTGGCCAATGGATTGAGTTAGGATTCGAATACACATGGAAGCATCTGCAGTCAGAGAATCGGAAGAAAAGAAGATTACATACCTACGACCAGAGTGCAAGAGTCCAGACAAGCCGGCTTGCTTTGGCTGATTGTATGTGTGCAGTGCTAGCTAACAAGTGCCGACACCAAAGGAGTTTTAGACTTCACCTCGTGTCGAGATGACGAGTATGAACTCTATTCCACTTGTCCCAGTGCACACACCAAGCTGCGCAACAGAGAGAGCAATAAGATACACCTCCTCATGGATTATAAACGTTAGATTGGTACAAGCCCCATATTTCTTTGCTTTGATCTGCCTGGTATCTTCCCATATCTGTTCTATGGTGCTATACGGCTCATAGAAATTTCTAGCACCTGTTGTGGGTACCAGACGAAGAACCTCAGTAACAGCCAGTACTGGCCAGCACAAATATTATGACAGAGTACGCAGCAGATCGCTGGATTCAATTACGGGGCTTGTAACGATCTAACGTTTATAATCCATGAGGAGGTGTAGATACTGTGTTGGAAGATCTTGGATGATTGACAAGACAGTTGAAACCCGACAGCCGCCAACCCTGTCCCAGATATGATAGTCTGGTTGGCAGGTAGCACAGCCCTGGGGGGGGGGGTGTTGGGATTATTACCTACGCAGGTTTCAAAAGTGACGACAACCTGTGAGCTAGGCAATCCGAGCAGGAGAAACGGTTCTTTGCCTTATCTGTGTAGGTAGGTTAGTAGATTATACCCAAGGTCAATTGAATAATTTGTCGGAGATATTACCGGATGTAATGGCAGTCGGAGTCGAGGAAAGGAGGGCGGAAAAAACAAAAATCAAGAAAATATGCTCTTGGGGCCCAAACAACCAGTCAAAATCAAGGGCATGTGCTTTCTTCCGCTTTTTCTTCCAAAATTGAAGAGTCTGCCAAGTGGTCCTGGTGCTTGGGAAGAAAGACGGACTGAAAGCTTAATTTTTTTTTTCTTTCTCTTCGTCCCTCCCTTTTGCTGTCCTGCAGTCGAGGGGGGACGACACCTCTTGTCTTTTTAAACTACCTACCTACTAGGTAGGTATGCAGTAGCCTCGACTTTCTCAATTGACCACTGCAAAGACGCAATCTCTTTGCTCAAGGATATGCCCGTATATCCGGTTCGCTTCTCAAAATCCCTCCATTTCTCTCAATTCCTTGCTTCACCTTGCAGCAAATATGAAAATCTCAGTCTCTCAGACCGTTCGCAGAGCAGAGACTTGCAGGACGGTCCACGCACATGGTATTCTCGCATCCACCTCCTCGACATCCGGATTGGCCCAACTGCTTCCCCCCCTGGTCGCAGGGCTGGTTGGTTGGTACTCTGTACGGTTGCTATTGGAGCCACCGACTTTGAAGCCTCCGTAGATGGCGGGTCTGGAACTTGACCTGGGTTCCCACGGGAGCCACAGGAACCAGTGGAAGTCCAGAGCCTGGAGCCGTTCGTAGCTACAGCGCCTTCAGCCCTTCCCGTCCCACGTCCAGTACAAACCCGCACTGCCCGCTAGTGCAGCTGTGACCCATCATTCCATACTGTCCAATGTGTACAAGCTTCAGGGCTTTTTTTTTCGCAGCGCTTTGAAGCCCTCGAGTCGTTCGTGCGGTTCGAGGGCCCTTGAATTCGTCGCCCTTCAGTCTGAAATGACTACATTTCAAGGATTCCCTTGCGAATTATCGCTGAAGTCCAGTACATAGTAAAATCGGCACTTTTTCTTTTCTATCTAGGTAGGTACACAAGTACTATAGTACTACTCTGTACATACACCTTGAACGCGGGACATGCCAGTGTGACTGAGGTCCTATCGAATGCGCGAACCAAATATACCAATCACTATTCATCTTGCAGTCAAGAGAAATCCCGGATGATCGGGCGGGTGTTTGCTGCCGGTATCTACACTGAGGTAGTATCGACTGCCTAATCTGTTACACAATCTGCACATTGCACATATTGACAGTAGTTTATCTTGCACCTGTTTGGTTTCGGGGTTATCGGTGTGGCAGGGAATGGCATCGACTCCGAAAAACTGAAAATGTGCCCACTGCCCATCAACGAAACCCCCCGCCTCCTCGTGACCCCCATGATCCATGATCCATGGTTTCCATTTCCTGCCTGCATGATTGACTCCCAGAAGAAAAAGGTAGGGGGAAAAATACTGGGACTTGAGTACGATCTCAGTCTCTCATCCCAGGCAGTCCCAGGTTACACGATGCATACCAGTCTCGTGCTCGGTTGCCACATTGAGCAGGGCCAATTGTACGAGTTACATAGTAGCAGTATCCGTACACGTACATATGCAGACCAATCCTTCATATCTCTATGGTAAAATTGGGGCAGCAAGGACATTTATTGGGCCGTCATCGTAATTTCATTGGAAGCGGCTGTGCTAACCCGGTCCCGCGAACTCCGCCCAGAATAATACCACATAACATCCTTCCGACCTCAGTATAACGAGCGCGGCTCTCCGGCGGGGATGCCTGTCTCATCCGGTAACGTCGACAATGGACCCCTCCAACTCGTCGCTGTCGTCGTCGTCGCCCTGGGTCAAACGCGGCTAATTGGGTCAAAAAAGAAGAAGACGACATCTCCTGCAAGATTAGCGACTTTTCCTACCCGATTTGTGAAAAAGATAGGTACGGCATATTCCCAGGCAACCATACCGCCTGATCAATTGCTGCTCTCTCTACCTGAGCACACTACGGAATACTTAAAAGTTCTTTTCCGAATCTCTGAACCATATCGTCGGAACTCATATGGAATCGGAAGCGCTACGACTTTTCATTACGCTATGGTAACCTGCGACTCCACCATCGTCTGGCCTCTAGACCACAGCCCTGGGCAAGCCATGTGCTGAGATGGTAGGCTGTGGATATAATTCGTTTCCTCTTTCACTCACCTCGTCTCGCTGCCCTCCATCCCCTCGAGTCGCCATTGTGTACTACATATTCCATGTTGTCCTCGTGGATTGACATAGTCTCCCAAGGGTCTATCAGAAGTCGGCCCGACATTTTCGACAAAACGCAGTTACTGATCCACATTCAACTGATATAGTACGCATCAAGATGATCAATAAGATATCAACTGAGCGGCCACAATATAACTATGATCGACGAAGAGTCGCCTCGTCCCCAATAACTCGACCCTTGTTCCTCAGGGGTGCATTTGGCCAGTGGTACAATGGAGACTGGCTAGCAAGTTGGTTAGTTGCATCTCTGTCGCTTCCATACACTCAAGAACCACTCTTGCATCGCAATGGGTAGAGTCATCAGGGGGAGGGAAAAGAGCAAGACAAATGAACATCACTAGTAATATTGTATCCACGTGTGGACATGCACTATGCACCATGCAGAAAGCATACCTGAAGCAGGATTTTTGAGCCGCGCCTATGTCAACGGGTTTTTCCGCTTCACCCATGTACTATTCGGTATTCGAATACGTATTTTTTTTTTTTCGCGATCCAGGCGCATCAATACGCCGACTGGGTCTATTTTCAAGTAACACAGATGGGGACATTAAACGCTTGCGTCTCACTTTGGTTTGACTCTGCTCTCCGAGGAGGCCCGAAGTCCGTTCTGGCTTTTAGCATTTTACAAGTCCGGCGTATTTCCACATGGGAGGGGGGCTATACCGGGGGATCAAATGAGTCTTGATAGAAACAAGTGGAGGTCAAGAGTAAGGCAAGCCGATCGAAACCTCACGATCAACTGTAGACGGAAATTCCGACGGCCGCGGGACAGTGTCTATAGCTTTCGGATAAGATTTGATACTCTGTCGAATATCTATGGCCTTATGAATCACGGATACTGATCCGAAGGCTTGCAAGATATTGACACATTGTTTGGTTTTCAGCTCCTGCACTCCGATCTCGCTAGAGATATTGATATCTGTTTGATAAAATGAAGAGATGGTTCGTTCAACAATCTCACGAGGGCTGTTCGATGATCCACTACGGATACTTTTCATGACAGTCATCAACTTTCAGTGTATTCCGCTATATATGATACTTCTGACGAGCCGCAAAGACAGCTATATGTGTTCCACATAGGTCTGACATTAATTTATAAGTTGTTCACACAAATCATTTCCTCTTTCTCCAAGTAGCCGCATCTCGGGGGGGCCAAAGACCAGCTTGAGTATATGTATGAGAAACCTCAAAATTACGCCACGACTCGGGGATAAGGCATCTCGACAAAGTTGTAGGCTTACATGAGCGCTGTCAAGCTTCAAGCCTGATCTATTCTCCATCAATGCAGGATTGAGTTGATGATTCAGGCAGGAAAACTTCCATAAACCTTACTCTTGACACGTCTTCCAAGTCGCACAACCCAAGAAGGACAGAAAGGCAAAAAAGGGTGATATCTGCAAGGTTCAATCGTGCATAATTGTTTCTCCGCGGCACGAATGATTCTCCTAACAATTAATACACGATATGTCGGGAGGGGAAAAAAGAGGAAAGAGAAAAGCATTCATTATTTCACATTAGCAGACTCTGGATTATACTGTCGCATAGTATTTCGTAGATCGCCGCTACACATTACTAAAATGGGGGCGATATAGTATCACGTCATCCTTAGTGTGGTACGATCTCCACAAAAAAGACGAAACTCTTCAAGCCAAAGGAGGCAGCAGCTATTCAACTCAACAGCAAAGAGAATAGAGGTCATATACTTCCATTTCACGTGCCTCAATACGGTCGCTTGTGTTGGCTATTAGTTGTGCTCCCTAGGTCTATTGTTATTCAATCCCGGATCGCTCTTTATACTCGTCCGAGCCGTCGCAATGCGAAGTGCAGCTTTTGCCAAGGCTGGCCGCCTGGCCACCGCCACAGCCATCAGAGGATATGCCACATCTGTTCCCGCGAGGGCGCATCACCAGGTCCTCATCGTCGGCGCTGGTACCGCCGGTGTGACTGTCGCCGCCCAGCTCCGCCGCGCCAGGGGCTCCGAGAAGACGGACATTGCCATCCTGGACCCTGCCGCAGCTCACCACTACCAGGTAAGCGTGCATTTGCCTCATAAGGCGTCGTGAGATCTCATTACTAATCCGACCCGCCCTTCTCAGCCTGGTTGGACTCTGGTCGGATCTGGCCTCAAGCCCCTTCAGGGCATGTCAAAGCCCATGGATGCTGTCATCCCATCGGGCACCAAGCACTATCCTCTGGGTGTCGCCAGCTTTGACCCGGAAAACAATGCCATCAAGACTACCGAGGGCGTCGACCTCACCTATGATTACCTCGTGGTGGCACCAGGTCTTGAGACCAACTTTGCGGGCATCTCGGGTCTCCAGGAGGCCCTCCAGGATCCCGCCAGCCTTGTTTCGTCCATCTACTCGAACAAGACAGTCGAGCAGGTGTGGCGCAACATCAAGGACTTCAAGGAGGGCGAGGCTGTCTTTACCCAGCCCGCAGGCGTGATCAAGTGCGCCGGTGCCCCCCAGAAGATCATGTGGATGGCGCTGAGCCAGTGGCAGAAGGACGGCGTCCGCTCTCGCATCAGCCCAACCTTTGCCACGGGCGCCGCCTCCATGTTCGCCGTGCCCAAGTACTCGGCTGCGCTGGAGCAGCTGCGCGTCGACCGTGGCGTCGAGGGCCTCTTCCAGCACAACCTCGTGAGCGTGGACGCCAAGAACAAGGTGGCCACGTTCAAGAACCTCGCGGCCGACGGCGCCGAGGTCCGTCGCGACTACAAGTTCCTGCACGTGGTGCCGCCGCAGAAGCCGTGGGACTTTGTGGCCAAGTCCCCGCTGGCCGACGCCGCCGGCTGGGTCGACGTGGACAAGGCCACGACGCGCCACGCCAAGTTTGCCAATGTCTTTTCGCTCGGCGACGCCTCCAGCCTGCCCAACAGCAAGACGGCCGCGGCCATCTCGTCGCAGGCCCCCGTGCTGGTGGAGAACCTGACCGCCGCCCTGGCGGGTAAGGAGGGCCGCGCCGCCTACGATGGCTACGCCAGCTGCCCCTTGCTCACCGGCCACAATGAGCTCATGCTGTGCGAGTTCAAGTACGGTGGTGTCCCCAAGGAGACCTTTGCCGGCATCTTTGGCGGTCAGGAGAAGCCCCGGAGGGCCTTTTACCACCTCAAGAAGGACTTCTTCCCCTTCGTCTACTGGAACAGCTTTGTCAAGGGTACCTGGTATGGTCCCAAGGCTTGGTCCAAGCCAGACACTGCTTCGTCTTAAACAGGTGGTTGTCTTAGAAGCCGTGTAAAACAAAAGTCAAAATTCGGAGGTCAGACGTGTCCATGATAGAACTGTCGTTCGGTGCATTGGGAACAGCATTAGACTCATACTTATATTTCTTTTTGTGATAGCAATAGATTGCGTTTACCATTCCACATGATTAGTCGAAGACAAAAGTTGAAAGAGGTCATGGAATTTCACATGAATGCATGCATAAGTGATCGAATCTATTGACTCAATTCCAGAAGTGGGAGCTACACAAGAGAGCGAGTGTTCATGACTCGTATGCGACCTGCTTTATTGAGTGTGGTAGTGAAATCGAGTGTGAGAAATATAAGCTTGCCGGGCTCCAAATGGTGGAAAGAGGCCGCCTTGTAATTTGCCAATACTTTTTGTACCATTGACTGGAATGCTGATTTCGTTGATAGAGCTCACTCTTGGACTTGAATCATGACGGCACTGAGTAGGAGGGTACAGTATATGCACAGTGTGTTCACTTGGTATAAACACCAAAGATATGAGGAGTGCAGGCATAGGGAGATTGTTCCACAGGACGGAAGCAGTCGGCCTTGGTCCAGGGGCCCGCGTCGGATATGTATTCACCAGTCGGGCGATCCATCTCGCAACCACCGAGGCACATGGGCCAGATGAGATTGAGGAATGCTGACAAAATAGATTAGCCAATTTCGTGCAGAAGTTTCACGACTTCAGGCTTGAATATTAATGTACTTGCCTTGGTAGAGACGTAGAGCCGCCGGGGTATCGGCGCGAACGTGCTCAAAAACATACCACCGACCGCCCTTTTTCAGGTAGCCGTAGAGCTCCTTGATGTTGCGCTGGGGCTCGGGGATGCTGCAGAGGCAGCGAATAGAGACTATGCAGTCGACACTCTCCTTCTCAATCTTGTTGCCCCATTTTGTCGGATCGCCCAGGTCTTCAATGCCGACAGGGACAATCTCGTACTGGTCCTCGAGTCCGGCTTCCGCTATTTTCTTGCGGACTATACGAAAACGTCAACAATTGGGGAGCCTCGGTGCAGAATCACCAGCCTGGGGCTGACTGAGCTACGTGGTACTTACGGTTAACATGTTGATCGCGGTTGGGTTCAATGCCATAGGCGCGAGTCACCCTTGTGCGCTTGCTCTTTGCGTTGGACTCGAGATGCTTGTCGGAAAAGATGTCGACCCAGAATCCGCTTCCGGCTCCCAACTCGATACACACGCCACCGATACCAGGGCCGACTCTGCCGTGGAAATTAAAGCGAGTCAGTTTGGATACAAATCTCAGTGTCGAAGAAATGATGACGGAGTGATAATGGTGGCTCACGGCTCATCCAAGACCTTTCCCCCTTCTACCCTGCCATCGAGCAATGGCAAGACAAGGTCCACAGCGCCGGCCTTCAATTCGCCCCCAATCTTGCCCCAGAAATCATTGAACCAGGCCTCTTGAAACCGGGAAGGCGATAGCAAAGTGTCGACCTTGTGTTCCCTATACAGTCTGGCCACTGTTGGAGGTATGGAACAGAAGGACAGCCACAGGAGCTTCCACGGAAAGGAGAGCTCTTCCCAGAGCTCAAAGATCTGGGATCTCAGGGACATGATGAGAAATAAACTGATATTTGCTTGAATAATATCTGCCGAGTTTCTTAGCACTGACCGGCTTGAACTTTTCAAAAGGGGAAGTCAAGTGCAAACCAACCGTGGTGGAATAGCGGTCCTGCTATCAAGGTTGTAGATAAATGGACTGTCGAGGTATTTTATCAATGAAAAGATATAGAATGAGGTGGAATTGATGTGGGAGTGTTGGGAAAGGTATCGACAGGGATGCTAAATATAATTTGCAGCAGAGGATGAACAAAAGGAAAGAAATTGTCCAGGCTTATTTACATACGGCTTTACCCCGCTCCAAGGAATGGTGACAAAGCCCGGAACAATTTGATACGGATCCACGGATCGGATCAGTGCCTATATATGGGCTCGCCAGGCTCGAGACCAATGTGCGGCAGGTGTGGGCTGACTCTTTAGGTATGTAGAAGGCTCCTAATAATGTGCCGGTGGACTGAAGACTGGCACGGAATACTGAGAATTTATGTGGGCTTTTCCGGGATATCATCTCATGGTCTCGTGCATTTGTCTTGACTCTGTATTCCCGATCAGAGAAGCACGTTGATGACATGCGAGAGTGTTAGTCAAAGTCATGTGGGAGTGGCCAAGATGACCAGGGTTGCTCTTTATACGACGTTGGTTGGTGTCCATTTTGCTACGGTCGCTTACGCAACCCTTTGACAGATGGCTTGCTCTAAGCACGCTTTTTCCAACTCAAGCCCATGAGACGTGGTTCGTCAGAGTGCACTTAGGTGAAGTATAAACCTTAGTATCGGGGATGGTCGATGAAATTCCTTCCCCAGTGCAGATACCAGCTGACTTCCAGACTAGCACTATTCGCCAGCTAGGTATTAGTACTAGGAATGGCGGGCATCTTTCTTGTATAACTTTCTTGATTATAATGGGAATCTGGTATCTCAAAATGTCTATAACTCATCTTTCTTTCCCTCGGCCGAGTCTGGTATAGGGAGGTCTGGTCTGCCACTGTCTTTGTGCAAATCGACTCCAACCTTGCCCCGCCATTTTTGCCAAAGTGCCCAGAAATCCTTTTCCATGCCGCTCTCCAACTGATCAGGGAGGACAACCACATATTCTACAAACAGCTTCCCGAACTCTGTCGTGTGGTAGACCGAGTCGCCATCTTCATGCCAGATGGGCATGCCCTCGTTGGCAATGGTGTCCACATGTCCTGGTTGCAACACTTGGCCGCGCTCGCGACCGAGACGAACGACATGCCCATCCAAATGTGTCAGGTTCCGGCTCCAGTCGCCCATCCAAGCCTCCCGTAGCGACAGAATTTCTCTCCAGAATAGGTCGTTGCCCTTGCGTCGGAAGAAAGTGCCGTCAACATGATCTGGGTTATCCGCCTCGAGTTCAGGTTCCTTCTCGGCCAAGGTCACAACCAAGTCACCGGCGACATAGTCGGGACTGGCATCTGCCTCATTTTCGTAGACCACTCGCGAATCTCGGGCGGCGCCACGGTCGACCTTCAGAGATACCGTTGTAGGCTTGCGTACAACCCTAGCGCCACCACAAGCAGGACACTTGTGCTTGATTGTCTTGCCACGGCCACCGCAGGCATCACACTGTGTTTGTACCTGTTGAAACATTCCAGGAGCCAATTGGTGCTTGACAATGCGAATACCGTGTCCACCACAGTGACCACAGGTATCAACAACACCATCGGCCGAACCGCTGCCGCCGCACTCCTCGCAAATGTGCTGCTTGTCCCATTGGAATTCGGTCTCACGACCGTTGTAGAAATCGCGCAGAGAGATGCCGACCTTGACCTCGACATTGTGTCCGCGTGGCTGTCCCCGCTGGTAGTGGCCACCTCCGCCAAAGAATCTACTAAACAAGTCAAACGGATCGTGGTGGCCGCCGCCTCCCTGTCGCCGTTGCTTCAAGCCATCGTGTCCGTACTTGTCGTATATCGAACGGGACTCGGGATCGCTCAGGGCTTCGTATGCCTCGGAGACCTCGACGAACTTGGCCTGCGCAGTTTCGTCATTGCTGTACCATTGTTAGTTGGGGACAAGGGAGAGTGGCGCAGCGTGAATAGGCTTGACGTACGGGTTCTTGTCTGGGTGGAACTTTTTGCTGAGTTGGCGATAAGCCGACTTGAGTTGCTTATCTGTTGCATCTTTCTTTAGACCGAGGACCTTGAGGGAGACATTAGCATTCGGATCTACAAGCGCCATGTAAGAGGGGCGATGGTGAGGGTGTAGTACCTTGTAGTAGTCCTCGGCGCAAAGTACAATCTGGAAGAGCGAGAGCAGCAGCAGCAGCCAAGCTGCGCCGTGGTGAAGCATTGTGAGGACGGACAGGTGTGACCAGAAGGACAATGCAAGTTGATAGTAGCACGAGGATGAATGCGTGGGGATATATTTGGTCCAAAAGGAGTGACGGCAAGAAGAAAGTGTTGGGTATGGGATCCCGCGGCCTGTGAGTTTATGCCAGCGTGGAATGTATTGCCTGCTGAGCACTCAGTCGCAAGCCAAGGAGCGACGACAATTAAGGTAGACGGACCCCGGAAAGTTGACACGCTGGAACGTGTTCACTAAAAGCCAGCGTGCAGGGGGAACTTTTGCTGGCGGCTGCTGATAAGATAAGGGGGGAGCTTTAAAAGACCCAGCTGGGAAAGAAGCCACTAAATGATTGGTCCAGAAGGGTAAAGGACTCGCTGGCAGTATCATCATACCTTTCGGATGAGCGCTGCCCGAAGAAGAGCCCTATGGCTGGCATTTTGAGGGTTCAGATATGTACCTGTCAAGCCACGTACTTGCTGAAAGCATACTATCGTGTGTGAACAGATATAGCAATTGCAACCATAATGTACAAATTGGATCCTGGGGCATTCGTTTTATTGGGTCTGGCTTGCAAGTGAACTGCATCGAAACCCGACATGTAACTGCTTTTGCCAAGCTGAACATGAAGGGAGCGCAGTGTTTTCGAAAAGTGACTACTTTAGGTATAAGCTCGGTGGTGAATTAAACATGACTTCCTTTCATGTTATAAGAGACGTGTTTAGCTTTGTGCGGCCGAATATCTGACGTCTAAATAGCAAATAAAAGAAAAGGGCCATATATTCTCAACCTCCATTTTAACACCTATGTATGGACATATCGTGCTTCACGCAATACCTAACATACCCATTTGATAGAATACAATATCTATGATGTACCTACCAAGTAAGCAGCTGCCATCGGAAGCTATGAGTGTGCAGTACGTACCTGTGCCTGTAGCTAGGCACTTAGCGCATTGTGAATGCTTAAGACGAGCCCCACCTTTACTGGATAGGCTCCAATTCTTCCAAATGGAAGCCTGTGAACACTTGAACGATTAGAGAGACGAGCATTCGTCCCCTCAACTGCATTTCTGCCCCTCTTTGCCGCTGCAAAGGGTCCATTAGGCAACATGAGTAGCAAGAAATACGCCCTCGTCCCAATGGACGATGATGAGGTCGGTCCACAGAAGGTCGAGAAAAGTAAACACAAGAGCAAACACCGACACCGCGAGGATCGCGATCGAAACCGGGACAGAGACAGAGAGAGGGATCGGGAGTCTTCCAGGCGGAAACAGGAACGGAGCCGCTCGCCGCGTGACTCGCGCAGCCACAAATCGAGGTCCTACCGTCGTCACGACCGCGACGACGCTGATGACCGGTGGGGTGACCAGGAGCCATCGTCCGATGAAGAAGAACCTCCCGCTGACGACCAGCCCGAGTACCAGGAATCGGCATCCAAGCGAGTGAAGCTCAGTCACGATCAAAAGGATCAGGATCAGGAAGATGACGATGCCGACCTGTCGGACACGACTCGCGACCGGAAGGAGGCTGAGGCGTTTGCAAAGCGCCTTCGGGAGCGCGACGACGGGCGCACCAAGAAAATCGTCGAAGACCGCTCCAAGGGCGGCAAGGTTCAGGATGAACGACGTCGGCTCGCCGAAGATGAAGCCGCGAGGCGCGCCGCCATGCCGGATCTGCGCGAGAGATCAAGACAGGACTACTTGAAGAAGCGAGAAGCCGAGCGCCTGGCACTGTTGCGTAAACAAGTCGCTGAAGAGACCGCCGAGCTGCGCAGCGGCATGCGCCTGAGTGACAGAGAAAAGGCCGAATTTGCCAAAAACCGAGAAATCCTGCGACTTGCCGAAGAACGCCTGCGCATCGACGACCACCGGGATGGCTACTACATGCCAGAAGATTACATTACGGAAAAGGGAAAGATAGACAAGAAGAAGAAAGAGGACGCCCTATACAAGCGATATGTCGAAAAGGACGAGTATGGCCAGGAGAAGTTTGTCACAGAGCATGAAGAATGGGAAAGGGAACAAGCTCAAAAAGCCAAGGCGCAAATCAACAGAGCGGAGCGCGAGTATGAAGGCGATTACGAACTAGTTCTGGACGAAGAACAATACATCAGCTGGAACCTCGACTCGACCATGGCCGGTGAAGGTAAACAGCTAACGAAGGAGCAACAATTTCTGGCCGCGCAAATAGATGCTGCCGAAAAGAAGGCACTTTCTATTCAAGAAACCAGAAAAAGTCTCCCCATCTACGCCTACAGAGACGAGTTTATTGCGGCCATCAACGAACACCAGATTCTTGTCATTGTAGGAGAGACGGGCAGTGGTAAAACAACACAGCTGCCACAGTACCTCCACGAAGCAGGTTTCACCAAGAATGGCCAGAAGGTTGGCTGCACCCAACCCCGACGAGTGGCCGCCATGAGTGTTGCTGCTCGTGTAGCCGACGAAATGGGCGTCAAAGTCGGAAACGAGGTTGGATATTCCATCCGTTTCGAAGACAACACTAGCGACAAGACGATCCTAAAGTACATGACGGATGGTATGTTACTTCGAGAATTCATGACGGAGCCCGACCTTGCTGGCTACTCGGCATTGATGATTGACGAGGCCCACGAACGTACCGTGCACACGGATATTCTGCTGGCGCTGGTCAAGGATCTTTCGCGAGAACGCCCAGACCTCAAGCTGCTGATCTCTTCGGCGACCATGAACGCGGAGAAATTCGCCAAGTATTTCGATGACGCACCAATTTTCAATATTCCCGGTCGAAGATACCCAGTTGATATCTACTACACGCCTGCCCCTGAGGCAAATTATCTAGCTGCAGCCATCACCACGGTATTCCAGATTCACACATCTCAAGGAAAAGGAGATATACTTGTTTTCCTGACAGGACAGGACGAGATTGATGCGGCTGAGCAAGAAATCACAGAAACGGCGAAGAAACTGGGAAATCGAGTAAAAGAGCTAATTGTTTGCCCGATCTACGCCAATTTGCCCTCGGAGCTGCAATCCAAGATCTTTGAGCCTACCCCGGAAAACGCCAGGAAAGTTGTTCTTGCAACCAATATTGCAGAGACCAGTTTGACCATTGACGGCATTGTTTATGTCATAGATCCAGGATATGTCAAGGAAAATGTTTTCAACCCCGCGACTGGCATGTCCAACTTGGTCGTGGTGCCTTGCTCGCGTGCTTCAGCCAACCAGCGAAGTGGCAGAGCTGGACGTGTTGGTCCTGGCAAATGCTTTCGTCTGTACACAAAATACGCATACATGAGCGAAATGGACGAATCAACCACGCCAGAGATCCAACGGACAAACCTCAATAGTATCGTGCTCCTTCTCAAGTCACTTGGTATCAACAATTTGCTCGACTTTGAGTTCATGGACCCTCCACCGACAGAATCCCTCATTGGCGCCTTGAACCAATTGTTTGCACTCCAGGCTCTAAATCACAAGGGAGAACTTACGAAGGTGGGCAGGCAAATGGCTGAATTTCCTACGGAGCCTATGCTGGCGAAAGCTGTGCTCGCAGCCGACAAATTTGGTTGTGTAGAAGAAGTGCTTTCTGTTGTGGCCATGCTCAGTGAGGCCTCGGCGTTATTCTTCCGACCCAAGGACAAGAAAATCCACGCAGACAGTGCTCGCAACAGGTTTACGGTAAAGGAGGGCGGTGATCATCTTACCCTACTCAACATTTGGAACCAGTGGGTTGACAGCGACTTCTCGCCAGTGTGGTCGAAGGAGAATTTCCTCCAGCAAAGATCTCTCACGCGAGCTCGGGATGTCAGGGACCAGCTGGCAAAGCTCTGTGATCGAGTCGAAGTCTCTCCATCGACATGCGGTGCCAGCAATATCGACCCAATCAAGAAGGCATTGACCGCTGGATTCTTTCCCAATGCAGCGCGTTTGCAACGCAGCGGAGATGCCTACCGGACGGTCAAGAATAGTGCCACAGTCTACATACATCCCAGCTCTGTTCTGATGAATGCAGACCCTCCGGAGCGCATGGTCATTTACTTTGAACTGGTACAGACAACAAAGGAGTACATGCGCTCCTGCCTGCCTATCAAGCCTCAGTGGCTGACTGAAGTGGCGCCCCATTTCCATAAAAAGTCAGATGTTGACGAGATGGATGAGAAGAAGATGCCAAAGCATCGTAATTAGACTGTCTATATGAGAGAAATATGCATCATCCGCCATTTCCAAAAATATTATTTCCCCCAAGAACAAATGCTGCGAAGGTGTTATTTGTTCACGTTCACCTTGTTGACGTTGTTTGGTTGCTTTCTACTTTCGACGGTTGTACACAACTTGATTTGTGAAATCTGGCACTGATACAAAAAGCTGAATGTGTACTTTTGATCTTCTTCCAGAGTGCGCCGAGAACACAGTCTCTATCTTGGTGCTCTCCACCGCCTTGACCGCTGAATCGACACAAGGGGGGATCTATAAGCGACCCGTGCCGAACCGCGCCTATTCCTGTTCCTATTCCGTTGTGTCAAAGTTGTCATACGATTACACAAAAGGAACTTCTCAGCTGCCAACCTGGCACACTTGATCTATTGGTGGAGCGGTTGGGTTCTCACCACAAGCAACATGTATTGATGATCGGCACCGCTTGCTTGCATGGTAGTAGCCCGCCCGTATTTAGCCTGATCCGATCGATGGCTATCAACGAGACCACGAGCCACTTTGTGGCTATTACCTCTGGTACCTTGCCTACTTGCCGGTCTTCTGTACTTGGCTATTAGCTCTTTTGGGGGATTATGTTTCATACAGAAGTCGTTTTTGCGGAGAAGCGCAGATCCAGATCTACGTTTCAAAGCGCAGTTTGGGCCCAATTGTCTTACATCAGAGGTTGGTGTCTGTACCCCTGACCTCGTGTAATTCGAGAAAAGACTCACTGCGCCTTCCGTGACCCGATCCTGGGAACGGTTGACGTCGATTGCACAAAAAGGTGCAGTGGGACGTATCTTATACATATACGACATGTACGACGCGCACTTTCAGCCCTCGAAAAAAAAAAACCCCCCAGATGCAACAACAAACTGAAGCCTGTTAAACTCTATCATCGTTGCATATCTCTCGCTTCCTGACGCCGACCCCTTTACATTGGCATTCCAACGGTTCTCGTACGGGTAGCTGCTGCTGCTCTCTGAGACATACCGGAACCTTACTGAGAGAGCCCCGCCAGCCTCCTTCGTCACGCCCGTTAATACTTGTTATCAAGGTCCCTTGATTATATTTACAAACGAGAAACTTGCTCCCTTTGATCGAGCAAACAGAAATTGGCCAGCCGTTTCTTTCCGGTCTTTGATTAACTCGTTGAAATCACCAATCGTGTCCACCAACAAAGTGCAAACACGTAATTTCAACCGTCGCTGTCGCCTTATTGTCCCCTCCTGCCCGAAGTCTGGTGCAGGCAGTACTATTCTTTGCCGGTCTGCCCTTTGAAGAATATTTCCCCCCGATACTTTTAAGTCACGAATAATCAGCCATGAAGACGTCTTTATCAGCTTTGTTGTTGTCCAGTCAGCTGGTCTCTGGAGCGCCCAGCCTACGCTACGGTCGTCGCCAAGACTCTTCCGGCTGCTGTTTCAAGCTGGACTCTGCCGGGACAGTAAACGAGGACGTTGAGGAAGACCACACTGGACACCTGCATCTGTCGGGCACTTTCCAGCAAGGTGCATTTTGCCTCCAAGATGGCAAGGTTGCAGACTCATTAGGGAACCAATGCTTTATCAAAAGCCCCAAATACCAGTTCCAATGTTATCAGAGAGGCGTTGTTGGGGATACAGTCTTTGATATTGTAAGCGCTGAAAATGGCACAACTAAGCTCGTTTATGACAGTGGACCTGGGACCTATCTGGCCTGCTCATCGGATGGCGGAGAAAGCTATGAAATATTTTCAACCGAAAAGCCAGACACCACAGGTTGTCTTGAAGTCTCCTTGGTATTATCTGACGAGACTGGGGAATGCACGGCGTCCAGTCCTGTTCCTGCGGCGGAGGATGAGGAGGAAGAGGCTGGGGATGAGCAGGATGGCGAGGAGGAGGAGGAGGAGAACGGAGAAGAGGACGACGAAGACGAGGAGCAGGAAGAGGGCCAGGTGGATGCATGTGAAAGCGATGTAGGGACGACGACAGAAGGAGAAGGTGGGGAAGAAGAAGGAGAAGGATCGATTGCTGAGGAAAACACTACATCCACACTGCCGACCACCTGCTCAGTATCGACATCTGCCCCCTCATTGGCCCCGGTCGCCATTGGATCTCCGGCCAAGGAGGGCACATCCAGCGAAATCATGGATACTGGCGTCAATGCTTCTATTACCACGAACGACAGCACCGTGTTCAAGTTTTCCATCCCAAGCAATTTTGCCGGGTCATCTCAGCAGCTTTGTGCTCTTCAATTTCGGCTGCCTTTCTGCAGTGAGCTCGCCGAAGGCTATCCCTGCTTCCAGTTCACTGGATCGGAACAAGAATTATCGTCGAATTCGGGAATGACTTTTGCGCCATATGGCGAGAGCAACGAGTTGTCGAGCTGGAATGAAACTGCATTGCAGCAGGTTTACCCAGGCGATCAACTGGTTTTGGGCACATTTGAGTGCGGTTTTCCTGAGAACAACAGTGGCAGCCGCGATATCTCCTGGCTCGCTAGCAGTGTGAGGAGTTTTGGTCTGCAGTTCGAACAGGCCGGAGTCGGATCATCCAAGTTCAAGGACGGTGTTGGAGCATTTATTGTACAGTGTTCTTGAAGCAAGCAGCATTGCCTTATTCCTACCGAAGATGAAGATGCCACCTTCATGATTGCGTTCAGACATACTTCTTCTCATGACTGCCCCTTATGATTCATGGGCAACAAATAATGTAATAAGAAGCTTTACTGCTCCTAATTGTTTCGCCTAGCCCCGTACATTGTCTTTGTCATAATGGGTTGCACTTATTATTCTCCTCCAGCTTCAGTTTATGGCCTACTTGTGTTTTCATTCCATACCATTGGATGAGCCTTGGACCTAGTAGAAACTTAGAAGCCGTTGTAGTGTTCGTGAAATCTCCAATGTCTCAGCCGCTGAAGCGTATCTAAAAATAATGCATAGAAGTTGGATTCTGGAACTCAAACGCTTCGGAAGTAAGGGCACCAGTTTACTAAACTGAGCACAAAAGTCAAATGGCAGAATAATGAGTCTACAGAGCAAGTAGCTGAAACAGGCAGCGCCTCGTTGACGCCGTTTACACATGTTTGGAAACGCCCCTCTCAGCGCAAAACTTGCCAACCTCCTTTCTCAAAGTATCCCTCTGGCGATGTACAAGGTCCATAATATCAGCGCAGTCCGAGCCGAGCCCACCATTCTCGCCGCCCACGGCATGGTGGAATTCAGCCATATCATCCATGACGGCCTGCAGCTGATTCGGCAGCCAGGTTACAATGGGTGAGCCGCCTGTGGCGGTGGGGTGCTTTGTCTATTCTTTTGTTTAGTGGCAGAGTGCAACTCAAATGGACCAAAATCAATCTGGACGTTCAAAAACTGACCTGCTTGAGAATGTACTCCCGCGCAAAGCACCAGTGGCGCCAGCGAAAGTCACGGACCTGGTTCAAGATCTTGATCCAAAGCCGCCTACTCTCGAGTACTGCCTCCTTGTCCTCCTCGTCGTGGCGATCATCATGATGCGACAGTCCCAGAGCAAATTCTCGAAGACCCTTGTCCAAGCTCTCTTCGCGCACCCACTCGAGGAAGCCGCGGTGGTCGCCGGGGCGGTACGAGCGAAAGTCCTTGAGAATCTCGGTGAGCGGGGTGTCGGGCATGGCAATCTGGCAGAAATTATCCATGAGGGGGATCATGGAATCGTTGGCGCCGCTCTCGCCGCGGAACGAGCGGCGCTGCTCCGGTCCGCCACCGTCGTCGTCATGCACGCCTTCGTAAACCACGCCATCGGGGAACATGGACTGCGAGGTGATGCCAAAGATAAAGGTCCGAAACGATGTATAGGACCGCGGCTTGGACACGTCCCACATGGTCTCCATGACGGCATTGATCTGGCGCAGCGCGTCTAGGATCTCGGCGAGTCCGTCATTGAAGCCCGCACGGTCTGCTGCTGCTGGCAAGGACGACGAGCCATGGCGCGGAGGGATGCTGCGGAGGGACTTCATGACGCCCGAGATGAGCAGACCTGAATGTCGGACCATGGCTACGTGCGTCAGGACGAAGCCGGCCTCGGACGACGATGGGTCCAGGCCGTGCTCAAAGGCGCGGATGAGGCGCAAGTTGGAGTACTCTAGCCCCCGGGACGGGTCGACTAGGCGGTAATTGAAGAGTGCGTAGGATCCTGCGTACTCCATGAAGGGTTTGAAGCCACAGCTGAGATGACATGGTCAGAATGAATGGATATGGCGGGGGCAAAAAGGAAACTGGGGCAAGTAGAGAGCAATAGTCTGAGGTGATTACAATGACGACTTATGTTGTCACAAGAGGAAGTAGGAAACAAAGAGACGCAAGTGGACTTACAGCTCAGCACATCGTGCGATTGGTCTGGCGAGCTGCACAGGCAGGACATCCCGGGCAAGACCATAGCCCTCTCCTTTGATAAACCTCATGTGGCAAGGTTCGAGAAGGTATGCGGAAGCCAGAAAAGAGTAGTCTCTGTAGAGGGCATTGACCATGGGCAAATTGTCCTTGTATTTGTCGACCTCGTCCGTCAGGTCTGGCAGCTCGTCAAGCACAGCGTCTCCGAAACGACCATCGGCCAAGAGACCAGGGGCACCGGAGAGGGTCTTGACGGGCATCCGGGACAGGAGAGACTCGACATGGTCGAATTCTGAGGGGAGGTCGACAAGGGGCTCCATGCGTGGTAGAAAACCTCTGGTGGTAGACACCATGAAGGCGGGCAAGGACATGTCATTCGGCCTGGGATCATCCAGGACCATAAAGTCCTGTTTAGGTGAGACAGACATTGTTGAAATACAATCACGAGAAATGGGGGAGTGTAGCTGATAGCAATAATATGTGTCGTGTATAATCGAAAATTATTTGTATATTGTTGTGGGGGAGCTTATCGCACTTGCAGACGTGAAAGGTTCCTTTTGGCCTTGTTTAAAGCTCTTGCTTCTTGTTTCTGGAGATTTTGGGAGTCGAGATTCACTCCACCACCGACTGGCTTCTCAGTGTGCTAATATACATCGTGGCCGGAACCATTCCGGCCAACGCACCCTCGCCGGCGTCGGGCGAACCCGTGACGTGTACTGCATTCTGATAAGGCAGCTCAACGTTTCTGTTTGTCAATGCCAAAAGTCTAAACGACCATTCGCCATCGCATGCCATGCCAACAAGACCTCATAGCAACAAGCTCGTCGTCGCCACCGGGGTTCCGATTGTAGTATATCACCCCGAAAAAACACGGCCAGATATTTCGAGGCAGTGAAATCTCCAAAATGACAGTATTGTAGCCTAAATTGCCCTCAAGTATTAGCACATTGTACAAGCAATGTAGGTCCAAGTTGAATGCCAAGAGCTCACCAAAACTCCCGGTGCAGCTGAATGAACAAAAAAAGGTCAGATGATGATGGTGCCGGCGTGTGCACCGAGGGGTAGTTGGGTAATTGAATGAGCTGTCTCCACCTCAAGCCGGCCTTGGCTGACTGATGGCCGGAATGGATTCCGGCCTTTTTCACTTGATCTATTGCGGCCGGGGCTTCACGTTCCAATCAACTTTGCCACATTCGGGTATAGTGTTACACGTGCCTAGAAAGCTAGCATTCCTGCTTCTTATCTATGCCATTGGAAGCCGTAGTATTAACCGCGGCATTCAAATGTCACTTTAAATATGGCGAGGATTCTCGTCGAGTGCCGCGTCCCGTATCGCGGCGCACTTGCATAATCTAGGCAAGCGAATCTTTCAGTTCTGGTTGACCTCCAATTGATCTCCCACCACAAGTTGCTCCCCTCTGAACACGAATTCTTGGTAACACAAATTGCTTATTTGGTGCAGATCCCGCACACAGAATAACCAATACTAGTCTCAGCGTGACAGTACATACTTGCCTCTCCTCGGCGGTGTGCTGATCACTGCTGTGTCAAGAATCACAAGCATGTCGGCATCGAATTCTAAGCTGCATGACAATTGCAAATATCTTCATTGAGTAGGCACAAGCTTTGGTGCCTTTGTTTTGAAGCTGTCGTTGTCATCATACCCTCTATTTACAGTTTTGTAGTGCACCGATGGCTACACATTATTTCGCTACTCTCAGAGTATAAATACTTAGTATCATTGCACCTTGTCCACAGGAATACCTTTTGCAAGCAAGAGACTGATGACCATTTTTGCTCTGATAACCAGATCACCATGATGAGCCCAAATATGTTAAAGGCATGGCTGACCAGTGTGGTGGTAGCCAACTCATACGCATTCAATACAAGGTCAGTGTCCTTTCGTACTTCTACCGAAACATGCGCTCAAATCACATACAGTGGTCGAATTGACACGCACCTCCATGCCCTTCCACCAGCCTATATAGAAGCCGTCAATGCTGCTGGTGGTGATCCGTCGGGCTTCCCCACGCCGTTTTGGTCGCCCGAGTTTGCTATATCCGAAATGGACGAGTTCGGAACAGCGTTTGGCGTCCTCTCCATCTCGACACCAGGCGTGCCCATTGCCGGGACGGGGCAGGCCGGGCGCGAACTGGCGCGGACGCTCAACACCAACCTGGCCAACTACAGCACGGCGCCTGCCTACGACGGCCGCTTTGGCTTCTTTGGTGCGCTGCCGGACTGGCGCGATATCGACGGCACCATTGCCGAGATTGAGCATCTGTACCAGCACCAGCCGTCCTGCGTGGGCGTGGGCGTCTACAGCTCCTACGGCGGCATGACGCCGGGCAATGACACGTTTCGACCCATCTGGGCCGCTCTGCAAAAGCACAGGGCCCTCGTCTTCTTGCACCCGGGCGTCCTGGACGTGGTGCCCATGCGGCTCGGCCACGGGTTTCCGCAGCCCACGCTCGAGTACCCACTCGCCACCACCCGGGCCGCGGTGGACCTGGTCATCAGCGGTACGTTCCGGGCCCACCCCGACATCGACGTTATCCTGCCGCACGCCGGTGGGACCATTCCCTTTATTGCCGACCGCGTGCTCTTTGGCATTGCGTCGCCGGCCACGCAGGGCACGTCCAACGTGACAGCCGACGAGGCGGCCGAGGACTTGAAGAGATTTTACCTGGACTTGGCGCTCGTGACCAGCCCGGCGCAGTTTAATGGCATATTGGACTTTACCAGCCCCGACAAGATCGTGTTTGGTTCGGATTCTCCATACCGGCCAGAGAGTGGTATCGCTGATGTGATTCGTGATTATGAGACCTTTGTAAAGACGAATGTGCGAGGTTCATTGATTGCGCCCGATGTTTTGAGATCGAATTCTCTCGAGTTATTGGCGAAGCATTCCCGGGGTTACGGCGGTATACCTTTTTGATAATGATGTAGATATTTATTCTACCTCTTGAACTCAGGCACAACCGTCCTGTAGCTCTCTTTTCCAGCATAAGAGAATGCGGGCACGCTATCTCTGCCGCATATCTTCGCGTATCATTGCTGTACTCCTTGGCGATACGGTCCTAGACAATCTCAATCTCCCTGTCCTGAATATCATCCCCAAACCAATACTGATCGGCTTCGTCGGTTTTCACTCCTACTATACCAACTCTCTGGTAAACGTTGGGCTTACCATCGACTTCCACCAGAATCATGATCAAGTCCGACGCAAAATGGCTTCTTAAACGGAGGCAAAAGATGGCTGCCCCAAACTCGATCAGACCTTTTCGAAAGTCTGTCCATGAGTCGGCGTAGCAGTCAACACTGGCCAATCTAGTGACTACTTGAAAATGACGGGGGTAAACATCCGTGATTATTGCTTCTCTGACCGGCCCCTTGAGAACCACGGAGGCGGACAAAACTTCACCCATGGGATCAGAGCCCGCGAGTTGAGTTGATGCCCGTATCAACCGCGAGTAGGCCTTGTTTACTATCGATGCAGAAAAGTAGCCGATTTGTCCAGTGATTGACGCCCAAGACCACGAAGGCGCTCGCCATGTATCTGGTCGGTTGGTCAGGACATCAATCTTTCTCCAGCACATGTCATCAATTATGCTTCTTTCCCACAAGCCCACCAGGTAGCGATCTCCAGGCCGCGCTGCTGAGCAAATGTTGGCCAAGGCCGATACAGCTGGCAACACGTCCTTGGATAATGTAAGTCTCAGCGTCGAGTAGTGTTCAACAAGCAATCTCCAGCAATTCTCAACCTCATCGTGGTACGAACTGGTTTGCATATTACGCACCACATTGGAAAATCTTTTTGTCCCTGCCATGTATAAAGAGTCCCCTGTAAGGCCAGAGCAGCATTCACAGGTGTTCAGCTCCTGGCATTGCCAAAGTAACTCACCATGACCGTAATGTAGTAGTCGCGGAGATAAAAGTCGTTCCTGGAGAGTCCATCCACGGGTGATGAGCGGGGAAAACAGCCCAATTTCTCTTAAATGAATTCCAGATTCCGAATCTGTATGCAGAAACCTCGTAACGCCAACCTTTCTGAAGTAAACTTCATACTGTTTCGCTGTATGCTGGATAATAACTTTCGTCGAAGTACCAGTAGGTAAGCGGTGCCAGAGACCGGCGTCATCACTCTCGCCAGCCGTTGCACAGATTGTCAAGTACGAGTTCCGGTAGACGGATGCCATCTTTGATGATTCTTCTTTCCAGTCGTCTTCGTCATCTTGGATAATACAAAGAGAATCAATCCACAGAAACTGGACTTTCAGCTCTCTCGTGACTTCAATCGCGTCCCGGAATGTGTTGGGCAATAGGTCCCAACCAATTCTTCGCATGTTTCTTTCTTTTGTCGACGTGGTTGTAAGACATGCTGGACGAACACCACCCCAGCAGTGGCTGAGGGCTATGTATCGTCCCGATTGCTTGTTGGTATCCACCAACTTGACAGTCCTTCCACTGACGTCGATTAGTCTCTTTGGGAAGGGAGTGGAGTTTGTTTGGCGGCAAGATTTGTGCTTCTCGTTGCAGGAATTTATCCACGTTTTGGCTCTAAGAAGAGAAGCTTTGGAAGAAGTGCGCTCGGTTATAATTCGATATGGTATCTCAGGCAATAGCTTTTCAGAGCCTGGTCATGATGTAAGCTTAATGCGTTGTTGTACTGTTCTGGACCATTTATACCTTCTGCTGCAAAAACAAACAGCTGTTTCGAAATACCAGGTCTTCGTATTGTCACCATCAAATCTTGTCTGCCTCTTTCTGCAAATATTTCGGCTGTTGAGTTTGTTGGCTGAAAACCTTCGGATTTTTCATATATTTCCAATAGCATGAGACATCGAGCACAACCAACCTTAGCATGCTTTCGAATCTCGAGGATGCTTTTGTTTTTCTGGGATGTAAGAGGAACAGTAAGAGCACAGATATCAAGGTCCGTCATTGATGAAACCAATACTAGAGTACATGAAGAGGATGCAACCAGGGATGGGAAATTGGGAGATGATAAATTGAGATATTATAAATTTTTTTATTAAAAAAAAGAAGAAGAAGAGGAAAGAAAAAAAACAAAGGGTAGGTAAATGTAATAAGAGTAACAAGAAGTCAGCGAAAAATATGCGGGGTTTATCGGATGGTGCTTAATCCTGCATGTGTAAAAATGCCACGCAAGTCTAATTCGTTATTAGTGCGCAGCATTCAAGCTGCAGCCCATATGAAGTGGCGGTGATGGTGGCTTGGAGCATTCTGCCTGACAACTCAACCTTGGCTCGTGTGCAGACCTAGCGAGCCATATCAGAGTAGTCGAAATACTTGTTATCGGAAGCTTTTCGCGATATTGGTAGTATTTACCTTGTCTGTTCACATGTTTTTTCTGGTCCTTGCTGCCCTTGGTTCCAGAAATGCGATTTTATAAAGTGGCGTTAATCGTACAGCCTGTGTACGAAAACGAGACAAGTGGTATCGACCGAAAGAAAAGGCCCAAGGGGCGGCGGAAGCTGCGGAGCTAGCCTGCATGCATTTGATCCCGACAAAATACTCGCGTTATATTGCATAAAAAGGAAACTTCATCTTGTTTTTTTGTTTCTTTTGCTATCGAGGGTTCCAAGTCCGTGGAAGTCGTCGCCGCTGCGCGAGAAGGTGATCTCGAATGATAAGGTCGACTGCTGCGACAACTGGGGATTTTGCACTTGAGAAGCGACTACACTGTCATCGAATAGCTGAACTCCAAGCCATCATCCTCCCATATAGGATTGATTGCGGCTTCATGGTCATCAATGTCTACAGCCTAGAGGCGAGTTAGACACTAGCAGCGGGCAGTCTGGCAATTCTTAGTTTGTAACTGCTTTTCACTCACCAGGTTTTCAAAGAGGCCATTGCCAAAGATATCGTGTGTGATCGAGTAGGTCTCCTGGGCGGAAATGGGAGTGGGTTGAGAGGCTTCGGGAAGTCCACCATAGTGCTCAACTGCCTTGCTAGCGATGATTTCCAGATCGTCCAGTATACTCATGGCTTTCAGTAGCTGATCATTGACTTTGATATGCGCGAAATGCTTCAAGAGCTTGATGCCATCTTTGGCCAGTTCGTGGTCCTCGTTGGCCATTTCATGGCTAGGATAATACTGGCAATTTGCCAAAAGTATGATGATTCCTGAGTAATATGCACCCATGTTCAGCCTTGATACTTAGTCAGCGTGTTCCGGTCATGTTTCAAGAAAAGATCGCAAATTACCACAAGGAGCAAGTCTGTCGCGGTTCCGAGACAAGCAATCGAATGCTTCGACGACTCGCAGCACAACATTTGGTCCAGGCTGAAGGAAGCGCTGGTTGCATATGCCGCATACATATATCCGTATTGTTGTCCATATTCGCTAGGACGGTTTGTCCGTAAACACCAATGGCTTTCATCCACCCCGAGTGTATCGAGTATAAACCGTGGAGGGAGACGAGACAAAGAAGATAATGATGATGTAATATCTTCATATGCACCGCGGCCACTCGAGGGAGACAATGTATCATGTGTTCATCCTGCAAAGATACTGGTATCGACTGCTGCCACTTGTCTAGTAGCACGCTGATTTGATCAACGTGGCGGCTCCGATCCTCGCGGGACAGCTTCTTGGACCGAATGCTGTACAAGTTGTCGTATATCTTGCCCTCCAGATGTGCCAATTGTACTCTGGAACGAAAGTAGTTGAATTTCATCAGTCCGTCAACACTTTGTAAAACACCACCACCATCCTCTCGAGGGAGGTCGATGTCCAAGTCAATATCGAGTTGGATAGACGGTGTTTTGTTACGGAAGCTGAGATCCTGTCAAATGTCAGTTCGTCTCTAAATTCAAACGGCACAAATAATCTACTTTATCCATTAAATAGCATATCCAAAATACGTTATCTCTGTGTTTTGCTTCTTCCGGAGAGAGATTGGCGTGTGATTCTCGAGTGTACATCTGGAGTCGGTGAGCTTGACGAATAGCCGTATTTGTGAGCATGAAAGCGGGCTTGCTATTGGAGTTTGCCTGATGAAGAATAACAACAGCAAGGAGGCCTTGGATCCCGAGAGTATCTTCTTCGCGCATCATGAATTCGTCGAGGCACCTTTGTGCATTTGCTTCGTATTTCTGAATAGTAGCTTTGGAGAAGCCGCATTGTACTGTATAATGCTATAATCAGAATCATCGTGCATAACACATCATTATAGGGTATACTCACAAGGCTCTGCTTCGATGGCCATGACTTTTGATCCCAGCGCAAGAACACAATTAATGATTCCCCAGCTAACCTTGGACCTACGTGATGTGCTGGAACAAAATTCGTGTAATAATTTCATGAACGATGCTTGATGAAACAGCGGCATCACGCAGTTGAACTCTCGAAAGTACGCATCGATGATGGGTAGTATCTCTCTCATGGGCAGCAAATCGGCAGATTCCTGATCTTCAAGACTTTCTGGTGTCAAAACATCCGCGGTAGTTGTGCTCTGTTCCGTGGAACCAAACACGCTACCCGGTTTTACCGAAGACTCTGCGAGCAGCAGTTCAGATAGGGATGGAACTTTTTCTGAAGAATTTATAGAGTCCAGTTTGGACTCAATCCTGGATAGCCGAGCCTCTAGCGATTCTGAATTTGACGAGCTTGATGTCATATTAGCACTGGTGAAGGGATGGATCACCAAACCGGTACCAACCTGGTCTGTTGTGGCGGAGGGTGTGCCGTCCGTTCTTTGGACGGCACATGCCTCTTGCGTACGATTGTGGTGACACAGCGCACATTGTACAGTTGGCAATTAGAACACACCGGCTTTCCCATGTCACATTTGATCTTCTTAGCGGAGCAAGTATCGCCTAGCCGAGTCAATTCTACATGCTACGCCACATATACCAAAGAGGCCGCAGTACTTACATGCCTAGAACTAGGTTAGATCTCAGATTGGAGGAATGATCAAGGTGAGGCTATACCTTGCGACGAGAGCTAGTCTCCATATCGGGCAATACTACTCGAGGTACTTGGGGGTCTCGTGGGCTCAGGGTCAGAATAGTGCATCGAAGCGTCAAGAAGAGGAGAAGATATATTGGTTTCGGCTCTTAATTGATGAATTAGTTTGGACAACTCTTTCTGGATACCAACAGCAGGAGGTATCAAATCATTTGTTCAAATAGGAAATGTGTAGATGATTATATCGATAAAAAAAAGGTATTGATGCACTCTATACGAGAAAGATGATGTGGAAGTGTCAGATTCCAAGAGCTGACAAATAACTGTCGCAGCTTGAAGGCTGCCAGTTGGCAGCGGCTTAGCGGCTGACTTGACTGCCAGCCACGCCTAGCTCAGGCACCAGATGTGTAATGCACACACAGGCAGTATAGTGCCACTAGTGATTTAATACTACGAGGGACCGACCGGATGCCCTGTAGAAGTATGTCTACATACACAGGAGAAAAGCTGTTATGTCAAGAATATACATAAAGCCTAGGTAGGTTGTATCCTCTCATCCCATAACTTTTTTCCATGTAAAAAAGAACATCCTTCCTCAAGAATCAAATCCCGTTTTCCTGATTCGCCATATTGCAGTGAAATGTCATTCAGTCTCGCTAAAATATTTGTGCCGTGATCTTGTCTCGGGAGAATCCAAACTGTCTCATTCCTCCAAATCGCAATGCATGCATCATGTTCCATGTACCTTCCTTATCATATCTTACATTCCACCTCATTTATCCTACATAACCCTTGCACTCCACTCCCGAGTGGCTTTTGCATAAATCAGGCCGTGCTTCTCTACAAACGCCAACTGATTCTCCAGCAGGATCCGCCCCTCAATGTCACAGAGGTCGAGCACATCGCGGTGCCGGCGACCCATCTCGGGCACGCCGGAACCCATTGCGCCGTCCCAGCCATAGACCTCACATCGGGCCCCAACGGCAATGGCGCACAGCATCCGGCGGCCGGGCGCCACACGAGCGTATAGGTACCGAGCAAAGGCCTCGCGGGCCGCCCGCCAGCCCGCCGACGTGTCGGCCGCGCTGCTCCAGCACTGCACCATGAAGATGCACGGTTCGGCGCTGGCCACTGTCCCCGCGCTCATGGTGGCGTCCATGCTCGGATTCCGCCTTCTGTGGCCAAAGTATCCGTTTCCTTCTACTGTTGCCGCCGGACCCGGTAACGGAAAAGTAGATGTCGACACGGACAAGGAATGCTGAGGGCCCAGCATAAACGACGCCGGCGGCGGCGCGACCCACCGGAGCTCCGACACGCACACGCCGTTATCCACGCCGGTTTCCGGGAAGCAGACAATGTAGTCGCTGGGCGGGAACCAACTGTACAGAATCAGATTCCACAGCGCCTGCACCGGCCCTCTCGTCGTCGAGCGCGCGGCCAGGTTGACCGTTGCCACAAACGCCTTGTTGGCCGGGTTGAGGACCGCGCCGTCGCCAAAGTCGGAAAAGGATTGCCGTAGAGTAGTACTGCTCCTCATGGGACTTGGGCTTGGGCTTGCCGTCACCATCCTCTCCTGGGTGTTATTGCTCCGGGATCTAGACCTTGACCTTGATCCAGATCCAGGAAACGGACTGGGTGATGCCGACGGGGTCTCAGGGAGTAGAAACGTTTCTGCCATGGGCCAATTATCCTCGTCTCCCCGGGGGAACTCGCAGTATGTCGGCCTTGCCATGTCACTGCTGAAGCGAACTTCCTTGGTACTACGGTTCATGGTAGGCAGAGATGATGACGATGCGTGATTATTGCCCTTTGTATACATTCATGTTCCTCGTCGCTAATAATTGCACGGTAAGATGAGCAAGTAGTCGTGACCATGTATTTGCTGTAAGCTATGAAAGCGCCCTCTGACATTCGCATGGATGTAATCAGGTAGTAGTAGCAGTAGCATCGGTCGTACCGATGTCAAAACGTCCACGAGCAAGGTAATTAGTATACTCGGATTATCGGTCGGAGTTTTTTTGGGAACCAGGCACCGGCTACTGGGAATACGTTGCACTTGAGATTCCAAGTCCGTGTCCGACTTATTAACATGAGGGCAGACTAAAATTGTTCGGGCGATACGCAAACCATGGTGCCTTGTTTGCATCGCCCTGTTCAAGCCGTCGAAAGCCGGGATCATCCATGATGCATTGCCAACCACCCAGAATAGTGATGGGTGCTGATGACCATTCTGGGATATACTTCGGAGCCATTTTATCCCAAGGTCTTCATATGCAGAGCAATTCTGCTTGACGCTCACCTTGCTTGGCTGCAACACGGGCGACGGAAGAATAGTTTTTGCAACGTCCAATTTCTGAGTTAGTCATTGACCTAGGTTAGGAAGTTTGCAGTAACACGGGATCTCGACACGAATACACCAAGTGGACGCGCTTGAGTGAGTCTGAGATGATTCATTACACGCGCCCATCACACTCCCGTCAAGGAGTTCACAGACAGGCGCTGTTTTGAGCTACCGTAATATCTCAGACTAACTAATTCAATGCATGGCAATACGTCTTAATTGCCTTGGGACTGATGCTTCTATCTTGCACATGATCGTGCTGCTTTGTAGGCAATGATGAGGGGCCCGGACAATCATGTCATTTGGGCAACCTCGCGTGTCGCAATCACTCCCGAATTCGCCAGAACATACTTGATAACTCTACACTTGTCCCCTGGTCGGGCCCCTAATCAATCTCCACATCGATGTCGAGATCCAATGATCCAATAATGTCATCATCCATGAGCGGACGGTGAATTTGTGGTATGCCTTTCTTGTCCGCGCCCGTTGAGTTTTGCTGTTGCAACTTGGCAATGTGAGGTGGAACAGCTCCCATCTTGGGTGTGCCGTTTGCTGGCGTTGATGTTGCGCTCAGCGGTGTGCTCTTACGCTCGCCGGTTGCCGGTGCATTCTCGTCCCGCATGAACTTGGGCTGAGTGCGCAATCTTCGAGATGTGTCCTCTGCAACATCTTCTCCACGGGCCAGCTTGGCTTCCACCTCTCGTGCCTTTGCCTTTTCCTTGAGCTGAGCCTTTCGGACGGCCTCGGCATTGCGTCGTCGATTCTCGATATTGAGCTGAGCAAGTCGATCCTGCTGAGATACCCCCGAAGGCGGGGCAGGCTTTGCTGCCGTCAGACTCGTCTTCCATGCCAGGCGCGAGCCCTCCATTGAATCAAGTTGATCTTGGAGCTCAGAGGCTCTGGCGTCGTCGCCACTTGCTTTGGCGTCCTCGAGCTGCTTGACTATTCTTTCGCGATTCGAGGGGTTGAACTTGTTTCGCAGATTACGTTCGCGCTGGAGCTTCTGGTCCAGCTCTTGATCGGTCCAGGATCTGCTTCGCAGCTTGTTGATGTCATCAGCCTTGGCTAACAAGTTAGGTCGCTTCGGAATGTTGAGGCCTTCGTGCTGAAGTGTCGCCTTGTATCTGTTGAACTCGGACTAAAGGTTGTTGTCAGTACGCGCGATGATTATTCCAAAACAAGTCGAACTGCTTACCTCTGTGAAGGCACTGTCGGAACAAGCAATGAAGGGCCACTCTCTCTCGGCCTTGCCGTGGGCAGCAACAGCGTATTGATCGGTCACGAATGTTTGTCCATTGGACTTCTCCATAGCATACGGCTTGCCAGTCGTGAATCCTGGGAAGAAACAAAGATTAGTTGCCTGCGTGAACTGCAGTGAAAGGTGGTGACTTACTCTTGATAACGGCCATGCGATACTGGTTGGGCCCATCTCTGTTCTGAGGATCAGGGCCAATGGAGATGCGCGCAAAACAGCCAGTGATGGCCTGTTCGAAGCCAGGGAAGAAGCAGATCTGTGCAAAGCGACTGCGACCAAGTCTCACACGCTCAATGTCTCTCAGATCGGCAAGAGGGACCTCCTTGACCTCGGGAGTGCGCGATCGAGAACGCCTCTTGGAATGATCCCACTCAACATCACTCTCGGCATCACCATCTCGATCTGGGCTGCCAGAAGAGATTCTGGCAGACTTCTTGTTGCGCTCTCGATCATCAGCCAGGCGACGCTGGCGTTCACTCTTCTCTGCTCTGGCGCGACGAAGTGACTCGATACCGGCGCTCGTTTCGCCGACCTTGGATCCACCAATCTTGGTTCTTTGTCGCGAGGTCTTGCGCTGTGTCTCCTCAAGCTCGGCATTGTCGGCCTTGCGCTTCTTATTGTCGGCAGCGCTCACAAGTTGTCGGAGAAGGCGGTTCTGGCGCTGTCGCTCAATCTCTTGGGCACGTTCGGCTAGGATAGACTCGCGCTCAACCTCACGCAGAGCCATTATCTCTGCCTTTTCCTTGGCGCTCTCAAACATGCCTTCGTAGGGGTACTTGTCATCCTCATCGGCGACAGCTCCATTCGCGTTGGGAGCTGGCGAGCCAGCTTCTGAGTCGCTTTCATCCATCGGGACGGATTCTTGCGATGCCACTGATTCGGCGTCAGAACTGTAATTGCGTACCAAAGTTAGCAATGCATAGTAATGATGGGAAGAAAGGTCTGGTGGCTGTCGCAAGTGATCAGAATGATTTGAGGGGTTTCGCAAATGAAGGCGCAATAAGTAGAGGTGTGCGCTCCAGGTTGCGCCAAAGGGAACCACATGTAGTGGGGAGCAACCAGAACTTGCCCACCAGATTTTCCGTTGATGCAAACGGGCATTGGTGTGGAAGGCAAGGCCACATGCAGCGGTGGGAGCCTGCCGGAAGAAATTCCACTTACGCCTCGCCCTCTTCCTCGTCAGAGTCACCCTGCCTCCTCTTTTTGGTTTTCTTTGCTGATGAGGAGCTCTTAGTCGCCTGTCTACCTTCATCCTCTGAATCAGACCCCGCTTGGCTGATGTTCATTTCCTGCTCCGAGGCCTCATCCTCGGACTCATCGCCACCGACGAGCTCCAGGAAGGCATCGTCTAGGTCGGCCATCGTGCTGAATTGATCTCGATCCCACCCGTAGTTTTTGGTTATGCTCTGAACTCGTTATTCTCGCGGACTGATTGATTTGAAGTATATTCAGTTTCCCGCTCGGAGATGATATGAAATGGCTCTGGCCGCGAATCGAAAAGGACGGATATATGCGATTATAGTAGAACAAGCGATAGCTTTTCGAAATTCAGAGGATTAACTTGTACAGTGAAAGTGAAGAGAAAGAGAGAGAGCTCTGGAGAAATTTTCTTCGTGGTCACAAGTCAAAGGCTATGCGTGGTGGAAAGAGAAAGTTGAAAAGCGCCGAGTTTCTTGGAATATGTAAACCTACACCTCAGCCTCATGTCGATGCATACGTCGGTTGCCCATTGGCGTCCGAGTTCCACTTTTCAACATGCAGGGGGTCTGCTTGACGGAGCGGCCGTGTGATTATCCGTACCCACCTTTCTCCAGTGCTTTTATGGAACCAGATCCAATCATGAAAGGTGGGGAGAGAGATACCTCAGTACTTGCACCAACCATTTTCAGGCTCAGGGAGCTAAGATAATGGATCCGGAGCTTTTATCAGTCTATCGATAACGACCCCCTGTCAATTATTCCATCAACATGCCGTCGAGTGCATGTATACATCATAGACAGTCCGCTCAATCCCGAATGTATGGGCTGATTGTGACCAGATCTCGGACTGGACACTTGCTTCAAGTCCCTTAATGGTCGGCATTTGACGAAACTTGAAAACAAAGTTGTACTAGAGCCCTATCATTGTCATGGCCGTTTCCTTTTCATCCCGAAGCTTCATGCGGCTCATGCGCACGCATGGCCAACCGCCTATCCGCGATTTCCTTGCACCGGCCCTCTTTGCGCCGTCGCGGCGTTGTCTATCCTCGACGTCGAGCCAATGTACCGCGGCCAGCCAAGATGCGCATCCAAGTTCGAGTAGCCCGAAACCGAAGCGGAAGGCTCTGACCAAGGAGCAGAGAGACTTTCTCTCATCTGCTGTATGTTGCTATTCCGAGATCGGCCTAGCAAGAATTCCCAATCATTGACCTTGTTCCCACCCTGCAGCTTCGAGTCAACCAGGCCGGTGAACTGGCCGCCACCCTCATCTACAAGGGCCAGACGCCTCCGATCGTGAACGCGCACCCGCACTTGCGGCCACTCATGGCGCACATGTACGAGCAGGAAGAGGGCCACCTCAAGACATTCAACGAGATGATTGCCAAGCACCGCGTCCGGCCGACGGCCATGTACCCGGTCTGGAGCGTGCTGGCGACGGGCCTGGGCTGGGGCACGGCGGTGCTGGGCCGGGAGGCGGCCATGGCGTGTACTGAGGCCGTCGAGACCGAGATCGGTACCCACTATAATGAGCAGATCCGGACGTTGCTCGAGATGTTCTCCGAGTGGGAGGCCGAGGGCTACGAGGTCGGTGACGAGCTGCAGAACCTGATAAAGACACTGCGCCGCATTCGAGACGAAGAGCTCGAGCATCTGGACCACGCTGTTGAGCATGACGCCAAGAAGGCTGAGCCCCATTGGCTGTTGACCGGTGTAATTCGAGCTGGCTGCAGAGGTGCAATCTGGGTGAGCGAGAAGATATAAGAATTTGTACGAGTAATCAAGTGTATCAGTATGTATCAAGGCCCACGCTGCTATAGAGTATTAGAACCATTTGCGACATCGCAGAACATATCATTGAGAAACATGGAAATGACAATTGATGTCTTCAGATAATGCCTTGGCTTGTCTTCGAGTCAGTGAACTTCAGACCTGTATTCAACAGCTTGGGCTGAATGGTTAGCAATGTCACTGCCAAGTTGGTCTTTTACGCCGAGTCGCGTAGAGCCATAGGGGGTCTAGGGGCGTGGAAGTCGTATCAAGCTACATTACTGTCTGCGGTGGAACACTCTGAGCACAGCCAACACCATACACTGCAAGTGTTCTCGTCTGAAACCGGATAAGATTGACCAGGTCTTGCGTCTTGCATGTTATCCTTGATCAAGCGTGGACAAACGATGGATCAGTAAAGAGAAAAGGAAGCAACATGTAATGCCCCAAGGTGAAGGAGTAAAAAACGCAGAGCTCGCGTGGATTCGAACCCTGACACCAACACACCAACACCTTTCCTTCAGCCTCCAGATATCATCGACTTGCATTCTTTACATCCCATACTCGAGTGAATCATTTGCATAGAAACTACAAGAGAATAAAAAGATCAGCAAAAAAGAGTTCACCGCTGGCTAATCTCTCCGTGGCTACTGTTGTTGAAGTTTTTTTTTTTTTTTTAGTTTTTTTTCAAATATTTATAGACCGGTCTGCTGCTGTTTGCTCTGCTCTTGTAACCACTGCACCAGTGAACCATTGTGTGGATGGGCTCAATGGCTCACTGGTGGTGGAAATCTAACGAGTTATTCGGATATGTAACACTAGGAAAATCAAAACAAACGCCCAGTTGGTGGTGTCAACAAGTTTTGACGTTATCATGGAGGAGGCGCGTTTGCATGATCAGTGGTGCGTGCCTCTTCCACCTTGACCCGGAGCTACTTCAGGCAGCAAGTTTTTCAGTATGCCCACATGTTGTAGAGAATCATTCTACAGTAAATCAGTAATCACTTCTATGGAACGAGAACAGCATATAGTTATCAAAAGAATGATCTACATGGTCATTGCCCAGCACATCAAGACTTATAACTTGGATCCCCCAGAATGACGCCTGGTCCCTCTTATAATAATAACATTGGCTCTCTCGCACGGATCTCAAAGAATGTATTGGTTATTGGAAGAAAAGGCTGCGCACAGTGTTGTCAAGGTAGTATGACAGAACAGTGTAGTCAATGACTTGTTGACAATCATGTCCTTGAAGCAGGTAATCTTGAATCCAGCTGATGGATGACTTACTCAACATGCTTGTCGGAAGGAAGCTTCGCTAGAAACAATTTTCGGGAGCCAAGATTCAGTCTCAAGCCATAACAATTGCTATTCTGACCGTGTCCATCTTTGGCTGGTTTGGGCGACAACATAATTCCTAGTCTAGTAATTGGTATCTATTAGACGGAATTTTGCTCCGTTGGTAACGATGAATATCCTGTGTGAGCAGTTCCCCCTGACAAAGCCATTCCAAGTATCAAGCACAATTGATGCAAGTCGCACAGCTGAAGCAGAAGTTCATTCAATTATACAGTGGCAATCAACTTGAGTTTGTGAACATTATGTATTTTGTCATACTATCATGAAGTAACATTCTCGGGCATAATGCCCATCCAGGAGAATGCTGTGTGACATAGTCAGACAAGAATGCAGCCTGACTATACAAACCAATGATGGCCATGTCTTGTATTCCTAAACGCCAGCGTCCATCCAAAATCCCTTGTATCCTTGGTATTTTCCACATGTATTATTATGCCTTCCTAGCCTTCAAGGAGGCATCGTGTTTGATTATCCACTGCATCGTAACCTTCGTAACAGTAATTATGGCCGTGATCCAATACCCATTATGGCCACGTCGCGCATGATGTAGGTATTTGTCTACTCTACATTACAGCTGACATGATTGATCATTTAGACGCCGACCTGGGACATGTTGGGACCCCTTCGGATGGAAGCGCCGCTGCCACGGAAAGCCTTGAAGGCGAAGAAAAGAGTTGCAATGTAGCATGCGAACAAGAACCACATAAAAACGTCGCTAGCTTGGAGCTCGCGGCATTGCTTCTGGTCACCATTGGTCGAGCCAAAGGCAATGTAGCTGCTTGGCTTACCGCTCTGCGAATTGTGAGTCAGCATTGTGAACATGTACTTTGGAAGAGATCAGAACCAGAGAGTTCCTTACCAGGTGAGCGCAGTTGACAGCTCCGAGCTTGGCGGCCAGGACCACGGCGCTGATAAAGGTGAAGAGGACGGCAAGACTGTCGAGAGCGAGAACGACAATGGGAATAGCAATGGCGGATACGAAGGAGGCGATCAATCCATAGAGGGCGGTAATCCACGAGAGGACTGCGACAAAGATGGTGAAGTTGATGGCGGCTTTACCAGATCCAGAGGTGCTGTGGTAGTTTGCGATGGCATTTCCAATGAGCGCGGTGATCAGCAGGGTCCAGAGCAGCTGGACTATGCGCAGGACGTTGTTGAGAAAGGTGAACTCCATTTTGTCTGAAAATCCGGGGACTGAAGTTGGAGAACGGTGGATCTTGATGCGATTCAGTGATATGCGACGAGATCCGATCAGTGGGGTTGTTCAGGTAGTGTAGTTGAGCTTTCTTCTCGAGTTGTTTCTGGAGGATTATGGAATACGGATTGTTGATTTGCAAAAACTGCGGGGAAGGCTTTTGAGAAAATATCCAGGAGAATGATAGCAGAAATATGCTAAGTGCAAGGAGCAGTTCAATGTTGCTACGACAATGGAGGGAGAAAAAATTGACAACAGTGGTTGGCGAATAAACTGGGCGCATGGGATTTTGTATGGTTTCCCCGTCAATCGACGATTTTGGGGTCCTTCTTAGCAAGATCGGCAGTGACGGCCAATAGCGGATCCTAATGACGTTGCGTGGCGCGTCGTCGCTATGTGTGGGATGATGTGCGTCAGGGACTTCTTTTGGGGAGTGGTAGGTAGGGGCCAGAAGGGACTCGACCTGACTCCCTTTGACTGGATGAGAGACTCGGAAACAATTGCAGAAAAGTATCTGAAACAATAACCATGGCCATGCATTGGAATTTCCAGTTTGCCTTCTCTTGCATTAACACAATCAATCCATCATAGATAGACGGGCTGTACTACACGAATGCCATCCATTCATCCCTGGCCTCGATATCCAACCTCCCCTTATAAACAAGAGAAATCACTGGGAGCTGCTGAGAGCTGCCGCTGTTACTGGAGCCTAAAAGGACCTATGGGGACCCTCTGGACCCTCTGCCTAGACACTTTCAAGTGCCGCGCGGTTGACTGGCTGGTCCGTGATGCTGTCATAACCTTTTAAGGTAGTGGGTTGCATCGCGAGCTAGGATCTTAGTGCATTGCAAGCGCGTCCACCTGGCGACGATGTGCGACAGCCAATGATTAGCAGGGCAGTGCTCGATCCTAGCCTTTTTTTGACACACCGGCATTGCCGTGACCACCCAAGAAAAGAGAAGAAGGGTACCCAACGAGAGCGGCTATGTATAATGGATTAAAAAAAACCACATAATTACACACAATTATCTTGAATGCAAGTTAATGGTTGAATAAGCGAGCTTTCCGATTATCTCTTATATATCGCATAGCCATTGTCCTTTGATAGGGGCGGAAAGTTTGTATTGACGCGTTACTGCCGGTTGAGTACTTCGTACAGAGTACTACTGAGTCCTGACAGTCCCGTGCTGTATAAAGAAGCTAGCCCCACGTAAATGACCCGTGCGTCAATACCACAACATTAATCTGTAGAAGTTTAGTTCTGTAGATCCAGATTTTGTAGACTTCATATATAATTACCTACATGGTACCTTTAGGGCAGATGTCTTGAATATAACGTTGAGGATTCTTGACAGGAAGAGTTAAGAAGCTGCAAACTTCAATAATTTGTTCCGTTCAAAAGTTCAAGACAAGGGTTTGGCCAACTGGATTAAATGCGGATTTTCTTCTTGATCTAGGTGGCACTTGCGCGTTTGTGATAGAGATTGTTAGAGTTGATTCAATACTTCAGGTTATCGCATGTTCTAGAAAATGCCAAAAAAAAACTCGCACCGGTCAAACAATATGGTCTCGGCACGTGGTGGAAGGAACAGCTTGCATGTTTGGTATTTGCTTACATTAGAGATTGGGGAAAAATTAACACAAGAGTACGATTGTGCGTAATTTCGCACTCGGAATTTTGGGGGCTGCATGGGAACTGCTGGCGACAAATCATGTGCTTCATCTGCAATCCGAGTGTTTTTCCGTTCCAGAACTGGAACAGCATCTTTCCCCTATATCAGCCCAGCCTCGCGCAGCTGAACCCCCGCACACAATCACGGCTCAATCAGTAATTCCGGCCAACGATGATATGGCACGGCCATTCATTCACAATACGGGGTTCACGGCGGTATATGAACCACATGATGATGAACCCTTCGCTGAGTAAGTCACAGCTACTTAATGTCTCCTGCTTCTGGGTTGGCTGAGTGGCTATCCTGTGGTGATGTGACAGCTAATGGCTGCTTCACCACAACTGTCTTTTCCGGATCAGGAACTCGGGAAGTTGAGATTTTGTGGCATTTCTCTTTTGATAATGCAGACCATTGAGATTCCTCACAGTATAATATTCGTTCATGGCCTCCAGGGTCATCCGTACACGACGTGGACGCATTTTGCTCCAGAAGTGTCAGCGAATGAGGCTCGTCAAAAGACAAAGACGAGATCCCACAGGAAAATCCTGACATTCATTGGGCGCACTACCAGTTCTTCGGTCAAATCTTCCACAAATGAGGAAGCCGAAATAGTCCCCTCTTCCAATACGATACGGCCCAATGTATTCTGGCCCAGAGATCTTCTTCCTTCATCTGAGATGTGCTCTGGGAGCCGGATTCTGACTTGGGGCTACGAGTCTACCGTCGCTGCTCATATAGGCACAGTCGCCAATAAAGGCACCATCTTCTCACACGCCAAAGACTTGCTGTTCGCTCTGAGGCGTAACAGGGTTCAAGACCGGCCCTTGATCTTCGTCGCCCATTCATTAGGGGGGATCTTGGTCAAGGAAGTATGTTCTTCCATCTTGATTCTACATCGCACGCACAGTCCACAGACTGACGAGTTCTGATTGCCTAGGCATTGTCATTATCAGATACCTCGGACCAGGATGATATCAGAGAGATCGTTGCGTCAACATCGGCAGTGATCTTTCTGGGTACGCCCCACCGTGGTGGTGGTCACTATGCTAACGTCGGCGAAGTCGCCCGTTCAGTTGCAAGTCTTTTTTTGATTGACACGAATAGTGCGTTATTGGACTCACTTGGACTCCGCACGACCGATTTAGAGAGGTGCCAGTTTAGTTTCTCCAGAATCTGGAGAAGGTATGGCTTCATGGTGAAGACGTTTCAGGAGGGACATGCGATGACTGGACTTAATGTGCCCGGATCATTCTTGAACAAAACGGTACGTACCCATTGCCACATGATACATCATTGACAGAACTAACTGGGTAATCATCAAGGTCGTCCCGCATAACTCTTCACTACTTGGTGACGACAGGGAAGATGCGGAGACTCTGCAAGCGAATCATAGAGAGATGACGAAATTTACTTCGGAAGCCGACGACAATTATATCAAGGTATGCGGCGAGCTGGAACGTATATGCAAAATTGTCAAAGAAAGGGCACAAGAGAGTAAGTCAAAATCGAATAAAACTCCGTCAAGCATTGCTTAACTAGGGGTACAGAAGCGCATGAGACAAGCGAAGACTTGAAAGGTGTCACCACTGTCTAAAATATGCCAACTTGTCAAAAGACGTACTAACCCGCCCCCAAAGCAATTCAGAGATCACTTGGATTTCCCAACATGAACAGGCGATATCAGATGATCGAGACTCCGGTGCATCAAACCTGTCTCTGGTTGAGTACCTCCGAAAATTATCAAGGATGGATCGAACGCAAACAAATCGCAAGCCACCAGGGCTTCCTGTGGATCAAAGGCAAGCCCGGGTCAGGTAAATCTACGTTGATGAAGCATGCCTTTGAGGGCGTACATACTACAACGAAAACAGTCAAAGCGAGCTTTTTCTTCAACGGACGAGGTGATCGCCTAGAGAAGTGCACATCGGGATTTCTCAGATCCCTTGCTTGCCAATTACTCCCACATTTCCCAAAAGCATTTCGATTGATGAAGAGTCGATTTGAGGAAAAGATTGACTTTGATACCGAACTTACATGGCATGATGGTGAACTCAAATCTTTCCTTAACCACGCACTGGCTAGTAGCGATTCGCGGCTATCAAGTGCCAGGATATTCATCTTCGTGGATGGTCTTGACGAATGCGATAATGGCGAAGGCAGGAACTTGATCATTTACCTTCGTGATCTCGCCGATAGGGCCTATTTGGTTGGAACCCAGCTGTTTCTATGCGTTTCAAGTCGAACTGCCCTGACTATCTCAATTTCATCGTACTTGGAGATCCTTTCGGAACAGGAGAACTCGGACGACATCCGCCGGTATATCCATAAGAGGTTGTCCGTCTTTAGGACCGAGCAGAAAGCGACTAGCCAAAGAGAAGTTTGGCAACAGCTTGAGAACAAGATTCTTGACAAAGCGTCGGGAATTTTTCTATGGGTTGAGCTTACAATCAATCAGCTCATAAGTGATTGGGACACTGGGAAAAGTGCTCAGTATCTGATTGACCAGGTCAATGAAGTACCTACTCAGATCCAGGACGTCTATAGAAAGTTGCTTTCGGAGAATCCCACCCAAGAAGCAACAAGATTCTTCCAATGGTTGGTGTTCAGTGCTCGCCCACTACAACTTTCCGAATGGAAACACGTCTTCGCGTTTGTTTACCACCCGGAGAAAGTAGCCATGTGGGAAAACTCACCTGAGTTCGTGGAGGACGAGGAACAGCTGGAAAAACAAATCACGAGCATGTCGTGCGGACTTGTTGAGGTGCAAGACAATCGACCAGCCCTCAACGAGAATGATGAGCTAGGTGAAGATGATGATTCTTTAGGAGGAAGTGCCGGATCTTTCACCACCGGGAAAGTTGTTCAATTCATTCATGACTCGGTTCGCACATTCTTCCTGGAAGAGGATGGCTTTACCATTGTCAGTCCACAACGACGTGCCATGGACAGTGGCAGGGGCCACGTCTTCATCATGGACTGTTGCCTCTCGTATGCAGACATTCCGGAGCTCCAGTACTTGATCGGGGCTCGACAGGCTGTTGGAGATATGATCCAGCAGAGGCAGCGAGAGCGTCTTACGAGCATGAAAGCCCCATTTCTGGACTCAAAGGGAAGCCCAACGAAGCAGCAAACGCTAGATGCGTACTCTCACGTATCTGCCGATGGACCCAAGGGACTATCAATCGACCGAGGAAGACGGAACAGCGTCGCGAGTTTTGGGTCAGCAGCCAGCTCAAATCCTGGATCACAGCCTATCTCACGCACAGGCTCTATCAGGGCTGCCTCAGTACACTCTGCACATTCCCAGATTGGAATTCAACCCATCACACCTGTCAAGACCCATTTGACCTTGACAGATTCGCCCTTGATGTTGCTAAGAAGAAGAGGCTCTAGCACCAGCGGGAAAACTACTCTCTCAGCATTCGAGGAGGCGTCGGCACAAACCCGAATCCCGCCAGAATCCAAATTCAAGCATCAGATCCCAGACCGAAATTCAGCATCGGACCTGCCCCAGAGTGATGCTACGGGATCCGCAATCAAAAGATCTTCCTTGGTCGAGAGCTATCTAAAGAGCATTGAGCCCAACGACAACCAGGGGTCTCCTCAGATTTTGTCCAGAAGAAGCACCGCTGGGAAAACAATTTCTACGATTTCAAGTCTCTCAAAAATGTCGATGGCTCTTTCAAGCCTCCCGCCGCTGCTTCAATACATTACAGAAATGTTTGACATCCATGCCAAGTTGGCCGACATTGAAGGGGCCAACCCAAACCACATCGTGGACAGGCTTCTACAGTCAAAACTGTGGGATAAATGGTGTCCTCTGCGGGAAGATATCGAGCCAGGTACGACTTTGCTCTACTTCGCGGCTGAGAAGAACCTTATCTCATGGGTTAAAAGGATCGTTATGAGCTCAAATCAGTTGGATGAACCTGGTGGTCGGCTCGGATACCCCACTATTGTCGCTGCCAACCAAGGAAACACGGAAGTGTTACACCGACTGCTCGCAGCGGGCGCCCAGCTTGATAGCCGCGACTACTATGGACGAACCGTATTTCATCATGCAGTCTTATTTTCAGACTTGTCCGTGATTGACACGATCATCTATTCTCCTCGAGTGAATTTCCTGAAGCAATTGCGCAGCTCTGAATATGCGGCCTTCATAAACTCCAGGGATATGTATGGGCAGACGCCTTTACACCTGGCAGCATTCCAAGCGGGAGTCTCAGTCGTCGAGGCATTATTGCATTATGGAGCAGACAACCAAAGTACAGATAATGCAGGCAGAACTCCCGTCGGTGTTGCAAGCGATGATGATGTGCGTGAAGCAATTCTGAGATGGAACTAGCCGGCTGCTGAAGGACTTGCTGCGAGTACGGAATGGGAAACGATCTCGTGGCCAATCTAACTGATAAATTCGATGTTTTGATTCACATGGCATGTGGTAAATGTACATATTATTCCGATATCGTAGAATGTTCCTACAAGTCATAGACATGGACGGCACTTGGTCCTTCCCCCTCTCCGTCACCATATATATGTATAAAACTCAATGTACCCGGATGTGGGGAGTGAATGTCATTTCCTATTTCCAGCAATGTCAAGACACACCCGTTTTCGTTGTAGGTATGGCGTGCGAATTCAACCTGGTTTAACCCCATGGTGAGTGAGTGAATAAGGACAAATGAAGTCAAATGAGAACAACTCTAAAAATATGAAAAAAAAAAAAAACCTAATCGGACCTTGGGCTATAAGCAGAGCTCACTCAGAATCTCGATTACTGTATACATACATATATATATATATGAAGCGGACCGAATCCAAGTCGTCATGGTAAGCAAAGTTCAGCTGAGGTAAAGTAGGCCACTTGTAGTTATACAGTTATGTGCGTTCTTGTGATTAGAGCTATACGCGTGTTCTGCCACATCCCATGTATCATTGTCCTTGGAAAGCAAATGCACTGGAAGGCCCCGATTTAAAATGGCCATTATCATCGCCCACGTTTTTTCCGCCTTCTCGAGGCTGAGTAGTGGGTTGTCGAGGACTTTAACCTGTCCTAATTACGGAGAACCTTAACCGGCCGATTTCTAAGTATCCTTGTCTTTGGAGCAATGCTGGTACTCATTAGGCGTTCAAGAACAATGATAGCACAACTCAATTTGTAAAAGGAACAAATACACACTGTGAAAAAATAAATCAAGAATAGCCATATTGGAGCTAGTAGATCCTTCGCGAACTCCTCAAGACAGACGGAGCCTGGTGTAACTTTCTGACCTGCCTGTATAAGTCAGCTCCACTCGGAACTCCGTTTGAGTCCGTCCATCTGACGAGATACTCGACCGAGTCGGACATGACAGAGGAAGAAGAGGATACTCTAGATACTAGCGGAGTGTAAATTTTAGGCCATAATGGCTTACCATGTCCCAGGGAAAAGAAAGATTGGTCCGCATAGGAAAGGGCCATGTTTGATTCCGTGGGCTAACACAACATCACCCGAGATGCCCCACACTCAGGGGAGCGTTATCCGAGACGGATGTAGTATAAGGATTGCCAGTGGACTATAGCCATTTGCCATGGAGCGCATTTGTATCTGATGCAAAGACTTCTGTGCAAATCAACCCTTTTCAGAGCACTTCCTTGACCAAATCAACGAAAATGGTAAATATCAAAACCAAGTCGGACTACGTCATCACCGACAACTTCAAGCCCGGGCCAAAGAATGGCCATCTCTCGGTAAAGGACCCCAACTTTGCAGAGGTCGAGGCCGCTACAGTCGAGGCCTTGGCGCCACTGTGGGAGGCCGCGGTGCCCTTGGACAAGTTCAAAGAGGGCTGGGTCACGGCGCCGCCCGCCATACCCGACGGTTGTCCCGAGCCAGGAAAAGATGTATTCATTTCCCAGATGAAGGTAACGGTGCGGGACGGTACCGAAATCGAAATCCAGATCTACCGACCGCCCGAGCTGCGGACTGACGCTGCGCTGGTATTTCGGATGCATGGCGGAGGTTGGACTGTGGGCAGTCATGTAATAGAGGAGGCAGAAAATCGATACCTGGGCGCGCTGCCCAATGTCGTGGTTGTGAGCGTTGATTACAGAATGCAAGTCTACAAGCCTGCGATTTCATGGCGATTCACCTGTTCCCCCTTCGCAACTGACAAGGAGTTCTAGGGCGCCAGAGTTTCCCTATCCATACCCGATTGAAGACTCGTGGGACGTTCTCAAATGGGTAAGAGAAACTAATTCTTCCAGTCATCTAGGTCACAGCTAATGAAGATGATAGTGTAAAGTACATGCCAAGTATCTGGGAGTCAATCCCGAAAAGATCATCTTGGCCGGCAACAGTGGAGGTGGAAACATGGTACGCGTCCATTCTCACGGTCGGTCAAGGACTCCATACTAATGCGATACTGGGGTGGGAAAAGGCTGCATGCTTGGCGATCAAAGCCAGAGACGAGGGACTCACCGGAATTGTAGCACAAAGTCTGGTGTTCCCAGTAACATGCCACCCCAAGTTCTTCTCCGAGGTACCAAACAAGGAGAAATATGAGCTCTTGAGCTACAGTCAAAATCACCAAGCTGCAATAGTCGACAGCTATAGAATGGAGTTCTTTTGGGATCAGTACGTGGGCACTGACCCCAAGCCTGACCCTGGACACTCCCCTCTTCTCCACCAGCTGAAAGACCTAAAGGGCTTGCCACCTGCATGTAAGTAGACATGGTTCCAGCGCTGACTCGAGCCCGAGTAGCTATAATGTGACTGACGCTTTGAAAGTTGTTCATGCGGCAGGTTTGGACCCGTTGAGGGACGAGGGTATCGCGTACGCAGAGGCGCTCAAAGCAGCAGGAAACGATGTGCAACTGGCTGCTTATCCGGGGCTGCCTCATTGTTTCTACATGTTCGTTGGGTTCAAGCAGACAAAGGACTACTTCGAGCGTGTGATTGGTTTTGTAAAGAAGCACGCAGATGCAGGACCTGGGCAGGCCAAGAGTATGTTATAGAAGACAACCATTGGGCTGGTTGGAAGACAAAGCGAGACTAATTTCAGTTGCAGGTCATATCTAGCGATGTAGTTTCCAACGTACCCCTTCTTCAAAACTATCACATCCTTGGACGAATAGAAAAAGTGCCATTACTGCACAGAAGACATTGAGCCCATGCATCTTTTGAAGTTTCCCCTCTTTGATGCAAATCGCTATCCACCCACCCGGTGGGCTTCTATGCCGGGCGCAGGCAAATCCAGCGGCTTGATTGGACTGATGAACTGTGGATGGCTAGGCCCTCATATCATGCTGCATAGCTACCAGGGACTCGTTATATTATGCCATAGTATGTAGGTTTGCGCCCACTGCTCATTCAGGAAAGACACCCGCTATTCTCAAAATATATATGCATGAGCACGCACACATACATAAATATTGGCCGGAGCCTCATTCCATCTGATGAAAACAATGTCTCCGCCCAATCTGCAGTATCTCTGACAGACTGCGATAAATCACTCTTGCTTCTTGCTTTTCAATCACTCCCTCCTGAGACCTATTGTGACGCATCTCTCACCTGTCACTCATCACATACCTAAGGCTGAATTCAGCTCGACTGCGTGAGTCCAACATGGCACTCAATACATCATCCATAGACGTTCTGCGGTCGCAAGCTGAAACGTATATACCGGCACTGCGTGATTACCTTGTCGGCATAAAAGACGACAAAGTCTCCATCGTGCTACATGTAGCCATCTTATTCATCACGAGCTTGTTTATGCTCTTTGTGCGCCGGCGCTACTTCTCGCCAGTCAGCCATATCCCAGGACCCTTTCTAGCATCATTCTCCCGACTATGGCACCTGAAGCAGATCTATGGTGGGAAACAGAATCTGAAACTACTCGAACAGCATGAGAAATACGGTATGCTGACTTTTCAAATTGGTTCTCCATTCAATAGCGGTTGCATGCTGTTACTAACCTTCAGTTGGCAGGACCATTTGTTCGAATGGCTCCAAATGAGATTAGCATTACTCATCCAGACGGGGTGAAGAAGCTCCTCCTGGCCACGCTTCCAAAGGTGAGTCAAGACCCTTTGGTGATTTGCAGTATCCATGCCTTGAAAAATACACTCCAACCTTTGTTGTCTTCTTCTTACGATGATTGATTATAGGGCGATTGGTACCGGATTGTTTGCTTCCCAGACTACCGGTTTACTACGCCATTCTCCATGGTCGATCCAAAAGAGAAAAATGAATGTTCCAAATACCTATCCACGGGCTATCTGCAGCATAACATTATCAAGTCAGAGCCTGCTCTGGACGTCGACATTGCCAAGCTATTTGACTGGATGAACAAGTTTGCAGACGAGAAGAAGCCAATGGATCTGGACAAGTTTTTCACCTATGTCGCATTTGATATCACTGGCGAGGTTGTGTTTTCCAAGCCTTTTGGTAAGTCACGTCAACGTATACTGGGAGAAAAGCAATCTGACCATCTCCCCTGCCTAGGATTTATGGACAAGGGCGAGGATGTCCGCGGCTCCATTGCCATGAACTCGGCAATGGAGGTTTATATTGCTTTTGCCGGATATTTCCAGTGGCTACATTCCTTGTTCGCCAACCCCTTTACCACGTGGCTAGCTATCCTCCCCATGGGCCACTTGTTTGATACTACCATGACGGCTCTGAGCGAGCGGCAGAAGGACCCCGAAGCCAGGCATGATCTTGCAGCACACTGGTCAGTACTCTACCCATATTCCTACCGACATGTGTGTTGTTAGCCGCAGACTACCCTCCACAAAGGACTTCGATTCGAGTAGAAAACGAGTGGATGAATAATTAACCCATCGCAGGTTCAAGGGTCTAGAGAAATCGAAGGAAGATAAGTCAAAACATTTCAACCTAAGGTGTCTTCAGGCATTTGCCACGGCAAACGTAGGAGCAGGATCAGACACGGTATCTGCAGGTCTACAGAGTTTTGTGTGAGTTGGCCATGTTTGGTGTATTCCGACGAGATCAACCAGAAAGAAATGATAATTAGAAAAATTCTCACTAACCAGTCGAAAAGTTATCACCTTCTCCGTCATTCCGACGGGTGGCAAAAGATTGCAGCCGAAATCGCCGACGCGCGCAAACAAGGACGTTGCGGAGGCCATGTCATATCCAACGCCGACGCCGTCCAGCTTCCCTACTTGCAAGCCGCGCTCAAGGAGGCGCTGCGCATGTTCGCACCCGTATCCAGTATGTCATTTGTAACCCAAGAGAACTACTCCGGTGTGCCTTGTCCTTGTCTGACCATCATTTTTTCACATCCAGTGGGTTTGCCGCGTGTCGCGCCAAAGGGCGGTATCCAGATTGGCGACCAACACTTCCCCGAAGGTGTCACGCTCACCGTGAGTCCTGCTGTTACACACTTGTCCAAGAGTCTCTGGGGTCCAGATGCGCAGGCGTTTCGTCCGGAGCGGTGGTTCGAGCCCGACGCAGCGGCTAAAGAAAGGTATTTTATACCGGTGAGTGATTCTGGTGCCTTGCGATCCGACACGTTAGATGGAACTTTTTTGCTAATGATTTGGTTTCTTTTTCGCACAAGTGGGGAGTTGGGTATGCCTCATGTCCAGGACAGCATATTGCCAAGATTCAGCTGTCCAAGATTGCTGCCACTATTGTGCGCGACTATGACATTCGGCAAGTAAACCCTAGCCAGGACTGGTCATATAGTGCATACTTTACTGCTGTACCGCATGATTGGCCCGTTTTTGTAACGAAGCGGTAGGATTCTGGAACGGACGGTTGTGCCATCGGCAGTAATCGGACAAAATGTTGGCAGAAGAAATTGAATGATGGTATCGATGCTACAAATATTTCACAAGATGTGTCCGAGGAATCAAAACTATGACTTCCCATTGAGCACACTGTCAACAAGCTCTGCATCCTTCAACAGCTGGGCATCTCCAAGGCGAGGACCAACGATCTGTAGAGCCACCGGAGCGCCCTTGAAAAGCTCGGGATCATCTAGAAACAATTTAGCATTGACGCTCTCTTTAATAGCGGGCATACGTACACAATGCCTGATTCTTGGCGTCCGCTTCATGTATGGGCTTGAAGTCTTTGTCAACCGGGTCTTTCTCTGGGTCGGCATGAGAAAATGGTACGATGACCGCCGGATACTATTTTTAATGCATTAGCAGACTTCTTTGTGGATATGAGAGTGTAAATACTTACATCGACTGCGTTCCAAGCCACCGTGTAGATATCACTAGTCCAATCGCCAGGCCTTACAGCAGTATGTGGACCGGCTGGCGCCAGGACAATATCGCATCCCACCCTCTGCCACTCGTCGAGCATCTGTTTCTGAACTTCGCCCTTCTTCGTGTTCCACTGCCACGCCTGTTCTTGGCTCTTTCGCGGTATGTCCCAAAATCCAATGTTGAGCACCGAGCTCACTGGGGGCTCGCCAGTCTTGGCCAGCTCTTTCTTCTGGTACGATAGGGCGTCCAGAGTGAATAGCTGTTCAGTGATCTTTCGGATCTCGAGAAAATCCGGCGGCGTGAAATTGCGCACTTCAAAGCCAGCGTCTTTGAGCTTGGCCACGGCCTCCTCGATACCACGACGAATGGGCGGGTGAGGCGTCAAGCCAGATCGATGGATCACGCCGACAATGGGCTTCCGAGAGGACGTTGGAATTTCCATAATGTTGGGAATAACGGCCGGATCAAAGCGCCAGGGTTCCGCCCGTCTTGCTACTTGCGCAATGAGCGACAGGTCGCGCACCGAATGGCCCAGAGGGCCCGTCACGGCTGGGATGCCCGTATTGCTCCCTGCCCACCCAGAGTAGGAGTAGCCAATCATTGGGATCACACCAAAACTCGGTTTGTAGCCGTACACGCCGTTGGCAGCGGCGGGAATCCTGATTGAACCGCCCACATCGGTGCCAATGCCCACGGCGCTGCCGCGAAATGCCTGCGTGGCACCCTCGCCGCCACTGCTGCCTCCGGACGTCAAGTTGCTATCGACGGGATTCTTGGTCCGTCCAAAGACATTATTCTCGGCTTCGGCGACGAGCATGGTCTGTGGTACGTTTGTCTTTGAAATCACAATCGCACCCGCCGCTTGCAACACCTGAGCTAACGGCGACGTCGTCGTAGCTGGCTGACCAACTCGCGACAAGTAGCCATTAGTCGAGTCGTACCCTTTAAAGTGAAAGCACTCTTTGAAAGTCATAGGAATGCCGTGAAGGGGCCCTACGACTTTGCCAGTAGATTGAAACGTCTCGTCGAGCTTCTTGGCTTGCTCGAGTGCGTCTGCAAACATGATCTCCGTGAGAAAGTTGCAAAGCTGGTGGCCCACAGCTGCTCTTTTGCAGAATGCTGTTGTGACTTCTACTGCCGAGTATTTGCCTTTGGCGATGGCGGCGCTCAGGGACGTGGCATCGTATCCTTTGCCTGTGATTTCGAGCTCCTTGTCCGTGAGGAGTCCACAGGTGTCGGCGACGGATCTCAGATCGCGAGTCCCCTCGGGTGGGAGTTGATCAGACTTGAGCTTCCATTCTGAAGGGATCCGCGAGTCTCGTTCCGCTTTCTTAGCCGCCGCTAGATCTTGCCATGGTTGTATTGGGTGCGCAGACATATTGAAAGCAGCCTCTACTTATGGATGAAGTTTATTGGTAAGTTTTCGGTTGCTGGTCCAATGTAGAAAAGAAACAAAAGTGACCAGGCTGATATCTGGAGGTACCCGAGGTGGTATGCCGGTTATGAATGCTCCGCACCGAGATGATCGGAGTTATTTGCGTCTCCACCACTGACGCAGCGTGAATCCTGCAGTTATCACCTGCTGTCGTCCCCTCCACAATCGCACCATCAGCAGGCTGTGATGCGGAGGTGGCAAGGGCCGACAGTCTTGACTCTTGATGTTATTAGAGTTGATTAATCGATCCTCGCCACGCATTCCTTGGTTGTAACTACTCGATATAGATGATAAACCCCGAAATTCGACGGGATTGAAAACGCTTCTCATCATCCTGATCTGTATTTGAATAACATGATTGTATTTCATGGTCAGACTTATCTTATCAGATCTTATCTATTACATCTACGCAGCAACTTGCTTGCCTCTAGGCTGGCATGGATGATGGAGTGGTAGGCGGGGTACCCCGTTGTCGGCACTAGAACGACATGGGTTTTCGTTATTGCCAGTCGTACGAATAATGCAGTGCAGTCGCAGGACGCTGGCTAACCTTTATACAAGCTCTGCAAAGACACGCTGAAGCAGTATGTCCATTACGATCAGAACAAGGCCGAGGTATATACCATGAATGCCAGATACGATCTGCACGAGTCCTTTTGGAACTTTCAATGGTTAGAAGAGATGATTTCTTTTCAAGACAATTTCTAGAGCTTGACCCATCAAAGAACATGTTGGTGTTTGTGTCGTCGTTCAAGGATCGAGAAATATCATTGGATGTATCAAATATTGTATACCATTATACGGCTGATTGAAATAGAATGTGTTTATTCTGTCGATCTTCATTTGACCGGCCCAGCAAGTTGAGCGATTGCTTACCTAAATATGAAAGAGGTAAATAGAAGTGTACAAAACGGCTAGATATCCGCAGTATAGTTGAGCAGGTGGAACCAAACTGCGGATCCCGCCATCTCAAATAGCTGTTCAGGGTCTGTCGTGACATCGGAGATCTGTCTATATACACTATGTTGCCAAAGTTTTGACCATTTGGTACATGCCTTGTAATTCCTCTCATAAATGTCACATGATTTTGAGTCGCGGGCCTTGATACATATCACAGCAATAAACTAGCGAGCATCCTGTAGCTCGCCTGACTGTTATGCGCCAGAAGGGAGAATGTGAAAGTAGGTAATCTTCAAACTCCCTAAGCTTGGCATGTGGCGCATTGAGCGGTCAAGGAGAATGAGAATACGGATGGTTTGCTGATGAGAACAAATAGTTGAAGCAATTATTTGAGCAGCAAGCTTTAACGAGTCGGCAGCTTTTTGGTGGTTGAGCGTTAGGTAACGACGAGAGATGTGATTTAAGCCTGTACCCTGTGTGCTCGAGTCAATCGCGAGGCGACAACGTGACCTTGGTCAGCTATTTTAGTTGTGATCCCCTCCCAACACTGCTGCTGGCCATGTGTGGGATGTGACTGGAGGGAACTCTTCACGTGTTTACTCTCCAGATCAATCAGGCCGACACATGAAAAATATCATCCCGACCTGTCGTTACTCTGAAGATAAGCCCATGGGCTATACCCCAGAGCGCATATGAGCAGGGATGCTGCTAATTTGTACCTGCTGTTAAATGCTCGCGAATGCTACAGGTGCATCCAACATTGACCGAAACATTATGGCCACTCATTAATGTCAACCACGCGGCAACTGTTTCAACAAACGGCCGAGGAATATGATGAGGATATTTATTCCTATCAGCCTAATATTTCATTTCTTGAAACCAGTAATAATATGTATTTTATTTGCAGATGACGTCGAAGAGACCTACAATGGCTGTTATGCACTGGTCATTACAAGACTAATAAGCTGGAGGTACCATCTTGTAGGCACGGGGGGAAATGCGGGGCATGACACCTCTAAACGTAGCAGCGGACGGACTCGTGGGGTGGAGGATCATTTTCCTTTTCGCTCTTACCTAAAGGTTGGCCCTCCTGCGCCTAGCTTTGATGAACTTCCTATCCAATCACCAGTGATAAAAGCGTCGCACGGCGTCGTCCCTGGGCATCTCCTAATCTTCGCCTTCCGGTTACCGATTAGTACGGGCAGCGCTGGAAAAGGGACGAACCGCCCACGCGCCGTCGCCAGTGGCTCTGCTTTGTCTGTCCCTTTTTGCCTCCGAATTCATGCGCTCTAGGAGGCCCTGGCCTGGCGCTATGCCCGCCTGAGTTGGATGTCTCAACCCTGTTCCTACCGCCCCAAAGAGGTTTCTCCAGCAAACCAAGAGGACCCTTAGGCCCTGCCCGGCGTGGCTAAGCAGATGTCCTCCCCTCCTAGGACAACAAGGTATCACACTTCCACGGTCAGTCGACCTGACTGGCAGACTTGCGCATGCAGGTTCAGCGACCAGCAGATTTCATTGCAACGTTCTGCTCAATGGAACCTGACACACACACGCCCACACCAGGCTGAATGCCCTGAAAAGGAGTTTTTGAATGGCTGTATAAGTGGCCATCGGAGCGGGTCGTCTTTTATAAATTATATAGTCCCAAGGCCCGGCCCCAACGATGCTCTCATATGTCCAGCGATTACCTGAGTATGCAGACATCTGTCATTCTAAGCCTGATTTCCCCCAAAGCATAACCTTCTCCGTCAACAGGAGGGTTTTATCGAAAAGACTGTCTTTTCGCAAGGCAACCGCTGTGTAGAGTCAAGGTTGGAGAGTGCAGGATATAAGAGCGCAGGTTTCGAGCGACTTCCCGTCAGCTTTGATATTGTTGAGCAAATACATTGCAGACATCAGAGAGCCCAGACAGAGCCATGAAGGTCACGATCGCAGCCAACATCCTGGTTTTAGCGGCCGCCACCGGGGTCTGGGGTCTTGACTGTAATGGCAACGCCGCACTATGCGACCGCAAGTACAGCAATGTCAGCTTCATTGGGGCCCACGACTCGCCCTTTGTGGGTATCCTACCAACGCAGAACCAGCTCCAGGACGTGACAGCGCAGTTGAATCAAGGCGTACGCTACCTCACAGCACAGACTCACGACAAGGACGGCGCCATCCAGTTGTGCCATACCTCGTGCGCGCTGCTCGACGTCGGGATCTTGCAGGACTACCTGGCCGACATCAAGACGTGGCTCGACGGCAACGCGAACGAGGTGGTGACACTCTTGGTCACCAACGGGGACGCGATCGATATTACCAAGTTTGGCGATGTCTTCTCAGCTGCCGGACTCGCCTCTTATGCGTACACACCCGGTGCCGATCTGGCTCTGGCCGACTGGCCAACTTTGGGCACACTCATCGCTGCCGGATCGAGGCTTGTGGTCTTCATGGGTAAGTATTACTTTGTCATGATTTATGTAAAATTACATCTTACAGTGAATGATAGATTATCATGCGGATACGTCAAAGGTCGGATATATTTTGGACGAGTTCAAGTACTATTTTGAAACACCATTTGATCCCACAGATGCCAGCTTTCCTCAGTGTGATGTGGACAGGCCGTCTGGCGCATCAGCTGATGGGCGCATGTTCATTGTCAACCACAATCTCAACCTGGAGCTTTTGCCAGATGTACTGATCCCTAACCTGGCCGAGGCGGGAACAACGAATTCGCTATCTTCGATCCTGGCACAATCGGATATTTGCATCAGCAAGTACCAAAGAGATCCAAATGTTGTTCTAGTAAGTCGCCTTGAGCAAAATCCCGTGACCTCGTTTATGAGATCTTTGAGCTGACACAAGAATAGCTCGACTATACTAGTATAGGAGATGGAATTGCCGCTCAAAATGAGCTCAACGGTATATAAGAGAAGAATTCCGGCTCACAGCAAGCATGTTTTATGCCTTTTTGATTTTGTTGAAACATATATAGTCCATCACGCCGAGCGATGTTGATTATTTAGTTGATAGCATTATACACATTTTCGCCATTAAACAAGTCACCACTACCTAATACGTCCAAATGTGAAAATACAGGATGCTGCCATCTACCGAGAGCCGCGCAACGTCTGGACAAACTAGTTACGTTATAGCCCAAGCGCGACTAGTCTGAAATGGCATCCAGCAGCCAGTCGTAGGACAGTAAATACAGATCAATATGAAAACGTTTTCAAACTGCATGAGACATTCTATAATTACATCTCTAGCGGGTCCCTTCAGTCCTGCACCTCTTGCCGGCACCCGCAGGCCGCTTGCAGGGGCATCGGCGTCTAATCTAGTATCGGATCTCACCACAACCACCAATCAGACGGCACGCATACCAAGACACGATTATACTGGCCAATGACAAGCCAATGCCAACATTTGATTGCCGCTGCATTTCGTGTCGTGACACTCGTCGACGGCGCTTGTCTCTGCCGGCCTGCCGCTGAATCTCACTTTTCTTGCTCTTCAAAAGCTGCGGTATAGAATCGTCGTGTCTGAAAAGTAGAATTTCCTGTTCCTTTGCCACTTGTGGTTTCTGTATGCTTGCGTTGGTATCCGTGCATGCGAACTTTTTTTTTCGATTCTCTCCTTTCTTGATTGATTGCAGTGCAATCTCCTTCTCTATAAAATAATAATATCAGCATCGTGGGACATAGTGAAGCGCATCTTTGAGCAGTCGGCGAACAATCTCCTTTCATATCACCATGCGTACTTTCAGTCTTGTTCCCCTGGCGGGAATTTTGTGTAAGCTGAACATGACACTTCTCAATTGCCAGTCTCTCGACACTGACATGACTTCTTCAGTATCATATCTCGCCGCCACTATACAAGCACAGACAGAAACAAACACCACCACAAACAGCGATATCCCGTCGCTATTCATCAGCCCAAGCAATGATCTGGCCTTTGCCCTCAGCGTGCCCAAAGACTCGTCGACGGATCTGTACTTTTCGCTCATGTTTCCCAAATCCGTCACTTGGGGCGCCATTGGTCTGGGCACGTCCAAGATGGCCGGCGCGCTCATGCTGGTGGCCTACTCGTCGTCGTCGGGCGACAACGTGACGCTCTCGCCGCGGATCGCGTCGGGCCACTCGGAGCCCGTCCACACGACCGACATTCGCGTCGAGGCCCTGGACGGCACGGGCCTGGTCGACAATGCCCGCTACGTCTTTCTGGGCCGCTGCGCCAACTGTCGGTCGTGGAACATAAATGGCCGGGGCGGCGACGTCGACGTCGAGAGCAAGGCCCAGAGCTTTGTCTACGCCACGGGTCCCGACGGGGATATCCGCTCCGACGCCCTGGATGCCCCCCTCAAGATGCACCTCAACTACGGCACCTTTACCCTGGACATGGTGCACGCGACGACTGCCGACGCTGCGGCGCCTACCATCACCATCAGCAACAGCACCGATCTGGTGGCGACCACGCAGGGTCTGTCCGTCCTGGGCAAGAGCGATACCGCCGCTCGGGCCCATGCCATCATCATGGTCTTGTGCTTCATCGGGCTCTACCCGTTTGGCATCCTGGTCCTGCGCCTCGGCAACTGGGTGCGTTGGCATGCCGTCAACCAGGGCCTGGCACTCATTGGTGTCATTGTCGGATTTGGCCTGGGTGTGCATTCCAGCTACTTTTATAACAGGGTAAGCATGGTTTTTATTCGATACAGGAAGACGATTGTGAATACTAACAAAATCATCCTCAGTCCAAAGGATTCAAGAGCGGTCATCAGGTGCTCGGTATTCTGCTGTTCATCTTTGTAATTGGACAGTTTGTGCTCGGCTTCATGCATCATCGAATCTACAAAAAGACGCAGCAACCGACCAAACTCGCACCTGTACACGTATGGATGGGCAGGGTTATTATACCTGTGGGTGTAATCAATGCGTTTCTGTAAGTGCTTCTCTTTTTTTTATGACTCTCGTACAATGTGTCGCCGCAAGAAGGGAACAGTACAGGGAGCCTTTTGAAAGCAACTCACCAACACGTTTCACAGGGGCTTCCGCTTCGCCCAAAGCCCTCAGTACAATTGGGTGCTCGCGGGCCTGGTCATCTTCCTCTTCCCAGCCATGGCCCTGATCCTCTTTACAAAGCGATGCATCTCGAAGCGCTGGAACCAGACCAAAGCCGAGCCTGGGCAAGACGGCCAAGGTGGTGGTTACAACATGGAACCCTGGAGGCCAGAGACGCAGACTGCTACCGACGGCCAGCAGAATGCAGCGCCGCCACCAGGACCGTACGGTCTCAGTCAGCATGGCGCACCTGTTGGACTACAACAGCAACAGCAACCAGATATGCGGTCATACGCAAACTATAGCTACCAAAGCAGTAGCGCGTATAAAAGGCCAGATTTAGGTTCACAGCAAGAGGCCCGAGAATAGTAAGTTTTCCCAGAGACATGTGCCAGCTCAATTGATATAGAAATCTATGAAAGTTCACTGACCATAAGTCTATAGTGTTTAAAGTGGTTCTGTATCCACGGAGAAGATCATGAACCTTCCAACATTGATGGGTCTGGCTGCTTGCCTTTTCCCAAAATGGCTGATATTTTTGGTTGCAATAATCATGACGGTTATAGGATCTCTGAGCGAATCTCTTGAAGAAGCAACATTTCTTGCAATTGTTAGCAGGCACTTTGATCAAGACACAATTCATCTAGGCATCAAAGAGCAAAGTTCTGGTCCTTTGATCTTGTGAATTATATAGTAGACCTATAATATCTCGCCCTTGCCACTTTCTAAGCCGTAGCATCAGGCAGGAGCAGCAGTGTCTAAAACTGCGTAAACACATTCCAACACCTCCATTTTCGTCATTGATCATGGTTCATATCTATCTAAGGGGCGATTTGGGGTGGCGCCTCTATACCATCAACACCGATATCGTAGAAAGTGGCCGTAAATGTGCTGTCGGTGCTACACAGGTATAGCAAGGACGCTATGCAGGCGTTCTCGAAAATATAAATGTGGTATCGCTTCTCGTCATTACAACACGCTCTTTCTCCTTTCCACAATTACAGAGTCATCCCAAGGCTATCTCAAAGCCGTCAGCGCCAGATTCTGATTCGAGTAATCGCTCAGTGTCCCGTACGCGTATATATCCTTTCAATCATAATAATCCACCTCCCCTCGTGTTTCTCGACTGCTGTGCTCTTGTCTTGACGAAAAAAAAAGAGCTACTCCAGAGTTGCGACAGAAACACTAATACCCAAGAAGTCATATGACGAAAAGTCATGCCCTCCAAAAGGTAGCATCCAGGTCACGCCTCATGAAAGAAGCAGCTAGAATGGAAGATAGTCGTAACCTGCAAGAGATCACTAACGCATAGCATCCTACACTCGGCGACTCATGGCGGCCGTAGCGCCAGCCGATGCGAGGTCTTGCTTGGCACTAACACTGCGTCCAGCGACGCGAGGTAAACTACTGCCTGGTGCGGTAGTTCCTGAAAGTCCGCTCTGACCAGTGCTTGTCCTCTTGATGCCTCCTGAAGTGAAGGGTCCAGTGATACCAGAGGCGCCTCTAGCTGCTGCAACGGGCTTGTGCGGCGAAGGACCCATACGAGGGACAATCCTGTTGGTGGCTGCTGGCGGGTCAGGTAGAGGTCGGGGAGCCGAAATAGTGTTGTGACGCTTCATTGGCGATGCTTCACGTGCTACTGCTGCCACTCGAGCCATGGATGATCCAGCTTTCTGGCCCGTAATGAATTCATGTCGCACGGCCTCTTCTGGCTTGATACGCCGATCCGGATCCCAGCGCAAACACTTGGACAGGAAGTCCAGGAAAGGCTCGTCGTCGCACTTAAGGACCTGCTGGAGAGTCTTGGAGGATGGCCTCCTTCGCCGCCCTTTGCTGGACACTGTCAAACGCGGCTTGCCCATGGAATCAAAGAAAAGCTTCTTCCGAGTGCTCTTCTCAATCAAATGCTTTTCGGGTGGCCCAAACACCTCCATAATGCAAGCGAGCTGCTCTTGCTCGTTCTCTCCCGGGAAAATTGGCACTCCAGTGTAAAGTTCGGCGAGAATACAGCCGACACTCCACATGTCAATGGGCAGTCCGTAAGTCATACCAAGAATAACTTCGGGGGAGCGGTAAAATCGGGATTGAATGTATGTGTATACCTTTTCGTTCTCGAAGCAGCTTGAACCGAAATCAATGACTTTGAGTTCAGAGTGCATGGGATGCCTCAACAGGATATTCTCCGGCTTCAGGTCACAGTGGATGACCTTATGCTGCTTGAGCAAGGTCAAACAGCTGAGCATTTGCTTGGTGAAGCGCCTGACTAGCTTCAAAGAGGAGCCGCGGAAATTGTTCAACTTGATGAACTCGTAAAGATTCATGTCGAGGAGTTCAGTGGAAATGCAGAGATGGCCTCTAAAGTAGAAGCTGTGTGTAAAGTTGACCATGCTGTGCTTGTTCTTCGGGTCCCATTCGCGGATCTTTTGCAAGATATTAACTTCGACAAGAGCCTGCTGGTGGAATCGTTTCTTGTTTCGTATAATCTTGACAGCGACAAGCACACCCGTCTTGTGGTCAATACAGCGAACGACCTGGCCAAAACTTCCCTTGCCCAACACATCCACGATTTCGTAGCGATATGAAAGATGATCGCCAACAACGATGGAATAGTCACCACGCTCATCATCATATCCAAAGTTTGGCGCGCTGGACGAAACGTCGCCCTTTACTTTGGCTGCGTTTTGCGTTCCACAGAAATAAATATCCTTGTAGTCAATGATCTCGCCACGTTCGTATATGTTGAGCATGGCAATGCGGATTGCTTCCTGAGGCCCAACGCGCTCCTTCGGTGTGGCCCGCTTGCGGAGGGCATCAAGAGTCCTGGCTGCCAACTCGGTTTCTCTCCTTTTAGATGCAATTTTCTTCATCTCTTCATCGGCCAGGAGATCGTCCTTGTCCACATCGGCGATATATGTTTCTGGTTTGACAGAAACTGTTGATGGTCTCGGGCGCAACAATCTTTGCATGGAGGGGGCCCTTGAAGCAGTGGTTGTAGTCTCGATCATCGAGCTGTTGCCGACTTCGAGAGAATTCTTCTTGACATTAGCGATGGCGTCATTTTTACCCTTCTCTTGTGCCATGACAGCCGTCAAGCTAGATGCAGAGCTCTTTCTTCTTCTTGATTCGAGATACGAAGTGGAGGGCTTGCCGGCATGGTTTGGACTAGAAGCCTTCATTGAACCCAAAGTGGCTGAAATTGGAATACGTGGCGGGGGCATGCTTTCTTGGCGTGCATGATCTTTACCATTATCCACCGAGCCATGAGCTTGGTGGCTGCTGCTCTTTGAGGCACTTCGTTTCCAAGAGAGACTCAGCTTTCGCCTCAAGGTGCTCATAGACGACGGCGTTTGCGGCTCTTGAGGTTCTTCGGGACTCGGGACCGGTGACTTTGTAGACGTCTTTGCCAGCTTGGGCGCCCTAGGGCCAGATGGCTTCTGTTGAGGTCTAGGTTCCGCGGCTGTATTGGCATCAGGTGGCAGCACCGTACTGTTGCTACCATTTGTTTTCGCTTTTGCCAGGTTTGCACCGAAGGTACTTTCATTCTTCGGTAGTGACGAAGAGAGGAAAGGAGAAATTGCGGGCTTCTGCGATGGTGTATCAACAGGCAGGTCCGGTATAGAATCCGGCGAGCTGTTCAAGCCACCTGTGGGACTATCCAATCGGCTATGGTGCACTGCAGTATTGGAGCGCTGAGCTGGCTTCTCCGGGTCCCGATCCTTGTGGCCACGAGAGAAGAAACTGCTTTTTGATGCAGTCATGGGAGTGGTGGGCGTTTTGGCGATTATCCGGTTGGGCGGCGGGCTAACTTTACCATCACCATTGCCTACGTCTTTGTTGTAAGACGCAATCTTGGCAGCTGTCGGCGTACTGAGCGGCCCTAGGTTGAGCGGTGGTAGTCTCAAAGGAGCCAAGTTCTTCTTAGGCTGCGCAGGAGCAGATGTTTTCTTCTCTCCATCCGAGGTGGCACCACCCATGGTGGCCCTGATTTTGCGTGTACTTGGTTTCCGCTGCACCTGAGATAGCGGCTCAAAAGAGGGCGCGTTTGACAATGTTCCCGTGGAGGTACTGTTAATACTGCTGGCGTCAAAAGCATGATTCGCCTTCTTCTTCTCCATAAAAGCTACTTCGGCCGGGGAATCCTTGGGTGATTCATATGCTTTAGGAATGGCTGGAACGGGGGGTACGTCTTCCTCCTCATCAGCCGGGGCAGTGTTGCTAAGACTGGCCACTGCCTTGGGGGCCGGCAATCTCGAGTTGGACGAGTTTGGGGCATTAACACCACGTTGAATCGATCCGGTCGATGTTCGCTGGGTGTTAAAACTCGCGTTGGATGTGGCAGAGAGTCCAGAACTGTACGATTTTCGGTTGGGATCCGGTGTGGTTCTCTGCGAGGAGGGAGTGGAAGTTTTGCGCGGAATCATTGAAGGTGATCGCGAACTTGGCCGTGGGTCGGTTGACGCTGGCAGTGTACTCGCGACCTGGGACAAACTTTGCGGCTGGTGCATTGACATGCGCTTCATCCTTTGCGCGTCTGTCGGCGAAATCGTTCTAGCACCAAGACCACTAACATGAGAATTGTGAGCAGGCATAACAGAGGCTCTCCTTCCAGAGCCGGGGGTGGTGGGTGCTCCAGCTCTGGGAGAGCGCGGGAAGAGCACTGACTTGCGGTTGCCGTCAGGAGTCAGTTGACTGCCACTACTGCCTGTGCTGGACGAGAAATTGGAGGTGGACAATCTCGGTGCAGGCTGAATGGACCTAGTTTTTGTCGCTCGGGAGGACGGTGCATTTTTCGCATCTCCTCCAAATCCACTGAAGATTTCCAAAGATGTACGCGGGCCATTATCCTTGCCCTCACCACTTGAAATCAGGCTAGGTCGTCGTTTCTGAGCCGTCCGAACGCCAAAGTCAGAGTCAAGAAGTCCAGGACCAGCCGATTTTCTCGACGGCTTTGCAATGGTATTAGCATTGGAGACCGGGGGGTAGTGGCTCTGGCGACGATTTCTCATGGCGGCAGGTGCAGTGGGTGCATCAGCAATACTCGAAGAATTGGGCGCGCCAGAGGGGGCCGATCCCGCGCCGGCTTGCCTGCTGGAGTTGCTGGGCCTCCTAAGTAACGATGCTGTTCTAATCGGTCTACCTCCTACGGCTGCGGTATTGGGTGTTGGGTTCGGTTGAGCGGCGACGCGTGAACTATTGCCATTCTGGCGGAAATTCGATTGCTGTCCCGCCATCTTGTCCAGTAGGGATTTCTCGTCGAAGATTGGCCGATCCCCAGTAGGCGTAGGAAATTGGGTCAGCTTGAACTCGGAGGAAGCAGTTTCAAGACTGCTTTGGAGGTCGTCAAAGCTGACGGAGGGGAGAAAGTCAAAAGACGCCGTTGTGGTGTCGTCGCCCGCGTCACCGCTTCCCCCATGCCGACCAAAAGAAAACAGTGAGTGATTGTTGGAAGACGAGGCGCTCAGCATTGGAGCGTCGTTGCCAGTTGTAGAAACACTTGTGCTTGCAGCCGGTAGATTGTCTACCGGGTTGATGTTTTCTTTTGCACTAGATAGTGGAGAAAACGAACCACGTCAGTAAACAAGGACTTTATGGAGCACACGAGAGGGGGATCGCAAGCCATTTGGTGTCTGGCGTCTTTGCAAACTGTGGACTTTGGGGACGGGAGGTGCACATACAGTCTTGTCGGCGAGTGGGAAGCATTTGCTGGTCTAGGGCCAGCAGGGACCTTGTGATCCCTGAACATAGGAATCGTTCAGCCAGCGCCGGCCAGGGTTCCTTTGACAACGGGTTGCGGGTAAAGGGGTGGTCGACGTTGCGACAAAGAAAAAAAGAACCTGGGACAGCAGTCGACAATCTCGAGTGAGAGCTGAACGTCGGAGCGAGTGTTGTGTGAAAAGATCACCCCCTTTAGTTTTGCTTTGGTCGGTACCAGTAGTCTGGAAAGAGTGCGAACTACAGTTAGGGCGGCCCGAGCAGATGGTAGGTGAGATATCTCCTATCTGCCGCTGCCGTTGGAGTTTCCGGGTGGGCTCAGTCCGGTTAGGGAGCTGAGTTCTGTCGGGTTGTGGCTATCGCATTGCGGAACGGAGGCGCGCAGGCTGATTGATCGCGGGCGTGCCAAATTCCGGCGCGCTGGGGTGGGTTGTTGGTCAACAGAGAGAGTTGAGCCTCGACCGAAAGCGTCGGCTGCTAGAGATTGAAGTTGGTTGGATGTTTGGACATGGACCAAGAAAATAAGAAGGTCGAGGTTGCTAGGCTAAGCTAGGAGAGCCCCACCTGGCCCGAACTCACGCTTGGCTGGCGCCTGACTGGTTCGAATTGGATTTTTTTTGCTTCTCTCTTTGCAGGCGTCGCCCGGTCGCTAGGTACCTCCTGTAGAGAGATAATAAGGTAGGTTAGCAAGTAGCAGGCACAACTTTGCAAGTTGGCTGGGGCCAAATTCGTTAATCAACGTGTAAGCTGCACCTAATAACGGGCGGTAATGTACGGAGCATGTAAGGTAGACAAGCACTCCCCCGCTCCAACACGCTCATCTACACACATGATTTTAAAGTACCTACAGGTTGGGTTACACATATCCCTCCCAGCCCAGCGGTTATTGTTCTACAGGAGTGTCTGTAGGCACGCAAATGTTAACCACAAGGTTAAGTGATTGCAGCTCGCCCAATGCCCATTGCCTATCACGCGTCGAGAAGGCCAGAGAAGAAGAAAGCATGATTCCCGTACATATATGACCTGCCCTCCCTCGTGGGGACTACACAATTAGAGCATCTCATATTAACTTATTACACGGCAGCAGCTTTTTGGGGCCCGTCCACTGGCAGAATCTTATTTCTCAATTGTTACACTTTAACCCCATTGTCTCGAGTCTAATTTCACGCTGCAGCACCAAATAGCACCTAATAAATCCCCGGCCTGCCACTCGGCAGCTGTCTTGGGGCGGGACGTTTCGTGACAGCCGCCTTGTCGCGGGCAAAAAAAAGATCAAAAGACTCCATCCCTCTCGTATCCTGCCACAGACAATGTAATTAACAACTATCACGATGAGCAGCTAATTCTTTGGCCCCTTGACTCTCCAATGGATAACCCAGTCACGACTCATCTTATTACAATATCTATAGTGACATATTATCCCAGCGCAGAACTTTGGACACGAACATTTTGATAGGCTCGTTTACATATTTGCTACTCGGCAATGGCGAGATGAGCGGCCAAGTCGAGAAAAAACAAAAAGATGAAAGCGCATAAATGTCTTGCTTTGCACGCCAAGGACGCTCAAGATCTGGATATTGAACCCCCCATCTTTTTCTTCCATAAACATTTGTTGATGATCACATCCAGACACTCGATTACTAGAGTTCGCCCTATTTATTTATTTCTTCCTCATTTCACCACGCGTGACGACCAGAGTACTGATTTGACTTTGGCAGCAATGTATTGGATTACAGTCCACGTGCTTTTGGTGAAACTTTCTAGCACTGGTGAATTCTTGTTTTTGTACACACAACTATCTATTGTGACTACACGGTAATAAATTTCAATAATACATAGTTGGGTAGTATGTGGGTGTGTGCCCACAGTTTGCAATCCGTCTCAAGTCCGTGGTTCTTCCAACCTCTGTTTTGGCCTTGATCGGTCGCTTTCTTTGCCACTAATATTTATCTGCGATGATCTGGGACATGCATCATGCTTGTTGCTTAGCGACGAGCTCCAGTTCTGGAGAAAGCCACGCCAGCACGCGAGGCACGGTACAGCCATATCCATAATCTGGCGGGGTGTTGGGCAAATGTGCACATGCATGATGACAAGATGGGTGCTGGGCTCTCGGATTTCCCAGCCTATCCCGTCGCAAAAAAACATTCCCGCTTGGCCCTGATCCAACAACAACCGGAAAAGCAGTGTGCTTCCTTCCATCCCGCGCCATGTCGTATGCAAAATGGCTGGCTGCCGAGGGTTTATCATTACCGATTGGACATTGGGAATAAGGGGTTGCTTCGTTGCCGTAGTGTTCCTTGTCCCTGACATGATATTGTGGTTCCGTCATGCACTGACCTACCACACGAGGATCTGATGGCTCTTGTTGATTTTCGTGTTTTTTCTATCTTTTCTGTCTTGGAAAGACCCTAAATTTACATGTGTAATTTCTATGGTGTTGGGTCATTCCCTATCTCCCAGGCCAAAGTCGCGCTCCTGCGACGCGTCGGTCGGCCATGCCATGCTACTGTGTACACATTGAAACAACTCCACGGAGATTTGGGCAATATCTGCCCTTATTACATGCCCGATCACATCAATGCGTGGAGTCTCAACCTAGTCAAATGGAAGCCCAAGGGAGATTTGTTTACTATGGGTGGATAAGCAAAAATCACAACGAAGACCGAGTTAACAACTACGTAATGCTGCCGTTTTGCCCACATGCCATCCACACAACTTCTAAAGTAGGTATACAAGCGATACGTATTACATATTATCTTGACCAAACGGTCGGTTTCATTTTTCCTCTGTTTATTTCTTTTGTACTGTTCTTTTCGCGTGTCCCCCTTTGTTCCAAGAATCGAAAGACAATTGGGCGCGAATGTGAACCGACTTTTCTTCATCACTGACCGGGGGGGCGCGAAACCAAAAGTATACAAGATCGTCAGGGTCCTCTGTAGGTGGCCCGTCCCCTATTTCCTCATGCTGCAGAGCGCCCATTGCAGCCTTTGCTAAACCCCCCAATGAGACGACAAACCGCCACTAAAAGGAGGTGCGGGGCGTTTTTTGGATGCCACGCTTGCCACGCTGTGGGCTGCCAATCGTGCATAAGCCTCAGCCTAGTCGACCGATCAGATATTTATTGCACTGAGACAAGCATTCAAATGTCTGATCTAAATATCACCGAGAATTTCTAGAACAGCATTCATGGTCGCCATTAGTGCTTATGATTTTGATTCGCGGACCATCCTTCTTGAACATTATTCGCTGCTTGGCCCTCCAATAGTATACATCCTAAGATAGACATTCAGCTCTTGAGAATCTACATGAAGCATGAAGCAGACTGCCAGCCATGTCACCAGGTTTTATGTACAATCACTTTCCGGACAGCACTACGAGACAACAAAGGATGTAAATTTCAAAGAAATTGTGGACCAGGAAATACCGAGAATGTCATGTCAATTTTGACCACTCGGCAAAGCTCTTGTATCTAGAGCTGTAGAAAGGGTATTAAATGTGGAAACCCCGGTTACTTGAGAGTCGAATAACAACAAACTAGAAAACTAATCTCATATCCACCTCTCGGGCTTCTTCTCCTCCTTGCGCCTCAAGCGCTCTCTTGCATTCGCCTCCTTCTCGTTAAAGCTTTTCAGCGCATGGTCCTTGAACTTACCAAATTCGACACGGTCTTTCTGATGAAAGGCTTCTATAAGACAGTGTCAGATGTGACTGAAGAAGAGAATAATAGAAGGATTGGGAGCTAACCGAGCTTTGTCTTGTCAACACCTGTACCGGAGGCTGAAAGTCTGCCGACTTCATTGGCAACGGCCCTTGTGGACTGATCATATTGCCGTTGAACCTCTTGGCGGGCAGAGCCAATTTTCGAGAGATGAGTAGCAGCATCATCACAATCGGCGCTTTTGGTGAGCCCGGCAACAGTTTGATTGATTTCTTGAGTCGACTTTGAATACATTTTGTCTATCTCCCTGACGCTCGGGTCGGAATAGCCAGAGCTATAATCCATGGCGTGTAGCTTGAAAGTGAGATTTTACGAGTATGTTCAATGTGTGTGGAATATCCTTGGTGGCTAGTATTTCTAGATTCAATTTTGCGGATCTCGATGACTATTTATATTTTCCATATCCTTAGATCAGAGTTCTTCGTCACTTATGGCAGTGATAATATGGCGAGTTTCCTTGTGGTCACGATTCCTCTCCCATGTCAGTTTCTCGGATCATATGTGTGCTGATCAAGCCGGAATGTCTGTGAATCTGTTACCACTTTTGTCATCAACGTTGGGAGCTACAAGAGTCCTTTCTCTGGATCGTATTCCGTTGTATTCTTGTCGCCGTGATTGAGTTTCTTTTGCTGTAGGCAAACTGGGGCTGCAAACATCCGCCAAATACAAAGATAGAGTATATAACGGGATGCGTTGCCTTGGTGAGATATGGAAGCTCTGTCTCTCCATCAAAATGTTTTAAGACCACCATGGTACGACCAGGCTCTCCGCAAAAGAGAAAAAAACGCTTAAATAATCGTACATCAGCAATGGCTTCAAAGGCGGCGCTCTCGGAAGCCCAAAGCCTCGCTCTATATTACACATAATGCCTTGAGTTCCGAGAAATGACACTCACGGACAACTTCTTATCACAGCGAACCACTTCAATAACGGTGGCTGGCTCGAAGAAGGGCCCAGGCAGCGTCCCAAGTGCCGCTCAACAATTTTGGGAGTTAATCAAAGCTCCCGCAAAAGATGCCCGTCCAGCCTTTTGACGCATCTACCAGTACAACCATGAATCAATTCCAAGGCCGCCGCTGCAATGTGATCTCTCAATCACATCCCAGAGATGGCGCTTCTCGTGATGCTGTCAATAGTCCATGTCAACTGGCAAGATCCAATGCTTCCAGCATTCCGTCATCGACTAGCATGCTGACCTCTTGAGAAGGCCATAGTAGTAGGTCGATATCGTTTGTCGATCTTGCGAACGAATAACCACTTCTCTGGTTCGCTTTATTTTCCATCTCTTTCACATGACCAGCCTATAAATGCCCATCCAGACCAGTCCCAAGCTCGTCGCCACAATTCCAGCCTTCCTGCTCCGGACACCGAGAAAGCTCTTACTCGCGATGATCTTTGCGCGCTGTTGTTCGATCTGCGACATGCCGGAGAAGTAGCTGTATGCGCCGAGGCCGAGGAAAGCACCGCCACCTGTCATTGCAATTCGGTCAGTCTAAGCCAGGTGGAGAGTTGTTACAGCATTTGTCAAAGTCCCAGATGTTTGAGGCCGGACGGAGGTTGTCCAGACTACACTGGCCAACGCGTTCAGCTAGCGTATCGAATTACGTACCGACAATTCTGCAGCCAGCACAGTCGTCAGCGCCGTCGGCTCGGAGCAGATCGTTGAGCTTTTCTGGCTTATCAAGCTTGTAGGGCGTTTCCGTGTCTCTGGCCATTGTGAGACGTTTGCGGTGTTCCGGCGCAAGTTGAGTGTTGTGCTAACTGTTTAGTCTTGACTCGGCTTTGGTGGAACTTTTTTTCTTGGGCCCGGAGCTCAAGCTCAAGAGCTATCGGCCGACTACCGATATAGTATTCGAAGGACTGCGCTAAGCGCAATTTAGCAGATGCATTGAAATGATCCTAATCATAACCAAAAAAAGAAGAAGAAAAAAGTACGAAGAATGATTAGGAATAGATACAAAACAAAAACACATTACTATTTGAGGGTATTGACTTGTTGAATTCTGATTGTCAAATTAACCAACGCTTTCTGATGTTGTGATAATCTACATCTACAGCTTGAAATTGTTACTCGACAGAGCCTTGGCAGCCTTTGCCTTGTTACCCTCGGTGTCAACAAGCTCTCCCTTCTTGTTGATGACCTTGACACCACCCTTCTTGAGATCGCTAATGGCTTGCTGCTGAGCCTGTGCTTTGCCAGACAGCTTCTGGCCGCCAATGCCACCAGCCTTGCGTATTCTCTCCTTGGTCCTCCTCCGCCTCCTTGTCTTGTCATCCCGACTGAGCTCCTGCTTGGCGACAGGCAAGCCACTCTTGCCGACCACCTCGCCCTTCTCTGCAGTGTCCTTACCGGCCTTGTAGACCTCTTGCGGTGCCAGCGTGTTGTCGCCTCCACTGACACCTTGAGCTGTGCCAGGCTGAGCATCCTCCATGCTGACAGTCGCAACGTCGGCCACGACCGTAAGGGATGGAGCTGCAGGCTTTGGCTTGTAATGCCAGCTGCTGAGTGCATCGAGACTGGCACTCAGTTCCTTCCACATCTGCTCGACCTCCTTCTCCTCTTTACGAAGCTTCTCGTCGGCCTTGCTGACGTATGCATCTGGGTTGGCGTTCTTGACGTGTTCTTCTTCATAAATTTCGGCCAGACTCTGCTTGTTCTTCCCATCGTCTAGCTCGAGCAAGCCACGTCGAGTATTCGCCGGTCCATCAGTGTCGGGGCGCCTTTTGATGACCTCATCGAATTCTTGGGCCAAAATTCGTCGCTTGATCATATCTTCAATGCTCTCGCTGACTTCCTGTGTGATCACGGGCACTGGCTTGCCGACATGCTCAAAGTCTAGGTCCTCCTCTAGAAGCGAGTGCATGGGTCGTTCTGTAGCCGCTGCTTCACCACTTAACGTCCACTTCTTTTGTGCTACATTTTCAGCTTCCAGTTTGCGGATTTCTTCCGCCAACTTTGCCTGTCTTCTTTCGTGCGCCGACTTGCGAGATCGCGGGTCGCCAGCAGAGACCTCCGATAGTGCATCATCAGAGTTCTCCATGTCAGATTCATCTTCGAACAGATCCCTCTTGACGTCGTCCATGGCACGAGCAACGTCATCGTCGTTTGGTGCTTGGTATTTGGGAGCTCTGGGTTTTCGGGGTTTTCCGTTCTTGGCGCCCTTCTTCGCTGGCGGTGCAAAAAAGTCTTTATAGAAGACATCATTGGCGTTGAACTCGTTGTCATCATCTAGGTCACCTTCTTCTTCGTCTTCTCCCATGTCGCTATCGCCTTCGGGCGCATCCAGGTCCATGTCGCCAAACGTGGGTCCACCCTCCTCATCGTCCGAGTCAAGGTCTTCTTCGATATCATCCGCAGATTTCTTTCCTTTGGCCGAGGGTTTGTCTTCTAATGGATTGCCATGCCAATCGATCTCATCATCATCGCTTCCTGCGTCCGTGTTGGGGTCGGCTCTGGCATCTTGATTCTCGAACCATTGACTTTGTTTGTTGAATTGGTCGATGTCGAAGAAACCGTCATTCAAACCGTTGGGATCCTCAACGAGCTCAGCTTCTTCATCCTCCTCTTCGTCGCTGTCACCTTCGGCATCTTCCTCTTCGTCAAACTCGCCGAGATCACCATCGACTTGATCGTCTTCTAGACCCTCACCATCCTCCATGTCCTCTTCCTCGCCATCTAGAAGACTGCCCTCTTCTTCACCTGAAAAGTACTCTCCTTCGGCTGCAGAATCCTCTTCAGATCCAGACAAGGCGTCTTCATCGTCAGATTCAAGCTCCTCAATAGCCCCATTCACTCCATTAGTCTCCATCTGGTTGACATCTTCCAGTTCTTCAATGACTTCTTGCGAGTCTTGAAGAGCGCTGGCAATGATCCTTCTGGCTTGCTGCCAGACTTGGCCATTCTCGAAGCCATCAACGTGCAATTTCCGAATCTTCAGGACCTCGCCTTTTCCGGCGTTGCCATCGGCTCGCTTCCTCTTCTTGTGGGCTTCTTTCAGTCGTTGTTGTTGCTCATCGCTGATCTGACCTGCGTACGCATCAAGAGTCGCCTTGGCAAGCTGCAGTGAAGCATTGGACACGGAAGGGGACGGTTGTAAAAAGCTGTGACGGTTGCCAGCCTTGATGGCTTCATAGAGAGCCAGCATATCGGAGGCGGCGCCAGGTTTCGAAGAGTCGGTAAATGCGGAGAGGAACGCCATGTTTGGCGCATGCGTGAGAGTATGCGACGAAGAGGAGGAAGTGCTGCCGCCAGTATCAGCCATGGCTTTATCGAGGGTCAAGACCTGCAAAAATTATCTGGTCGGTTTTTTTGAGCCTGGGACTGTTTCTTGGCTTATCGGCAGAAAAAAAAAATCCCCAAGGATTTGGTTCACGAGCTAAGATGAAAAGTCTCCATAAAAAAAGTTGCTACAGGCTTGAGCCCCGCCATCTTGGCTCGCATAGGCTCGCTACTAGAGCTGCCCCCGACTGATGCATTCTATGAAATAATTATTTACTACGCGGGGTTCACTTATCGGCACCACGAAAAGAACGACGGCATAATGGATGTGTCCTGCAAACTGTTGTACCTCATTTTTTAAGCGTTGGGGAATCTAACCAGATTGAATGATTGAGATCAAATGTAAAAGCAATCTTTGTAATCTAATATCACCTTTGTTCTTGGAATGATATGCATCACGGCGGCACAGAGCACTAGAAGTCACAATCAATCTTTACATGAGAATGGTTGAATAGATAATAAGTAAAGCTACTAAACAAAAAACCGATTTGACTTGTGAGTTGCCTCATATAACAAAATTCCTCCCGAGTTCCTAGATTCTAAGATTCCAATACTATACATCCCGCTGAAAACATGGTGCAAAAATGATGCATAACATTGTGATTACCTAAGGTGAAGCGATTGGTATAATTTCCCCACTAGCCACAGGTGACTGGTCGCAATCCATCCAAGCCTCAGTGCACAGCGACCAACCAACCCCTGGCCGATTGACGTCTTCAGGGCTGAGTGATCTGCCCCTCCATTCATCGAGCTTCAACTTTCGTCGGCAGACCATGCTTGAAGCACATCCACCATGACGGGCGTGATAGAAGCGCTGCACATCTTTGATGAGCACAAGTAAGTTGACAGTCACAAATACCACTGCGGGGTTTGTCGGCCATCTTTTACGGCTTTGTTAACTTCCTCTTACTAGACGCGCCATCCTCTCGCACACCTACAATGCCCGACCGCTATCAGCAGCTCATCTGCTACCTCTGTACCTAGATCACCCGGCACCGCGCCCCAACTTGATTTACCTGCCCAACACGAATCCGCCAACTCTAGTCTTCAGCTTGGAGCATGCGAACTTGCTCTACCTCGCGACCGCATCCTCTGAAATCGAGCCACTCTTGGTTCTCGAATTCCTTCACCGCATAATCGATGTGCTCGAGGAGTTCTTGGGTGCGCCAGTCCTGGCTCACAAGATTGAGGCCAACTATGATGTTGTGGCACAACTTTTGACCGAGATGTGCGATGCTGGCATGGTAAATACTACCGAACCGAACGCGCTCAGGGATGCTGTCGAGGTGGAAGGACTCTTGGGCAAACTGTTTGGCAGTCTGAATCTGCCCAATAAACCAGGACTGACCCCGAGTCTCAATACGCCGAGCATCCCTTCATTGGCAGCTCAAAATGCTCCTGCACTACCTTGGAGACGAGCCAACGTACGGCATACCTCGAACGAGCTATATGCTGATGTAGTGGAATCGCTGACGGTGACATTGGCGCCCTCTGGAAGACCCATCGCTGCCTTTGCCAATGGCACAATCGCCTTCACCTCCAAGGTATCGGGAGTTCCTGATATAACCATGAGTCTTACCGGGCGAGAGGGAAAGCACAACCTGAGAAACGTCATGGAACTGCCAGTCTTTCATCCCTGCGTTCGACTTAACCGGTGGCGGGAAAGCCCTGGTGACTTGAGCTTTATCCCTCCCGACGGCCGCTTTATTCTGGCAGGCTATGAGGTGGATTTGCTACCATCTACCAACAACAGTGGTGGTCTTGGTTCAAATAATCTGCAATTACCCATCAGCCTCGAGGTGAAGACTGGTTTGGGAGCAGCAGGGGCCGACTTCGATATCCGACTCAACATTCACCGAATCCCGGGTGGCCCTGGTGCCTTGGGTCCTTCGGGCAGGGGTGGTGCATCTGGTGGGAGGGCCTTTGGTGGCCCGCATGCCGGTACTGTGGCTTCTCCCTCGCTGCATGATGTTATCGTAACGGTCCCATTACCATCCGAGGTTAGAAACCTTTCCGACGTGCGGCCAAGCAAAGGTGACGCCAATTATAATCCTGGGGACAGGTCACTAGAGTGGTATATACCACAAAAAGAGCTGACTTCTGGCACACCATACTACAGTCTGAAAGCCACAGTTTTAGGCCCGTTGGCGGACGACGAGATCCAGGATGACCCAACAGGCTTTGGGTTTGGGAAAGACTATTCTTATGAAGAGCCATATCAAAGCACCGCTTCACCAACGACAGTAAAACAGCAATCTGGAAGCGAAGTCGATAAGGAAGCCAAGAAGATTGCACAGAACAAAATCTTGATGCCCAGTTCTGCATCGGTCAGCTTCTCGGTGAAAGGCTGGATCCCCAGTGGCATCAAGATCGAAAGCATTAATGTCGATACCAAGAAGAGCCGTGGCCTAGGTGAGGGAGTAAAGCCATATAAAGGCGTCAAGTACTTGACGATTAGTAAAGGCGGCGTGGAGATCAGATGTTAAGTCAGTCGAGAGCATGCACAGCATTGTTTGACTTTTGACTGCGCATAACTACTTTAGACGACACCATTCATGAATATAATCATAACCTTACGTTCTTGATACGTAGATCTCTGTACTAGAGAGCAAACCTCATGGGGCACACTATAGAAAGGTATGTCCATACCAAGATACATGCACGCTGGGTACAGGCAATGTTGAGCCACATGGGATTAGTACAAGCTCCATGTGCCCATAACTAGCGCTATCTTGTGCCCCCCCAAGCTTCCCCCCGCAGCTCCAGCTCGGCTTTGGGGCGGGTCAGGAACGTGGGGTCGGTCGGCAATGGCCCGTGACTGTAGGTGCTGCGTGTCTTCCGATTCCTGCCTTTCCATTTGAGCATAGCTACGTCCATTCACACAAGCTTGCTTACGATGCGGCACCCGAGTGTCCCGTCTCACGATATTTTCGATGGTACCACCTAGTCAACATTGTAGCTCGGTATACGCTGGGGCGCGGTGATGACCGCCTTCATTCCACCATTGCGCCAGCGCGCAGCTGTTAGCTGTCGTCGCAATTGTCCCAACCATTGGGCCTTTTCCGGTGTCCTAGGGACTTCTCAGCATGCGGCAACAGCGCCGCGTCAGCTTTCGCCGTCAGTAAAAACGACTCGTAGATATGGCTCGACGGCAGCAGAGGTCAAGAAGCAGAAGGCAAAGACTGCCATCTTCTTCCCAGGTAATTCCCCCTACAGCTATTCGCTCCTCTGCCATATTCAGAACTGACATTAGTTTCGCCATAGGTCAAGGGGTACAGAAAGTGGGCATGACTACACCCTGGATAGAAGCATTCCCGCGTGCAGCGCACGAAGTGCTCGACGAGATAGACACCTACATGGGCTATAAGCTCTCCACAGTGATTCAAGATGGTCCGTCGAGGGTATTGACCGCCACACCAAACGCTCAACCCGCCATCATGGCAACAAGCATATTGATTCTGAGGATATTGGAGCGCGAATTCGGCTTCAAGGTATCCGAGCGGATCGATGTCAGTCTGGGTCACTCGCTAGGCGAATTTGCTGCGCTTGTTGCTGCCGGGGTACTGGCTTTTCAGGATGCTCTGTACATGGTACGGAGACGGGCCGAGGCCATGGCCGAAGCGACGAGACGTGCACAGGAAGAATACGGTGGAGAGTATGGCATGGTGGCCGTGGTCACTGAGCCGGAATATCTGGCGTCTCTCATAGAGGCGATAGATGACTTTGTTGGATATCGAAGTGCCGGCGCCCGCAGCGATCACGCCGAGGATATTCAGCCCATTGATCAAGTGCTGATTGCAAACATCAATAGCAAGAATCAAATCGTGCTCAGTGGTAACGTGGAAAAGATCAAGGAATTAGTCGCACATGTGCGACAGTTTCTTGGTCACGATCCTAGAGCTGTACGATTAAACAGCGATTCCCCCTTCCACAGCCCAATTATGCGACCCGCTGTTTCCGTCATGAAGGAACTACTTTCGAATAAGAGTAGAGTTGCTGGCCGAGAAGATCAGGAGGTGGTCACGTTCCCGGGTGATCTCATGTGTATCAGCAACGTCAGTGCAAATCCATTTGGTAGTAAAGAGGAGGTGAAAGACTTGCTATCACGGCAATGTTTAGAGACTGTAAGATGGTGGGAGAGCATAAAATATCTCGACCAAGAACAGCGAGTTCGGAGATGGCTTGGTATTGGCCCGGGTAAGGTTGGTAGGAACTTGGTCGGAAAGGAGGTCGGCATGAGAGGAATGGACATGGTGAAGGGAGGAGGCGTGTGGGCAATCACTGATCCATGGGATGTGGAGGATGTTCTTAGAGCGCTGGAGAAGACCGAAGATATGGATGAGGGCGATGATTAAGGCCAAAGGAAAATGGTTCGCAACCTCGGGGCCGATCTGGGATTGAATAGATCGCGGTCTCCCTGGCGAATCTTTATACAGCGAAAGACGGCTGGTTCTTGAATTTCTTCTTTTTGGTTTGTATGACTATATAGGTACTACTTGCGCAGAGTATAGTACATTTACCTAATCTATTTTATTCAAAATATTACTCTTGAGCGTTCACATGGATGCCATTCCTTGAGTATAAGACTCCCAAGTCGCAAAGGGGACGATAAATAAGCACGTACCCAATAAAAGTAATATAGACAAAGCTTGTCGTTGTTTATTTTGTTGGAGCTACCCCGGATCTGCTGTTCAGGGGTCCTAAACGTCTTGGTTGTTACAGTGGGTGTTACAGGACGTAATGTACCACTCCGTAGTGGGGCAGACTTTCATAGCTAGCTCAGCACTGCTGATGCGCACGCAGCTCCAACCCAGTCCAACATTGCTTTGGCAAACCTCCACCAGGAACAGGATACACTGTTCGCAAAACCACAAGCTTTGTCGTCGCAATGGCAACCTCGATACCGTCGATCGCCTGTTTAGGCGTCATAGGGCGCAACGTGAGTTTTTGTCCTTTACATCCGTTCTCTACCTGGGAGGTGTCTGCACTGCTCTTCTTTCCTGCTCGGGCAATGGGCTGACTCGGGGCGTGGGATCGCGGCCACCAACAGAACAACCCCCTCCACACGACACTCTTCCCAACGTCGCGAGACGCAGCGACCGGCCAAGCCGTCCCCCTGCGTACGCCGCTGCAGTTCTCGCTCCTTCTGTCCAGCACACTCGACATATTTTCCTCGCGGGCGCGGCACGCCTCGGTCTCGGGCACGCTGCTGAGCGGCGACTTTGGCCTCCTGCACGCCGTCGACGACCGCCTGGCTGCCTACGGCTGGGAGACCAACACGGGCGTCAAGTTTGTCGCCGTCGTCGACATGCGAGGGAGGTCTCTGGACTCGCTGGTCGGCAAGGGTCTCAAGACGTCATCGCTGTCGTCGCCCTCCGGTGGTGGTGCGGGGATGGGAGGTGGTGGTGGAGGAGGGGCAGGCGCCGGCGCCGGTTCGTCTTCCTACGGGACCGCGGGGGGCTCTGGCGTCGGGCTGAGGGAAGGCGAGCTCAAGGTCGTCTTTCGGGCCATGCAGACGGCGTATGTGCGCCTGCTCCAGAATCCCTTCTACGACCCCGACGACGCGACCGATGTCGGAACGAAGCGCATCACGAGTCGCAAGTTTGCCGAGGAGATGAGGAGGATCGGTGACGTCTGGGTGCCTGGTAGCGTCAACACGTTGTGATTGATTTAGTCCCTTCGAAACCCCGAGACAAGAGAGCGTGACGGGAGATGGCAAGGGGCGCGAACAATCTGGCAGACGCACGTATACGCGCACGAAGTAGCATCGGGCTGGTAAAGGTGAATCTCACGAGCTGGGTGGATGGGTTATAAGCATTTCCGACATGGCGTGGGAGAACTTGAATTTTTATATGGCATGGAGTTGGGCGTTTTGAGGATCCTCAACAGAAGACAACGGGGGGGAAAAAAAACCACAGAGACGCAGCGTCAGGCCAGGAATGGTATTACTGGCTTTCCCGATCTCAACTGACAAGTAATATAGACGACTTGCTAAAGACGACCCTATCAATCTACAAAGGTGCGACCCAAGTAAGGGGCCAAACACAAGAAAACTCTCCAGAAAATAGTTGACGGGGCCCGTATTCCAGAAATGAGACGCGCAAGTGCTGAATCTTCCATGACAATGTGTTGGGAATATTGTCACTTGATCAATCATCTCGTGCTGCACTCCCAACCTAGCCATAACTTCTTTCTATAGGAATTGAAAGCCGAAAGTTCAATCTGAAGGAACGGGAAGAGTTACCAGGCTACTAAACACTGTTCGTCGCGGCCTCTATTTACTCAGTAGCACTGAGTGATTAAGAACTCGCTCTTTTGACCTTTGGTCTTGACGCCATCATCCTGAGTAACCGCATGAAGGTCTGCCAATACTTCTCTGTCTAGCACAGGTAGAGAAACCACTGAGCTTGGATCCAAAAATATGTTCTTATCGTGCGGAATCCGGGCGAACGTAGATTTACCAGTTTTGTTGGACTTGAGTACAGCTCTTGATCAACCGCAAGAATACAACTGTTCAAAGGTGATGAATCATTTCACGTTATAGCTAGGAGCTGGGTGAAAGTCCTTGAATCGTGCAGACTCGGTCGCGAAGGGTGTCGATACATTAGCACCCAATTGATGAGGCTACAGTCAGTGCCTCCACATATTGGTCCATCCTTTCAAGAGTCTGGTGAAATTCTGTCACTCTTATGTGAGCATTCCGCTCTCTTCTTCATTCGCTCCCGTGGTCTCGTTATAAGCAGTCAGATTACAATGATGATCGAGGCGAGGAGCTCGAAGTCTAAAGTAATTCGGACAGAGATGACGATTTTCCATGTGATAAAAGAGTATAACACACATGGAGGATAGGACTGGAGAAGGAAGGAGATGCTCGATTCCACCTTGGACAAATGTGGTAATAATCTCTACCAACTATTTGGTATGTCTCATGGGGCAGCCCTTTTTATATCTTTCGGCCGAAAGATATTTCACAACGTGACCCGTACATTGGGATGAGGATCCAGACGAAACTCTTCTTGATTCATGACATGTCGCGCTTTGGGAATGACTGCAGGCGCATCTTAACAAAAGGACGACTCGGACCTGTGGCTTTGCCGACCATACAAGGTTGGTTGCGACCTGATGCTTCTGGGTGGGATATATGACCTTAAAATCAAGCAATATCCCGGGTCATATCGCGAAAAGAGACTTGTTCACATGCTGCTGCTACATGCGATATGGAGCCTGCCGACGAATGACCGCACCCTCCCGGCACATACCGGTCCGTAACTACCGTACTCACTCATGCGTACTCCCCGGAGGAATTCACGCCTTGGCACCATCCGCATGGATGCTTGGCTCGATGGGAGATCGGGAGGGTGAGTGAGATTTTGGACCGCTTGCTGACAGCCATATCCGTGAGACACGGGCCGCGGCGGAACGATCCGACGACGAGATGGCTCGCTCATTGGATGGGATACGGCACTTGAAATCGAGGATATGGACAATGTCGTCGCTTTATGAGTCGCGTGCTATCTACCTGGATTCGACAGATCGATCACTTGATCTGATGTGGTTTTGTAAACATGTTCCCCGATTCTTGCTCAATTGATCATGCAAAAAAATCAATGCCTCAAACACTTGCGCCACTTATTATAGTTAAGCTTTTCATTCCTAGATTGAGGAATCTGAAGAATATCTACGCGCAGTTGGAGCTCCCTCTTTTTGTCTACAGTGTGTGGGTAGTTGAAGCATATCCGCAGACAAATCGATCGCGAGCGTTCCACTCTCAGGCTCTTAGAGTTGCTGGCTTTTGAATGTGTTGCGGCTCACTTATCAAGGCCCCTCCACGCAGTAAAGCTCTGTTCAATTTTACTTGTACATAAATCAGGCAGGTTGGTCGACATGAAGTAGGTAGGTGGAATATGTCGTCGGACACCGTTTTCCGGCCCTAAAGAACTGTGATTCAGTATGAAATCCACATGGCCGACGTATCTAGAGGAGCTGAAGGTGAGAACGAAGCGAGCCCATTCACAGACATCACCTGTGCTCGGCTTGCATACACTTGCAACGTACCCTCCCGTCCCCAGTGCCGGACACCAACAGCCTGGTTTTAAGTACAGTAGCTGCCGGTAATTGCCGGAAATGCACTGTAACCCCACGGGGGGTATTATGACAGCCTGCCCACATGATCTCAATACCCGACACATACCCGATCATATATATCCATAGTGCACAAATGGACTCGTAATTGGTAGCAATTTCTTGAACCAAGTGATCATACTATAAATCACTTGATGTCATTTCGACAAGCATCATATCCCGCCAGTGAGGAAATGGATGCTAGAAGATAACCTCCCTCTGGATTCCCAACCCCTCTTCCAGAGTTTGAGCCATCCAGAGCATGCATACGCCAAATAAGCATGCTGCATACAAGCGAGTGCAAAGTATGTATGCGTGCACGGCACGACCGCCCACATAGCGGTTGCTATGCTGCGCCATGGCTGCACGCAAAACAAAACGTCGACACGAGATTCGGATCGACGGCAGACCTTGCCATTCTGAGCCTCATCATCTTGCGGGGTGATCTGCAAGTCATCGATAGAGGTATGAGTATGTGACGACGGCGTGCGCTTTGGCCTAGCATCTGGCATGCATTTAGACTAAAAAGAGACAAAAAAAGGAATGTTATGCTTACTCACCAACCTCACATTAGCCGGCCATCTAAAGTAGTAGCTCATGAATGAAAGGAGGGGACAAATCAGTGACGAGCACTTGAATCGTCCACCCAAGCGGAAAGGGAGAGCAGGCGCATGCCCAGCAAGCAACGTAAGACAACATGAGCGCGGTCTGGTGGTGTAGAAAAGCTCATCAACCCCTACCACTCTTGATGGACGGGTGATCTCTTGTCTTGTTCCGGTTCTGGTGGTTATAAAGAAAGGGGTCGCGAGTTGCCCTGTCACTGTCTCATCAGCCCAACCTCAGACGCATTCCATAGCAGCAGACACTGGTCTTATCAGTACGATATTCTCTGTAAAAGAAGGTCGGCATGTTTCCTCTCACGACATGCCTGGCGCTATGCGCAGTTTCTCTCACGAGCGTGTCAGGTAATAGCTCTTGGACTTGTCGCCTCGCCCAGGCGACTAATACCTGGACAAGACGCTGATATTGTACAGGTACTCCCTTAGGAGGACCAGCCTATTACCCAACGAGGGATTCCTTCGCAGGTGGTATCTTTCTGCGGATCGAGCCGTTGGGTGCATCCATCGTACATGGTGTAGCTTCCAGTGATGGCAACGGATTTCGAAAATACCTCCGGGACGCTATCGTATACAATGGCAACCGAGTAGACATGGTCGGAAGCAACCCCAATGGGACTATGAGGGACAATGACAACTCCGGATGGCCAGGCTACGTTATCGACGAGGTGCATGACAAGTCGAACATTGACACGTCCAACTATAAGCCCAATCTGGTTCTGATCAATGCCGGAACCAATGATGCCATCCAAGATAAAGACATCTCCAATGCCGGGCAGCGGATGAAGAATATGCTGGGGGATATCTACACGCAATCCCCCCGGGCGACCGTCATCCTTTCCGGCCTCCTAAGAAATGGAGACAGTGGCACGGATTCGCGTGCCAAGCAGATCAATTCGCAGTACCAGACCTTGGTCAGCGCCTTGCAATCCTACGGAAAGCCTATAATATGGGCTGATATGCAGGGATCGGACGGTCCCACGCTTGCCGACATCAGTTCTGACGGAACGCACCCAGTGGACGCGGGGTATAAGAAGATGGCCAAAATATGGTATGCTGCCATTGCACAAGCTGATGCAAAGGGTTATCTGCAGCAAGCACAGCGGAGTTGAAGTAATGAATGCGTGGAGACCTGCCTTGGATGGAGGAAGAGGACCTGTTAGTGGAGCGACGATATACCCGCATCATGATCGAGGACGAGACTACTGTAGACAGTGAAGTACAAGTCATCTTTACTGGTGCTTTGATTTTTTTATTCACTGGAGCCACATTTTAGTCGGCGTGCAAAACAACTTATCTGTGATGGCGGCGCCGAAGAGCCGCAAAGCGGCACAATATGGCTCGGCAGTCTAACGGCCCTGATGCCATTTTTTTGCAGATCCATCTACAACCCGATCTGTGTGGCGATAGACGTTCAACGGCTGACCGCCGACCGCGTGTTCTTCACGTGCGGTCCGCATGTCTTGCTGTTGAGTCAAAAGCAACCCCGACAAGGCAAGGCTGCGGAGTCAACCCAACGGGGTCCATGTTCTCGACCACGTCGCTCGGCCAAGACCATGTCTTCCTCTGGCATCAACTTGCTTAGGCGGACAATCATCGGCGGCTATGCAGCCTCGCATTGTTTTGCGCCCCAAGCACGAAACTTACACCAGGCTGAGTAGTTCAACGTTTGAGACGCGCATGCGCCTTCCGTCAACCATAGCAAGTACCCAGTACATCCGACTTTGATCGCTTGGATCGCAGCACCAAGACCCTCCCTCATGGACAAGTCCCCCTTTGCCGGGTGAATTGCCGCATGCAACGAAGACAGGGCAAAGTAAAGTTTCGACCCGCCCACCACTGCTCAAACAGGATGTATGCGAGTAGTGGTTCAGCAAAGGAATGGTGAGCAGCATCAGCAGCCAGTTGTCGCTTCAAGCTGCCCGACGAGAAGCAACGTTGACAAACAGACGTGGGTAATGTGACACGCGCGCAGTTCCCACCCAAGCTGGAGTTGAACTTTAAAAAGGACGCAAAAGTGTTAAGGATTGGCGCGCCCGCGTTCTTAAAACCTCGCGGGCGCAAAGTTCCAATAGAAAAACTTTATATGCGCGGGATGAAGTTTGAACTTTGTCGGAGGGTCTGCCTAATGCGGTCAATGGTAGGGTTGCTGCTGCTGATGGATGGTATGGCAATAAGATAGGCTGTAGCAATAGTAGGTGGGAACTGATGACACTGACAAGTTGATACGAGGATGCGAATGAGGATGCCTGTCGTCTTCGGTCGAACGGGTGTACTGAAAAGGGTAATTGGAGAATGAGTATGTATTCAATCCCCGATGTCCATACACACGCACTCGGAGATATGCAACACGCGCGCGCGCGCGCGAGAAAAAGAGAGGGATGAAACTTTGATTGAAGATGGGAAACAAACTCTGAAGCAGTCAGATGCTGAACTTTAACCAACTTTTTCTTTCAGCTCTGGGCGACTGGATGTGCAGTTCAGCCCGCCCCTTCCGGCCATCAACAACAGCTAAATCACATCTGCCTATGTATGTACCTGCTCACCCGGTAACGTGGCTACGCTTGATCAGAAGCGCCTCGAGAAGCTCTCACGTCCAACCAATTCCCTATTTTACGTTGCGGCTAGACACGAAGCAGGTGATTCATCTGCACTCGCGGGATATGCCTTAACTTAGAGTATATTTTTATCAATTTGATCCAAGCCGAGGGTTTTGGCATCATGAGTCCTCTCACAAACTCTTCACCGACTTTACTATATTGTCTTGTATTGTGTTTGCTTCAATGGCTAGTAGCTTCATTACTCAGACCCATGACGAGAATCGCCATGAAGACAAAATATATGGTCACCATCATCACCATTATCGGAATGCGCGAAACAACAACAATTGACCGTCAAAAGTGTCTTTTGTTTCTTCTTCTTCTTCATTAACTCTCGCTTGTTTTGCATTGTCATTGTAATTCGCTTGCATTGCCCTAAAGCGGAAGTAAACCCCCCAATCTACAATAGCTCTTCAGCTACTATACATAGATATTTCCGTCGCGTACAAAAACTTAAAACGAATTGGCGGAGTTTTCTTGACGAAATGTGCGATTTGTCCGCCTCGTGGGATGGATGGATCGCAGATTGGAACCCACTATAAAATTAAAGTTTCGCCATGCGGTCCACACCCTGTTGAGAGACCCCAGCACAATTTATAGAGGGCTAGGCTAGGTACCTAGCAGCTGGATAGGTAATGTACCTAGGGGGTGGAAACCGCTTGGAAGAGTACAGGGAAGCTGGCCAAGGTGGTGGGTGGGTATATGTATGCTTGTTGTTCTGGTTCTGGGTGGTTTGGTGGGGGTACGTAGCCTAGCCTAGCCTAGCCTAGCTACTTGCCCAAGGTACCTCGGCATCCGCACAGAATTTGATGCCCTGCCTGTCTCCCGAAACGTTCAGGAATGCGATGACGTTGCCCTCCGAAACTCTGTTCTGCTTTATCCTGCTTATGAATTATATCCAGATGGCCCATCTAATCTATTAAAGTTTGTGCTCACAGAAGATCCCACCGGAGTGGATATGGGCCAAGATGTGTGATATACATGCGATTTACATAGCATGGAGGTGCCTGTACTATGTAGCCCGTCCGCTTGTTACGTGCCTCAGGGATGGGATTCAATTTAGTCATGGTCCAGGAATATAGAGTTCAAAAGCCGTCACCTACGCGATTACTACTTCAGGCAATTCCTCCTCGTAAGTCGGCCAACCATGGATCTAAGTAGCCGAGCATGGACGGGTGAATAGGCACAAGGCTTTTCCTTTCAAATCCCGCGTGGCAAGCTAGCAGACATGCCTGACAAGTACCTTTGGGGGGAAACCAGCAAGGGATTGGGAGCTTTTACTCCTGTATTGAAGACTCACCCTTGTGACTCTGGGTAATGTCACGATGTGCCCTGTAGTCTGGGGTATCAACAGCGAGATGTAGAGTTTGGGCAAAACGTCCCGAGGCATACGCGTCTCGGTTGAGGATCGAGATGAAATAAATGGCATTTTTCTGGCTTTACGCATGTCAGATCGTCACGCGAGAGTGGTCCCAACTAGGTCTAACTCTATTAATGATGGCACCTTGTTAATCAAGTATTACTCTAATGACTTTGGGAAAATTATAAGGATAAATTCCTGTCCAAAGGAAGGTTGGGGGGGAATAGTGACTTGAGCTTAAAGCGACTGGAATAACAGAAATAGAGTATAGTGCGCAGGAACGAACAGAGATGCACCATTGTTGATTCTCACAGTCTCAATATACAAACGCCACACTCACTGGCTGGGGAGTCAAAAAAGAATGTCATCGTTATCGCATATCTCCGCCTTGTCTCACCCGCTTTGGTCTGCTCCCCGCCCGACCGACGGAGAGGCAAAAAGCAGAATAGGCCCCGATGGAAGGATGCCCCGCCGGCGCCGCCAACAGGGACGGTGCCGAGTCAGCTGACGCAGAGGAAGCACCGCAGAACCAAGGCGCACAAAGCACACAAAGTCCCCGAGTCAGTTCCGAAGGGTCCATTGTCGGTGGCTCAATCGTGTAGCGTGGGCGCGTGGAAGTGGGCATGCAGCGTTACGGCCGTCATATTACCGAAAGGGCCCCGTTTTGCGCGCCCCGTAGACAATCTGAAGAAAAGACAATTCGGGTCCCATTCGGCCCTAGACAAGGAAGATAAGTCAGATCAGTCGATCTTTATGGGTACAGCTCCTTTCTCTTGGGTGCAGAGATATTGCCCATCACACCAGCCGCCAGGGCGCCCATTCAAATGTCAAACATTTATGATACTAGATCAAACCAGCTAAAAGTAGACTCTGGTTTTGTTTTATTCTCTTCCCCCTTTTTGCCTAATGACCACTTTGACTCTTCCAAAAAGGGTAAGCACTAGCAAGATGAACAATTCGGCTGAAAAGGCCCCCTGCGACTCTGCTTATACACTAGGATAAGACGGCAAGCAAGACCTTTTTAAGCATTGATTATAGTATCGTCCGTGATACTAATGTAATACATACGGAGTTTTTACCAACAAGTCTGGGCTATAGCAGGCGCCACAGTCTCAGTCCCGCTCGGCCCTTTGGATTTAGTTCATCTCCGTTGTTTTTGATCCCTCTTGCGCATCACCATTTACACAAGAAGCCGGCGGTGACGGGGCCCATACGCCCCGGCCCGGCCTGATAGGCCCCGCGCACGTTCGGTACAATCACACGTGTAAGTTACAACTGATCCCTGTAAAGTACCATCACCATCCAAATGCCATGAGTGTCTGTACTTTGGCACTTTGCGCAATAATAAATGGACTAGGCCGAAGAAAAAAGGTCAAAGAATTTGAATTAGTACACGAGTTAAAAACATATGATACTATAAAGCAATACAGAGACAGAATCTGGAAAGATCTTCGTTAGATGTTGCAGCATAAGAGGGTCTCCTGGTTACACAAGACAATCACCAATATAATGCCGCTGTTCATATCCATGGATGATGAGAACTATACTAGACGGGCCTTCTTAGCACTTGGACGAGTTGGTTACCCCCCAGAGACTTGTCCTGCACGGAACCTTTACTGCCAATGGAATACCCCGATTATGATGCTAGAATATGTTGGTAGCCCTAAAGGTCTAAATGAAAAGAACTATCCAGATCATCATGAGATCTCTATGCAGGAGTTGCTTGAGCCCTTTGAGTGTGTATGATATTCTCGAGTAGTGAGCTGTGCTAGCATACAGGGGCAAGAAGGGCGGAATGAGATTAAAGCACTATATGCACGATCACGCCGTCGTGGCTGGTCGTGAACGATCACGAAAGTATAGGGATGATCTGCCGCTAATGCAGGCGTCCCGCGGGCTGTCTCTCGCTATAGGCGTAGCGCACGCAGCACATTTACAGATGAGCCAATAAGAAGAATGAAATACGCAGCAAGGCAAGGGCTTCAGGAGGACCCCGTCTGCGCTATACTGTAAGGCAACGCCCAATTACTTGGCAGCTCTGCTTTTTTTTTTTTCTCCTTGGTTTCGCGGCCAAATTCCGCAAATAACATTGCACCAGAGCCCCAACTAATACTCACTGAGTTGTCACATATGTGACGCTGATTCCCATAGGCGGGAGGGCTAAGCAGAAAAAGAATTAGACAACATGGAATGATTATTAAACATGCGCATATTATCCCACGTGCGCACTGCAGTAAGCGCGCTTTGTGTGGAGCATCGCGTCGTTATCAAAAAAAAAAAAAAAAAAAAAAAAAAGACGTTGCGAGATTTGTTCTTCTCAATATTGCCTGTACTCTCACTGTCGCGGAAGAAGGTCATGATCGCTCCTACAGATACATGTTGACTACATCCTAGCATCAACATGTCATGGTCACGGAAGCATTGATGAATTGTGCTTGGCAAGATAGACACACCTGGAGTTTGGGTGCTTCGCCAACTTCGTAAACATCGTATACATCGCATACATCGTATTCTCCCTTTCCCCACGACGATCAAGGGCGTCCGTAAGCCACTAGTTCTGGTTCTGCATCTTGAACGATACCAAACAAGGCTCGGATTGGTAATTCTTATGTATCCGGTGTTATGATTCCTTGCAGTCGTGAGCAAAGCCACTTGACACCATGTGATGTACTGTACATTGGGGGGACCAGGTGGGTATATTCCGACGACGGCACGGCAGCCAGCAAGCGTTTCCGTCCTACCAATGTTATTCTTGCGGCAGTCTCACTTGAGGCTGCAATGGTATTCTGCCTCTCTTTCTTCGTGCACGCACAGCCTGTCAGCCTGCCTGAGCAGAAAGCAACCAAACATGCCACGTTTGAGTGAGATCTCATCGGATTGCCTCTCCCCACGGAATGGCGGATGACTGCCTTCCGTTGCGACCCCTCTCTCCCTTTTCCCCCCAAAATACCCTGCATGTCTTGAATTGTTTTTTTCTCCCTTCTCCTTCCCGCGCCCCGCGGACTATATAGTGTAGTAATTATGAAGTATGTACCTTCGGAAAGAAGAACCGGGCGTGCATATGTGGCTGTACGTACGGTGCAGGACATATCGTCATCTTTTTCTTTTTTCTTTTTTCCCTTCAAAGGCCAGCCTATGTATGTGTAGCATGACAGGTCCGCCCCCACGATCTCGTGACCACAACCGACTGCACAGCCCAAGAAAAGAAGTACACAAGCTGCAACATGCACTCGCTTCCCGAGCATCCTCTCCCCCGCCTCCGGCGCCAGACGAGTAATGATAATAATAATAGCCCCCGCGGTCACATCCGGCAAGCAGGTATGTAAGCAAGCAAGCACGACAGGCAACTGACCGGTGAGGGTAATATCATATATCATATTTCGGGTTCCATGTGCGACGCAAAAGTTCAACCCGTCTTTGTTGTTCATACATATGGTGTATAATTGACCTTTCTTGTGTATACTGGACGTCTCCCACCCGTTGAGGAAATGAGATTTTCTTGGCAATCCAGCCCAACTTTCAGGCGGCAAGAGCGCGTTTGTAGCTTGGGAGGATGCCATTGTGTTTGAGATGGATGGTCAGATGATTGCAATGTTGTAGTTCACTATAGGGCGGTATAGGTATGTATGAATTCAAGAGTCAGTTCGAGTTTCGCATAGTCTTAAAATAGTGTTAGTCAAATGACTGAAACCTCCCAGTGGACGGCGACCTGAAAACGATTCAGTTGTTCTTTTTTTGAGAGAGGTGCTAAGAGAGTTGAATTATGGTTTACCTCTGTTAGGGAGAAAAGTGTAAATACCAACCCGCCGAACTCTACCCACGGGGCGGTTGGGCAGTGCGCCCGATGTGACCATGTCCCTTGGCTACCAAGCATTCAAGCTACGAGAAAAAGAAACGAGGTCGTTTTTACAATTGCGCATACGCCCTAGCCTTTTGGTTTTTCTTTCCTCTCTTGCTGTGTCTCGGTTCTTGGGTTGACTGGTCCTCACTTCTGGAGGTGCGCTGTGCGCCCATCAATGGGCGAACCATGGTACATACAGTCCGTCGCCCGCCAGCCAGCAGTTGCAGTGACTTATAGCCTAGACCCCTTCTCAGACCCAGCAGAGCGAAAACGTAACACAAGGGACAGACAACTCAGTCAACCCAAGGGAATTGGTTTTGAATGACAATTTGTTCATGTTCATTGTCAATCAAAGGCGTCAAGGTCCCAGCCGTTCACGGTACACCGGTTCTCCCTTTCCTGTAAGAAGCACCAGGAATAGGAATGGCTGTTGTCCAAAGCGTCCCGTGGTTCAATAATATTGATATTGCCCGGCGACTTGGTCATGGCCTATCGAATGGATGGTCATAGTGGGTCGGGCCGTACGTAGTGTAGCAAAACAGATAGTATCGATGCTGTCAATATTGCATCAGAACACATGTTACCATCACCACCAGCGGCCACATAAGGACAAGACGGCCCTGGTTTGAGGTTCCAGGACATGTAGTCTGGCCAATCAAGTGCGCCGCGACTGTCTTCTCGTGAATGAAAACGCCAAGCGCGATTGACGCGCAGACGGGGCATGGACGGATGGACTATGTATATAGATGGCGTCTCATCAGGCCGAGGTAGCACGTAGTGGGCGGTAAGTAGCAGTTGCTCCAATGTACATTGTGTGTCCTGTTGGTACATCCAGGCTGTGACAAGGTAACCGGATTTTGGGTGATCGGCCTTGGACCGAGTTTTACAATCATGATCTCTGAATATCCCAACCAATGCTAGTCAAAGACGCCAATGTAAGCTCTGCAGTCAACAGAGCATGCCATGGTGATATGTCGCTGTGGCACCACTATACTCAAGGTCGATCAATTCTCACCAACAGTGCATGAACGAGTAGTTGATGATAAAGACTTTGAATGAATTCATAGCTAGGTGGGGTATAATTGCCTATCATAAAAGTCAGAGATCGCTAGTCTATCAGATCTCTTGTCCGCATTCTTGCCCATGACCCACCAATAAAACGGCTTGCCATAATTAAAAGCAAAAAACAAGCCATGATCCCATAACAAAAGCAGAAAACAAAAATGTGCAAATCTATTATAGCTGCGTCATCGTGAGCACAAGCTAGCTCGCTCGGTCGCTCTCGCGGGGTACGACATCCCTGGAATACTCATTTGCTCGCGCCCACCGACCGCCTCCCCCTGTGGAAAGAATAGCATGATGTTTAATAAGCAGACGGCACAGTCGCTGCAACTTTTCTTGGCGGTGACTCCCCGGGTGCGCCCGGTGGGGACGATACTGGGCAATAGACTTGACGGATGCCGGAATGTACCATAAACAGCAGACAAGGTTGGACAGACACGGCCGACTTTTTGTCTTGGCGACGGAGAACATCCTAATGACTTTATTTGACGACCGCCTCTACGCTGGGCCCCCAAGGGGGATGCAGGTCGGATCGAGATAGGAGCCACCGGTGAAGGCTCGCGGCACGAAGATTGCTCAGGGTTGCCGAGGATGATGATGAAGCCACATGAGGATCTCAGGAGATTGAGCCAATCAAGGACTACCAAACGCCGGTGACCTTCCGAAAAGTGGTCGATTTTTGCTGACTCGAGGTAACGCCAAACATGGAGAGACAATGACCACAAACCGAGCAGGAAAAGAAATCCAGCCATGAGAGATCCGCAATGCCATTGATGATCGTTTCGCAAGGTACATGATGCGATGCAATGCAATGAAAGTAAAAGAAGCATGTTTTTTTTTGTTCCCATGAGCAACAGCCAAACAGAGCAGAACGAGCAAGGCAAAGGACTTGAGGTCGGTCTGATGTGCATATCCAAAAATTGATAGATGACCGTTGCGTAGCCAAGCAAGTCTGCAGCTAAACTGGCAAAGCGACAGGGTCCTGCAGAGTATCTTGCGATACGTCAAGGGTGATCTGAAAAGGAACTGGCCATGCAGATGAGGCGGGAACCGTGATAAGGCCATGTGTGCAAGTACACCACAGATTGTGGCTGCTTAGCAGCTATTGCTTACAGCAACGAGAGAGGGGGGAAAAAAAGCCACAGGGACCTAGGTACAGTAGTCTACAGCAGCTTCTGCGTCTGCTGCTGTCCTGGCCTTGCCCGAGACCACCAGGCGCTGCTGGGCCTGTCACTCTGGCTTTTGCTTGCTTGTGCTGTGCTGCTGCTGTCGCATTGCAGCTATCCTGAACCTTGCCAGCGCTCATTTGACCGAGCCAGAGAATATCGGATGCTCGGCACTGCTGACCCCCCTGGCAGTGGGGTCAGTCACCGGTGGATTCAGTCCATGGCATGTTCAAGGACCATGAGCAGGGGGCACCGTAGCTACCATATTATTACCGGATGTAGCTTTTTCTGGCCACCCAAACGTTCGGTCCCGTTGTGTATTGCTTGCTGCTGTTTGATGCTGCTGCCACCGTTCTCGCCGGGCTCTTTCTGAGCTCCTCCCCGCCGCGCGCTGGGGAGGATGTCAGGCTGTGTCTCTGATTGGTGCGAATGGGTTGGGATGAGTGGGAAATCAAGAAAAAGAAAGCAACGACTTGGACGGAAGTAGTAATTGTAGGCAGGAAAAGGACAGACGCGCACGCTGCGGCCTTGCAGGAATCGGCCAAGAAGGGAGCCTCGTAGGGCTGTCTATAATCGCTTTTTTGTTGTTGCTGCTGCTTCGGACATGATATGACCTCAGAGCCCCATATATGAGACTCTCTAAGCCCCTTTTGTGCTGTCTCCCTTGGTGTTGCTCCAGTAGCGGGACCTGGCAGCATCAGCTGCCTTATCGCCCTGGAAGCGGTGCTGGAAGTAGTTGAAGACGGCGAACTCGTCCCTCGTCATGACGTATGAATCTGGGTGCGACTGCACCTTTGACCATATCTGAGCAATGGCGTTTTCCAGTATGCTGCTCACGGTGGGGTCCATTGCGCCATCGGGGCTCTCTCGAGCAATCTCCAAGGCCTGAGCAACCGTGTTGCTGTAGGACGAGTAGGCGCCCGACTGGTGGTGATGTCTCTCGTGGTGTTGCGAAGGCATGCTGAGGATGTTGTTGACTGTGGGCGCCGATGTTGTTGCTAGCCGGTAGTTCATGTAGTATGTGTGGGGTTGCACTTCCTGGGGGTTGACAAGAAGCATCGTCATTGAGTAATGGTCGAATAACGACGACAAGGCTCTCTCTTTATATATATGTGTGTGTGTGTGTTTGTGTGTGTGTATATGGGTATGCTGGTTGTCTGTCTTCTGGTTATACAGGTGATGTATAACGAGAGCTCTTCAGCAAGGGTCCGGATCCGGTACTACTGCTGCTGCTGCTGGCTGACGAGACGGGCGTCGGTCTGGGGAAACAATAAATGGTCTGGGGGATCTGAGATCTAAACAGATCTTGACCTTGGGACGAGAAGATAAATTTCCTGGCCTGGAAGCTTTGCCTGAATGTGGTATTGGTTGGCTGCGTATAGGGCCCGTACTTCTTTCCCTCTCGAGACAATGTATCCCAATGTAAACAAGTCGTATGTAGTATATGGTAACCGAACCTGGGAACCAAAAGATCAAAGCCGGTGGTAACCTGTTCCAATGATGATGGGCAATGCACAAGTTGTTTGCTTTGTTGGAGGGCAAGGGCGTGGGACAGGCTGAAGTGTGGTTTGCTGAAATGGTTGGCAGGGTGGGAGGCTTCCATGAACGGGATCACCAATGGCTTTTAATACAAGCATGCAGGGCACGGCGTTTCCTCTCCCTCTTACTTCTCTCTTACCTACTACCTACTCAAACGTGCCACCCACGGCGCTACACTAGGGCGGAGATCTCGTCCCGGTCTTTGATGGCAATGTAGTGTAGGTATGGAAGGGAAGTATGAGGTACTCAGGCCCAGTCGTCTAGCATGTAATGTAGTGTAGGTCCAGTAGTCAGATCCTACTACTTGCACTACTCATTTACACGACCCGGGAAGGGATGTACCCTTCTGCGTATCAGACGCGCCACCACTTTTGCGGCAAAGTATTTTTTTTTTTTTTCTTTGAACCGGACAGACAGGTGAGGGTCAGTCAGAAAAGTTACTATTATGGGGTCCCTGGCGTGACATAGCCCATGGGTATCGCATCTCATTCCGGCTTGCGGGGCGGGCTCGCGGACATGTTGCCTGATTCGTACCTTGCCTTTGGATTACCTTTGGCTTCCCGACTAGAAGTCTTCGGTACACGGCCCAGACGTCTGGGCTGCGCTGGTAGGTCCACTCATAGCCATGACCCTAGCTAACTTGTCTGTCTGTGTACATTTGTTCCATGTTGTGTCTTTGCTGTCGCCTAGGCCGCATCGCATGGCCAGCCAGCCATGCAGCGTAGTCTATGTAATGTAGCGAGGTACGTACATGTCTATCCCTCCCTCCTCCTGCTTGGGCAATTTAGTACTATAATCAATTGAGTGAACCCCACGACATTCTACTATAACTACTACTTCAGTTTAGTAAACGACGACTCCTTGTGCTTCCATGCTGCGTCGGTACGTAGGTACACTAGACCATGAGCGACGGAATACTTTCCACAGCATGGGAATTCAATGGGCGCTATCGAACGTACGTATGTGTGCCGGTGGTAGTACTATTCCACACCACTCCATCTAAGAAACCCCCATCATCACGATTGCCATTTGAGCGATCCCTCTTTCGCATGGACAACGATGCCATCACTAGCTGCTTTGAAGAGGTTTCCACTACTTCTCCTCCTTCTACGTCTGTTCTACTCTTCCCTCTCTCACATGCCGCTACTGTACCTGTGCACGTCGAGAAGGCAAAGAAATCTGTGTCGGTATTGGGGGGCACAAGCGCAGGCAAATCATTATTCATACAAGCCCACTCAACCTGACAGAGAACTTTTGGACACGCGCGCTGTGCTGTGAGATCATGATGCTGTCAGGTTCCCTTCCTTTTTAGTTTATTTTTGAAAGAAAAGTTCCTCCCTTCCCTCTTTTGTGCCTACTGGTCCCTGGCGAGACACGAGGGAAAAGAGAGAGAGAGAGAGAGAGAAAGAGAGACGTGGACTACTACTGGCTCTGACAGGTAGCCGGCTGCCAAGCTGCCCAACAGGATCTGGAAAACCGTCCCGTTAGTCGGAATCATGTCGATATAAGATTCGACTAGTTGTGATTACGAGTACACGACAGCAGCAGATTTTCGCTGTCCTCGCCAACCATCGAAACCTTCTTTGTATTTTTAGCTGACCGCTTGACTGACCGAACTGACTTGCCTCCTATTCTCTCCGTTCTCTTCGAGTCTGCGTAGGGGATCTTGAAATTTTCAGTTTGCACCCGCTCCACGCATCGGTCACACAGGGCGCGAGTCAAAATTCTATTGGCCGAGTCGCATCCTCGTTTTTCTTCATACTTGTTCTACTTTTTCTTCTGGTGACCCGAATCCGTGGATTTGGTCACGAAACCAAAGAGCGCCCGCGCCGCCGCCAAACAGAATCCACCCCCAGGGTTTCCACTCTTTCTAGGTCCAAATGGTTACTTTTGCACCACAGCTAAACGCGTGGAAGCCACTCCTTTTCTTCCCACTCTCTCTGACGTTATTTTGAACCCCCATCCCAAGTCTACATCACTCGCCCCGTTCCAAGGGACCATCTATCTTCTTTGCGAGTCAGAACAGAGTTTGCTGCCAAATTAACCGATCTTCACCATTTTTTTTTTTACTCATCCTTTTTTCGATTGTTCCCCATTTCTCTGTTTCGTGCGTCCTCACCGCCATGGATAAGACACCTCGTGTAAGTAAGTAGGTTAGGTAGGTAGGTAGGTTGGTAATGAATGATGGTCGGACTGAGCCACCACCACGAATGAGATTGGGCGAATGCAACGGATACCGGCCGGTCCGCTACGCCGATGCGACTGGGGCTGAGAAACAAGTACGATGCGCCATCTTACATATGACATATCGAGCGCAAATTACTTCTCGTGCGCATGTAAGTCCGGTAATGTAGCAAGGCAAAGAAGCAAGGAAGATTGAGGTAAACAATTTGACAACGAGAAGGAGGGGAGGGGGTATACGCATCGATCGACCGTGGGGTTTCTTGTCTTGCCTTTTGCCTTACAATCCGTTGGAAGCCTCGTGGCAGTGCGGAATATGCTTGAGCGGTTATGGCTACAATACGGAAAAAGCATTTTATTGCATGGGGGCCCAAGGATGATGAAGAACAGGGATGGATCTTTTTTGTTTCTTTTTCCTTCTTCTTCCTCTTCCTTCTCGTTCCCTTATTCTCGCAGTGTTCTTCACTCTACTCGTTGTCTTCCCAAGCTCCGAACAAGCCGCGATTCAGAATTTAGCTTGGGCCAAATTGTGCCTCTCTCAAAGGGATTCCCTCTGGGACTACAACCTGGAATACCCAGCGGCCGGCTAAGGGTTGTTAAGGTTTGCCCACCGCCTTCAGCCTTGAGATAGCGTCGATTGCTGTGTCTCAGGTCATTCGCTTGGAGCGGCAGAAACGATGAGCATCCTTTTCTCAGATCCCACGACATTTGTTTGGTCGTTGGAAAAGCGACACGCGCTCTGCATACACATATAGGTGTGCCCAACCTAACTTACCATGACAACAACGAATAGGCAGACATCGGGTAGGCCAACACACACACACACACACACACACACACACACACACACACACACACACACACACA